CCCCCCTCCCGCCCAACCAAACACCAACAATCTCCATCGCCAGACCAAGAAACCGATATCCTCTAATCCTCTCATCTCTACTGCGTGGTCTTGGTATCTTGGTATGTTATATGCCATGCCCCTCCCCGTCCAATTGCAAACACCACACTTTCGACCTCTCCAACACCGCCAGCTGGGGGTTGCGTCGCACGTGACTCGCTCGTTCTCGTTTGCAGCCACCCGGAACGGTCCAGATGCGTGCGCGCCCTCGCTGGACGCTGGAGTCGTGACAAAGGGGGGTCTGCGCTGGCTCTAGCTTTGCCCTCCAAGGACCCCAAGACTCCAACACACGCCCTGCCCGCCCTGCGCTATAAATATATGGTACGATTCTAGATCTCGAGAAGCCCCGGAATGGACTAGGTGGACCGAGTATATCGGGGGTTTTTTTTTTCTTTCTTCGCCATCGTCCTCGAGGAAAATACCAACTTGGTCTTTCTTTGGAAATCTCTGCTTCGGGAACCCGTCTTCAAGATTCGGGTTTTGTCTAGTGTTGCGCGGGGGCCTTGGGCTTTCTCCATATCTCGCTTGGTCCTGTCCATTCATTACCCAAGTCAAGTCAAGCGGCTCTTGTCTGTTCCCAATATTCATCGCTATCAATTTGAACCCCGGCCGCCATCTGCGATCCTTCCAGGCTCATCATGTAGGGGCCTACTTCCTTCGCGCTTCGTAAGGCAAATGGCTTTCTGGGAACGGATCCGATATTGCACATGCGAGGTACAGACTATCCAGAGTGAGCACAGAGTGCGGTGCACAGTTAATGTACATGTACATGTACGTACAAAGCACTCAAGTTGTTAGGTACCAACCAACATCTGCAAGCAATAATGTTCTGCGGTGGCAGAGTGCATGCGAAGTAGTACGTGCGAAATACGTGAGTACGTGGGAAGTCCGGAGTTGCAATGTACGGTGTCGGCACATACAGAGTCTCGGCCCGTCTGGGTCGGCCCAAGGGGAGTTAAGAATTTGGCAACAAAGTACAACAGCATCAGCATTGTGCAAAACTGTCACCTAGGCGCTCGCCCTAACACGCTGCTTTAAGTGAGATGAGGGCGACGGTGATGGTGAGCTCGCCTATACGATCACGAAAACAACACGCTGCTTTTAACGAGGCGAGGGTGATAGTATAAGTGAGCGACCACCTACCCCTGCGTATATAATCTATCACTCTTCACTAATATAACTCCCCTTACTTCCTAAAACTCGAGAAAGGGAAAATACAAACTAATTTCGGGGGATTGCGTAGGTGCGTATATTTTAAGACTAATATAGCTCCTATGGTGGGGTGGAACGAACTGTAGGATATCATCTGTACGATAACTGTTCTCCGGAGTATAGTTTTTGCGGGCCGGGCACTTGAAGTGCGCCGCGCCCGACAGCTGTAGTTATTAGGCATGCTCTTTCACCTATACATACTTTTACCCACTTTACTTTACTTTACTTTACACTACTCTACAAGAGAGTAGTTACTCTATTACAAAACAGCTCAAAAAAAAGGGCTTAACCCTATAAAGTTAATTAAAATTTTTAAGTAAGTTACATATAATAAGTTACGTATAGTTATATAGCTATTTATATTATTATATGGATCACTAATAAGATAAGCGGGAAATAAGACAAGGGATTATCACTTGAGGCTCGACGTGTGCTGATTTATTTACCGTACACTTAGACTGTATATTCCACTCCTTTACACTAGAAGTTATAAAGAGCTAATTTAGATTCTAGCCAAGTCGTTTATTTAAGCTCTTTCAAAAGTTAAGTTTTATATCCGACTATTAAAGTTTTATAGTAATAATGAGAAATTGTTATTACTTTTATAAATATATATAATATTATTTTATAGATTAATATAGTACTTTAAAAATATTACTCGGCTATATTTACTACTTTCTAATTAACGCTTTAAGTATATATAATAGATTAATTATATATATAAATTAGTTAATAGAAGAGAGAGTAGGAATGTGACTGAGTGACCTGAGTAGAGCGGCGATGGTGACTAACCGCGTTGGACGCGAAGCAAGTTCAGATTCGGCGTAGATTGCTAGTATAATTACGTTACACTGTAGAAATTCCTGTAGGAGGAGTCCCCCATTTGTCCTGCAAAGTCTTACCAAGGTGGCACGCTGATTTTTCCATCGCGAAAATACCTGTGACAATAGTGACGGAATAAGACTCCCTCGAGTCCGTAGTGCCTGATTGCTTCCATCTAGAACCTCCCTCCAAGTCGACGATATGGCGTATCGACGGAATGAGCGTCCGCTGAATCATCAGATTAGTGTTAGCGTGCGGCTTGATCACCATGCCCCTTGTTTCCACATCCACGTGTGGTACCAATTTTGAGCTGCTAAAAGAAGGTTCCTTTGTCAGGTCGACGACACCACTTGCACCAGATTCTGATATTATGAGAGAACTGGTTTCCGTTTCCCACCAGCCTTCGACCCCTGCTCCTAGTCTTTCGCCGTCAATGCTGGAGTTATAAGGTCTCTCGTATATACACAAGCCTTCTGACGTCTCGGCTGAGATAGAGAAGCCACTGTCGATAAGCTGTAACTTTTGCACAAGCCCACCACCGCTCAGTGGGCGAGTGCAAAGAACCTCGTGTACCCTCAGATGCCAGCCTGGGAATTTCTGAACCGGGGGGATGAGGGTCGTGCGTATCTCCACGTCAAAAATCCTAAACGGCCGCCAGGTACTGAGCAAGGTTGGAACGCTCTCATCCCCAACATTCGCAGAGCCGATTCGGAGGTCATATGGTTCCCAATGAGTTACCCACGTTTCACCATCATCCAGACTAAGAGCCAGCGTGCTATCAGGGGCAGTCTGCTCCAAGAGCCGGCCAACAGGGACACTGAAGCCAAAGGCAGACGAATAGGCGAATTTACCGTACTTGGCCTCCCTACCCTTGTGGTTACTCCGCGTGGCCTGACCAGAGGAGAGGAGAAAGTGATGCTCTGCCGTGTTGCACAAGATGTGCCGGGGTTGATTCAGGAGAGCCAAGTCGTCGGGACGAGATGATGAATTGGTCGGAAAAGGCGCTTCATCAATTGTCCAGAATTGATGATCCTGCGGAAGTGCCGCAACAACGAACGCCTTGAGGCACCAGTAGACTGACTGCGGCGAGTTGTAATCCTCGGACATATACATATTCGGGTCTGTGGAGGCTGTCAGTATCCATATAACTCTTCCAGTTCATATGAGTCTCGATTTCAACCAATACAACGATAGAAGGAAACAGGCGATGTAAAGATGCCGACCAGCGCCATTGAGGTACGGTCCACAACAATATTGCAGCATGAACGTACACGTATAACCGATATTTAACGATCCATCGACATTGAAAATGTCAGGCTTCTGAGACCACCATCGTAAATTGCGCAAGAGCATGCCTTTCACAACACCTAGGTTGTCCAACGGCGCCGGGAGTTCAATCTCGGCCAAGGCCGCAGCTGCCCAAAAGGCTGCCATGGCGAATCTATAGGTCATGCTACGTCCGAACGGGATCGCCGCGCCTAGCACATATCAGCCATTGTCTTCGGAACGTTGTCAGGTATCTCCTACCTTCGGCGTTGAAGTATCTCCAGAACTCTTTACCAAACTGCCTTGCCTGGTCCTTGTATTTCGCCGTCCTATCGGGGTCCCAGTCCGGTGCGAGCCTGACGTAGAGCAGCTGCGCAAATTGGATGGCAAAACTGCCAGAGTAATAATCTGCTTGCTTCCGGGCGCTTCCCCATTTGCCGTCGCTGGACCAACCATCACCGAGGTAGAAGGTGTCCAGGATTTCCAAGTCATGCTGAATCTGCTGCTCGACTTCGTCGACAGGAACCCCAAGACTCCGAGTCAGGGCAAGATTCACAAAGACCCGGAACCATCGCCAATTATTCTCCGACATGTCCCTGGAATTGATGGATCGCAGCCAGGTGATAAGGTTGGCCTTTGCAGCCGCGTCGTCCGCCAGCCCAAAGGCATCAGGTGCAATCAAGAGGGCATAAGCCACAGACTCCATCTCCACCATTCGCTGGTCAAAGTCACCGACGCTGCCCCAGAACTCTGGGGAATTAGGATCTGTTCCATTTTTCAGGCCAGTGATCCACGACTCCAGGCTGATGCCGCGCGCTTGTGATGATGACGGTTCCCCGTGTGACGGCGATGCCTGAACGCTCGCGATGAACCAAAGAGGTCGCGCAAATCCTTCCACCTGGGCGGCCTGCTCGCTAAAGCCAGTGCCAGTGGTTGTCGGTAGTCTGATCCGCGCCCTCCCTCGAGACTTGTATTGTTCAAGAGGCTGCAAGAGGGCGAGCCCGCCACAAATGAGGTCTGCCCGGGTCTTGAAGGGGTTGTGGGAGAACCCGTCGCGGAAAGGCATTGTTGGCACGCAAAACCAGTGTCGCTCCCCTGGAGGGCTGACAATGAGGCGGGATGGACGCTGCCAATCTCTCAAAATTCTCCAAGGATATATCAATGAATGAAAAGGTGAAGTCCATGTCCCACCGTGAACAATGCTATCTCCACTGAAAACCATATAGTTGCGCGGTTTTCCTTTCAATAGCCTAGGGTTTACTTAGCCCGCACGCCGGTTCAGATCGGGAGAATGGGTTCGGATTGCGGAGCAGACAGCCTCCGATGCCTCGAAATCACTCAGCTGCAACTACACCGGAGCACGTCAAAAGGGGGAATGAATGTGCACCCGTCAATCAAATAATGAGCCCCCATCGCCAGCTTGAGCCATATACGGCGAGTTCCCTACGAGTCAGAGCTTACACGACAAGGGCCAGCAGGCGTCTCTTCTTCATCAAGTCCATTCTTTTAAGTCCGCACATTCTCTGCCACATACAGATTTACAGACATGTCTTCGTTTACTATAAAAGTAGAGGTCCATTCGAACCCTCTTGCACTAGACGAAACGTGGCGGATCCCAGTTTTCGATGGAGAAGCCTCCGAGTCATTTCCACAAGCCACACCAATATCTAGCAAGTTAGAATCAACTGCACAGCTTGCGGATGATGTGCAAGGCGTTTCTTACCCCAAGACGCCACTTGGAGTGGACCTTGCAGGGCTCTTTGCGGAGAACGTCCTAGCCAAAATATACAGAACTGCAACCGGATCCATCTCCTTCTCTGCGGAATCCAGAGCAAACATCTCCCAAGGCATCACGCCCTCATTGGAATCAATACCGCGTGCGTTTCCCGAGTATGTGCCGCAGGATGGACCAAGGTCCGGGCATTACGAGCTTCGGGAGCCAGAGTTCTGGACATGCGGTTTCTTTCCAGGATCTCTTCACGGGATCCTGGAGCGGCTCACGAGATTCCCTCAGTCAATAAAGCTTCCCAATTGCAACAATAACCGCGAGAATCGGCTACAAATTGCGAAACTTCGGTCTGACTTCTTCGCCTTGTGCCAAATTTGGGCTGAGCACCTGCACGCCATGGCAAGTCGAACCGACACACATGATATCGGTTTCATCATCATGCCAGCTTTGCGACTGAACTGGGAGCTCACGGGCAACACAAGAACCCTCGACTCCATCATCCGCGCCGCACAAAGCCTTGCATCTAGATTCGTGCCGTCAGCGAAAGCCATACGCAGCTGGGACGCAAGGATCCAAAAGAACATCCAAATCACTTGCATGGATCAGAATCTCATTCTCATTATCGACAGCCTCTGCAATCTTGATCTTCTTTACTATGCCTCGAACCACTGTTCGGATGGAGCCGAACTATATGACATTGCAACAGCGCACGCTACCACGCTGCTGCGAACCCATCTCAGGCCTGAAAACTTTACTTCGGCCTCTGACAACGCATATCGAGGACGGTGCTATTCCACTTACCATGTCGCTAATTTGGAACCACAGACGGGGAATATCAAAAAGCAGTTCACTGCGCAAGGCCATTCAGATACCTCAACGTGGGCCAGGGGTCAGGCCTGGGCAATTCTTGGATACGCACAAACGTACATGTGGACCAAGGACAAGAAATTCCTTCAAGCGTCCTGCGGCCTGGCCGAGTACTTTATGCACCGGCTAGAAGCTGGCCCGCCCTTTTTGGACGCCGACATGGCGGATAACATCATTGATGCGGCGCCCGGCAGGCATCGCGGAGGCCGCTACGTGCCCTTGTGGGATTTTGATGCCCCCATCGAGGATCCTTCGACCCCGCTACGAGACTCTTCTGCTGGAGCCATTGCGGCCAATGGAATGCTTGTCCTTTCTCAGGGGCTGGCAGGCGCGGGGTATGACAATCTAGCGGCTAGATTTCGCAGCTCTGCCATAGACCTAGCTCACGACCTCGTCAACTTTGCTGTCGCTCCGGAGAAGGCTAGGTTCGTGGCCGGAGCAAATGGTGACGTCCGGGTAGAGGATGTCATTCAAGGGTGCACATTCGACGGTATTCTGAAGTTTGGGACAGCGAACAATAACGAGAATGCACAGAAGCGATACGCTAATCATGGGCTAGTATACGGTGATTACTATTTGGTGGAACTTGGAAACCGACTCCTCAGGATGGGATTAGACTAGATTCATGGTACCATGTGTATTATATAGAAGTTCTCATAGATTTTCAATATCAACATCCTCATTTATAGCAATGGCCAGGGTTATTTACAGGAATGATGCACATCTTCTGAATACACAGCTGGATACACAGCGTGCTATAATTATGTTATATATTTGATTGTGTTGAAAGAGCGTCTACTACCATCCGCTTTCCATGTCTGCTGTGAAGAGACTTCCGTCGTCAAAAGCTATCACACGGTCTAGGTTCATAAAATATTCATCAACGGCCTGGGTTATTGCACCGCCCATCTCTCCGACCCCGCTGGGTGTAAACATGGCATCATTATCTAAATAAAACCGACTGCCCTCAGTGGTGCCTACCTGAGCAGACGACGAGCTGGCAGCCGGGCGCCCGAGAGTACTCGGAGTGTTGAGGCTTGCGAATGGTAACTTGCCCGGCAGAGCGGCTTGGCCACCATCCCACTGACTGCCACCTGCCTCGGATTCGTGTCCCGAGGAATAAGTGGGAGTCGGACGATGATGTACAGGCGCAAACGTGGAGAAGTTGTGATTTTCCGTGGAAGTTGTGTCCAGGTGGTCTATTTCACAAGTAAAGTCCGTAGCATCGATCTGGAAGTTGCTATCTCGCAAGCATCTTCCGTATATGTCGTCTAGCTTTGCGGCATACTTAGCCGCTAGTGGTGGGTGTACCATGATCGTCTCGCTTGTGGCCCCTATCCAACGGCTTGCCATTTCTTCAAGACTTTCTTTCAAAGTCCAGAAGGCGTCTAGGAGCTGGTTGGCGGAGTCATGCCGCCAATGCACAATCATCATTTTCGCTGCCATGAAGACGCAGAATGCGAAGGGGCTTGTGACAGGCAGCATGCTCTCAGTCGTCTTCAGGTACTGTTGCGTAATGTTTGAAATCTCAACCCCTGCCAGGCAACATGTTTCAGCACTCCAGGCGCTTGGAAGCCTCTTGCGGAATGGCCAGGTGTGTGGAGGGTACGCAATGAGCTGGTGTAGTAGTATTGTGGAAGCATTATGGGTGACATGGGCAAGAGTGAGATTTGGGTCCATTCGGGCACTGAGCCGTGGTGCGTTCGAACTCCATTTCTGTGGTAGCATCATTTTCCAATGAGCAAGACGGATATCCAACTCCCTAAATCTCGCCAGCCAAGTATCCACCTCTTTCGGGTCGTTGGGGTCAATTCTCTGGTGGAGGAAAACGCTAGTCACGCGGCTCATCGACTCGACCGCTTCCACGCAATAGGCAAATGCCCCAACATTCGACATGTCAGCCTGGGAACCTGAGTAGGCTACGGTTGACGGGTTCCAGCAGCCTGCTTCGGGAGACCTTTTGTCAACATCTGGGTAGTGTGACCTGGCGCCAACGCGATTACCGCTGCGCAACATGGACTTGTCCCAGACACCCAGATACGGCGTTAGAACGGCCTCCTGTTTGCGCCATAAGATTCCATCACAAGGGAGCCGTTGGTGAACGTCGATGGAAGTTAAGCTCGTGTTCCACCCCATCGTAATGGAGCAGAATCTGTCGAGAATGAAGACATTCCAGAACACCCGACGTCTTTCTTCTGCATCGGCCCAGTCCTTGGCTGGCTCTAGGTACAGGAAGGGACGACAAAGCGGCTGACGATCGCCTGCATCGTGCTCCATCGTGAGCTGGCAATATTCCACGGTGCGGCTAAGAGAGGCGACGATGGACCAAGCTCTCTCGACGTGGCCACTTCCAATCTGAGCCCGTTAGACAGAGATTGGCAACGTTTGGCATTCTCGGCGACTTACATCATTGAAAACGAGTATAATGAGGGCTTGTAGGCCTTCAATGGAGAGACTTTCCATCGCGGTGGTGACTGCCCATCTCCTCACTCGTTCTGCTGGCCAACTTGAGTGAGACCGCCCCGAGAAAGCTTCTGAATCAGGCAAATACTTCGCCACAGTTATAGAAATTACCTGGACGATGATGGCTAGTTTCTGTAACTCCACAAGATCATCGAGCCGCTGGCGAAATCGGTCTTGATTAAACATGGGGATCCAAGGATGAATATGAGAAAAGTATGTATTAACCAAGGTTTCAATCAGTTCGGGAGATGGGAGCGGTGGGTGGTCATCCTGATGGCTAGGCTGATTTTCTATACACCTCCTCTTGCGCGGCGGCGGCGTCGCATCTTGGGCATTATCAAGGCTGCTATTTGATTTTTTGACCAGCTTGGGAAGCTCTCTGGCCAAAAGGGATATTATGTTGTCCGCGGCTCCATCTGATGTATCCTCTCCTATCTTGGCGCATTCTCCTCGTATACCAGGAGATGCCATGGCTTGTTCAGAGAGCGACCGTTCAATTGCGTCTGTTTGGTTATCAGTCATTGTCCTAAATCGTGGAAATACCAAAGGTACTGGGCATTCACCCCACCTAGTCTTTTGTAGATGCTTTCAATGGCGCCGGCCTTGACCCCGGGCTTGGTTCTTTTTGAATCGTATACACACTCATGGCCTGAAACATTCCCCATTAGTCGAATATCGATATAAGTGCAAAAGTCGATACACGACAGCTTCGGGAAGAAGAAGACGAAGAAGAAGGAAGAAGACGTACCATTCTTCCTGCAATGCGAACATGTCGGTCGATCCCTCGAGCAGCGAAGTTTTGCCTTACGGCAGCCGTTGCTGCAGGTGAACAGTTGTTAGCACGAAACTGATGGTGTCTCTCTTTGTTAATCGGAGTGATGAGAATTGAGCAAAAATAAACCATGGCCAGGGCAAATGCTTGTCAGCGGGATCCTCGCCACGCGTTTGGACCATCAGCTGGAATCTGGAGATGTTGGTAGAGAGAACGGATGCTACCAAACGGTAAACTCACCATGCGATTCGGCCGGCCGATGGCTCGGCTCCATTGTCTTCCTGGCCCGGTCGACGAGAAGAGCTGGACATCTCGTCATCACTCCCTTGGTCTTGGTGGTCCTGCTCCGGCATTCCGCATTCTCTACGGGCCGGTTGCTACGCCGGGCTACAAGCTTGATTTCGGTGTCCGGAGCCGGCTCGGCTCGTTGGTAGGTCCGGCAGCGTGTGTGCCTACTCCGAGGTCCAAAAAGCAGAGATCAGACTTCAAGTTCCCTGTCCGGCAAACAAGGGCTCTTTTGATGGAAGCAAGTCTCCAAGTATGACAGCTGGACGCAAAAGACGACGAACTTTGGGTTCGATTCAGATCGAGTATTGTTGTTGAAGGGGTTTTCAAACAAAGTGTTTTTCCAAGACGCCCGCTACGAGTAGCGCCCTATAGCGCCTTACAAAGTATGAGCCCTACCAGGTTCCAGCATGCGGGGATTCGCCCTAGGTGCTGTACCCCACAGACGATCAGCGATCTAGCTTCGGGAGCCGGAGTAGTTAAATAGCCGAGGGTGGGGTGGCTTGCCTTGACCAAGGAATGGCATTCCTCCGAAGCGTCAAGAGAGGGAGGTGTAGATTGGGCGACCATTGCCCCGGGTGAACCGTAGCCGTGGGACTTCCCTCACCTCCTAGCAGCGAATATAAACATGAGCACAAGCACAGAGAACCATGGATATCCTTTCGATGTGACCACTTACCCACTTACCCACCTTCACCCGACTCTCCTCCTCCTTCGTCTTCTTCACCCCACAAACTACCACCCACGGGCACAAGGGGTCCACTAAACCACCATCATGGCTTCAGCCAACAACCGGAAGGCCCAGACGGGGACCTCTGACCCCATTATCCAGAGGATTGCGGACGAGGACACAGTCCCTTGGTACAAGAAGAGCAACCTCCGTTATCTCTACTTGATGCTGTTTCCCACGTGCATGGGCATCGAGCTAACATCCGGCTTCGACTCGCAAATGATCAATGCCCTCCAGATTGTGCCAGCATGGGGAAATTGTACGTTGCACCCAAGCAAGTGATTGCTCCCCGGCCAAGGCCACGCTGAGCCTTTACCTAGACTTCGGAGACAGGCCCCACGGCAAGTTCTCCGGTGAACTCAAGGGCATCATCGCCGCTGCCTACTCACTCGGCGCCATCCTATCACTCCCGCTCATCGGCATGGTCAATGACAGGTTTGGTAGGCGTTGGTCTATCTTTGGGGGCTCGGCCATCATGGCCGCCGGCGCAATCATCCAAGGCTTCTCGGTCAACGGTACGGGATGGCCATCTTTGACATTTGAGAGTAGATTTTCTGACGTTGGTCATAGCTGCCATGTACATTATAGCACGTCTGTTGCTGGGATTTGGGATTCCAACTTGCATTGTCTCGGGATCAGCCTTGATCGGAGAGCTCAGCCATCCGAAAGAACGCGCGTACCTAACATCTTACTTCAACGTCTCATTTTACTTCGGACAGATCCTGGCCGCTGGGATTTGTTTCGGAACTAATAACGTGGCAGGTGACTATGCCTGGAGGATCCCGTCCTGGCTTCAAATGTGTCCCTCTCTGATACAGATGGCGTTCGTCTTGTAAGTTGGGACCGCCCGGGGCCGTCTCAAACATCGAAACTGACCCGCCGAAGCTTCATCCCAGAAAGTCCCCGGTGGCTCATCAGCAAAGACAGAGGAGAAGAAGCCTACAAGATTCTTGCAACATATCACGCCGAGGGTGACCACGAGTCTGAGTTCGTAAAGGCTGAGGTTGCCCATATTTCAACAACTCTCAAGCTCGAGGTGGGAGATTCCAAGAAATCATACCTGGACCTGTTCAAGACGGCAGGCATGCGACGTCGCTCGCTCATCAGTGCCATGCTGGGGCTCTTCACGCAGTGGTCCGGCAACACCCTCATCTCCTACTATCTGAGCGATATCCTCAACATGATCGGACAGTCAGATTCTATCTTCCAGCAACAAATCAACCTAGCCATTTCGTTCTGGAGCCTGGTCTGCGGTGTTATTATCTCCATAACAATGGTGCGGATGAAACGCGTCACAGCGGCCTACATGTGCACCATAAGTTTGTTAGTCGTATATGTCGCGTGGACTATCGCTATGCAACAATCGATCGTCGCCATGGAGAAAGGCTCCAGGAACAACGCTGCCAATGGGGCAGTCCTGTTCCTGATTTTCGCATACAAGCCTGCGTACCAGATATTCTATAATGCTTTGACCTACAGTGAGTTCCTTTCCCAATTTTTGGGGGAATTGTTTTCGAGAGTGCTTTATGCTTTCACTTTCATTCCCTATGTGTCGGGAGGACAATTTCCAACAGAAGGCGTATACCTGGCAATTTTGTTATTTGTCAAGGAAGATTTGTGTCTAACCCTCGAATGCTCACCTTGCCTTGCTTCCCCTAATATTCATCATGGCTAACTTGATTTACTACAGCTTACCTTGTCGAACTCTGGCCGTTTGCCGAGCGTTCCCACGGTATTTCCTGGTTCCAACTCTGGAGTCGGCTCGCGAGCTTCGCCACCACCTTTGTCAACCCTATCGGCCTGGAGAGTATCGGGTGGAAATATTTCATCACCTATTGTTGCATTTTGGTGTTTGAGATTGCCTTCGTATACTTCTACTTTCCCGAAACTTCTGGCCGTACCCTGGAAGAGTTGGCCTTTTGTGAGCTTTGTCCTCATCGTCTGGCCGTAATATTTTACTAACGACCATCTGTTGTAGTATTCGAGGACAAGTCGCTTGCCGAGGAAGCAAATGAATCTGCAGTCAAGGCACTCGGGGGACCTAAGCACGTCGAAGTAGAGACGTCGAAGAATTCGCTGGCGTAGAACGAGGCTCTTGTCGCAGTTCAGAACGATTGCAGTCGGATATAGGTAGCCCGATACTGAAACCATGCCATTTTGTTGAGCCACGAGCTGCGTATTTAGCCTCCTAAGAACCTCTGTCTCGTCCACATATTGTATACTGCGCGCTTTCTCGTGGGAACGGGCCATTACTTCACAAATATGATTTCATAAATTGAGAATCCCCACGAGGGCCGTCTTGCAGCCCTACTAGGATACCTGCACATATGACAAATTGACAATATACGCACCGCTTGCTAAACCTCTCCAATTCCTACTCAAATTTCTCAGCTTCATATACCTCTTGCTTCTCCTTCTGGACATGGAAATCGATCCAATTCCTTGACCGACCTGTCGGCTATCCTACACCACCTAGTAATAATAATAAGGGATTATCTAGCGGAGGATTACAGGGTTGTAGACGCTAAGGACAAGGTATTTATTGACTAGTGTTGAAGCTAACCGAGTACACGTGTTAACTACTATAAAGGTAATATTAGTTAGACTAGTCTAGTAATCTAGTATAATTATAACTACTAGAATCTAGATGTTAGTAATTTGACTACCGTTTTTGGCAGGCACCTGACCGCTATTTTACGCTGCACCCTCCACTCGCTTAATATTTAACCTGAGGCCGCCAAAAGTTTAGCGAGGCTCCCTCATCGCCGTTTTAAACAGAGAGCATTATTCTTCCAACTTTATTCTTACCTCTAGAAATAGCAGAACCTATTACCCCCCTAAAAACCGCGGGCTCTGTCCGAAGGGAAAGTTTCCAAGTAGAAAATAAATCACACTACCTATTCAACTTCCTACTCCCGCGCTATAAGATATATATATTCCAGCCGCTTTGTCCTCGACTCGTAACTCTTTATTCTTTACTCTATCCTCTACACCTCCTCGATCTACTCACTTATTCACTACACTACTCTATTACTCTATCTCTCATTCCACTAAACTACTCATTTTTTACTATTGCCTTCAATCATCCGTTTTTCGCTCTTCTTTATACTCAATTCTCTTGATCACTCTCTAGCGCTCATGAGTTCGACTAGCCTACGCATCGCTAAGCTAGTATAACATCGTGGTAGCTATGTCCGTGAGATTCGCAGCCTCTATATTCATTGCTCCTATTGAGTTGAATTATACTATAGTCTTTGCGAGGCTATTAATTTCCACCTAAAGTCAAAGGCTTCGAGTACCTCACTTGGTTTCTGTCTTGTCTTTTTAAAGATATATTATACTACTAAAGGATTTGACCGAATCTCCCTAGATACAGACCAAAATAGTACCATAATCGTGAGCATAGTTGTTCGTCGTTGCCCTAACACCATCGTTATTACAAATTCCCCTGATATCAATCTAATGCCATGAGCCGACAACCCAAACGTCACTGCCATCATCGCCGCACACTACCCTTCCCATCTACCATCAAAAGTATATCAACACCTAAATTTCTGAGATTCTTCCTTCCTCTGCCAATCACCCAACCCAGTGACGCAAATTCTAGCAGATTGCTAAACGATAAAATAAAGCATCTAACTAGCTTTGAGGCTTCAGTCGAATCGATACGTAGACTCTAAAAATCTCATAATAATATCGCAATTTTGTATTATTTCTAAGGTGATGTTAAGTTTGTGCTATTACTGCTGTCAGAGATGACTTTCATTGGAGCTGCGAGCTCAATTGCTATAGGTCTTTTACTATTGCTGTCCGTCTTCGTTCTATGACATATTCCCGAAAATATCTTCCCAAATTACATTGCTTATATATAGTCCGTTGACTGAGGCAAATCCTTCTTACACTAAAGATGCTCTGAGTCTTAACTGTGTCTTTGTCCAGCTTCATAGCTGCTCCTCTTTTCCTTCCTCCCGAGCTCTAGGTCTACGAGATCGCTAGGTGTCCAGTTCTGGGGCGCTCACAGATTTCCGCTGGGAATGCCCTCTCCACCGCTGTCCTAATCAGCCTCTTGAACGAAGTCGCCTTGGATTCGTCAACAATGGAGCATAGCATGTGCACCACCTCGGTCAGTAGCCTGAAGTTGCAGGCTCGCAGCTCTGCGGTACACATAGTGTTTAGGCGGCCGAAGAACTTGCCGCTGGTCGAGATGATCATGACCCTGTTGCCCAAGGTTTGCTGGATGGAGTCGTTCATGAACGCGCTGTAGGAGTTGCCAATGCCCTTGATTTGGACAATGAAACAGTAAGTGAAAGATGATCAGTAAATCCCAGGAATCAGCTTAAGAAGGTCAATATCTCTCAATGCCTACCTTCTAGATGCTAATCAAAGTTGAGAAAGACATCACGGTCACGAAGCACAAGACCACTCCGTCCATAAGTCTCTCACTTACCTCCTCTCTCACGAACACATCACGTTGGCCAGAGCAGATGCGACGTGTGCTTAGCCTCCGCTCAGCCCCGAATTACTCTCTCAACCAAGCCCGCTAGCTTCGCAGAGGCACAAAGACGAGTTTTCGATTTGATAGACCCTTTGAGCAGTTTCGTGTGGCACAACACAACCCAAAAACATATATTTCTATACTTCGAATACTACTGTACTTTTAGAAAAGTTTTAATAATAATTTATTACTTTTACTATTTATAATATATAAATATAAGTTATTATTAATTAATTATTACTTTAAAAAGTATATTTTCTTTTTATATTGTAAGAGAATATTAAACTTTTTACTAAAAGCGTTTTACTTAATCCTTTATTTATTATATGCTTACTTCTAAGAGTTTTTTATTAAAAGCTCTATTTATTATTATAGATTTTTATTTCTATTTAAACTTAGCGTAATCTATCGGTGGATATTAAGGAGGCATCCCCTCCTGGACCTTAGAATACAAGTCAGTTGCAATCCTTAATATCTTCCTCTATAATCCGACTGTAGACTCCTAGCTTGACCTTGAACTCTCGCTTGTTATTTTGACGCTATTCCCGCGGCTCTTTCAGCATCGGCCATATAAGTGGACAATGCAGGGATTGAGCAGGCGCAAAATTCCCAATCCAACACAACAATGATCCGGAAATCATTGTCAAGGGCTTCCGGCATTTTATCGCAAAAACTTCCTAAGTGCATACTTCCCACATGAATACCCGCGCAGTCCAAACTAATCATTATTATCAGATGATACACTAACATGGGTAGTCTTAGTGATGCCCCCTTCCTATGGTTGTTCGTCAGCAACAGCTCGGCAGCGAACATTAGAACTTGGTCCCACGATCAAGAATCACTTACGATCATCATTTCCTCGTCGCTATCCTGTCCACGAGTAGCATGGCCTTGAATAATCGCGGAAGGTCTTCGATTTAGCTCAATTCCCCGACTCCTACCAGTGTAATTCCCATCCGCACGCGCAGACTTCGATGCTGACCAGGAGTCTGGGAGGTAGCTGTGTCCTCTCGGTGTACTTCTCTGTTGTGCTTTGATACTCAGCATTCCGTAGATGGTTGGGGCATTGGCGACAAATGCAGCGAAGAAGATTTCAATGTTCGCGATAGTGTGTGATGGTCCAGATCGTTGAAAGAGGACGACATTCAGTAAAAGGCGGGTCAACGACACCGCAACAATCGCCAGTCCAACCGTGAATAGGGCAAGAAGCCGAAGCCTTTCAAGAAGAGGTCGTTTAAGCTTGATAACTTGCGGCAAGGGAAGAGCGATCAGCATTACATCCGTGGCCATGCTGAGACTTGAGAAAACTTCCAACTGAATGATGCCTTTGCTGCATGTTCCTGTGCGATAATCAACGGGACGTTTTGTCGGGTCAATCGGGGCGCCTTACCTGGATATGGAGTCACCTGCCAGTAGCGGCCGAAAGGTCGGCATTCGGTGAACGTAACGATGAAGGCGACGATGAATGTGACGGCCAAGGTTGCCCAGTAGAACTTCACGATCTTATCCGACTTCAGTCCGCGCAGGAGACGTTGCAAAACACACATGACGACACACTTTTGAAGCCAGGTACTAAGAAGAAAATATCAGTAAAAGCATAATGTATCCAGAGGCTCCAAATGAACGACCTACTACACGGTGTAAAACGCTCGATTGACCATTGTCAACTTGCTTCCAATCTCATGTCGATAGATGTATTCGGGGGTGAGCGTGATCTTTTCCAGGGCAGCTTTGGAAATGCTGTTGGTTCCCCAGACCAGCGCCACGTGGATGACAGCACCTCGCAGCAAGATCGATATAATAGACATGATGGTGAAGTATTCCCCAAGTTCAAGTCCATTCTGTCGGTATCGCTTAAGGCCGAGGCGTAGCAGCATGATAGCTACTGCGCCCCCTGTAAGAACCCACAGGATAATGAGCTCGCTCTCCTTTTCTTCCATCGTGAAAGATGCAAGCAATTACTCTTGCAAGAAAGACGGCCGTTGTCCAGTCCCATGAGAGAAATTTATCCCAGCAGCATTAGAGCAGAAGATGAAACATAAAGTAGAAGTCGATAGAACATGTGGAAGAGAGACTATATGGCAGATCTTCGAAAGCAGCGCAATTGCAAGATAATGTATAATGGCATTGCGACAGCCCACAAATTCCGCATTACGGGGCTGTTTCATCGCTAGTCGCAATGCGGCTAACCCGCTACAGCAGGCCACAGGTCCCCTTTTCAGGCTGGGAAGCATGGCAACCGCTACCCAATCGTGTAGGCATATAGTCCAGTGCCAAGTAAGCACGTAGTCTCTCACAACTATCGTTTCTTAGGGCTCTCGGACATATTACGACAAGCCCCGCGGAGTCCTGGGCCTCGTCTTTTTCCTCCGTTACAGTAGCGGTTTGATAAGACCAAAAAGGTGAAGAAAATGGGCCCTTCTAGAGTTCCATCACCGAATTCTATTATTCCGACATCTCCTCCATGGTCGTGAAAACGAGACTTCATGATTCGAGAGGGCATCGCTTGGCATCTCCGGGCATTCTGGACCAAAGCCACCTTCGCATGTAAACTTTGCAAGGCTAAGGGCATCGTGGTCTGACAACTTTTCTGTACAGACACACACACGGGGGGGGGGGATTTTGAACAGGAAGATGTAAGCGCACTGTAGTACCTTGCTGGCCCCTTATCTGGAGAAAGCTTGAGTCGGGGCTTGGAGAAAGCTTGAAATGGCGTTTTGCTCATTTCAAACTCTCCAGCCACGCGGCCGGGTTCCAGCCGGGACCGGGACCCGGGACCGGGGTGCCCGTGCCGCTGGGATATTGCCTTTGGCACGTGGGGAAGCGGAGGCCTCCGGTTGGTTCCGGCTACCCTCGGCTCGTTAAACATGTACATGTACGAGATGATATGCCTACCACCTGGTACTTGGTATTTGTACCCTGCAGTACGAAGTACAAACCAACAAATCAGTTGCTATGACAGCGCTGCGTTTACCTCCGCAAGGCGTTATATAGCCAACGAGAGCCCCGGTCTGCATTTAGTCATGGCCGAACCCTGCTACGTCGTACAGCAGTAGAAGTGGAATAGGTACGTAGGTACCTTACCTTACCCATACTCCGGACTCTGTACAACCTCTGTAACCAATAGCCACATGGCTGGCTGCCCAGGAAGGAAGGAGAGCACGAGACCCTGGAGCTATAAAACTACCTAGGTATATAACCAGAAACTTGCAAGTCTCGACTCTCGACTCTCGAAGGCATGCATTTTCTCTCCTTGGCGTGCAGTGCCTGAACTACGTCGTCCACTCGTTTCTCGCCAGCCCGTGGAACAGCCACAATGTCGCCTCTCGACCCCATTACCACCATTCTGGCGATCCTCGGGATCAGCATCCCCATCCATGGTCCCGCGGATAGCACCGTCAACTCGCAAGTGCGCCTCGCATACGCAGGTCATACGGGGATGATGGTGTCATGGAATACATTCTCCCAAGTCGAAACTCCAGCGGTCTTCTACGGCCGCGATCGTCATGCGCTTATCAACTGCGCAACCTCCGACGTTTCTGTTACCTACAACACGTCTTTGACATACAACAACCATGTCAAACTCACCGGGCTAGAGCCAGATACCCTCTATTACTATTTGCCCACGCCACTGCTAAAGGACAATACGACGGTTGCCCCGTATTCTTTCCGCACCAGCCGAGCACCGGGAGATGGAACCCCATATACCGTGGCTGTGACTATTGACATGGGAACGATGGGACCGCTGGGGCTGAGTACGAGTGCGGGGACCGGTGTTTCTCCCAACAATGTTTTACAACCAGGTGAAATCAACACCGTCCAGTCTATGATAGCGGCTGTCGACCAGTATGAATTCGTTTGGCAGCCTGGAGATATGGGCTACGGTGAGTGACGCTGGAAGTCCGTTCTTCAGAAGAATGGATCTCAAATCCTTTATCAATCTCTTCCCTAATGCTGAAGCAATTGGCTGACTCTTCAACTTTTGACAGCGGACTACTGGCTCACCGAAGAAATCCAAGGTTTCCTTCCCAACACCACCATCGCGGATGGCTACAAAGTCTATGAATCCATCATGAACCAGTTCTACGATGATCTCACCCCGATCACAACTCAAAAACCGTACATGGTCGGACCCGGCAACCACGAAGCTAATTGCGATGCAGGCGGAGTCACCGACACATCGAAAAACATCACATATGATGGCAGTATTTGCATGCCTGGCCAGTCCAACTTCACTGGCTACATCAACCACTTTCGCATGCCTTCTGATGTTTCTGGTGGGACGGGCAATTTCTGGTATAGTTTTGACCATGGAATGGCGCATTACATCCAACTCGATACCGAGACAGATCTCGGGCACGGGTTCATTGCTCCGGATGAGCCGGGTGGATCAGGGGGCAAACTTGATTCGGGACCGTTCAACTATACTATGAATGCTCAAACCACCTGGTTGGAACAAGATCTGGCGGCTGTAGATCGGACGAAGACGCCATGGATCATTGTCGCGGGACACAGACCATGGTACCTGTCATATGCGAACGTGTCGAAGACCATTTGCTGGACCTGCAAGGATGTCTTTGAGCCACTTCTCATTCAATACGGCGTTGACTTGGTTATCACAGGACATGCACACTTCTACGAGCGAAACGCTCCTATCGCAAATGAAGTGATTGATCCCAATGAGCTGAATAACCCTTCAGCGCCGTGGTACAGTATGTTTTCCCTCTCTTTTCCTACGCTCAAACCAGTTTTTACTGACATCATACCTTTCAGTCACCAATGGAGCAGCTGGCCATTACGATGGTCTCAACGCTATGGCCGTCCCATTCAAACCATACCATCGCTTCGGTCTCGATACCCACAATGCCACATACGGATGGTCGCAGCTCACTTTCCACAATTGCACACATATGACGCACGACTTTATCGCCTCGAAGAATGGCTCAGTCCTGGATACGGCCACTTTGTACAAAAGCAGGAATTGCTCGGTCACACCATCGAAGAGGAGTGTTCCTGTTGAGGATCTCTGATTCCAAGTCAAAGCCCCTGAAACCACTGAAACGGCCAAACTCCTTTGCGCATAAACAGACCGCTCACATGTTCGATGTCTAAGCTTCGCACACTTGGAGATCTGTTTCGCTAACAATTAGCATAGGTTTCAGATCCCCGGAAATGTGATTTAAGTTCCACTAAACATGAAAATCACAGAGCTTTATTCAACTTGGTCAACTAGCCCAAATAATACAAGTCTTAATATAAGCTTTCTACTCCTTAGATTAGTAGACAACTAATTAAATTTAACTCTTAATTCTATAAGTTATATAACTTTAATTATACTTACAATTCTATTAATAATATAGTTGTAACCGTAATAGCTATAAGCTTAGTTTATATATTTTATACTAAGTACTAATAATTAATTATTTAAATACTATTGTATTCTATAAGAAGTTAACAAATAGTATAAAGTTTTAATTATATATTAAAAGTAAAGCAGTAGTTACTAATAATTATAAAATTAATTTAAAGAGATAAATTAAAGTTATAATTAAGTTCTTTAATTAAGGTAAGTATTTATCTTGATGAGAAGACGCACATGTCCGTCGCACGTGTCCCGTATGCAGGTGTGCCTGCAGCCACATGGCAGCAGTCCAGGCAACAACAACTCTCCACCCAGCGCCTCGTCAAACTCTAGATTATGACAGAAACCAAGCAAGCATCAACCATCGAGCGTCGAGCGTCGAGCACCGCGGCGCGCGTCATTGAAGCCGACCGTCAACGGCCAACCTCGTGGTATCCCCGAAACCACTGGGGGATATACTATGGAGTCAAGCACCCACAGCGGATTCCCGCACATTAATATCGGCCGAATGTTTGAACCTCGTCCAGAAGCTGCGCGCCCAACTCGCTGGCGGCCGAGTACAACAGATGCGCCCAAATTACGACGAAGCCTCACCATTCCCTTGGCAGCAGCCACCGAACGGATAACCCACGATCAGTTCCAAACCCTCTTTTTCCGACTCCCATATGAGATTCGAATGGTTATTTACCAGATGGTGATCGATGCATGGCACGACTGCTGGGGCGACAAAATCCATATCGTCAAAGGCGCCAACCTGAGACTGCCCGTCTCCTCTAACTTAGGCAGCCAGGACCTTCTAGGCGTGCCGTGTAGGATTCAACCTCATGACTACGCATCTAGGCGTGGGATGACCAGTCCAATACTCTGGCCCATTTGGCATGACCGGTGCAAAATCGGTTGGAGGGATCCGCCTCCACCGGCGACGCCCTGGAATTACTGGATCGGCCAACGAGTGACCACCAGCTTGAGTTTGTTCTTGACCTGTCGCCGGATGTAAGTTTAAGAGTATATCTATCATATCCACCTCACTAGATGTTGGAACTGCAGGTCTAGATTCGCCAGTGGTCTAACATCTCCTGACGGGTTATAGATACTCGGAAGCCATCGATTTGCTATACTCATCTTTCTCATTTGATCTCCTCATGATAGCAGCCGCCCACCACTTCCTCTCCGCAATGCCTTCACAAAGACTGCATCATATCAAATGCCTCAGTCTCATGGTCCGCCCATCTTTGCCGCCGGAAATAAACCCTACTAGAGGAGAACCTGAAGGACCAGAAACGTGGCAACAAATATGCCGAATAATCAAAAGTATGGAAGGGCTGCAAGAACTGCGCATCAGTATCTTCAATCCATGCATGCATTACCGCGAGAGCGAGCTGCTACACCCACTCCTGGGCACCAAGGTTCAAAACGCAAATTTCGTTGTCGAGATGTCTTGGGCAACTGACAAAACCATAGCTGACACAGAGGCATGGGGAGCTGCCCTAGTTGAACCCGTTCCGTTTACCATCGTGAGAAGGGGCCCAAGCATCGAGGACCATGAGATTGAACCTGTTAATTTGTCTGGTTATACCAGACCTAGGTGGAGACGAGTCCTCTCAAATATACTGTGGTGTCCCGTGATGGCACCCCTAGAGCTGTTGTTAATTGTGCTGACCAAAATCGTTGATTATAAGGAATCCCGTAATATTAGGCGGAACCGAGATGGGTAGAGAAAGGGGGGTTTAATTTGTGGTGTGTTTTCTGCTCTTCCTTCCGTCCTAAACAGGAGTGGAATCCTCGGGCTTTGGGATTTTGTTTTGATGATGTGCGGATAGGATCATTGCGCAAAGCATTGGAAAGAGATACTAGATTCATTTCAACTACCAACAGTCGCACCAAGGCATGTATGTACTAGTAAAAGATATCCTATCCCCATTTCAGCGAGTCCTGTTTATTTAATACAGAACCTCAGATTTCCTTCCCAGTAGTTGCAAGCGCTTTACACCAGAGGGCCAAGGGGACGAGGATGAGCGAATCAATAATCCTTCTATCGATGATCCATCTTCATGACGAGGCTAGCAGCATATCTTACCACCCAGACACATTCTCTGTGAGTTTTATCGTTTGACGGACTTTTTACCACGAAATATACTTTCCAGAGCAGAGAAGTAGCTTATTTTAAAACGCGAATTGATGAATCAAGATATCTCCTTGGCAACTTAGCCTCCATAATGTAACTACAAGACGAACAACGCCTTGGTATTAAATTACAGCAATCCACAACCAGACAACCCAAACCCAACACCCTCACCCATCTCCTCAACACCACCCATCACTCACTCAAACCCTCCCCATAATCACCAAAAACCCATCACCTTCACACCACCGTACTATTCTCATAATGCCCGCCAACGACCTCTTTCCCATTCCCGTCGCCATCCACCCTCTCAACTCCTACCCCATTATCCCTAGCAGCAAACCCCTTCTCATGCAGCGCAATCTTCCTCTCTCTCTCCCTGTTCGCGTCGCGCTTATTCTTGAAATACATTGCCGTGGCGAATACACCGAGCGAGACGATCATGGCGCCGACGAAGCCGAAGAGGACGCCGAATTCGTGGTTGAGTTTGGACACCATGGTTTCTTTTTGTTGTTTGGTTGTTTTTCTGGGTAGGGTAGTTTGTAGGTATGTAAGTTTGGTGGAAGTTAGAGCGTGGGATTCTGTCAGATGGGTATCGTTAGTTAGGTGGTTTCAGTGTATGCGTTATTGGATGTATGCATGGCATACCTTCAATTCAGCAATCGCACACCACTTCCACTAATAATATATTTTATCTTTATTTCCTCACGCAGCAGCAGCAGCAGAGGATTATCTGTGTCGCAAGAACCACCATCTATCTACCTACCTATCTACCTTATCTATCCTTCCATAAGCAAGATCTCCGCAATCCATCATACAGCTTATCCAGCTAACTATCGCAGTTGTCGGAATGATGTAATTTTCGCAGCCCTTGTGGTGATGATCTGCTGCTTTGTTTCGATTCGTACGATTATTGGTCGCGGGCGTGGTGTAAAGGGGGTGTGGGAGTGCGATGCCAGGGGTAGGCGTTGGCTCGCTTGGCGGTGGTCGGCGGTGATGAGATCATGGGTGTAGAGGGGGGGAATGCTGCGTGACTTCATCGCATAGCGAGTTGGGTACGGAGGTATCTAAGTACAGAGGTATAGGCGAGGTAGGTGGTTATTGAGAGTTAAGGTATAGTTTAAACTGTATTACATAGGCTGTCTTTGTTTAAAAATTAAATTTTTGGGGGGCTTATTAAGTTTAATGCTTTTAAAGTAGAAAACGAAGTGCAAATAAACTAAAAGTTAGTAGTTTTATAATTATCTTATAAATTTACAACATATTATACTTACTTATTTTGTGTTCTTTTAGTTTAATATTATTACTTATCTTAGGCTCTTTTGTTATAATCTATGTCTAAGTACTGTAGTTCACGCTGCGAATTCGGCTGGTTTGTTCACTGTTTTACGCAGCTTTGACTGCTGTCTCAACTAGCTGTGGCTTGCTTATCAAACTATTGCGTAAATAGGCAGTTACTATGTTGTGCCGTACGAGACCAGCTCAGCTCAAATCCAGGATTCCTTAACCCTGTGTCCTCCCGAAGCTGCCACAATCTCTCGATATAGCGGCTAAGGTGTGCGATATTCGCCCGTAGTTTCAGACGACGAGCATGATGGTGGGATTAGGTCCGGTAGCGAGGAAGGTCAATGATCTTCTTTGCGCTACCTATAGTGTAGCTGTTCCTCTGCCTCTAGGAAGGGATTTATGTCGAAGGAGAGGGTAAGGCGCCTGTCACGACCTTAGCGTTTTGCCAAAAACTGCACCGTGAAACTCGAAACTGCCCGAAATGGTAGGAATCGCGAATGTAAAAACTCATTCCGTTTAGGAAAAGCGTAAGAAATAAGAAGACTATTTTCATAAGCTCCAGTAAACGCCTATAGGCTCCTGTTATGGCCAAGTTAGGGCTGGTATAGAAATAGTGGAGACTTACGAGAGAAGAAAGAGGTTATGTAGAATGTAGAATATACTTCTTCCTAGAGGGACCGACAGTGTGCGTGCTGTCAACATTATTATTATCCGGCCGGTGGATTTAGGATTTATCTTAATGGGCGGGTACTATGTTGAGGATCTAATGGATGGCATCGATCTGCGTTCCCCCACTAGAGAGAGCTTCCACGTCTTCGTATGTTACATAACGCCGTGACTGACACCGACTGGAGTTGCTCTCCTGTTGGCCCGGTTGTTGTAATGCCCGAGGGTTAAAGAATCGTCTCTAAAGGACCGCGAGATGCCGTCTTTAAGAAGAAAATGTGAATAGTGACCTAGAGGGGCTGACCTATTCCAGACAGGAATACTGTGCTAGTTCTGCTCAGCGGTGAGTATATGCGACGAGCTCGATGTCTGACATCTCCTTTTCTGTCTTTGCTTCTCTCCTCCAGAAATTACTATTCCAGAAATTGGTAAATGTAAAATATGTATAGCGTTCAACTCGGTCAACTATAGTTCCTCGGAGTGTTAGCCGTCGCTCGTTCTCGCTATCTTTCAGCTATGCAGGTCGGCCTAGGGAGGTTGAGAAGCTGGAGATCGGAACTTCGGAAGGGAAGATTTGAAAGTCTGAGTTCGGAAGAAGTCCCATTAAAGTACCTATGATGGGCTTGCGAAATACCTTCCCGAAGGCTCCATGGGACTACATATAGGTTCGGTTAGGGCCATTAAACATCGAAAAAGATTAATAGAGAATGTGAAGAGTTGATGGCGCTCCTTGAAATAAACATATTAACCTCTATAACTGACCTATAATCGGGAACGGTGTTATTTTTGACGCTATTGATAGTTGTGAGGCCCCAAAGTCCGAAAAGTCCGATCTCTCCTATCGTTGCACTGTATTTTGTCGGGTTAACTTGAGGAGTTTACAGAACATCAAGCAAAGAGGCGTGGAGTATGCCCAGGACCGAGATGGACGGTAGATAAAGGAGGCATTGCTCACTCTAGTAGGAGCCCTGTGGGATGCCTTTAGATTGGAGGTCCCTCGGGCAGGCCGGAGAGGGGGAAGCCCCTTCCTTGTCCGATGCTGCAATTTAATTGTAGTTCGTTCATATTATGGCCGCAGAAATCCCGATTCATTCCAAATATTCTCATAATTGTCCTAGAGAACGAGAGCCGTACGAGGAAGCGCGGCATCTTGGGTTACTCAGACTCGAGAAAACCGTCGGCACTTGTAAAGGCTCATGTGCCACATCTCTCTCCAGTGTCGAGGTGAGCAGCTCAGGCTCGTGTTTCAGTCTGGTATCTGCTTATGCCGGGAGAATGCGTGGCTGGAAGGATATGAGTATTACCAATTGACTTCTTTCTCCACGTGTTAACTATAGAACAAACGCCGGAAAAGGCTTGATAAGAACTGCCGAGGTGCACAGATCGGCCTAGCAGGTAAGCCTCAGAAGGGTGATCACCCAGCCAGGTCAGGATGCGGACGGCTTTGTCGAAGGTCAAGCCTATCGGTGATATTTGGTCTTCCCCACAATATTGTCCCGACTGATACATATTGATCGACCTATGCGAAAGAGGCCTGCAAGTGGAGCTATTGACAAGGGTAGGGTTCAAGACCAACCTCTATCTAATAATATATCAAATGGTGACTTAATATGTTCTAGTCCAACACAAATCCTGCCCATTCGCGAATAGCCTATTTGTGTGTGGTCAGGAAAATAAGTATTATCTTCGGCATTCTAAAGTCAACTCCCGACTACTACTACAAATTAACCAGTTCATTAAAACAAGGATTTCTTCAAATCCCGACGTTCTAGTTGGCTCCCTTTCGTCAGATGATGAAAACAACCCGCGAAATTAATTCAATGGGGTTTGCGATCACCAGAAGGTCTCCAAGCCCCACATTCACGACTTAATTTACAAACCATGTTTAGGATCAGTCAAAAGTCCCGACTTTGATTTAAGAAGCAAGCAGGATCTCCACACTGTGGAATCGTCGCATTAACTTCGAAACTTCACGCAAAGCTCTTCGCCATGTTTTGGAACACACTTGCCGCCGTTGCGCTTTTGGGGCAGTCTGCCTCTGCGCAGAACATGCTCCGTTTTGGCTGCTCGCAACTCACCACCGAGCGTGCTGACCCTCTCGTCAACCCGGGGCAAATTCCTTCCCCTCATACTCATCAGATTATCGGAGGCAATAGCTTTAATATTACGGTAATGCACACAAATTTCGTTTAGAACTACCACTAATATGGCTCAGATGGACCCATCAAACCACGATCTAGCTGCCCAGTCTACCTGCACATCTTGCACATATTCCGAGGACTTCAGCAACTACTGGACCGCCTCTTTGTACTTTAAGTCGCCCGAAAATGGCACCTTCCAGCGCGTTCCCCAGTTTGCCAATGTTGGCCTTCAGCAGGACGGAGGAATGACGGTGTACTACATGCCTTACAGCGCCAAAAATAACAAAGTGACGGCATTCAAGCCCGGCTTCCGAATGCTAGCAGGAGATCCAATGACCAAGAAAAACAACAGAATCTCGATCTGTCACCGCTGCCTCGGAAACGGCGAAGGCTTCGCACCATGCGATGCTAAGGACACTGGTGAGCTCCCAAACAAGTATTGCCCTAAAGGTATCCGAGCCACTATCATCTTTCCATCATGCTGGGATGGAAAGAGTCTCGATTCCCCAGACCATAAGAGCCACGTTGCCTACTCCAATAGTGGTGGCCTCGGTAGCCCATCGTGCCCTTCGACCCATCCCGTTGCTATTCCCCAGGTCATGTACGAGATCATGTGGGACACTGGAAGATATCAGAACAGCGCTTGGTACGGTACCAATAAGCAGCCGTTCGTTTACAGCTTCGGCGACGGGTAAGTCTGGGTCTATGGATAGGTCACCAAGTTACTGATATTGATGAAATGATAGGACTGGATACGGCCAGCATGGTGACTACCTCTTTGGATGGAAGGACGACTCGCTTCAGAAGGCCATGGACGCTCTACCAACCGGCAAGTGCGCCAACGCCAACTGCAGCGTTCTTAAGGTACAGTCCGCTCAAGACGCTATGAAGTGCAAGAATTCTCAACAAGTAGTCGAAGACGTTGGTGCGAGCGGAAAGTGGATTAAGGAGCTTCCAGGAGGCGTTGCGGTTACCTACGCATAATATAAAATCGTAGACAGCGCCGGATTTTGAGGACTGGTTGCCTCAGGGAAAGTTGATTGACTGGGGGGAAGAGTGGCCATTTTGTGTATCTAATTCTCTATTATTGAAGTTTATACTGTAATTTCCGTGGATGGTGAAGATGTGAAAACGTGACGGCTTGATGGTTAGATCGCGAGTCTCAAGTAAAGTACCGTCCGCAGGGATCCATCACTCAAGCCAACGCATTCGGCAGGTGGACTCGGGCGGTTGAAATAAGCTCCTGCAGCATTTGCGGGGCCCCACAAACCATTCTACCGGTTTGCAGGTAAGGCGAAAGCGTGTACAGGTTCTTGCTGCTCCAAATCCTAGTTTAGGTTGTCATTCTCTTTGACTTTTCAGGTTGCCAAGATTACTTAGACGAACGTTGTCATCTGGACAAGCTTTCAAAAGCTTCAAGCTCGTTTATTTGCCTAGGCAGTCTAACTCAGCTAACGTAGGCCACTTTTTGCTGACTTTCGTAGAGCCGAGAGCCATTGCTGAGGTTGAACTTCGGCTGGCCCGTGCACGTAGCTTACCCGAAGCCGGGACACTAAACTAAGAGGGGCCGTAGTCTATATGATACTGGCACTTGCACTACGTATACTACGATAATATAATATGTCGGAAACAATAGAGGGCAAAACCTAAGGCGGCAGAGGAAATGAAGGGGTTATTAATTCCAAACCGGCTCCAACTGACGCAGGCGGCAGACAATGAAATAATAAGCAAGCTTGTCAAATGGCTGTCCGAGGTGTTGGATTCCGAATAGTCACTGACAGACGGTAATGAAGGCTGCCGACAGATTCACCCCAACACAAGCTCCACTGGATCCTCCTCTCTATACTTCTCCCACATGCTTGCCAGTACTCGACCAGCTGCTTGCCGGTAAGCAACGCCGTTATCCCACTTAATCCAGAGCACAAAGTAGCAGTCCTCTTTGTTCTCCTTCCAATATTCGGGCCTCTCATCGTCTGAGTCAAGATGAGCACCCCAAGACCCATCCGATCCCGAATCTTCTCTATCGGAATCTTCGGCATCGGGTGGTTCGGTGGCTTTCTTGCTACCGGCATCTGCGCCGCTGTGCTGCCCCGTTTTAGATATTCCTTCGGCAGAGCCTTCTTCTCCTGCCTCCTTCGATGAGCCTAACCCTTTGTTATTAGAGGATAATACAGGCTTGTCTCCATCGATACTCGTGCGGTCGGAGGCCTCGATATGCTCTCTATCGTGAGCCGCAGATTCTGCAGCTACAGTTTCTAAATCGTGACTTCCTTGGCTTTTGGATTCGCTCGGTGGATCACCCTGTAGCGTCTCGGTCCAGCCCTTGGCAATCGCGACAAGCTCGATCCGGAGAGGTTGCGGATTCGCAGTAAACAATCTCCTGTCTTCTTCCCGATGAAGGAATAGTACCCCGGCTAAGTCTCCTTGTCTGTTTTCAATCCGCACATTCTCCTTGTACGGCATGTGGACTAAGCCATGGCCTACAAAGAGAAACGTGCGAGTCGTTAGACAATAGAGATACTGCGTCTGCTTGTTGAGTTCTGGGGTCTCGTCAAATTTTAGTATCGGCACTGGGTACCAGAATTTACGTTCGGGGTTTGAGCTGTGCGTGTAGCAAAATTGTGGCAAATCTTTTGGGAGGTGTGGCACACGAAATTTATCCCGCCGCTTTAGCCACTTTGGAGGCTCATACTCGCCTCGATTCCAGCCTTCGAGGAGTCGCCCAGAGCCGCCTTGGGCAGATTTTTTATAGTCGAACCATTGAGATTCGATTCTCCTCCGCGGGAGAGACAATGGCGATGCCATAGTGAACCACGTCGTGACAGGCGCTAGGAATCCGTACTTATCCCCATTGGACGTGTGAAACTCGAGGTCCCAAGGAAAGCACGTGTTGCCATGCCACCCCATCCATGACCAACTCGGCAGACCATTCTTAGAAGGATCCCCCTTGAAATTACTGGAGGGGCGTCTCCTGGTAACGTCATATACATTGTGCCAGGCTAGCGAGATATCAAAGAAGAACTCCGGGTGACCGAAAATAAGGCCTCCGGGATAGATTCTGTGCAGCATGGATTGGATCCCGGAAAATGCTGGAAGGACATCTTCCGGATACGTTAGGACCTTTTGGTTAAATTCCCGGACGACGTCGGTGAGGTCCGAAAGGTTGGGAATCCGTGTCTTCATCCACCGTGCTGCATACCATAATTCCGGTGCTACTGCGCCGTATATATCAGCTACTGCGTGGGACTTCAACTCTTCGTGCCATCCGGCACAATTACAATTCCACCTAATCGGTCCGTCGTCGAATATGAGTCGTCGTTTAGCGAACATGAATTCCTGAAACGTCCATGCTCGTTCACTGTACGAGCGGCCCGGAATGGAGGGCGACGGCTCGTTGTAACAGCTACCTGGGCCAGTCAATCTCCCAGTCAATCTCTCGCCTTCAGCAAGATCTATAATAAGCTGGTCGGAACACCTCGGTGCTGAAACCCCCTTAATGCCCCGGAGCCCGAACTCTGCGTCGTGACCAGCCTTGGCGATGACGCAGAGTAACGAGTTGGCAAATATCATATGCATATTTTTTAGAGATCGATAGAGGGCTGTCTCGTCGTCTTGCACAATGCATAAGCTGTCAACCCAGAGGTATCTTTCCCCTAAACATTTTGTAATCCCCAAAGCATTGCGGATAGTCTCGGGAATCATGCTTGCAAACCCCCTCCCTGGGTCCAAGGCCCCCGGTTTGCGCAACTCATCGAAGATGTGCGTCGTGGCCCTTAGATTCGGCGTCTGGCCCCAGGTATAGGAAAGGGAGAGGTACTTCTTTGTCTCGCTGCTGTAAGGCACGATACATCCCTGAACGATGTCTATAAGCCAATCTGGCTTCGCAGGCTCTACACCTTTGATCCACGCGGGTTGCTCACACTTAAGGCGGTGTTCTTTGACACAGCGGGAATACCAGGTACGGACGACATCAAGATCCACCCATTCCGGATCAAGGATTCTTGATCTTCCTAAATTTCCAGGCTGGCTGTCTCGAGAAACAAGCTCAAAAGGTTGGGTTGTACTCCACGTGGACGCTGTCCGGCTCCGGTAGCTGACTCCTAGGAAAATGGCCGTATTATTCTCGTGCCTCCAGGCTGTGAGCTCGCGGCGTCCATAGCGCGGGACAGGGCCATACATGTATTTGACGTTCCGGACCCAGTTGGCATGGGGACATTCGCTAGCTAAGACATCAGAAACTTTCCCGAGCTTCACCTCGGCGTTGACTTCGAACGGCATTTTATATAGGGCGAGGAGCTTGGCGCAGACTTGGCATGTTGTGGTATCGTCTATCCCGGAAAGATCCACCTCGGCAAGCTGGAGCTCCATGATGTCTGTGATTGTAAAATTTAACAGAGCGAGCCTCGTCGAGGATAAAATTTAAGTGCTGTTCACAGCCGTAGCTGTACACTTGAGCACGCAGCGCAAGCCAGGATCGATGCTCGAGCAGTAGATTGAGGGTTTTGGTTCTATTTACTGGCCATACTGCCATGGCTTTCAGCTTCGGCAAGATCGACAACGAGGGTTCCTGGACTGCTCGTAGCCAAGGCGGCAGGCGAGAGCGGGAGTAGACCGAGCAGAGGGAGGTGTTGGGAAAGAAGTGAAAGAGGAAATATAGTCGACCAGCGGGGCATGCGCGGTCTTTAAAATAGAGCTCGTAAGCGGCGACAGGGCCGTGCACGTGCCTTACCCCTGAAGGTGAGAGGCGGTATTCCCGGGTGGACCAACCGCAATACTAAGATAATAGTCAGAATCTAGATAAACGGATAATTATAGATGTTTAAGCTTGTTGAAAGATACTAAAGGTGACATGAAGTATAGACTATATATGTACAACGGTGTGCCCCCACGCCCCTGGAAAGGTACAACAAGGATGGTCTGCAAGAACATATCGCTAAACGAAGTCACCACAGAGGAGTTGAGTGAGTAGAAATCCCAGTGTGCCAGGCACGATTGCGGTAAGGTAAGTTATAGGTTGCAGGGTGGTAAATCTATCGAGACCCTACAGCCAAAAAGCACCGAAATACTGCGATGGTGCCTGCCCGTGTTGGGTTTGCATGAGGCTCTAAAAGGCTCGAGAAACACGGCGCACCAACAGGCCGAAGGCGTTCATGAGAAATAGGAAAATGTGTACGTACTATATGTGACCATAACAGCAATACGATGAGAGCCCGACATGGCGGATATATAGCAGTGTTTCTGAACAAACACACTATGCTAGATCATGATGACGGGTTCATCTGTTGGAAACTGGTTTCTCTAGCCCACGGTTCAACATCATTGTTCAACCAGGATAGTTCTTCGTATGTTGGCTCCAGTCCCTGGCCAGGAAAATCATAACCCAGCATCAAATCCGAAAATCCTGTCATGTGTAAGCCAACACTTTCCCTCAACTACGCCAAAGGAAGATAACTGGCACAGTACCGGTCGCGAGGGCGGAACTAACCTGGAAAGTATGGAGCGACTACAGGCCTAGGGTAAGGGCCCGATAGCACGCGTGTAGACCGGAAGGGGTCTGAATTGGCCTCGGAATCACCAAGAACATAGCGCAGAGCCGCGGCAGCTTTCCGAGCTTCTCTAGAGGCGTCGCTTTCCCGGAGCCAGATAATCAGGGATGCTCCCAAGAGCTGTTTGATCTTGTCAATTCCCACTGGAGTGGCTTTGGTGTCTCCCGAGCTGATATGTTGTTCTCTTTGGTCCTCTGCGTGGACCTGGAGATAAAAGCATAGGATACTGGTGGCTAGGAGGAAGTCGTGGATGAACGCCGAAGTTACCCTCCAGCGGCTTTGGTACAATCGGCCATCTAGCTGAGTCTCCTCGTCGACAAGGTGCTGGAGTTCGAGGATTTTTATAGCAGCAGCTCGGCAGGTAGATCGGGAGTAGGCATACTGCTGCTGGAGACGAGACGCCACCAGGAACTTTTTATGCAAGGCGATCTTTAGCCGCTGGACGCATACCTCCAACCAGATCCTCTGAATGATTACCTGCGATGGTACATTGAGGGAGGACGCAAGCCCCTCCCACTTCATGCTCGGTGGTAGGGCATCCCGGGCGTCGTCGATCTGTTTATCGAGTTTTAAAACATGAGAATAGGAGTACGGCCGAGGCTCAGTGGCCACATCGGCAACCTCGACCCCGACGGAAAGCAGCCTGAGCTTTGCAAGGGTGTAGAGGGTGGGTGTCACCTCAGTCTCGGGCCGGGAAGGGGGCAACTCAGCCGTATCCTCGTTGAAGTCCGAATCGGCTAGGTTTCGCGGCTCGGCTACATCTGTCTGACTCTCCTTGACAAGTCTAGGCAGCCCCATCTGTGACGAGATGGTAAAGTCTAGCTGAACTATCAATGCCCAGATACGCCTCCGCATCTCGCCTGCGAATGGGGAGATGTTGGGAAAATGCTTAGCATCGCGATGGTAACCCATCTGTATAGCAATCTGGACTATATTGGCCACCAGGACCCGGATGCCAGGCTCGGTGTCTTTCGAGGGGAAAACCTCGACCATGAAATACAGAATCAAAGTCTCCATAACGTAGGGGCCCCCATTTGTGTAGTGACCTAGGATAAGGCACTGTATAATCCGCTCTCGTAACATATCTACCGCCATATAGTTCTCGGGCGCCTGCGACGGTTGTGGAGAGCGCCCGCTGACAAGCAAGGTGTTGGCAGGAGCAAGGAAAAACTGTTGGAACTGTGTCGACAAGCACATCATACCGAGTAGAAGGCCAACCCACATGATTGGTACTGCCTGCGGACACTTCCAGAATTCCTCATACTGTTTCCTGGCATCAGCACCAGTCGAGAGAAGAGGTAGGGCAATATGGAAAAGGAAAAGTAAAAGAGGGAGGCACGGGGCAAGGAGGTCAGGTGGGTGGTACCTCACGAAGGAACTTGCCACTGTGTGGAACGCCTGGTGTCCGGTTAGTCAGAAGGAAAATAACGGAGCTTTTCGGAGCACAAGTGAGGTTCCATACCTGAAGTCATGTCCAGGACGTTAAAGTAACGGGAGACCAATCGATCCACAACGGGGCGGGGTGGGAGAGACTCAAGAATCGAAGCTGGGGTTACATGCATGGGGCAGCCGCTATAAAGCAGCTGGGGACTAGGAAAGTTGGCCTGCAGCTGGACGGTGTCAGAGGTAATCGTGTTGGATTCGTCCTCCTGCTCGAAATGATCCCTTAGTTCGGCGATACTGTCGAGCACGGCTGCCCAATGTGCGCTGCTAACATAGCTGACGCTCGATTCCCGAATCCTGATGCTACCATAGTCAGGCGGGAATGGTGATACTTCGTGCTGGACCTGCTCAGTACTCGCCGCTCTGGGCCGCTCTGAATCATTTCCCGATGCAGGGAGGGAGAGGTCTCCGCGAGGGCCATTGTCTGGCGGGATCGGCGGAAGGTCTGTTGGGTAACCCGGATCCGACGGTGATTTATGGGGGGTTGGGACCGTCTGCTGCATGAGACTCACGACCAGATTCTCGAGCCGGTTGATGCGGTCCTGCACCTGGGTGCTATGAGGCCGTCCTGGAAGCATCACTTGGGTGGTGGTGTAAGCGCAGGAGGTACCTAGTCCCCTACTCGAGCAGTTACTACACGGGTGTAGACGGTCGCATCGTACTCTGGCGGCCTAGATTAGCTTGCCAGTGACAGTGTTCCACCGAACAAGACGGCAGAGAGGATGATGGAGCATAGTTTCTCCAAAGAAGTTGAGCGAGTGCCGAGTGAGGCCACTGAGACCACTTACTTCCGCCTCCGACATGCATTGCAGCTGAGCTGCGGTTTGTCTCGACGCCTGGCAGTCGCCGCCCCTGGTGTCGACTCTCGTGTCGGTCTCTGTGTGCAGCAGGTGACATCGGCGCCTGACATGGTGGTGATAGTGATGGTAAAATTCTGGTGCGAGCCGTTCCCGCTGGTCGGCTGGAGTGGGACCCAGGTATCTTCCTAAATACCTAGAGGACCGAACGAGAGGATGCCTATTCAGTGCATAAAAGAGAGGCTTGATGGTTCTCGCAATAGAGGAAAGGATCTACTCTATATGCGTCAAAATGAGTGACTGAGTCCCGAAAGGGTGAATCGGTATGTCCGCGGACGGTCGTCTTGCTCCAAATCCTTTCGGGCACAGAGAATGTGGGCAACAAAGAGTCACTGAAGTAGAGGTTGTTAAATGAAACTTTAACAAGTAGTAGCTAAGACATCCCGGGGTACTTATTGGCGCTAGTAGATCTTATCTTATCACCCCATCGGATCTAACAATCCGACCCTCCGAAGCGGATCGACTCGCCGCCTGATCTAAACTGAATTCGATCTAGCACTTCCTACGTCAACGACGTCCTACAAGTGATGATGTATCCTCCGCCTACATTGCTCTCTCGATCATCGACTGCGCTCAACTTTTGACGGTAGGAGGTGCCTGCCGTACTGCCCTCGACGGCAGTGTTCATAGTATAAGTCTGTACGTGTGTATCTCTGCGTGCTTGGGTGGAGGAGTGGCTGATGGCAATGCTCTTGTCCTTGGGTGATTCAGTTGCCAATGCACCGCAGAGGTCGTCTCTCTCGGCCTCGGGGGTGGCCGGCTGGGAATAGTCTCCAGGCTCGGCCAGTGAATAGTTTCCGCGGGGCTCGGATAGTCATCTCGCTGTAGCCCGTTTTAATCCGTGGAAATTATATATGATACCCGAAGAACGTGTTTTTATCTTCACTCCTGTGTTGCTCTCCTCGTTGTATCTCCCTTAACTTCTGCCTCTCTTGAACAACAAACTCAACAGCTCCATTATCCTACCATCGCCTTACTAGTGTAGGTGTCTAGTCCTTGGTCATATCTTCCGTTGGCATTCAACTTTCTATTTTAGTCTACTTTGACAGCGCAGCCAGCGCTTGGAATCAATATCCATAATTTACTCACGACACTCGCTCTGCAACTTGTCCTCCGACTGTCAGCCTCCTCTCAGACCCCTTATTTTGGAAGTAGTTCCGGTTGCCTTCGCCATGCCGTCCCTAGGTGAGCGGAAGCTGAAGGCTAGCCCATTCTTAACTGACACCGCCCGCGATGGCCTGGAATCTGTGGGGAGGACCGAGATAGGCGGCGGGGAGGAAGAGAAGACTAGTCAGCCCGCGCCGGAAGCCGAAGATCCTATCATTGTCGATTGGGACGGTCCTGCAGATCGTGCGAACCCCCGAAACTGGACGAGGGGAGCCAAACTAATGCATGTCCTTCTCGTCAGCTCCTTTACACTATACTCGTAAGTCTCCCATATCAAGGCGGACGTCGGGAGACGTCTGATGAAACGGACAGGAACCTGGCCGCAGTTATGTTCGCTCCTGGAGCCCAAATCCTCGTCACCAAATTTGGCATTACCAGCAGCATCGTTGCTTCCCTAACCGTCAGCATTTACATCCTAGGATTTGCTGTCGGCCCCCTTGTCCTTGCCTCCATGTCAGAGACCTACGGTCGGCTAATGATCTACCACATTTGCAATGCGGTGTATATGGCCTTCACCATCGGCTGTGCACTAAGCACCGATACGGCCATGTTTCTAGTATTTCGCTTCATCTGTGGGTGTGCCGCTTCCTCCCCGCTGTCCATAGGAGGGGGGACCATTGCGGACCTGCATACCGAGGCTGAGCGTGGAAAGGCGATGGCATTATTTGGCCTCGGTCCACTTCTAGGTCCGGTGAATGTCAATTTTCTATCATTCAAACATTGAATTCTTTCCTAATAGCCACGCAGGTAATCGGTCCCGTGGTGGGCGGATTTGTCACGGAGAATCTCGGCTGGCGCTGGACTTTCTGGTTGATTTTGATTCTGGTAAGCCCAAACCTCATATCAGCACATTTGGATTATCTAATACGAGTTTCCCCAGTCGGGCGTCGTGTCTCTGCTCGCTATCGTGTTGATGCGGGAGACTTACGAGCCCGTTCTCCTCGAGCGCAAGGCTGTCCAATTATGCAAGGTGACGGGGAACGGCAACATCCGGGCTCGGACCTACAACAAAGACCTTACTCCACCGCAGCTCCTGACACGCGCGATCATACGCCCAACCAAGATGCTCCTCTTCTCGCCCATCGTCCTCTTACTCTCTATTTACTGTGCGTTCATGTTTGGCCTCATTTACCTCCTGTTCACTACCTTCCCCGCCGTGTTTGAAGAGACGTACGGCTTCGGTCCCAGCATCGCAGGGCTTGCATACCTCGGACTCGGACTAGGTATGATATTTAGCATTGGCCTCTTTTCCGTACTGAGCGACAAGCTCCTTCACCAGCCAAGGGGAGGAACTATTGGACGGCCTGAGCTTCGATTTCTCCTAATGATGTGGTCGTCTCCGATGGTCCCTATCGGCTTCTTTTGGTACGGGTGGAGCGCCAAGTACGAGGTTCATTGGATCGTCCCCATCTTAGGTACCTTTTTTATAGGCCTCAGCTCCTTCTTTATTATGATGCCGGCGCAGATCTACCTCGTGGACGCCTTTGGGTCCGAGGCGGCGGCTTCTGCTCTGGCTGGGAACATCGTCTTTCGTAGCCTATTCGGGGCATTGTTGCCTCTTGCGGGCCCCCATTTATACACGGCTTTGGGACTTGGCTGGGGAAATAGTTTGCTAGCTTTTATTGCTCTAGCGTTTGTGCCCATTCCTTTCTTCTTCTACAAGTACGGGGAGCACTTGAGAACACGGTTTCCGGTGGACTACTGATGATGAGAGATGTTCATGCTTCAGCTTACACATATTTGAAAACGGCGAGGCTAGATAGGGCTATGGAATAACTATTGATTTCTTTGCCCATTTTTCTTTATATATAATCCATATACCGTTATTGACATATATTATATATATGTATGATTTAACAAGATTCGAAAAGATAGTATTCCATATATCAGTCTCGTGCGTGTGGATATTTTGTGTGGCAATCCCGAGTTTGTTTATTGTCAAAGTCTAGATTAAATGATGAATTAGTGCATTTTATCTATCTAATGTAATCTATTCGAACGAGTAGCTTCAAGCATAGCTAGAAAATGAAGGAGATATGAGATTGAGGCGCCATGTATCGAGGTGATTCTCAACCAACTAGAAAGGAAGGTGGCGACATATTGTAGAGAGCTTAGAAAACCTAGGTCGTTCACATTTGTCACCCATAGATTTCATTCACGTGAGATTCTTGGTACAGCAGCTCAACAAACTTGTCAGATATCTAGAGCTAGCCGGGAATCTGGGATGTTTGACAGCTCCTGTATAGACAGTAGGTAGCCAGCAAAAGACTCCACGCCCAAACAAACATAATCTAAAAGTAGTATGTTTCCTAATTCCAATATATAAGGAAGACCGATTGCTTCCACGTTTGTATACTTTATTACTACGTACAAGGCGTCGGATTTGGCTCTCCGCTGCGTTAGACCAAAGTTGGTAAAAGACGTCATCATTACTCCGTATTACAGAAGGCTTGCAGCCTCATAAGGGACTCCCGCTCTGCTCTTCGTTTGTTATGAACCACCTGTTCTTCAAACGTTAGGAGCCTTGTCGGATTTTCAATCTCAATCCCCAGCTTCTTTGTTCTCTCCCTCCTCCACTTTGTTCCCTCTATTCCTCCTCGTTTGCTCTTCCAACATGGTCTTCGTGGCTTGCAATAACTTGTGGTGCACGTATTCGGGGTAATACCTTCGAGCGGGAGGCGGGAGGCGGGAGAGGTGGAGGGCGCGTTGCTGGAAAAGGTGGAGGGACACGAAACTTTTTATCTCTCTGGTTCTCAAAACTATTTGGCGGCGATGCCAGAGGGGGTAGAGGGGGTGGAGGGCCACGAGAAGCGTTATCTCTCCGGTTCTCCACACTCTTTAGCCGCGGTGTTGGAGGAGGTGGAGGGCCACGAGAAATTTTATCTCTCTGGTTCTCAAAACTATTTGGCCGCGGAGCCACAACTTGGGCAGCTTGTTCTTGTTTTATGAAATCTGCAACAAAGTCCTGATGATCACGAATTAGGTCGTCTGTGATGCCCATTTGCTTCAAATCGTCGCCCCATCTTTCCCGCCAATTGGGATCTACAGCTTCTAGCGCTGCAAATTGTGATTGTCCATCAATATATTTTCTCCTTCTCCGAGTTGAACGGTCCTGACCAACGTTGTCCCGGCGCTGATTGCTTGGCTTCATAGAATGATTTCCTGCATCACTCTCGCCTGTAATTCTCATCATATGTCCCCTCAACGTTGCAAAAATTGTTCTCTTGCCAGTAGGTGTATCTTTATCCCTTGCTACACGATGGTGTGAAGGTTTTATTGCCCTCGAAGGCCGTTTACTTGCATGCCGTCTTGACGATCCCAAGTCCCTATCCGCAGCTTCATAATCTGGCGCTTCAATGTGGACTAATTTGGCTAGTCTTTTAGACTCACTTAGGCGGTGCATCCTTTCTCTATCTTCATCTGAATGCTCCACTAGGACCGAGCTCGTCTTAGATGATGGCAGACGGCTTGTCGAACTAACAGGGTTCCGGTTAGCCATTCCTTCACGAGCTCCCCTCTCAGAGGTCCCTGGGGACAAAGATCCGCTGGAGCTATCTCCATGAGTCTCTTTCCCCTCTTCCAAACTATCAGCATATCCTTGCTGGGAAACGGAATCATCTGCGTCCACCTCCTGCAGCTCCCTTAAATCGGCTTCGTTGTTCACCACCCAGTTGAGCAGCTCCTTAATTCTGACTTTGTTCTTGTCAAAGTCTTCTTTTCCGATACCCTCTAATATCAAATCTCGTTCGATCTGCTCCCACGAAACAGGATCGTTTGTTTCATGTGCTGAAACAATGGTCTGCGCTTTGTAGCCCCCTCTCTCCTCGCGAAGAGACTCGCGAAGCAGTACTTCGATTTGGCCTAGAACCGGCTCCATCCGTCCCAAAGCAGATAGTGTAAGGCTTCCAACAAACATATTGATAACATTGAGATGGAAGTTCAACTTTCCCCTCAACTCTCCAAGATTCTCGCCGGCAAATTGAACACGCCGCCATGCCTTCTTTCCCATGTTGTGATACGTCTTGACGAGGCTTCTGAGTTGATCGAGTGTCTCTTCGAGGTTGGAACGTATTTGAAGCCATTCCGGGCGCCTATCAGAGCCTCGTCGGTTGAGAAGCGATTCGGGATTCTGGCTTTGTTGCGACAAGTCAGAAATGGCAATGTGGATTGAACTCAGTTCGAAAGCGATCTCTCGAAACTCATCGGGTGCGTCTTGCAGGCGTTGTAGAGAGTAAGCACGATTTTACCAACCGCGATGAAATCGCCAACCCCAAAGCCGAAGGACATTCTGGCAATCACTGAGGGAAAGCGAGCCGCTCTGCGTTTTTATTGCATCAGACCGTCATCGTGGAGATATCGCATTGCCACTTGGTCCTGAGGTCGTAGGATAACGGTGCTAGGTGATGTCAAGAGGAGATGCTTTATCCTGGGCCCGCAAAGATGATCGGCCGCATATTCACAGCCTCGAAAATCGTGGCTGAGGATTGCAGGTGGCCAATCTATAACCGATACTACATACTGTACATGTACATGTACAGTACTTCGTAAGCCAAATCACATCCCACCTCACCATAAATCCCACCTTTAACGGACACGAGATTACGATAGCACCACGAATTAAAATATAGCCAGAATAGATAAACTAGCTCTATTTGAGGCCGCGATTACATCGATTCGATTATGAGAGATCACGGATGATTCGAAGACAGTGAGAAACGATGATGTTGATCGTACTGACTCATACGACTATTTACAAGTTCATGCATGGCCGCACGAAATCAATACCAATGCAAACAGCTTTATAACACACAATTTGAATAGGCAAATAATTTTAATTTAACAATATTAAACTCTGAAACATAATAAGACTAAAACCGAAATCTCCTCCCGCTACTAGCACCAAAATCAGAATTAGATAATACTTCACCGATCACATCACTCCGTGTTTAATGAACAGCCATATGTTCGACGGCTGTACCTTGAGAAAACCCCTCTAGATGATACAGTGGTTCGAGGTGGGCATTGCGCTGGAAGAAAACATAGCGCTTAATGAACCACGGCAGCCAAGTACGGGTTTGATATGCAGCGTGACGTCTTGTAGGGACGCCAAAAATATAATCCAGCTCTTCGAGTGTACGTTGTCTTGATAGCTAACTGTTAGTACACGCTATCTGTTTAGAATAGTAGAATGCAAAATAACTTACTTTGTTTCCGGTAAGAAGAAGAAGATGATCACAAAAGCTAACATATTCAAACCAGCGTAGAAACCAAATGCTAGATAATTCATCAGCTGGAGATGTGGAATTTAAAAGAGTTCGCGACGTACCGCCTGTGGGTCCCATGCCACTTAGGATCGACGGGAATGTCAAGCCGAGGATGCTTGAAAGTGTATTATTGATGAAGATAGAGAAGCCGACTCCGATCTCTCGATGAGATAACGGAAAACACTCAGAAGCGTACACATTAGGAACAGGGCCGATACCTAATATAATTAGAGACAAGAGCCGGCAAAGTAGAGAGCAAAACGTACCGGGCGAATACAGTGCTGTGAAAAGGTAGATAAAGAATGCGATGAGTGGTAGACGAGCGCTATTCTCTGTCGGTAGGAGAAAGCAGCATCCGCCAGCAATCAAACACCATGCCATATTTGGGAAGGTAAAGAGTAGGAGATTCCGGCGACCAAACGTATCAATGGTCCAAATGGCGGGGAAGGCAAAGATAAAATTGACAAGACCAAACCCAAAGGAAGAAAGAAGCGTTTGTAGCGTATTCGATCCTGCTTCCTTGAAGATCGTGGACGAGTAGAATGACATAATGTTTATACCCGAGAACTGCTGAGCAATCATTACGATTGCACCGCCAAGATTGGCACGACGAATTCGGGGGATTGTGAATATCTCTTTGGCGCGTCGCAGCAGTGTCGTGCCTCCAAACGCATGTTCCTCCTCGATGACTTGGCAATATGCGTAGTACTACTCCCGTGTCAACAATCGAAGGGATTCAAAATCCCAAATGGACTTACCAGATCTCGAGCGGCAATAACCTCCGAATTCCGCAGCCGACAAAACGATCGGAATGAGTCACTATAGCGATGTTTCTTGAGGAGCCAACGCGGAGATTCTAAATCATGTTAGTCTTAGCGTAAAATAGCTAGAAAGGTTACCATACCGGGGCAAAACCAAATTAGGATCACGATTGGTACTGCTGGAGCGAATGCTGCTGCAAGCTGATATCGCCATGCAAGGTCTCCAACACGATAAAACACGAGATTGGAACAGAAACCGCTATCATCTATTAGCACTATGTTAATGGGGTTATATAGGTGACTTACATAAGGATTCCAAGGGCAACAAAAAGCTGGAAGCTCATCACGAGCCCGCCACGGATGACAGCTGGGACGATCTCAGAAGTCATGATAGGGATGGTAGTTGTCTTGATCCCCATGCCTGTAGTAGTTAGTATCACCTATAGAAAGTACTTGAAATAATCATACCGAATCCCATAAGCAACCGGCAAATTAGCAAGCTCCACCAGTTATGGGTAAATGCTTGTCCGAGTACTGGAAAGATGACGCTACAGAGACCCGTCAGCCATGAAAAAGTGCTTATCAATGCTGTGTGGGACTTACAAGAGGCCAGTAATGAATATCACACCTCTGCGGCCCACCCAATTATTCATTGGATCCGCCACCCATGTACTAGAACAAAATCAGCCCAGACCTGACATTGTTGCATGAGAAAATGAGGGCTGGTACGAGTTGAAAATTGCCATTACAAGCTACGGAAGGGAAGTGAGAGGGTAAATAGAAGAACACGGCCGATGATACCTCATAAGACCGGAGATTCCTGGCCTGAACCGATGTTAGTACCCAGCCTTATCAATGTAGACCCACGGGACTTACGCAGCATTGACGAAACCCACAAGCCAGGTATTATTCTCAATGCCGAACTCCAGTGGAAAGGATAAATTAGCTCCATTTGCCCCCGTATTGTCCCATCCCCTACGCAGAGAGAGTCAGACAGATATTTCACGAAATTTATCACCAAGTTAGAAACGTACTGAATGGCCGAGCCAAGAGAGCAGACTGCAACACTGAAATACAACGCCCAGGGCAAATGCCATTTATCTAGATAAAAATTTAGAGGGGGCATGATAAAACAACGGAGGGCGTCCAACTGACGAGTTTTCTCGCGGCGAATCGGGATCTTATCATCCTCCTCCAGTTCTTCTATATCTTCAAATCCGTCTGGATTTTGGGCAACCAGAGCTCCCTTCTGGAAGACCGATACCTTATCGTCGAGTCCGGCCTTCTTACAGAAAGCGGCGACATCGGCTAGCAGCTCGGGTTTGGGGATTCCGGCCAGGGGATTGCGAATTCTATGGCATTGAACTGTCAGTTACGCTGCTCGCAGAAGATGAAGTACCCAAGCATGACTTACTTTGCATTTACGTTGTTGGCATAATCAGTGCCCACATTGATGTAACTCTCAGCTAAGGCTTTATCTTCGACATGCTGAAAAGTGTCCTTGGTGGTTTTGCTCATGGACGGGGAGGGTGAATGTGACATGGTGGTCTGGTGTTGCGATTGCTTGTGGCACCTGGCTCTCGATTGCAGATCCACGATTCCGAGCGGGCCATCTTATACTTTTTCTTGGTGATGGCGAACATGGTTTCCTGGTTGACTATATCGGAGCATGCCCGAGTAAGTCATAATGACCGTCGTCGTGGTTTGCTATCTGTACACGCAAGGACAGACCTGGGCGCGGGGAAGCGGGGCGCGGGGACCCCAGGTTTTCCCCAGGGCTTTGGTTGGTGTCCCGAGCTAATGGTTGATGGATCATGGATTATGGATAGGAGGCATGGATTACGGGCCATGTATAATTGAGATTAAAACCCGGGCTGCCTGTACAGGACAGCTGTTCCCGCACAGGACACTTATTCGACCTAGTACTTTTTTGTTCTCGATACATGGTTTACAGTATAGTTGTCGGGTATGGGGAAGTACCTCGTGGATATGTGGTGTCGTCATCCCTTCAGCCACGGGACGGCGCTAGCGGCACTGACCTGCGCAGGCAGCTTTGCCGATTTGTGCCCTGTGTGTGTCCAGTGTCAAGATGGGTGGAATTCCCCCCTATCGCCGTTCTCCCCCGCCATCATCCCACTTTGCCCTGCATGTGTACTCTGCCCTGTGTGTGCACGCAGCGATGGCTTCACGTGGTGGTTCTCAGGTACTTGATATAGACCGACCTATACCTATGTATGTACAGTATATAAAGCAGACCTTCGTCAAGCACATCCAGTTCAATCAGCAACCAACCCTCTCATCCATCTTCCCAATCACACAACCAGCCCATCACAATTCACAAGTCACCATTCATAATCCACCATGGGTAGCATTCCCGTTTCCTGGCTCCAGAAGCTCGAGGAGCAACGTAAGTCACAAATGGGCCCCCGTTCTCATTCGGATGAAGAGATTAAATGCTGACTCCCCCATACAGTAAATGTCGATGTCGATTGCATGGACCCCACCTTCGCCAAAAGCCTTCCCTTCACGCCTCACAATCAGACCAGCAACCAGCTGTTGGTGAATGAGCAGATGTCCATCCCCGAGAACAAAGAGCTGTTCCTGAAGGCCGTGAGAGAACGTAAAGACCAAGGGTGGGAGGCGGTTCTCGACCGAATCGTGCGTGTATCTAACTCCGGGGCGAGGAATACAAGAGACTAATCCCGTCCTACACAGAGCGTCCTCCTCTGCGCCGAGAACATCGGAAATATCCAAGGCCGAGTCCTCCTCCAGACATCGCCCTTCCATGCGTACAGCACCGAGAAGGTCGTGGAGCATGCTCGCGCCTACGCCCGCGAGTTTGAGAGCGTGGGAATCTCTAAGGATCGGTTCTGCATCAAGATTCCCTGCACCGGCCCGGCCATGAATGCGGGCCCGATCCTGCTCAAGGAGGGTATTCGAACACTTGGCACTTCGCTGTTTGGACTTCCTCAAGCAATTGCATCAAGCCAGGCGGGGTGTCTATATATTAGTCCCTACTACAACGGTTAGTCTTCAACTCAGGTCGGGAATGCATAGGTTACTAACTGGGTTCGCAATCATAGAGGTCCGCGCCCATGCCGAACTATCCCTCTGGCCAGATGTGGAGGATCCAGCAACACAGCATACAATGTCTGCGCGCATGATACAGATCCTCGAAACGTACAAGCGTCTCTACAAGGAGACCGGCAAGGAACAGCCAATGGTGAAGTCCGCCAGGTAATTACTTGTAATCTTCAATGCTAGCATCATATACTGACACTGTATTAGCTTCATCTCTCCTAAAGAGGCAATGGCCGCTGGTGAAATGGGCTGTCATCACGCGACCATTTCGTCCGACGTACTAACACAGCTGAGCAAGCTCGAGTATGATGGTAGCAAGCAGCCAGGGGAAGGCGTACCGAAGCCCACGCATGCGTACAAGAATGGAGGCGCATACAAGGGCGCAGGCCCACCTCCTGCGCGGCTTTCGAAGGTGGCCAAGACAGACCCGCTGGCCGCAGCAAAATGGGACGGCAAGTTGGCCAGTACCGACATCGACTATCTGGCAAACAATGGATCCGAATTGGAAAAGGCGATCGAAGCAGACCCAGTGACCAAGACGCGCTTATTTGAGGCGCTTGATCTATTCAAAGGGGGTGAGATGAGGAGCAAGGCGGTGATCGAGGAGGCTATGGCGCGGGTGTGAGTCAACATGCTCATTCAGTCTCAGCAAGTCAATTCCGATTTCCTTTATAGAGTAGTCAGCAATAGAGTTAGCATAAAATAGAATGATACATACATCCTGCGCGAAATCATAATCACCATTGAAATTTGAAATGGCTATGGTGCAAAACCATAACTAGTATTTTCGGCCATGGGGGGTTGCTCGCGGAACTGTGATGAGAGGATGTCATTGCTGAAAAATGATTGAGTTGGATCGCAATTACTGTGAAATGCTGGCTCAGAATAGATATTCGGGGGCCATCCATTTGCAGAGAGAAATTGGTCCGGAATATTCCCATTCGCCGCCGCTAGATTTCCAAACAAGGAAGAGCTACCAATAGCTAACGGGTTAGAAGGGTCCAGATCGCCTTGTGGATTAGTCTCGTAGGCGGCATTAGGCGCTAACATATTAAGGGGTGGTTGTATGGCCAAGAAATCGGGCGCCGAGGCCGCAGAGGTTATTAGAGAACTTGTCCCCGGCAATGAGGTATTCAACGGCGAATTTGATAAATCAGTGAATTCGTTATTTCCCTGACCAGCGGGATGATCGCTTTCTCCAGCCTGCTGGTCCTCGGCCTCGTCACCTGGGCCATTGTCACCAAATCCTCCAGGGAAGGTGCCAAATTCTTCCTGCTCTACCCCCAGAAGATTCATGAGCGCATCGCTCACTGGCCGAGGTGGTATTTGCAGCATGTCTGCTGCAGAATTGTCGGGCACCCGGTTGTTGAGTGCTCTGCGAAGCAAATCGTAATCCGCGAGGAGTTTACTCACTTCGCTGGCAGCGGCAAGGCGTATCTCCCGCTGCGTCTTCAGGTAGGAAATGCTTTCGTTGACAATAACAGACTTGGAAAGGCGGCGGGCATGGGCTAGAGATGGAAGCAGGCGCGCCAGGTCCTAAACGCACGCTTAGAAAAAAAAGAACATGTGGTACACCGGCCGGAGCCGCGACTTGCAAAGATTCATGAATTTGAAGATATCCCCGTCTTTCCAATATAACTTATTTGATAGAGATATGGCAGGCTCGCGGTAAATGGCTCGCGGTATATGCTGAGCCCACGAGCAGGGCCGGTTAGGATGTTGTGTTTCTACTTACCAGGAAACTTTGATTAAGCGCCTCGCGCCTTTGCTTTTCAATGGCCCGATGAGAAGCGCGATCCTCCGAGGTGAAAGCTCGAACCCGCTTCTTGGCCTTTCTCTTCCCCTCTGCTGTGGTGTTTGAATGGTCTGAGATGCCAGTTGGGCTAACCATCGTGTTTGCCTTATTAACCGAAGACATTGCGGTGCTTCGCAATTAGTCTGAATGATGCCTATGGAGGCGATGAGGAGGTCTAAGACTGATATGATTTCAATAGATTGTGCTACGTAAAATAGGGTTGTGAGATTGTTGATGGTTGATACTGCAAGATGAGCAAGTCGTCCCCGCACTTGCCCCGTTCGTACTCGTACACTACGAGTACGAGTTACGAGTATGGCTCGGACAACGGCTAAAGGTCGGCTAGTTAAACTGTCGTCGCCTTAGTTAGAAGCCGCTAAGGAAGAACAACAGAATAAAATCATTTTTGTTAGATAGATAGGTAGGTAGATAAGGTAGGCACTCACTCATATGTGCGGCTCACGAGAGGGTGAGGGTATTTATAACGGTTATGTGTTGATGTAGGTAACCTTTCTCATGCACTAGACTTTGGTCGTTAGGGACTTTATATCGACGCAACTCACTCGGTCGATTGTCCAACCCTATCCACTCGAAATTGTATTTCGCGATGCATTCATAACTTTGAAGGACTGTCAGATCTTACAAGCAAATCATTATAAAGTTACGTCATTCAAGCCTTGTTGCTTCTATTCTCTCCATCTTCCAGCCACTTTGTCCAGCGCTCATCTCGGTTCTTCGAGTCATCCCATTTTTCATTTTTGGGCTTTGGCAAATTGTCAGATATAATTTTCCAGCTCCAGAACTCCTTAAGAATCCCGTTATCACCATAAGGCTCCTGCTGAATGAACCTACGCCACCTCTGCACAGTCCTTAGCGCCACCTCCTCCGTTACCGCAAACCATTCCGTATGTTCCGTCTCGGAGCCTTTTTTGCCCCTGCATTTGGTGCATTTCAAGATTTGGTTAAAGTTGCGAAGCTCAGCGTGAACAAGCCGCTCAATCTTCCAGTACAACTTAAGAGGTCTGTCCTCGGGATCTTCAACTCTCGCCAAATCTAATAGCCCGCAGCTTGTTCTAAGACTATTGATTCGGCCGGGAATATCAGCCGATTTACCAATCTTCAACATCGGTGGTCCTTCGGGGAAATTCTGTTGGAAGTATTCTGGCGCTTTTAGGATGTAGACGTGCCCTTCTTTGTCTACACCATCCATGATCTCGCGACGAACGGCGTAATCAATGAAGAGGGGGGTGTTAGGTCGATATACTTTGTTAGTTGATTCAGGCGCCGGAATCTGGCGTTCCGTATTTGGGTTGGATAGAGGTGGAGTTACGGCGGCTAAAGATCTGGCCAATTGGTCTAAACATGTATCATCCTTTGACCTCTGGCGCTGGGGTATCTTCTGAGGTCCCAATCGAGGGTTTCCTGCGCCCACGGGTTCCTTATAAAAACCATCCCAAGACGTCGGGGAGAACGAAGCTGGAACGGAAATAGCTGTCATTTCAGAAACAGTGTCCGTTCTTGCTACCACGTCGCGCGGAACATCAGAGTCTAGCATATGGGGGGTGGATGAGGTGAGAGCTGGCCCTGTTGCAGCTTCTGGCTGGCCATTTACACTTGGTCTCGGTGTATTTGTGATACCTGAGGCCTCGAGGATTAAAGCAGCTGCAGATAATGTCGAACCATTCGGTGTTGATGTGGACGGACTCAAGAGGGAAAGCTGTGCGTTTGGGATTGGAAAGCTAAAATCAAGGGAGGTCCTTTGGGGAGCGGTTGAAGAAATTAAGACTTCCATCGTTTTGGTGCTAGTCGCGCTTGCTTCGTGACCTGGTTGTGTGGCTGTCACTTGAGCATCAGCAACGACAAAACTAGGTTGTGGGGGATTGCTTCTCCGTCTGGCGTGCCCATTCGATGAGGTGTGAGTTGGGGCATCTAGGAATGGAGATTCAACTGAGGATCCAGGTGCTGGGATTACTCCGCTTAGTCCTGCAACCGGGCTTTGCAAGGTAGAAGCGAGGCGGATTTGAGACGGTGCATTTTGAAGAGAGCTACCTTGACTCCCACCGTACAACTGTTGGTCACCGGAGCCCCGTGTATGTTGCGGCTCATTGCTACTCGTAGACGGGGTACTTCGGCTTCGCGTGTGTCGAGTTTGTACAGAAGGAGGGAATGGGGTGCTAGATTTCGGTTCAATAGTAGTCTCGGGTATTAGGCCCAGGTTAGGCAGGCTCTGGGTGTGGCCACTAGTTTCCGTCGTGGCTATGGGTATTCGATTATTTTGGGCCGTCAATGGCGGCTGTGGAGAAGTTGCGCTGGCTGCAGACTCCATTCCAAAAGACTTCCGGAAACGGTGTGGCAACGAGGGTGACATGGTCACTGTTGGTGCTGGGTGGATTGAAAGTTGGAAATTGCGAACGTGTCGAATTGCGTTCAAGAGTTCTTCTACTTCTCCATTACCATCCCCATTCCAGTGAGCCTCAATCCCGTCGTAGTATTTTTGGAATTTTTGCTTTTTGTGGTGGGTCTCGCAGAAAAAGATCCTCATGACAAACCAAGAGTACTCGAACGATGTCGCTCGAACTTTGCTCATGACTTCTGTTGCCTGCTGATATAGGTCGGGGTGAGAGGTTTCGAAATCCCGACTGCTCCATGGGCAGCGGTAATACCTGGCACTATTCCCGCGGCGGGCGTATGCCAGACACTGGAACCGAACCTCATCATTTTCGTCGGAGAGTTGTGCTATGATTTCGCTTAGAGTGCAAACACGGCATGCCAATGCTTCAATTGGGGTTGGGGTGGAGGGAGTGGAGGGGGTGGAGGCTTGAGATCGAGATCGAGATATAGAAGTGGACGGGGGAGTGGATGGGGGAGTAGATGGAGAAAACATAGTTGTTATCTTGACGATCTTGGCCAAACTCGATACTACACAAGATCGAGGCACTGCCCGACAGCTGGGGAAAAGGCAGTCATATATCAAAGAATACCTAGATACGTACATGTACTTCATCCCTTTACGGAGCAACCTCGGCCTCTAAATGGAGAGCGGAGGTTAGGATGCCCAGCCCCCCTTCTTGTGTAACCACCGAATCCATTGTGTTGGTATTAGGTTTCGGCCGGGAAAACTAGAAGCGATCCGGCCAACAGGGAGCCAATGGTTCAGCTGCAGCCACTCTGCAGAGTATTCCACAATCGTCGTGGACCCGGGGTAATGGTAAGGCAATTGTCTCCTAATTTCCGCCTTCGCCGCAAAAAGCGCTTCCGTGACGCGATCCGACTCCCCACGGGAAACCCGAGCGCTCGAACTCCCTAGCCACGTTTCCCAGCGGTCCGAGCCTTCATCATGCTGATACGAAGTACTGGGTTCTGTCAATCCTCTCTTCCACGTACGGAGTACTCCGCAAGCCTCTACCCCCGCACTGGAGACTAAATATAACAGCGAGTGAGTTGTATATTTAGCTAGGTGGGTTCCAAAAGTGTATGGTGAATCACGGCATTGATGGCGTGAAGGTTGGCATACGCTGCTAAAACGGGGTTTTCTTAAAGTCGAGGTCATGCACTACGCACTTAGTACCTAAATAGTACCTGAATTCTATTAGCTCAAATCGCTGATGATCGGCAGCCACTGTGAAGACAGCTAGCCTATGGGTTCAAAATAGGCCTCCAAACCGTATCCTTGGCAAGGTACGAAGCACCCACCTGCTGGTCTCGTTTAAGTCATTTCGGGCAAGATTTCCCCTGCCCATGGAAAGCCCTATCCGCTCACCGAGTTGGTGTTACCAGCATGCTGATCCCACAGCGGCACAGGCTACCTACCTTACGAACAGATCGGGGTGCTGTAGAATAGTGCGGAGTAGTGGCATTTTCTCAAGCTTGTTATATAATTAGAATATCCCTCCTACAATACTCTTCCGGCATACAGCCCTAGCAAATGTCACAACTTATAAGGGTATATCTCCTTATCGTGGTTAAAATAAAATTGTTTTTTCGCATTAAGATAGCTTGACATAGTTAAGATCACTAGATTATCTCTATGTCGATACGAGCTCAGAGGGGAGCGCATGGAGAAGTATTTTAGTACCATTTCCTAGTTGAGCTGTCTTCTCGGACTAGTACAGATATTTGTGGCCCAAGGCAAAATGGTTTAGCGAGCAGGGGGAAAAGAAAGAACAAGAAATACGAAGTACGCCGACCTAGCAATTGTACAATGCCGTGATCCTGTGATAACCTCGACGATTATTTTGCTTAGCCCTGCGATTTTGCTCTCACTCTTCTGACTTTATTCTTACTCTTCCGACTTTACTCTACGACTAGAATACAAGAGCTTTTACAATAGAAAAACTTTCCGTTAATCTATCTTACGTTACCTAACACCCTACCTACAGATTTCAAAAGCTGTTAGCATGGCACAAGCCTAAGCGTCTTAACATAGCAAGGATCACACGATCATCTTAAACCCATCTTATTTGAAATATTTTCAATGGCGTTTAATATTAAAATCCCGAAAGTAAATAAACGGGAGTTTTGACGGGGAAAAATCGCGGACAAATCATAAAAATATGTTTGTGAAATTGACATACGTGGCATCCAGTTGATTTGCTAAATTGTCCAACCGGGCTTAGCAGATCCCGTCGTCGTGGTCTTCGAATGTATTATATATCGTGTTGCCAGAAAGGGAACGCAGCAAGTACCGAATACAATAATGCATGATCGTCCTCGATCAAGTATCAAGTACTAATATATGCGCAAGATCTGGGCGCACAGCCAAAACGCCAATTTCCAGATTGTGGCTCAGCCCTCCCACGTGTGGCGATGGGTACTTCGTGCCCAATCGTATTTTTCACGACGCCGCGATGAGACATTAACGAGTACGACCTTCACTGTATTTTGACGGTTGCCGGTCTCATTTGCGTCGTTTAGGCACAGTTTTGCTTGGCCATGGTGCGTGTATATAACTTACCTGCTCTTGTTTTGTGGCAATGCTATTGCGTCGCATAGCTGCAAAATATCGCAATTAGCTACAATTTACAAAAATTGAAGATATGAGGGTTTCTAGCTACTCGTATGTTGTGATCGCTGCTATTGCTGGAGGAGCGGTTGCTCAAGATACAACTAGTAAGCGCATTGCTATTTTCTATGTGTCCTTGTGCGCACTTCAACTACCTAACTTAAGGGCAATATCGCCTCATGATTCACGACCGATTTGCTCGGGCGCTCATAATGCTGATTACTAACCTTTGGATTAGCGGAATCGTCCTGCCCCAAGCAGTTCTACAATCAAGACGCCCTCTTGTTTAACTCCACAAATATAGCCTCCTTGGCTGACTGCACAAAACTCAATTACGCGTGCCGCACCACGGCGGCGCCCTTCTATGAGATGAGGAGATACGATTCCACAACCGGGCCAGCACCAAACAACTGTACAGAATTTTTAAGGAACGTCTTTGTCCAGAAAGGGGTCAATGGCTCACTCTCTATCCCTGGTGTGGTTACTATCAGTCAAGCGGCGTTCCGGGGACAGTGGTCGATAAATCGACTATCTGATAATCCTACGCCAGAGTATCCGCTGAATGTGACGGATCTGGAGCTACCAGATTTGGTCAACATAACGACCTCCGGGGGATCTGGGATATTTGCGATTGAATATGCGGATAAGATTAAGAGTGTGAAAGTCCCGAAACTCGAGCAGGCGAGCAAGATAAACTTCAATCTATCTGGGGTGAGTCCACCGGCCATCAGCTTGTCGTTCCCGAGCTTGCGAAGGGTGAATTCGATATTTTTGATAGGAAATATCGATGCGTAAGTCTCCAAAATAGAACTTTGCCCCCGCTACCTTCTCGCCGTTTGTTATTTTGGGAAATGGAACTGATAATGGAAAATTAGTGTCGACCTTCCCGCCTTGGACTACATGAGGCAAATCAATATCACGTCGATAGGAAATCTAGACTGCGTGGGTCTTGCTGCACAGGTGGTGAGTTCCACCCCGACTTACGGGATCCGGAACAATGATTCGGTGATCTGCTTTTCGAAGAAGTCAAATATTACTACGTATAACATGAGTCAACCTAAAAAGACTGGTATTGGGAGAAAGCTCGGAGTGAGCGGGGCATTGGTGGTGTTGGGATTTGTAGGATGTCTCGGTTTCGCATTATAATAAGCAGTAGGGGAATAGAGTCTAGGTCTTCGCAGACTTATGTATACAAATTAGATGTTAATGGAGGACGATGCGCTTGTGCTTCGTTTTGTGCGAGATACTGGATATGTAATATACGGAGTATACAATACGCGGAGTATGGCAATTATCATATACTTCTTGGGTGAATCGAAGTCGTTCAGGTTTCGGTTATAGACTAAGGTACTGAGTTAACCGCTCCGATATCGCGTCTACCGCGTGTTTTGTAGACTCAAGTGACAAATGTAAAGTAATAATGATGTCGCGCGGTTGAAGACAAAAGAAGTTCAAGGAGTGGGATGGAAACCCGGGATTGTATTCTTATCTGTCTACTCCGTGCGGAGTACTTCGTATCATACTGTATGTACCAATAGTGCTACAGCACATTCTTATCTTGCCAAGCATTTCCGTATCGAAATTAGCACTCGCCTCGGCACGACGTCCCCTTTTTTGGCAAATTACATCGTGTGGCAGCAACCCACTCCCAGCAGTTGGGTCAATTACGTACAGATCCTTTTGTTTTGGGCTTTATCTACTCTGTACTTCATGCTCGATCCCTTAATTACCCGTTGGCCTTAGCTAGCGGGTACTCCTACGGGTCGCCAATCGGGGGAGAGTGGTTTCTTCATGATTGCCATTCATCCTCTTATCCCCATGTCAACCTACCGCTATCCATGCTCGCCTCGTGTGAGCCATGCTCCTTATCTATGGAGACGCCTAGATATATGACAACGGCGAAAATAATAACCCGATGGTTTGGTTTAGTGACCTTCGATCCCCTGTCGGGGTGATATGGTATTTCGTACCTGGAGCTAATTCCAGGTACGACGACCGAGGTTCCGACGATTACAGTGGGTGTTATGACATTCCCATAATCCTTTTCCGTTTCTCTATATAACTGTCTCTTATGTCTCCCAGATTTTATCTTTAATCCATCCATTCTTTTCTCGCTGGTCATTCATTGGCTATGGCTCCCAAGTTCCTCCGCACTGTTTTCGCCGCTCTGGTGCTTGTTGCCTCAACCACCGCTGAGATCTCGGAGTCGGGCAAGACAGTTATTGTCAATGGCATTGCCTACTATGCTGCTCCTGAGGCCGTATCCATTATTGATGCTACTCCGGATATGCTGAAGCATGCATCGACAACTGGAGTTGACCTGATCCCACTGACGGTCTTTGCGGATTCATCCAGATCCTTCACCACTGAAGTTTTCAGATCTCTCGTCGCAAACTACACCGCCACTGACGATGTGTTCAATACCGGGTTTCTGCAAGGTATGCTCTAGTTCCAATACCTTCCACCGGCTACTGACTTCCTCCCAGCGATCTACCTCAAGCATGTCGGCTCCTCCCCGGCAACAGTGAAGTACCCCCTCGGTGCAGCCCTCACTCAATACGGTACAAAGCTTTTCATGCCGGCTCGCGCGTATACCTCCTCGGTCAAAAGCCAAGGGCAAACCTTCACTGGATGGCGTACCGAAATTCCTGCAGGACCATACTTCATGTCCCCACGAACTGGAAACGTCTACCAAGCATATAGACTCTACTCGGACGAACAAGGTGCTTTCACCGAAGGGTTGAAGCCGAACGCCGATGGAAGTTACTCCGTGCTGAGTGCCGCAGTTCCAGGAGATCACTCACCGACGATTGGCGTCCCTTCCAGGCTATACTACACCAAAACGGCAGATAAGCCTCTTGCAGGAGTTAGACTTGGAGTGAAAGATATCTACGACATCAAGGGCGTCAAAACCGGTAATGGAAACAGAGCATACTACGATCTCTACCCACCGCGCGCAGCCACGTGCCCTGCAGTCCAGCGCCTAATCGACGCTGGCGCTGTGATCATTGGTAAAATGAAGACGTCCCAATTCGCAAACGGCGAAAGTCCCACTGCCGATTGGGTTGACTATCATTGTCCCTTCAACGCTCGCGGAGACGGATATCAAGACCCCTCCTCTTCTTCCTCCGGCCCAGGAGCAGGAATCGGTGCTTATTCATGGCTCGACATCGGGTTGGGTTCCGACACAGGTGGTTCCATCCGGGGTCCATCAGGGTCGAACGGATGCTACGGAAACCGTCCCTCCCACGGTCTCGTCACCCTCGACGGGGTGATGCCGCTTTCCCCTGCCCTTGATACCGCCGGATTCCTCACACGTGATCCAATCCTCTGGCACGCAGCTTCAAAAGCTCTCTATGGCACAAACATCACATCTGACTTCCCCTCGCTGCCAAAGAAGATCCTTACTTCTGGATTTCCCACCACGGCACGAACAGAAGCTCAAACCATTCTCTTAGACTTCCTCTCCAAACTCCAGGATTTCTTGAAAGCCCCCGCCCCAACAGCAATTGTTCCCGCCACGCTCTGGGCCGCTTCCCCACCAGCAGAGGCAGGCAATGCCTCACTCTCCAATCTCTTAAACCTTGCGTACCCAACAGTCATCTCACAACAACAATACAATCTGCTTACTCTCCCATTCTACGCCGATTACGCAGCGGCCCACAACGGCAAACGACCATTTGTCAACCCAACACCATTGATTAGATGGGCGTTTGGGCAGGTTAATATGACTGCTGATGCAACGGAGAGCGCTTTGAGGAATGCTACCATTTTCAGGACGTGGTGGGAGAAGGAAGTCATTGTGCCAAGTAAGGAAAGTTGCAGCGAGAGTATTTTGGTTTACACTCAGTCCAGTGGAAACCCCAGTTACAGAAATATTTACGGAGGGTAAGAACCAGCCAATTTAATCCATGGAGGAGCCGTGCTAATATAAATGTATTGTAGTCAACCAGGAATTCCAACAGGAATTAGTGTTGGAAGACTATCTGGCTTCGCCGAGGAGCCGGACATGGTATTCCCTAGTAAGTCATAACCTCTCATCTCTCTTTATAGATCTCGAACTGACCATTCCCAAGTTGGACAAGCCTCATACAACTCTACTATTACTCTCCAAGAAGAAGTGCTACCTGTTGCTGTTAGTATCGTCGCGGCAAAGGGATGCGATGGCATGATCTTCACCTTGGCAGAGAAGCTTTTAGCAGCTGGCATCTTGAAAATCCCAAAGACTGGAAGTGTAACATTTTAAGAACGGGAGCTCTGTTCTAACCAAAAGCGTGTTTGCTGGTTAGCTGTTTTACTACTACCTACCTTATACTAGCTTTTGTAATTTTACATTACCAATATAATTCCTTTGTACAAGTCCTCCATGCTTTAACCCTCGTGTCCCATGTGGAAATTAAGTGGTTTAATATAATCCCCAACTGCGTGCTGAAATATACGCTTCTCCTCGTAGCTCGAGCATGTGCGCTCGGGCACTACATCGCTAAACAGCATCAAGTTTCAGGCTTTCTTTTAACGACATTTCTTCCCTCTGAATCCGTATTCTCGAAACCTTTTATTGTGTTACTATTTAGCATGCTATAGTATTCGACTCTTGTCTTGTAATCGCGTGGTTACCCGAATCCAGCGATTTTTATCCCCATTAATTGTTTTAATTGGTTTCCATCCAATCGAGACTCGGTGCTGCCAAGTGGCTAGCGGTATTTCATTCAGTGAAGTGTAGCTGAAGCCTTTAGTTGGCTGAGGGGGCTATTCAGTATGTTTTAGCGGTTTTCAGGAAGCGGTGCCTCCTTGACTATCTGTTTAGAATTTTCCTGCTCGGCTTTTGAGAATCATGTATGACATCTATTGCGGAGTTATTATATTCTAAGCAGAGTGGGCCATGATCCGATTTTGTCGAAAGCCAAACTCTCTATGTCGATGTACCATAGTTTGTTTACTTAAACATGATATCAACAGTAGATTAGAGACTACTGTTTCGGCTAGCATGTTCTCCAAATCCTGCATACACCCGTAGTTAACATGATCGACCATTCGACTGGCTACAATCTATGTAGTTTGCTAGTTTTAAGTTTAGGATAATCAAAACCGGGCTTGAAAACTTTGCTATTGGGATCCTTTTGGTTCATGCAGTATTTTCTTTGTCTTTGGAATTGTTGTTTGGGTGATTCATTGGTACTTCGGACATCAGTATGTGCAAATGGGAAAGGACGCTACAATTAATTTCCGTTATGCACCAAAGTTGGTGCTTGATAATGACTGCATCTGCTATTGATTCTCATGTTATTCCTTATTATATCAATCAAGCTGTGATGAAAAAGCTGAGCCCACCCGTTAAGACTTAGCAGCTAGTTCTATCTCGCGATATTTGATTAGTTATGTACCTATGTACACTGGTGAATCTCCTGAGATCTTGAACCATGCTATGGACCGGGCATTAAGTGGATTCATTACTATGATTTGGGATGGTGAAGTTAAAGTTTGAGCCCTTACCTTTCTCCCCCAGTGTTCTTCTCGAATCAGGGAAGTAACGTTGACACCAAGCGCTTCCATCGTCACCGCTCTCCTCCAAAATCGATTAACTGCCTACCTACATAGCTATAACCAGACGGTGTATCTTCTTACCTTATTCCAAATCCCCGTGATCACTGGTATCAACGAAGCGAGGCGCGTTATACTTCCTCTACCGTAATTATCTAAACAACAAAGGCTCCTTAGGCGACCGTCATCTTTCTCACCCACTCACTTTCTCCCACGCAACACAGTTTCTCAATTATTTTGAACTGGACTGGTACTATTTTATTTGACAAGGAACTACTAATGGCGCCCTAGTAGTTGCGGAATAACAAGTGAGTTAACCTCAACCTACGTGGTTTGCTTGGTTAATTGAGCCTCCCGGACTCCAAAGTCACGACCTCGTTGACAGATCGCGATCTGCGAAGGAGCATAGATTGCAATCCATAATCCGCGGTTGCTTATCTGTTTTACTTATCAGGTAGCCTCTGTTAGTATTATCTTGTGGGCGCATCTCATCGAATCCCGCATCATCAGAAACCCCAGCTGTTTCCGGAAGTCACGATGTGGGCAGCGATACTTAGCCGACCACCCACCCAGCGAGACAGAGTTGCTGGCCCAACATACAAGATTCTCAAGAGGAAGAGTCTGGCTAGCCAGGGACCTTCCGAACACTCGACTGACTTCGAATCGACAAATTTGACCCCACTGCCAGTTGGCGACGCGTTTCGAACAACCTCACATCTTCAAGTTCCAAACCACACCCAACCTCAATCGTCGCACGTATCAGCGACTGAAATATCCGCACCAGGGACCTCAAAGGTGCATTCGGTGCCGGCCCAAGCTAGAGAAACCATGTCGCAAATCAACAATACCATCAGCCCATACAAAACTATCGGACCTGGTGTCGTTGACTCTTTGGAGCGAAACCCTGACTTGCCATCCAAAAGCAATGCAGACGGTTCTCCCAAGTCAGTTTCCATCACACCAAAGTCCATTACCTACACAACGGTCGGTTCCCTCGTCGATCCAAGTGTGAAGCATAATTTCTCTGCTCCCAATCGTCTTCAGCGTGAAGGCTCCGGTCGACAACCTTTGATGTCGATGGGCCAGAGAGGACAATACGAGTACCATCAACCACCTCAAAGCACACTGCCGCCGCTACTGAGAGCAAATGCCCTGGCCTACGCTAAACACATTGCCAATAGTCCCTACAATAAGCCAAAGCTCAATCAAGGGGCATACCGAACACCAAATCCCATCTCAACCACCACCCCACAAGAGAGAATGGGACTGACAGACCAAGAAATGGATGAGTTCAGGGAGCTCCAGCGGCTAAGGGAGGTCTCTGGCAATATGGCCTCGACTTCATACACGCCTACACCTTCCTCCTCCAGTAGGCTTTCAGTAAATGCCCCAACCTTCGGTATGAGACTGCATATGGGAGTAGGCGATGACCAAGCCAGAATTTCGATGGGATCTGTGCCCGAAGAAGATAATATCATAATCCAACAGCAGGTTTTGGCGACAGATAACGCGTATACGAGACTCCATTCTGGTAAGTGGCCAGTCGAGGCTCCTCAGAAGAATATCAGCTAATTGCAATACAGCTCGAAATACCCCTCGGATACCCTCCCCTGAGCAACTTCCCGAATACACCGTTTCCTCTCCCCCGAGCAGAAGCCAAAATCAACCTGGAGGTGAAATGAATCAAGGATACCGATTCCCCCGTCCTAGCATCCGATCGCGTCCCACAACACATCCCAACCCTCTCCTCGCTGCCTCCGCATCTCAGTCAAATGCAGATCACAGTCGCCCACCTAGATACCCGCGCCCTTTAACGGCAGGACCTCCTGGCCAGCGACAATACCCAGCAGCCATCACCAGACCGGCTGTAGCCGGCATGGACCATGTCTCAGTAAATACTCTGCTGTCCTCAAGCCATATGCCTCCTAGAAGCCACTACAATATCAACCTACAACGTGGCAGTCACAATATCTCTTCGCGAGAGGCAAATTACTCTAAGGTACCGGCCGTCAATATCTATGGCACTAGAGTCCAGCCTCCAATAGGTCATGCAGCGCGACACAACCCGGGCTCCAAATGTGTCTATTCTCGTGGCCCTCCAACAACTATTGATACACTTCCTCCTCACTCAGTTGCACAGTATTATCCATATGGAATGCCCAGCGACATGGCCGGTGTATTCACCCCGCTTTCTGAATCGAAGCAAAAGGAGATTGATGACCTAACTCTCTCTGCCGAGGAAAAGAATATCCAAAGAAAGAAGCAATTAGATGACATGTTCTACAGCGGCCAAAGACAATTTGCAACCATGGAAGTTAAACATTACTTCAACGAACTGGCTAAGCGTCCGAACCTTGAGAATAAATTTGGCCCAATTGCCCCCCCAAAGAGTGGTTTCCATCCTGGTCTAGTTGCCAAGAAGCCCATTACAGAAGAGGAGATGGGGAATATGACCGTTGCTGAAGCCGCAAAACCTTTCATTGAGGCTGCATTCGGTACCTTGCTTTCATATGCTGAAGAGGGACCGGCTTCTAGAAAGGTCCTCAGCGGCTTTGCCCCAGCTCCACATTGGCAGATTGACGACAGCAATGCAGGAATTCAAAGTTACTTTGGGGGGGATTGGGGTCTTCTACCACCAAGATTTGATAGAGACCATTACCGTCATGCGGACTTTTAAGTCCTCTGGACATTGTGGTTCACTAAAGTTAATTGTGTTGAGTTTACCTACTCCTTTTATTAAAGTTCTGACCTCTAATGTTTCTGATTTTAGCTTTACTGATTCTTCACTTCGACAAGTAGCTTGTACCATAAAATCAGGAAGCATGTGTGCATTTCGTTTTAGGCTACCATTCTCGTCTATTGTTCGCCTAAATATCTTGACCATTGCTGGCTAAACCGTGGTCCCGGCGTATGTCAACGGCGCATTTTATGTGTACTGGTTTCTTTTCCAGATTGTAACAGCAAGGTTTCTGATTTGACGAAATTCAATGGGGGACGAAGGACTATCATGATGTTACTGTTCGCATTGCTGAGATGGCGTATGGAGCTGGATGGATACCCTTTGCAGGATTGTAACTAGCTTACTTTGCACCAATGAAATAAAATGAACTTGACTTTGTCGGGCATGATTGCCAATGTGATGCGGGGTTTATGCTGCCGTGGAATAAGTATGATATTTTGCTTAGCCTTTTACTAATGGATACGGATTACATATGACGATTCTTCAACACGCAAATCCTCACTGTTGGCATAGGTGAAGGACTCTTTGTCTCGAGGAAGTAGGTTTCGGCGAAACACACTCCCACCTCTCAATATATTTAAGAAATGCTACTAAAGTCTTATTTCTTTCCTACTTAAGTCAGCTTCTTAGACATCTTGTTTCAACATAGTTGCATGGGTAGGCTGCATCCGCTGTGCATTGAACTTTGTCATACACGGTACATCCAGTGGTTCTCGTCTAGCTTTTGGTGGCTAACACAATTTATAAGGCCAAACAAGTGATTAGCATCCCTCCTGCCATTTAGGGCCAAATTATACTTACAACAGGCTAACTTTAGGATGTATGAGGAGAATTCACGAGTTGTACCTCGAATGTCTCCGTTTACTATCATTTTCGTCAACCAGCACTGTTCCTCTCCTCCAAGCTCGGTTGGACTTTGAGAGTACTTAACCCCAGTATAATATTCGCATTTTCTTCAAGAACTATATCAAGGGAAACTTCAAGTCAAGGTCACTACAGCACAAATTATCTGCAGGCTGCTGGAGATAAATACAACTGACCTCATTCGCCACTAGTGCATTTCTTGATCCTACTCGAGACATTCCCTAGTCTCTAAGAATTTCTTTTTTACTACCTTCCTATTCCTGGATCACGACGCAGGCCCGGAAACTACGGAAATTTGACGAAGAATCATATCGTAGGGGATAGCATATTCAGCTACTCGTGAAATCACATGGCAGAAGCTGTACGCTCCAGTTTCTTTTTTAAATTAGGCGCCGCAAATTATGACTTTAGCCGGCTGATGTCATTCCAGGTGGTCCCAAAAGATCGTGAATAAAGGCTGCATTTCATATATAGAGTATTCTTGGCGAATCAACGAAGTGATCTCGGAGGCCCCACCCCACAGCTATGAGAATTGTACCTCCGGAGACTTGTCTTCCATCCTTCTCATATTGGGGTGGGGCTGAATATCGACAAGAAGTTATTGTTGGGGTGCCTTCGGGTGTAAAATTTTACGTGTCCCTCCGGGTAAAATAACAACAAAGGGTTTCTGGGGTCTAGTAGGGTACAGTTGTTTTTAAGCCGCTTCAGACCACGACTCAGGATTGAGGGCAGGATCTAGGGAAACTTTTTTCCAAAATACAAAACATAATCTACTAGGATCCGCCAAGTATGCATCAAGCCACCACAAAATTCCAGGTTGCCACGAGTGTGTCACAATCGCGGCGCAATTGTTTCTCCTACAGTGTCTTTGCATCAAACAAGCAGTTATGCTGAGTTGGCCAGCAAATTCTAGTCAGAAAGCCTCGTTTCTTACGGGACAGTCAATTTGCTATTCAAAATAGGAACTAGAACTTGCTGCATCCTGTCTGAAAAGTAAGTGCTGGTCGACAGTATTTCGAAGTTAGATGACGTCGATGATAGTTTAATAATGTTGAATTATTTCCATGGAACCTTCATTTTAGACCGCTACAACAGTTGATTTTTGATCTCCATATTCAAATCAAACAGACTGATTGGGCTGCGGCAGAATTTAAATCAATATCGCAGATTTGGAGCTTGTTATCGCGATATTTTTCTTTGGCTTATCGTTTTCCGTGCCCCTAAGTCTTGCTGTATCTGCGATGCTGATATCAGAGTATTCAGACGAGAAGTTGAACAGAGGCGCTTGAGGAGGGAAATTCCCCATAGATTGGGATTACCAATTGATGATGGAATTTTTCTCGGCACGGTGAGAAACGTGGTCAAGATATAGCAACCTGTTTAATACGATATTGCAAGTTGCCATTCTGAACTTCTTGCCGTCGAGCTCGGATTTGGTGGATCGCTTGAATTGGGATGCTCGACCTCGGCTCCCTAGTTCGGGTGGCTCTTCTCCAACACGGACTTGATAGTTTGAGGATTTATGTATTGTGCTGAGCACCAAAGTATAAATTTTTCTTCAGAGGGCTGAACCTTCGACAGGTGCAAGGTCGGTGGGCGACCATTCTAAAGTGAAATCGTCTGCTCGTCAAGGGATGATATCTCTTTGATTCCGTCCTCAAATTCCAATGGGCATTTCGATCTCCAGTGGACGCAACTAAGCACTGAAAATTCGAGAGAGCAATTTATTGTAGGTCTCCATGTTCTATGCTCACTATCTAGTAATGAGCCCAAATGCCACGACTTCCATCTCCCAAACATGCCGATCTGGGCCCGCGGAATCGAACCAACTAGAGACATGATCTGACCGAGCGGCGTTTTGTTGCGGTTTGAGCTTTGAAGCCATTGACCCCGCGGAGTCGGCTCGGGGCTGGCGAAGGGGGAGAGACATCTTGGCATCGCCACACGCTACGGGCGGAGTTTCCAAGCAAATCCTATCCAATCCCCCCCCTGTAGGTGTCTTAAAATTGCGGAGGTAAGTCAGCCCGGGAAATTCCCATTTAAGCGTGCTTTTGATCGCGCTCGGTACCTTCCGCCCATCACGAAATCACTCCGCCTCGTATAACGGTTCAGCACAAGTAAGCGGGGTGAGACCAGATCTTGCCTCGCCACCGAGAGACCTTGGCTGAGCGCCTGGGCAGACCATAGAAAAGCTTCAGGACTGGCGACCCAGCGACCTGCTGTCTGGCACGAAGATTGGCGGGGCAACAATCCACAGCCACCAGAAGAGCGAGCACTACCACTACCACTACCACTACCACTACCACTACCACTACCACTACCACTACCACTACCACAGCCACCAGAATCTGCAGTGGAACCTCGTAGGTTCCGGCCCACTGGCTCAATAAAGTCAACTAGGCCGCATCCGCCACAGATTGTACTCTCCTTACTCGCTATGCTAAGGGTCTGATATGAGTACCGGCATGACTCAACTGTAACCTGGCGCCTTTTGCTTGCATCTATAGGGTGGTCAACTCCCTTGTGTAACTGCCCCTTTGCCCAACCTGGTACTCAGATGACACCTGCCGTCCCTTGGCTGATCCTCCCCACAGCGATCCTCCACACAGCAACGTGTAGGTGACAAAGCTCAAAACATGGTGCCTTTCTCGTTATTAATTCTACTCCTTTTGTCCTCTATCGCCCGTCTTCTTTACTTCTACGTCTGGCTTTAATCTTCCTTTGCTATGGCGGCGACACCAAATTCCCTAGACATGGATATAGTATCCATCTGCTTTGGGTTTTCACTAGGGTTCTGTGTTCTCACAAGCTCGAAAGCTGCTCGTCAAACGTTTACCATCTATCGAAGGACACACAGTCTACGCTATGTCTATATATGGATGATCTGGACAGAAATAACGGTTAATCTCGCAATGGCTATTCTTTCCTGGTTGCTTGTTCGTGGTAATATCCGTGGATCGTAAGTCCAATTACACTTATATATATTACAAACCAGATTTGCCTAATAAATTACTCTAGTTTTGGCTTGTTCTTTATAATTGGTAAGATAGTGACCTTTGATTGCTTCGGGTTCTGTGCTGCGCTAAACAATTCGCAATATATAGTTTCTTTATGGGTACTTCAGGTATACAGCTTCCCACTCACAAATTGTTTACAGATGTTTATAGCCTCGCAGATACAATGTCTGATTCAAATTATTGCTAACCGCGTTGGCCTCATTATAATGAACAAGCGAAAAGTCGGTATTTTGAAGTGGACTTTATTCGTCCTTGTCGGTCTTATTAATATCTCAGTTTATTGTGTTTGGATTCCCGCCCGCATGGAGGTTTCGCAAACCTTTGTCTTTACTAATAACATATGGGATCGGATTGAAAAGGTCCTATTCCTCATTATTGACGGGGTTCTTAATGGATTATTCATTTACCTAGTCCGAGCCGAATTGATCTTAGGTGGCCTCACTAGGTACAAGCCACTTTTCAATTTTAATGCTTGTATTGTATGCGTGTCGCTGTTAATGGACGTAAGCTTTTAAATCAGAATCTGGGTTTTGTTTCCAGGCGTTCTGACCGTGCCAACAGATCCTGATCATCTGCATGATGTCTATGTCAGACAGCTTCATGTACGTCTGACCTTGCCAAATAAGCCTCGTACAGTTCGCTAACTCGCGTTCCAGCTACGTCCAATTCCATCCGCTGGCATACATTATCAAACTAAACATTGAACTTTCAATGGCCGACCTCATCTCGAAAATTGTCCGCCGCCGAGACCGTGTCGACAGTAGTATTGTGTGTCCCTAGGGAGATACGAACGGAGATCTTGGTTGTCGCCGACAAGACTGACGATGCTGCTCTAGACGTATCTGAAGTCTTGATTTGGTCGATTCACGAAACTTACGCAGACCTTCGAAGAAGTATGCCATTGTGGGCCGCGCAAGGGGCCAGGTTCAAACGGCAGAGACAGATTTGGAAAGAAACCTAGAATGAAACCGGCATCAGCGTGACCCAGGAACAAGCCAAGCGCTTTTTAGAGGACGAGGCTTCGAGTCTTGACACTCGTTATAGACCACGTGGAAATGGAAAAGCGGCCGACATTCTTCGGGAATCGGAGGCAAGCCCTCAGCTCAACGAAATCCTCGAGCGTTGCAAAAGGTTTGACAGCCTCTACTTCGCATCCGCCACACTCCAGGAAGTGCCAGAACGCGAACTCTCGCCTGAGATTGAACAAGAGCGGCAAGTAGAGCGGCCACTGACCGCGAAACCAAAGCCCCACAAACTGCATGAGGATGTCCAGACCTTTGTTCAATCGGCTGCCATTTCTCCCCAGTCATCTATCTGCCTTCTTGCCGGCTTTCCAGGCTCTTGCGACCACCAGTGCAGCTGCTCATCTGGAAATTGCTCAGTTTCCTCGAGACTTGTTGGTCACGTTGGATTTTGCTCGCACCGTCATGATGCGTGGCAAAAAGCCATGCGCTGATGCTTACCAATTGCAAGTACAATGGATATTGACTAGCCCGGCTGGCGACCACACTATCAGGCACATGGTCATCATCAGCCCATTCGAGGCGCAAAAGCTGATGCCCGTTATTGAGAAATCCGCTGCAGCCTTCCTCCATCTCTATGCGCCGCGAACTAACCTGGCTTTCCGGCCTCTGGACGACCTCGAGCTCTACAGTGTGCCACCGTTACCGAAACACTGGTGTCTACCCTCTCACCTTCCTCTGCAATTGAATTTATTTTCTGGTCAACTCTATTTCCGCTCTTTCGAGGAATACATGAGGGCGTGCGATTTCCTGCGCCTAGCATGGCATGGGTCGGAGGATGGTGTTACAGTTGAAGCCGATGGATTCATTGTTCACAGCATCAGATTTGGCTGTATGGTAGTCATCAGGTCGTGCGAACCACCAGAACTGAGGCTGACGCGGTGGCTGGAGGACACCATGTCTGACGAATATTTCGCTGAACGCCATCCCCTACTCACGACGTCCCGAGTTTTGGACAGTCGGGTGTTACATCTGTCTTTCTCCAATCGTCTCAATGTACTGTACAATTGCCAAAGTATTTCAAATAAGAAGAGGCACGTATTAGGGCAGAAATAGGGTGTCGTCGGCAAATCAAGACTTAATTCGACATGGGAACGTATATATGTAGGTGTTTCCCTCCGACGATGTCCAGACAATACCCTAATACTATACTGTAGAATAACTAGTCTTTTTAATTCCCTGTATATCCACACTATTCATCTCTGAGCTCCTCTCCAAGCACTGTGAAAAGGCTTGCAGAGTATCGCGCTCAACTCTGTCTTGTCGGCTCCGGGAACTGCAGAGCACTAGGACGTTACAAACTGGGTGCTACAGCTTTACTTCGAGTTTCTCGATCAGTCTATCACCAAAAACCTGCAGCTCGGTGATAGTGACGAGACTCCCGCATTACCGGAAAGCAACACCTCCAAATCTCAGCAACCTTGCTTGAATGCTGAAAATATCGATGACGCCAGAACGGCTGGCGTATCACCAAGGCCGATTGAAGAGGCATTTGATAGCCCTGGATGGTATGGTAATAGTCAGACAATGCCTTCGCGGCATTTGGTCGACAACTTTGACCTCGCATCTCAGGTTTTCAGGAGCCGAGAGGCAGAGGATTTCTCGATGTTTCAACTACAGCCGGATCTGTTCGCAGGTAATATATTTGGCGGGGGTTTGGACCACTATTACAATACTATGATGCAACGCAGCGGAGGCTCCGACACTCAGTTGGGTCCGGTTTAATTAGCGGGGACTTTTAGGGTCCGGGTTGCTTTCCGCGGCTTCTAAGAAATATACTTGGAGGGACAGCATAGGCGACATTGCGCCGAGGTGGCTGGTGGCTCGGTTCGACCAGTAACTAGTCCGTCATAAGAGACAGCTCTTTGCTCGAAATTCCGAAAACTACAGCATCGCAGAAAAGAAAACATTGGTGGTGTGATTCGATGTCGCTTCAATACTGCCCTCTTTTATCGACTTCAGCACGAAACAATGGGCTTCAAGGCACACAGGCTGCTTCCGAGTTCCTTGCACAAATTCAACATGACAGAAAAATCAGTCGCTCGCAGCTTCTTGATGGCGGCCAACTACAACAAATCTCCCAGACTTTGAACAGGCCGAACAACTTGCACTCGGACAAGATATTCGCTGTTCAAGACCAGCCCGATGGCACTCTGCTTCCGGCTGGGTACCATCTTGCATACTTCACGCCCTCAGCCTTGAATAGTAGTCTAGGTTCCGATGGCTCTGATCGAAACGTAAATCCGAGAGCGTCATTTACGAGACGAATGTGGGCTGTTGGTGAGATGACTTGGACGCGTGGAAATCCATTAAAGGTCGGCGACCGTATGACTTGAGAATACAAAGGTCTCGAGTGTAGTGCCCAAAACTACAAGAACTGGCAAGGAAAAGATTGTTGTCGGTGTGGAAAAGACCTTTGAAAATGGCAACGGCGTGGCACTAGTCGATCGAAGGTTTGAGAACTCACTTGTAATAATGCTGAGAAAGGGACTAAAAACGATAGGAATTGGATCTTTCGTCCGGAGATTACGAACATTATAGCTCTGACGCAATCCGAACCAGCAGTACATTTTCCTGAAGGTAGGCCTGTCTTTTGACTCACGCGATATTGCTCTCTATGCCTGATACTTGAGTTTTTCCAGGGTCCCAACCTCGGGATTTCACACACACCCCAGTCTCACTTTTCCGTTCTCGGCTCTCACCTTTAATGCGCACAAGATTCATTATTCGCTACCCTGGTGGAGGGCCATCGGAATCTAGTTGTTCATGGACCTCTCAACCTCATCCACATTCTTGACCTATGGCGAGACACGAGACCGAAGGGAAGCATCCCATTTCCTCAAAGCATCAAGTACAGAGCTACATCGCTAGTGTATGCTGAAGAGTCCTATCAGTTGAATCTAGAAGACAAAGCGGACGGACAATATGAAGTGAAACTCTGGACACACGATGGTAAGGTAGGGATGAAAGCAGATGTCCAGGCATTTGATTAAATATATAGGACACAAGTCTAAATCGATACTATTACATACCCAACAAGCTGCGCATTTTTGGTCCCATCAACCCGGGGTGCTCTACCACGATGGCACCCGCAGCTGCCAAAGCTTGGGCTTTGGCTTCCGCGCCAAATTCTCCAGGTGATAGTAATGCGCCAGCATGGCCCATCGTCTTCCCTGGCGGTGCCGTCCGGCCCGCTACCATTGCAATAATCGGTTTGGGATTCGGGGTCGATGCAATGTATTCTTTGATGAGATCTGCCGCGTCAAACTCGGCTCTACCTCCTATTTCTCCAATGACGATTATGCCTTCGGTTTGCTCGTGCGTGAAAAAAAGTCGCAGGCCGTCAACGAGACTTGTCCCTATATTGACCGGTTACGCAATGCTCTTTCGACAATGATTAGGGTCTACACACCTGGCAACATATCTCCACCCATCCCGCAAACAATGCTCTGTCCCAGACCAGCATTGGTGGTCGCCCCGACGGCTTCATAACTTAGCGTGCCACTCTTGCTTACAATTCCAATATTGCCTTTCATGTACTGCTTGTACGGCATGATTCCAATTCGGCACTGTCCTGGTGCAATTATTCCAGGGCAATTGGGACCTACGAGTCTCGTTTTCGACTGCGTTCGTAGAATATCTTGCACTCTAAGCATATCTAGCACTGGGATGTGCTCCGCGACAGAAACCACTAGAGGGATCTCGGCCTCAATGGCCTCCTCAGTGGCCTTCGCCGCGAATGCAGCTGGCACAAATACAACACTGGCATGGGGTTTGACAGTCGTCATAGTCTGAATGTGGGGCCGTGAATTAGCATCCATGCACATATAAATTTCTATGAGGCTGGAGATAATCATACTTCTCGGACTGTGTTAAAGACGGGTAGATTAAGGTGTGTACTGCCTCCTTTTCCTGGCGAGACGCCTCCAACCACCTTCGTGCCATATTCGATGGTATCTTTGGCGTTACTGGTTGCCTACTCCGTAGTCAGATCACCATTAGTAGTCCTACATAGGTTCTTTCATACAGCCTTGCTAGTGAAACCTTGGTAGATAAAACGGGTGTTGCTGTCAATGTGCAGGTTTTGAATAGTATCATAATCATATGAAAGGGACCGACGGACTGGCTTCGTCGAATACTGGCGAGTGCAAGAACGACAAGAGCGTCCCAACGAACTGAGGTGGAGGACTCTTGGAGCTGACGTGGTGCAAAGTGGTAATTGCATCGACGTACTTGGAAGGAGAGGGAGATGCTATAGCACTTTGAGAAGTTGATGTCTAGTTTTGACAAAAGGAAAGCCGTAGACGGTGGTCTTTGGCCTCGGTCATTCTCGCGCCTCAAATCAGTAGATTCGCAAATGGCTATGACCCAGGCCCGGTGACGGCGATGTAAGGTAAAGGTAAACGTCATTGCCAGACTTCATCAAAATGGTGCCGACCCGGAAAACCTCTTCGCAAAGGAAGAGTTCTTTCAGATGTCTGGACAAGTACATGCTGATAAACTTCGCCAAGGCGAGGAGAGTCTCAGTGATCTGTGGAAAAGACCGAGCTATCGAAAACGGATGATTTGCGCCCTGATCACAATGTTTGCTTCAGAGTCATCCGGGGTTCTTGTTATCTATAGTAGGTACCAAGCATGTAAAACTGTGAAGAGTGATACTCACATAATATAGACTATAGCGTCATTATATATACTGATCTTGGCTACTCTGGAAGTATTCCGCTTTTGCTCTCAGCCGCCTATGTCAGTTGCGCCGCAATTGGAAATTATTTCTGTTCTCTCATGATCGACCGAGTCGGACGTGTCCGATTATTATGTCAGTTGATTTGCTATCTGTTCAACTTTACGAACTAACATATTACAGGCATTGGACTCGCCGGTTGCCTAGTATGCCTCTGCTTTGAGGCTACCATTGTCGCACAGTATGCTGGCACTGATGATGTTGCCGGTCTACGTGCAGGTGTGTTTTTCTTGTTCTTTTACATTTCATTGTAAGTGTTCTCTAGCGCGAATTGAACAATTCTAATGTTACCAAAGCTATGGGACCTGTATTGATGCTACAACTTATGTGTACTGTTCTGAGATTTTCCCTACTCACATTCGGCCCATTGGGATGGGTTTCTCAGGAGCCATTCTCTTTTTGACCACGATTCCGTATCTGGAAGCTGCCCCAACAGCTTTTGCCATTATTGGCTGGAAGTACTACCTCGTGTTTATTGTGATCACTGCGATTATGGTCCCGTTGATCTATTGTTATTTCCCCGAGGTAAGCTTCCTATCTTGTTGCGTCTTGGAAATTTTCACTAATCTTGTGATAATACCAAGGGATTGTCTCTAGAGGAGATTAATGAGGTATTTGGAGATGATGTCGCAGTTCATTTGGCGCATTTTTCGGATGAGAAGGTAAAACGGGATGTAGCAGTCGGAATCAACAACAATAGTTCTACTCCCAGCTCGCAAAAGACGGAATCAGAAGGGCCCTCCGCTGTCCATATTCAATAGAAGCCTAATATTATTCGTAACATTATTCCTCTTCTATTTATCTGGTAAATAAGTTTTTTGTATAAGCTTGTATAGGCAAACAAGCCCTAACTACAGATATGTATACTAATATATGTTCCTAAGGGAGGAGCCTACTTTAGGCAAGTAGCTAAAGTCGAAGATGGGGAAAGAGCAGAATAGCGATGTTTGTAGTCCTTGGTATGTTTCCTCGATGCTATTGATGCCCATGATTTACTGTTTACCCTTGAGTTGGGGTGTTTACATTCGGCTAATTACCAGCTGTTCCATGAATTTTGTCACCCACTAGTAAGCTCCCTCATTCGCCTCAACCGATTATATATGATATATAACTCTATCTAAAAACGCAAAACTCTCACCGTAAAAAAATTCCATTATCAACGAGTGATCCCATCAGGAACCTCAACCTACCATCAGATCCCGCTGCGAGAGAAACAACGAGTGTGACGGCCACCTTGAAGTCCGCATATCACGATCTACGCCACTTGATTCCTTCTCCCGCTACAGAACTCAACTCTCTACGTACCTCACTTCGCGAACACAGTCTCTGGCTTCCCCGTTATGGACACTCTGCCCCGGCCGAGGCGTCCAGCAGCGCAACACCCACGCCAGACGCCGTAGCTGAGCCCCAACTCCCTTCCTACACACGCTCCGACCTGCCTGGATAAGACACAGATATCCCAGCTACGCAACTCTCGACCCGCGACGGTGTTGAGCAGCGCCGCGATCGCTAATTTGTCATTTCATTCTTTGCACCTTCTCTATCATCGTTGTCAATATAAAATTCAACATGAAGTGGAGTTCCGTTATCGCCCTGGCGCTTAGCGCAACAAGCGTCCATGCGATGCTCCGTTTCTCTTGCTCGCAACTCGTTGTTGACCGTCTCGACCCGTAAGTAAAATCCAACCCTTTGAGATATTCAAGTCCTCTGATCTGGCAGTGTAGCTTAGTCAACCCGGGGGCCGTTGGGTCCCTCATCTGCACCAGGTAAGTAATTCGACACAGATTGGATGACTAATTTCTAACTTCTAGCTTAGATTGTTGGAGGAGTGCGTATTGCTGCAATTTAATAATATATTTGCTGGCTTACAGATACTAGAATGCCTTTAATACTTCCATGCACCCAGAAAATGATCTCCCTGCATTCTCCACCTGCACCAGCTGTACATTTAGCGAGGACTTTTCCAACCACTGCACCGCGGCTCTGTACTTTCGAGCACGCAATGGAACTTTCAAGCGTGTCCCCTTAATGGGCAACTAGTTCCTTGAGCAGGCTACCGGTGGCATGACCGTTTACTACATTCCCCTATATGATGGAAGGACCAAGGTCACAGCTTTCCGTCCAGTAAATTCTCTCCACAAGTAAATCAGTATCTATTTAACACCAAATTTAGGGCTTCCGCATGCTCGTCGGAGATGTCATGTCACGTACGAAGCGGTAGACTACCGAATCGCGCTAGATTGATTACCTTCCGTTGCTTCGACAAGAATTTTGGTGGAGAAAACGGTGCCCTAGGAACTGGCGCGGATACTATGGAGCTGCCCAATAAGGCGTGTCTAGGGGGCATTCGCGCAAATGTTTTCTTTCCGACGTAAGTCACCGACCCCTACTATCACGTAAGTAACTTGCACAAATAAACATCAGCTGCTGGGACGGAAAGAACCTTGACAGCGCCAATCACAAGGACCATGTGGCCTACCCAAGCAGTGGAAGCTTCGAATCTAATGGTCCTTGCCCATCAACTCACCCCGTTAAGATTCCCCAGATCCTATACGAGGCTGTCTGGGAGACCAGAGCCTTTAATGACAAGTCCGAATGGCCTACGGATGGCTCGCAGCCTTTTGTCTTTAGCATGGGCGACCCGTAGGCCCCCACCTCTAGTAAAATGTCTGATTCTAACCACATATTTGCAGGACCGGGTTTGGGCAGCATGCTGATTACATCTTTGGCTGGAAGGGTGCTTCCCTGCAGAAGGCTATGGATGCTAACTGCAATGTCGACTGGCCACAACTCAAATCCCAGTCTACCGCCGATGCCAACAAGTGAACCCAAAGGCGTGTCGTCAATGACGTGGTAGATGGATGTAAGTTATCTCATTCGAAATCATGGGCCGCCTCTAATGACGAGTGATTTTTAGGGATCACAAATCTCCTGGGAGGAATCCTAGTCACCGCCTAGTTGGATGTTGACATACATAGACGGTCAGTTAATCAATGATTGAGTAGAATTAAGCTATGTATAAGTTGAGATATAGTGTGGTTGCAGAAAAGATTTCTACTTACTGTTGCGGATGTTGGTCATGGATATTTGCTGCTACACATAGGGAAGCGGGTGGCACGATAGAGGAGGTTTTTATTAGTTGAATTTAGCTGATTAGCCAAAGTGTTTACGTCTTCATATACTTAAGTTAAGCTAGGTGTGCGTATATTTACAGCGGAGTCCTTTGTGCCGCAGATTTACAGCAATGGATGGAAATCGTTATGGCGATGCTCTCTTATTTGTAACTACCACAAATGGTCAATATGTACCAGGTGATATTCTGATCCGCAAAGTCCATTCCACGACTTCTTTTGGCTCAATAGCCGCTTGATAACATTAATCTGGAAACAGAACATAACTCACGGTAAGGGGAAAGACGTGATCTTTTATGTGCCACTAGAATGGGAGCGCTGTACTAGTTATGGCGTAGTTGAAGCGAGAAAAGGCGTAGATAAAGGGGTCGAGTAGCCAAGACTTTAATGTTAGCGACAGGATCGGCCCGAAGATAAGATAAGACTAGCGGAGTGGTTTCGAAGTACAGTATTGTGGAGCTCAGGCACATGCTCGTAACGACATCGATCACCAATCACCAAAGCTCGTCCTTCAACCATTCAGTTCATCTCCTTCCAAGATGCAGCCATGCACGTTTCCTTTCTATTCGTCTTCAATGGGGAATATGCCTCGGTTAACGTTCACCGCCTGGCGACTTGTCAAACAAGGGCGGTGTCACTCACTTCGGACGCACTCCTCTCGCCGGTCGATACATTTCTCCCCGACTGCTGGAGCTTCACACCTCAATCCTCTTCCCCTGCCATGGGCGACAAGAAGTCACCTTTCACATCCTAAAGCACATATACCACAGTTGCTACCTTCGCCCTTCGGCATGGCTCCTTCACGCGTTTCGCGGCGCTTTAGTAGTGCCACTACTGGCATTGCTGAGGATGGCTCACCGAACTTTGCTTTTGCTTTTGAGTGAGTCAATTGCCTCGCTACTTTTCTGCTTCACCCTAAAAAAAATATTTATTAACGATTGGGCCCTACATAGTATTGACGGTGTACTCCTACGATCCTCATCCCCAATTCCTGGAGCTTCCGCTGCTCTTACCCACCTCCACAACAACAATATTCCATTTATCCTCCTTACCAATGGAGGCGGCAAGCATGAAAGCGCAAGGGTCGCAGAGTTGAGCAAGAAGTTAAATATTCCCCTGACAGAGGAGAACTTCGTCCAGTCCCATACACCTTTCAGGCAGCTAGTTGAAGGTTCGGAAGAGACGCAGAGCCTGGAGGACAAGACTATCCTTGTAACCGGTGGAGACGGGGACAAGTGCCGAAAGGTTGCCGAAATGTAAGCTTTTCATGTTACGCAAACTAGGATGCATAGTGCTAATGCTCCACACAGGTACGGATTCAAAAACGTTGTCACACCTGGCGATATCCTCATGGCACACCCCAACATCTGGCCCTTCAACCAGATTTTCTCTGACTATTACCATAATAATACGCGTCCATTACCCCGCCCCATCGACCCTGCTAACCCATCCAAATCCCTCAAAATCGATGCTATATTTGTGTTCAATGATCCGCGTGATTGGGCATTGGATACTCAAATCATTCTGGATTTGCTACTGTCGAAGGAAGGTATTCTCGGCACATATTCTGAAAAGAATGGTGACCCCTCTCTTCCCAACAATGGCTGGCAGCAAGATGGTCAACCCAAACTCTTTTTCTCCAACCCCGACCTGTTCTGGGCTACATCCTACCATATGCCAAGACTCGGCCAGGGCGGCTTCCAGGCTTCATTGGAAGGAGTTTGGAGCGCTACGACAGATGGTGCAGCTTTAAGACGGACTACCATCGGAAAGCCGCATACACACACATATGAATATGCCGAGAAACTATTGATTAGATATCGTGCTAAGCTATTGGGTGAACCGGCCAAGAAAGTTGGCAAGTTGGACCGTGTATTCATGGTGGGAGACAACCCCGAAAGCGATATTCGTGGCGCAAATGAATTTAAAAGTCCACTTGGAACTGAGTGGACCAGTGTTCTTGTGAAGACAGGGGTGTTTAGGGAAGGATCCAATCCTACATACAAACCCAAGGTCATTGTTAATGATGTCCTTGACGCGGTCAAATGGGCCCTCAAGCAGCAGGGCTGGAACGGTCAAATCCAGTAGTGACAATGCTGTGAGTCTCATTTTTCATCAGGTGTGGTTGGCGCTTTTAGACGGAGCGTATGACTTTTTCATTTTTGGGAGGGCGGGGGGAGCAGGGGAGTCCATAGACAGCGAGCGCAGAGTTCTACCATAGAATATAGAATATAGAATATAGAGTATTAAGAGTTCCGAATCTAGAGCACAGATGCCTGCCTACGAGGAAATATATGGCCTCTGTCGAAGCAACTTCGCCGAAACCAAAGAGGCCGTAGTGGCTGGCGTACTCAGCCCAACGAGTAGACAAGGTCGTAAAAAAATGAAGGAGGGCAGTCACATGACCGTTCTGCAAACCACCGTCGCCTTAGCACACTAAATCGTGCACTCTTAGTGCCAATAGTGCTACAGGATGCAAATAACAGGTTAATAGTACCATCTGCTAATAGATGGCCACCTGTAGTCTCAATAAACTGCAAAAGGATACTTCGTAACTACGCTTGCATTAGCCATACAAGATAAGGTTGGAATTTATGATATAAATTAGAGGGTCAGACAGTGTCCCAGCAAATGAGCTACAACGTGGTAGAGATTAAGTGATTGATTATTAACAAGTCGACTTTGTAGACCAATTTGTTGAGATATTACGTTGGAAACCTTTGGAAATAGTCCTGGTGCCCACAGCGCTAGGTCTCATACTTACATAGGGAAACATAGGAACATATTCCCCGATAAGACCATACTTTTCAGATGAAGAGTTGGGAATCAAAATTATCATGAAAACTCTCACGAGCCGTAAGATATTTGATCCCAAGTTCCTCTGAATTCCAGAAGATCCCGTTGTCCGTATACTTCCCCTGCCACGGTAAGGATCATATCCACAGTTGCTTTGGTATTCCACTTGTGCTGCTTTCCTGTGGTAGATTGCTCCTTTGGTTTCTCTGAAGTACCTCCTTGTCCGTCCGGTTCGTTTAGGCTGCTTAATATGCGTGCTTTCGCCGCCACCAAATCATCAGCGGGTTGTGACACGTCTGGAGGGCTGGCGTGGTTGTTTATATCCATAACCTGACTTCCCACGGGAAGGGTGTTGGCAGATCCAACGGCCTCTGGATTGACAGGTTGCTGCGACGCCGGAGCTACAATGCTGGATACTTGGCTGTTTTCGTGTAGGATTGCAGCTGGAACTGGAACTTCGATGGCCCCACCCCGAGGAAGAATACTACTTCCATCGCCGGTAGCTAGATCTTCGTCGATAGCAATAGGGATTTCTTCCTCGTTAACAACATCCATGACCTCGTCTTCTTCCTCACCCCGATCTAAGCCCGCCTCCACCTCGTCCATACCTTCATTCAACTCCGCATCGTCCTTCAATCCCATGCCAAGAAGGACAGCCTTCTTGCCTAACTCTCTCACGACGCCAATTTCTTCGCTTGTCAACTCACCTCTCTCTGGTAATTTTGCTAGCAAGCTCCAGGTCCATCTGCTAACGCCCACCTCCACCTCCGTGCCTCGCTGGAGTAAATTCCCTCCCGTCAATAATCCGAGTAACCTCAGCACGGTACTCTTATTCATACCCGAAATCTGGACAGGAAGCGGGTCTACAGTTCTCATCTTCCACCTCCACCAACGCGCAACCGAGGTGTTAAGGGCACCAACATATGTAGGATGGTCCTCGTCCAAATTTTCGATAGCATGTGCAGGGGGTATCTGTTGAAGTTGTGCCCGCAACGCCTCATAGCGGCTCAGGATGGAATCGAAATATGTCAAGTTTTGATCCGTGGCCAAACTCCTCTCTTCATCGGTGAAATCTACACTCTCGGGGGCCGCATAGTAGGCGCCGTCTCCGTACAAACCCCGATAGTCTCCTATACCACTGTCGTAAATGTCTCGATTCTCTCGGTCTTGTTGTGGGGCAACGAGAAGATTCGGAATGCCAGTTGCTTCTTGCCTATAAGAACACCTTAAATCAGCATCACTGACTGTAGGAAAGAAAACTATCTCAGCAGATGACTTTAGATGGAAGTGCAAAGAATAACTCACCTAACAGCCCTCAAATAATTCAGAGCATCTACATCAATGTCATAGTTAAGGCTGTGTTCATCGAAGTCAGCTCCTATCTCATCATCCAATCCAGGTATTGCGCTTCGTTGGCCGTAGGTTGGATCGACGCGTGCTTCGACGGATGGGGGTGGGCGAGAGCGCGTCTTATTGCTAGGAGACTCATTTGGCTGTTCATGTCCATGTTTCCGTTTGGTGCCAGACATGATTCCGTATTGAGATAAATGGATGTTTGATAATTTTATTTGCTTGGGAAGGTTTACCAGGCTGATGCTTTGGCAGCCTTGTGCTGAGTCAGCATGTGGAATTTTGATATTCGGCGTCATACTTCGTAGCTTCCCAGTAGAGCGGAGCCTTGAATTGGATCCCATCTTCATCTTTGTACGATTGAACGACAAATAACTTGCTCCCCGGGTCATAATTTACCTGGCTAATGCCGTTATCTGCTCTCCACTAATTTTGGTAGCAACCAAACCAAATCACCCTCGATTATTGCCATCAAACGCCCTCTTCATGGCGCTGGACGCTCAAAGTAATTGGAACGTCGAGATGCCCCAGCGACTCAAGCCCTCCATTTCACAGGACACTGTCAATAGTCCCTCCGACGTATCTGGACCTCCCTCACCGAAGTCTTCGTCTCCTATTCCCCATCATAGAGATGCCTCCCGCGAAATCCTACTCCCCACCGAAATTATTACACAGATCCTCAGCTACCTCCCCCGCCGCGCCCCCTCGCAATCCACCTTTTACTCTTGCTCATTGGTGTCGCGAGCATGGTACTCTGCTGCTGTTACATTTCTATATGAACGGCCATACCTAACCGGGGGCAACTTCAACTCCTTCGTCCAGACCGTTTGCCCCTCCAAAAACGCCCACATCCGAAAGTCTCCCCTCTCTATTCTCGTCAAGCGTCTCGATATGTCTGCGCTCGTCCATAACAGCTCTCGAAGTTTGACTGCGCGATTATTGGGCCGTCTCAAGGGAAATATCGAGGAATTTGTTGCCCCCCAGTCCAGCTTCGGTATAAACAGCTTTGCGGCACTCAGCAAATGTACCAAGCTCCATTTTTTGGACTTGAGTCTGATTTCGGCTTCTATATCCAATAGATTACTATTCCAAGCGCTGAAATCGCTCGAAGACTTGGAAATTTTATTTTTCCCAAGAAGTTCAAGCCGTGATGAGAGGGACTTGGAGGATTCTATCCCATATATTTGGCCACCAAAGTTAAAAGCTCTGCACTTGGCTGGCGGAGTCGATGATTACTTTCTTACCACTCATTTGGCCAACCTACCTTCATGCGTAGAGAAACTCAGCATCCAACACTGTTCACAAGTTCACGGTTCTCCCTTACGTGTCGCCCTAGGAAGAATTGGTCCCCAGCTCCAACATCTTACTATCAGGCATCCAATGCCCCGATTAGCACCAGGAGACCTAGATTACCTACTATCCCAGTGCCCTAAATTGATCGCCTTACGGGTATCAGCGGACTACATTACCCTAGGGAATCTCTTCATAAATTGCGATTTTCCGCATCACTTACGTATCTTGGATCTGGACGCATCGTCATCCTACACGCCGGACCTAGCCCCTACCGCTGCCCACTTGTATTTTCAAGTCGAAGAAGGACGCTTCCCGGATCTCCGAAGTGTACGTGTTAGCTCTAGGCTTGGTTGGTACGAGGACTCGGCTTCAAAAATCGACGTGTCTGATTTGCAGGAGGTAATGGAAGATCATGATTCTGAGGTGCCGCTCGGTATCCCGACCGGAGTTTGGAAGGTAGATTGATACATTGCTCAGCTTTAAGCATTTACTTGTGTTCTTCATAACATCATTCGAGGCTGTAGCGGGTATAGTGGGTATCTGCAGGAGTTCAGTGCCTTGATACATCACTGATATACCATTGGCACCTCGCCCCAAGCGGAGAGGCGCATAGAAGGCAGGAAGTGTTCTGTTCCGAGCTCTTAATATCTTACCTGGAGACGACAAATGCTCAGAAAATTGCCCTTCCACTTGAACTCCCATCTCCACCTCTAAGCTTGCATCTTGAGACCAGAATAACATTACAGCGCATCGCTATTTAAAACCAGACCCGTTACTATGTCTGAGCAGACACCTAAGATACATGCCCTGATAATCGCCCGGAAAGTGGGTGAAGTCTCTCCACATTGTGGGTATTTTCGCAAGCTATATACGATAGCTTTATTGAAAACACATGTCCCAAGGGTACCGAAGATGCTGCCAACGAAGGACGGCTTAATTGAGGAATTTCTTGGACGAATACGCTTGGAAAATGGCTAGAATGAGACCAACATGCTTTTGTGGGCGGCAAGTTCGCCACAAAACGGCTCAGGTCTAGCTTCCATATGCATTAAATTCCAACCTCACAAGCCAGCGTCATTGAGGTAGTCGCTACCAGCAACTTGTGGCAGCATCCAAGAAACGGAGCGAATGCAACTAGTAGCTCCTGCCCCTTAAATTTATAGAAGGAGCAGCTTGCAATGCGTATTGTTATATCTGGGCTTTCTGGCAGGGTCTGCCACGGGTGAAGCAGCATTGCCTAGGTGATCAATACCTAAAAAGCACGGAATAGCACCCGTGAACATTGTACTTCTCATCGTTTATTGTGTTCTATCCATCCTATCATCGCCTCTTGAGTGAACAATCAGCCCCCAGTTTTAATCAGAGTATTTCGATGTTGATCAACTCCACGCCTTTCGCGTCGACAAATGGACCATACTCTCTCCTAACACTTTGCAACTCAAGCCCTGGACCACAATTGCGCTCCTGTGGTGAGCTCGGTTCCGACCATCGACCTGCGAGCGCAATACACGGTATATCTTTTCCTTGTCAATGCTTGAGATATATGAGACAGGTTGTATAGAAACCTATTCTCGCAAATTCCCTCAAAGCCTGGGATTTCCATCAGCCATCGTTATGAACGTGCTGCCGCCAGTTTGCTAGGTGCCGAGGGCGGTTCTCGGAGTCAATCGCTACGCTGTTTGTTTTACTTATTCTTGAGTGCGCAACTATAGCCAATAACAACCAACTCAATCTACCTCATTTTATCAACAGAGGCTTGAATCTCCGAAAATGAGTTGTTGAGACGCCTGCTTAATTGGCTACATTGGCCCATGTCACTCGAATCAATACTCCTTCTTGGCCCTTGAGTCGGGGATGTATACATCTCTAATCCGTCAAAACAGCTTGGGGTATTTCCGTCAGATCTTAAAATATGTATTGCTTTTTTGCTTTTCATTCGTCGCAACCTGCCGGGTCAGTGCTCGATCACTCTCATTGTGGCGCATACACAGCTAGCGGCAACGCTATTAGGGTCTCAATCGCATGGCTATTATTCACGCCCTCTTGATCATGTTGCTCTAGATTAACACGGCGCGTCCAAGCACTATGAGGCCAATATCAGTCGTGCCGCAACGATTGTAGGTATAATACGTGGAGTAGTGCAATGCATCGAACGTTAATTTAAAGGAAAGGGAATCATTGTGGGGTATCAAATTGCTACTTTTCGGGCTAGAACTAAGCTAAACTTCCGCCAAGCTAGCTAATTCAGCCTACAATCAGAATGAAAGTTACAACATCGGAAAGCTTAGGTAGTCATTCCAATATCCCAATGATGGTGTTTCATCGAAGGACATACGGCTTGGAAATAAGTGCGATGAACTTTAATCCACTCTACCAGCTGAACGCCTCATCCACCAAGGTTATCGAGACTTGTTCCTTGCCACTTCCGAGCTTTGACACGGCCATTCTCACGTCGTCAGCCAAGGTCGGAGGTCCACAAACCACTACCACGGCCTTCTCCGTCGGATCGGACAGCTCTCGCTCCAAAACCTCGATCACATTCATCCTCTCTCCAACAAACAACTCCTTGTCAACACCCTTCAGAGTGCTCTTCGTCGCCTCGACAATGCCAGAGGTCCTCGCACCCCAGAAAAGCTTAGTTCGTCCGGGATGGGCACGAATGTAGGGCATAACAGCCGTAATTCCAACACCTCCGGCGATACCGATCATCAAGGAATGTTCGGACAGGTCCGGGTGTGAACCATATGGTGCTTCGACAAGAACTGGCAGAGAGGTATGCGAACGGATTTGGGACGTCAAGCCATTACCTGTGCGGAGTAGGAAAGTCATTCCCACTTTAGTATGAATTATGGGCAGACTTTCTTCGCTGCTGGCTTCGATCGAACTGGGGTCGGCTGAGTCGATGGACTTGTGCATACCGTTCTTTTCCACGTCGATGCTCGGTGCGGACACTTTGGTGCTGTGATTGCGTTGAACTGTTGCTGGAAGAACCGTCGAGGCCACGGAGAATGGATGGTTTTCCCAGACACGCCACGTAAGAGTTGGGAAATAGAGGTAAGCATGTCCGTTGCCGCACACGCCTTCAATATCGACTCGGACGTAGTCGTCGTCAATGACAGTGATCGTGGCAGTCTTCCAACCATTTCGAGCTATCCTAGCGAATCTCATAACCCTATCGAAGCCCCAAACCGCCATTGCAACGAAGATCCACACTTCGTAGCCCCACTGATGGTTGAACCGGTAGAGAATATGCAAGTAGCATCCCGCAACAATCAAAACAGACAATGCAATGTGCCAGGCAAGGAACATCTCGTACATCTTTGCCCTGATCGGGAACACTGATGTCGGAAGCAGAATGGACATGCCCAAGGTAGCGATGGCCCCCCAATACCAGTATCCAAGTTGGCTCTCGCTTGAGTGTTCGCCGGAAGCAACGTATATTTGCAAATAAATTGCAGAGTGCAAGACGGCCTGCAAGGTGCAGAGGAACGCAACCCATCGATGGAGTAACAGAAATGTTCCATGCGACCAGTTGGTTAGGTATAGGAGAACATTGTTGCGGCCGGCATACAGGATCAAGAGCGGAACGTTGGCAAAGCTCAGAACGCCCAGGCGATTCGTAGTATAAGTCAGGATTTCCTTGGAAGCATCACCTGGATACCAGCTATTTGGTTGCATAGAGCGATAGCCCACCGATGACAAGACAACGTTGATAACGATGAGATAGGTGATGAAGAAAGCTTGACCACGGGTGGGAACATGGGCGAAGCCAAATGTTGCTTCACTGTGGCGCGACCCGAACGCAGGTGGGTATATGAAAACGGCGTTGAACTTTGAGATGAGGTGTGCTGGCCAAGGGACGAACCGGAGAAGTGAGAAGGCGATGGGAATGACGATCCCTGAAAGGAGGAGGACAAGACTAGCAAAATACGTCAACGCTGGTTATGCAGAAATAATGATCCAGAGATACTTACCCATATTTTTCATGCGAGCCTTCGACACCCTCGAATGCAATCATGGCATTCCAGTTGGTCATATAGTCATCGTTGGACACGAGGCTAGTCTTATTCAACGGATCGCCGCTCACGAGAGTCTCAGTCGGTACCGAGCTAACCTTCGCCAGCGCCTGCTGATATGATTCTTTGGCGTCTGGCTGCACTGCTGCGATTCCAGCCACGTTCATCTTCCAGTACTTCTCAAGCTTCCAGGTTGGGATATCTTTGCAGTAAGAGGAAACGCACCACGCCAGCGTCTGCAGAAACACATCATCAGTAGCGTAACACTCAGGCGTAGTTTCCCCACTGCCCATCGCCATCATCGAGTGACCAGGCATATCCAGACTGGATTCTGTGCAGTTGAGGGGGCTAGAAGAGATAGCAGATCGACAGGCGAATGCACACGGCGGGTTGTACATGGTGATGCCATATCCTACCAGACCATGGCCAGCGCGTCCAGTGGAGGTCATGGACGACACCAGCCAGAAGTTAAGGCATGCCAGCAAGACGGACAATTTGAACATCATGATGGCAATGATGAAGGGATGACAATAATGAAGGAATTGAGGAACAAGGACGAGAAAAGAAGGTCCACTTATGCCAAATCAGCCGCTGGAGATAGATCGCTCCCGTGATATAAACAACCAAGAATTCAAGAGGGAAGGTCTCTTGCCAAGACCGATAGGTGCGATGGGGAATCTCGTGCGAGATATTGAGCAAGTTTGAGGCCCAGTCAGCCACTCCAGTATCCCACCGCCCTGTCAATAGAAAACTGAAGCGCATGATTATTCTAGCTCGAGGTTGGTTCTTAAGACCTCACAAGTCTTAAGCCATGTCTTGATTACGACTTCGTTGACGTTGAGCTGCTCAGATTATGAGATGAAGTGCTACAAATACCGAGAAAAATAACGTAGATTCAAGGCTTGGGCAATAAGTAATAGATTGGGATGACTGATTGTGGATAATAGCCTGTGTGTGGGTGCATATAGACTGCCCAGGAATGCACGTAGTACCCAGGGGTGTAAAACTCATGGCACATTCGCAAAAGAAGTGTGTCGTTATTACTACAACGACAGTTATACCTTATAACCCAAACAAGCTTCATAATACTAAACCTATTAGTGGCGTAGAATTACCAAGCGTGGGGGGTATTTTGCAAAGCTTCAACTTCTTACTTTCGTGGAGTCATGGGTGTGCAATGGATTCTGTCACTACCTGGTGGCGTCTGCCAAGTCTAACTCTGGAATCTTAGACTGAGTTTGACACCGAAGGCATGGAAAATTGGCATAGGTGTTCGTTCGATAAAGCCAATAAGTGAGCCAAGTATTGGAGTAACTAGGTAACCTTTCAGAGCCTGCGGAGATGGAACAGTTGGAGGGGAATACTGGTTGGGGAGCTGGTTGGGAAGTGGTTGCTGGGTTCTGAACGGCATGTTGGCTCTTGTGGAGGGTCACCCGATCCAAATGGCTTAAAGAATCAAATTCAATTCTTCATTTGAAAGAAATTTGCAAATTGTTTTGGAGAGGTGAGCAGCGCTGTTCTATCACCGGTTTGCAACTAGACAAGGAGGGGGTAGACTCACGTGACGCAGTCTTTGCCCCTGAAATTCCAATTTCCATACTCGCTCGTTTCAGGACTACTTACGTAGTAGTAGGCAGGAACCTATTTTTAGGTTTACCTCCAACTCTTGTCCTCCCTCGCGTCTTATTGACTCCCTCACGCCCACACTGTGTACGAAGTACGAAGTAATAGAATACATTTGAAGACGATACTTTCTCTCTTCAGTTATCAAACTCTCGAGTAATAGTTCTCGCGCTTTCCACGATCACTTCGCTTGACTTTGCTCGATACAATGAGTTTGTTGGGTGTTCCCGATGAAATCCTCCTCCAGATCTGCTCTCATCACGATATTCTTGAGCCTCAAGATTTATGCAACCTTTCCCTATCATGTCGGCGGATCAGCCATCCAGCACTTGTCAGTCTATACACAACAATCAAACTTAACGGCCTTAATTTTTCAGACGACCATAAAAGCCACAGACTTAAGAAATTTGTTTCTGCTCTCAATAATCACCCAGGCCGAGCTTGTTGGATTAAATTTGCCGATTTTTCTTGGTTGACAGAACATCCTGAGGCTACTATGCAGATCTTCAACTTACTAGCTCGAGTTCCAGCTATAATAGGACTGGATCTCGATGCGTACACCCCACTTCTGTACGCTGGCGATTGCGATCGGCCTCGATCAAAGATTGCACCAAACCCGTCGAATCTAGTGTGTCAATTACCATTTGCACAATCACTACGCAGGCTCAGCATTAACGATTCCAAGATCCTCATCTCTGATATCGCCCAGATCCTCACTCTCCCAAGCCTCAACTATCTTAGCATATCTCAATTCAATGAGCACCTCTCAAAAAAGATACTTGTCAACAAGTTTCGCTCTCCGCTGGCATGTACCTTGAAGGAACTTGTAATTTTGAATTCTTCACCACCAACAGGCCCCCTAGCTGCATATATACTCAGTAGACATTTGGGCCTAGAAAAGCTTACCTGGGAAAATATTACTCCGTTCCAATATCATCAGCGTCAAATATTGCCAGATTCTATATCAAAGGTCCTGCTGCCGCTTAGTGCAACACTTGTTGAGCTGCGGATCAGGTCAGATATTTGGCGCACCTACGATGATCGATATCTAGGAGATTTCTCCCAATTTCGGGCACTGAAGATTTTAAACATCAACGATGAAGTTTTGTTCTCGCGTCCAATACGTGGCACTATGCCTCGCAATATGGATCTAATTCTTCATGAGCGTCTCCCTAGCTCTTTAGAAACTTTGATGGTAAGTGGCTTGCAACACCTCTGGCTAGCTTTATCGTTGTAACTCTCCTAACCCATGCTATTAGATAGTGTTCAAGTTAGGCATCAAGCCTTTAATTGGAGAGCTTGTGAAGGACGAAAAAGACTATTTATGGCTTGTATCATTGTCCAATCGAAAGATTGATAGCCTTCCGCGGCTATCGTATGTCAAGATCAGTCAAGTGATGGCAGTGGGTCGCAAGGAGTTTGAGTGGGTGTATCCTCCGGATCTGGCACTTGCCTTTCATGCCTCGGATATCAAACTCAAAATTACCACCTTGCATGATTCTAATTGGGACCAAGCACTGCAAAGGCACGGTTCTGTGGATGCATGAGTACCCCGCTAGGACGAGAGTAAATTAACATCGTTTAATTGGTACCAGTTGATGGTCTTCTTTAATAATAGGGATGGTGACAACTTACGAAGGAAATGCCTGTCAACTCAGTCGAAACCATAGCAGAGCATCGCGTTAACCACTCCGCCAAAGTGTCAATATTATTGATAGCGATTCGCTTACTTTCATATATAACAGCGACATGACTGTCGTCGGAAAAACTTCCAAGCTACTCGAGTAGTATAAACTTACCCACAATTCCCACCACGCACCTGAACAAACCTCTCCCCGCGATCATCCCGTGTGCCCTGAACATTTATCCCCACTGGCCAGACATTCAACGGCATTGCAGCATCCGAAGCTATCCCTAATTTCTGCAAACTTTTCCCATACGTCCCCCAGGACGGTGCGAATTACGCTACCCAACAATCGTTTCCCTTTGATGGAAAACCTCTTCGAGACCGTGGCGGCCAAACTTGGATTGGCCCGGTTGAGAGAATCTATATAGCTACTCGTTGGGATGTAGGAGAATGCCCTATTAGCTAGTGGTGGACGAACGGAGCCTAGAAAAATCACTAGCTGCCGCTTATCTTAACTGTAAAGTATATTATAGGGACTATGTAGCTGGATTTACGGCTACCTGTAGAGCTTATAAGTGCTTCGCCGCTCACAATTTAAACGGAGCGATTAGTACCTAGTTTCCTTAGGTGATAGCTCAAAGAAGGATGTAGATAGAGGAAGAAGTAGTTATAAATATATAGAATATTTGGTCTTCCCCTTAGCTTTAGGTAAGTTTGAAATTGATTGTAAGGCTAGTGGATGCTTAGTTGCTTAGTAGGATTGGCAAGAAATTTTTAATTTTCTACGTGAGCGTTGGTGTATCACTTTTAACATTTACTTTAGTTAGACGTGTAGTTACAAGGACTTATTTCACGTAGATTCAGTTGTCTAACACAGTTTTCTTTTATATTTCCATAATAAACCTGTCTTGAAGTAGTCCCAGTTATTCTAGAATGAATACATGGAGCATAAGCCAGTCTTCCAAAGAGGGTTCTCGTATCTTCTATAAAACCCTCCTGTATTTGCTCACTGCCCAAATCCTGACTTCCCAACTCGACTATTGAATTATTCTTGGCTCCATTTTCCTGGCAGTATATACCATATAAGTTTCTCTATTTTATTATTATTCCTACTTAATAAGACCGATACGATACTTCTTATGATTGTAAATGATAAATCAGCTGATAATCTATGTAAGAAAACAAGTGATAATAGAATGCAGAATTTTATTGCAGACGTTATATATAGTAGTGAAGGCTCCTATACTAATCTAATATCATGCAGGAATGCGGATTTTCTGAAGCTGAAGAACTTGCCTGGGGCTTGAAACTGGACAAATACCCTGAACTTAGACAGCAGTTAACTAATACATCAGAAACGTGCAATATCCTATCCTTTATCAACAATTTCCATGCGTGTATTGTCCCTATTGTACCATTTTTGAACAGGGCCAGCATTGACCCTTCATGCTAAGAAGAAAGTCCCGAACCGTCCGATGAGAAACTCAACCCTATCCTTTCTGATTCTAAGGAACCCGCCACAATGAGGATTTATTCGTAGAACCCGTGCCCTCTTCTGGTGGTAATGACCCTCAACCAAATTCTCCAGTTGTTTAAAAATTGCTTCCGGATGCGTTGGGAGGACTCCCGAGTCCCAACCTCCCATACAAGTCTCGAATTGTGTCGCCCTTCACCAACCAATCTCTCAACAACTTTGTCACAAGAAATACCCCAAAGAAAACGGCATGTACCGCCTCAGTAATGTCATTGATGACCGATTCCATGGGCTTTTTGGAGAAGAACACCTCCCTCTATAGAGGGTGCTCCATCAATCGACTTTGGGCATAGACCGAAATATTCTAGAGAGCTAAGTCGTGCATATAAAGCTTTTGATGCTGGCGGACTCCAGATGCATCCTCGGAGATATCCAATGGTCCAGCTGAGAGACAACGCTTCACATTTAGTGTCATATATAATTCCTTCAATACCTGACACAGCTCAAAATGACCTCCATCAAGCTCATCAAGACTGTCGATAACAGGAAATATCTGGCCAGCGTCATAGGAAGTCGGGACCATTGTCTAAGTGCTTCGAGCAGCTCATAGAATAAAAGTTGTTTAAATCATTAATAGTCACTCGGACCTTTCTACTGTCAATATTTCTACGAATACCATTAGTCTCCTGTAGCTGAAGCTTTTCGAAGGTAGCGAGCTTTAGGGGCGGTACCCGTATCCCTCCCTGGTTGCACCGAGTTCTACTTCTGTGGGCCAAGTTCAGCTCTTGGTATATTCTCTCGTATTCCTCCATTTGGCCTTGACGTTGCTGAAATGCAGGAGGAGATTGCAAATAGATGGCGTCATAGTAAGGCAGCATCGTTGAGTATGTTGCATTAGTACTCTTCTCGCATAGACTCTGACGCCCCTTAGACATCCAGCTTTGTTGATTTTGGATTTATTTACACTTTACCTTGTGCATTTCCTATATTACAGCATTATGTTGTGCGAATAATTGCACCTGTTCTTTACGTACAATCCAGATCACAGCACAGCCTCGTCAGGCATGTTTCCTCTAAACCTGACCACAGTGCGTTCGTTCGCCCAGGCTAGCACTGCATCATAATCTGGACAATCATGTTTTGAGCCCCAGCCTGGACCGGCTTCCGTTTTCCCCTCAAGACTGGTATCTGCGGCACACAATATTGACTGTCGGAGATAATCAAAGCAGTGGGCAGAGTGATGAGCTACTTCTTGGATCAACTCTTTTTTGTCAAACGCTGTTTGGAGTGTCTGCACGAGGTATGACTTTTGAAGACATCAGCACATCATTCTAGTTGCTATGTGGAGTATGCCACTTTCTGTTGGGCATTTCGGGATGACACGTACAAGGCAATGAAGTTGGTGGAAAACCGACATCATATATACTGGCTCGCTATGGGTGATATTCATTTGTATAGAGTAAGGATCTCCCAGATCGAAAGAGTCCGAATCCTCAATTTTGACATATCCTCTGCCGTCTATGAGCGGGCTTGTCAGTTGTATTTTAATGCCCAAGCAGAAAATTTACCCACCTGCGCTCAATTCTATCCAGTTGTGAAGTGTATGGAGGGTCTTCTCCCTGCTATCGAACATGCCCTCGTTTAGGTATCTTGGGTTTTCGAGAAACGTATACGATTTTCGTGGAACTTTGGTAGTTTATCTTAGTAAGAATGGTCCCCTTGTTAATATATGGGCCACAAGTGAGAAACATACAACGAGGTACTGGAGAAGATTTGGTTGTTGCTCTATCGGGAAAAGGACGGATTAATAGAACACCTATGATGGCCGCCATCACAATCTCCAAGCCCAGTCGCAAATAACTTTTCGAAGCCGAAGTCACTTTTTGTGATCCATTCTCCAAGGACGAGATATCTTGCCGAGATTTAGGAAGAACTGCTTGCTGGTCCTCATCTTGTTCACGGTTGACGCGATCCATGATGAGATAACGCCCAGTTCATGAAAGGGGTCATGAAAGGGAAACTCAAGAAATGCGAAATTTCTGGGAAATATAATCCAAAGCAAAGTGTCAAGCTTGAGAAATTGTGAAGAAGTTCGGACTTGAAACTCCCAAGGTGGATAGGCGTAACTCGCACTTTAGGCTGTATCCCGAGTGTTTAGCCCGTGATGTCCCACGGCCACGCCCCCGCCCCGATCGATCCATACTCCCCGCGATATGGTTAAACGATCCTTGAAGTTATAATCATGCGCCTTGGAAACAAGAAAATCTCCACCTTGGGGGTGGTGGCTACAGTGCCGAGCCAATGCGATGGTCAACATTAGCGTTCGCCAAATCGCATTCGCAACTTCTGAAGGCTGGGGCTAGATTTTGTTTCCCTGAATATATATACCTGCTAGAGATGGTAGAGACTATGCTATCCAAACAATATTGCTGCTTTACTGTCGCTTCGGAATACGAAGAGAGGAAGCTCTATTCAAAAAGTGGTGGAAAAAATAAATGGGGAACATTACAAGGCGAAAATAGCAAAAGAGTTCGCTGCCCACTGCCAACTAATCTCTACCATTTTGTGGTTGTCGTAAGACCTAGTTATAATTCTCTTTGATATGAGTGTCGTGTGACGCTTGTTAGGAGCGTCTTAAAGAGCTGGACTGTCGTTAAATTGGTTTACTTATTTGGATATATATTCTAGCTGAAGTTAGTAGCGAAGTTATGCCGGCTGACCGACCGGTAGTAAGATGGGAGATAGGCAGAAAAGATAGGGGTTGTCTTCTTGATCACTTGAATTGGAAAGATGACGACAACTTAAATTATCTGACACTTCTTGCAGTCAACGCAGAACAGAATACAAAACCTAAATACAGAAGGACCTTCCAAATTCGTAGTATTAAGCAGCTATACATATTCCTGGCAAACTCGAAAATGCACATGTGCATCTGGAAAACTGAACATATAAATAGCACAAGTCCTAGAAAAGCCTTAATAATTATCCTGTAGCCTTTCCTAAACCAATAGCCCTAGGCCTCTACATAACCCTACTTCGTAAAATTACATCAACAACTGCAAAGTATACCGCGGATAGTCGTAGTGACGAAGACAGAATGCTATAACTTATTGAGAATATGCCTGTGCTAACCTTACACCAAGGATATAAATGGGCTTCTATACCCTTACTCGACAGAGGATGGAAGCATAAAACTCTCTATATCCTATTCCCCAGTCACATCCAAGATGTGCGTCCTCTTTCCGGTGACAACTTGCCTTCGGACTTCTATTCCCATATGAAAACTGTTGATTCCAAATTGAAAGTACATACGATCTGACTGGGGAACCCAGCGGCGTCTAAGCTGTTTATAGGAATTGAATACCTCTTCTAAAGTTTCGAGCGGGTCAAGTATGTCAGAATTGACAAGTAGAACATTTCTGGCAATTCTCAAAATAACAAAAATCTTTGTACTATCCACGGTTCGAAATTCGAGAGCGCCGATAAAGCCCATGGAGTTAGTAGGACTAGCTGCATGGAACATCAAATCTTTGGAGGTGGGTAAGACATCTGAGGAAATCGCGTTAGGAAGATGTGTATCATGAAGCCAAAAAATGCCATCCCCGGAACTAGAGATTTTCACCAATACATGCATGCACGCCTCTGCTGTGTGCCGTAGTCGCCGGTCATGGGCCACAAATATATGTTTCCGTTCGAATGTAGCAACTCTGTCGACGCTGATAAACTCTGGGTCGATATTCCACATCCTCACGAATAGATCGTTTTCCCGCGGTGCTTTCTGAAGATGTAGTCCAATAAGACTACCCGGATCACTGACACTTTCACAACTCAAAATAGCCAAGAATATCCCGGGCCATAGTTGTGCTAGAGGGAGTTCCAGGTTTATCCCCCTGTTGGTAGAAGTAAACTCGGTCTTCATCAACTTGGGTGATTGAATAATCGCACCACAGCCAAAAAAGGCTTTCGGGGAGGCGGCAAGGAGCCCTAGGCGGGTATACTCATTGGAAGGCCTATCCGGTGAGAGCAATTTTTTCTCGTTTCTCCAGGCGAAGAGAGAGTTATCATTCGAGACCTTCATAATACCCTCTTGAAGCCGAATGAACGCCCGCTGACCTTCCCCATAAAGTAAGGGCATATGGACGTCAAATATACCAAGCAAACAGTAGGCCATATCTTCCGGCCTACTTGTTTCTCTTTCGGCCGCCCAAGACATCTTTTGCGCGACGCTAAAAGCGTTCAAGTCCCAGTCCCCGTTTGAGAGCACATTAACATCAATACCCGTGATCTTGGAAATGGGCGACTGAAGGCTTGTTTTCGTTCCGACTTCCCACCAATCATAGTCGAAGAATATTACATTGGCCGGGGCAATGAGTTCTTGAAGGGTCCACCCTCGAGTGAACCACTTGCTTTTCGAGAAGGCAGACTTCGGGTCAAAAAGATCCATGCCTGACGGTAGATCTACCAAGTAGACGTAGCAGACATCAGCTCGTTGATACCATGAGTACATAGAATTAATAGCTTCAGATAGCTCCGAACTGCTGGTCTTATCTATGCAGCAGGTATCTATCCAGACGAATTCGAACCCATCCTCCACAGCTATTTCACAGCAGCGCTTGATTTTTGTGTAGCCCATCTTCTGACCTAGACCAGGAGCTTGGATATCTTGGAAAGAGACCTCTTCGTCGCCCCACGTGTGTGAAAGTATCGCGTATGGCGGAATCGATGACCCAATGAAATCCCTGAACTCGAGGGTAGTAGAGTTGAGAAGCCGCATCGTTGTTGGATACTGAAGACTTGTAGAAAACGGCCGAACAAGTGATATATCTACTTGTTTATCACTATTAGTTGAAGTTTGGTGGGCTTTTGGCCCAGTATAGGCAACTTCGGGAGGAGGTAGTTCGTTCTAAAAAGATCCGTGATGGTTGGAAGGAAGAGTGAGGCTGCGAACAGGGCTTACAATCATGTTCAGCCGCAGCGGTCCTTGTCCTTCCCTCCCTCGCTTGGCGGACAAATAGGTGCTGTCAGACCACAGGAAGCATCGCCAGCTGAATCTAACTTATTAGGCGCGATGAAAATCAGAGAACAACTCCCAATAAATAAAAGCATATGAGTAGTACGTGCACGTCAATATTGTTCGTAAACTTTTGACAGCCTCAGTACCCCTGCAAACTATTTTACCGCAATAGAATTCGTGTAGAGTTCTAGGCCGGACGAGCTATGAACTCAACATCAAATCAAGGTATAAAACCTACTCGTCTGCATTACGAGGGTATCCTCAGGGGAATTCGACTTTGTACGGATTGACTTCGGCTCCGCAAAGCACAAACGGGCTTGATAAGCATTAGGCATGCCTCCAGATATCCAGCTTCTGCCCTCAGGTTTAAGCCACACTTTCCATGGACCAACGGAAATGATATGTGCAATATGGGTGACGACCTTTTGGGGGAGCTTCCCTCGAAGACTGGATATCGAAATTGAATGGGATTGCCTAGGATCTCGCCGCGGGGTGCGTGTAATATTCAGTCATCTTGTAGGATCTTAGAGCAGTAAAGAACGAAGGTTTTATGATAGCAAACTCCAATATTTTTCCACTGCCGACTAGATATCTAAACAAAAAGTGATATATAAATCATGCTAAACATCATTAAAATGGCAAATTTTCCAAATTGGAGAGACTGCCCAGAGCTGGATGAAGCAGCGGGTGCTCCGTTCGAAGTCGTTGGCGACGACGATGAAGCTAGCGAAGATGATGCTGATGAGGCCAAACTGGCAGTCGCTGTGTTTGAAGCTTTTGCTTCCACAGATGTAGAAGTCGTACCAGCCATCAAAGTTGCCGTACCTGATGTAGCGGATGCTCCCAAAGTAGACGTAGCGGTATTAGCATTGAGCAAACTTGGAGGTGCATTATTCACAGCTTTCCCACAGGCTTGTAGTCTCTTCCATCCCTTTTCAAATGCTTCCGCCCACCATGGACCTCTCGAGACCAACAAGTAGCTGATAAAAGTCTTCGAAGAGATGGGTAAATCGTGCGCGGTCTGGTAGAAGGCGCCCGTGCATACGTCGTCGCAAGGGAAGGTGTCCGAGTTGTTTAATCGTTTGTAATGGCAATACGTACCATCACTGCGGCAATATTAGCAGTGGCACTGTCCACGTCGAGGATATTCTCAAACATACGTATCTTTACGGCAGCTGGACTTCCATGTATATTGAAGCAGCATCCCAACGGTATCTACATGGTCCAGTATAATGCCGGGAACATTGCTCTCGAGCGCTGAGTCTCCAGGCGCCGTGCAAGCCTCTTGAACACCCTTCACGTATGCCTCCAAAGAACTCTTACAGGCCGGCGCGCAAGTATTGTCGAAATCGGAGGGTGTGGGTTTGAAGACAGAGCGCATTGAGGCAACGAGACCGAGAAGTGTCGGGTCGCAATCGATATCGGCGCTGTATGCATTCTTGCAGGCTTCGGAGGTGGTTTTGCTGAGGCCGTTCTTGGTGGTGTAACTCCAATCTGGCCCGGAAATATCCAGACTAAAGGTCGCGCTCACAAGGTTGCAGAGACAGAGTGTCGCAATAGCAGATATCGAGATACGGGAAGAAAGCGCGGAGGGTCTCATGGCGACAAACAAGAGGAGCGCGGTAATATTAATATTATGTATATATTAATCAAGTACAGTACGTACTTCGTACAACGAAAATGACAGTGGTAGTTGAACGAGAGATCCAAATGAGCGACGGGATTGAAAGAGATCGAGGGGCATTAACTTGGGGGGAATAACAACGCGAATGGAAATATTATTTTCTCGGATCCCCGCGCCATCATCCAGAGATTTGAACTTGGGGCAATCTTATATTTCTCGGCAATCTTCCCTCAGCGACCCACAAATGGGGCTTACATCCCAATCTCCGAGCAATTCTCCCCCCGTTTGCTCGATAATGGATTCGGATATATATAACGCGCCAGTACTCGGCCTCACCAAGCTTGGGACAGGAATCTCGCCATTTTATAGTTTTAATATACAACCCTCACAATCCCAGAGCCATCGATCGTAACTTTGCGATAACTCTTTAAAATCCATGCGAAAGTCAGGGGATAAACGGCGTAGGTACGATGATAGCAGCTGAGCTTTGGAAAACTTAGGTGAAAATACTGCTATTGAGATTATATCCCGAAGAATGTGCAAATATATTGGGTTTGTTTAGTTACCTGGTCAATTAAATCATTATGTCATTGGATTCGGGGTTTTTGGCTGCAGGCTGATGGCCGTTTCTTCGCCACACATGCCATAGGTATTTTAGTATACTTTCTAAATCGATCCTGAAACAATGATCCTACCGAGAAACATCTTGCCAATCAGTCGATCACTGGTCGCTTACATGGCCTAAGGTCGGCCGCGTCCATCGCGGTTATATCGCTTGCAACATTGCTCAGCCACCACGTCTTAGGTGATATCCGGGCCCGGTCTTAGTGTTCCTATCACTATCCGTTCTACATCCGCGGTTCACAGGTTATTCGACGCGCAGTACCCCACCTACAGAGACTCCTACGAAGGAAAAGGTCTCTAAATAGGACAAAGTACTAAAAGTGCACATGTCACTCGGAGCTCTTATTCGACAGTTATTTTCGTAGACTTACTCACTTGGCAGCCGGGCAAGATGTCTCCCGGCGCAGTTCCAACCAACTTGATCATGGAGGATTGATCACTAACTATGGTATTGACAAGAATAACAGAGTGGCGAGAGATAGGGACAAGAAAAAATGTATATAACGAGGTCCGTTGGCAGCATGAAACAAGAAACATTCAATACCATCACATCACATCACATCACATCATCCTCTCAAGTCTCCAAATCATTTCATCGATTTTTCGCCCTCAGATATCAAACATCATCCAAGATCTAACACGATTTTCTATCCAAACCACAAAGAAACCTCCAATCCATCAAAATGAAGGTCTCATTCTCCGCCATCTTCGCCGCAGCACTCTTCTCCTCCCTCAGCTCTGCTGCTCCCACCAAGAATGCCGCCCCAACAGTCCGCGTCCAGCTAAACGGCATAAGCGGCGAAGACGCAATCCAGCGCGAAGTCCCAGCCGACAACTCTCCCTTCTCTCTCGGTGCTGCTCGAGACTTCTTCAGCGCCCAGATCGTGGATGCCGAGGGCTTGAGACAGCCCGCCTGCCAGGTCTTCTCCGATTTGAAGGGCCTGGTGCCAGCTAGTGAAATTTCCGTTACCACCACCGAGACGGAGTTGTTGCTCGGAAGCAGAGGATCTGTGCAGGTTGGGTCTTTGAGATGCTCTCATTTGTAGGAAGGAACCCTCGGAGAGGCGGAGTTAGGAACGGTGCATCGGGAGGACGGTTTTGGGTTGGGGGTTAGAGGCGTTTGTTTATCTTCTTGGGCTATATGATGCCAGCCACATTCTTTGAAGCCCTTTATAGAGACTGGGTTAGATGATAATATTCCAATCCCAAACATCATATTATTCATTTTCCACTGTCAACGTGACATACTGTGGTACATTGTAAAAGATTTGCGTTTGAGCGACGAGCGTAACTTTACCACGGGCGCTCACGGCATATTCGCTGTGGCCGTCCCAAGCACATTTGCATTTATCATGGTGGAAATTCATCAGCTCATGGGGTACTACTAGTGACGAACAATCTTTGCGGTGTTCCAATAGGCCTCTCCATATCAAGGTCATACTAAGATTCAAGGAAATTGTAAGCCCATAAGCCGGGATAGCAAGCAGCCTTGCTGCAAATTCAGTCGACGATTGATGACTACATCTCATCGCTATTAACAGGTATCCCAAACAAATCTCAAAGGAAAGACATAGAACGAAACCCCTTCACTTGAAACCAGGCCTGCGGCACCTTCGAGTGTAATGGTTTGGTGGCTGGCTGGAGCAGTTATGCTAAGAAGGTGTGTCATTATCCTAATAGGTGCGTTATTATTACGTTCTCATCCAAACGCCCCACGTGTGCCAAATAAAACCTCGGAGTTTCTGTAGCCACACCCACCCAAGTTTCTCAGTCGAATGGCAGTGCCAACGCAACTTCATTCGCATCACATCGCTCCTCGTCCAAAATCCAAAGTTTTGTCTCTCAGATTCAATCAACAGTTATATCCGTTGCATTTTTCGTGAGGGTTGATTTCATGTATTTTCCTTCATCGCCGTGTTTCGTTTTGCAAGCTCTCCATTCCCAATCACAGAGTCGAAGTGTTAGGGATCTGTTCATCCAGAGCAAACAATTTCTAGAAACGCGGCAACTCAAGGCCCGATGCTAGACGACGAAGTCATCTGATATTGGAGCTGCTCCTATATTCAGCAAGGCCTCTTTCGTTTTCTCATGCTTGCATACCTGTCCTTGAGTGCGAAGTTAGGTTACGCTGCTTAGGCACACGTTGTCCTTACGTGAAGAGAACACTGGTGGGCGCGATAATGGCGCAACTGCAGTTGGTCATCTTCTTCCTCTCCAGGACCAAGAGTTTGGCATCAAAATGAGCGCTTAAGCACCTCTTGTTGATGTTGGTCACTGCCACTGGGGTAGTGCTCCCAGGACGCCACTGATTTTTGAAAGCTAGCCCCCAAAGAATCCTATCCCCCATGTTTGTTGGGCCGTCTCTGAATTTTAATGACTGCAAGGCAATCACACGTTGGGTGATCATCAGGCTGCTGCTATTGCTTTCCTTCCCGGGTGTGAGTTGATATCCCGTCACAGTCACTGCCTGGTATGTACCACGGCATGTGATGAGCAAAGCCCCTCCGAAGTCGAGGCGTATGGCTTTCCGGATTTGGATAACCCTTGGCATGAGTGAATCCCTATAGGCTGTGGAATCACTATGCATCCGCGTTACACTATCTCGCATGCTACAGGCAGCAGGTTGGGTGTTTGCTCAGTGGAGAAGATGTCAACCCCAAGCGGCGGCAAAGGGACGATCTACCGAAGTACGAAAATCGGTGGAATTGTTAGGATCCAATACGCCATTTAGGCAAAGATCCGTTCCTTAATCGGATATTCACCGAATATTCTACTGCAATCAGCCTCGAAACGGGACAGTCAGGTTCGGAAAGGAGACTCGTCTTTGCCTTTGTGCAGATGAAACAGGAACAATGTGGCGTATCACAACTCGGCCCATGCAGCCCTCGACAGCCCGGCAAAGCCCATAACCAATTTCAATGGAAAAGCTAGGAAGTTCCGAAGGAAGTTGGAGTTGGGGTTTTTGGGGTTGTTGGGGCGGTAGGAGCTGTTGGAGTTGTTGGCGTTAGGTGTTGGTTCTAAGTTGGTGTTGGTAGTTGGACTCCAATAGTCGACCCGGCCCCCTACTTCAGCGTAGTACAACAAATCGCTTGCGATTGGCGAGAGCAGATGTGCACGGGTGGTGTGAGCCACGGCTGAGCAACCAAAGTGAAACCTCCAAATCCCGCAATTTGGAAGTCTTCCCCTTTGTCCGCTTTATCTAATTCATGAGGCCCACGATTCCGCCAAACCTTGGTCACCACCCCGCTAGCCTTATACCCATTTTGTGCCATTGTTAGCGCGTTTACCGGCTTTCAACTATTGATCAAATCGCTCAACGAAAAATCAACACAACCAATATTGCCAACCCTTTTTACTTCATGACTGACTTGAGCAACTTGAGCGAGCTGCTGAAGCGGGTTGAGTTCCTTCCAAGGAATCAAAGAGATCAGATGTTGGCAAAAATGCAAACAGAGTTGGGATGTGCTCTCCCACCAGCCTCCCGGCATGCCATCACCTTCCATCTTCCTCAATGGTCCAGTCTTGTCCCCTTCATCGAGAAAGACCAGGTCGGAGCACTCAATAGCGGCTATCCTCATATGCTATGGCATGACGATGTCAAAGACGTAATGTTTCCCAGCCACACCTCCCTCGGCCTATTGAATAACGTCCAACCCAGCTTATAACTAAAATTTTCAAACACAGCAACACTCGTGAAGGCCAAACGGCTTTTATTTTTACATCTTCCGTTTCCGCAGCGGAATGTAAAGAATATGGGACCGCCGCTGATCGTGGCAAGGAGAATATGCTGTCCCCAGAAGACATATCAATCCGCGTTTTTGATGTGAAGGGTGAGATACGGCTCTACGTCGTCATCTTTCCCGAATCCAAACTCCCCATCCTTCATCCCTTCTGGCAGGTATCGGGGAGGGGCATCTCCTCACGTCTTGCTGAGGAATGCCTCAAGAACATTGAGACGCTGCGGGAAATCACCGAGGGATCAACAAGCCCGATACCAACGGTAAAAGAGTCAGAAGCTCATTCCAAAATCCGAGACCGGATCGCGAAGCTTCTAGAACGTGCGCCTATCGGGGCCCCCCGGAGGGTAAAGGTAGCCCCAGAAGATGTCTATCTCTTCCCATCAGGGACGGCTGCGATTTACTCGGTCCACCGGCATCTATTGGAGGCGCGTTGCTCAAACCCGGCCCTCTTTGGGTTTGCTTTCCATAATACCCTCCAAATTTTCGACTTTTTCCAACCAGGCTACAAACTCTTTGGCCGTGGAACGGATGATGAGCTAGTTGACCTAGAAGAATTTCTCGAGGCACAAAAGGAAGAAGGGGAGAACGGCCAGGCAATTTGGGCTGAATTTCCTAGCAACCCGCTCCTAACGGCCCCTCAGCTGAACCGTTTACGGGAACTGGCAGATAAATACGGAAGTCTGCTCATTGTAGACGACACAATTGGAGGCTTCTGCAACGTTGACTTGCTGAGTGATGGGGCCGACATGATCATAACATCGCTCACCCGGGCCTTCAGCGGCCACGCCGACGTGATGGGTGCAAGCGTGGTCCTCAACCCAGCCTCACACCGATACAGCGAACTAAAGGACATCTTCAACAGGCACTTCGTCAACGATTACTACACTCTTGATGCCATTGCTATGGAGAAAAACAGCCGAGATTATCTGGCTCGATCGGCCATTTTAAACGCCAACTCCCTCGCACTGGTCAAATTCCTTGACACCAAAGCAAAGGACCCGAACAGCACCGTGCGGCAGGTCGATTACCCTACCACCTCCTCGTCAGTTGTCAATTACACGGCTTATATGCGCCCTGGCGCATCAGACTTCAAGCCCGGTTACGGGTACGTGTTCACCGTCGAGTTCGAATCTATCGAGGCTACCCAGGCATTCTATGACAATCTGGATACCCACAAGGGACCACATATCGGCGCTCATTTGACAATAGCGCTACCTTATGTGAGATTTTGGTATAGTGGTCAGTTGGAGTGGGTTGAAAAGTTTGGGATGAGGGAGACTCAGGTGAGGATCTCTCCGGGTTTGGAAGATACTGGGGAGTTAGTGGAAGTGTTTAAGGCTGCAGTAATGGCCGCCGATGAAATTGAAATGCCCAAGTAAGACAAATATTCGGGAAGAGTTTTGGTTTTCAAGGGAGAAACGAGCCGAGTTGAAGGTGTGGGAACTTAGAAATGATTACCCGGAGAAGACTCACACAGAGTGCACTCGCAGGAGAGGACTGAGGGGTGGTACTGAAAGGTCGGGCCAGGAAACTGCTTTTCAATTTGGGCCGCGTTAAATGCTAGCACCATTTCATATTCCAAGAGATATCACAAGCTTACCATTCTAATGATATTCTCCAATGCAGCATCAACATGTATGCAAGTGCATGCGACCCCTTTATTCAATACCATAAATTTTTATCTGCTACAGATCATATTCTGCTGTGACTTGACAAAATCATAAATGATAGGTTTTAGTCTATATAAAATATTTCTCTAAAGGTATGCCAACGCTTTTCCAGTTATTAGGGGCAGGAGAGAGAAACGAAGCTGGATAAATCTTCTGAAACGGGTAAAATTAACACAGAATAGCGAAATCAAAAAGAGAACAGCTCATATTTTCCAACGCAGGCCATGACCATTAGCCAGCAACGTATGTGCTTTCAGCATTCGTAGATGGAGGAACCCACATCTTCCAAGCCACCATATCCCCAAGTTCCTTCTGCACCTCCCACATGCCCTCCTTATAATCACTTAAACTCTTTCCGGCCCTCCGTACACTTTTGATACCAACCTTCGGCGCATCGTTCCCACCCTGGATCTCTTTTCCCTTCCCAGCATCCTCTCCATCTCCCCACACCCTCTCAAACCAGTCGCCTAAATTATCTAGCACCGTCTTCGCCTGCGCGGGCCGTCCACTAAATGTATAATTCCACATCGGCTCTTTTAGAATTAAATCATGTTTTCCATAATACCATTGATCCTCCAACTTCCCCCTCTCGTCATCGGGAACAATGTACACTTCCTTAATCGGCCGGTTCCTTAACGCATAAAGAGAATTACGAAGGGGCTCCCAAGTCCCGTGAGGGGCAGCTGCTCGAAGCCAGAGCTTGCGGTCCAGTGCTAAGTATTGCAGCCTCGGCAGCTCCTGGGGGGAGACGGTGCAGAGGAATTTTTCTAGGTGTTGGGGGGAGAATTCAGGACCGAGGTAGATGATATCCCTATCATACGCTAAATAAACCCGCTGTGGGGAATATGGCATAACTCTCTCCAACACTTCCCCTGCCCTCCTCCTCCGATGGAGGGTCCCCCGCCGTGGTGCCCAAACTCGGTATTCGCGCTCTGCAAACTCATTCTTAGGGTGATAACGCCAGGGAATGTATAACTCTGATTCATCGTAACCTTCCCAGACGGACACGCCAACTTCCACTAGCTGATAGACCCTTAGGCCTTCAAGACGGGACTCACGGTTCACTTGCAGGACTGGAGGCGGGGAGTGAGGCCCAGCACTTATTTTGAGGGGGGAGGAAGGGTTGGATGGTTTCCAAGTGCGGAGCTCGATCACCCGGGGGTTGGAAGTGGAGAGGGCCCAGATTTTGAGGCGCAGCTCAGGAGGGAGGCGGGAGAAGTTGGGAAATGTTGGGGGCGCTGAATGGGAGAGTTGGTGATATATCTGCTGATTCTTTGGGCGGGGAATAATGAGGGAAGAGGGTGTGGGGATCCATTTTATGTGAGGATTGGGCGTATAGTAGGGGCCCGTTGTAGGGGCTGGGAAGGGACGTGATGCTAATGACGTTGATGTCGATGTTGGTGGCACTGGGGCCAAGTAGGCAGTTGTTATATTTACCCGGGTGATAGTTGGACCTGGTCTATAGGACGAATTTAACAACTCGTGTGACGTGCAAGCCGGACAAGAACATCGGTATGACATTGTGGACTGGCTATGATGGGAGCGAAAATGTGATCTGCTCTGAGATATGAATTAGTAAAGTGGGAGAAAAGAGTAGACAACTTACCTATTAGAATTATGACTATACCGTCGTCAAACTTCCCCTTTCTATCTCTTCTTTTTTGTGCTTTACACTCCATCTCGACGTCGACATTATAACCTTCGACGCTCATTCATATATATCTGCCAATGCAGCTCTCGCCCAGACCCAATCCATCTCGCTCAATCTCACCCTCTCTTCAGCCAATAATCTCGCCCTATCCTACGAGCCCAACGCCCTGTTACTGGGTCCATGTTGCTCAAAATAAGGCGATCCATCGATGGTTCGCCAATGCCATGTAGTTGGTCGGTAAGGCTGACGGCGGCGGGGTGAGGAAATAGACGAGGTTTCTCCCCTATCGCCGATCAGCTTTATCGCTCAGCAACATCAACACCACCCAATAGATGTCCAGCCTCACGTCTCACGCTGCTGCATATGCAAGACGAATCCTCTTCAGCCCATCACGTCAATTCGGGGCCTTTGCCTCATTCTCGAGCACTTGCGCCATCACTCGCAGCAATAGGATAGGAATAGTAACTATGGCAACAAATGGTGTTGACGCCTCGTCTTTACCAACGAGTCCACCTAAAGAGGAGGGTCCTAGGAAATTGAAGATTTTAATGCTCCATGGTACGAAGTACCTCTCCCCCATTCCTCCCCTGTCGCTCTGCTCAAAATGTCTGACGACCAACTAACAATAACAATTATTACCAGGCTACACACAATCCGGCCCCCTCTTCCGCTCTAAAACCCGCGCGTTGGAAAAACTACTTCAAAAATCCTTCCCTACATCCAAAACGTCTCCCTATCCCGGAGGTGTAGCCCTCCTCTACCCCACGGCTCCGATCCATCTCCAACCCGCCGACATCCCAAACTTCTCGGGCACCTCTGAAACCACAGACGAGGCCAAAGAAGAGCTCGATGCCTGGGGTTGGTGGACAAGATCCTCCTCCCCTTCCTCGGCGGCCCCATCCTCTGCCGATGCAGACGTACGGTATGATGGACTATCGGACGGCTTAGCAGTGATAAAGGACACGATCCTCGCCGCAGGAGGGGTAGACGGAGTTATTGGGTTTAGCCAGGGTGGATGCGCTGCACTGTTCGTTGCCTCATTGCTCGAACCCTCCCGCTCTGCATCATTCTCTGCCCACAAACCAGATGGGGTGGATTACCCAGAAGGGTGGGCTGAACTCTTTAAATTGCAAGAATCGGTTACCGGAGGAGCATTAAAGTTCGCTGTGTCGTATAGTGGATTCTACGCACCAGGTAGACGACACATTCCATTTTACGAACCTAAGATTGGGACGCCGAGTTTGCATTTTATTGGCAGTTTGGACAGTGTTGTGGATGAGACTCTGAGTACGGGGCTTGTGGACAGATGCGTGGAGGGCAAGAGTAAAGTGGTATATCATCCAGGCGGGCACTTTGTGCCCGTTGGGAAGGAGATGGGCGCCGTGCTTGTGGGTTTTGTGAGAGATTGCTGCGTGCATAAGGAAGAGAAGAAAGAGGAGAGTGTGGAGGACATGGATGTCCCGTTTTGAATTACTATCCAGGTTGCATAGCGTGGAGTTTTTGGGCATACCGAAACGAACATTCATAGATGGGTTAGACGAGAAGATGGCTCATAGCATGTGTGGTACCTCATATCTAGACTAGTATACAGCGGTATTACGATAGAGAAATAAGCTTTTAGAATCACGCCTTGCCGTCTAATGGGCCTTTCCGGCTTTTGACCCCTTAGGGGCCTTCGTCGGCTGAATCCGGGCCATCATTTCCTCCTTGGTGATCAAGTGATCAATTCTCTCCAACAATCCCAATAAACTCTTCATATTCCCGCTCCACTCATTCAGAACATCATCCGCGTCTCTTGGCTTAGCAAAATTGACGATGCGTGCGGGCCGATCGATCTTCGCGTAAACGGTCTTCGCTGTGACCAGCTCGCTGATGTACTTCTCCGTCTCGTCTTCAGTCAAGTCAAGAAGTTGTGTCAATCGGGGCATTTGGATTCGGGTATAGTATTTTGCGACCACACGAACGTTGTGTTCAATAACACGCTTGCGTAGATCTTCCCATCGCTTATTGGCCTTGGGGTCTGAGGATTGACCGGGCTGGGCATCGAAGACGTCGGTACTGCAGAGGTGAGGACCGAAGACTTTCGCGACCTCTGGCCATCGCATGAGCTCGTGGACGGTGAAGAGTTTGAGGAGTTGTGCATCTAAGGCGACTTGGGTGTTTCGGCTATCTTTGTGGACGCGGTGGAGGAGGTCAGATTGCTCATTGTCGTATGGGGCGAGGATAACATAATAGATGATTCTTTGCAGGATCTAGAGGGAGTTAGGAGGGAACAGGCGGGAGAATAGTAGACGGCGGAAATCTTACCGATTGAAGCTTCTGGGAATCCTCCTCCACTGCTTCAGTGTCCAGAACCTGTCTATAGTGCTTACAAGCATCGAGATACTTATCATCGTGCTTCGCCAGAGTAATCTGTTGCTCGTAGTATCTCAACTTTAGGTCCGTAACATCGTCCTGCACGGGCTCCGGTACATCCTCTCCTTTTTCTCTCTTCTTTTCACGGTCCTTCTTCTCCTTGTCTAGCTGCTCCTGGCTCTTCTTGGGCTTTCTCGACAAATATTTCGTGCTGATTTTCCGACTCAGAATCCCTGCCTGCGTCCAGTCTTCGCTTTCTATGCACAATGCAACCTGGGCCAATATAAATTCAGTCTTCTCCCGTCGTTCCATAGACCCAAACGTCTCCACTTGGAGCTCGCACAGAATATCCGTAGCCGACTTCAGATCGCCCTGTTCTTTCTTGATGTCCGACAGGATCTTGGTGACGCGAGCCCGCTCGACTTCAACAAAAATTTTGCCTTCAGTGACTGTTCGTAGGGTCTCGATGACAGATAACCTTGTTTCCATATCCGGTGCTGAATCTAAAAAGCCCATCACTGTCTGCACCATCTTGGTTGCAGCCTGCTTGAGCTGGCCATGCTTCTTGGATAGCAGCAGCACCTGTTCATTAAGCAGACCCCAATCCCCTGAATCTTTGGCAATGGTGACTAATGCGACGAGAATCCGAGATGTAGATGCCAGGTCTGATGCCTTTTCCTCCAGTTAGCACGCCCATTACGATCCGGCAGGGAGTGGCTCACCTGTCGGGTTTGTTTTTCCAGTGCTGTCAGTTTCTCGATAGCTGCTTGCACATTTGTCTATAAAGATTATCAATGACTGTTTCATAGATGCGCACAAGTTATCGTCATACCTTGGCAAGCTGCTCAGCTTCAGGAAGCTGTTTGTCAACCTCCTTGGAGAAGTCCTTGTCGGGCTTCAGCACCTGGCCTTCCGACATGATGGGCAGAAGATGCTGATGATTGGTATGCAGGATTCGGATTGGTACTCGGAAGTATGCTGGAAATGGGAGGCAAGGCAGATAGGAACGTCGAGAAGTCGGGCGCGAGACTTGGAGGAAGTTGAGATGGGGAGCTATGGGATGTTTAGGTTGGAAGCTTGACGCGGCAACGTTGAAGTTGCACTATTGGTCGCCTCCGTCAGCCTCGCCCTGCTTAAGTAAGTATAACCAATGTCACGTGTTCACCGAACCCGCGTCACGTGTGAAGCGTGATGTTCGCGAGTCGTCGCGCAACAGTACAAGGCGAGCCACGCGACAAAAGTACAAGGTGATAAATAAGTACAGTATTAATTAAGGCGGTCAATTATAATAGTCGCGCGGTGAGAGATCGCCTACTTCAAAGAGCCAGATTTTGTTTAAAACAATGTCAAAGTCAACCTCAAACAGCCTGTTCGACTACTATCGCACCTGGCCACCAAAACACAAGGTTGCTCGTCCTAGATAAGCAAACAGTGCTGTGTAACATGCTGAGCTTCGTCAGTGGCAGTGGTGCCCGTTCGAGGAGATCAGCGCAGCAAATTTCCAGCTCTGAGCCACGTGGTGAAGTCGAAAACATGTCCTCAACAGCTCCCCGTCGGTCAGCAAGGCTCCCGTTGCCCGGATTCAGGTAAGACAGAGTGTAGGGAATAATACATTACAATCAGCTAACCATACGCTTCAGTGGCCCGCAATCTATAGTAACCATACATGTCAGCCGAAACAAAAGGAAGCAGACCTTTCTGGTCCATAAGCAATTTATTTGCTTTTACTCTAGTTATTTCAATGCCGCGTTCAATGGTGAATTTCAAGAGGGCCAAACACAAACCCTTGAGCTAGAAAACGTTTTTCCGAGTCTGTTTGCTATATTTGTCAACTGGATCTACACCCAGAAGATCGTGGCCGACGACAATTATGCACCCACTCTGTTTTCTCTGATTCAGCTTTGGATTCTCGCCGATAGGCTACTTGTTCCGAAGCTCCAGAATAAAATACTTGGTCAACTAGAGATTCGCCGAGCAGATAATGTCCCCTTTTCCGGTGAAACACTTGCTTCTTTCTACAATCACACGGTAACCGGGAGCCCTTTACGTCGGTACCTCGCAGCTTGGTGTTCGAACGGTATCGAATGCAAAATCAAATTAGCCGATGGGTATCCTCAGGAGCTACTGATTGACATATTTAACTGGAACTTGGAACATAACAATACGCACCCAGGTTACTTTACGGACAAGCAGATAAAGGATTTATTTTGGGTTAAGTCGGAGGAAGATGATGTTATAGACCGAGAGGTACGGAAGTATCGTAGATATCAACTTACTTGATTGAGTCTAACATGTTATATCTAGTCAAAGGGTTTTTGAAATACTCACTAGATCGCCGGGTCGCCGTCACGTCATCTTGTAGCTTGGGAATTCGCCACTGTTTTACTGCTACTCCTAATTTACTTAACGTGGCAGAGGTTACTTGGACTCCAAATCCCTTTTCAAGGTGCATTCAAGATTGTACACAACTTATACAGCGCCATCTTGGTGTTGCCTTATTTGTATAGGCAACAGAAGGATGCCGCCATCTTTCACAACTGTTGGGGCACTCAAGCTACTTTCTAAACATACATAAAAGTGCCGGTGCGCACTGATACATGGTGGTGGATCATAGATACAGGCCAGCATATTCCTGGTTACTAGCACACGCCAGAGGTTTGCGGTTCGGAGACGAATGTATTTCCACCCGCAATCAAAATAGAAATTACATTTCCTCAGAACCGGTGATGATTAAAATGCACAACATATGTTTGATTCACGCTCCAGCTATGAATAATTTAATCAAACATTCACACAGGCCACAAAACTAACACACTACATAAGACCCGTCCCTCTCGACCTGTTCCATCACTCTCCGAAATACCTTGCTCCTCACTAAGCCAAATCCCAAACAATACAATCCCAGACTCCCACGATTCCAGCCACAAAGTAGTGATGGCGAGTCTCAGAGGCAGAGTCAATCTATACCTACCTGATGGAACCCTAAACGGATACATGTTCGAAGCTTCCTATCACGTGAAGTGTTGCGATTGCCTTCGACATGGCGGCTACGTTGTAAGCCACTTTGTGATCATGGGCTTGTTATTACCAGCCTTGGCTTGCAATGTCTGCAATCACGAGATGTGCGGCTATTGTGAAGGATCGGCAGACGTTATAGCTTACGGCGAAAGCGTATACGCTCAAAATAAAAACAGCCAGCCACAGATCAACCAGCCTACGTTGAAGCGGCCAAGCAAGGCAACTGACGATAATAACAGACAGAAATTATATTACGTCTGTCGGGGCGATGTTTGCCGTGGCTGCTGTTACTGCACCACAGTTGTCGGGTGTAGTTATGAATGCGATGACCCTAGGTGCCTTGGTGGTTCAATTCGCGGTCACTAAGAAAGCTTTCAGGCCCATCAAATGAGTGCGGGGACGAATAGGAAGGCGGACTATTGAAAGGTATTCGTTGAGTTACACGAATAGTTTATTGAAACACCACCTTCCTTTATCAAAATCTAAGGGTCTATAAGTGTCATATAAATCGTAGGATAGTTGAATGGATAAGGCGTGTGGAGCTGGCCATGAGACTTCCCAGCACAAATAGCCTTCCTGGGGCAGCCTGATTGCGCATGACATACCTCATCATAAGTTCGGCTGTCTTCCCTTTATCCTAACCCATAAAGAATCCGCCTTCGCCAACACAACTCCTTCACTGTCCCTTATTTCCGCATCCATAAGGTACTTCTTCGCCGTAACCTCCCTACACCTCGCCACAACCAACACAGTCGCAGGTGTCGGTACTTTCTTCAAATACGACACATTCAACTGTGCTGTGACTGCCCCATTACTCAGGGGATCCCCATCATGGCGTTCATTGGTTATGGTCAGAATCCCCATCACATCGTCCATAAGTGTGGCGATAATGCCCCCATGGAGGACATCCGGGAATCCATTCATACCAGAACCGAGAGTCACTAGTGTCCGCACTTCAGGGATCCATGACTCTCCAGGTGTGGGGCACTTGTAGAAAGAAATGCAAGCTCGAATGGCATTATGAGTTTTGAGCGTTTCGGCAGTCAAGGAATCCTCAGTGGAAGCTTTGGGCTGGCGGGAATCGGTGGGCGTAATCACGAAGGTGGGGTCTTGCAACAGGGCGGAGCACCATGGGATGGACTGGAAGTGGGCGAGATCTGGCTCCTCCATCTTTATTTCACAGCACGGAAACTTGATATGGGGTATGGAAGTATGGATAGATGTCCGCAAAGGAAGAGCATCTGTTGTTGTTGAGAATAGGTTCCCGAGCCTCGGCAGAACGCCGGCCCGGGAAAATGGGTGCGCTAGTTCCGTCTGGGCATCTCTACCGCAATACGAAGTATCAGACCCCTTTTTGACATTCTCTCCGCTCTTCTACATACCGAGTACATTAACAAGGCGAGTACGACACACACCGCATTGCTTGTATGTACTTCATACCCTGTATGATACTGCGGCTTACTCCTTAATTCCTAAGTCCTGCCTCTCCGAGTTATTTTTGGAAAGTTATATCCGCTGGCATCAATACGAGTCCACATGTCGAGCTCAACATCCCTTCCATGTCTTCAGTCTGTTGTTTCCTATTTATTTCTAATAATAAACAACTACTCGAAGTACGAGTCCCATACGGAGCACTTCTTAAATCGTGCCATTAGTCTAGAACCCAAAACGGAAGCACTCTAGAAGCCCATATTACCGGCAGATCTACAAGTCCATGCCCGTCGACTGTGGGGCCCGGGGCCCGGCGTGGGGCATATCACGGAGACTTTATGGACACCAATCTGCGCGTGAATAAACCCGCCAGACCCCGCAGTAGATCTTCGGCCTATACCAACGGGTAGCGCTGCTGTAGGTGTTGGAAGTACGGATGATTGCCCTCACAGTTTCACTGATATTAAATTGCTTGGTATTTATCATCTGTTCATCGCCAGAAAACCATACGCTACAACAATAGCCATCTATACCCATACATAAAGGAAGCATCTTCTATTGACAGGTTCCAAGCAGCCATGGGATCGACAGAGGATACGAAAGGCCCGAACGGGACCTTGGTTGACTTCACAACGTTCCAAAACATCATCGACGGCTCACTCCACGGCAGTACTGAAATCCACCAAGGTATTAATCCTTCGAACGGAAAGCCTCTCTGGGATGTACCAATCGCCAGTGCCGACGACCTCAATGTAGCTGTGGCAGCAGCACAGAGAGCATTCAAGACCTGGTCCAAGACAAAATGGGAGGACAGGCAAGAGATATTGGGCAAGATTGCGGCCGAGTTTGGGAAATACCAGGAGCAGATGGGAGAGCTACTTATGCTTGAGGGAGGAAAGCCCGTGAGTATCCTACATAAAAGGGCGGCTTTTTTGGAAGGGCCAATGAATAGTTACAGTGACGATACTAATATTTGCAGATTCAATTTGCAAAGATTGAAGCCTGGGCCGCCGGTGAGGGATTGCGGTACTGCGGTTCGTCGAGCCTCTATCCCCCACAAGTTATACTACAACTAACACTTCTAAATACAGCATCGGAAGGTCCCTTCGCGGATGAAGTACTCGAAGATGATGAGAATCTCCGCCTCACAATGCGCCACACCCCCATCGGTATCGTAGGTGCCATCTGCCCATGGAACTTCCCCCTCGCAATCGCCATGAACAAAATCGCCCCAGCCCTCCTCACCGGATCCTGTATCATCGTGAAACCCTCCCCATTCACCCCCTATAGTGTTCTCAAATTCGCCGAGATCGCCCAAGCCTTCTTACCGCCTGGCGTCCTGCAAGCCATGAACGGAGACGCCAAATTAGGTCCTCTTATGACGGAACACCCAGATATTGCGAAGATCTCCTTCACGGGCTCAAGTGCCACTGGAAAAAGAGTCATGGCATCTGCTGCAAAGACTCTCAAGAGGGTAACACTCGAGCTCGGAGGAAATAGCGCCTCTATCATCTGCCCCGACGTAGACGTGAATAAAATTGCCCCTAAAGTGGCATTAGGAGCATTTTACAACTCCGGCCAGCTGTGCATAGCAAGTAAGAGACTATACGTGCATAAGGATATCTACCAGGATATGATGAAGGCTTTGATTGAGGTCGTGAAGGGATGGAAGGTAGGTCCCACATCTGAAGAGGGATTGATGCTTGGACCAGTGCAGAATGAGATGCAGCATAACATCGTGAAGGGATTTTTTGAGGACTGTGCGACCAATGGATATGAATTTGCGTTGCCAGGGGAGGTCGGAAAGTCTGATGGATTCGTAATCCAGCCTGCCATTTTGGATAACCCCCCAGATGAGTCAAAGATTGTGCGAGAGGAGCAGTTTGGTATGCGTTCTCATTCCTGTCTACGTATAGCCTCCACTAATGGTTTTGAATAGGCCCCATTGTCCCAATGATGAAATGGGATAACGAAGCTGAGTTGCTCGCCCGCGTCAATGACACGAATACGGGTCTCGGTGGTGCCGTCTGGTCATCTGATCTCGAGCAGGCACAGAGAATTGCAAAACAGATTGAGGCTGGAACGATATGGATTAACAACAATGAAATGCCGCTCTCCAGGGCGTACTTCTCGGGCCACAAGGAAAGTGGAATTGGTGGCGAAGGCGGCAGGCTTGGCTTGCTAGCGTATATGAATACCCAGGTTATTCATATGTATAAGTCCGACGTGGGCAGGTCGTGAGGGCTTTTGATAAATCACATATTGGGCTTTGGAATAATACTTGTTGTATCCCCCAATTTGAGTACCCGTGCTTTGTTTATTGAAATAGGGAAGTCATACTTTGGCCTCTATAGCAACACTACATCGGTGGTTAAGTCTACTTTGAAACCCTTCAAATCTAGTTTAACAATGTTATCGTCGGGTTTCAATTTTTAATATCTAAAGTTCGAAGGTAAATAGATTAATCGCTACCTTTTCAATTGTAACTATAATACTGAAGTATAACGCCTCTAACATAACTATAATGCAAGTAGGTTTCGCTTCATATTATATGGAAACGCATATGACATAACTTCAACGGAAGGTGCCATTATTTAGCTTGAAATATAATTTTGCTAATATTATATTCTACTATATAAATGTATAAGTAATCTTCACGTTATGGCATATTCATCATCCCTATACCTCACCCCTTCCCAACTTCCCACTAAATCCGCTCCAATAGATTACGTAGAGGATATAGGCTTCTTCTGCATCGTCTGTACAAATGCCTGGAATGCCACCTCCGGCTGATAATATGGCACCTCATGCCCGGCATCAAACACTCTCAGCCAACTCAGATTTCCTGCAGTTTTGAACGTTCCCATCGCTTTGCCATTGACCGTATAGCTAGTTTCAGCCTTGGATTTAAAGGCAGCAGATTGATCGTAGGTGATAGCTTCCGCACTTTCAAGATTGCTCACCCAGTTACAGATCCAATCTGCGTCACCGGCCCAGATCAAGACCGTGATGCCGGATTGAACGACTTCAGACATTACGCCCAAGAAGGAGCGAGCGCCTAACGGTGGGTATTAGTGTGGAATTCTTAAAACGAGAGTAGGTAAAAAGGGGAAAGTGCGTACTATCACCAGTCTTGTAAAATTTGGTTGCTGCTGTGTTTGAACACTCGGAATAAGTGCTTTTAGCGCCAATAGCTGTCATGACTTCCGGGGCCGACAGATAATTTATGTACGTGGTTGGGGGGTATGGGTCACTATATGGCGCGCGAACATCATAGGGGTTAAAGTTGGCGGCATTGATGATGGTAACTTGAACACTACTGCGGCACATATCCTGTGCTTCAGAGCAGGCCGGGTCGCCCCCGATCAAATCTAAGCATTTTTGTAACGGTGGCAAGCAGTACCCCATATAGTTGTCCATGAGCAGGGTATGTTGAGGTAAAGAAATGAGCTGCTTGTAAGTATTGTTGTAGCTGAAGTCAATGTAGGACTTGTAGCTTATGGCCGCGTCAAACAAGCCATTATTGATGCCGAGGGCTACAAGATTGACATTCTGCCCCTTGACCGTGCCGGACTTAATTGCTGCGTTCTGGGACTGAAAGTAGGATGCAAATGCTAAAATGGTTAACTGTCATTCTTTGTGTGATTGCCCTCTTATAAGCTTACCTGGTCCGTAATGACCCCCGTATGACTCGGTAAAAAGTCCAAAGTCGCGGTTCTGGTATTGGGGGAAATTGGCAAAGAATGCTTGCAGCAATGCCCAGACGTATGGGGCGGCAGTTAGGGTGGAAGTAACCGGGCCTGTTCCATAAGAGAACCCCGTCTCAAATGGCTGATCGACATACAACATGTTTGGATATTCGTTCCAGCTATGTTTGTTCAACGACGGCTTAGAGGACCCGTTGTAGAATTGGCAAGGGCCGTTTTCCTTTCTCTATTAAGCCAACAACCAAGATTTAAAGCAGGCCATAAACTTACCCGGAACAGGCCAATCATCGACGAGCAACCTGGTCCACCGTTAAACCAGGTCGCAAGAGGGGCGGTATCTGGGTTGTGTCGAGCTTCGAAAAACCAGAACCAGATATTCTGATTGGCTGTATAATATTATCAATAAATGCCTTATGAAGGTGACTCTGAAGAGTACTTACTGCCAACAGATACATATCCCGAGTATTGCTTCACACCTGGAGTAGTCTCACAGATTCCAGAGTTGGCCACGAAATCTAGCTTCGCTCCAGTGGCCTCATGCTCGAATATGGTCCTTTTGACGCCATTCCGTTCGACGAATGAACGCTTCCCTCTTAGATGATACGGTACGTCTTCTGCATCATTTGTAGGCAAAGCCATCCCGGCGAACGGGAAGACTAAGCCAGCCACAAAATGGGAGAATTGGAGACGCATGTTGACGGGAGGAATTTTAATATCCTGGGCGCTGGAAGATCAAGCTCGTTCACAAGGGGGCTTCTAATCCTCCCTTATAGTTAGTCCACGCACCAAGACATTGAGTGTTGTCGAACTCATCAGGCGGATCAATCAGGGCCTCGGGTGCGCGGACAGTACGTTGAATAGTGAAGGTATGCTGAGCGAAGTAAAGCCTCAATTCCATGGGACCTACGTGACAGCAATTCGGAATCCAGCTGCGGGGGTCCATATTAATTGTGGCCGCTGACACCGATGCTATATTGCATTGCTCCCTAGATATTCGCTGCTTGATAAACATTGGGCAGATATTTGCATGGTTGGATAATATGTTCGGTATCTGGCTAGGCCACCCACCGGCATTGGTTCTGGGTGGGAAGTTGACGGTCGAGATCTTCAAATCCGGGGAAGAAGTTTCTACGGCCCTATCCTCGCCCCATTACTCGAGTATGTTACAACTCATGGATTTATTTCACTACTCAGGTAGCGAGTAATACTTTTATTGATCTGGGCTACCATGGCCGGTGACTTGTGTGCATATCCACTGAACTAGACAACAGGCAACACCCGTCAATTGATAAGATGTAGAAATTGTACCTACTACAGAATACTCGATAGATGCCGCCCGTATTATATCCATGTCGGAAATCGTTAAAATGGTGGGGGAGGGATTAGGCTAGGGGATCATTGTTGCCCCCTGCGCGAAGTGCCGAGACAATTTAATTGTCAATATATAGCATGACTTGATGTGTTAAAGGGTATCATTTTGAAGACTTCTCGCCGGAACCTCAGCGGCTAAATTATTGGACTCGTGGCCAGGCAGAAGAACGGAGGGAATTGATGCGTACCGAGTAATAAAACGGACAGCACATCATGTGCCATGTTCCTCGATTTGCACAGGCATAAAGTATGTTGCTCATACGGACAAAAGATCTAGACCCATTCTCCCAGGATATCTGTCTCTTAAATTTCTCAGATTCAGGCCCCTGTTGCTAACTTTAACTCTCTGCCGTAGTTATTTTCGCCATTGTCAATTTATATAATTGGCACTTAGATAGCAACTCAAATATCAGCGAAACCCCACTCAAACCATTGTCATGTTCACCAGTACTAAAGAAATCTCAATCCCGCCTTTCTAATATTGTGTCCCACTATTGGAGCTTTCTCTGCCATCATGCTGCTGCCTATAACTGTCATATCAATGGGTTCAGTAATATGCGTAAGCAGAGAAGTCCTTCCTCCACCTTCCAAAATATTCCCTAATATAATTAGCAGGCAAGTCCGATCGTTCTCCCTCTTCTCCTGATGCGACTACCGCGATCTTGTTATATAATAATTATTAAGTCATTGTTATTAGTATCCCTTAAAAGGTGACTATCTCTACCAAAGGCGGCTTGGACCGGTTCCTCAACCTCAAGGGTATTGCAGACGGAAAACGATAAAGTAAATGGCGAGTAGCGAGATTGATAAGCGTGATGGGTAGAGTAAGAGGGGCATCCGGATATTTGGTTATCAAACTTCCCAATTTGGAAATCGCGAAAGCATGGCAAAATGTATGCTGTATTTAAGGGTGATTACTAAATTTCCAATCATGAAAGGAGGGGTGGTTTCCATTACTTGCTGAATAGACTAGTAATACCACTACGGAACGAGCGCGTGGAGGATGGGAATATGACGAGTTAAGAAAACTGGTGGAGAGCTACTCCCGAACGATTTATATCAACAACCCAGGGCAACTCATGCCATTACGCCACTGGGCCTGCTACCAGAAACCGTCACTAGGCAACATGTCCCTGTTCCTCATCCCGCCACTCATTACGATCATCAACCAGCTGTGAGGGTTCAACTCTTGGGCCTTGGCTTTCGGCCGTATTACTTCCTGGTGGGGAATGAGCGGATTCAGTAGGGTCGTCGCGATAAGGAGCTGGTGCACTGCCTTCCTCGATCAACCCTCTTATTTCTGCCCTGCTGTCTTCCTGTTGGTTACCTGAATTATGGAATCCAAGTTGTTTGAAATAGCGTAGTAGGCCCGAGCGCGTCCAGGAGGACGTTGAGAGGAAGGAAGTGATTGATACGACCTGGTGGTCCCAAGAATTAGCAAAAGCCAGTCTTCGAAATATAGTTCCGCGATTTGGGAAAGCTATACCTTTACCGCAAACACAACCAAAGCAACAAGTAGTAGTAGCCCAGCATGGAGCTGCTCTTGCTGTCTCCACTCCCCAAAACAGCTATTGCTTCTGCCGAACACTTCGTCACAATGAGACGGAGATCCAAATGGGAACGCGCGATCCCGCACACTATTCAAACCGCAGCAATTGAGGCTATCTTGGATTCTCCGAATTGCCTCAGCGTTCTTAGAACGATACAAATTTCCCCATTTGGTTTCTAGGCCACAGCGTAGGGATGATGGTGGCAGCATATGGGTCAAGGCAAGAGTAGCCACGATCGTTTCGTAGAGTTGGAAACCGACCACGGCGATGAGCGGAATGGCAATCTGGTGCTTCTTTTTTCTAGTCGATCGCTGGATTATGCCATAGGCGCTTTGGACTGAGATCCCGGTGATAATTGGGAGGACGACAGTGAAGAGTGCGAGGGCTTCGGGAATCGGAAGGGAGAGGGAGCGGATTTTGGAGAATGAGTAGCTGAACGAAAATAAAAAGATAGTAAGTACAGTAGATGCAAAATTGAGGACGATATTATCGATAGGGGCAGCTTACCCCGCGACAGCCGTCAAGATGAGGAGCAGCTTGGATTATTAGCAACGACAGGCATGGAGCAAGACCAAGGTAGAGTGAACTCACGATCGGCCCGCCGAAAAGAACGAACCTCGTAGCGCTGGACATTGTATTTCAAAGATGTACGAAGCTGTGGGAAAGGCAGAAGATGGAAAACAACCAATTTCAAGGAACAAGATAGATCATGGGATTGCGTGTTCACTTGAGGTTGAAGCTGGGAGAATGAACGAAGTGGAAGAGAATAAACATATGAGATGCGATCGAGCTATCGACGTGCCCAACTTGTGTTTGTACTACCTCAAGTTCCCCGCTTCTCTGATCCCCAATCAGCAAAGGATAGTCAAAACAAACATGATATGTGATATGCGATAACTTCGTATGCAATATGTAATATGCCATGTTCCATGTTCCATGTTCGATAACCACTCCGCAGGTACCTAGGTAGGTACCTGTAACTAGCTAGCAGGTCAGGTGTCGTCCGAGGTCGGTTGCACGTGATCCATCCTGCCCCGCCATCCATGGATGTCAATCAATGACATTGACATTGACATTGCCAACTTGCCAAAATTTCCAATCAAACCACCTTCTTTCAGTACATTTGCAATCCTCGGTATACCGAAATTCGAGCTCAACTACGAAGGAACATCACAAATTACTTCTAGATAAATAGTGAAACGAAAACATCCCGCTCCCCAAGGGCAAAGTCGCGCTGATCCCACCCTGTCAACCCCCAACCGCAACCATGCAGGCAATGCCAGATTCGCGCCAACAGAGCTTCGAGGAGATATATGGCCCTCCAGAGAACTTCCTGGAGATTGAGGTGAGTTTCTTGCCCTCTCTATCCCTATCATACACTTATACAGCCTTATAACCCCCTCTCTCCCACTCTTTCCTCCTATCCCAGTAAATCAATCACCCCAATCCCCTCACTAACCAAACTCCTCACTCCCCAGGTCCGCAATCCCAAAACTCATGGCATGGGCCGTAATATGTACACAGACTACGAGATCCTCTGCCGAACCAACATCCCCGCCTTCAAGCTTCGACATAGCAGTGTACGCCGCCGGTACTCAGACTTCGAATACTTCCGCGATATTCTTGAGCGCGAGAGCGCTCGCGTGACCATCCCACCGCTACCCGGGAAGGTCTTTACAAACCGCTTTAGTGATGATGTTATTGAGCACCGGAGGGAGGGTTTACAGAGGTTCCTGCAGATAGTTGTTGGGCACCCGCTGCTGCAGACTGGGAGTAAAGTTCTAGCGGGGTTTGTGCAGGGTGAGTTATTTACTCCCCCTGAACTGTCGACTTCTTTTTGCAGCTGGAGAGAGCTTGCGACCTGAAGAAAACAAACCATGTCTATGGGATAAGTGCTAACCACTCCAATACAGATCCAAATTGGGACCGCAACGCCTGGTGAAGATTACCAGCGCCCCACTCGTCCTCTGAGGGAATAACCAAACGGAGACCCCAAAAGCTGCAAAAGCGACGACCGAGTACGATGATAATGACACCACCACCCCAGCACGATCTTTCGCTCCTGCGGAAATCACACACGATTTGAGTTTTTATGATGGCATGGCTTTTGGAGGAAGTTGGTAAGGCTCTAGGGGGTGGGGGATGTTTGTATTGTTCACGGGGAGCAAGTTGAGATCGGAGGAGATACCTTGCGGTTATACGGAGCAGCGGTTCAACGAGGTGTTCTGTTGGTTTCTCTGAGCGTTAGGGAGCTTTTTTATATTTGCGGGTGTTGTGATGAACTAACTGGTTCTCGGTTCCTTGTGAAGCGTTCCCCGACTCTGTTTTTCTTCTATTTACGTATTCGGTATCGTCTACTGCTGAGGTGTACAAATACCTGCCTGAAATACCACTACTAGCGCCAAGTTCTTTGCATTATGAATTATTCAATTTGACAGGAGATATTCCAGCTACCAAATGCGCCCCTATCTTACCAGGTAAACCCCTATCCTAGGGACCGCCTGTATGTCTAAGTGTTGTACATAGTGGTTCCTTTCTATTGTATACATATCCAGCATCGACGTCCACGCTCCAAACCATGCAGCCCCATTTTTTATACAAGCACAACGCCGCGTCCCTTTACATAATATACAGTTCATGCACATGAAGCATTTTGCTGGAGAGTCCACTCCTGTCGTATCCTCTTCCCATCACCTAGCGCTCAGCATGAAGTAGTTTTAGAATCCCCTCGTATATTCCAAACATGATGGCCGCGCTGGGGACGGTTCGCATGAGATGTGGGGTCAGGCCACCGTACATGGCCACCATGCCTTCTTCTTTCCATATCAGCTTGAAGGTTTGGATTAGGGCTGTATATTTCGGTTTGCCGTTCTCGAGGGGGGCTTGGCGGAGACGAGTGCGTGCAACCTATAATATGTCAATGGCAAACAGGAGGAAGTGGGAGGAAGAGAAACTCACCTCATGAGGATAGGTAGCCAACGCAGCAACCAGCTTCGCACCTCCAGCAGCAAAAGTATTGCCCGTCCAATTAACTGCATGATCCCACGCGTTCCTCTCTCTTCCACTGCTCTCTATCCGGATCTCCCTCTTCTCCAACGTCTTCTTCATTTGCTCATAAAGCACCCACTGCAACGCACTCTCACTCACCCCCAAATAACTAGCACTCATGCCCTTATACATCCCCCTCACACCCTCATTCCTCACCACCTGCTTTATACAGTCCCAACTATTCCTATACCTCCTTTCCGTCCTTCCGCCCTGCTCCACCACGTTCTTATCCAGCTGCAACCTCGTCTTAATCAGCCAAATAGGATTCGTAACCGTGCTCGTCACAACCCCCGCAAGAGCCGCAGCACATAGAACAACCCACGCCGATTCTTGACCGTTGTTCGCGTAGTCCGCTATTATACGCTTCCCGTTACCTACGACAAAGAAATTGATCGAACGCGCCGGCACAACGCCGACTAGGTTTGGCCCTAGGCCTTTGAAGAGAGCGCGCCCGCCTTCCGTACGGTGCACACTGCCGAGGATTTGGAAAGTTTCACGGAAGTGGAGGAGTGCTGATCGGGGGGCCGAGAGGTGCGCGTGGGGGGAGATGCCTTTCGCGGCCCGGGTCTGCGCGAGTTGATGTTGGTAGAAGTCGGATTGAAGGCGGGTTTTTAGGACGTCGAGGGGGGCCGTTAGGGTTGCTGCTGCCATTCCTCCTACACTGCATATTGTTAGAACTGGATATCAGATGAAAAGAGGGCGAGGAAGCCATACCCTCCCGCTACGAAATGCGCCCATGATTTCGCAACGGGCGCAGGCTTCGCTGCTATCGATCCTGTATATCGAGTTTGTGGAATGCCATGTTCGCCAGTTTCTCGCGAGTAGAGGGCTGATGAGGTCTGGATTCGGGGTGTAGAGCTGGGGGAGGTTGTCGAAGATGCTGCTTGGGTATTCATCAAGGGGCCGACGAGAACGTCGCGTTCTCAGGAACCGGGAGCTGTGGAAATAGAGAGGGATGCAGATGAGGACGTGGAATTAATTCGAGGTCTTGGAACTTTAGTGTATTGTACAGAGAAACAGACGCCGTCGCCCTTTTTATCTCAAGTGTTTGAACAGCGTGCTGTGAATGCGATGCAAAATTGTAGTATATAATATTTTATCACAATCTCGCGAGGTTCAAAAATCCATGCACCAGCAGGCTGGAACATCAGCACAGCCACAACCCTGGCCGGAACGAAACCGCGTCCCGAGGCGCGCTAAGTCAAAAGGAGGTGGCTTCAAAGTTCAACCACATGCCGCTAATATATACAAACCAAGCATCACGCGCTACAACAAATAATAAACAACACCACTAGCCTACGGACTACGTCCTATATGCTACGTAGGTTTATGGCGAATCACTGATAGCTTCCAAAACTCCCATTGCACGGTATGGAAAATTAGTTAAAAGAGACCCCCAAATTCGAACCCACGAACAATTCAAGCCGACAAAGAATAGCTTAAAACGCCCTAGTCCGTCCACCCCGGCCATAACACCAATTACTCGTACAGTAAAGTCCTTGTTGAAAGACGAATCAATGCAATGCTAATAAGAACCAATCCCCATCCACGCCAGACCCCAGAAAGACTCCATACCGATGACGTCTCTATCATTCCTCCTTTGCCCAGCTGGGCAGGCGATATCACTTCTTCTTCAAAGTGCGATCAATGACTCGGATGGTCTTCTTACCAGCACCTCGAGAGGGCGAACCTTGATCGGCTGTGTATGCGCTCCTTGCGATGGACTTTTTGACAATCCGCCTTCCGACAGACGACATTTTCTCAGGGGTTCCCGGGCTGCTGGCCTCAGCTGCCACAATTGTTAAGCTCGAATTCCTGGATGAAAGTTTGGTCTGTTTGGTCTGTTTGGTTTGGCTGATTTGGCGTTTGCCGTAGGTCTTCAGTGGGCTAGCTTTGCTCGCCTTCCTGGCGACGATAGGACCAGTGCGCTTGGCGCTGGTAGGTTGGCGGGCATTTAAGAGTTTCGCGGAAACGCTCTTTTTGATAGCTTTCACAGTATTTTTAGTGGCCTTGATGCCAKTAGCGGAGGCTGATCTCTTGGCTCCCTTTGCCGGTTTGATCTTCCTCTTCTTGGGACTTCGGTCTTCGGGGTCACTCGCATTTTCACCACCAAATAAATCCTTCAGCTTTCTTTTCCCTGCCTTGACACCGGCTTTAACTCCAGCTTTGACAGCATCTTTGATAGCTTCCTTCACTGGCTTCTGGTCCTTTGGTTTAGGTCCAAGGACGCCGCGGCAGTTATCACTACCACATCGGCATTCCTGGACATTCTTGGCCGAGAAGGGGTCGAAATTGTAATCGTATGTCAGCTCCTCCCCTGTCATAATGGGCTTGTCGCCGACGAAGAGAGCCATTCGTGGTTTGCTGCCTACAACCCATTTGACCATTCTGCAATTCGGCTTGCAGGAGTGGTTAACGAAACGGGCAATACTGCCTTTGGTGCCATCAAGGATCATGTTCTGATCAAAAGACATTAGGTAGTAACACTTAATTAAACAAGATTAGTATAGATATTGCAAAAGATCCGGAATGGAATTACCTCGTTATCCTTGTAATCTTCGTTCATTCGTCGGTCACATTCCTCCTCCGTGATGACTTCTCCTGTATACTCCATAATGATTTGGTTGGCGTCAAAACAACGGTTGCTTCGCACACCATAACCCCTATCGGAAGTCTTGATAACCTCAACGCCAATTCTATACTTGCCGCCACCTTTGCGGCGCTCTTGTAACTCAGCGAAAGCGCGATTGGTACAATGTTGGCGCCCAACGGCACAATTGCCATCATCACACTCGTACAGCATAATTCGATTCTGGCATCGCTCATCACACCCATTTTCGGGCTTGCAGACACACTTAGAAGAGAAGCTATCAAAGATAGCAGCCTTCTTCCAAAAAGCGGAGGCATCACCCACAAACCGATCTTGGGAATGATGTTAGCCACTAACTCAAGGGTATTAGACCGGACAGAACTTACTGCTAGATGTTTTACGCCATTCATCCGGTTTGGGTTGCCCTGGCGGAAGAGGCGAGCATACATCAAAGGGCAGCTTGAAGTCTCTCCCTGTATGCAATAACTGCTGCCCGCGCCACAATGGCAACGGCAATATCTTTCTAGGATTTTGCTTTGGCACATCGTCCTCCACATCCGCACCGGCCTTCCGCTTCTGTTGACGAGAATTCTGAAACCAGTCAAAATTTCCGTCCTGCCCAGCGTACAGGCCCATGGTCAACCACAGCTTCTCCGTTTTGCCAGTGGGTTTCTTCTTTTCAGCTGGTTTAGGTTCCTCGGATTTTGGCTGTAGCTTCGCCGCATCCTCTTCCATTTTCTTCTTCTTTTTTGGACGTTCTTCCGTGACTAGTTTGCCGTTGCTCCAGACTTCGTGAATGACGGGCTTGGTATCAATCTTTGCAAATTCCGGAGTATCCACCAAGTTCCTAAGCTCTCTCTTGACCTTAGCCAGGCCGGACATGCCGTCCTCGAAAGTCTTTCGGCTTCTCTTGCCCAATACACCAAGCTTGGTGGACAAGGTCTCAACCTTCCCAGCGATTGAGCGCGTAGATGTGCGCCGGTCCTTTTGCAATTGTTTGGCGCTCTTCTTCGCGTTCCCCCCTAAACTAGTCTGGCTCTTCGATTTGGACAGTTTCTTTTCAGACCACTGCCGATCCAGCGCCTGAAGTCTCTCGCGCACCAGTCCGCTCGCGCCGCTCCCGGCATCCTCTGAAAAAGCATTGGCTGAAGCCGCAGCTCCAACCAAAGTATCCCCTGATATTGTGCGGCGGCGCGACTCCATAGGTGTGCCATCCTCATTCTTGCAGTATTTCCGTGGGGCATGAACGGCAGTGCCGCTCAAGACTTTGACATTGTAAGTAGGGACACTCGCGCGAGGTCGGCGCGTACGTCCTGCGGGTTCCTCGGCAGGAGTTGGGTTAGCCGTCTCCAGCTTCAGCGATGCCGATGACACGCTGACACCGTCACCAATGCTGGTTGGGGGCGTGGAGGAGGAGGAGGATTGGGGATCCGACGATGCGTCGACGGTGATAGTGCTCAGGAGCGATTCGGACGAAGAAGCACGCGTCACTTCAGGCCTGCTTGAAGGCGATGGAACGGCTTCCATCTTGTTAAGGAGAGCCGAGAACATGGTGGTGTCGTGAGGAAGAAAGCTCGCGTTGGAGCTGCTCATGTTATGAAGACGCGAGGCGGGACGGCGGTTGCTTCAAAGCGTGTGCAGCGCCAGCCAGCTAGAGTACGGCGACCCGGACGAAGTGTATCATTGGCTTTTGGCGTTGGTGCACAGAGCTCTTATCGCGAACCAGACGCGCAATACGACTTGGAAAGCAGAAATATGGGTGGAAATTGAGGTTTGGGCTTGGGTTGTCGAAGGCGGGTGTGTTGTTGTTGCGGTACAGGACGAGGAGCAATTCGTAACATTGGTGTTGTTTGCGGTCAAAGTTCGGGGGGGTGGGCGAAGGAGAAGGCAGAAGGCAGAAGGCAGAAGGATGGGGTGCCGTAACGTGCCTACTTCGGATTATACGAAGTACAGGAGTAAACAACAAGTGGTTGCTGGAGCGTGGAGTGCGGATTGTGGCGTGGCGTGGCTATAGTAGAAGTAGAGTACGAAGTATGGACTATGGGAGGGGAGGGAGCGAGGGAGGAGAGCACGAACTAATGAGCTAGACTACGAGAAACGAGCTGCTCGTCAAGGCGCCATAGCCATGGGTACAGTAGGAGGTGGCTGGTCCAAACATTTAATAATTATTATTACTGTACTTTCTTGCCCTCCCCCTGAGCCACCAATGATAGACTTGCAATATCACGATTCGTGCCTTGAGCAATTACCAGTACGAGTATACATCTGTCTCTGGAGGCTCCGTGCTATGATGGTGGTTTAGGGCTGGCTGCACTCTCTGTTTGTTATATGCAGGACAACGTAAACAAGCTTGCCCTACACTATCTGCGTCTCCCTGCTGCGCTGCCTCTGCAACGTGTGCCTGTCAAGTCAAGGGCTGTCTTATTTGGAGGTGTTGCCTCCGTGTCGGAGGATTATAAGGGGTAGGGCGGCTAGAGTCGAAAACTACTACACAAAGGCTACCTAGGTATGAAACTTTCAAGGGCGGAAAATGAGAAATAGCGTCTCCCATACCCATTGACCTACTCTCAACTCAAAGCTTATTAATGGGTATTTGTGGTGTTTCCCATGAACTTGGAAACGGGGAAACACAAGCCGGTCGGTCAGACATTATTCCCCAAAGGGAAAACCTCCTCCGGCTCGGAGTGTGCATGAATCTATTGCCTCCAAGCCGCATCCACACTTAACAGTTCAGCACTATACTCTAATGAGCACCGACAACTCTACAGAAACTAGCAACAAAAGAAATGACAATTCGGTATATCAAATGGCAAATAGCAATCCCATATATGCGCATGTCCCGAAATGCTGATTACCCGGGGCAGGAACAAACACTTTCAAAATACAACGCAAGTAAGTTGGCTGCAGTACCTATGCAAAGGCCGAACACATCACAATTTCACAAACATGCTTTCTGTTTGTACCTTAAGGGATGCGCCAGCCACTCTGCTGCGGCCGAAACCCGAATCCCTTGGGGCCTGGATAATGGCCCGCGAGTACTATTCGGGGGGCAACAGAGTTTGGGCAACACTCGGGGCAAAATGGTACAGGTCAAAGCTGGGCGGCAATATGCTAATAAGCGTATGAAAACACTTCAAAAATTAGTCGGTCTCATTAAGTCGTAGAGCGAGACCAAAATCGAGCATCGAACTCTCGCGAGGTGGAGGATCAATGCCTTAGCGGTATGGTACTAACGGTGATCACTTCGCGATTGCACACGAACTACGTAGTGAAACGGTCCCACAACCCCCCCAAGTTGATTTTGAAACATTAATCTTCTATCGATATTATTGTAAAACGCCAAAGTAAACTTCTACGAGTAAAGTTCTTGCGCATTAATAAGTATATCTCGATCTTCTTATCTGGACTAGTGGTCCATCGTCAGATATGTTATACTATTTTATACTCTACCCTACTTTCCGACTCCTCCTTAGTTTTGCAGCTTCCGCATGTTACACAACTATATATCGTTCTACAGCTTTATCCATTGAAGTGTGGTTCTTACTTCTGAATTTCCACGGAGCTGCTTCATACGACTTCGTATGTATTTGGAAGTACCCCGGGACTTTTGATTAACTCATTGGCAGTATTGTGGTATTATGTCTGCAGGAATTGATTCATAAAGTTAGAACGGCATAACAGTGACGCCCATAATTAGAAGTACTTAAATCAAGGCCAATATCAGTCACGTAGATTACGCGCCGGATACCGTGCCACGCCAATCGCTCAGCCGAAGGAGGCACAGTGTGGGTGTTAGGAACGACAAAATGAAGTTGGACTCCCAATGTTACAAAATCTCTCTTTTAGGAAGCCAACTAGTTAGTAACTTGAGTCGGGATGAAATGTAGTTGTATAAAGTGACAGTATTTTAAGAATTGACATAATTAAAATACTACTCAAACAGACTAGCATGATTAACTGTGAGTCCAATCCTCCCTCTCCCCTCCCACTAAGTAATTTAATTTATACTATGTTATACTTCAAGTTCGCAGCTAGCTCACCGAATTGTGGGAAAGGCTATCGGGTTTCTTAAAATGAGGGGAGTATGATAATGGGGAAGTGTGGCTAGTTCAAGGTTATTCATTTCATGGAGAGCGTTAATATATTTTCTTCACAAGATACGCAATGCTCATGGCGCCCTCTTGCGCAGGAAGAAGCGAGCTAGGACCGCCTCCTAACTCTAGCTAAATGTGTGGGGATATGAGGTCATGGTATGACAGATAGATAGAGGCGAGAACAAGTGACAATGGATGTAGTTAACCGATCCCCTTTCGAAATGATGCATACACAAGTTTATTTACAATTGGAAAACATCAGGTGGGCAGCAGGAAAGGCCAACTCGAAGGATGGGAAAGAAACAAAAGTCTGAGCACAGAGTCAGAAAGATAAAGCTAAAATGATACTCTTTTCGAAGCAAAACAGTGTTTGTTATTGATACATCTGATAGTCTGTGCTATACAATAATGATACAGATCATAAGAATGAAATCTAACCCAGGCTCGCGCCAACCATTCCTTATAGGCTAATTATACACGACCAATGTTGCCAACAATAGGCGAGACAAGACAATACGTTACAACAATGTAGTGACAAAAGAGAGTGAAAAAATAGATCTAAACCCATTCCATCCGAAACCAAAAAAATTACAAGAGTGTAGCCAAACAAAAGTTTCAAGCATCTGTAAACACCAAAAACCGACTCAAAGAGAATAAATAAAGAGCCACACAAGAAAATAATCTGCTACAGAATGGAGTTTGCATCAAGCAAAATCCCCAACTGAGTAGGGAAAAGGAAAGTCATATCTCGTACAACTCGATCCCTCTGACCGAGAACCACAGCTTTCTTCCCTGCCAGCCAAGACATTGTGATATTATCTTGCGCCGGCTCATGATTGTGTTCGCAACACACGATGATCGACAGCAACAATTGCCGTACGAGCATTCGAGCGCGGTTGGCGAATGATGACGATAAGGAGAATGACCACATGTAATATCGAGTCCATGATCTCGAAATATACCAGCAGCAGTCAAACCTCCTTGCAGGAAGACTGATTTCGAAATTGGGCGCCCCAGACAATTTGATGGAGGGCCGTTGGATCGTAGCCGTGGATATGGATGTCGAGTAGCAAGCAAATTGCTACCCATCGCCGTACCGCAAGTGACACCTAAGAACATCATGGCGGACTTGACGACTTGAACACCTATAGATAGAGTCAGTAAAGGTCATCAGGGAAATGGTCTAGACTCTGAATTGTGAATTTGGGGGGAGGTCATGTGATAATCACGTGGAAGGATTTCTCCACGTCTTTGCTCTCCCGATAAGGATAAGCGACGTTTGTCCACTTCAGAGCTCCCCAGAGGAAAAAGAAACAAAACAAAACGCAAGCTGACTCACATTTCTTTGCGAATGGGTTGTAGGAGTACTGGGGACCAACGCCTCACTTTCCATAGGCTATACAAAATCAGAAGTCAGCGGGCGAGCCATGAAACGGTCAGATTTGTGGCGGGATGGGAGCCTTACCAGTGTCTCGATCATCGGAGCGTTTGTAGTTGCCCAGAGCTACCAGAATAGAACGTCAGTACGGATTTCGATACACCAAGGAATTAGGAATCTGGAAATCGCTCTATGCTCGGTTGCAGAATATAGAACGACCCAAAAGAGACGAGAATATGCTGAACTCACCTGAATTCAAGTTCGACCGATGTGTGTTTCGGCCATTAGAGAGGCGTGACATTTGGGATGAGTTGGCGGTTGAAGACATATTTTCGGAGGTGTTGGGCGAAGCTGTGGAAGTATGGCTAATGTGTTTGAGAGTTGCTTTGAAGAGGGACAAGTCTTATATAGGGACTTGGTCGGGGAGGTATGGTGATGGACGAAGATGCAGAACCTTGAAGAGCAGGAGAGCTGCATTATTTGTACAACTCGCCATCTGGTCCTGCTCTTGGTGACTGAGGATGGTCTGTCATAAAACAAATCGGGCACCACCAGACGTGGCTACATCCACCACGGTCCGACCATGTGGGAGCAGCAGCAGCAGCCGTCAGGGCCATCCTGGAATTGGAGCGAAGAGGGCATGCCTCACACTTCCGCTGTAGCGCTGTGGTCCAAAGTTCAAACAAGAAGCAAACAGCCCCATATGGTGCCTCGCCGCATTATGGTCCTCAACGGCCATGGCCTTGGCCCGAGGAAGAGCGCCCGAAGGGAGGGAAGAGGGCGTCTGCTGCTGCCCTGTTGCCGCAGCCAGTATCATCAAACAATCATATCAATTTTAGGGCAACAACACGGCAAGTTGCACAACATCCGGGAGCACGCGCATCGTGAAGAAAGTACAGTACGGGGTCTCAATGATTACTTTTTCTTGATCACAGCGTCACCCACCGCATCCCATCCTCGCAGCATATCACAATACCGTCAAGGTTCATAGCCTTCCTCCACGACGGCTATCTGGTCTCGACTCTCGAGGTCGAATTGTTGGTGGCCTTGTAGTGCCTTGCGTTTCAAACTGGGCGTTTGCACTGGCGCCTCGCGCCAGGCGCCGAGATCCCCGACAGCAACCTGGGATTGATCAACACCTCTTGCCGGACCAATACCCTACGACCTTCGACCTCTATTCTAGAAGCTTTTTGTCATTCACAGTTCAACAGGTACTACCAAGTAACCAAGTCACGCTACTCAACGTGCTCAGTCATCCATCCCAAGGCGAGCCACGCCACGTTCGAGGGACGCATCGATTGCCAATCAGCAGCGGAAATGCCACAGGGTTGCTCTTGGAATCCAGGGGCGTTCAATTGAAGGCTCTCTCGAGCTGTCATCTGGACCACGCGTGGATCGGCGAGGGCACTGTGAACCTCCCGGGCGTAGCATGGACAGTACTTACGAGTAGCGAGTTACCTCTGTGCAGAACCGACGCTGAGTCGGGACATGCATGTCACTTGCCTTGGGTGTGTACACTTGGGAGCAATTTTGACTTCTGGCCAGCGCATAGTTTGTCAACACCTCGCTTCGTCAACAATAAACTCGTTCCTTGTCTTCGCGTCAACCTCTGCAACACCTATCACCCGCCGGTAGACGCCGTTGTGCCCTGTCTATCTGCACCACCTATCATACCCTAGAAGCCTCCCTAACGCCATCGCTCGCTGGCTCTCGTTTGACAAAAACGCTATGAAGCAATCGTGTCCTGCATCTCACCACTACATACTGTGTTCCCTGTGCGGAATGCAGTGGAACTCGGAAGGGATTGCCCGCAGAATCTACGTACCTGTCCCCTCTGGGCTCTAAATTTGAACATTGTAATTAGAACGGGCACGTATCCATGTCATGTGCGACGTTCGCCCTGCTTGGACTCCAGTCCTCGTCGCCCGCCGATCACCAGAGATCCGCGTGAACGTTGAAGTTGGGTTAGTCGACTCATTCTTCACCCAAGCCCAAGAAAGCCGCACATCAGAGGAGGCAGTGCAAAACTCTGATACCTTATGGCACGTAGTACGTGGCTGGTGAGGTCAGAGATTTGGACGGTTGTGGTTCAAGAGACCACTCGCCCCACGAACGGGCTCAATCGCAGCGATACAGGTACCCACTTCACGGGGCGTGTTTCCCCTGGGCATGTTAACTCGACGGTATTACAGTAGTGACGGGCTTTTTGCACGCCGCTGATGTAACTCCTCTCACCAAATAGTAGTCTAGTACTACTATACGTGCGCTCTGTACCTGCAGAAACCACGATCTCTCGGATGTGTCACCGCCACCAAACGTTCTGCATGGCTGCCCTTGAGATGGGTTCCGGGTAGACTTCCCGTCCAAGGGTTCCCTCGTCTTCGCCATCCCAAGAATCTCAGAGCACAGCATGATCACGCATATTGTGACCTGTCACGATGTGGATCGCTGGAATCGTCGGATTGCGTTCCGCGACCGACCTGGCACGACTCAGCTCAGGCACAAATACACTAACTGCAACCCATACGATTTTCAGGTAGGCTTAGTTCCCGGTCACACAACCTTTACTTCATCTTCATCAGGAACTTTTAGATTGCGATTGGATATCATTTAACTATATATATAAGGCTTGGCAATGGTTTAATACTGCAGATACACTTCCCTTGGGATCACATTTGATTGCCCAAGTGTAACATTCCATTTCTCAAATATCCCGTTCCTTCCGATGGAACAGTCCAAGCAATACCCCAACCATTATTTCTGCCAGGCGAATATATTTTTGGACCCTTCTAGAGCATTGCAAGTAGAGTTACCTTCGCATTCAGTGGTCCAAGAAGTCGGCGAGGAAAATGCACGTCAGGCGTCCGGAGTCGGTATACGGCGAGACACCGGCCTGTGACGTTCGACTCTGGTCCAAGGAGCAATGCGATTTTAATTCGATTCCTACAATCTGTGAGCTTCCACTAACGCTTGGATCGTCGTATATCTTACCAAAATCTCGAACCAGAGCCTGGAGGCCGGAAGTGAGGCTTGCGACTCCGCCTCCTACAGCTCTACCCCGGAACGCCTCCATGCCATCTCGGATTGGATTGCAGGCCTCTTTTCCTCCCTTTCTCGTTTTGAACTTCCAGTGGAAGATCTCTTTGCACCTCTCGAAAAGTTCATTCTCGGTCAAGCTGATGAGCTGCATGAACTTGGCTCTCTCTGATTTCGGATCAGCCCCATGATGTTGGATTTCAGCCTCACAAAAGTAAAATGCGGATACAGAGATTTTGTCGATAACGAGGACGATGATCATTAACACAGAGAAGCTGATCGCCCATTTCTTGTCATTGCTTGTCGTCTTGCCAATCGTCCACATCATATTCCCCCACTCCTTGAGCACTTTGTGGATCCGAGTTTGCTGTTCAAGGAACAATGCCAACTTAATCTGCCTCTGTACGCATCGTGGAACCGGCTTCTCGGGATATTCTTGTTGAAGATGGTCTTGGACTATTCGGGTGGAATCGCGATCGAGGATAAGACTTTTCTCGAGAATCACACAAGTGACGTGGATCTCGAGGGCTTGACGGAGAAGGTCGGCCTAGGAAGAGTCAGCATGTGCTATATATCAGTCAAAAAGGATGGCTTTACCTCAACATCGGTTTCGAATCCACCGGCATAATAAAATGAGCATACGATGCTCAGAAGTCGCGTCAGGAGACCCGAATCCCCTTTGAAATACGCGACGGGAGCATATTGCGTAAGGTCGGTCTGCACAATATCTTGGACATAACGGGAGTACGTGTCTTGCATATCATCCATGGCCGCAAGCGGAATTCCGAGAGGTGGACTCCGTTTTCGCACCAGAACTGGCCGTGCTGAGCCGTTAGAAACAGTGGTATTCTGGAATCCGGCTTCCGAGTAGTCACTATGAAGCTCTAAAGCAACAACTTCTGCCTCCAAAGGCCGTCGATATCCCCAAGCCATTCGCACGAGTAGGCTCTGAGTTCCCCAGCTCTTGGTGTTTCTTCCCACAAAAGCCTCAACATCTTGTTTAGTGAAATGGGCCATAAGATAATCTAACAATATCAGCGTTGCTGCAAGTGTGGAAGTTCTGATTATATCATACCGGGCACTAAGAATCTATATAACGATTCAAGTGGGTCGTTAAAGCAACTGAACTTGCAAAATCTTCTCTTTCCTACAAGTCTAGCACATTGTGTGCAGGGGCTACCAGGGGAGCAAGGGGAGCACTGAAAGTAGTCAGAAACCGCCGTTGCCTGTCTTCCATGAATGTATTTACCTTTGTCTTTGAGATATGACATGCCCAGCACGCCTTGGCTTCACGAACCTCTCGCGCTTGCCGCTTCTCCAATGCGGTGAGGTTTCGCTGGCGACCGCGGGAGATTGTCGGTTTCGTGATACCGGCGAAGGTACTAAATACATGGGGGTGAGAGTAAGATGCTATCTCATTGTGTCCAGGGGATGAGACGTGTGAGGGAGATGATTTCTGCGAAAGCGGAGAACTATGTGTTGGGGTATAAGCATTGGAGTCAAATGAAATTATCCAGCTTTCGTTTTCGCTGTCGCCAACGGGGGTGTGTGTTCCCTGGCTGATATGTCCATCTGTCGACGGGGTCTTTTGGATCTCCTCTGGTGGCGCATTTATCTCAAACCGTGGTCCGCGGGTTGGCTCGAGAGTTCCATTATCCACGGTCTTTTCCGTCGGGCATTTAGGAACGGACATCTCTTCAAGGCCCCACGAAGGATTTGAAGTGGCATTCAATGGTCCCTGCGAATCATATGTTTGCCGTGGTATATTCATGGCAGACCCAGACCACTGGGTTTCAGCGGTTGTAAAGGCATTGGCGAAATCCAGAGGGTCCAGAACTGGGAGTCCATGGTTGGAGAAGAACGGATCTTGATACATGGAGTTGGAACATGCCGGGAAAGTAGATGAAGGATCCACGGGCTGTCCAATATAGAAGTATTCGTCTGAGCATTAGTGGTCAGCAAGGTGCTGAACCCCAAGGACCTTCTATGCATCCCTCACTCATATAGCTGGAATTCACAAACAGCAAGAAACTCCAACTACCTACCTGGAAGATCGAAGTCACATAACTGATTCGTTCCTGAATTTTGTTCAACGCCGGATGGCATCAGTGGGAAAACATATCCGTCCGAATTCGAAGTTCCGGAGCTTTTAGGCGAGCAGCCCGGAACGCTGTCCAAGCTCCCATATCTTGCTTCCCTTGCAAGGGGAATATCCAATGCTGGTGGATTATTCATTCCAATCTCTATATTCCCCCGGTTTGGGATGATTTCGTTCCAGGAGCTCGCCAAATCATTGGAGATATCGAACGAGAACCCATTCTGCGGCGATGTATTATCGCTGAGAAACTGATCCGACCTGGGTGGCTGGGGTGCTAACGTATAAGATATCATGTCAGACTGCCATGAGGATGCAGTTCGGTTTTCAGGATGGACGGAAGGGCCAACATCATAATCATTATATGGCGACTTGAAATAATCCACATTCTCCACCTTGAACGGCTGTTCTGCTTCCGACCGAGGACGCATTTGTTCAACGGGTCGCGATGGCATGTGGCTAAACGAGTACGTTGCCGGAAGTTTGCTTTGCGAGGAGCTTGGGATATTCCTGGGTGAAGGTGGCGCACATCTTGAGATGCTACTGCTATTGTGGTACACGACCTTGGACTCCCTCCTCCTCCTATTCCTCCGCGGCGAATTCGAATGCGAATGTGAATTTGGTGGCCAGCCTACCGCCCTACCGGCGAAGGCAGTGCTGGCGTGAGGGATCGTAGCCTCGAGCATCCCGTCGTCTTATACTCGATGGCATTCACCGGTGTCGATCGCAGGGCGAGTGCATCTCTCGTCGCAATTGCAGCAGGGCGAGCAAACAGATAAAGCAACAAAAAACACGACAGCCTCACTCCCCGCTCGCAAGTTACGACACCGACCTCTTTATCCCCCCGAAAACTCTCCTCAGGCTGTCCAAGCATGCATAGGTTGTCACACAATGCGCAGCTGACAAAAGTGCTCGCGGCCGCATTATGAGCCTCACATTGCCAGTTCGCGCTGCTGCCATTGGCCGATCCGTGACCGAGTACAATACTCTTCCATGCATGCTTCGCGGACAATGCATCTTTCAACCTAGCCGGCCTCCCCAAACTCCAGGATCCCAAGCCCAGTGCAATACGCCGCTACAATACGGGATCAAATGATATACGTATTATGCAGCAAATGTGGAGGCCCAACTCATCCACACCGCATGTTAGTCTCATGAGTATGGCTGCTTGTTATGCCGAGGGAAGGTCGTGAAGATGCGAGTACGCCAAAGCAGCAATGTTGGTGAAGCCCCGCCGCTTCGCTCAATCTCTACTGGACGATACTGCATAATCGGCGTACGGGACAGCAACACACCAGCGTTCGTTTAATGATACATGAGATTGTACAGCGTGGTGTTACATGCAATACGAACCGAGTATGATTGAATCTCGGAGAATAAACAGCATTTTGCTACAACATTTCATGTGTTAGATGTTTGTTTTGAGGACACCCTTGGAAGAGTTAAACTGGGTTGTCACGCCACTTGAGCCCGCCAGTGATTGCTCTATGTTCTCCCCCACAATATGGGGGTTGTCTCTTGACAATCCCACACGCCTTCTTTCTTCGTTGTAATTTTTAGTCGTATTGATAATGCTATCAGAGGGTCTTGCGGTGGTGCGCTCGATTTTAATAGTAGCCCAACGCCTAAGTTCTCAACTTCCTCTAAAAACCCAACTGAAAGAGGGCACTGTAAAAGCTACTTCGTATAGACAATAGCAGTGTGCTTGACCCCCTAGAAATAAACACTACTCAGAGAGCATAGGTACTGTCATTGGACCATTGCGTTGTTCTTTCGGGTTTTTTAATTGAAGAAAATAGTGAAAATATTATATTCAGATATTTCTAAATTTCCAAGTTTTAATTTCAAGTTTGAGTTGGCACTTTTAGTAACTACCATAAGAAGGAAGGAAAGAGATGAAATATTACTGCTGGAATACTATATGCTCCAAAGTTTAACTTGCTTTCTTTAAGGTTTGTCCGCAGCGCTGTTGAGTAGTATTGAATATAATATCACTCTTCGACAGCAACTTTTTGCCATGCTAAGTCGTAAGGTTCCAGTTATACAAATTATACAGCTACAACCCTAAATATCCCTTTCCCAACCAAGAACGCCCATTTCATGCCAAAATCAACCGCTCCCCCTTTTCAGCTCGTTCGAACCTTCGCTCACCCCTTCTTCTCCCCACCCCCTCCGCCAAATTTCTGATGAATAGCTCTAATCTGCTCATCGACATTGACGTTCTGCAACATATTGGCATGTCCAGAGCCCCTATCGCCCTTATCCGCCACCGAAACCCCATCATACGCCGAACCTGCTGCTTTCTTCCTCCGCGCCAGCTCTTCTTCGGAAACGGGTTCGCCCGTTACGCTATCGAAGAGATCGGTGCGTTGGCTTGCGAGGCGTTTGAGGTTGTTTGCGACATCCGCAGTGGACAAGTTGGTTGTAGCGTAGCGGGATTCCGCTTTGGCTTTTTGTTCTTTCCAGCGGGGATCGAGGAGTTCGACTATTTGAGAGAAAGTGGGTTAGTTTACATGGCTCAGGTTTTGGTTTAAAGGGGGGACGGAAAAGGGGAAGGGAACGACGTACTTCTCATATGTTGCTCCAACTCATTAACTGGCATCTGCTCCTTGCAATTCGGACAGATGACCATATTCTGCCGATTAGCTACTCTCGCTGCTGCCCTGGGCACATAGTTCTCCTTGATCTTCATAGGCGGCGCGCCGCCCTTGGCTTCTTGTTGTGCCTGTTGGGCACGTTTCCTTGCTTCGGTTCGTTCCCGGATGCGTTGTTCTTCTTCGTCCTCCTCTTCCGTTCTCATGTACGTATCTTGAGCATGCTGTGGCTGGACGGGTTGTTGTGGTTGAGGTGGGGGTGCCATTTGATGTTGTTGTGGTTGTTGAGGGTAGGAATTATAATAATCGGTGTCTTCGGGCATGGCTTCTTCGATGCGCATATTGTGCGAATTAATCGATATCATGGCCTTCTGTTCCAAGGACGCGAACTGGAGCTCGGACAAGGACGTCGGTGGTGAGAGATTCGTATGGTCATCCGCCTCTGTGAAAAGAACAGTCTCCACAACCACGAAATCATGCCAATCAATCTGCGCATAAGATAGCTTCTCCTTCTCTGCCTCCTCCTCGTGCTTCTGCTTCTCCTGGTCTTGGAACTGGAACCACTCTGCCCTCTGCTTCGCCCGTCCCAGAACATTGAATTTATCCTCAGCATTAGCTTCTAACTCCCTTATCCTCTCCTGCTGGGCCTTTCCACCCTCGCCATCAATACCACCAGCCTTCAGCAACGACGTATACTGATCAATCAGCCTCTGGAAAAAATTATGCAAACTGTGATTCGGCCTCAGAAAGTCAAACTGGTAATTCCCCGTCTCCCTTTGCGAGAGCGCAGTCATGAATTGTCTCCCATTTTGCGCGACGAACAGCGCCGTCAGTTTCACAACCTCCAGATCCTGCGCGTTGATATTCGGCATGCGCGCCGAGAAATGGAATTCCGGTGGCTCTGGGGGTCCTTTGGGCTTCTCTTCTTCCACGGCTATTTCGCCCGCTCGGCCTGCTGCTACCGCTGTGCCCCGTCCTTCTCTGATCTCGCTCAGTCGCCATTGGTAGTATGCGTGGTAGGCATCGTTTGCGCTGAGGAAGGAGAATTTCGGGTTGTGCTTTTCTTTCTCGCGGATACGGTCTGGGAGCGCCTGATGTTAGCTGGATTCCTACGATCGGGGGCGGATGGTAGGGATAGACAGAAGTGCGCGTACCTTCGAACACCATTCCATTTCGCGCGACGTAACCGGCTGTCTTCTCGAGGATTGCTGTAGCCGTAATTGTGGTTAGCTGCTGTCGTATATGGATCTATTGTAAAGGGAAGATTGGGATGCATACCCTTGATTTCTTTGGGAGGCAAGACGACGCCAGTTGGCGCCTTTATCTCCTCAAGCGCGGCTATCCCATCGCCGTTTGTAGCTGCAGGAGCCATAATGAGCTCGGCCGAAGGATATAATATTTGTAGCCGTCGTTGTGGAGGTGGAGGGTTGTTTTGGATGGAAATGTAGTTCGAGTTGGAAATCCGCTTGAAGATTCACGCTCGACCCCAAGCTAAAATTTCAGCCTTGCACTAAAAAAGGCCCGGTCAATCACAGGACGAGCCTTGCGATGTAATGCCTCAGAAGACACAACACAACTCAACTTGTTATAATAAGTATATCTGTTCCAGTACAGTTGTTAAAAGGACTTATTATAGCTATTACTATCTCGATACCTAAGCCTTAAAGGGTGGGAATCGTATACTCACCAACAACGCGACATATCTCATATGATAAGGTCACTACTACAGTACTGGTTGATTTCGAGGTAGACGACATATTATGCATTATCATATCATAGCTATCACTGCTTCCTCCCGCTGTAACCTTATAACCTTCCCTTCCCTTCCAACCCCATCCGTCCATTCCACTTTGCCCAAACCTAGCCATTAAAAGTTTGGCTAAATGAGCATATCCCCCTCCATATGTGCATTTTCAAACGGACCACTCAAAAACGCCCGCCCCAGTACCATATCATGCATGAACATACATTATGAGTGTTGACACGCCGGTCATATATATACAGATACACCCCAACTCCGTCCTTTCGCTCGATGCTGTCTATTATCACCCCATATTAAAAAAAAGAGCAAGCCCGTCTTTAGGGATTTGATGCTGCTTTCATTCGGATGTGCTCGGGATGGTGATGGAAAGCCGCTTGGCGTCGTCTTTCCTCCCATCGTCTGGAGAAGGAACCTCTAATGACGAGGTAGATTGTATCGAATCTCTCGTGGATTCCTCCTTTTCTAGGGGCGGGTCTTGAGATGAGGGATCCACTTCATTGCTTGGTTCGTCCACTCGTTGCTCAGCCTCATTATTCGAGGAGAGTTCTTGGGCTGGGGATTTGATAACGCTGCTTGGTATGCCTCCTGCTGGTATAGGCGCATCTTTGTCTGAAGCGTTTTCAGATGGATTAGGAGCTACAGCATCCTGCTGCGCAGCCTGCCAAAGACCTTCAGCCGTATCAACCTGCGCCAAGGTTTTACTAACTCTGATTGAAGTCTTCATCGTGAGAGTCGAATTCCTGGGCGACATCCCAACAATAGGTGTGATATCCCTTGGTCGAATTTCTCCCGTTTCTTCAATCTCCCTCGCCAGTTCCCTCTCTTGCTCGGTTCTTATATCGGCACTCAACCGAGGGCTTCGTGGATGATCGGAATGGACCTGATGAGCAGGGACAACTCCTCCGCCCATCCGGCACCAAAACATTTGTTCTCTTAATCTTACACTTTCTTCCCAGGCCGCCCTTTCCGCTTCCTCATCATCCGCTCTCCAGTGGCCATCCTTTAGAATTCGCAAGAAGCCGAGGAAACCACACGTCGAGCGTACACGTCCATGACAGTACCTGCAGAGAGGATATCTTTGGGCATTTTCATTTTCGCTGGTTCGGAATCGATGGCTGCGAACATGGGAAGGATCCTTTCGGGTCTCGCCGCATAATGAGCATGCAAAAACATAGGGCTTGGTAGAAGCGGGCATTGGCTCGATGACGAGACTACCCTCGCAAATTGCATTTAGCACGGTTCTACGGGCTAACCATGAAAGACCTGGAGCAGTGTCCAGTCTCAGGGTCGGTTCGATATCCTCGGCCAATGCTCGTTTGTAAAACTTAGTGTCCTTTAATGGAGTCGTGGAGTTGGGGCCGTTTGTCGAACCTGTACTGACCGTAGACGCAGGTGTAGTGGGCGTGGCAGGTGAAGATCCGAGAGTCGCAGTAGTCGAGATGGACGAAGTCGATCCATTATTTACTTGTTGCATGCCGGTTCCGGAATAAGCTCCTAGGCCTAGTCCCAACCCAATGGCTCCATAGGACCCGCTGGATACTCTGCTTCCGACTATATTTTTGGACATGCGTAATAAGGATGTGAAGTCCTCGTAGGATGTAAGATCAGTTCGAAGAACTGTATGTAACAGGTGCGTGAAGCTTGTCGGACAAGCCGGCGATACGGGATCTGGTATCGACGATGACTGGGATCTTTCCCCATCCTGTACCATTACATCCTTGCCGTCAAATTTGCTGAAGCCTGGGGTAGGCGGGGCGGTAGCATTTATCGACTCTTCTCGCTCTTCGGTCATTTGCTCCATAACATGTTTCAACTCGGTCAGTTGTTCTTGTGACGATTTCAGCAAACCCTCCGTATCCACAAGTTGTGCCCTTAGTTGCTCGTTTTTGCGTTGAAGGATATCGTACTCCTTTTGGGACGCCTCTCGCGCAGTGATTACCATCTACAAATGCTTATTAGACCGCTGTAGGTTATGAATGCAACTAAGCGTACCTTATTCGCTTCCTCAAACAAGGCCGTCGTCAAGTTCTCTAGTTCCTGCTCAATGCTCCTCTTCTCCTTCTCGACTTCTGCCCGGTGCCTTCTCTCATCGGCCAGAGTCACAAGGAGCCTATTCTTCTCAGCTTCCGCAAGAGATTTCCTGATTAAAATCCCACGCGCAAGCAGGTCCGCATGCTCCTTGTTCTCCTTTTCGAGAACGTTAACCCGTTCGCGGCATGTCTCCAGCTCATGCCGAGTCGCCGAGAGCGTGTCGTCCAGGTTCGTTTGGTGGTTGATCGCATTAATGAGTTTATTGCTAAGCGTAGCTACTTCATTGCTCAAGTCTGGGTGATGGAACGACGGACTGAACGTGCCTTGCTCGCTGGAGGGCGACATTGTCCGGCTACGAGGGTCTGGTAGCGTACTCATGTTGCCCTCTTCATCGCTATAGGGCGTATGGACTCTAGGAATTGGTATTCCGGGCGCACTCGACACAGCAGCCATTGTATGGAGGGTGCCAGTGGACACGGACTTGGACACAGGCCTGGGCGGCTTCGGGAGGGGCTTGTGTGACTTGGAGTCGGCCGAGGAAAGAGATCGAGTATGTTGGAGTGGGAGGGACGGTTGGGGCGGCGAAGTAGAAAGCTTGGTTTCCGTGGAAACACCTACTGCTCGAACGGAGCTACCAAGGGATACTATATTAGCAATTGGAATTCTATTTGAACCAGAGCCGGCCAGCAGATCGCCCCCGCCACTCTTCGTAGATCACTCACTCGGACGTATTCCCAACTTCCGGCCTCGAGGATAACATTTTGCCGAGGGCGGTGCGTTTCAAAACAACTCAGCTATGAGTCCCAGGAATTTGACGGCGTCGGAGGGTGGGCTTGATGTTCGCGCCGAGGGGGCCCTGAAGTAAGGGGGTTCGGGGTACAGCGTAATGGAGCATAGATGTGGTGGAGTAGCGTATTATTTTAAGACATTGGCTCAGAAGACAACATCAGCATCATATTAGAATTGAAGCCCAGCTGTGGGGGGGACGAGGCGGAGAGAAAGTGAAGTGTGAATGGGGATGATGGGGGCGGGGAGGGCAGAGGAGGCGGAAGAAGAGGACGAGGATGGAAGAAGTCAGCGATGATATGATGAGGAACGGAGTTACGAACCCTACTCAGTACGAGCTACGAACCAGGAAACCCGAACTAATCGCGTGCCGGGAATCCTGGCGGCTGCGGCCCAGTCACGTGGACCGTCTCAGCCAAGCCCATCACTGCATCACCGCATAACGCATCACCGCCTCACCGCACACCGCAGCACCGCGTCATCTATAGTCCAACATTGTTATTATTTGTTTGCTGGTTTCAGGTGCACCTGGTCACAGATTACTGGCCGAGATCGTGAGATCGTCACATGCTGGCCCTGTCATGAAGAGGATCTGTTTCTATTCGGAAACGTGAGCAGAGCTGCTTGCTTTAACAGTGGGTTTTGGTGAGTCTACGATGAGAGCCATAGTGGGTGGACCACCTGGAGACGGGCCTACCCTGTTCTGTTAAGGCTAGGGAGCCTTCAAGGGATTCGGGGGAAATAGGGTAACTGAAGTTGTATTTTCTTTATTGATCTGTAACTAATCGAAAAGCCACGTAGATATCGGCAACGTGGGAAAGAGTCATATGACCAGAAGAAGATTACCTCTGCGATTTCGACGATCTTGGAATGCAGGCTAGCTGGGAAAAACATAGATAGATAATACTAATCACTAATAAAGCCAAGGACTAAGTAAATTATAGGTAGTTGATAGGTGGCAATTGTTGGGTTTCACCCGTTGTAGCAATATTTCGACACTTTCAGCATCGCCAATGTTTCGGGATCAAGGTACTGATATTTTAACACATAGCTAACGAACAGATAGAGTTAATCTCATTCACAGAAAGATTTTAACCATTCTGCGTGCCTCTCTTTCTGCAAATCTCTACCTCTATATTTGCCCCTGTATCTCTTATGTAAGATCAAAATAAATAAAAAACTTGGACTCGGGAGATGCTAATAGATGAGTGAACAAGTAATGTGTTAAAGATTAAGCTAGCCCTAGCGTAAAATGATATTTTAAAAGAAAGAAGCAAATTAAAAGGACCTTAACAAACCAGCAGATGCCCTTCTATACAATCCTCCCTTGTTAGACGTCTCCAACCTCACACCAATAGTCAGAAAGGCAATACGTCTCATTGCCCGTCTGATACAACCGTCTTTCGTCATCCTTATAGCAGTCTAATGAATAAATCGTTAGTCTCTTTCCAAAAAGTCCAAAGAGTAAAGTAAAGAGAGTAGCTAATATTAGAGCCGTAGTAGCCAGAACAAGGCGATATAAAGTATATAAGAAAAACTCAAGTTCGATCCGCAATAAAATTATAGCCCTTTAGAATCGAATAAATAAAAGTATACTTACCAAACGGTAAGCCCTGCCGGCCTGCATCCCCAACCTTTGTACCTCCGCCAGCAATCTCCCCTCTTTCTAACTTATCCGCGTCCTGGTCAATATGGAAGCTTAGCCTCCAGCTACCCATTATCGCCCCATCGCCCCTGCCCTCCCACTTGAAAGCCGCTGCTCGATCTGCGCCAATAGCCAATATGTTGATATCATATGGCTTTTCCATGTTTATGGGCGGGGCGGGGAGGTTATAGAAGGCCATACCGATCCAGGGACCATTCTGAGGGTTGCCGGTACAATTGGTCATGTAAAGGTAACGATTTGCCGCAGCTGGCTGGAGGAGGAGTAATATAAGGGAGACGATGGGGAGGGAGGGGAGTGGGAGATGCATGGTGACTTGGTACGCCGAACTTGATCTTGAGATGTTGAAAACAGTGGACAGAGCACAATGAAGGCCGGTGAAGATGGCTGAGGTTGAGTTGAAGCTACCGCAACTTACTAGCTTATATATTTACTTTCTTCTGTGCGTTGCTGTGCTTTGCTTACTGCGAAAATCTCTACGTAAAACATCAATATCAACACCCTCGCGTCCCGCATGCAAACAGGGGCAGCGGATGAAGTGTAATACCTACAGGCAAATCGCAAAACGAAACCCGCACCATTATGGGCATTGGACAGGAAACGTTACATATTTCTGTACCTTTTTTTCCTCTTTACGAGTCGCCATTGTGACGCGTCGCTCATGCAGACCGTGCTATTAATGTTAACTGGGGATGGAGTAGAACGAGGAGGAAACAAAACAAAACAAACTGCATTCATGGCGTTCCATCTGTCGCCAACACAAGTACAGGGGGTTTGAACCGGCATATCTTCAAGCCTCTTCCGAGTGAGGGTTTAACGGCCACAATCCCTAATGCAATGCACCCGGGACAAAGCCGGGGCCGTGAAATCGTATGGAAACCTAAGGAGCTCACTATTCTAGAACATCCAACCCTATCCAGACTCCTTTTCAAAGGGTATCAATTACAAAAACTCCTGCACCTCTTTTCCTATCGCCCACTACCACTGCGCCATGCTAACCATTCAATGGCAATTCATCCATCTACCACTCCAGCCCCAACTTCTCCAAATCCTCAATAGCAGGCTCGACAACACTCCTCTCCATCCTCAACCTGGTCCTCTGCCTCACCCTCGTATAAAAAACCGGACAATCCTTACTGTCGCACCTAACATCATCTAGTGGACTCAGCCGCGAACAGCTTTGGCATACTTTATCCACATCCAAGAATTCCCTCTCCGCGCTGTTGAGCCTCGTCCTCAGTGCTAGAATCGATCGGGGCTTATCACCTAGACATCTGGGGCAAATTGGGCTACTGGGGTTTGATTCGAGTTTGTCTCTGCATACCAAGCAGGAGGATGCTTTCATGTAGGATTCAAGGGTTTTCTTGTTGTTGATGACCCCAAGTTCCTTGGACGAGGCCCCGTGAAGTTGCGGATTGGCGTCTACGCGGCGAACGCGCTGGTATTTTGGCATTTCATCGTACCAATTCCGTACATTTGCGCCTGCGACGTTGAAGATGCGCTCTAGAGGTGGAATAAGGTTCTTAGAAATGTAATAGTCTGCATCGAGCTCAAGATGGTCGTTTTCGAGGAGTTCTTCAGGAGGCACACATCGATCCACCAACCTCGAACCCGGTGCGCCTGTAATGACAACATATGGCACACGTTCGCCATAGTGAGGTTCAGCCCGGGCATCCTCCAGCATGCGCTTCGTACTGATCATCGCACCTGGGGGAGGTGGTCTCCGCTCACTGTACTTCCCGAGCTTAACTTCCTTTGCAAAGCAGAAGTCCTGGATGGAAATTGATCCCTTCATGATTTTCTCGCATTGCTTTTGGAAATAGCTCTTCACTTGGCTGAGATCGGCAGTGCGGAACAGGATCTTTAGGGCGGTTTCTTCGATTTTCTGCTCAGCGGGTGTACCATCCCTGCGTACGGTCTCTATGCCTTTGGCGTCGAAATCGGGTTCTACTTGGTTCCTGCTCTCGTACTTGAAGCCCACATAGCGTTTCTTTGCCAGTAGGACGCATGGCAGATAGACTTTTTCGAATTTGAGTTTGACGGGTCGGGGATTCATATTTGTGATTGTTTTCGCAATCTCCTCGCCGATATCGAATGCTTGATCCCTGGTGCGGCCTTTCAGATGGATGAATAGACTGTCCGTATCGCCATAAACCACTTCAGCTCCCCACCGCTCGACGGAGTGTATGACCGCAATAGCTTTCTCTAGAGTTTCGCGGCCTGTCTGAACAATGCTATCTGCAATCTCCGAGCACGGCATGCGGCCCGAGAAACTTGCTGAAGTATAGCCATACGTGACATTGGCAATGAGCTTGAGTGCCAATTGTCTGTTATTGAGTACACGCTGAAGTGCTTTATCGTCTTTATCAGCCTTCATCCCGCTTTTAACCATGACTCGAGTCTCCAGAATTTCCGACAGCATCTTTGCCAGGAGGGACTTCCGTATCTCCGGTTTGGTGTACATCATGCCGTTTGGTGCGATATTGATATGGTCTTTCAATAGTTCTAATAGACGCTGCTCTCTCGTATACTCTGTAAAGCCCATTTTGTTCATGCCTCGCCAATTTACGACTCGTCCAAGGAAGGTCGAGTAACAGTAGTTATAAGCAATCATAACACTCGGATACAGGCTTTGAAAATCCAAGACTAATACCGGGCTTGTATAAAACGCACTTTGTGGTTCCATAACTAGAGGCAAGCATTCAAGAGCGTTTTGTCCACCAACTTGCTTCCTGCTAGGAGAGACAAGCATGAAATTCTCCGCTTTTGCTATGCGGAACATGAGCGATTCGACTTTGAACTGAGATCCCCGGGAAAAGACAGAATAGAAATCTACTCCCAGCAGTCGAGCTTGTTCACTAGTTCTAGCCATCAGTTCGTTCTGCTCTAGAATCTCTAGGTCCAACTGAACTCGAGTTGTATAGTAATCGATGACTTTCGCCAGGTCTCGATACCTGCCGTTTGTATAAAGAGCCGTTAAATCAGCCCAGGGGTAATGAGGTATTCGACGGTGCAATACATGGAAAACAACATTCTCCATCGTGTACTGGAGCAGATTCAGCTCACCCCTCATAGCTCGCCAGATATTAATCATATGCCTCCCAGTGACACGGATCGAGGAGGTATGTTTGAAACCCCACATGTCACTTTCCTTGCCGAATCTCCCATGGGATTGAACCTTCATGCGTGAAAATTCGTCGCATAGGTTGTACTCATATTTCAAGCGAGCTCGTTCGATGAGATATCCCCACGAACTGCCATGAACCTCATATCCAGTGAGGACATCGGGATCATGGGTCCGGACAATCTCAACCATCCGAACTATTAGGTCGAGCTCTGAGCTCTCGGCTCGAACCTCCACGGCAGTCTGGTTGGCAATGCTTGTGGACTTGGCTCCATCCTCAGAGACTACCACAATCCCGACATGTGTGCCTTCAGCATTGCCGTTGTTTTCAACACTTTCATCATCAGATTGCAGACACCAAAACAGGCACTGTACTTCATCCTCTTCCGGATTAGGCGACAAATTGTTCCTTGTATTAACATGAATCTCGAGACTCATGATGCTCATGCCCTGCGCTTCATGCTTGATACTGGTCGACTTTTGAGGTTGCGTGTACTTGAAACCATGCTTGTTCTTCTGCGTTGGTCCATCAATTTGGCAGGACTTTCCCTTGTCCCGTGCGCTGGAGGCTTGCCGCGGGAGGGAAATATGCTTCGACTCGTCTGATAGATCAGTCGTTTCTTGTTCGAGAGCCCAGCGCTCAACTTCCTCAAAGGTTGGTGGCGGATCTGCAATCGCCCAGCTCTTATAGCTGCATGTGCGTCGCTTACTCTGGTATCGCTCCTCCTCCTTGATTCTATCTGGTAACTTGGCGTTCTTCACTCCGAAGTTTGCATCGCAAGATCCAGTCGGGTCAAATTCAGGAAGAAAGGGCACTGATAGACTCTCGAGCTTGAACTCTCTGCCCGCCCATTCCCACACACGCTCAGGAACATCCTGTTCGTTGCTGTAAAATGGATCTTGATAGATAACCGGAGGGAGACCGAATTCTTCCATGGTTGACGCTATCGAATCCTGTGAAGGCGGGAGCTGAGGATAAACCAGGAAGTCTCCTTTTTGTAGCGCCCCAAATGTGACTAGCAAGTTCCCAGATCCACTAGAGTGTTTATAAGATGGATCTAGAGAGTTGGTATTGGTATTTGGAGTTCGTGGTGTGGTTAGCTTAGTTGCCTCCTCGGAAAGAGATCCAAACGTATGAAATGAAACGCGAGTTTTATCTGCAGGATTGTGTTGAGAAGAACTTTTTTGGCTTAGCCTTAAGATGGTGCTTGGATCCTGGGGGTCTTTGACTACAGGAAATCGTAAGGACTGCGTCGAGAATCCCTGGTTTGACTTCGATGTTTCCTGTGACAGAGGCATAGTAATGGGGTTTGCATTCAAACCACTCACGATGGTTTGTATAGACTTGGACCTGCTGCTCCGTCGAAGAACTTCATTCTTGGTTGGATGTGGGATGGGTGCGCCGGAATTCCCTTTATTAACAATACCAGCAGAAGATAGTTTGGGGTTTATTCCGGAGCTAATTGATTCTCGATGAGAACTAGTAGAAAGATGATGGCTCGAAGACGATCTTCGACGCTTCACAGAGGGGGTTTCACCCAACTCAGGATATAGCGACCGCTTCGTGTCCTTCTTCTGTTTCTCTTTAAGTAAAACTCCTTCTTGCGAGGACAGCATAGAATCTAGGCTGGTCGGATCACTGGGATCTAAAAATTGCACTGCATATTGGTCGCCTCCTGGGCGGGACTCGTCATCAATATCGTGTTCTGACTTCAGCAGATCCGGGGATTGTAGATGTCGTTTCTCCACTAGATCCTCCTGCTTCCTCTGGGCAAACTCAACTTCTTGCATAATATCTTCGTCAGACCCGTAGGGAGAGTCATCTTCATCGATATCACTGTGGAAGTCCACAATACGTTCCTCATCTACTATTTTCCCTTCTTTGTCATTACTGTCATAGCTGATATTCATTGCTGTTCCAGGTGCTAATCCAAGGGCCTGGCGTAAGTTCTCTGGATAAAGATCCTCCGCCGAATCCAGACACGTTGTCACAGTTGAACCATCTGCTGTCTGCTTGACAAAGGTATCAAATGAGATACCAACGCCATCGCCACTGTTTCTCTCGTCCATAATGAGCGACATAAGCTTCTCCCTGTACTCTTCTTCATGGATCCATCCGCCAGGCTGGGAATTTCGAGAATCAGCAGACATCGAGATCATGTCTTCGGGCGGGAAGGGGCTGTCCCCAGGAGATGCGTTGGACATCTTGGATTTCCGCCGGCGCGTTTCATCTCTCCAAAGTTCGGCCATGCTGTGCACCAGCTTCTCGTCCGCAGGAATTGGACTAACCCGTTCTATAAAGTCATAATGTAGGTGTCGCTGCTTAATCTCCCGCCGGTTTAAAATGTCTTGGACACAGATATCCACCTCTATTGAGCAATGGCTGGCTCTCGGGAGTTCGGACTCATCTGTCACTAATTGCGGAGGTATTGAGTGATCATGCCAGCGATGGAACGAGTTGCTCATTTCTTCATACTGCGGCAGTGGACTACGAAATGTCGCCTTTCGGCAATCAATATATCCACATCCGTATAAATTATAGTCCGTCATCCATTGCAGCAGATACTGAATATGAGCTTCATATGGCTGGATCACCTGTTTCATGATAGCTCCTTGCCGCAAAAGGTCTGCAAGTCGGGTCATGACCATGGGATCCAGCATGTATATTTTCAGGTAATAACTGTATCCCACATGGAAGCCGTAGAACGGAATCCCTTTGACTAGCGTGATACGGGCAACGAATTTCGCCTTCCCATCAGCGACATTGCGCCTATAGCTGGCCGCAAGAGCATAATCGACCGAAAGATGAAGGCGGTAGATAAAAGCACCAACTGTGGTAGTGTTAACAAAAGGAAGGCAAGATCGAATAGACTCCTACCATCGTCCGCGTCAAGACTTCCAGTGTACTCAATGTACAGATATGGGAACGCGCCATGGATATGAGCGCAAACCTTTTGCCCGGTTTCGGTGGCACCAAAAACCCTTACTACTGGAACTTTTGGCTCCTTATGTAGTTGCGAAGGGCTGACATTACTACGAAGGACAGGATCGAACTTCGTTGGGGTGGCTTGATAATTGTCTACGCAATCCAGGCGGACTTTGAAATGGTCCATGATGGAACCTAATTTCAATCAGGAGAGCGATAGATAAATATACAAGCAGCCATGATTCAATGCATGCCAGAAAATCACAGTTAAAATGCAAATTAGAAATGTGAAGCTCGGGGGATGCGAATGTAGTGGTTTGTTTTGCAGGTTAGAGGACGACGCGCTGTGAACTGGAGAATCGCGTTGTCACGGGATCCCGATTCATTCTCCGAGGTGTTGCCGCAGTCCAGAAACATCACATTTAAGTTGCCTCCCCGCAAAACTTAAACCAAAACGCAATCCAGACATTCAAACCAGGAACGCCTCCAATATGCCTCCACCAGGCGTGCAGCCTAGGAAGCCAAACGCGCCATCGGCGGCGACCAAGGAGGCAAACGAGTACATCCCATCTTTCATCTCCAAAAAGCCCTTCTACATCGGCGAAGATGATGACCAAAACGATTACCTCGAGCATCAGCGTCTTCAAAAGGCACAACTCGATCAGTCCAAATGGTACGACCGGGGGAAGAAACTCGGTCCTGCGGCGACCAAGTTCCGCAAGGGCGCATGCGAAAATTGCGGTGCCATGACGCATAAGACAAAGGAATGCTTAAGTCGACCTAGAGCGAAGGGGGCGAGATGGACCGGGAAAGACATTCAGGCAGATGAAGTTGTTCAAGATGTTGATCTGGGTTGGGATGCAAAAAGAGACCGGTGGAATGGCTACGATCCAAAAGAGTACAGCTCCGTCGTCGATGAATATACCCAACTGGAAGAACTTAAGAAGAAAGCCGCGCTGAGCACCGGACCGAAGGATGAGGATGATGATGCAGGCGAGGATGGTGCGAAGTATGCGGAAGAATCAGATATGGGGAGGCACCAGAGCACAGCTACCAGACAATTGCGACTCCGAGAAGATACTGCGAACTATCTCCTGAACTTGGATCTTGACTCGGCGAAATATGATCCCAAGACAAGAACTATGGTGGATAGCGGCGCAACTGCGGATACGGCAGCTGCTCTGGTCGCTGAACAAGGCTTTATGAGAGCATCAGGAGATGCAGCTGAATTTGAGAAAGCTCAACAGTATGCGTGGGAGTCTCAAGAAAAGGCTGGTGATTCAAAGCAGCATCTACAAGCAAATCCTACGGCAGGAGAATACTATCGACGGAAAGAGAAAGAGGAGGCGGAGGCCAAGAAAGAGGCACACAGGATTATGCTGCTTGAAAAGTATGGTGGCGAGGTCAATCCATTAGCCGCAAAGCTTCGCGAGACCGCTGTCAACGAGTCGGAGAAGTTTATCGAGTATGATGAGACCGGTGCAATAAAAGGCGCGCCCAAAGTCAAGGCGAAGTCGAAGTATCCGGAAGATGTGCTCATCAACAATCATACATCTACGTGGGGCAGTTGGTGGTCAAACTTTTCGTGGGGTTACGGTTGTTGCCATTCCCAAGTCAAGAATAGTTATTGTACGGGCGAAGCAGGAAGGCAGGCCTTTGAGGAAGCAGATCGCCTTCGAACGGGGGGCGAGCTGATCGGGGAAGAACCCGCCAAAGAAATTGAATGGCCTCGGAATGAGGTGGCTGAGAAACCAAAGGACGAAGCTGTCGTGTCAGAAGTTGCGAAGAAGCGTACCATGGAGGAGATGAAGGGAGGCGTATCCGAAGAGGACATGGAGCAATACAAAAAGCAAAGGATGGCGGCGAACGATCCTATGGCAGCATTTTTAGGCAAGGATGAGTTGTTATAGTAGATCACATTTAAGCATATCGGGATAGGAAATCGATTAGCGGGCGTTGGTGGTTACGCAGGTGGAAATTTTTAGAATTTCATTAGCGTCATGATGCATACATGTTTGTTCAATATTGATTGCAATGCCTATCTGCAACGCCTCGAGTATGAAACCACACTCTGCCCAGTCGCGCGAGTCCCAGATGATAATTGTAGGCCATAGCCATCCGAACCTAGACATGAAAATGCATTTACTCCTCGTCCTCCTCATCATCTCCATCATCCTTCTTCTCCGCGGCCTTGGCCTTCTTTCTCCGGACACGACCAGGACGTCCACCACCGAATGGCGAGGTAAGGGCGAAGTCGATGTGCTTCTGGGAATCAAGACGGACGACGAATGATGGGACGTTGACCATCTGCTTTCCGACACGGATGTGTCTTTGGCGGATGAGGACACGAGCGTGATGGATGGACTTGGCGAGGCCAAGCTTGTAGACACAGGTTTGAAGACGACGCTCCAAGAAATCCTCGGTCTTAAGTGCCAGCACGTAATCGAGCTTCATGCGGGACTCATCGAGCACACCGACACGGACGAGACGGCGAATGAGCGCATTTCCCTCGAAAAGTCGCTTGGGGTCCTTCTCATCGAGAGTGAGCAATTGACTAACAAATGTTAGCTTCTTGAGGTCCGGATTCCAACTCGTATTGCATTTTGTATCCATACCGGGCAGCACGACGGATCTTGGAGAGGGTGAGCTGGACACGCCAGACCTCACGCTTGTTGCGGAGACCATACTCGCCGACGAGCTTCAATTCGGAGTCCCTAAGAGGGTATAATCAGTGACATGCATAGAGACAAGCTCTAATACAGTGGCCAACTTACAGACGAGCAGACTCGAAGGCTACAAACGGTCAGCATGATGTCCATTCGAAGTTAAAAAATATATTCGAGATCGCACGAGGATGCGCAACTCAAGCGCGCATCCAGAGAGCTGATAGCGGCGAGGAAAAGAGGTAACTCACGTCTCCTGGGGACCTTGTAGGTCTTCGAATACGATGGTGGTGCCATGATTGCGATTCGGGCAGTTGTCGAATCGTTGTCGTGGGCGTCGAAGTCGAGAGGTTGCTGAGGAGTATTATTACTTGAGGATTTTCGTGTTGCAACTCCTACGATGTGCGCTAAACCCTTAGCCTGCACCTGCACAGTCACGTGGCCCACTCGGCTAGGTTCTTGCCCTTTCTGTGCGAATTGAACAAAAATATTAAGCGAGGAGACTGGCGTGGAATTGGAAAAGGCGTAACAGTGGTGATCTCGACGACTTCAAAGTTGACAACTTCAACGACAACCTTTTCGACAACCCCCCGACCCCCCATAACAAACCGTCAAGATGGGTCACCCAGCAGGTCTCCGTGCCGGTACTCGGGTACGTTGCAACACCGCTTTCTCCCCGGATTGAAGCGTCGAGACAGACGTCGAGGCGGATGGAGATGATTCGCGACAGGAAGTCGCAGAGAATAATGGGATCTAACTGACTCCTTTGCAGTATGCCTTCTCTAGGGATTTCCGCAAGAAGGGTATGATCAATATGACTACCTACTTGCGCCAATACAAGTGAGCCGATCCAGCGCTGGAGTTGAAGAGAGGCCGGGTGCTAATGTGCGGATAGGGTCGGAGATATTGTTGATATCAAGGCAAACGGTGCCGTTCAAAAGGGGTCAGTCATTGTTTTTCAACGCCGGATACATCGATTTGGATGATATTGGGCGCAGTTGGGGGTAGGAACCGTACTAATATTCAATAGTATGCCTCACAAGGTCTACCACGGAAAGACTGGTGTCGTCTACAACGTCACCAAGAGCGCAGTAGGTGTCATCATCTACAAGAAGGTCAAGCACCGGTACATCGAGAAGCGCGTCAACCTCCGAATCGAGCACGTTTCCCTTTCCCGATCAAGAGAAGAGTTTGTCCGCCGAGTCAAGAAGAACGCCGAGTTGAAGAAGCAGTCAAAGACGGACGGAACACACGTGCACTTGAAGAGACAACCAGCCATGCCAAGAGAGTCGCGAACCATTTCGATGAAAGACAACGTCCCAGAAACCGTTGTACCGATCGCGTATGAGACAACTATCTAAGCGTGGGGGATGGGGGCTTTGCTTGGGTTTCTTTGCGGTTGGGAAATGATCATGATGGTCAGAGGCTTTAGCGTTGCATGATACATGGAACTTTGTGCATTACCTCAAGGAATGAGAGCTAAATTTCTCGACAAATGCTGGTGATGTGATGATGGATATTTCATTGTCGAAAGAGATCTACGCCAATATTCTGCCAGAATCTGCCACGAGGATTGTTCATGGAGGCGCTGTTAATCACACTGAAAGGGAGAGCTAGGCCTTCTCAATGCCCTGAAACTAAATATAGGTAATATCAATTGACCAGCTGGCGTCCCTCATTTGTCACCCGAATATCGAACCAAGAAACGATCCTCTAAACTCGATCCGAAAGCCCTTATGAAACCGATATTTTCCCTGGATCCCATGAACCCGGCAACCATATCCGCGAGAGCTTCTCATTTATCACTCCCTTCTCGCCGTCTTTTTCCACGGCACTCGCATAAGACCAGTGTCCATGACTGCCACATATATTGATGCCAGTTCTCCCCTAGTTCTCCGTTTCTCAACTTCCCCCATTGCTCTATTTCAAGAACCTCTTGTTCCCACCATGTATTTCCGTCCTTTATGGCCAGTTACTGATCGAGTTATCTACGCGGATCGCTTAGTATGCGGGCTAAGTTGTATCTTGCAAGGTTACCCCCTCCATTGAGTTAGTATACCGATACTACTCAACCAGAAGCCCTTCAGTGATAGCCTATTAACCTTATAAGTCTTGAGGGAGCGCTTAAGTGTTGCGCGGGTTTGGTTGTTGTTTGACGAGATGTGTTGCTCATCCCAGTATAAAACTCAAACTCAGAAAGCTATAGTGAGTCATTTAAAGAGTTTCAACAAATTAGTTGTGTTAATATTTAAGGCTAGGTACAAGTTGGCCTATGAAAACAACAGACAGTTCTGCAAGTGACAGACTTGGTACGGTGCCCCTCCAGTGGGGCGCCATTTCCCCCTGCAGAAGTCTTCAATCGCACAATTATCCAGCTTAGGTTCTATTCAGCGGGTACATCATTCTCCCTCTTTCAATCTCGCGGATTAAGATCATCGCATCGCTAGAATCTTCAAATCAGCCAACAAACTTTCCATGTACTGCTCAGTTAGAACAGCCCATCCCAGTCTCAAACCGCTGCTATGAGCTCAACACCACTGTCACAAACGGCGCTGGTCATCATCGATCTCCAGCAAGGCTTCAACCACCCAACGCACTGGGGCACCACTCGCAGTAATCCGTCGTTCGAATCGAACATCACGGCACTGCTTTCCGCCTTCCGCTCCTCCCAGCCCAACAACCCCAACATCTTCCACGTCCGCCACCACTCCCTCCACCCAGACTCACCCTTAAACCCCTCTAAACCAGGCGTCGCATTCATGGATTACGCTACACCGCTACCAGGTGAACCGGTCTACTCCAAAACAGTCAATAGCAGCCTCATTGGGACGACGCTCGCGGCGGACCTACGTGCAAGACATATAAAGACACTATATGTTTGTGGACTTGTGGTCAACCATTGCGTGGGTACGACGGTGCGAATGGCAGCTAATTTGCATGTTGTTGATTTTGATGGAGAGGAGGACGGTAAGATTGTGCTTGTGAGTGATGCTACGGCCGCGTGGAATCGAGGTGTGTATTCGGCGGAGACGGTGCATGGCGTTCATGTGGAGAGTTTGAAGAGTGAGTTTTGCGAGGTTGAGCTGACGGACGCCGTTGTTGCGACGCTGAAGGAGATGGCGGACAAGTAAATGGAACGGGTTCCAATTGACAAGTATACTTAGATTTGATATCGACAATGATAGTTTAGAAGCGATGTGGCCCCAGCCAAACGCTAGTATTATATGTGCTATGCATATGAAGAATCGGATTTCTATTTCTTGAACTAAAGTTTGAACCGCTAATGAATCCATATTTTCGAATCGGAAGGATCTCAGATTCTGAACATTTACTATCCAAGGAGATACGCATTTGCTATTCCATTTACAACAGCTCCCCATTCAGTCTTTTCCATAGTCCGAAACCGCTGATATCTCCTCGAGCCTTCTGTAGTTCTGTCATATTTACCATTCCAATTGTTATCTTAAGATCCAAGGGTAAAACGCGAGTTTACTCTTCCAGATCCATGATACTTGGGCTCCCGTCCCACCAAGTGGATGTATTGGGTTCCGAGTGGGACATTGGGGGGTGATGACAGTGGGCCACATATGGTCCGTAAACTAAACTGGGTAATATTTATGAACCTCAATTTTATTGCAAGTTAAAACCCCCCCCCCTAAGATTCCTCTCCGTATAACATTATAGCACGAGAACATAAATCTTGGTTTGGAACCTCTAGGTTTGGAATCAAAGCGGGATAGATTGGTTGTAATATCCCAGGGTAAAATAATAGGTTATAATTCGTAAAGAGATAAGGTGTTTTGGTTCCTATTAAAACGAAAAGCTAATTGAAAATGAAAGGAATTAAATACTCCAGCCTCTCAACCCTATTTATTACGAAATAGCGAGACTAGATAAATTAATATCATTTATCATTCCTGTGTACTGAAACTTTGCACAAATTATATATATTACTTTTATAAGTGTTATGAGAGTATGAAATGCGACAGACAGTAAGCTATATAATAAACAGAGTTCCATTATTACTTACTTAAGTACCTTAGAAAATGTCTGAGATTGGAGGAGCTTCAAACCCTTGCAACATTCTCGATGTGGTAAATGGTGATATTTCACGAGACCATCCGGAGACTGTACCTGTTACTAGGAAGCAAATTGTGTGTATGTCGACCACTGGTAATTTTCATTGTTCATCTAACGTCATCCGATTAGGACAGACATGTCTATGTATTCCAGCCACGACCGCAAGCTTCCACAACACCAACATCAAAAGTATAGATATAGTATTATTGCTCACAATTATTCATAGAATCGCCGACCTTATCTCAATGTTGTTTCGACGCTCGGGCAACCTTTATCTGATTCTTATTTTTAAGTTGAGGAAGATGAGGTATAATCAATTATAATTGCGATTAGAGCTCTAGGCATTTGTTTAAACGCTTATGTTGCTTGAGCGATATGCAGAAGTTCAAACTGTCAATCTATTAGTAGGTGGATTATTAGCTATAATTTGTGTTATAAAAAATTTAAAAACTTTCGTCTCGCAGTTTGTGATGTTAGATATTTGACAATCTTGGTAGACTTTGGACTTAATGCCAAGGGGTTAACGCTTCTTGATCTAGTTAAGAGCAGAAGCGCTTACTTGACTACGGAGGTGTCTCTGCTGGTGAGAAGCTTGCTTCTGTCAAGAAACTGTGATCGAGCTATGGCATTTGATATATCGCAGCTTTTGAATCGATTAGGGCTCTCCCACTGCCAACAACGGCTCGCGGAGAACGGCTTTGACTCTTTGGAGTGCTTATACGGCATCACCGAAAATGACTTTGAGACTCTCGACATCGAGCGTGGAGATCGCAGGACGCTGCAGCAGGAGCTGCGAAGACGTGAAGCGCAAAATAGCAGCAGAGGTCTGGCAGCTTTATCGGCCCATTCGCTATGGCATGGCACTCCTGGCACCAAAGCATCTGCCATGGTCAGTAATGACGAGTCTGCTGTAGCTCTTCGCCATCCGGAACTCGAACCTACAAGGCGCTCTGAGCCAGCGGCCTGGGGTTACCTTATAAATCCGGCGACAGCCTTAGTCCAACGATTATGCTCCACAAGAAGCGGCCATCCGTAACATGTTTCTCTGTCCCCTGACAGTGGGTGGCTGGATGTGACTAAGGCTTCCAGGCCGGCAGCCGCAGATGCTCAGGACGACAAACAGAGCTAAAATGGCAGTGAAGACGAGGAGATTATTGCCTTCGACGCTTTGTGAGTGTCCGGAAGGCCCTTTTATGGATGACGCATGATCCATGGAGACAAGTTTAACGGGTGAAGTATATATGCTGCAGCTAAAGATGAGCCGAAGAGTACACAATTTCCCAACGATCACCGAAGTGTGAGAACGAGGTTAATATGGCTATGCAGCTGTCCAAGACGCTGATGTGGCTAGGATTTGGGCTGTGAGGGTTGAAGAGATGTGGCGTGGCTAGAGCAATCATAATGGAGCTCAGTAATGGTGGGAGCAGAAAAGGATGCCAGAAGATTCTTCGATAGCGGGCGATCTGACTGGGAGCTGCGTTCGAGGATGTGGCTGCGTCCAATCGCTGGATTGTCATTCAGTCTCACAAGACAGGATTTGGCGGGGTGTTGCCATGGGACCATGGATCTTTCCCAAGCATGGAAGTCCTCCTTTTGCTTCTTTGTGCCATGTCTCACTCCCAAGAAATACTATCGGTTCTCGCATAAGTCGAATCTTCGGCCCCCCTATCTATTGGAATCCACCCTTGCGATACTTTGGGTAGCAGGTCATAATAATCACTAAGAGAAAGCCATTTTCTTGTTCATGAGGGTACCCCAGGGAATTCTACCGCCTTACTCGGGTAGCGCTGCCCGGCGTTCTAACGATAATCCCACTGGCCAGTCAACTACCGCGCCTCAACAAAAGGTATTTCTAGTGTCTGGCATGATCGAAATCACAAGTAACCGGCTTGAGGAGGCCATAGCCCTAGATCGATTTCGCGCCTGCTCTGACGGTTTCCTATATTCGTGGAGTGGATGAAGCACAAAAGTCGTCGCCGGCGTACCGAAGAGTCGCGACTACAAGGCAGTGTCCTATGTCTGGGGCGAGACAAAACTCCTACCACTCCCATGTCTCCATTGTGGACATGTTATATCGACTCCCATGGAAAGCGAGGCCAAGTTCAGGCGCTTGATGACACTCACGGACCTTCCCGGGCAGAGTTTATGGATTGATGCGCTGTCGATCAACCCGTCGGATGATAACGACATGGCTACCCAGATGGCGGTGATGAGCGATATCTACAGCAATGCCACATCGGTAGCCGTACTCTTATCAAATTCAGACGAGGACGCCTAAAAATTCTGGAGCAGTTGGGTGACCTTGCATCGTTTACCAACACGCGGAAATTTGCCATTTCTAGGTAGCACACTGATGTTAAAACAGAGATGCTAAGCCGCATATGTCAGAAATTCTTCTCACTGGTAGACGAGTTCGAGAGGGACATCCATCGGCGGACACGTTGACGTCGAACGTGGACCTTCCAGTGTGGGCGCTAGCATACGAATTATCCCTTGCGTGGGAAGGCTAATCTACTCTTGTAACTAGTAATAGTAAAGGTTAGTACTAATAGGATAGTACCTAGCTTTTAGACCGTTAAAGAATTTTATAGGAATCTTTGTTATATATAAAGTAATCTCAGTGTAGCAACGGGAGGGATAGTCTCTAGGTGTTTATAGTATCTCTCTATCGCCGGCAAGTCGAAAAATTTATTAGATGCCTTTTCTTATAGGATTAAATTGCCTTGGGGAAGGAGGGAACAACCGCGTTACATGTACACTCGACTGACTCCCTGCTGGAAGATGTCGAAGCAAGCGTCTGTATACTCAGCGATGTCAGTTAATAAGAAAGGCTAAGCGCAGTGAACAAATTTGGTATTGTGAGCTGCAGAAGTTCTCGTTAAAAGCGTCTGTACAAAATGTATATGGGTACATAGATATGATTACCCTGCCTCTAGGCGCTAGTAACTAACATTACACGAGTTGAGAAAGGTATAGATAAGAAACGCGATACTGTATACTCGCGAAATTATTAACATTATTTTGAACCCACTGAGTAAACACCGTCGCTAAACGATAGGTCTTTTGTTGTCAAGCGTTTATCCGATTAACTCTTTGTCTGAGCCAGTCCCCGCGCCACTTTGCTCGGCCGCCTCACTATCCCCGGCCCCGTTAGAGTCGGATGTTCGTTGTAGGATATGTGATAGCGAATAAAATTCTAACTTTCGTCGACTAGCTGACTGCGGGGCCCGGCGACCGCTGACACTTCCCGCAGGTCGCGAAGTTCTTTTCTCCCGATGGTGCGCCCACAGCCTCCGCAGAGCGAATATGCTTGCACATATAATCATCAGATTGGCTTCGATAAGAGTCCATTCTCCGGGGTTAACGGCGTTCCACGTCATATCCGCAGCTAAGGACCCATCTGCCTTCTCATACCATTTGATGCTCGAGTTCCTCAGGATACCAGGGTGCATAAAGAAGATCCTGAGAGCGGAGGCAATGACGGCCACTGTGCCCATTGATAGAACCAAGGTAACAATGACTAGCAATGTCAGCGGAAGTTGAGCGGGGAGAGATAGAGAAACTAACGTTTGTCGTGAAGAGGCATTGTCATGCGGTAGATGAACGGAAGTGGGATGATGAAGATCATCGTGTCGGTAGCAATGTTGAACGCTGACTGCGTGGTTTGCAGTGTCGAAGTCTTGATGCAACCTGCTGGATACGTTTCCAGATTCCATGCTCCATTTATAGGGCTGCAGATGAAAACGCCAACCTACACAAGAGGACAGAATATCAACAAGTGTTCGAAGAGATCATGGAATAGCAATTAACGTGGAAAGAGACACTACTTACCAGCACTAGAGCTGTCGTATACAATACAACGAAGAGGGCAAAGCCATAGATAATTCGGTTATGCAGTCGCTCTTGCGCGAGCCGCCGATACAGGTACAGAATGCTGAGCTTCACAAAACTGCCATCAACATCAATCAACAGCCATAACGCTTATGCAATTTGGGCGTCATACCCTGTTGTCAATGATGAAGTTATCGGTGCCCAATACAGCCCCTGTATAGCATTCACTGTTCAGCTTCGTTCTAAGAGCTTGCCGCAAAGCAGACCTTTAAGAGGATCACGAAGTCAGGACCAGCAACGGTCCAGACGTGCCTTCCGTATCCGTGCATGGCACTTTGCAAGTTCATGCCAATATACACTGCATTGAATAGCTAGAGAATGTTGGTTAGAGGGAGGGATGAAAAGATTTGTGGTCATTGTTGTTCATCAAATACCAAAGCAAGAATGATGAGCCAGTCATCGGTTCCAAAGTTCCGCAGGATGGCCAGTCGGAGGTACAATCTCATAGCGACAGTTAGTCAAACTGCATGACTGCACCCAAAAAGATGAGAAGCTGCCTACCGAAGCGCCGTGGTCAGGGTTGACACCACGAAGAAGACGATGGTGATCGCTAGGATCTCGGCAACTCTAGTGTCCTCCATCTTTGGCAGGCTAGAGAACGAAGCAGAGCATAGAAACCATGGGGAATTTGGAAAGGTGGATGCGGAGAGTGGGTCATTCCCTTATGTACGTGGTAAGGCCACGCCAGATGGAGAATACTAGTTGTGTTTAAACAAATATGGAGTATCCCGCAATACGCTCAGGGGCATTGCGAGACATTCGGCGAGGCTGATAGTTGCATACTGTACTGGTGGTGGCGATCTTGCCGAGCAACACCACAGCAAGGACATCCTTGTCTTTCGGCGTGCTCGGTAGCGACAATGGCAGAGGGATTTTCAGCAGTGGCGCTCCCTTCAAAATGTCCATTACTCGTACATTGGCACCGACCTAGCCTTCCTTGCGATAAATTCGTACTGATTGGTTTATGGCTGTCTCTTATACACATCTAGATGTGTATAAGTGAATGTATATATATATATCATGTTTGTTTCGCTGTTCCCTTGGCTATCTGCCCCTAACTCTCTCTGGCGGGAAATTGTGGCGGCGCCATGATCCCAATGCAAAGCCGCGGGGTACAAGACTTATAGAATGCCTCCGCCCGCGTTTCCTGGGCATTACCCGTCGGGAAACGTGCGGTGCCGATGATTTCGGTCAGAGAGGCAACTCAAGCGACCCGCGCTGCCGGCAACAGTTGCAACCCGGTTTTCTTCGCTCCCCGCCACGCGCCAGGCAGGGTGAGCAAGCCACAAGAGCTGGCGGGCAACCACTAACGCCTCCATTGGTTGCATAGACTGTAAGCGACATGTGTACATTGATAGTGAAGCACCGACATGTGGATGTTACGCATCTAAATAAAATACACACGAGGAACATACCTTGATGCTCGAGGGGTTGCACACGTCATATGCATTCAATGCGGCATGTTTCAGCTAGGGGGTACCATTAACAAGAGGTGTTACCAGTCCTACGGGTCGCGGAACAGGCAGGGCCGACGCGTTCAAAAGACCCTCCGTAACACCTGTAGACAGAGAGTGGGTTATAATAAGGACCTGGACAATTCCCGAAACGTTGGCTCCTTGAATACCGGCGCTTGCCGGTGGTCAGTGGGTGTGGAGGCTGCGGACATCAGACGGGAGGATGGGGAGGGGAGGGAAGGTGAGGTAGAGGTTCCCCTATATACTTGCTAGGCCTAGCAAGGTCTTTGATCAAGAACGACTTCGGGGTTGATTATACAAATCAGGACTACATCAATCAATTACGCACTATTTTATTCCAAGAGTCAATGGCAGCCCCGCCGGTCGACGGATACTTTCACACCACTATGAATTTCTCTCCTCCCCTTTCCCTCCGCTACCCACGTCTCCACCGGTTCACACCACACCACGTCCAAGTCTTTCTACCCAGTCTTTCTACCCAGCTACATGTGCGGTCGCTGTTCACAACTGGTAGACCTGTGACACCTGTGAATGAGGTTTCGGAGGGGAAATTGTAGGATCTAAGATGGTAAAAGAAGGACGCTGGACACGACCCCATCAGTACAGTTATAGTTGAAGAGAACGATATACGGGTAGAGCGCCTGCGTGTCCGGATCCCACTCAAGACGACTGCACTGCCGACTTTGGCGTTAAGGTAATAGTCGGACCGCGTGGGTGCACCACCACCACCACACGCCGAAATGATGCGCTCCCGCACCTGCCGCTGCCGAAACACGGCCAGTGCATACATATGTTGGTTGGGCAAGGAGTGTATTTCGGAAGGGCCCACCATCCGACATCAGCCGGGTCGAATGGACTTCATGGAGAATTTATGTCGCCCCCGACCTGATGAGTATTCACCATTCTAGCTACTAGACTAATAATAAACGCTTCGCATAGGTGTGAATGCTCGGCAGAATTCTGCTATACTTGTGGTATAAGATGCAAGGAATGTAACTGTGGTATCTGGGAAGAGAGAAATCTTCTGTTGCGAGCCGAACAGGTTTTCGATGAAGTTTGCGGCTCGATCAACTCAAACCCAGCCAGCCATCTTCAACCGCTTCTCAAATGCCGGCAAAGGCAACACTTGAACTAGGAAATGGAGAGAAAATAGATTGCTTAGCTACACTATCATTAGTAGGCCGAAAACTTTCCATGTTCGAATCGAAGGGGTTTATCGACGTCCCAAAGTGCCTATCGGGTCCTCTGAATCGTCCGCAGAGGCTTCGTCGTCCGAAAGAGAGACTGGGAAGGCGTGGCCTTTGCCCATGGCCTGAAGGGTCTTCGCTCCACGAGCTGCAGATCCGTGAGAGAAGGCCATTTCTTGCAGGTCAGCAACACCTTGGGGGACCAGGGGGGCGGTGCTCAGTGCTAGAGTCTCCGCTCGTACAACGTGCATCGCGTTGGACGCCAGGGCGATAATGGGGACGAAGCGAGGCGTTCGCCGTAGGCTGTAGAGTCGGCGATAGGAGCCCAGGAGAGATTTGATTGCATTAGCTGCTTGGACACATATCTCGTATGGGAAGACAGTGGAGCCTAGAAAGCGGAGCTTGATGAAGGGGCCGAAGAGGAGGAGGGTCGCGAAATGATAGTACATACTTGTTGCACGGTGAGTTAGCCTGGAATGCGAATCCTTGAATATGAAGATGCGTTACTAACTGCATAAAGAGTACGGATGGCGTTGAATTCTCTCCAAGCCGTAGAGCTATGGAAAGGGAGCTGTACCAATTCAAGTATCGAGTATAGATGTCCAAAATATCCCTGTGGCTGAGGGGCCCCATTTTTGAACTTCAAATCCCAGCTAAAATGAATATTCGTAACAGACGGACGCAATATAGGGAATTTATCGTCGTTACAAGAGACGATATAATCCCTAAGCTTGCATATATTCGAATCCTTGGTAGGATCAAAGTGGTCCGTAATCCACTCTAATCCGTTGTAGCCAATAAGAATAGAGACTTCTTTGAGGCTACGGAAGTTGCAAAGAGATCCGACATCGCAATGTAGTCTTGGAGACCAGCGGTCCCAGAGGCTAACCCCAATATGTTGACAAAGTTGAAAGAGCTCTTCTGGAAAAATATCCAAAATCCCATCGGAGACCGTAAAGTTGAACCGACTCAACCCAAAAAACAGGCGCTTTCCGTTCTCCCAATTCCGCCGATTCGTCATCATCAAGGGAGGCAGGCGACGTAACACCCAGTGGTGTGTGTACTCCATTTCCTTGTTCCCTTCTGAATCTTTCCTCCAGGATACTTCCTTGATGAGCAAGAGCAGTTCGAATCATTTATTCTGATTGTTTACTCACATTCAGATATTATTAGTACCTTTCTTTGTCACTATTTTTACTCGCTGTGCTTATAATAGATTCTACTGCCTTCTTTACATGGGATGCTTATATGCACACTTTTAGAGTTACTATATTATTTCAAGATTAATAAGTTGAAATAAAATTGATAGACAATAAAACCTTGTATTAAAAAGTCGATGTCCTAAGCTTGAAGAGGGCAGGGCGTTTAACGCTACTTTCCCACAACCTATAATGAGCTAAGATTATCAAGTTGAATATGCCACTTAGATGCATATAATTAATATTTTGCTTTAATCTAAGATTGTCTGAATTATGATTATCTCACGTATTGCATTGTGACTAACACGGGAATAAATGCTGGTGGTGGTATGATTAGTAAGTGCGGGATTAATCAGCCCCGTGCATCGGGTTTAAATGTACCTCCGTACGGCTGTTTCTTCTACAGAGGTAGATGATTTCAACAATCTCCAATATTCCAAAATCATGGCAATCTGTGGATTGTTTTCAAGAATATACCCCAAGTCTGCTGAGAAACGACTTCATGGAAATGATAAAGCAATCCGGCCCTCCAGGATAGCCTTCCTACGAGCTGCCGCTATCAACTTCATACTCCTGCAAGTGCTCTTCCTCGGATTATTCGTCTACATATTTGGCTCTCTCTTTCAGCAAGATGTACACACTCACAATATGGGCATCCTCTGGGTAGACTACGATGGCGGACTTGTTGGAACGGCAGTCAGGGATGCCTACAAGTCACTCCAGGGAACTACCTTTCCGACCTTGGAGGAAAGTACTCCAGTCCAGTACCCGAGCCCTGGAGAAATGAGAGAAGTAGTCTGCCAGGCAAAATACTGGGCAGCACTTTATACCTCGCCGGGCGCATCCCTCCGTCTCGACGAAGCACTGACCGGGGGTTCTGCAGCAAGCAGCTACAATCGATCGGATGTCTTGACATTCATTTGGAATGAAGCTCGCTATTCCCCGATCGCCGACTCTAGCATCTCTGCAAACCTGCAAAAACTGTCCTCTACCGCTCGAACTGCATACCTGACTCACAAAGACATCTCAGGACTTCAAGCTTTGTCTTCAGCTGACCCCACAGCAATCTCCATATTTGCAGACCCCTGGACGTTGTCCGACATCAACATTCAACCTACAACGCAAGGCTCGCGACTCATCTACAATACCTTGGTCATTATCTTGCTTTTGATTCAGGAGTTTTTCTACCTAGGAACCATCAATGGACTATACGTGCAATTCAAGATATATGCATCCCTTTGGCCACACCGCATCATCGCATACAGGAATATGATATCGTTAGCTTATACATTCGTCGGCTCACTCTCCACCACCGGCGCTATCTGGGCATTTCGTGTGGGGTGGGATGTGAACTCGAATCAATTTGTCCTCACCTGGTTCATCCTCTGGCTCTTTGCACATGCGAACTTCCTCTGGCTGGATGTGATGACTATTTGGCTACCAGTGCAATACGTACCGATGAGCATGATATGCTGGGTTATGTTTAACGTAACTTCGATTCTCGTTCCGTTTGAGCTCAGTCCGGGGTTTTACAGATGGGCGTATGTAATGCCTGCGCACGAGGTATACCAGGTTCTAACAGATATCTGGTCGGGGGGTTGTAACCCACAGCTCCGTTATGCTCTACCTATCCTCTTCTCGCTAGAACTGATAGGCCTGGTGCTGAGCGGCTTAGGCGTATATCGACGGTGCCATTACGCGCTTCTGGCCGAGGAGAACCAAGAAATAGCGTTCCACAGGCGACTAGATGCAGCGATGGATTTTGAGCGGAGGAGAGATGCGGAGAGGCAGGAGGCGGCCGAAGCTGTGGTCGCTGGACCTGTAGAGCCTAGTGAGAAGGATAAGAGGGATGATATGAGAGGTCGTGAAGAGAACCTGGGAGAGGTTGAGTTGGGTGATCAGATTCGTCGGGAGGAGGACGAGATCCTTAGTGACCAGAGGAGGGCGAGTAGGGCTTGCAATTTTGGGCCGAGCTTTGATCTGGCATTTGAAAGAGGATCTTAGAGATTGATCTAATTATTGCGTAGTTCTGTCACCTACTAGTGCACCACTTCGTCGTGTAATTGTGAGAAAAAGTATGTAAGCCTTAAAGCAGGTTTGTTAAGAGTTTTATACAAGGCAATGTATAAATTACGAAGTATATGATGCAGATTGGCGTCCCGAAAGAGGCTAGTGCATAACACCAAGCACAGCCCTAAACGACCGTATCGTATACCTGTGCCACCAGGCCAGATGGAGAGACGACACCAGTGAAGGCCTGCAAAATAACATCGACGTCAACATTGGCGATGTGAGTAAAGATGCTGCTCGATGGTGGGCAGCAATTCTAGCTAAGAATTAAGGTTGGAGGGCAGAGGTCAAAAGAAATGACAGCGTTTATCGATCACCATGGTCTAATACGTCTATTTTAGCAGATCATTAATTTAGACTTAGATGGGCAAGCAGCTTCCAAAGCTCGTTCGATTCGCTATCATCGCCTCCAAGCTCTGATGTTGCTCTTGGTTATTTGATCGACTTTTGTTTACTCCACAACGTCGGCTGTCAATATTCTGCAGCTCTGGCGGCTGCTCTAACCTTTCCATCTCTAACAAATGCGAGTCTCCCCCTCCCAAGCTTTAACGATTCATGTGTATCGAGTCAAATAGCGACGGCCGACATTTCCTCACCACCAAGAATCTCCCAGGCTCCTCCCTCTGGGCATGTCGACATGAAAGACGAGATCCTCCAAGATTTTACGCTCCTACCTTACTATATGACTCTAAGCTGTAGTAGACGGGGTATACAGTCGCTTATTTGCAACACATTTTTCGATCCTCATATACCATGCAACCTCGTCAGTGCATGGGTTCAACCAATATTTGAAGTCCTGGACCCTCTAATTGCCAAAAAGGATTACACGGTTCTTGCGATGGTCCTGGGCAGACAACGGCCGAACATTGTGGCCCTCTGGACTGGTGCTATTGTCACTGGGATGTCGCAATTATATCCTACATACTGTCGGAATAGGCTTTTCCCGATCGAAATCCACTCTGCAGCTTGGACAGACGCAACGCAAACGTTTATGAGTCTAGATCCTCGGCCTCTTCTAGGTTGCGATCGTATATACCGATCTGATGAATGTCGATTACTTTATCTCGCAGGAGAAGAGTTGAATTCTCGCCTCCCCATCTGCCCTTGGCCCCCGTTTGGCACTACAGCTCTTTCTGACACTGATATCTGCGTTCGTACACATGCACATTGCATAGGAGGGCATTATCTACGTTACGCTAGTTGGTCCTGGGCTTAAGAAATGGTGGTAAAGTACGAGACCCAGGCTTCTCCAGCGACACAACGAAACAAAGCGCGTATGCCACTGTAGATGATACAATCACTTTGGATAGCCCCAAGGAAACTGCCCTGGTGAGTGAGACCATTTCGGCGGCGATGACACAAAGCATATTTGGCTGGCTACGGAGTTACGGATGGCCTGCCGCAGAGAAGGCTATATACAGCCACTCATGGATCCCCTCAGAAGGACCAGACGATGAATCAGACGATGGTCCAGAAGATGATGTAAGTGATCCGGGGAAGGCCAAATATACAAGTGACAAGTTCGAAAGAATAGCAGCTTGGCTCGAGCAATGTGGAAAGTAATCTGAAGGTGCATGACTGTTCATTCAGAACCAGCTACAGGTTAGCGCCTGTTACTATGTGCCTGAGCTCCACAGCAATGATTCAAGTGAGATCTGCATATTCCTCAAATCCGCCAGGTCCTGCGGCAAGATGGTCGTGGCATTTTGGTCAGATGGTATATTTTCCAGATTGCGGTACTGTAAGTACGAACGGGCACCGAGGCAATATTGTTTACTTGTTCACCACTTCTTCTGGCCAATCTGACACGCCTCAGCCAAGGCATACAATCTGATATCGGTTTATATGTACCTTAAGCGTAGTAGCCGGTGAGTCATGCTGCATTGTTTGAAACTGTGCTTGTTGTGACCTAGAGTCCTCTCATTGCATTGAAATGCAGCATGCTACGCCTCACACGGCACAGAGTTTCCCCGCTATCTCTTAGTCACATCTCTTCAATCCCTCCGCCCCGACGGAAAGACAGATAAAGCGCAACCGCACCCGAAATTAGCTTCGAGTCATTTAACCCTTTCTGCTACGAGTAGTTATTTACTATTTAGAGTGATGGGGCTCCTAGGAAGGAGGCTTGATATAATGTCCTCCGGATTAGGAGATAATCTTTCGGTGGTGATTAGACTCCCTGTGCATCTGTAATGGGAAGATTACAGGCAGGATAGTTCCTATTTAAGGACTCAAAAAATTGAAGTTGGAAAGATGTAGAGCACCTTGACTGAAACATTATGTGTTAATATCTACTCGAGTATGTTAATGTCCCACATTCTCTCAAGCATTGACTTAGACGAACCTCTCCAGGAAATATGCCCTACTTATAAGGTAACACTCATTCTGCCAGGTAGGAAGCTCTCTGGCTCTGTTATCCAACGACAAACAAATGAGAAAGTGGAGCATTCAACGCCTAGTAAAGAAGCAAGTCGATCCTCCTGTGCCGAGTATCACAGCCCAGGTCGTTAGGCATACTCGAGCGACTATAACAACATTCCAGCAATGAGGGAGCTGTTGGTGCCTTGCCAATTTAATGGAAATCACAGGAGCGCGTGAAAATGGTAAACAACGTCTACGCACTGCTATTTACTACATCTTCAACCACACATTGCTGGTATACGGAGTCGAACAGAGTCGTTAAAGTAGCCTTTCCAGTGTTCCAGATCGCTGGGACAGTGGGATTTCATACGGAGGATATGATTTGCTCGGTGACATTAAACTTAGGTTGATTAGGTGAGCTAGGCCGTTGATAGGGGCTTTTACGTGAGTTGCGAACATCTAACTCTCCGCGTCGGATCTTAAACGATATACATCCCTCCGGCTCCGAAATAACTCTCCGAAGCGACTAGTTAAGCAAATCCTGAACTTGCAAACGCCTACGACAATGGGAAAAGCATATCGTAGCACCTCATATTCTCTAGTCACGCTCTTTTACTTTCGCTTTAATTATATTGGTTCAGATTGCAAAGTCCCTGGCAACTCACCGTCTTTTTATCAGCTGCACTAGACCTCAGAACACTGCTCACGCAACCTAGGCACGACCCGCGATATCGGTCCTCATCCTCCCTGAAGCTTGCGAGTAGTTTTAACGCGACCTTGGCCTATTTGAAATGGCTAGCCCTTCTCCCCTTACAGATGACAGCACTGGCGGCAGCCATGGTCCACTCGTGGCGTCACAGAAAGATGCTGCTGACAATAAGCTCGCCGAAGTAGAGAAGCTTGATGAACCATCCAAGTTTCAGCCAACACCAAAATTCTGGGCTATATTAGCTACCCTTTGTGTGATCGGCTTGCTGAGTGCTTTGGAGAATACCGTTGTCACCACTTCATTGCCGTTCATCGTCAAGGAGCTCAAGCTTGGAGAGAACTACATCTGGGTCACTAATGTTTTCTTCCTAACAAGGTGAATACATCTCCCTCCCTCCGTTTCCATTCCGCATGTGCCCTCGACTGCTCCATACAACAGTATGCTAACTCTATTGCCCTCTTAGTGCCGCTGTGCAACCCCTGTTTGGGCAACTGGCGAATGTCTTTGGACGACGATGGGTCACCATGTCCATTGTTGCCCTCTTCACTCTTGGTAGCGGTATCGCTGGTGGTGCTACCAATGGAGCCATGTTGATTGCCGGACGAGCAATCCAGGGTATGGGTAGCGGCGGGATCAACATGATCGTCGACGTGATTATCTCAGATCTCGTACCCCTCAGAGAGCGAGGCAACTACATGGCATTCGTGCTCATCGTGTACTTCGTCGGCATGGCGCTAGGACCATATGTCGGAGGTGCTCTCGTCGATAGCTTGAATTGGCGTTGGGTTTTCTATATAAATTTGCCTGTATAGCACCCCTTTTAATGACCAATGGCCCAAGAATACCGCTAACATTCAGCTAGGTTGGAGGCGTTTCCATGGTTATGATCTTCCTATTCCTCCGTGTTCAATCCAACAAGGAGATGTCCTTCGCTCAAAAGTTACGCCGCATCGACTATGTTGGCAATTTACTTCTCATTGCGTCGACTGTGTCCATCCTTTACGCTTTGACATATGGCGGAGCCCTTACACCATGGTCATCTTGGCGAATCATCTTGCCTCTTGTTGTCGGTCTCGTTGGGCTTGGGGTATTTATGTTCTTTGAGACCCTAAAGTTTGTCAAAGAACCTGTCATGCCTCCCCGCATCTTCGGCAACCGGACCTCGATCGCTATATTTGCAGTTACATTCCTTAACTCTGCACTCCTATACTGGATTATCTTCTTCTTGCCAGTCTACTTCCAAGCTTTGCTAGGCGCTTCTCCCGCCAGGTCAGGTGTGCTGCTTCTCCCAGCCATAGTCGTCGGTGTCCCCGGCGCTGCTGGTGCCGTTATTCTCCTCTCTAAGTTTGGCAGATACAAGCTGCTTCATCTCATTGGCTTCGGAACCTTCACTCTTGGTGTCGGCCTTTTCGTCCTCTTTGACAAAGACACGCCTCTAGCTCAGACAGTAGTATTTCAGATGATTGCGGCTGGTGGATCAGGCTTCGTTCTCAATACACTTTTGCCTGCAGTCCAGGCGCAAAACGATGAGAAGGACCAGGCCGCAATAACAGCGGCATGGTCGTTTGTCCGAAGCTTCGGTGCTATCTGGGGTGTAGCTATCCCTGCTGCAGTCTTCAACAACCGGTTTTCTCAGCTTTTATACCTCATTTCGGATCCTCAAGTGGTCGCAATATTCAACCAAGGAGATGCATATCAATATGGGACCGCGAAATTTTTGGATAGTTTCCCCCTGGTAATCAAGAACCAAATTATTAGTGTCTACACAGGTGCCTTAAAGCAGGTTTGGCAGCTTGGAATTGTCTTCTCAGGGGTCTCGTTCTTGTTGGTATTCCTTGAAAAAGAGACTAGACTTCGAACAGAGCTTGAATCAGAGTTTGGCTTGGAGAAAGATAAGAGCACAGATGCTGAGATTGCGGAGACAAAATAGGGTTGACACGACGAATACAGCAGAAAGGGAGCGCGCTTAAGGTATGAGAACAGGTTTTTGTACAGCTGGGACTTATACCAAGGTCGAGAGAAACGCAAGAGACCAGATCTATATATAAAATGTACAATATGCAGTGGTTGGAATAATAGACGGTCAAGAGAAGGCAGCTTTCCCCACAAGAATTGCCGACAGAATACATGGACTAAAGAGACTCTAAGCGCACTGCGCTCGAAGCAGTTGGAGTGACAGTATTCTCGGGAGTGTGATGGGATATATCCTCTGTTCTCAGTCTACTGAACACTTATTAGTGGCATGGTAATACTAGGAAGAATATTTGTCGCATTCAATGCTATTCTCAATGCTCTTTCTAACACATCAAATACAATAATGATATCGCTAGCTAAGTCATAAACTCCATACGTATATCTATGGCGAAACATGGTTCTAGAGACGGGACATATTTATCAGTTCTCGCGAGCTATCAAGCCAATGAAGGAAAATTCATCTAGGTCCTCACACAACGAGGGCTGTGACAATTATTTCTAGAGTGCAACGCAGTATTGAATGGTCATCTCATCATTTATTCGTAGTTAAAAGTAATAAAAATGCGGCAAGAAAAATTCCCACTTGAGCGCAGTCTAAGAGCCTAGAAGTAATTGTCAGAATTCCAGGCCATTTGAAGTGCAGCGACCGCCAGAGTTAAACCGTGAATTAGGCCCTCAACGCGATTTTTGGAACGGTAGAGTACCAAGAAATATACTCCAGAAGAGAGACAACATCCCAATCATCATCGAAAATGGGACTTGTGGGTCCTGTAAATCAGTGCTATGTCCCCCAACAACGCGGACTATGAAAAAGGCCAACATCGGCAATACACATATGCAATTGTAGAACAACACCCATCGAATGCTGATATATTCGCGCGCGTATATTCCCCAAAAGTCTTCTCTTTTGCTACCCCCCTCTTCGAATTCAGTCTTTTTCTTCGGGAGAAGCTCTAAGACATCAGAAGAATGAAGGCCCAACTTTATACAATTGTGGTACCAGTGTAGGAATGGCTTTGGTTGATGACATGCATAGAAGCGTTTTTTGAACTCGTGCTCGCTGAGTGGTGGAATATTATCCATCGGTTTCGGCTGGTATTCGTAGTCGGTGTTTGACACTCTGGGGAAGGCGTCTCTTTGTTTAGGGGCGAACTCGTGATCCTCAAATTTCTCACACTATGTTTATATGATCATTAGCTAGGTTTCACGCCATGAGTGAAGCGGCCGAGTAAAGGGAATGAGCAAAATCTCAAATTACTTGCCTTATAGAAGTCGCAATGAGAATACCGCCAGACGCTGAACCAGCTTCGGAGAAACCCTCGAAGCTGGAAATACTTTTGCCTCACTGTGCTAAAGAAAATGTGACAACTGAGTCCCTCAACACAAATTTGTGCTAGCTTATACTCCGCACCCTGTTTGACAATGAAAAGGACGCGATGATTGGGTATGTTGATGTCGACAATCTCAGTTTTGAGCCCAGGCGTCCTAAACTGAGGTGCATTGGCTGACGATGAGCTGGCTGGCTGCATATTTCCTTGTCTATTCTTGGAAAACTGGCCGGGAGCACCGCCGTTTCTATCAGGAGGGCCGCTCGAATTTTGTCGATATGAGGTAGGGGGAGGCTGTAAGTCCTGCATGGCGATACTGGACTCGGGAAAACTGCGAATGATTGATTTGAGGCGCTTGGCAAAAGGCCGAGGCACTTCTGCCCATCTGTCCTCACCGCATGTCTATTTCAATAGTGTTTAGCATTGCCAGGTAGTCCTAAACCACTCTTCTAGAAACTCCAATAAAGGGACTACTCACGCATTCCCATCGGACTCGTGTCTCCCCTTCATCCAAGGGTCTCGGATACACAGGCAAAGGCCACCAATCCCAATGCTCTCCGGTCCAACACTCTATCCTATTCTGATAGTAGCTCATAATCTTCCATAGATGATTACCGGCCTTCTGGCTTCGCTCGAATCGAATCTTACTCGGATGAATGTATTGTAGCTCGGCGATTGTATTATAAAACTTGTAGCGAGTAACATAGGCATGATACCTATGATCAAGCCTTGACCACATAGCTACCAGGCCTCGGAGTCTAGATCGCAGTGTGGGGTAGATGAACTCGTGGAGTCGTCGGCAAAGAGTCTGATACGCGACACTTTCTAGGATGAAGCACTCCAATTGCTCCAGATGCTTTAGCGAGTCATCATATGGCTCTTCTTCACCAGCTCCTTCAGCTACAGAATCTTGGTCGCTGTCATCGCTAAGCTTACTGGGGTCGTTGGAATCAAAGTTAGTAGGGTCGGTAGACTCGATAGAATCAAATGTCATATGAAGATATTCTTCCACCATATCTCGACGGTCCATGGCAGTATGGGGGTTTCCCACGGGCTCTGGAATTCGGACTTCCACCTCCCAGTCACCCAGGGAAGGTTTTGAGAAGAGTTCCCGCGTAATATTGGTTGAATAGGAGCTCACAAAAGCCACAATAGCCCGATGATGATCAGTGGAAATTTCCGCCTTGAGGTCCCCAGCAAAGTGCTTAAGCAGTTTCCGAAAGTTATTTCGCATTCTGTCCAACCCAATTCTCTTTTTTGATACAGCTTCCGAAACAAGAGATATCAAGGCTTCGTCTTGATAGAGCAGACCTGCAAATTCCTGAGTGAGCATTGCGTTAATTCTTTCCGTCCCAGATCCTACGGTTGTATCACTAGGAAGTGAAATAGGAACAGAGAAGACTGAGCCATTATCAATTGATGAATTAGACTCTCCAGAGTCAAAATGACTAGAGCCTCTGCGGGAGCCACTGGATGCTGAACCTATCTGAGCATTTTATCGTTATGTTGATATCTAATGAGCACTTACTTTGTCTATCCTTTATCTGCATATCAGCCTTGTGCCTATTTTCTGCCATGGCATCTAAAGCCTGAAGGTGGTCCCGCAAGCTTCGAGCCCTTGCATGGTTAGGTCCAACGACTTTCTCATATCCTACTAGAGCCTTTGAATACATTTCCCTTGCCTTTGCTAAGTCGATTTGTCGCTCAAAGAGAGAGCCGATGGCCCGGATAGTGTTTAGCGCCGGAATATAAGTCGTAGTATTATCTATACCAAGTATCTTCTTAAATCCCCACAGCGCCCGCTGGTACGTCTGCTCGGCCTCGGCCAGCTTGCCTTGACGGGTATATAGGTCCCCTAAGTTGTTGACTATATCGAGCGTCGACAGGTGCTCAAGACCTAATGCCCTCTCCTTGCCTTGAAGCGCCCGTTGATACATCTGCTCAGCCTCGACCAGCTTGCCTTGCTCGACATAGAGGACCCCTAAGTTATTGACCGTATCGAGCGTTGACGGGTGCTTGGGGCCTAATACCTTCTCCTTACCTTGTAGCGCCTGTTGATACATTTGCTCAGCCTCGGCCAGCTTGCCCTGACGGATATAGAGGACCCCGAAGTTGTTGACTATCTCGAGTGTCGACGGGTTCTTAGAACCAAATACCATCTCCTTGCCTTGAAGCACCCGTTGATACATCTGCTCAGCCTCGGCCAGCCTACCCTGATTAATATAGAGGAGCCCTAAGTTGTTGAGCGTGTTGAACGTCGACGGGTACTCGGGACCCAATGACATTTCCTTTCCTTGTAGCGCCCGTTGATACATCTGCTCGGCCTCAGCCAGCCTGCCCTGATCGACATAGACGAGCCCTAAGTTGTTGAGCGTGTCGAGCGTCGACAGGTGCTCGGGACTCAATGACTTTTCCTTTCCTTGTAGCGCCCGTCGATACATCTGCTCGGCCTTAGCGAGCTTGCCTTGGTCTGCGAAGAGATCTCCTAAGCTGTGGCAAGCCCATTCTATGCCATCTTCTGCAACCAAGCCGTTGGATATTAGATTAGAACATCTAGCTACATGCCGGAGCAGCCGTCGTGGTGTTGGCCACGGGCAAATAGTCTGCTTTCCAGAAACATGTGATGCTACAAGCTTCAAAGCTAATCTAGCCAAATCGTAATCCCACGATTTATTAAGAACGTCGATTGTCCATGAATGAAGGCTTCCATACATGCTATACCCTTGTAGTTGGATGAATTCTTGTGAAGACATTTCTATCTCCACGAGCCCGTGGCTAATTAGTACCCGTACCGCATAATGAAAGCTTAGTTCGTCTTTAGCTAGTTGTTGTACCCAGTCTAGGTCGTTCCAGTCACTGTGCTCAAGAAGCTCGAACTAGAAATCCTGACTGTCGAAATACGCCCAGAAGTAAAGAAGCTTGGCCGAGAGTTCATTTTGTTATTTGACGTAATTAAATGAAATCTGCCAGGTAGAGTAAAGTGTTCGGCCTTCGTACGAGCTTAGTCCAGGACTCGATTCCTGGAGTTGCACCTATGACTCTTTATACAAGCGAAGATAATCCGAAAAACTAATCGCTACTTGATTAAGATATACTCCGGCAGTAGCTAATGTAAGAGGAATCCCGTCAAATTGATTAATAAGCTTGATAGTATCGGGATCTATTATTAAGATTAGAGTAGTACAAAATTTAGAACTTCCTTACTATCTATCAGTATTTCCCGCCCCGACACGTTAGACAAAATCTCAAGACTATCGCCTAGATCGCTGAGTCTATTAATCCGGATAAGATAATGACCAAATTCGACTTACGACGACTAGGTTGTGATAAGAATTGACCCTTGATATAACTCCGGGAAGAACTTTTGGATATCCACGGCCGTGGGATCTGTTTTTCCAAGCAACTCGAGGTTGTCATAGTTATCGTATATCATTAGCCATCGCGTGTTATTAAGCAGACTCAGCCATAACTTAACAGTATCTATCGCCTCATCAGGGTCTTCCATATCCACGCTACTTAGCCGGATATCAGAGAGATGTTCCCGTAATATTCGCTTTGCTGTATTAACAAAGCTCTACTTTAGAGAATACTCATCCTTGACATCTAGCTAGAATATTGCCGAGTAGCTGTCTTGATACTACTTCGCATATACAACACTAAGTTGTGTCTTGCCAATTCCACCTAGGCCGTGAAGAACAACTGCTCGACGAGAGCCATCGCCGCTAAGTGCCATGTACATCTCCACGAGCTCCGCCTCTCTTGCCACGAAGTGCTCGACATCAGAAGTATTAGAGAGACTGAAGGTGACTGAGAAGACTTAGCGCTTAATCCCTACTCTGGTTAGCAGCCTCCTAATACCTGGTGCTTGCGACAGAAGAGAGGAACTTACCCTTTGAAGCCTTGTCGATCTCCTCATTGAGTCGCTTCAGTGCCTCCTCTTTCCCCTCGCCGTAGACAAGCGACATATTAACATCGAAAATGCCCAGTAGCGAGTATACCTTGTCTTCTTCAAAGGCCGTCTCACGACTTTCTGCCTATGACATTCGCTCAGTGACGCTGAAATCAGACAACGGGCTTCCTCGAAAAGCTTTGACGGGAATTCCAGTTATCTCGCAGATGTGTCGTTCTAAGGATACCTTATCACCTAGTAGCTCCCCCTCTTCTGAGAAGAATATAAGTGATACCGGCGCTATAAGCTCTTGTAGGGTCCAACCTCGAGTGAACCATCTGCTTCCCCGAAACATCAATTCCCAAGGCTCGTTAGGCTTGTCGTCTATATCGGAAGGACGTTTCGAAACATCTGAAAGATAGACGTAGCATTTAACTGCATTCTGGTACCAGCGAAACATCGAGTTAATAGTATCCTGAAGCTCGCCGGTATTAGATTTATCAATACAACAGGTGTCCACCCAAAAGTATTGCAAGCCGTCGCGCCTCGTCTGTTCTCCGCAAAACCGTATCTTGCTATAGCCAGCCTTCTTCTTGCCGGTGCCATTTGTCAGGTCTTCAAAGGTAACCTCCTCCACTCCCCATGTGTGCGAGAGTATAGCATACCGCGGAGTGTCGTCGCCAAAGAACTCGGCAAGGCTGAACTCGCCGTCGCTGTTGTATTCCAGTAGACGCATGATTCGACAGGATTCAAGGGATTGCAAGGAAAGGAGTTCTCGGTAAGTACTGAGCCGTCATGTCGGCATATATGCGAACTTGATTGAAGAGTTGGGAGAGGACATGGGATTGAGGCTGGCACCCTCAACAGAGTGGCAGCCTTGCGGTACAGTAATACCATCGTTGTGCAACACTGCAAGTACCCAAGACCTGCCAATCGCTACTCTATGGCTCATCGCAAAAATTCAAACGACTAGCTGGCCTAGGATATTCAAATATACGCTCGATTGAGGCATGATTAGTTCTTGTCGCCCAGGGAGCATCACGGAGGATAGTAAAGTGAATAACAGCAGTCTAGAAGCCAGAATCTGCCTTCGGTCAGCTGTTAGATACCTCGGTGCATAGGTACCATAGGTACTCGAGTGCGTAGTATCGTAGTATATACTTTGTGGTGGCCTGGCACCTGGCGCACATCCTGGCCTTAATCCTTAGGCATGTTTTCATTTCCAAGTTACCTGGTAACTATCCGGCTTGATTAAGTTAGTAAACACCGTAAAAGACGGCTAGCACCGCTAGCAACAATAGTACTAGTCTCCTTATAAATAAGGTCCGCTCAAATAATTGATTGTTCAGGACTGAAGCCGATTTCGAATTCCACTGTTGCTCTCGGATTGTTGGACCGGGTATCATAGGTACCTTCTTGAGCAGAGTTGCGAGCTTGCGAAGTGGGCGTGCCTCATCCTCTCCCACAACTCCCGCTCCTCCTCGTGTTTGAATTCCGCCTTCGTATTGATATTTGCCAATAATGCCTTGCGGTTGGTTGTTGTGGTTCTGCTGGTATTTGTTTTGACATCCGCACTGCTATGTTGTACCGGGAAAGGTATTTGGATTCCGCAACTACCTTACCTATCCGGAAATCCTCTTAGTGGGCGGCGAATCGAATTGAATCGCGAACAATAAACAGCTGCACACTCCATATCACTAGTGTGATATGAGTCGAATAAACACGAGGACTTGAAAGATTCGAACAACGTGGTTGAATTTTATCTACTTTAGCAAAAGCGGATGTGAGGAATTGAGAATATCTGCAACCACACAGACATGTGATGGTGCTACGTAGCGCATTTTTCCCACTTCGCACAGTGAGTAGCATTTTAGGCGGTTTATCTAGAAATGTGCCATGATGCTATTTGCAGGAAGTGCGCCTTGTCTGAAATTGCCAGCCCCCTCGGTCCTCAAATTAATATCTTGTCCAATTATCTCTCCTCCGTATCGAAGCCCGGTTGCTTCGGCGGGACAGCGACAAGCCGCACATCCTTGCAGAGACGGAGTTTTCCCTGGGTGAATTTCATTTCTTTTATTTTCCGCATACAGACTCCTCCCCAGGCTCTTTTGCGATCGATCAACCAACTTCCAAGGCAATCCAGTATTCTCTGCAGGAAGCTTAAAGTTGGGCCCCCTGTACCACGCAGAAGTTTAAAAAGACATCTTGGGGTCAGAAGTCTCAGAAGCTCCAAGCCCGTCAGACTCGGAGACAGAATTCCCCAGGTTCAAGGTTGTTTGCCACCGTGGCGCCCTCCCCTGAAGTTCTGAGCGGCCCCACCCAGTACGAGTTCGTATTCAACGCTGTCGACTATCGATAGTTCGATAGTTCGACACGATACGGGCTCTTAGGGCTCAGGGCGTTGAGTTTTTATGTTGTTATCCTTGCAATTTCCACAAACTGCCCAGTGGCTTAAGGCTTCACACCATACAAGGATGAAGCCACGACAAAGAGTGCATAGCCAACTGGCATCTTGGCAAACAAAGGAAGCACGTCCAGTACCGCGGGGTTTATTTTGATCTTTTGGATTCCGTGGAACGGTAGTATTTTATATACTACCTAACACCCGTTCTCTCGTCTTGTCTTTTCTCTCTTTCTCTCCCCCTACGTTGCCTTTGCCCTACCATAATCCACACCCACAGTCGTTCATCCACCCATACACTCGTTGCTCCCAAAGACACTCGCTTGATAGTTAATACTTAATCATCATGTACTGCCGATATCTGAGTTTAGTGCCCCTGGCACTAGGCCTCGCGAGTGCCTGGACTTATCCCGATTGCGTAAGTTCTGTTGTCCCTAAGTCTGACAATGAGAGAATCAAATACTGATAATTCTTTTGTAATAGGAGCACGACGGTTGTTATAGAAACCTCATTGACCCTCGCTTTGCCCAAGAAGCAGACGAGTTCTGTGTGGCCTATCTCGCCGGCACAACCACTGCACCATCAGCCATCCCAACCAACTTCAACAACTGCGATAACGATGTCGCAGCCGTCAGCTCTGCATGCTCTTGCATCACCTATACCCTAACTGCAACATCAACACCACCTACCTCACCACCTACTTCACCACCTACCTCACCACCTACTTCACCACCTACCTCACCACCTACCTCACCACCTACCTCACCACCTACCTCACCACCTACCTCTCCTCCTACCTCTCCTCCTACCTCTCCTCCTACTTCTCCTCCCACCTCTCCACCTACTTCTCCTCCTACCACACCCCCTACCTCACCTCCTACCACCTCCCCAACAACCGCTCCAACTACCAGCCCCAGCAGCTCTCCTTCAGACACCACCACCCCTTCATCGAGCAGCACGCCCACGAGCCCCAGCTCTAGCCCCTCGTCTAGCGCCGGCTCCAGCAGTCAGTCCATGACCACCTCAACCGTCTACACAACCACCTCATACACGGTCACTTCCTGTCCCCCGACTGTGACTGACTGCCCCGGAAAGGGCCATCTGACCACCGAGACCATCGCACTCTACACGACTGTCTGCCCTGTCTCGAATCCTCCTACCGAGACCACCGTCTACACCACGAAGACATACACTATTACCTCTTGCCACCCAACCGTCACGAACTGCCCTGTAGGATCTGTTACCACCACGGTCTATCCTATCACCACCAGCGTCGTAGTCGTTGTCCCTCCCCCTGGAGGAATTACCACTGTTAAGACAGGGCCAGCTGGAACCCTCACCAGCGGGCCTTCGAAGACGACTTCCTCAGAGTTGTTGCAAGTCACCAATGCCGCAGGACGTCTGTCCAACGCGGCTGAAATGATCGCTGCTGCGGCTGGTGTGGTGGCTGTTGCCCTTTTCTAGAGGGGTGCGGTACAGTTCAATCAAGTTTGTATTATGATTCTGGATGATTTGTGATTAATGACTTTTAAGATCGTTATTTCGGGGTTAAATGCAGATATTGAGTGGATATATTTAAATGAAGACATAATGAAGCGAATTGCCAATTGCAAACTATGTTTATACACGTGAATAATTACTTGTAGCTTTCGACGCATACAGATGATGGTATTATCACTGGAGCTTCTTGTTACTACGAGATACAGGCGACGGCTTGCGATCCGGCCCAAAGAGTCCAAGTAAATAAGCAGTTCGAGTTGCGAAAAGTAGGACCTTTCCGTCTTGTTAATATGGAGGGCCAGCTAAAGATATCGATGGATTACTCACGGTAGCGCCGATGTTTCCCCAGGTCATCGGGTTCCAATTCGCAATATCTAGGAGCAGCTCTGGTCCCAAGATGTAGGACGTGATTGCCACGTGGCTGATGTCTGCAAGCCATAATGCAACCAAATAGTTCCTCACTACTTTGGCTTCAGTGGTGCTAGACAGCACAGCGATGCCCACCATCGCAAGGAGGAGATAAATGTTTCCTAATCTAGACCGGCTGTTGTCAGCGGAGTTGACGGAAAAGCAGAACAGAAGAATGTCTCTGGAAGTCATGCCGCACTAGGCGGTAACAGGACGAAGAAACAGGGCCGAATAATGAACCGGATTAGCGGGCTGGGAAAGAAAAGTCTCACTGATATGCCACCATGCGGGCGTTGGCCGTGACTGGGCCGGCAGTCGAAAAGGCGATCTGCTCGGCGATGAACCATTCTGGAGAGACAAATGGTGCCACTGCGCCAGCAAGACTGAATTGATACCAATTAGCTAAGACCTGGCCTAAACATAACGAGTTGGATCGTGGGTGAGGAGGGGATTACAGTGATATTGGCTCAAGAACGGTGAAGACCAGCCTTGGGATGGGGGGTAAAATAGCGGTCATGGTGATTGTGAGTAGGCACTAATACTGTAGGTTCTTTCTTGTTGTTATAAGACTTTGTCAAGTTATAGTAACTGAGAGGACTCTTTGTGGGAGCTGTAGTGTGTCGTTTAGATCCTACATCCATCGGAGCTCGAAACGAGGACCTGGCGATCATCCGGTTGAAGCGAAGAGGGAGGCGACCACATCCGACTTCTCTCGATCTCTCCACCACAATATCATTGAAATTACGTGCTTCACACTCGCACTTTGCTTGATCTATTAAGGGCACACACGCATGCGGTCCTGCATTCCTTGACGCCATTGCCTATCGTCCTGGACGATACTCCATACTCCCCCGCCACGATGTGATCGGCATCACGATCACGGTCCCTGTGATAGGATATGTCTGCGACAATTGAGCCTCGTTTGATTGCGTTACTCAACGATGCGTCGTCCGAATCCTTTCCAGTGCCGCCCTCGCTGGAACTCCAGCTTCCGCCGCTACAGGATCCAAATGTCTTGAAAGCTTCCGGGCGGCCTTTGTTACTCGAACCCGATGCTAGCAAACGCAATGGCAAGCTGGCGCGGGCACAGAATACCCTTCCGCAATACCCCTCGACTTTACTCCCTCCGCTCGATGAAGAAGAGACATCATATAGCGAACCGAAGCAAAACTCTGAGATGAGTGCTGCTACCAATGACCGGGCGTTGGGTGGTTCATCGCCTCAGTCCTTACGCAAGATCTTGGGTGATGATATTGGCACTTCAGTGAGAGCGCCTTCTAAGAAGCGCCTTATAGTCGAGAATAGCAAAGACGATTTCGTCCAGCTTCCTCAGCCCCCAAAGAAGCACAAGGCTGCAAATCAAGTCGTTCCTCCGATCATTATTGGTCTCTTCGAACCTCCACCACAAACCGCCTTATTCCCACCGATCGCCTCAAGCTCCTTCCACGATAGCCACGGTAGAAACACACTGAACACCGTTCCCCCAAGGGTGAAGGGGGTAGGGCACTCCTCCAAGAGTGCCTCCACGGATGATTCTGAGAAAAGCATTGCGAACAAGAAACGGGATAAGAAGGACGTTCGTGCTAGAAAAAAGTGGACTGAGGAAGAGACGAATAACCTCTTACTAGGCGTGCATAAACACGGGCTTGGTAATTGGACTGATATACTTGAAGATACGACATTTTCCTTCAACCAACGGTCGGCGGCGGATCTTAAGGACCGCTTTCGGACCTGCTGCCCTACTGAATTGCGCGGCGAAAATGGCAAGGGAAAAAGTCAAACCTACCAGTCTGGCAATGATCCTGGCAATAGTGCCCTACAAGCAAAGCAAAAATCAAGCCTAATGGTCGAAAACATTCTCATAGATGGTGATAATATTGGGACCACTGGGGGTGGTAGTGATGCAACACCTACCAAACCTCGGAAAACCCGTACGCACAGGAAAAAGCTGGAGGATCTTGCCCAACTTGGCATCGAGGGGCCCTTCCGCAAATCTCACCGGCGAGAGAGGAGGCCATTCTCCGAGGATGAGGATCGCGAAATCCTTCAAGGATATCAAATCCATGGTCCTGCATGGACGAGAATACAAAGGGATCCTCGCTTTCACCTACAAAGCAGACAGCCGACAGATCTCAGGGACCGCTTCAGGAACAAGTTCCCTGAAAAATTTCGTGCTGAAGAGAAAGGAAGTGCGACGGGTAAAGAGAATGCCGTTGTAGACAAGCCACAGTCCGAAGTTTCTCAGCAGATGGAGAGGAAGGGAAAGGAGAACTCGGACCCGAACCATATCGCGACTTCACTCCATGCTTCACCACCTTTCTCGCAGTCGGGAACAAGATCTAGCGAACGAGGGAAAGATAGTTTTCCAAAGGAGCACACGGCATTACCGGGGGCGGGTCTGTCATCAAATGTAACATCATCTTCAAGCCGCGATGGACTTCGGATACAAGAGATCATCTCACCGGAGCATGAGATATCTAAAATTATGCCATTGCAGAATCAGACTTCATTGTTCAGCTTCAGAGACAGCTTTGGCCCCTTTTCGGAAGCACCAGTCATGGAATCCACCGACGGTTTGGCTTTCAGTCAGTCTTTCGACTGGGGCGGGTCGATGACTGCTACCTTTCCGGGAAGCATGGGAGAGATGGATATATCTCGCCTGCTGTTGGACGAGAACTGGGTAGACAATCCTGGTTCTGCTGTCAAAGAGAAGCAGAGCCTCTCTGATCTGAACAATCTTGCTCCTTCAGGTACTGATGCGCCTAGCGGACCGTCGTTTTACAACTTGTTGTGCGATCCAGAGCAGATCGTTGATCTGCACGATTCCACGTTTGGATGAAAGGGTTTCGAGGACATTCTATACCTGTACCGTCACATATTATCGCATATGGCCGACTTCACAGTGCTATTGATGGGCTTTGAAAATAACCCGCAATCTATTTTGCTCGAGTGGCAGCGGTAGTAGCCCGTCATCTGCTACACATTGGGACCTATCTCTCCTAGCACGAGGCGCCGATTCGGGGGTTTTAACTCGCGCATTCCTATTGCAACCCAGCAAGCAAGCTAAAAGTTGACCCTGCCTCTTCTCCTTTGGTATTGCTGGCGCCAAAACACTTCATGTGCTAGACGATGTCTTGGTTATAATAGGCTGTTGAAAAATAGCTTGGCTATCTAGAGCGCAGTTATAATGAAAACGCGGTTATAATGAAAACCGAGCTCAGTTTCCCGTCTAATACGTTGTCGCAGACTTGTAGGCGGTTCATATTGACGATTACCGGGAGGCTCTTGATATGAGGAATGCCGCAGAAAGTGCATGTAAACCTGTTGTGTATTATTTCAGAGGCTCGAGCCTCACGGTACTGGGGAGGTTGAATTATTATGTACTAGGTGAGGAGGTTCGCTGTCCGTTGACCAGCCCGACCTGAGATCTACAGCGTGTGCATTTTTGACCTGGAAATACTAGCATAGATATGGTAATGCAGTTTTAAGGTTCCAAGTAGTACAATTCATGGTATCTTACAAACTAAGAGAATATCCTACACCGCAGTGTCACATAATCCTAGTCTTATCAATGCTATTACGAAGGGCCATTTCAGAACTCCCAGAATATCATACATCCTTCCTATCCTCGTCATCTCTCCTTGGTTCAAAGTTGAGCTGTACACACAAAATTAGCTATTTTACTGCTCAGGTGGGAATTCGAGCTCATTGCCTACCGCGTTGCCATTGTAGAACTGTTGGTCATCCTGACCAGCTCGTTGGTCTCCCAGCGTTCTCACGTTAATGCGAGAGGACGACGTCGCAGGTGACGGACCGTCTGCTGTTGTTTCCTGCGCTGAACCCGTAGTCCCGCCCCAGAAAAAGCTGCCTAGAAAACTAGTGATCGGCGAGATGATAGAAGCTATCAGACCATAGCCTGCAGAAGCGGCTCCGTACAGGAACCCTGTAGCATTGCCTCCCCCATAGGCTGGAACATGCCCGCTAACCGGGATGAGAATGAGTGTTGCACTTGGTGAAAGCCCAAGTGACTGGAGGCTTTGTTCTTCTTCGGAAATAGAGATGTCCTTGTTGGGAAGTGGTGTTAGGACTTGTTTGAAGGTATATGGTGTGTCGCCCTCCTGGTTCTCGTCAATCCAGGGTCTTATTTCGGCTTTTAGGGAAGCCCCAGAGGGGAACCGCGATCTGATTGTGGCTCCATCGAAGAGTCGAATCTGCAAGGCACATTCGGAATATTGAGTGGACGGACGTTTGCTGCTGCTGGATGTAGTAGTGGTAGCCTTGCTTTCAGATTCCTCTTTTGACCTGGTAGCGTCGGCTTTGCGCTTGGCCTCTCTCGTTCTCCTCGCAATCTTATCATCCTCGACACGCTTGAGGATGCGTGCTCGTTCGTCTCTGGCCTCTTGCTGTCGCTTTTTCTGTAGCAAAGCATATTTCATATCAGCCGCCTTTTGAGGGCCTTGGGGGTTAGCTTCTGTTGAGGGCTCTCGTCCGGCGTCTGTTTCAGATGTATGTTTGTCATCGTCCTTTGCGTTTTGCTCTTTCTTCTTGGATTCAGTTCGAGCAGCGTCGTCTAAATGATTCGCTCCAACCCTCGGTCGGGGATCCACGGATGATGTATCATCACGTGCTTGAGTAGTGCTGCTCGAAATTCTGGCTGTTTGTGATAGAAATGGTTGCTGCGCTATGGGTGCCGCCGGTGCGCTATTCTCCGTGATATTGGTCGTGGCTGATGCCATGGGAGTGTCAGGATTGCCTGGCTGTAAAAGGAGACTTATTCGTCGAAGAAATACGTCCTTGGGTGTGCCCGATGTGATGTACTCTTTAAGTTCTCCATTCCTAGGTAGTACTTTAGTAAATTTGGAGCATTTATCTAGGACTATGGCGGGCTAGCCATCTTCTAACGAATGAATTGCAAAGGATATTTTCGGAAGACGAGATAAATCATATTCATATGGAAGGTTTAATTATAGTTAAGGAGAAATACTTACTTGATAACTACCAGGGTAGGTGTTTTAGGCAATGGATATATCTCCGCTAGATATGCGGCCTCTTGGGAAGTTGCGCCAAGGCGAAGGATGACAGTCTGATCAGCAAGCAGAGTATTTACCTACAGAATTAGAGTTAAGTCCAGTCAACTAACCACAGCACTATAATTGAGGCTCGATCATGGGACACTAACTGTTGGATCTCCGAGGAATTCCTGCTCCCATAGCTGGCTCTCCTCGCCATTATCTAGATACTTGGTTAGCAGTGGCAACGAAACAGTATTTTAGTGGCAGCACTCACCTGTGACAAAACATGCAACTAGCTTGGATTCCTGGACGGCTTTGCTAATCCCGCTTTGTAAATCTCCCTGATAAAACATGGTGTTGAAATGGACGACAACTGAATATGTCTCTCCCAAATACCTGTACTTTGTAGATACGTAGAGGGTTGAGGGTTGAATGGAGACGCGAAATGGCACGTGGCGAGGGCACGATGTTTGCTGAGGCAGCAAACTCGGCAAAAGGCCGCCGATACTCATGTTGAACCACTTTCTTGTAAGTTGTAACATTAGTAGCTGTGCCAGCACAATACAACACTCCCGGCACAATTATCGCCCATGGCGATGAATGCTTCACAACTATTCCTGCGCCGGGCTCAGAAGGTCGGGAGTCGAAACCTGGCGGCCCTTTCAAGAGATGCTCGGAGCCCTATATTCAGTCCATGTCCAGCTTGCAGGCACTTATCGAGAACGACCCGACGCTCCAAGCCAGCCCCAGCGGATGACCCAAATTTTTTGTCCATAGTTGATAACCCCCCCAATTTGGTCCGGACTGGGAGGAGGCATGGACCCGGACTCATTATTTTGGGTAACCCCCTCGTCCGCTTCAACCCGAATGGTTCGGTTTGCTAACATTACTATATAGCGCTCATCCCCATTACCGCCTTTGCCCTCGGGTCGTGGCAAGTCCAGCGTCTAGATTGGAAATCGAAACTGGTGGCCAAATTGGAGGATCGCCTTGTACGGGATCCCCTACCTTTACCTCCGCGGATCGACCCCGACGCTATCAGCGAGTTTGACTATAGGAGGATATATGCTACAGGGCACTTGAGACATGACCAGGAAATGCTGATTGGCCCTCGCATGCGCGACGGTAATGAAGGTTATATGGTTATCACCCCCCTCGAAAGAGGCGACGAGGGAACCACTGTGCTTGTGAACAGGGGCTGGATATCCAAGAAATTCAAGAATAAGGAATCAAGGCCGGATGGTCTCCCAAAGGGAGAAATCACAGTTGAAGGGTTACTGCGGGAGCCATGGAAGAAGAACATGTTTACGCCAGAAAATAGCCCGCAAACGAACGAGTTCTTTTTCCCGGATGTTGAGCAAATGGCAAAGTTGACAGGGAGTCAACCCGTGTGGATCGAGGAAACGATGGGTCCGTCTTGAACGAATATTCTATATGTGGGAATTATACTGATTCGTATTCTAGAACCGGATCTCCTATCGACCTGGGACCGCGATGCTAGGGGGATACCAATTGGACGAGCCCCAGAGGTCAATCTCAGAAACAATCACGCACAATACATATTTACGTGGTCAGTACACATCCTTGTTCCCACCACCTAGATTGGAATTATGAATGTTTACTTACACTCACACAGGTATGCCCTCGCAGCTGCCACATCTGTAATGTTATGGATGGTTGTGAAAAAGCCTCCGGGGGATATAGCTCGCCGCGTACGCCAGAATAAAGAGTGGCGATAAGGATCACCAAACTGTAACATCAAAAGAGTGTACCATTACCCTGTGGAGCACTAATTCAATACCCCAGTATTTCCGAGCGTATCCGAGCGTATCAGTGTCGTGACATTTTATTTGCCCAGACCCACCCACAATCAAACTCATTCACGTATATACATCAATAGTGCAAAAAGTACTCCAACTCAGAAGAACAACACGTGACACTAGCCCGCATAGCTCAATGGTAGAGCGCGTCACTAGTAATGACGAGGTTGCCGGTTCGATTCCGTCTGTGGGCAATAATAATTAATTAATTAATTAATTACTACGATCACATCAGTTCTTCCTTTTTTGTCCTTTTCCCCCCTGGGAATTAATTATACTTATGATCAATCAATCAACACCTGCATTTTTTCAAAAAAAAAGATTTTGTCGTTTACTCCCCAAAGCCTCCTTCCATCCCGTCTCATACACACTTTTGAGGATTGGAAAATATGGAAACCCTGTTTGTTCGCTTTTCTTACACGTTCCCCGGAATGTCTGATCGCCCAGGGGTTTCTGACGCGTACAACTCCTATAAGCAATATCACCAAGTGACTCCAACGACTTAGAGGCAGTCCCCGAGCCGCCTCACTAGCTGTCCTAGTTTGGGATCCATAGCACAGACTAGAGTCTCCCTCGCCGAGTGTTATGACAATGACCGAAGTATTACAAATTCTAGTACCGATTGGTAATTTGCACAAGCTAGAGCTTGAGATGATCTGTTTTATTTCGCAATCACTTCCGTGTACACCATGTCCCGCACAGCGACCGGAACCTTTACGCTGTCGGGATATGCTTTTGTATATTTAAAACATACGGTGGTCTCATGGTTATGTTGGCTAGGGCTAGAGCGTGGTGGACAGAGCGGTATGGGAGAAGTGTCGCTAACTTGCCCTGAGAGTGCTTTGGGATAATCCATAGCATTTAGCGTATGAGAACGATATCCTCGACTATTATCATAAATTAAAGACGCGGACGTCCTTCAATCCTCTTCTTCGACCGTTTGTAATTGGCGCCCTTTCTTTAGCTTCGACGGAGGAACCATCCGTAAGTCTTGAAGAAGCTCTCGAGGCAAATGCTTCTGAGCAAGGGAAAACGGCGTGGTTCCGGCGTGGGTTTGTCGCTGCCTATGTTCAATAATCAGTCATCGATCTTCAGAGGCTAATCTAGTAGGACTCACCTCCCCATGAGCGTAATAACATCGCTCTCATCAATCGTCTTCCGTCCCGCGTGCTTAGCATAAGCTCCCAAGTCATCGCTAACTTGTTCAAAGAACCAATCTGAAGCTTGCATAATAAATTCCAGGGTTTCTTTACTAATTTTGGCCTTGCTGTTGCCCCCCGTCCTCGCAAAGCTTGTTGCCAGCTTCTTTACAACACCAGCTGGAAGGGAAGGGTATTTTATTCCGTGTTTGGAGACTTTGAACTGCTTTCTCCTCACGGAACCTCGGTGTTCCGCGCTTGCAATATTGAGATCTTCTTCCATGGTGGGATCTTGTAGGCTTGCGTCGAGATCAATACCTGGTGCACTGCTCGGTGATCTAGGCCCCTCTTCGCCACTCCCATCCATCTCATATGTAGGCTCATCACCATCTATTATGTCGGAGTCAGGTAGGTCAGCGACGCCAGGAGATGGCTGCTCTGATACATCTCTTGGCGGCACAGTAAATACGAAGGTAGCTTCGTTTTCATCTCCTGGCAGTGTTGCTGGTCGAATATCACTATTACGACCTGGTGTTAAAGATGCCATTCCGCGGTCGAAGCCTAGATCTCCCAAAGTTACGGAGTTATCACTAAGCATGTCAGATTCGAATTTCTCATGTGTAATTTTGGAAAGTGTTTCACTCACCCTGGAAGCCCAGTCATATCGCCCACCTCCTCATTGTCGCCCTCGAAGTCGCCACCGACAAAAGTAGAAGCATTGGCATCTCCTGGAGATCCCTCCAATCCCAATTCACTTAAATCCGCGAATCGGTCGCTCAGTCGGATACTGCCAAAGCTTCCTCTGGAGAGTCGACCGGGTGGTCGCTCACTAATAGCCCTCCGGGCGAACTCAACCGATTGGACCGTGAAGTTTTCATCCTCTAGCCCGGCCGAGCGAGGTGGAAGAAACAGGCTATCGTCGTCGTCGTCATCGTCATCCTCATCGCCTAGCGGTAACGACAACCGTGGGCGTTCGAGCTCCAGACCATCGTCAAAATCATCTTGTTCCGGCAACTTAAATCTTTCAGTTGACGGTTCGGGATCCGTGGGGGTTGGAATAATGGGTAATGACGTCGGAGCTAAAAGTCGGCTGAGTGCTCTGAGGGCATCCCTGGGAGTCTCCCTCTGTTGTAGACCACTTTTTCTCCTGTCCTTTCCCGGAGTTAGACCAGCTCGTCGAGCTTCCAACTCTCGCCGTGCTGCTCTCCCATGCGGAGTGACCGCATATGTTTTCCTTCCGGAGCCGCCTATCCTCTGGGGGATACCTGGCGTCCTTGGTTGAGCTCCAGGGGTTCGGCGTAAGGAGTTATGTGTCGAAGGCGGACCGGCACTCGAAGCACGATGTACGGGCGTAGTTGGTTTCGGCATATTCGCAAGTCGGCGCAGAGTCTTATACGGGGTCTCTGTTGAATCGCTGGTCGAGTTCCCAACATCTAGAGGGGTTACTCGAAATGACCGTCTCGGGAGACGATTGTTGTTCCTGCCCGTTGCATTTCTGTTGTCAGGTTCCGCGGACATGATTATTCTGGCCTACTCAACAAGCATAGATTGATGGCAGTGTTTTGAATTTGAGATTGGCCCCATCAGTCAATAGGAGAGTTACAATACCCAAGTAATTGTAGCAGCATCCTTAAATTGATGCTATCGGATGGAAGACGCGTTTGACGCGTTCACAGGGATCTCGGAATTGGTAAAGCTCCGTCAATCCCCGCACCCCGCACTAATTAGTAAGCCGACTTCAATACTCTGAAGGCGGTCTACAATACCCGGCAGAAAAAATGACATACCGCCTAGCAAATGCAGTACTTCAGAATAATGCTTCAAGGAACACTTGACAAGATATATATCTGCTGATTGTATTAACACATCCTTACTACAGCCACAATGTCGATAGACGAATCCAGATTACAGGATCCACTCCTGGAGCGAGACAGCACATCGCCCGAAGCTGACGCCGGACTTTCACCGTCGAAAAAAAGAAAACGTGCGAGGGATGGCGAGGTCGAAGTCGAAGTCGCAAGCAAGAAGGAATTGAAAAAGGCCAAAAAGAGGAAGGCAGCCAAAATGGAAGAAGAGGATTTGGATCTTGAGGCCGGCTTAAATAAGGCATTTTCACACATGGATAGCCAACTGTTGGCCGACTATATCGCCCAGAAGACCAGAAAATACCAGACCGACTTGAGCTCAATAGAGTTAGAAGACAAGTATATCAATGGTATGGCTCCTCTCAAGGGATAATTATGGAGGCTAATTGCATCTGCAGCAAATGCAATCCACGAGACCACGTCATGGAACAAACTACGGACCCTAGACAATTTACCCGGTTTCTTAGAGAAGTTCGCTGGAAATTCAACAAAGCTCTGGTCGGCGTCGAAGAAGAATGGCGCACCTCATACAATTATAGTCACAGCAGCTGGATTGAGAGCCGCGGATATTGCAAGGTGAGTAGTTGGCTTCTAGCAACTATCAACAACTCTAACCCTCGACTTTTAGAGCTGTACGGAAATTCCAAACGAAGGACGCAGCGGTGGCCAAGCTATTTGCGAAACATATCAAGCTTCAAGACTCGATCAAATTTCTCAAGTCCACGAGGACTGGTATTGCAGTGGGGACACCAACACGTTTGAAAGATTTGATGGATGAAGGTACAGTTTCTCACCATACCACATTTGGAGACGGCAAACTAACTCTAGTTCAGGCGCATTGGCAGTTGATAGGTTAGAGAGGATCGTTATTGATGCTTCTCACATAGATATAAAGAAGCGAGGGGTTTTAGACATGAAGGAGACCCAAGTACCCCTGATAGCTTGGCTTGGGCAATCAGAGTTCAAGGAGAGATATACTGCCGCCGAGAAAGGCCTCCAGCTTCTATTTTATTAGGACTCCTATAAAAAGCAGTCTATTAATTACCATATTTCTACACTCGACATACTGGGAGTGTGCCTCTTAAATGGAAGTGGACAGCCTTCCTCGCACCCGTCAAACTTACCGCTGCAAGTCACAACCTACATTGTCAAATATCATCATCTACTGAATGATGTATCTTTCATGCATGCCCGGCCTTCTGATACACAGAATCCCCAAATATACTAGCAAATTCATGGTTGATATTACTAGTTGTCTTCACCACAACCATTCTCACATGGGTTTTCGGAGCGATCTCGGTACCTTCACTCCTTGATTATCTTCAGCGCCAATTTTCTGATCGCTTTCAGTCCCTACTGTATCTCAGCCACATCAAGGCTGTAATGCTGAGTGAAACGCGGGCGACCAGCGCAACTCAGGAAATGGCGCACATGACAACATATACTTGGTTCACATAATCCTGAATGTGTATTTCTTTCTAAGTCAAATCATTCGATATCAGGTTGACGAAATGGTATCCTTGCTATGCTGGCAATTTTCTTCATAAATTCATTAGCGATTATTCTAACTGTGGTACGAGGAGTTTGAGGTGAACACATTTTGAGATGCTTATGATTCTGCCTCCCACTGCTTTGGTCCCGAGACATGTCCATGGGATGGAGCATGTTACGATGTCAATGCAACAAACTAGTTCACATATTTGAGTTCGCCCGCCGCATTGTCCTCAACCAATTCCTCATAGATCCAGGCGCCAACATCTCCGCGAGAAATCGTGTAGCCGATAGCTGACTTGGCAACCTTGCCTTCCTCCTCCACTGCGGCACGAATCTTTTGGGCACCTACTGGTTTTCCATCCGTCAAGAAACTTGGTCGAACGGCAGTGAATCCCCTAATGACACTGGCACCTCTACCACCAGTTTGAATCTCCCTCAAGAGAATACCTTCCATGGCCTTCTTGTCCTTGTGTGGAATTTGCAAAAGCTAGCCATACATTGGAACCATGGCAACAGCGATATCTCGGCCGTGGTTGCTGATGCCTGTGGTGGAGATAACAACTATATATGGCTTCCTCCTAGTTCGCGGTGTGGCTTTGAAAAGGAGCTCAATCCTTTTGAGAGAGTTGGGGATGTTAGATACCACATCTTGACAGATGGTCGGATCGTCGAGGGTAGGGCGGAGCCGGTTAGGCTTGACGACGGTTGATCCTCCAACGTCGCTGACAACCATATCAGCGATTTCTAGGTTGATCCCATAGAGAGTCTTGCCGACTGTGTAACAATCTTTCGCATCGCCTCGGATAATGTGGAGGTATTTGGTGACAACTTCAGGGTCCACATTGCGTGCGGTGAGTAGATCGGCGAGCTTTGATGGGTTTCGAACCACTATATAATCGTCATCAGCACCCTATAGCAGAGGAATATAACAATAATGCAAAGGAGAAGAAGATTCGATAGCTTTGGGACATACAAGCTGTGCATTTGTGGCCATTTTGCAGAGCACGAATGAGAAATGCCAATATACAGCGCCAGTCGCGCCGAGCACTGCGATGCTAAGCTTTTCGACACCCGTCGAGCGCGAGATCAGACGATGGTGGCCGGTAGATGGGTCGATTCAAATCGGGCCCTGAAGCTGATGAAGAATAAAACGGCCCGGACAAATTTACCGAGGAACATTCACTGGTATTGAAATTATCGCATGCCGCATAGATCAGAGCGTCGTCCAAGGCTGCCTTCTGCTTCTGCCTCGGAATTCTGCCATTTCCAAACCATTCGTAGCTTCTCGACCTACCTTCCCTAAATTCTAACTATGTAGCGCTCTAGAGTCGCGGCTTCCGGAACTCGTTCACTAGAGAGCAATATTCCTAATACCTATCTTCAGCATGTACTTACTAATACGACGCTTTTCTTTAGTTTTTGGTGTTGTAAGATCTCACTTACACTCAATGAAGTACAGATATACCATATAGAGACTGGTCTAGTCCGGGGTAAACTAAGTGGGTTCAGTCCGGCTTAGCGGCCGCTTTCTTGGTCCCTGGATATTTACCGCACCACGTGTGCGCGTACTCGTATCCAAAATACGAGTACGGCCGAAAAGGGGCAATCAGGGGCATGCGCTCGCTCACAGCAAATTATCTCGTACTCCCTTACTCTCACTCTCACTCTCGACTGTTGACTTCCAAACTGCCACACGCGGATTGCATCTGGCGGATTGACACTTATTCGAGTCTGTATCTCTTCTAATCTTTGCTTGATCTCTGGTTGTCGACGCGGTTTGTCTCCTTTTTAGCGCTTCAGCTCCCTCGTTCTATATTTTCTCGCTCCAAAGGTTTCAGACCTTTTGTTGAATCGAGACGCGCGACGTAAAAGCACATCGTTAGCTTATCTAGGTACCGCAACGAATTTAAGATACAAGTGTATGATCTTAACGTCACCACAGATTACACATGCAGGTGTTTGAACTCGTATCATTTCTTAGGTCTATAGTGTGGAATCAATACTTGCTCCTATTGATACCTTTGATATTGACGCCAACAATCCTCGCTATAGCTACAGTGTGGCCATGTGGTCTTTGCCAAACCAAGTGCCATAATATGCCATTGGAATGGCAATCATTTGGATCCATAGCCTAGATTGATCTGGCCCCGAATTCTCTGGAACGTTAACGAAGGAATGCAGTGTCACAGACTCTATCCAAATTTCTGGCATTGTCAACAATAGACTTTTCAATGGCGCCCCATAATTATACGGCATCACTCCTCCATCTCCTCTCACCAATGGCCTAGATTTTGGCTACAAGTCAGGCCTCTACGATTACTAGGCAGTTTGCCCTATAAAGTTTAGCCTGGGTAACGCAGCAACAAGGATCAAACTACGCCCGCCGCGACGGAGTAGTATCTGACCATCCGGGATATAGTAGCAGTGCACCGCCCTCCCATTATGCATACAAGTAGCTCATCGCTTTAGCATCTCATCGCCTACCGAAATTGCTGCATCATGCAACAGCAGCCTCTCGAGTTTCGGATTTCTACTTATTTGGCTTCTAGAGTATTAAATCACTGGCACCAACCAAAATACCAGCCTGCTGGATTGGAAAAACAAATGACGGAGATCCGGGAGATTCGGAGATGGTGCCGAAGAACTATGTCTAGAATTATAGCAAGGACTCGCGTTTTCAAGGTGAGAATCCTGGCGGATGGCGGGAATTTTGTGACTGGGAATGGGGGAGAGACCTTCGGGGGGGNGGGGAGAATAAGTAAGCCACTACAGATTTTGAAAAACGAGAGGTTTGCTTAGAATTCCATATTTTGAAGTGGTAGTACGGTATTCTCTACTCAAGTCTCGCTGTTCTCTATCGTTAATTTACTGTATTAATTAATTTGTAACTCATAGTGTACTAAACAGCCCCGCCACCTGCCCTCCGTTAATCCTAATTTCCCCTAGTATTGTATGGCGGGTAGGTGCTTATACGACAGCTTCCGCTCCCAAATAAGTGAAAATTAGGGAGCTAATTCCACCAATGGCAATGGCGACAACACCACGGTATCGTGCCTAACGGAAAGGTTTCGGACGGGTATGTGCAATAGCAGTAGGCAGTAACTTTCGGAACGGGAGAGACAGTTTGTGAAAACTGGTTGCTGTGCCACTATTTGTGGGAAGCGCAAGCATAGTACATTTTTCGCGGCCCATATTTATGCTTCATTGAGTATTTTACGGCCAAGCCCCAATTTGCTGCCCGGATTAGGAATGAAAGAACGACATAATTTGGTGGAGGAAGTTGAATAGATTAATTTCAAACGAATAAAGACTAAGACAGTGCAAGTTCCCATCCCCTCCACCTACACGTCCCCCCAATTGCAATATTGGCCAATCGCTGAACGAATGAAATATACTAGGCCGCATAGGCGTTTAATGCGAATAACACAAATGTGTGCTGCTGCATTACCAAATCCAGGAGCATAGTTGGGGAGAGAATGGGTGGCAAAGTTTCAAAAGCAAACGGAAAAGCAGCCCCGCAAGGAGGGCGGCATGGCACATTACTTCGCATAATCAAATTATGAAACCGACATCGTTTACAGGAATCAGTCTAGATTTGGCTGATCCAACTATGACTTAAGTGGTGGCATGAAGTGCGATGAAGGGACCTGAGGTGCTTGGTTACCACCGATGCGCTCTCGGATTACAGTCTAGCTGCAACCGTACTCGGCGTTAAATTTCTGAGAATGCTAAAATTGCCGTGAATATGATAGTGAGGTGGATTAATTCACTTTAGAAGAGGCTTTTTGAAGCTTCGGCTGACGTTAAATCTGGAGTGAGGAGGAAGTAGGGGGAGGTACGGGTTATGGGATGGAAGGTCCAAATTGTTTCCTTTCTCATAAGAAGGAGGGGTAAACTGCAGGTAAATCATTTCAGAGCTACATAAAGATTATTATACAGAAAAAGAAAGTAAACAATTCTTGACCACCTAAAGCGTAACCTTTTTATACCTGGATTATAATCCAAACACACTTGAAGCAGAATCCAGAATCAACAGCAAGTATTTTAAACCGGTGCATCAACATGAGGCGCTTCAGAGCAATTACAGACGTAGCCAGGAAACACGCCTTCTCTTCCTAAAGGCGAGAAACAAATATTGCCTGCTCAGATGCCCAGTTCTTTCCCATAACATTGTCAACCATATCTTCTCCAGAAATTGCAATCCACCTTCTAAAAACAGTAAGGTAGGCTAATGTTTCTCAGGGAAGTACCCGTTTTCTATCGAGCCATCCTCGAGAATAGAAATTGTCTTGCCCCGAACCAAAACCTTCGGTTCCTTGAGGACCTCCCCATCGTCGCCCACAAAAGTACATAGTTCCGGGAGTAGCGGAAAGGAAGTTGGCAAGCTCTCTCCCGAAGAGCATTCCAGCCATCGGAGCTCAACCTGCTGGAACTGTGCCATGAACCGGAGGCGACCGCATAACCAAGTAGTGAACTCCTCCAGAAGACCATCGTGCCTGATACGGTACTTCTGCTCTATACTTCCACCACTGTAGTGTCGAGTGAGCTTCCAGAACGCATTGCTAATCGAGTCTAGGTTATCATTTGGCCATTTGTCTTTTGATGCCAAATCAAGAATGCTCTTTCCTAGGGCAGATGCAACCGATGGCGACACTACGAACAAATTGTCAGCTAAGGTGAAACAATATATTCTAGGAATGACTTACGTTGCATCCCTTTGAGTGTTTCAAAGGATGCCCTCAAGTCCAGGTGCTCCTGAGGCGTGAAAGGGAGTATACTAAACTGGGGATCGCCATCCAGAGATGTCCTGTTGAACGCAACATCATAGAAAAGATGTTCAAGTACATGTTCTCGGGTGTTGTGGTTTTCAAGTAAACGACAAATAATCGTTACTGGGAGACTTTTGTATCCTAGACGCTCAAGGATAGGACTAATACGATCCTCACTATCCCCTGCTGAGTCGCTATGGTCCACCTCGACAGAAATCCATCCACCAAAAGCCTGCATTTCCCAGAAATCGGACGTCGGGTTAGGAGAATCAAAAGGAGAAAATTCAGAGAAGCCCATTTGGTGTTCTAGGAACCTCTGTCTTGTATCTGGTCTTCTGTATCGAGTTTCCGCTGTTAGTGGTACTGGTGCTGGTGTCGGGGCCGATGCTGGTGCTGGTGCTGGGGGGTTCGTGGAAAGGGTACGGCACTCATCTCGAGACTGGCGAAGCCGGAGAAAAAGATATATCGCGAGAGAGCCCAACATTAGAATTAGCAGACATGTTGGCAGCAGCGTTGCCAAAAGAACCACTGAGACAATTTCCATTTTGATGGCCAGAGAAATCGAATAGGAAGAGCTCTTGTAAATGGGACTCCTGGAGATGGTCCTACATAAAATCTTTTGAGCGGAAGTCTTAGGAGCCTTAACTGATGGACAAAGGAACTACCGATGGTAATAAGCCTTGTCACCTTGAAATGCCGCCGTATAAAGAGAGCTGGCTCAAATTTCCCAGACATTCCGTTCGCAGCAGCAGGGAACAAAGGCCTATGCACAGGCGCTAAGGAACCCGTCCAAAAGCCTAGATAACCTATGGATTTTACGCTATCTACATCGTATCGGCTTGACTACACCCTGATTTAATAAGAAACTTGCCTCCACAACTGAAACGTAGGTCGAATACCAACGGTCGTCTTTGTGGCATGAATGAATAGCATACTTCACTATGTACTACTCTACGGCCACCGCTGTGTGGTACTACTCGCCGTCTACACCATGCTAGAAGGCTGTCAAACAAATGTTGGAAACGGGCTCAAATGGGCGTGGTTTGGACTTTTATTATTCAGTGCTTGTTGCCAATACGAATGAATATATTTTGTAGATAGATCACTTCTAGCTTCCCTGACTCGCTTAAATTCCAGCCAATACAGCTATTGGGCACCCGTGAATCATTACGCCCCTCGGAGCCCTACAGCCACCTCTTAAATTGCATTATCCCTTCTCAGAGATGGCACTTGTATATGCCACTTGAAGCAAATATTAAATGGTTAGAGATATTGAAAGGGGAAAGGTAAACACGGTAGAAAAATATGAAAATTTCCTAAATTGTAACCTACAGGATGTCATAAGATAGAAGCAACGTATGGCCGTGAACAAGCATACGGAGGGCCGGAGGCACAGCCCGTAAGTATAGTAAGAGCAATAGCATGCCCCCACAAGCCGTGGCTTTACTTAACTTGATCAAGTAACAGAACGCCTTCGAAATTCCCCAACCGAGTAAAGTGTGATATGGGCCAGGGAGTCCCCATGCTAGAGCAGCAGAGCTGTTGCTTTACTTATGGGTTCTACTTCCGTATATCAGCACGGGTAGATGCAGGATTCTAACCAGAAAGTCTCGTAGGAGAAACAGTAGACGGCAAGAGCCGCCCGTGTGTTGAGCTCTGGACCAGACCATGTCGGGCCGTTTGATTATGGCAAGACCATATTGGTCTATGCCCATCTCACCTGGCAAGTTTCAATTGTTCACAACTGATCTCCTCCCCACTTCCCCGGCCCATCTACTCTTCACAGAATCTCCTTTGCCTAGGTAAGTAGAGAAGTGCAAAGATTGGTCACATCCCTCTATACTCATCCACCTAAGCACACACTCCAATACCGTTGCACTTTTCTATCAATGGACGTCGTGATTAATATCGATTTCGGTATGACCGGCTCGGGTAGGTAATCTCCCTCGCGGCCAAGTCTTGCAAAAAATAACAATTCTGATATATCTAGCGGCGGAGTGGTGGTTCCCCAACAGCACTAAGGAGAATAACGTCGAACTGCAGGCCATAGGAAAAATTCCGACAGAGGTGGCTTACAGTCCAGAGGGAGATTTCCTGGCATGGGGAAATGCTTGCAAGGAGATTGGAAATGAACTCGTCCAAAGCGGATTTAAGGGACTTTTTGATCGACACATACCTGAAGCATCCGACTCATCCGAGCAAACGGACGACAAGCTTTCAATGGAAGAAGTCAGTATGTGGATCACTGACTACATCTATCATTTTTCTAGCAGCATTCTTGACCATATTACACGACAAGAAAAGATTAGCCAGGCGGACCTCAAGGCAGTATGGCATTTGACAACTCCCGGAACATGGAGGGAATCCACAACCAGAGCATTCAAGCTCCTTGTTTCTAGAGCGCTCCAAAAACTCCTACCTGGTCGTGAACGTTACGGAAGCATTGGCCAGCTGCGAGTATATAACTCGATATTTGGAATTTGAGCCAGGAACCATGGCCATCAGCTGCGGCATGGGGGGGGCGACAATCGATACCGCATTCGCAATATTCGAACGCAAGCATGAGCCACTGTCGCGTAGAGTCTTTCCCATAGCTGGGGCCAGCAATATCCAATGCGGTGTTAGTGCGGTCGACAAAAAACTGTCTGCACTCCTGAGGAAGCACCCCCTGAGCACCAATGCCCAGTTTCCGATTTCCACAGATCTTCGCAAAAATGCTGATTGGCAGCATGCCCGAAATTCATTTGACGGCTCAAACGATGTCACTCTGACTTTAGCCTGTGACTTCCGAGATGCAATATCCTCTTCAGGTGGCAAGATCGCGATTGATGGACTGGCAATAAGAGTTCCAAGGTAAGTACTTCCTTCCATGCCGTGGGAGATATATAGTTGCAGCGGGCCAGATAGTGATTGGAATTTGCAGGGCCCAGGTTGAGAAACTATTTGATCCGCTCCTCACCGCGCTTTGGAATGACATCGATTACTCTCTTGAGCAGTTGAAGCGGGGTTCTCATGGCAAAATGTGCCCTGTAAGACGCCTTCTCTCCTCCAAGTCTAACATGAACTTACTAACACTGCGTTCGTACAAGACCACAGTCGTCCTTTGTGGTGGTGGGGGCACAACCCCTTACATCGCAAACCAACTAAAATTGCGCTATCAAGATTTCGTGGTCAAAGTGTTGCCATCTCCGGAAGCCTCGTGAGTCTATCTAACTTTGACGTTGTAAACACCGTTTCCTAGGTTCTAACACTTCCCAGGGCTCTCGCTACTGTTCGGGGCCACGGGATTTACCTTAAACGAATGGCTCTTGAGACATACTTGGGAAGTATAGGCCTTGGCCTTTCAATGGGTTCACTAAGTGGGGATCATGTTGTTTGGCAGGTAAGACTGTCCTGAGAAACACGGATTATATTTAGCTGACTCTGGGCAGAAATCATCTGCCGAGGGAGTCACTATGTTTGACTGCACCTCTCGCAAAGAAAAGGCAGTACACTATTTCATTGTGCATAAGACCGAAAATTCCGAACTCAAACCCTGCACTGTGGAGTATGTGAAAAATAACATGCCCTTATGCCCGGAAATGCTCGTGTGGACTCTCCATGTTGCCGCAGACAAATATTGGCCCAAGAGGCAAAGATACTACATTGAAATTACATGCATGGAGAAAGAGAAGTTCAGTTTCAGGGCATATGAGCGGAAGAACCCCGAGGTAAAGCTGGAATTGGAAATCCAAGTGTTCCGTGCCCGGGTGTGATCTTTCATGGAGATAGGATTGAAATTGGTTGTTTTGAAGCACTTTTCAGGGGTTCAGGGCGTTGACTTTGGAGTTGCATCAGAAGGCAGATATTTAAATATTTTCATAGTTAATTTCATCCTGTGCTAATTTCATGAGATTCTATAATTGATTCGAAGATTCGATAAAGCCTCTTGACTAGGTCCTATACAAAACGAACGATGTTCGACATATGGTCGTTCTTAAAAGTTTCATAGGTGGCGTTTTATACTATTATCTATTACTAGATTCTATCTCCAGTGGTTCTCATTGTCTCATGACTTGACACAAACTTGGAGTCCAAGACGGCCAATTGCTTTCGCAAACATGTGCAAGACATGGACCCACATGGCCCATGTGAGGAGGATCGTGATGCTACAATCGCATTTCTTGTAGATTTTGTTTACAAACCTACTCCAACAGTCGTTCAAGCTAATTGCATCTACAAGTTCTACTATGGTTGACCTTCCTTTTATTACAGCCTGTTTGGCTCTACTAAAACGCTTTTGGCATATGTGAGAGGCATGGGTTTCAATATTTCAGGAGCTATTGTAGGAACTTGAGTTCAATTAGTTACTCTACAACATCCCGTCCGTGGAATCCCATATATAATCTCGGAAAATACACTACACTACGACTTCGAGCACAATTATTTCAAAGCTGAGAAAGCTCTAGCTTTTGCCGGAGGATGGGGGGGCTGTGAGCAAACTGGCGATGAAATAGGGGCGACCTTGGGCACTGCGTCATCGGGGCAAAGCTCGCGCTATACGCATTTTTAGTTATGTTGGTTAAGCTTCAACTTCCAATATTCACAGAAAGAGTTCACTTACCCAGAAGCGAGGGCATATTTGGTCGTCGTTGACAGAGCCATCAGTATGTTCGTAGATGTACGGCCCCGGCGCAGGGATATCATCTCCTTTCTTGAGCGATGATATGTCCCCGTTAAAACCATGTGTATCACCCTCTAGCTCAAGCTGCTCTAATAACAGCTAGCCTATTGGCTTGTCGGAGAGTACTTCAATGGCATCTTCGCCCTCAAGAGCGCATTTTGAGTCGCTAACATACCAGGTTTGGGTGGGCTTTTTTGGGTTCCCGGATCTGCCAATTGTCAGTCATTATATCACTTATCCGCTCTGATTCAGACTTACCTGGAATTTGCCAGAGTTCATGGGTCCCAACACATTTGAGGGTCGTTCTGTCACACCCATTCCCGTAGATCTTGACTAGAAGAAGAACTATGTATTAGCTTTCACTTCTTGGGGCCGATTTTAGGTACGGATACTAGTGCTGCAGAAGCCCCAATACACGCTGACACCCGTAGGGGGAAGCACTCGAGACATGCCTGAATAGAAAAGACAGATTTTTCAACTATCTTACCGTCTGTATTTGTTTTTTTTAAATACGTTGTACGCTTCGTGCTGTAACGACCAGCCTTGACCGATTATCGTCTCTTCATCTCTCTCCCAAACACATCCTTTACCCCGGTTCACCCTTTCCCAACAAGGTTGTTTAACGGTTGGAACATCAGGCAAACTTTCCTCGGCTACAAAGTGTTAGAATAAGTTAGAGGTAACTCGGTCAGCTGCCGGTGGCTTACTGGATTTAAGCCAAATCAATGTCCCTAGCTGAGACTGTTTTAGGCGTAGTCTATCCCTTCGATGTCTGCGAAGCAAAGGGACTCGTGGGAGCAAGGGCCGAGTCTTGTTGGAAGGGCGACTGATGTCAAAAGGTATTCGATGTGTTCTACATCATGTGGTTTTATAACGAGACTAATGTGGTTCTAATCATAGCCAAAGGTAGAGTAAGCCCCGCCAGGGAGAACGAGTAGTCTAATTTCATTAGTAATCATTCCCATTATTAGTGGCTCTACTCACCTTTTAGATATAGGGCGTGCTGATAGATGGCATAGGTAGGACCTATATATTGCCGTAATCGCTGAGTTGGGAGTTTTCCTGTAGTGAAAACGATTGACTATAGGTGATAAAGGCAATCTAGAAGAAGAGGCTTTGTAGAATACTAAAGAGTACGCGGGTAGTAATTGCGAATCTACTAAGGAAAATATTAATAACTCCTCTCAAGGGAACGAAGATACCGAGACAGATTATCTTGACTCCATCTAAGATAGAGCGGATTTCTTCCTTTATTAGAGGAAAGGGCTGATCAGAGAGTTGTCCAACGGTAGGGACATAGGTCATAATACGCGGCATAAAAAACCTGCGAATAATGCCGATCCTGCAAACAGCTGTAATATCCGTGCCATCCTTACCTCGCGTTTCTTGGACTACAGTAACTTCGTCGTTGCCTCGTATCTCCTCTATCAGCAGCCGTGTACCGATAATTAATCAGCTGTGCTGCTCTACCACAGATTCCACCATACGGAGGAACTTCCTTCGATTTTCAGTGCTGTAGACTTCTTACCCACGGATTCTCCCAAGCCAAGCTGTATCTCCGTTGATGTTTGACTCAAAGATGGAGAAGGCAAGCCTGGAACAGAGAACATTGCGGCAGTTTGACGCCCTCGTGAGTCGGGGAAGTATTCTATGGGAAGCGAATAACCCGATTTCGGTCAGCGCAAAGCCATTTGATGTTGGTTACCCAATTTCCTTAAGGTACCTAGGCAGGCTAGGGATTGATATCATTATCATCGGCACTGACATCCATCGAGTTCCAATTCCGCGCAGCAACCAGCCTGAGCATCAAGCCAATCCTGGAAAGTAACGATCCTGGTCGAACAGAAGATCGCAATGCGTTCTCGGACGATGACCCTGACTTCTTTCTCGAGCATGTTGGCCCGGCACACACTCTAATACTCAACAAATTCTGTGTCGTGCGGCCACAGTACATTCTCCACACCAACGTCTTCACCCCACAAAGCGATAGCCTCTCTGAGAATGATTTATCCGCAGCTTGGAGCGTGTTCTCTCGTCTGGAAATGCCGCATATTATCATATATAACTGCGGTGTTGAAGCTGGTTCATCACTGGGCTATAAACACCTACAGATTCTCCCTCGACCGCCGAAGCAGGAATTCGATTTCTTTCCCAACACAATCGGTATCTCCGAAGGTCAGTGATTTTAATAACGCGAGGAAACACACAATTGCTAAAAGTCCATGGGAAGATACTTGCACCGTACCTGGCATTCCATTCCAGCACGCTGTGAAAAGGCTCTCTGCCAAGCCTAGCACGTCCGAGCTAGTTGACGTCTACCAAACCTTACTCACTCGAGCGAATATTGGTGAAGCGCCTGCTCACAACGTGATAGTCGTCGCCGAGTGGATGCTCGTGATTCCACGAGTTCGTCCAAAACAAGGTGGCTTGTCAGCCAACGCTGCTGCGATGGTTGGCATGGTGTGGGTTACCAAAACGGATGTTCTTCAGGAGTGGTTAGATCATGGACCCATGAGAGCACTTTGTGGCTTCGGGGTTGTCGATGACATGAACCTCTAGATTTGTAGCGATCCAGCCGTATGATCACAACTCACTTGTTTGGAGGCATCAAAAAGTAGAATGGGTTGAAGGATCGATATCAAGCAACTGGTGGTTGTTGTGGTGGGGTTGCGCACAGACTTTCGAGTCCTGCTCCCGCCCTCCGTCCCAGACATCCCAGCATTGTGCCGGAAAATAAAAATAAATTCCTTGAACGCTTATCACCGCCCTCCCACCACTTCCACAACTTCTAGTCCCACCACAACCACCAAGAAATAAAATGGGCCCCATAAAGAAAGGATCCGAAGTCTCGCGAGCTGAGTGCAAAGCCAAGAAGCGCAAGCTCGAAGACGCCATTCCCGATATTCCAGGAGAAGATATCGAGACGCCTGATGATGCGCCGAGCACAGAGAAAGCTTCCAAGAAGAGGAAGAGGAGTAAGGAGGATGGCGAGGGGGTAGATACCGAGGAGAGCGAGAGAAAGGCGAGGAAGAAGGAGAAGAAGGAGAAGAAAGGGAAGAAGGATGATGGCGATAAGGATGAGCAGCCCGAAGAACCTGCCGAACCAGCTGTAGAAATGCAAGATGATGCTCCCCGCAAGTCGAAGAAAGAACGCAAGGCCGAGAGAAAGGCGCGGGAAGCTGCTGAGGCCAAGGAGAATACAAAGGAAGCCGAGTCTTTAGACGCCGAACCGTCGAAATCCAATGGAGATAACAACACCCCCGCCGCCGCCGCTGCAGAAAAGAAATCGAAGAAGAGCAATCCCAATCGGGAGAAGAAGAAGGCGTCCAAAACGGACGGCGCGGCAGATGGCGAGGCGAATGGCGAGGTGAAATCCAGGGCTTCGCGGTTTATCGTTTTTATTGGTATGCAATCCATATACATCTTCCGATAGCGATATCGAATCTATAGCGGGGGCCTTTCAACTAACCCTCCTAACATAGGAAACCTCCCATTCAGCGCAACTACCGAATCAGTACGCAAGCATTTCGCATCCGTCAAACCAATTTCCGTACGCCATCTTACGCAGAAAGACGATCCTGCGAAGTCGAAGGGCTGCGCGTTCATCGAGTTCGACGGGTATGATCACATGAAGACGTGTCTGAAGCTATTCCACCACTCGATGTTCGACGATGGGATATCGGCGGCGCGGAAGATTAACGTGGAGCTTACGTATGTTGAAATCCCTCCTTATTTATCTCTCTTCCCCCCGGGCGTGATATTTTTCCGTATTGTATGGTGTTTTGTGCAATTTTACTGACTTTCTTTTGGGACAGTGCTGGCGGAGGCGGGAATACTAAAGATCGAAAGGCGAAGATCCAGAATAAAAACCAGAAGCTGAACGAGCAGCGCGTCCGCAGGATAAAAGAAGAAGAGAAGACGAAGATGGGCAAGAGAGAGGCGGCACTTGACGAGAGTGGTATCCATCCGAGCAGGAGAGCTCAGATGCCCAGTATAGTATAAGTCTTTTTTCACGCACACCACAATGTTTGGCGTATTATTATTGGTCTAGGACCCTCCGCATGAGGATCAAGATACGGAAAAGATAATTATGTTTGAGCGGGGAATATTGAATTTGCGCCTTTAAAAAAGTATAAATAAGATATGCTATGTAGTCTGACAGAAAATCGTTCATCATTAACAATCAACCCACCCAACATCGCTCGCTCCCCCTTTTGCTTTGTTGCATTATCTACAGGACATTTCTCGAACGCATATCTCCTAGATGCAAAACACACTTTGCCAGCCCGGGCCGGGTTCGGTCGGGTCGGTACCCAAGGATATAATTAGGTTTGCATCGAGAAAAAAAAAAGGTGAGATTTTCTTTTTTCGGTAGAAGAGAAAACAATGCAAACGAGGAAGGGTTCCTTTTCTCTGGATAGCCGCCGCCAGCTCCAACGGTTCCTTACATAGTGGGAGCTTGTGCTTTCCATCTCTATACAGGAGAAATGACAGCTCCGAATCTCAAAACTACTCCCCCATCCAACGAACATAGGTATGATATAAACGCTTGGTACGCAATTCCTACTCCTAGAAACCGGGACTCTCAGGACAAATGGGCATCGCTCATAGGATAGTACACTTTCCTCCCTTCTTTTGTTTGGCTACCTGTGGTCGCGGGCTTAGGACGGCCCTAGATTTCGTCGTTAGCATAAGAGCGGACGAGACATGACATAGTGAAGCACGTGAAAATGGGACACTTACCGGATCGCCTCGTCGAATACGCTCTTCAAATTTCTTTGGGTGAGGGCCGAGCATTCCAAGTACTTGTGGGCTCGGATTTCCTTTGCAACAATTAAGGCCTGGTCGTAGGACACGGGTTCCATTCTCTTTGATCTCAAGCTATCCAAGGTAGCTGGATCCTCTCGTAAATCTAACTTGGTCCCGACAAGAATGATGGGTACGTTGGGGGCGTGGTGGTCAATCTCTGGGAACCACTGTAAAACACGAGCGGAAAGATTAGCCTTGCGTATCTTGAAGGACCGGGATGTCTACGTACTTTGGCCCGGACGTTGTCAAACGACGGTGGGCTAACGATGGAGAAGCAGATCAGGAAGACATCAGTCTGGGGATATGAAAGGGGCCGCAGTCGATCGTAATCTTCTTGTCCAGCCGTATCCCACAATCCCAAGCTAATTGGCTTGCCATCCACCATCACGCTGGCCGAGTAGTTATCGAACCTGGAGGGGTAATCAGCGGTAGGATCTTAACTGGGACACAGACTCACTTACACCGTAGGGATGTATTCGCCAGGGAATGCGTTTGTGGTATAGGATATGAGAAGGCATGTCTGCGAAGGGATGTCAGTCACGGTGAGTCCGAGCAGAAATTGCGGGAGAAGGGGAAGGGGAGAAATACCTTGCCAACAGCACCATCACCAGTGACGACGCACTACACAGGAGGAAGAGACCAAGTCAGCCATGTGCATCCGCGCATGATCTCGAGGCGCAGGATTGCTCTGCTCACCTTGAGCGACTGTGTTCCTGGAGCTGCCATATTGGATATGGAGGTGGAGCTTGGTGAGAAAACAGGGGGCTTGTTGTTATATGAAGTCGAGCGTCGAGGGTGCTTCTTAGGGAGAAGATCGGGGTTATGCCTATATCGTACGAAGGTCAGGTCTCATAGATTCAATACGGACGAAATATTCGGGCGGTAGAAGGAGTTGGGACGCGCTAGGGACTGGTTGTGCACCTTCAGGAGTGGCGGGGAGCGCAGAAGACGAGGTTGGTGCAGCCTGGAGCGTGCGAACAGCAGCGGAGTCTAGCCCAGGGAGCTGACAGGAGAACAATTAGTTTGAGGCGATTATGGTATGGTATGCGGAGACTCCGGAGAGAGGAGTCGAATAAACAATTAGTAGCAGATGTGGAGGATTCGAGGATAATGATGGTGAGGGAGGGATGCAGCCGCGAGACTCGAGACGAGGAAGCGGTGGGAGATGGGACGAGAATCCGAGGTGCTGATTTTGCGGGCAGACTACTGTTGGAAGCAGAGCGGTAGATGGACTGCAGCTTGTAGATATTGCAAAGAGGGATGAGGACAGCAATGAGGAGGAGAATGAGGATGTTGATGAGATGGATTTTGGGGATGGGAGAGGGAATCGGATGCTCGAGGGAACCTGATGCAGATCTGTAACGACCAGCAGCTTGGGTGGACTTTGGGCGGACTTTGGGCCGTTGGTGGTTGGTGGTTGGTGGTGGAGTTCAGTCAGTCAGTCGTCAGTCAGTCACTGGCGCAGGCGGAGTTAACCAGCAGAATTGGCTCCGGAGTTGGGAGAATGGCAGCTGGAAGTTGGAGTTCCCAGTTGGACTTGTTTCGAGTGAGCGCACGAGAAGTATAATAATAAAGCTCAAAGCACGAAGCATGGACGGAGCATGGAGGAGAAAGGGGCGGGAGTCAGCAATCAATAATGGGCTCAGGTTGGGCGGTTGGCAGGATGTACGATGTAATGTGTCCATGTCAGCGTGTCCACGCGAGGGGCCCGGCCGCAAGGGATAAATAAATGAGGAGATGTGAAGGAGGCAAATCGAGTGGTGGGCAGGCGATGCTGTTTCTTCAAAGTTTCAACAAACGCCTAGTCCGTCGAGGGTTTCGCCCGGTTGTTTGGGGGGCTGCAGAGGGGAGGGAAGGGAGGGCCGAGGGTTCAAGGGACTGGGTGTTTGGGGCTTGGGAAGAGGGAGAGGGATGACGGAGACATATACAGTACATAGGAAAAGGGAATCCGGAAAGGAATAGTGTGCAAGAGAGTAACTGAGACAAGAGACAATAATACAACAGCAAGTGGAAGAAACACGCAAAACACCAACAGGTACAAGCACGAACAGGAATCCACACACAAACGAAGCTATTCGCAGCATGTCTTGGCCCATAACACAGAGGTATTCTGACCTATCCCGACCTATCCTTACCTATCCTTATCATATCCGCATGCATCCCTTATCCATATCATATCCATCTGCATACGACCACATGAAATGCGCATCCCACTCTCCTGTACTGTACCTTGCTGTAACGTACCTTACAGGTAGGTGTGGTAGGAGCACAGTCGCTGCCGTGCCCCAAGATCTAGGCTCCTAGGTCGTGGACGTGTTTGGACTTCTTGGTTCGCGTTTTATGGGAGAAGATAAGGGACAAGATAGGGAGAGGGTGTGGTAGAAGAATGAATTGTGGCCGAGACAATTCATAGGGCCACCCCGATGATAAGGGAGTGTCACGGCGCTGTTCGTGTGGTACATGGAGTGAGAGCCCTTTCGAATACCACGCAGCACTACGTACTCGAGTACGGTACCGTAGGCAGGCAGGAGCTTGCTTGCATCTCTTTTAGAGATGGATATAAGGTATGTATGCATTAGTATTCACTCATCTTTCTCGCCTGTATACAAAGTAATTAATTCTACAACGTCTGGTCGCGGTTCCACGATTCTACGCTCTATAAAAACTCGCCTTCGACGTCCCTTTGCTATTCATCAACCTCGCCAGGAACGCAAAGAAAGTGCTGTCTATGAGGGAGATGCTTAGCATTTAGATTTAAAGTACGTGCATCTTCGATCGTCCTGTAACTGCTGATGCAAGACATACTTGGGCGATATAAATAAATCCCAGTTCAACGAATTGTTTCAAGATCCTCTACGCCGGAACCAAATGCTGTCATAACCCACCCCCGCAAAGCGCTGCCATATGTAAAACTACGCCGCAAACCAATTCATAATCCCATCCGCAAATGCCATTTATCATTTCAATCCTATCTCAGGTAACGTCTAGGTCGTCTCTCCGCGTGGAACGACCGTCTTGGCTGTTCACAAAGCGCAGGATCGGGCTCCAACTTTTCGTTGACGCTCATCCCCATTCGCGGCTCAGCTTCGTCGTCCTCAGCACCATCATTCCACGAATGAACTGAGCAGGTGCCGGTAGACATGCCATAGCCGCTCCAAGCAGACGCTGCCGACAGTCAGTTTCATCTAACTACGCATCAGAGTCCCCGGAATAAAACTCACCGACAATCATGGGAGCGTTAGGATGCCAACTTGCATCTCGAACACAAGTTCGCCATGGCGAGTCGGAATCATCACTGTCTACGTCCCACCACATTGGCCTAGTGCTGAGATAAGCAGGTCTGGTATCCTTGGTTGCTGCATAAACATCCACTGTGCCAGCAAGTGTGGCATCCATATTCCAAATGTAGACCTTCCCATCCTCGCTTCCGGAATATACATATCTTGAATTGGTACTTCCAGGTGGGGAGAAATGGCATCTAATCAGAGTTCGTAGTACGCGGTGGCCCCTAAAAGTAACAAGAGAATTGTCGTCAGGGTCCCGATACCAATCATCCTCATCGTATGCTGCTAGCCGGTAGTCAAGACGGGGTTCCGTGGTTCGCCGGGACGGCGGGAGGGCAGCATAGTCACTCGCAGACATTACCATCCGGAGATCCCAGAGTTTCATACTTTGGTCTTTGCCGTTGCTTAGAATATACCCTGAAAGCCTTAGTACTATGATTATTAAAACACAATGTGGGAAAAATACTGACGACCGTCTCCTTTGCTGTCGATATATGTCAGACCTTCAATATGACCGACAAAGACACCAGCCTCACGACTATCACCCATACTCCTGGTGTCCCAAACCTTTAGAGTCGTATCATCAGATCCGGAATACAGAATATGAGGCGAAGACGAGTCGGCAAAGCAGACAGCGTTCACGTCTGCATCATGGCCAAATATTCTATGAGTGGTTTGTCGAGACTCAATGTCGTATACTATGATCTGTCCACTAGTAGCACCAGCCACCAATTCACGGCCATCACCAGAAAAGCGAACCGAGAAAATACCAAACGAACCACCAAGTTGTCTTGCATGGAATCCCTGGTTTCGTCGATTCTGCCCCATATCCGACAAGTCCAGGACATAGGGGTCACCGTGATCATTCGGATCCGTAGGTGCAAGACAAACGATATTCTGGATGGATGTGTATGCGAGATATTTATTATCAGGGCTCAACGATGCATCCGTCAGAGTCCATCGGCCAAACGGATATTCAACGGTTTTATAGTGTCGCCATTTGTATGGATTCGAGGTGTCGTACATCCGTACTTTGAAGTCCTTATTGACAGAGAAGAAGAAATTCCCGTCATCTGAAAATTGTCCCGAGTATACAGGTTGATCGTAATGAATGATCATATCTGCATTCGAGGAAGGGATCATACCCTGACATCTCATTAGCCAGATAACGCAACACCAGGAGACCTAAACCATACCTGAGCCATAAGCCGCTGGTTCAGCTTTTGTCCTGTATAGCTTTCCGTTGCGAGCTCCCTATTCAGAATCCTTCTTGCTAATCTTTTCTTCTTTCCAATGTTACCCCTGTCACGTACGGTGTCAATTTCCAACTCATTCGAACCAAACGTTCCGGAATTCATCAACTCGATGCCTTCATCGCTGGGGACTTTCGGGAATCGATTGGGATCCGGCTTGGGCCTCCTCCTCCGCCTTCTCCATATAGAGGGGTGAGCGCCATCATCACTGCCATCATCAAGCTCGAATTCGCCATCATCGGTGCCAAATGCGAAAAGACGTCCGATCTCCGAGTTGGCAAGTAAACGCAACACCTGCCTCCGTTGTCGAGCGGCTGCGAATCGAAGTGTGAGCAATAGGTTCTGAACGAGGAGGAAAAGGTAGAGCAGCTCACTGCGTTCGGTCTCCGTTTCGTTGCCAGCTTGATTGGGTTCTTCTTCTAGTTCGATCTCGATCTCATGATAGTGAGGTTCTAAGCGGGGTACTTAATTCAGCGAATGCGCCTGAAACAAAGGCATGGAGACCGTTTACCTTCCTCATCAGTTTCCTCTTCTGTGTCATCTCCATCTTGTTCAGCGTCATCTTCAGCCTGTTCAGCGTCAAGCAGGCGCTCAATGTATGCCTCATCGTTGATATCGATATCCTCGGTGTCACCATCGGTGTCTGGTTGGTAATCTACGTCGGCCTCGGAATCCGTAGTTGTGCTTGGAGCATCTGATATAGCTAATCTCTCGCCGGGTGGGTGTGGTAGGTCGGCCATGGTAAGAGTAGGCCTGGACGGAGTCCGGAGGAGTGTAGTTTGGGTGGAAAATAAGGAGGAACAAATGTTTGGGTTGAGGTCAATTGGAAATGTCGATGATACTGTATCCCGCAATCAGTGATTCGTTATCCGGACTTAAGCCCGGTAGATCGGCTTTAAGAAACAATATAGGACGACTGTCGCCGCCCTACGAGGTACTTTGTATAGACAAACTGCTCGTGGGGCTTTCCAATTCGGTTTCCATTATATTATATTTTGGCAATCCTGTACTTCTTTCCACTTTCTATAACTCACGGCTACTCGCCCACCACCACTTGCTATTATACTCACTTATGAACTATATATATATATATATGACCCTTTTTGACTACAGCATACACATTGCGATATTTCCGAATATACCTAGGTACTTTTGTAGATAGCAAGACAAAATATCGCAAACTTGTTATATATTGTAACTGTCAAGAGACTCCAAAAATGTTCCAATATACAGCTAGGAAGCGCATAGAAGAACCTGTTACGGCTTCTTCGGTACATCAACAGCTGAATTTATTGACATCAACCAAATACATGACCACATTATATATACTGTAGAGTCGCTTGTCTGCCCAAGAGGACAGCGCTCAATCCGACGAGTTGATAGGGGAAGTTCGTGCAACGTATTGGAGGTGTTCTCAATGAGTGGTGCAGTAGATACAAGTTGGATTAGATTAATCCCCAAATTCCGACCTCTCAATACTGGATAACACAGCTTGGAAGTATCACAAGATGGCTTTGAGTTGGAAATCAAAGTTAAAACAAGTATGATGATATGACACAAGAAACGTTTCTGGGAAGCGAGCGAAAAAGCAAGATACGGTAGCTAAACATATCCCATAAAGCACAAGAAACAGTGGTATAAATACTAAAATAAAGAAACATGTTGCATCAGCTCCGGCCATACTAGCGGCTAGTTCCATTGCTAGGAACTCTCTGCCAGAGCGTAGAAGGTCTACCCGCTGAATACCCGCTGTCACCAGGCCCTTGGCGTATGCCAGCGGTTTATTGATTCTCCAAAGCCAAAAAGAATTGCCCTTAAAGGAGTTTGGTATTTCCAATGGGATAGATTTTGGCATGAAGTGGGAAGGAGATATAAGGGGTATCCACTGCAGTCAAGGCAGACAAGTTTTGTATTTTTCCAGCTCCCGAACCTATGCTTATACGCGCCCACCGGGACAGAACCAGTTCAATATAATACACTCCGCAGCGTGTTCGCTCGGAAACACAGCGTTATATGAGCAACTATTCCCACTTCTCCCTGCCTCATCTCAAACCGCCGTAATCAGATCTCCGCCGTCGTCCTACAACCTATGCGCCTCCGACGAGGATATTGTTGACCGGAATATGTACTATAGGAGAGGAGTATGTGTTAGTCCATGTGTGGTTGGAAGCAATGACGCGCCGGAAGACACGTTGAATACACTTACTGAGCTTGATGAGGAAACCGACCGCGCCCATTACAAGGAAACCAACACCGACTGCTTGCGAGATCTTCATGAACTCGCTCCTGTCCGCTAGAGAAGTAGCCAGTCAGCAGGTGAGCAAAAGTAAGACGACGCACTCCCTATTCGCAAAGGAATCGGCATGCGCTAAAGGAATTGGGTGGCTCCATACGCTTTGTGCACCGGGCGAGGAACTGTGATCCATCCTTAATAAAATCCCTTGGGATATCCATGAATTCTTGGAGTTGGTCGGACATGATGGCGATTAGGGGAAGGTATTAGGATTAGGTAAAAGGAGCGACTTCGACTTGTATGGCAATGGGCAGGAAGAATGCAATAGCCGTGCCGTTCGTGGAGAGAGAGGGTTTAATGTGTTGAATCTGTCTCGCGAAGCGGGTTGAGATGGGCAGTGGGCAGTGGATGTGGTGTGGTGTTGTGTTGTCTTGCCTTGGGTATCTTAATATTTGTGAACAGTGTCATTATCGAAGCTCCTTGTCGAAAGGCCAGATCTAGGCACGTGACCCATTCCTAGGCCCCGCAGGGGGATCGCGCTAACGCCTAGCCCCATGTACAGTCAGCTCCTAAAGAGGCTCTGCTCGATCAGGCCGACACGAACCAGAACATCCTCCACAAGACACGACACCACGACACCCAAAGCGAGGAAGGATATCCGCCCATCATCAGTATCGAACCCAGAGGGCTATCAAGTCGCCAATTTAGGTCATCTCTGTGCCATCTTCTCTCTGCCCCAACAACCCCGAATCCGATTCGGCCTACGAAGGCTACACGCGACAAGGCTTAGGCTCTAAGGGAGGAAGAGAAGGCGACGAAATCTAGGGAGAACTGAATAACAAGGGGGGAATTGGACGGCGGTCTTTTTTGCACCTCCTTTCACTTTTCAAGTCAATTCAGACGTGTTACTTCTAATCTTGCGCAATTGGCTCTCCTACTTCCGGCAGTTTGCTCACATCGGGGAAGCCGTTCCACATCAAGTCAAGTTTCCCTGCTATACCGCACGGGTGTATCACAAGATTGCAAGCACAGAGCTTCATCTTTCATCTCTCTTGTATCTGCACCAGCCAAAGAAGGCTATCAGACTCAGACTTTGGGCACGGTTGTTGAAGCGGTATTTTGATGGTTTTCGGAGTACGTATTTGTATTCTATCCCATGTATCTCAGGTCTATTAGACGCGCATACGCGTGGAGATCTAGCTCAGTGCTCAATCAAGGTTTTCATGCGCTGATCAAATTTCCTTCGTCTTACAGAAACTACTGACTGTGGCATAATCTCAAATCAAGGTGTTAAGGCAATAGAACCTCTTCCAAGAAGGACGCAGCTCGATTGAGATAACTTTCGCTTCCAAGGACATTCAAAATGGCTGACGACGAATTTGATATCGATATCTACGGCGATGCCAATACTGAGCAGGATATATCCTTCAAGAAGGACGAGGACGGTGACGTGAAGATTGATGGAACCGATACGCCTAATGGACATACGGCCGAATCTAATGGGGTAAAACATGAAGAAGAACAAGAAGATGATGATTATGTTGATATTAAGCTCGGTAAGGACGACCATAGTAAGACGACCGAGCAACAGAAAATCAAGAGTACAGACGAGTCTGGTGCAGACCTGCTGAACATCCCGAAGCAAGCCCCACAGCAGCAAGGCGTGAAGCGAAAAGAAGGCTCTGATGATCGTCCCATAGACCCTGGAGCTACTACAGCGCTACTAATATCAGAATTGCACTGGTGGAACACTGATGATGATATCCGCGGATGGGTCAATCAAGCGCGGGTTGAGGATGAATTGAAGGACATCACTTTCTCCGAGCACAAGGTGAACGGTAAAAGCAAAGGGTACATTGGACTACAATACTCCCCTCCGTAAGCAAAGCATTGCTAACTCATATTACCAATAGACAAGCATATCTCGAATTCACCTCCCAACAAGCTGCTACAGCTGCGAAACATAAAATTGATGCGTTCGGTGATGGTCAACAATATGCAAAGAAACATACGGTCACATATTCTAACCCAAATGTTAACCCGTTCCGGACCTTGCCAAAAGACGCCCCAGCACGCGCCGGAAAGGAGGGCCAGGGTAATCGTGCCCCCTCGGCAGGCTACAGCAACGATAGAAGCGGCCAGAGTGGTAATTTTGGAGGAAATTTCCGTGGCCGGACCCCTGGCTACAATGCTCGTGGAGCCATGCAGAACATGAATAGCAACAACTTCAACCGCAATTTCTCAAATCCTGCTATGGGCAACATGGGTGGTGGCTTCAACTCTCCGATGGGTGGGTTTCCCGCTGGTCAGATGGGTGGCCAGTTTGGTGGGTTTAATAACCGTGGTGGCATGATGGGGGGTGGCATGCGAGGAGGACCTAATTCAATGAGAGGCGGTAGAGGGGGTATGGGCAATGCCATGATGGGCGGGATGCCTATGGGTGGGATGCCAATGGGCGGGATGCCAGGCGGTATGGGAGGAATGCCGATGAATATGGGCCAAATGGGTGGAGGCATGCCAGGTATGACCCCTTTATTTCTTTCTGGTTCCCACCAACCTTTCCCCTTGCAATATAGTGCTACAGTTTTGCCACAAAGCCATCAATTTCCCCAGGAGATTCCCTTGCCTCGGTGGACTATTGGTATTGGCAGCTCTTAAGTCGTTTTATGTTCCATACACGCGTTCTTTTCAAACCGTTTCTTCTCCATAAATAAGACAGCAGGCTAATTTTGCTTTATTAGGTGCTGGCGGCTTCGGTGGTATGCAGCCGCATTTTAATCCCGCCTTCTTCCAGCAAAATCAAGCTGCTGGTGGTGATTGGCAAAATCCCCATGGAGCTAAACGACCTCGGCCGGAATAAACATGTCGCACCAAGGCTCCTTGTACTCATGATATCTCGGTCGGTAACTATCTACGCTCGGGAATATGAAACTATGGACACTTTTTAAGCATTGGGCGGGTCAATTTGGCGTTTGGCTATGGCGGTTCCCTATCCGGATATTAAGGGGGAAGTTAAACTATCTTGCTTCTAATTATGTAACGGATGTACAATAGATGGCGTTTATTTGCTCATGAAAAGCATGTGTGGTCTTGTCTGATTACGGGGCGCTTGTTCCAAATGTGCTGTTTCCTTTCTTATCAGGAGTTTATTTGCCCCGGGGGAAGGGGCAAACGGGTCCCTCAATTGTACTTGCAACTTCTGGATATGGAGAGTTGTCAAGGCTACGCCCTCAAACATTTCTACCAAACCTGTCTTCCCAATGTCCCCAGAATTGTGCAATCATTACTGCTCCATACCAGCAGTCCAGCAATAGGTATTTTGGCATTCTCTATCGAACATCAGTTGCCTAGCTGCGCGCTCTCTCGAGCACAACGAATCTTATTGCTTTTGGAATCAACATGATGGCGGCAATAATATCGATGCCCAAAGGTAGTCCCGTCCTCCAGCGGTCTCTACGTATTTGTTGCCGTTGCGACACTGACTATTTATACAGACGAAGCGATGGGAGTAAATGCCGATAGTTCTATGATTGGACCGCATCTAGGATGGAGCAATGGTATTTGGCTGTGCTGGCTCGCTCTCGCCTTGCTCCTGTTGACAATATGCTCCCTGCTGGCAGGGCTGACTTTGGCAATCTGTGGTCTTGACCAGACCTGGCTACATTTAAGGAGCATCACTGGAACAGCCAAGCAGCGGTAAGTTCATCTTCTACATCTTGTGGGTGGTAGGATTGACAGCGAGATAGACGACAAGCTTGTGCTGTGATCAAGATGAAGCGTCACGCAACTTGGTTGCTCTGTAGTTACCCAGATTCCCCTCTATGCCCCAGGTCTTGCTAATGTCTCCAGGCTCGCTGATAATCGGCTCGGTTGGTTGTGGCGAATCACTCCCTCTCATCATGGAGCAAAAGCTATGGCCGTTTGCCGACCAAATTTGGGCGTCAATTCTGATATCAACATTCTCTATGGCGATCTTCGCAGAAATCCTTCCTCAGTATCTGATTCCCCGTCAAGCGATTGCTTGGGGTTACTATTGCTGGCCTCTTATATGGGGGTGTATGTTCCTCACCGCAATCATCAGTTTCCCTCTTGCTTGGCTACTCGACCATTTACCAACCAGTAAAGATAATCTTGAAGTCTTTACCAATGATCAACTCGCCCTCATCATCAAGCACCATGATCGGTCCGAAAAACGCGGTGGTGTTCTCGGCCAAGACGCAACTCGGGTTATGCTTGGGGCATTAAAGCTAGATAACCGCACAATTTGCGGGAACAGCATCAGCATGCCAGAACAAGCCGCCAACAAGCATACCAAACATTAGAAGGATGTTGAGATGGGTGATCCAACGGATATTCCAGGAATGACCGTTAAGTGGGCCGCAGTGAAAACTGTTGATATCAATGATACAGTTGACGAGGATTTCATACGAACAATAAAAAGCTGGTCATATACTAGAATACCCGTTATCGGAAAACGTGAGAGGAAAGTCAACAGACCAGATCATTGGGAGGGAACTAAAATCTTCGGGTTTTTACATGTCAAGGTATGCAATGAAAACGATTTTTGGTCTTCTCACAGGAGCTTAATATACTTCACTATCCTCTAATCAACCCTGGATCTAAGCGGGGAGCCACAAGTGTGCCAAACATTTCCTTCCTATTACTTCCATTCTATCTCCGCCGGGAGTGTCCTAAGATGACCCCGGGCAAATATTTCGATGGGGTTTACTGGCCCGCATTGCTAATTGTTTGTAGTATCTTATTGGTATGGATATCAGAGCGAGCGATGATGGCGGTCATACTCGATTGCTTGTCAAAGATCTACCTCTGAATCCGCTACCCATTGTGAATGAAGACATGTCTATATATGAGCTTTTGAATATGTTTCAGTTAGGGATATCAAGGTACTCCCTTATTTCTAGCTGCTTACTGTCACTATCTAATCACAATAGGATGGCTATCGTCGTTGCCCACCCTTCGAATGACCACATCGACAACACCTATTCTTCTCCAAACACTTCCTTCTCTTGCCTCAAAATACCGCTTTGGATGCCCTCTAAATCCTCAAAAGTTCGAGTAAAGCTGCGTTCAGGGCGTTCAGGGGTTAACGGTGATTGGACTGTCGATTATCTTAAAGCTGCAAAAGCGAATGCTGGAGGACCCAAACGGCGGGCTTTTGGTATTCGGTCTCCGCAGCCTATTGGCATTGTTACCTTCGGGGACCTCATTGATACCCTGCTCCAGAAAACAACTCGCAATGAAAGTGGCTTCTTCGACCGCAACACAACCGTTCCAGCCAAGAGCAACAAAATCATTGACTATGTCATGGAGCGGAGCAGGGAAACAATCGAAGATGGAGGGAGGGAAGTTGCAGCATCTGAGCGAACCAACATTAAGGAGAGTACGACACGGTCAGATACAGGCCAGGCATCCAGCCAGGATTTGACGCAGAAGGGGACAATGCGTAGGCGCAACATATCCAAGAAGGTCAAATCACCTGCTCTAGACGGAGTTACTGATGATAGCTCTGATGGGATACGTGCTGACTGCGTGGACCAACACCCTTTGCAGAGTGCCTACGGAGAAAGTTCCTATACACAAAACAGTGAAGGCGGCTTCCATGGTAACAATGATTACAGCCGCTCTTTTGACAATGCGGTGGTACCAGCGTACGATGGTAACCTGGATATTGCTGATACTTCCCCGTCGAATGATGCTCAAATCACGGATTCAATCGCCAAAGCTAGAACGTCAAGCTTGCCCTGCCATAAAAGTAATAGCAGGGCCTTGTCTGAATCATCGAAGTATCCACGAAGACACTTTAGCGCTGCCCCGAGAGTGCCTCCACTTCGCCGTGTTACTCCGTTCTCAAAGCATAGTTATTCGAGCTATGAGAGAATCGCCTCTGTGGAAATCGAGAGACAGGGCTTGCTGCTACAGCCCGCAGATTTGGAAGAGGATGATGTTTCTGAAGCCAGTGACAATGAATCTTTGTGTGATCATCAAGTTCGAGAAGATAGTGGAGAGGCGAACGTCGGTGAAGATTATAATGAGGAGATTTATAACGCTCCTCTGGCTATTTCAGCTGCTAGCGGCAATGATATCGTTCCGTCTCCAACGCGGTCCAACCAGGCCAGCTCTCGGAAATGCAGCTCTGTGGGAGAATATGATGGATTTCCTTCGGAGTTGCTTGACCCCAGTTACAACCAAGAAAATCGGCTTCCTAACTACGCGCCGAAGACACTTCCGCGCATAGAAGGTAGCAAAAGTATCGCGATCACACTTCGCGATACGCCTGACAGTGACCTAGATAACTCTAGCGAAAAAGTATTGTTGCAGTCCACCCGCAAGGTACCCAATATTAACACGAATTTCGAAGCTGGCAGGAGCTCAAGTTTATGGTATTAAATGTGGCCGGTCTGTCGCTTATTCGTACCAGGTCTGGGCCGTGAATGGGAGTTCGCTCAGCTACTACTCATGGATAATCAAAATAATATGGATTCATCGTGTTAAGGATAACGGGTAAATTAAACTGTTACCTTGGAGGGCGTAATCATCTTTATTGGGTATCAAGGTATTCGAGGGAATCAGTTCCTGAGCTGCTTGGAGGAACTTCCTGTGTTGAATTTGATGTGAAAGCCGCCGAGCCTTTATTTTTGCATTCTTTTGATCGTAGCCTGTAAAAGGTTATGTATCTGCTTCCAACGCCGGCTTAATATCTCTCTTTGACTCGGAAGCCCAGAATTAATATTTGGCAAAGAAGCAAGCATCTTCGTAGCATCGTTCTCGTACTGTTGCAAAATGCTAAGCAAACTGATATCCACAACCGCCTGGTCTGCGTCTCCGTCATCTAATCCATCAACAAACCTCTTCCATCTTCTTATCGGCAAGCAAAATATCCGTAAAACAACCTGTGTCCGATGACAAACAACTTCCTTATCCAGAATGTACTTCCCTAGAAACCCAGCCTCTTCTAAATGCAACTTCTGCTTTTCAGAAAGCATGGGGACTATGTAAGAATCAAGAGTTATCTCATCCCAGTGATTTTCTTCGAGGATGAATCCATATTCTGCGAGGAGGAGATCGTTGCTGTGATTTCCGTAAGAGATGTAGATTTCTGAGCCCTTCTCGTATGGCCGATCCGTGGATATTTCGTAGCCCGTGTCGTCAAAAGCAACTTTGCAGCCGTGGGCGGCATGGTTAAAGTAGTCGGCGAATGGGCTTTGGGCCTAGATAGCAACAGGGTTAGTTGGTTCATTGATAGAGAAGAAATGTTTCAATTCGACGTTGAGATATTGCATTAGTTCTCAACCTCCCCAGCTTTCATCGGAGGAAAACAAGCAGAAACTAACTAAGGCTCGTGGGGAATCGAGTGGGGTCTATGCAAGAGAGAAGGGAAGCTTCAAAATGGACTTACCAGGCAGTCAAGATGTGGTGGTCGTTTCTTAGCTTTCGGGATGAGGAAGTAGAATGTACGCGTGTTAATTATAAGCCAATGGTACAAATAATCGTCATAGGAGATATCTGGGAATGCCTTCGAGACAGCAGCCCAATCCAACGATAATTTTGATTTAAGTTTCGAGACAGTGACTTTGGAAGCTTCGGGAAGAAGGGATTGTAATGAAGAGTCCCACATCAAAGGCATTGTCTCCGCAATGTCTTCGCGGGTAGGCAAGACATCACTCCAGAGTGCATGATCGAGAGTCGTATCGAGAGTCAACTCTGCTGCTAAGAGACCGTGGACAGTGATCTTGCCGATCGCGCGGGAAATTCGTTTGGGGACCGTTTGAGCAGTCCTAAGTGCCGATATTGGGACAACCACTATTGTTTCTCCGGCCTGGTGGTATGTTTAGCTACTACTCAGCACTCCAAATAAATCTTTGGTACGTGACTCCAACTAATGCATCGCGCCATAATCGTATATTGGGTGCTGGGGAGGAACTGGGAAATCCATCGTTAAACCGTCAGGATCTTGCTATTGAAGCTCGCTTCATGTCTTTAAAACAGTTATATAAGATCATAAAGACTTTTTACGGTAACTGCATCAGGATGTCTCAGGAGGGACTTTCTCCATTGCTCCACCACGAATATATATCAAGGCTAAACCAGAAGAGCGGCGTGCTTGTTGAGCATAGCCAAACTGAAGATAGGGATATTGTACAAAGGTGTGTAGACTCAATCTCGATACACTAAAGACATTGAAATCCATAACATTGGTAACTACTAAGTCCCAATCCACAAATTCACAAGCGACTACAAGCATTTTGTTTACGACTTGAAAGATGATAGGTAGATACAGTACGTACCTCGAAGTTTCTCTGGGCTATAATGCCAAGCCCTCTTCCAGGGAATCGATGCGCTGCGATGCCATTGATCTCAACTCCTTGGCTTACGGCCCATTCGCTGAATTTGCGGTGGGCTTCCATGGTGGCAGCCATAAAAAAAAGAATCGAAATGGAGATGTACACTGCTTAGACATAGCCAGAAAATCGGGAAAAGTTATCTGTTATCACGTTTGTGGCCCTCGCGTGGTACAAATACAAGCTTCATCGCCTTGCTCGCTTGATAAAGCTACCATGTGGGTTGCTAGTGGCACACTAGCTGTGATGTGGGCTGATATGATATTAGGGGAATTTACTCTACAATATACCTTTCTCTAGACGGGACTCGCGGTGGTCTTGCTGATTGATTATTCATTCAATTGCCATGGCTCTGCTTCTGCGCCAATCTGCCTTGCGATCTGCTCTCCCGAGAGAGCTTCTCGCAGCTTGCACCATCTCCCTAAGCTTCCGAAACTTCAGCGTCCTCAATCGACCACCACCCAACTACGAAGGCCATGTCCCGCTCACCAGACTAGAGAAAGCTGGTCTGGCTGTAGGATCTGCGGTTGGATCTCTGATCAATCCCTACCGAGGTGGTATGTAGCTCAGAGGAGTCGGGTTCGCTTTCAATTCCTCGTTGACGATGCTGTTTTATAGATCTAATTGCAGCTCTCGGTGAAGCAACGGCTACCCCATACTTCATTTACCGTCTTCGAGATGCTATGCTCTCCTCTCCTACAGGGCGGCGTATCCTCCGTGACCGTCCGCGGATCTCTTCCAAAACCCTCTCGATGGATTATCTACGCGGTCTACCTCTAAATACCGTTGGCCGGGCATATGCAGATTGGTTGGACCGCGAAGGCGTCTCGCCGGATACTCGAGACACAGTCAAGTATATCGACGACGAGGAGTGTGCTTATGTGATGCAGAGGTATCGTGAATGTCATGACTTTTATCACGCGTTGACTGGCCTCCCAATCATTCGCGAAGGCGAGATTGCGTTAAAGGCATTTGAGTTCTCAAATACCCTGCTACCGATGACCGGATTAAGCATGTTTGCAGTGACGACATTAAAGCCTGTGGAGAGGAAGAGATTCTTTAATACTTACCTTCCTTGGGCGCTTAGTAATGGGTTGAGTGCTAAGGAAATCATTAATGTATATTGGGAGGAGGTGCTCGAAACGGACGTAAAAACTGTTAGGGAAGAGCTAGGAATTGAGAAGCCGGTTGATCTGCGAGAGATTAGGAAGAAGGAGAGGGCAAGGAGGAAGGCGGAAAGGGAAGCGAAGCAGAGGTCTGGCGATAGTCTGGGTATCAATTAAATAATTTTGGACAGCCGAATAGCCTTGCTAACAAAGATATTTCCGACTCCACTGAAGTAGACTGATTGCCAGAGAAATCCATTGGTCGAATGTTGCGCGCCTGCCTTCCAAAAGCGCCAGTATGTCCTCGTGCTTTCTCACATATCAAATAAATCGTCATCGTCATCGTCCCAGCCGCCTTTTCTCCTGCTAACCACGATCTTCTCCTCTTCCTTCTTCTCCGCAACTGCATTAAGCAACTCCTTCAACTGCTCCTCCGTAACTTTTTGTCTCAGCTGACCAGACCGAGCAAGCATAATCAGTCTATCCTCCACCTCTGCAGCGCGCGACTCTTTCACAAGTCGTATCCGTCCCAGACGATCTGCAGCTTCGGGCTCCAGGATTTGATTTAGCATCGATTGCCGTGCTTCGGCTGGAAGATAATTTTAGAGCGGTCGTCGAGGTCAAAAGGGAATGTACATGCCTTCCTGTTCTCTTTATTATAATGTTAGATAAATTGCCATGAAATAGATACTATGCAATAGCTAAGAACTTGCCTTTTTTGATCAGCTTGTCCTCCACCACCAATCGCCCCACCTCCACCTCCTCCTCCGCCCTGAGATTTGAGTTGCTCGAGCCGCGCCCTGCGAATCTATATCAGGTCAGTAATGCTATATAATCACGAATAACTGCGCCAGCTTACTTGTGCTAAGTCGTCGTCTTCCATGATAAATGTGTTGTGGTGGATATTGTGAGCAAGTGTATGAATGCCTGCGGGGCACAGATGCTTAAGGTTCCAGATTGGGCAGAAACAGCCACATCACGTGGAGTGGGGCAAGTCGTTCCAAGAGCCTTATAGACCAGGACCACGACGAAGCAGTTCATATCTTTCGAGAATTTAGAGCATCTTGATTTTTTTAGGTACCTCCCTAGCTAAGGGGCTATATTATGGCTGCGTAATTTGCGATTCTAATTCTTTCGAGGATTTCCCCTCAACAGTTGCCGCTGAGGACTTCATTGCTATCATCATGAAATATCCCAAGTTGAAAAGCTAGCCATAGCATATTTAGATACAAGATTTATGCACACGCCATAGGAATACTTTATAACGACAATTACCACCAAGAAACTTTTTTGATATGCTTGTTTGTAATTTGGTTCGGCCATCTGGCCGCTCGTGAGACAATGACTGAAAGTCTTCAAATCGGAAGACCGATTCGCATTTGAGGTACCAATAAACTTTTAGATCGCGGAGGGGCAAGCACAGGACGTGGTTGAAGTGCGGCTTGATATACTCCGTAGGAGCTCCCTATATAGAAGCATAGGATGGATAAAAGATGTGAGCCAAGTAGATACCGAACGGATGCGTCCATACCATAGTAACCAGGAACCGGGAGGCGTGCGGATATACAACCCCGCCAAAAAGTATAAATTCAGGGGAACTTTGTCCAAAGCACCTCCACATCCTGCAGCAAGCCATCGAAGGAGGAGTTTGGGTTTGGATTTTCTACGGGCTTGGGCTTGGGCTTGGGCTTCGGCTTGGGCTTGGGCTTCATACTATTCTGCGATCGAGAATCAACCACATACTCAGCCCACTCTGTGCTTATATCCCCGTTGATGTCGCCGTCGGCGTCCTCGGAAACTCCGAAATAGATAGCACCGATATCAATGGAGCCATTTCGAGACTCGGAGTTATCCATGTTGTTTTTTGCTATATGAAATTATAAGAAAGAGAGTATTGCTGACTTTTAGGGGACGACTTACACTTTATATTGAATGAGTTTCCCGCCCGATCTCCGATGGTATTCTCATCTTGTTGCACTGCTGGATCTGTGGGTAGACTAGATCCTGCAGCTTCAAAGAATCGAGGCTGTTGCTCGTTCTCGAAATTCAACACCAAATCTTGCCATTGAAATGTTTTCTCCTGAGCGTTAGGATTGGGCTGAGTGGGTTCCGAGTTGGGTGCACTGCCGGGCTCATTGCCATCCCTGGCTTGGTCTTTCTTCCCCGTCACAAATTCGAGGATATTGATTATCATATTCGCACCGGGGTGAATACTTCGTACACTCTGCAATACCTCCATACACCTTCTGAAACCTTGCACACTTGGGTTTTTAACGCTCGAAATTGGTGATCGTATGTTTCGTACATGGGTCATGATCGCATTTAAGAGGAAGGAGACCCCATAGCCAGGAATTAAATGGACAATGTTAACCCGAAGGAGATCTTGAGCTATATTCGTGATTTCCAGGGCGGCTTGCTGGACCTTCACTTGAGAATCGGTGGACCCAAGTGCAGGATCGCAATTACTCGTACTTTTCTTGAAGCTTTGTGGCCCAAGTAGTGTGAGAATTGTGCTGTTGTAGAGCATATCGAGCGATGCACGATGTATCATAATGCTCTGTTCTCCAGCTTCCGGTGCGGAGGTAAGAGAACTTGGGTATCTTGTCTCCTCGGGACATTGGGAGCGCCAGGCGTTTAATTCGTCGACACGGTCTCGAACCTCCTCGGTGTCTTCCACTCTTGGCGAAAGGAAATTTTTTGTGACAGTGCTGTCATCAGGTATTTGGCTACGTGGTTTCCGCTGTAGCAATGTGTATTGAGTGGCGAGAACGCGGCTGAAGCAAAGACTGAGTTTCGCCATTTCAATATTTACAGCGGCAGACTTTCGTAGTTTTGTAGCATCGCGGACAATCTCGCATTCAGAGCCGATGCAAGATACGCTCCACGGTAAAGGTTGTAGGTCAAAATCTTCCATGGTTAGCATATCCAGGTTATGGTCGGTGGCCTTGATCCTTGTCGGACGTTGTGTGCCTAAAGCCACTAATTGGTCTCGTATAAAGCAGGACCAGCCGATTCTTTTCCGTAGCCTCTGGCTCTTGAAATCTAAATGGGGTTCTGCCGGATCGTGAAGGCCTGTCGCCAACGAGAGTGAAGCTGTGACACCCCCCCAGTACCACATATCCTTTTGGTCATCTGGTGTATCGTACCAAAGTGTCATAAGAAGAAGGGATTGCACAAGAGTGATTGGTTCCTTTTCGTAATCGAGATCGTAAAGTCCCTGGTATATGTTAGTGACACCAAGCATTACCAACGATGTAGCTTCACGTACTCTTGTCTTCAGGTAGAAAGCCTTGCGTGCTGCAAACCTACTCGGGAACCCGGCATCTTGCAGATATTGCAGATCGACAAACGACGCCGCAGCAAACATTACACACTGGAATAACAACAAGCTAACTTGTCCCATCTTCCCATCTTCACTATCGACAATCTGAAGGAAGTCATTGAGCTCAAGTATGGGCATTTGGCCATGCACATTTTCTATATAGCTGTGCAGCAGTTTCGTTCGAAGTGGTAGTTCTGGAATTGAAAGCGCCCCTCGTCTCCAGAGATACTCGACGTCGTCCTCGTTGATATTTTGAGGAAGAGGCTTCACGAATGAAGGCAGACCATTGGCAGAAGTAAGACCTGACAAAGTCGCCGGATCATCGATAATTTTATCTAAGATTGAGAAATCGGTATCCGACATTGGAAAGTATTGTGCAAAGTTTTTCTAGAATAAGGCCAGAGTTAGAGACTGATGCACGCATAGATGCGGGGCAAAACTCACGAGATTATTGGCATCCTCTGTACCCGTAGCGGCCCTCTGCTGGTTTCCGTCTTGAATTTGATCGATAAGATGTTAGCCGTTGAAGGCCACTTCATCTAAAGAAATGGATCTCCAACTTACATATGGAGTGTGGCTGGTGAGAAATTTCCTCATTCCCGTAAGATTGCATTGGAAATAATGGATTAAGGTCCAGCATTCCATCTAGAGCATTCCCGCTTTCAATAGAATACATGTTACTAAGTTCGTCTACTGAGATAGGCATTTCCGACATCGAGTTCAACTCCGGCACCACATCGTCGTCGTTGTGGTCAAGCTGCTTCCTTTCCAATGATCAGTCTTCCGCAAATACATCGATGCGGATTACTCACCTCCTTTTTCTAGATTTCTCAGGAATAATACAGGCAACGTTGTCGAATTTACAGTTTGAGCATGGGGCACCATTATGCCCAACGTCGCAACGTATCTTTCTCTTTCCACAAGAGGAGCAAGCTTGAGCTGCTCTTCTCCTTGGGGCCCCTCCATGAGCCTCAATTAAATTCGCCGTCCTTGCTCCTCGTCTACTGAGAGACGACTCATGCTGTGAATTCGATGGCTCACCCGGTGACGGTGCGGGGCGCTCCTGATCCATATTGAACGATCAAAACAACTATCGTCTTCTTGAACCAGCCTTGCGAGCTAGGCTACAGCTAGCACGATTTATCTTTCAGAAGACACAAGTACTCTTCGAGAAGTCTTCGAGAAGTTTTAGGTAGGGCTGAGTATTCGGGTGAACCGGGTTCATCCGGTACATTATACGACGAGGTTGAATCCGATCGACTCGTTAGCGTGTAATAGATATGAGTAGCGGGTTTCTAATTTCTGACATGTTTCTGGCCAGTCACGAGCCATTACGGAGTATATTTTAATAACTCACTAACTCTAGCCTCTCTAGCCTTGGCTTCCCCTCATTTCCACCAACGACACAGATAAGTTGTTTTTCCTTTCCTTGCAAAAACCTTAACTATATTATCAGCATATCTTCATTTTGCGATGAACGGACTTCAAAAGTTTGGCTGTGGCGATCAGTTCTAAAACTAAGCACGGTGCTATAGTATCATCTAGAATACGATGAAACAGCCGGGATGGCATGACCAGTTGCATTATTGGTAGAACCCATCGAAATCTGCAAAACATGCGTGGGAATACCGCCTCCCGAGATCTTGTCGAGGATTTGGATCACTGGCACGGAGTTCTGGATGCCCGGAAACGCAAACAGATCCAGGACAGGCTGGCGCAAAGAGCACGTCGTAAGTATCCTCAACTGTCCCGACAAAGGAAGCTAGAATGTATATTGCTTATTATTTTGTATAAATTGCTGAGCATGGATTAAATGTGGTAGGGAAGAGGCTCGCAACTTTGAAAAACAATCCAGCAACTAGCAACAGCAAATCCGGCCACCATTGTCCCCGACCACTTCTACCACGCGGCGCTGACACGAACGGCGGCGAGGATTCTTGCTCGAAAGAGATAGTATCATCAACTCCATATGCTGGGCAGGAGTCAAAGCTTACTTTACTCCTTAAAACACCCGGGTCAGCGAAGAACAATGAGCTCATGCTATCTCTTGGATCAACCAACCTCACACACAATACGAGTACTCTTTCAACGGGTGACCCAGGGCCAGCATTCACATTCACTTCAACTCCATCCTGGTCTACAATAGGCCCAGATAATCGGTATCTTTCGCTTCCCAATATCTCAGTATATGCAGCGATGTTCAACAATGGCTGCATATTAGGCATTGTATGTGGCCATCACGTTCCCTCCAAAACTGGACTTCAAACATCGATCACACCGTTCTCGCTACATCCGACGTCGGTCCAGGCAACTGTAGTGCATTCACAATTTATTGATCAGTTCCCATTTCCACGCATGCGCGATAATCTCATCACTCTGAGTCTCAATGGGCTTATAGATGAAGAAATTTTCATGGCCGACTTGTTCACCACCGACAGCTTCATGGTGAAGCCTGAGGGGGTAAGTTGGGACGCTGCATCATGGAGCATTAGTCCATCTTTTAAGGCCAAATGGGGCTTTTTGTTCAACTAGCCAGTGGTGAAAGGTTGTATAACATAATAATAAGTAGAAACAATTAATATATGCCAAAAATTTTCCCTAGTGTCTGAGTAACACCAGTCACACAAGACTTTTTTCCATATCACCTCCTAATATGTTCACACATTTGCCACTTCCTGGTGTTGGGATGAACCTCTTTTCTCGTCGGACTTCCCTTGTTCTCCTGCCACTGAACTAGTTCCGTCACCATCATCATTATTTCTTGTGATGGCGAGCTCTTTTTCAGCTTCGACAATACCATGGCCATCGGCAGTCAAGTGAACCATCACATCATCTCCAAAGAGAGCGCCGATTTCCTCCACTGGCAAGCACTTCGTCTCGGGGATGTAATAGTAGACGAAAACTGTCGAGAGGAGGCAGAGACCACACCATAACAGATACATGCCAAACTTACTACCCAACTATCAGACTTGATATACAAGATCAGGTGAGATGGATAATGACTTACATGTTCTTGAATGCTAGTGCTGCAGGCGTAGTATAGGTTATGGCACCAACGAAGTAAGCAAACATGGTTAGTCCTAGACCCTTCGCTCTGATGGTCGTGGGAAAGACCTCAGCAGCCCATACAAATGATGCTGTATCAATGGTCTGGAAGAGTATAATGTAAACAAACATGACGACGAGACAAGCAGCGTTGCCAGCCTTATTACCAGTGCCAAGATACTTCCACTGTAGAAGAGCTTCAGCAAGAAGGCACGCGGCGAGGGATGGGAAGCCAATCACTATATAGGTCAATACAGCGGAAAAGATATTCGTTGGCCCGGTTTTGCTAGTAATACTCACGGAAGTAGGTTCGTCGGCCGACACGGTCTAGAAAGAAGGAGTGGACGAAAGTAGAAGTCGTGCCGATAACGGAGTAAATGGCTATCAAATCGTGAGCATGGGGCCCATATAGAGAATTCGAGGCCAATTTACTTACCGTAGATGATCAAGGGCATTGAGCCAGTCATACCAAGGCTTGTGGAAATAAAAACGATGTAGTTTGCAATTCCAAGGATCTATTGTGGTCAGCGACTTTTCTCCAGTAGAATGGAGTGGTATACCCCAGTAGACTGAGCTGCAAACCTGATTCGATTGTGTCAGCAATCGTTGACCGAGATATCCCATTAATATGTAATTATGCCAATTACATGAGAATCATGACCAAAATTGAACGCTTTCTCCAAGATGGCTTGATGAACATTTGAATATAGCCAGCTTTCTGTTCCTTGTCGAAGTCCACTTGTCTTGTGATCTGGGTTAGCTCTGCACGAGCAATTGCATCTGTGGGGTCGCTGGGATCATTGTGAATCCTCTGAAGGACAGGCCATGCTTCGTCATGCTTGTTGACCCAAACAAGGTAGCGAGGACTTTCTATGAGTACTTTCAGCATCAGAAGCTCTCGGCACGCTCATCAAATATCGACTTACCTGGGATGAAGAAGAGACCAACAAGTAAAACCACGGGTCCAGCGCAAGCTAGGGCAAGCGGCATTCGCCATTGGAGGGTCAGGTTCGTCGATTGGTTTGTACCCAAAGAGACCAAAGCGCAACTATTCAAGTCAGCTTCTAGCCTGAAATATTTGAATGAAAGGAGCCTGACACAGTATATCCAGAGGCAAACCCCATTACAGTTGTACTAGCAAGAAGGCCTCGTTTGTGAGCGGGTGCGACCTCCGTCGTGTAGAGTGGGACCAAGCAGATCAACATGCCTAAACCGATGCCCTGAAGTATCCGGACAATGATCAGCATCTCAATCGCTACAGAGCCTGCTGCCAATGCTCCGCCGATTAAAGCGCAGAGTCCTGCCAGTCCAAGTGCCTTTTTGCGGCCTAGCCAGTCTGCTGTCATTCCTTGGAGGATGGCACCAACAGCTGCTCCGAACGCAAACAGCGCATTCACAGCTCCAAGGACACTGCAAAGAAGTCAGTAAAATATCTGAGGATTAGGATTTGGTTGTGCCTACTTTGCTGTGTATGTGCTTGATGCTGTATTGTACGTCAATATATATCAGAGGGTATTGAACTCGGATACTAACGATCGAGATCAAAGTAAAGAAAGAAGCCAGGCTGTCCGATACTGGTGATGAACACTGCGAAGCCGAATCCATATGTGAAAGCTCCCGAAGCAACGACAACACATATTGCAACGTTGTAAAATGTGAGACTGGCCCCTTTTGCCATCTTGATCCAACGGATTTGAGTAGTGAAAAATTCGAGGACGACAGAAAAATAATGTAGAATGTGATAGGTATAGATTGAGGAATTTTCTACAATGAGAATGAATATCTGAATAATATCTTACCCCACAACCGGATATCAAGACCTACAAATAAGAGTTTCCACTCCCGGCCGGCTCGTGAGCAACAGGGTGAGCTCGAGAAGTTACCGATATGTATCCACGCCATCGGTACAACATAACGCGGGGTCAACAAGCCACTGGTACTTCATACCCCATGGGGTAAACCGCAGCTGTACAGCACTGGCTGTCATCGCGGTATCAGAGGAATGAAAGAACTATTAGTTTGGATCTTATTTCTGACTATTGTTCCCCAATCAGCGAATTGTAGCTAAGGGATGTGATGGAGAGGCTGGAGCGCACTAATTTCTGACAAAAACTAGCCAATCGAGCCGGGCGTATGTTCCTCCGCTTGAAGACATCCTCACTCACCAGCCATAAAACCTCCGAATGAAGTGAGCATCAACGCGTCTCATCCAACCCCGCCGCTTCAATAATTCTCAGCTTTCCAATAGTGGCCAGTTCCACATCATGAATAACCGCTACCGAGCCTCGGACGCGGTAAAATCGCAGTCTCTGAAGCCAGTTGCTGTCAGTTCGATGCTGGTACTAGAAGGTCGCAAGGCAATGCGATGTAGAGGCACAAAGCAGGCTGAAGGGTTGGCTCCGCACTACTGTACCTGTGTACGGAGGTAGTTACTAGTATCTCAACCTGAGTTCCAAGTGGGGCAGTCAAGGTGATTTCCAATTTCGCGCTCTTCATAAAGGCTTGCCAGCGTTTGAGTGGCAACGACTGACAAAGACTGACAAATACGTCTGACATTCAACTCCTACAAATTCAGCGGCCAGTGCCAGTATATTATATCACAGAAGTACCTTTCTACATCTCTTTATCACTCTCTATACTTGACCACTTTTCAAACGAACCCAAAGCTCCTTCCTGTCTTACTTTCAAAATGGCCAACCGAAAAGATTCGGCTTCCAAGCCCGTCATTGTCATCGTTCCTGGCTCATTCTCCCCAGCCTCGCTTTACCAAAACATCATTGACGAGCTCCAGGCCGCAGGCTATGAAGCAACCACCATCGATCTTCCAACCGTCGGGGACAGTAAGAAGGCATCCGGAGTGACATTGAATGATGATGCCGTCGCCATTCAAGGCGTCCTCGCAGAATTCGCCGATGAGGGCAAAGATATTATCTTGGTCACCCACTCATATGGCGGTATTGCAGGAGCCGAGGGTGCTAAAGGGTTTGCAAAGAAGGATCGAGAGGCGGGTGGAAAGAAAGGCGGCATCGTTCGTATGGTCTACGTTACTGCTCTCGTGGCACAAGTGGGACAGTCTTTGACGGACGTCATGGCCCCTTACGCTCCTTCCCAACTGCAGGTAAAGGTGAGTGACTGATATTTCGGCCTACACACTGGTGTATCCCGTATATGCTGAACCAGCTTACAGGATGGCCACATGACCCTCGATCCACTCCCGAATACTCGTGCTTGTTTCCCAGAACTCTCTGAAACGGAAGGTCTCAAATGGACTGCAAGGATGCCAGGACACTCTGCCACCAGCTTTACAGACAAAGCTACATATCCCGCCTATAAGTTTATTCCAATGTCGTACATGCTCTGCGAAACAGACTTAGTCATTCCTCCCAAGTACCAGAGAAGTATGGTGGAAATGGTGGAAAAGGAAAGTGGAAGACCGGTAGACGTTCACTCTTATGCTATTGGACACGCTCCCAACGTGACTATGCCAGAAGCTATGGTGGAGACAATTCGACGTGCGGCCGGTGAGGTGCTTTGAAGGCATTGGGGAAACATTGAGATCTGTCCATAATTAATATTATAGAGATTTAAATCAAGAAGCACAAATATATTTACAGAAGTTGACGAAGACCACATCCTGAATCAAAACTATATCTTCCATTTAATATCCCATGCCAAGAATTAATTTATCATCACCGTAAATCATATAATCCCGCGTTGGGGTAGTGCTTTCCATTAGGAACGCCCTACTAGTAGTGTAGGCAAAGTTAATCAACAAAATCAAATAAAATTAAGTAACTTTGATTAGCTATACTATTTTAGTCTATGGCATAAAACTAGCTTGGAACTTTATTATATCTTTATCTTTATCTATAGGTTTTTTAGTCTTTTCTATATTCTTTACTAAACGGATCAGGTAATTAAGTTATATAATATAACTATCTTATAATAAGCTAATACTTTGTACTTATATAAACAAGCTTAAATTTAGCTCTTAGCTACGATAACGTCTAATTTAAGTTAGTCTTAGTACCTAAATAAGTAATATACGTAACTTATATAACTTTATACGTCAGGTAACTAGTTAGTAAAATATAATTAATTAAAATCAATTAAATTAGATTATATTCAATTAAAATTAGATTTAGGTAAAAAGAAAGTAGAGTTTGAATTAGATTAACTAGTAATAATTTAATTTAATTTAATCACTGCCTACACTGCCTACTAGAGGGAGCATTTCTACTTTGGGAAATATATAGTTTACGCCCTTGTTGCTTTGTTTGACGAACCACCCGCCGAGCGTGTCTGTCCATTCGCAGTGTCGATGTGCATATCTATGGTATTTTATCAACCGGATTCAGAAGATGATCGAGCGAAGCCAAATCATGACCAAGAGATCCAGGGCTTTTGGGTCAGGAAATATGTTAGATATTCAGGTAAGTTGGCCTTCAAAAAATATCTCACAGAATTGGAAAATGCGAACGATAAGGGGAGTTTGAGCTTTGAATGTCAATCCATTATTCGCGAAGTAGTCATCATGCTCAACGTAGAAATACTCCACATCAAACCCCTCGCTCGTCGTAAATCGTGGTAGAAAATTAGCATCCCCACAAATCGTCTAGATGGGTATGTGTCGTTGCTATCGATGTTGCGCTCGATCTTTCAGTCGCACATGGCGCGAAAAACAGCTCTGCCATCAACTTTCCCTTTCGAAGATCTTGTGGTTGAACAAGTTGTCCGCCCCACCTTTCCAAACAAATATTATATTCGTTCAAGTTAGGATTTAGGTTAGTTAGATAGCCAGATGTTATTGGCTCCGAAATACGGCGCGTACAATGCATGATAGGTACACAATAATTAACCTCGGCTCAACTTCAAGATAAGATTGAAAAGACAGACATTGCCACAAAACTTAAGAAGCCAGTCGATATCAACGTAATCTTTTTTTGCTATTTTCATATAGCGAAGAAAAAAAGATGGATGTGGTTGCAATTCCTATTAGGGAAATATATAGTAGACTTGGCAGAGTAAAGCGGAGGATCTGTATTTCAGGTACTAGTATGAATGATCGGAGATGCCAATTCCTCATCGTATATTGTACTGGCAATGATAGGAATATCCGATTCCTCATCATATATTATACATATTCTGTCTTGCCACCAATGACACGCCTTAACTGCTAGGCACCCACTTCAGGCTCCGGATATCAAAATAAAGACTTTAGTATTGGCTGGCGGCACTTTGGCATGCTTTCTAAACATCAAATCGGGTGAGTAATAGTCCATCTTCCGCATTGTTTAGTGGTCACTTACCAGCTGCTCTAAGTACCAACTGCAAGTCTGCATATTGCCCTGGTTCTCGTCCAGGCACTTGGTGAACTGTTTCGCATCAACCTCGCAGCTTCTTGGCCCCCAGCTGTTCTGGTCTTGCTGGTTCTGGGAGGCAACGACGCCGTTATCCTGTTGTTGCTCTGCTGGTTGGCTTGATCCGCCGCCGAAGAAACCGCCGATTGCGTGGCCTATTGATGATCCTATGGCAACACCTCTATTCACTCGTTAGTACTGCTCAACCGCTAGGAATAGCCAGAGATGGACTTACGCAGCTGTGCTAGCCATCTGGCCCATGAGACCTGGCCCTGCGGAGCCCTGCTGTGCTGGAGGCGCCGCAGCAGGAGGACCGGCTTTTTGAGTAGTCGCAGGAGGATAAGCTGCGGATGTTGCAGGCCGTGTTTGCTGCTTAGGAGCCGCAGGTCTGGAAGCGGTAGGTCTTGAAGGGGCACGGCCTCCTCCTCTTTGACGGGCCATGATGGATGATGTGTTTTGGGTTTAAAAGGGTAACTAGAGATGCAGTTTCGTGTACTTCGTAGTAGTGTTGAAAGGTTATTTCGAGGTGGAGATGGAGATGGCGAAGACACATGGAAACCTTCGGATTAAAGTAGAGCCTTTCGGGGTCAGGTTCCGGTTCAGAGCTTTACCCGAAAGGCATAAGCGGATTGGCGGAGACCGGGTGGAAACCAAGTCCCTAGGCGAATTGAAGCTCGGTAATAAACAATCCCAAAAATGACCGAAAAAGGATATAAAAATAAAGACTGCCTCAAAATATATTTAATTCCTAATTGCGTAAACCAGGGATTGGAGCCTCAAAATGGCAAAAGAGTTCGGCCCGGTGTCGAATGCCTACATCTCTTGTCGCTTTGTTGTTTTTGTCGTTTTCGTTTTTCGTCTTGCTCCCTTTTTTGTTGATCCAATACGCCAGTACAATTTGACCCGAGCCACTTCCCAGTGGTCGCCCTTGTACTGCGATAATGGATATTTTGTTATTTGGTCTTATATAGCTATGGTCGGTCACCCAGGCTAATCAACAGTCACATGCTACTCCTATACCGCGAGCACCAGCAACGATGCACCAGTTACAACCAAAAGCTGTATAGTTAGATAGCCAATTAACAGCCTTAGTAGCGCATCTATCAGGGTAAGCTAGGATAATTATATGGCTTTGTGTAGATCGCATTCTTCTGGTACATATGTAGGAGCTCAGTACTGCCTAGAATTTACGTGTACCTACCAAAAAGCATCCCAGGCCATTAAGCCATCCCAAGTTAGGCAAAGAATTCGAGAATAACAAAATAACAGAAGGCATATGGTATCTTATTTGTTTTATTCCCAATACTCAATTTATAGAGATTGGTACTTGGTGAAACTCAGAACCTACCCTCTCCGCTCCGAGATTCCTCACATAGTCTATAGTAGCCCAAGTGTGCAATTCCCCGAGACCTGCTTCTACCGTAAAGAATTTCCTCAACGCCGACGCTATGCAAATGCGATTGACCAAGAGACCTGCCCAACTTCCCCCATACGCCATCCAGCCATTACGGCTGCCACGATTCAGAAATAATCCCCTATTCAGCCTATTCCTTCAGGGCATTCTTACGCTTTTTCTGCTTCTTGGCAGCCTTCTTAGGTGCCTTGGAGCCTTTTGGTTTCCTGGCTGGGCTTGAAGTCCCCGATGTTGGAGCTGAATCGGACTGTTTATCTAACTTCTGCTTCTTCTTGGGATTTATTGAGAGCGTGGCCGCCACAGGCGCATCTTTTGCACTCTCCGAGGCCGATTCTGAGGAGGAATCTGATGAGGAGCCATCCTCTTCTGGAGTGGCGTCCGCCGTATTAGGCTTTCGCTTTGGTGCCTTAGCCTTCTCCCTGTCTTCCATCGTTTTCGAAAGTTCGTCGAACTTGATATGTGCTCTCGCTCGTTGCTTGGCGCGAAGTTCTGCTTGTTCTAAAGCATGTTTCTCAGCAGCGGCCTAAGAATAAATTAGCATTGTGAAAATGATCCAGATATAATAAAGGCATAGGCTGGTGTGAATGATTGCGAGGGCCAACTACTACGATAGCACCCCGAGTCAACAACCAAAAGACATAGGAACGTACCAATCCCGGCTTCAGAAATCTTGCTGCGGCAGCTTTATCGAGGGTGCTTGTCCTCGTAGGGGGGTTTTCCGTGATCTTTATCTTATCAAAGTATTGCTTGACTCGGGTAAGTTCGATGAAAACAGGGTGGTCGCGTGCCCTGACGCCATTGAGTCTGAGGTACGCTGCAAAGTTTATTAGACAATCGGCTTTTCTTTTCCAAGGGGGGGCATGTAAAAATGGCTATACTGACAGAATAACATAGACTCGATTGCGTAGGTAACAAGCACATAGAGCTTGGCTTTGTCTAGCAAAGGCAGCTTCGAGGTGGTCTCCGCCAGCGCTGTTTTCACGAGCGGAGCTACTGACTCTTCGAGATCATCGATTTCATCATCAAGCTGCTCCAGAAGAGATAATATGGCGGAGGAGTCCATCTTGTCGCGGTGGGATGTGCTGTCTCGATTGTCGCAATCCTGATGAGGTATCTTTTTGTCACTAACTTAACTTTTCTATGTATTCAAACAGTACTGGAGCGGCCGCGTGGCTTATGTAAGCGGGCCGAGCATAGTTTTTGCAAAGTAGGCGGAGGTCACATGATCTAACACATACTCTGCGAATGTTATTATGGTCTTACATAGTTCTACCCTCTACTTATACCTCTATACCCATTTTCCGCCGTCTAATAACCGTCTATCTAGGTCATGGGCAGTAAATTAATCATGGTCAAGTGTTTCCTCCCTGTCTCCCCTTCCCACCCCTATCCACCAAGAAGTCATGTACGTACGTAGTACATAGGTACCTTAGGTACGAAGTATAGAGATCCATTATGCAGTGAGAACAGCAGATTTGAGAATTTACAATGTGATATTATTCTCTTCCTGAACTGCTGCCGACCCCCACGCAGTATTGATGTCTGATGCGGGGGTTTATTGTCGAAGTGGGACGCTTATCAATGGGGGTTTTCTAACAGCGGGGGATTAAGTTCGTGGGATATCGAGGTGTATACTTCCTACGAAGTACCTACCTCCCCAGACCGACATTTTCCACCCCTCGCCCAGTGCTTCGTACAGGCTTTGTTAAAAAAAGATTTGAGTTATTTTTTTTATATATATCTGACTGTATATGCCGACCACCCGTCGGTACCTCCGCCTTGTTTGCCAAAAAAACAAAAAAATAGTTTCCCCGTGGGGTGGTTGCATACCGACTTTTTGGTTTGGCATTGCTTTTTGGGGGGTTTGTCTCTGTTTTTTGTTTTTTTGGTTCCTGGGAAAAAAGGATCTTCTGGATGCATGTATGCATGCAGGCGGGCGCCACATAGAACAAACGGTTTATTAATCGCCGAGGAGGATTATAAATATTCACGGGTCTGGGCCTTTGGGGGGTTTTTATGCTGGGCTTTTGAGACATGGGTATTGAGGATAGGTAGGTAATTCTGTGGTTAAGTGCGTTGGGGCAGGGAAAGGGGAAAAGGGAGTTTGTAGATACGAGAAATTGAATAAAGGCAATTTAAGGTGGGAATTGTTGAAAAGAGTATTGGGAATTGCGATGCGATGCGTATAAATCCGCGAGGATGGATCTAGATGAACTAGCTGCTACGAGTTGGAAATGAAAATGAATAAATAACTTAAAAGGCCACCACCATATATGCAATTTTCCCCAAAGCACCTATTCAAGTATATGCAGGCACAAACAGCCCCCCCCAAAATGCAACCAACTTTTGGTTACCCCTTTTCAATGGTTATTTAATGTTCTACCTGTCTGAAGCAGCTAACAACCTTCAGTGGTTAGACCTGAATTGCCGAAAGAAAATCATATGGTATATGATCATGATGGGATATCCATGATCTTCCCAGGATTCATAATCCAGTGCGGGTCCAAGGCTTGTTTGATCGATTTCATGACGCCGAGGGTATCAGGGCCGACCTCTTTGAGCAGAGATGCTTTCTTGCCGATTCCAATGCCATGTTCGCCCTATTGCCGTGGAATTTCATTAGTACCGCAAATTAATATGTTTCTTCCCAAGCTCAGAATGAATGGATAACTTACCGTACAAGTGCCATCCATCTCCAACGCTCTATTGACCATGTTGTTCACGCACTGTTCAACCTTCTCCCTCTCTCCCTTTACATTGCGATCATAGAGGATACTCTCGTGGAAATTCCCATCGCCGATATGGCCGAGGATACTCGCGAAGAGGCCCAGGTCATCCATTTCTTTCTTGCTGATCTCGATGATATCCGCCAGGCGGGAGAACGGAACCGCCACATCAGTGCTCCAAACTTCATTCCCTTCTTTCCTCATAGCCAGCATCGACCAAAGACTCTCCTTCCTCGCACTCCACAGTAATTTCTGCTCCTGTGCATCTTTAGCAAATTCAAATTTGCCACCATGATGCGCTTTGGCGATGGCACCGACCATGGCGATGTTCTCCTTGACCGAAGCCTTGGTGCCGCTGAATTTGAAGAAGAGAGTAGGGAGTTCTTTCCATTTCCTGGGTGCGGTCGATCCGGAGAGGTTTACCACGCGCATCTGGACTTCGTCCATGATCTCCATCGCCGCAACCTGTACGCCGGCTCGCATTACGCCCGCAGCAGCGGACGCGGCATCTCTAATGGATGGGAACGTCACAACAGCAACAGAGAACTCTTGTGGGACCACAGCGAGCTTGAGGGTAATTTCTGTCACGAGACCAAGAGTGCCTTCAGATCCGACGAAGAGACTGTTGAGGTTGTAGCCAGCGGATGTTTTTCTTGGACGGCGTTTAGTTTTGATGACGGTTCCATCAGCGAGGACGACGGTGAGGTTGATCACCCAATCTTTCATGGTACCGTATCGGACAGCATTAGTTCCTGAACAGTTCGTGCCCACCATCCCCCCTATTTTGGCGCTCGGGCCCGGGTCAACGGGAAAGAAGAGCCCTGATTGACGTTTGGCAAGTTCCTCGTTCAGATCCATCCAGGAAACGGATGGCTGGACTACAATATCCATATCATCTTGATGGAGCTGGAGGATCTGATCCATGAAGGCGAAGTCGACGCTCACGCCTCCATACGGGGCGGAGAAATTGCCTTCCAGACTGGATCCGCCGGAGAAGGGGATGATGGGGACTCTATACTTGTAGCAGATTTTGGCTATCTTGGAAACCTCCGCGGTCGACTTTGGGTAGGCCACCGCCACGGGAAGACCCTCGATATTGGTGGACGACCATTCTGAGTAGCCGTGGGCTTTTAGGTCCTCTGGGTCGGTGGAGATGGTGTTATCGTCACCGGTTGCTTGCCGGATTGCTTTGATGGCCTATTTAACAACGTTTAGCGTTTGAGCTAGTTTAATGCAATCCAAATATCATATAATCATATAATACGCACAAACAACGCTCTGGGGATACCTCTGAGACATGTACTATTGTGTTTTGAAGAGAGCAGTCAGGGTATCCAGGGTGGGCGACGTGCTAGGGTCATAATGTGATATTACTACCCTAGCAATATCAGACGTAGCCCGGGAGATTGTAACTGGGCCAAATGACTTCACGATCACTTACAGCTTCCATATCTTTAAGACTCGCATATTTTGGTTCCACAAACTTTGCCGGGCACGAGTAATCCCTCAGCCTCTTGGTCTTGGAGTCGGCTTGGAAGGTCGCGAGGCCATAAGCAAACAGTCCCGTGGACGTAACCAGGCTCACCACAGCGAGTGACGACCATCCCGGTGATGATGATGATGATGATGCTGGCTTCGCTTTTCCTGCGGTTGCAACAGAACTTGAGCCTGGACTTGGACTTTGATCTGCACTATGCCATCGATAACCGAGTTTCGTACTCGAGTTCGAATCTGCGTGAGACGCCTCGATCCACGGGCGTGGGGAAGTGGACTTGGATAATAATAAGCAAGACACACGCCTGGCTGCGGGCCTGTTGCTCGTAACCACTGGAAGCATTCTAGAAGCGAAACCCCGAACCTGCGCCTGAACCTGAACCTGAACCTGAACAGATGCGCACCTCACCGGCATGCAGGCGCAAAAGGTCATGCTGGGCCACTGACCACTATTACCACTGCTACAGAACCACCACCTCCACCAATGTCTGTACCACTACCACCACCTGTCGCCCGCAAGGATCTCGTGCAGTTGCAGTTGCAGTTGCAGTGTGCAGCTGCTTTGCTGGTCGCTGGTCTGCAGATCGGGCTCGGATCGGAATTTGGGTGTTATATTTTCTCCGCAGCACCGACAGAGATGAGCATTGAACTTCCAACAAACACACACTCTGGGTCCTTGGGCTTGTTTTGTGTTCTTTGGTCGTCCGTTCGCAGCCATGCACTCGCTCCCTGGGACCCGACTCGAAACTGGATGGGGCGCAGAGGAAGTATAAATATAAGTATAACTTAGAAATAAGAAATAAGTACTTCGTAATGAAATCCCAGTATCTGGGGAGGGGCGCGAAGGTGGGGGGTTATGACGGTTAGACACACGATATCGATGGATGTTAAAGTGGCCTCGGCTGGCTCATAAGCCCTTGTTGACAGTTGACGTCCAGCGTGTAGTATTCCGCCGTGGAGTGTAAGTTGTCTAGTACTATATGTACCTTAGGTAGTGGACGAAGTAGAATAGAATAGATGTAAAGTAGGGCAAGCAAGCAAATAATGGGAATTTGACCTGGGCTTCCTTCTCGTTATTATACTCTGTATTAAGCCTCGTGGAGGAGCCGTACCTTGGTCCCGACACACTACAAGCCAAGGTAAGGTAAGGTAAGGTATATATCTCGCGTCTAAAGTTCGTGGCCCAGATGATCCATAATCCATATATACCAGCAAAAGAACCACCAATGGCTTATATCCCGCCGCCCTCTTCGTTTTAAGCCCTGTCTGATCTCGCCACCTTGTCCTTGTCATCCAGCGCGAGTGTTGAGTCCCATGTTAAGTACTTAATAATAAGTAAAGTAGTGCTCCGTCCGAACGAGTGAAAACCTCGAATCCGTACGGTAGCTCCCACTGCTCACTGCCCACTGTAGACTCTGCCCAATCTCGACACTAACAGCCAGCCCCAGGTAGGGATTCCACGGTCTCGGTGTCACCGCAACTCCCAAGTTCCAGCCCCTTTTGCGGTGTACGAGCGAGTGTTGGCGGCTGTTGTTGACTATGTCACCTCGGGCATCGATCTATCGGCCTCTAAGGCTTTAGGTCGCGTGGGCTTTTACTTCTACGACCTCCTGTGTGCTACGTACGATTTCATACCTGACCTGACCTATTACCCACCAATCACTCGCCTCACCGAGTAATGCGATTATCCTCTCCGCAAATGCCCAATCGAGCAATTATTCAGTCACCGCACCCGACATTTCAACCCCTCCCTCAGAGAAAACGCCCTGACCCTTAATCCGGGGAACAGAGTGCAGTCAGCCAGCCCTGGGGCCACTTATTCCTGTTACCTCACGGAAACTGGCGTGGACCGTCCAGGGAGCTGCGGAATAATGTCGCCGATAAATCCTTAATATCGAGGAGAGGGCAATCGGTGGTACTGTAGATCTGGAAAAAGAAAGCAAAACATGGCGCTGGGCTTTGCAGCGCCTGCAATTGGCTGGCGGTGGCTGATCGTGGCCTATCGACTCTTTATATGGCGTCCAATTTTCCGGGCCCCAGCCCTGGCGCATGTTACTTCATCTCCCTCGTGACAGCCAGAATGCTCCGCACAGCCAGTCTCACTCAGACTCCAGAGTCTAGAAGTCGAGAGTCTCCCCGTATAGCGGGTCGCTCGTAAGCCTCCCCAATATACTATGTACGCGGGGTGCATTGTTAGACATGCTAAAAACCAGGCTTCGGACATGCAATGTGGGGAAAACCATAATGGGGACGAGGCACAGGGAGCACACGACAGCCTTTTCTACATTGGATGGATTGGAATTGGTTCACTATGCTGCTATCTGCATCGCTTTTGTCCAACCCTGTGTGCACAATAGCAAAGCCCCCGAGACTCCCATACATCATGACCATCCTTGAACCCAAAGCAGAGTAGAAACACATTTACTGGCCGGCAATGGCATGTGCACGTCTGCGGTCTCTCTCCTCGGCGATCGTGAGCTTGACACCCTTGCCCTTTGGCAGCGAGATCCATGGCTTCTCGGATCCGATGACGAAGACGTTGGACTCACGGGTAGCGAACGAGTTGTCAATGGCATCCTTGATGTGGACGATGTTGAAGCCTCCGTCGTGACGCTCACGATGGGTGATGACACCAACACGGCCCATGTTACGACCACCGGTCGCCATGGCGATGGCACCAGTGTCGAACTTGATGAAGTCGGTGATCTTGCCAGAGGCAAGGTCGATCTTCACGGTGTCGTTGACCTTGATAGATGGGTCTGGGTAACGGACACTACACATTTGGGGAATTTTCGTCAGCATATCTGGGGGAATTATGTATAGCAACCGTTGATCTAGCTCCAATCGTTCTCGAGGTGGATCGACCAAAGCTTGGACCAACGGCTGAATGATGTCTGATAGAACTTACGTTCTCGCATCGTGCGTGACCAAGAATGGGATTCCGCCTTTGCCTAATTGCACCCTCTTGACCTTGCCCAACTTGTATTCGGCCTCCTCGGCCTGGATTCGGTGGACGGTGAAGCGGCCCTTGGTGTCGTAGACCAGACGGAAGTGCTCGCCAGTCTTCTCGATGCTGATGACGTCCATGAAGCCGGCTGGGTAGGTGGCATCGGTGCGGACCTTGCCATCAACCTTGATCAACCGCTGCATGACGATCGCCTTGGTCTCGCGGGCGTTGAGAGCATACTTTAATCGATTTCGGATGAAGACGATCAAGGGCATGCAGTCACGGAGCTTGTGAGGACCGGCGGAGGGGCGGGGAGCATAGGAACCGGAGAGTTTGTCGAGGAGCCAATGCGATGGCGCGCTGAGGCGCTTTTGGTGCTTCTTTCTGTATTAAATGTCAAGTCAGCACAAGGTCGAAGAATTCATGCGATCGTGATATGCTGAAGCGGAAAGGAACCCTCGTAGACAGAGATCGCAAAGAGACTTCAGCTTGACCGCGAGTATCCCATCTGCTCCGGACTCTCGAAGCTGTTCTGTTCCATGGTGCAAGTGAAATATGGTTCCATTACACCAGAAACGCTTAATCTCTCTGGTCTCCCCGTCCCTGGGGCACTCCCATTCCTAGCGGCGCGATGATTGAAATTGAAATTGAAATATCGAGGGGCACTTACGGTCCTCTACCCATGGTTGCGTCTCGGGATGTGGTGAGATGCTAAGGGTGGTGTCGTGGTTGTCGGCGTGAGGTTGCTGGAACTTTAGGAGATTTCGCGAAAGTTGAAGTTTTGCGAATTTCTGTTGTGGGATGCACGGACTGGCGCTAGGCCGCCTTCGGCAGCGCAAGCTAACCTAGTCACATGACCTGTCACGCTCGCGGTTGTTTCTGGGATTCTTTTGTGTGCGATTGCGATTGCGCTCGCGACCGCGTCTCTCTCCATCTTATCGCATCGCATCGCAACTCTCTAGAGGAGTTCGACTCTATGCTCCTCTGCAGGAAGCCGATCGCCTCCATGTGGACATGGCCATTACGTCGATGCCGTTATTGATATAACAATTCCACCGGGTCCTCGTTCGAAAAGGTAATAAACCAATTAAAAAAACAAATCTCATCATCTCTCCTTTCCTAGTCTCCCGGTCCATGTCTTGCAGCTGTCATTGACAACTCCTCTCTGCGCTTGGCCGCTCGTTTTCAAACGCAAACCACAACGCGATAAAGTAGAGGAAAACAAACGGCGGTGAAGAGGAAAGGCTGCAAGCATTACACCGCCCGGCGCACATTCTCTCTCTTCGTCTTCCTTTCTTCTTATTCTGGCATACCAAGCCCGTTTGCAAACCTCACCCTCGACCTCCCCTCACCTTCCCCCTCACCTTCCCCCTCACCTTTCCTCCTCAGATCTAGCTTGGATTCCTGCCCTGGAGAAACTTTGAATATCCCGTTCCTGTTCTCTACGACTCAACCCTCGCTCTCAGCTTCCGCGCCGGACTGCGTTTGAGGACCTTGTATCTGGACTCCCAGACTGACTAGTGGCGTAGTAAACCACAAGTTTGGTCTCATATTCGTTCCTCATTCACTCTGAGAGACTGCACCAACATCCTCGAGCTTTGTCGATCTCTCTCCCTTATCCTCCCAACTTCGACAAACTCGCGAATTATTCTGCACAACGATCACCTTCGAGTTTTCCCTTCACCCATACAGCTCCTCTAGCACGGCGACCTCACGGTCTCGTACCTGATCACATCTGCTTGCCACCTTATAAACCCTAGGACCAGACAACTTCTCGATCTTCTAATATTCACCTATCAATGGTAACTCGCCTACCCCCCGTCCCTCGCCCGACCCTACCTCTCCCTTTAGTACTCGAACTAACTTAGACAGTGCCTTTCTTAACTTCACCATGCTGGCAGACGTTGGGCTACCGGTCCACACCCGGCCATATATGGATCATACTACGATTCAACGGCCAATACCCAGACGAGGCGGATATCGCGGGGCGGGGTCTCAGCAGCCACCTCCACCTGTTATGCTCAAGCCACAGCACAAGTGGTCAAGACTGCCAGAGTTGACCGTCAGAATATCAAACCTCCTCCCGTCCGAAACAACGTGGAACATATGGCGTAACTTCAAAACTCAAGGAAACATCAGCTTCATAGAGATATTCGAGGGTTCCGATGGCAAGCGAGAAGGAAGAGCGAAGGTTAGGTTCTCGCCACCACCTAGAGATGCATTCTGGGCTACCAATAATAACTCGAAAATTCATGGGGCGTATATGATTAGGGGAGTCGATGATCTCTTCCGTTACAGAGTTTCCGTGGAAATGAGAGATAACGACCAGAAGCGCGGCCATCAGATTCAAAGTCCGATTCACAATCATATCTTCTACGACCAAAAGATGACTCTTTCGGTTTCCACGTTGCATTTCGGTTTGATGATGCAACCGCAATCTATGATGCTTCTTCAGACCGTCAAGCAGAATAGTCGATCGGATGAGTTGACATTTATCGTTGACCTTGTCCGAAAGAGGCTTACAGCTGAATTCATGTTTGAGCACCGAGACGCTAGAGCCCGAGACACAACCACCGACTTGGTTGTTGATTCTCGGCCCGGTAAATACGACAGAATGAACAAGTACATGTTCCAGATCCCATTCGAACAGTTAAAGGTCATCCACCGAGTGAACTCAGATGACGGGTCGTTCAAGCTAGCCATATCGCTTGATTCACCACCTCAATTTTACCGAAAGCGTGATCAAGACAAGGATTGCCATCCCACGGACAGCTTAGTTTGGTCCGAGTTTGATGATGGTTGGTTTAGACAAACAGATATTGTCTACAATCCATGGGAGCTCCGAGGGGCTGTTGTCACTCTCCATAAGCCGAGGCCAGTGATTGATATAGGTATTTCACACTTTCTAATTACGACGATAGCCTTTGCTAACAAGCCAGGTCGCTGGACAACTTACCTTTTCGAATTCAATCAGGACAAGAAGCTATCCTATACTTACGATGAAATCAAACGGGCACTACAGGACTATAATGTGGAAATTATCACTGCAGATAACCTCGACACGGTCCCGGCACAGGTTCCTGAATTGTGGTCTCTCATCGACCATCAACGTCAAATAACTGGCGCAGATCTACAGCCTTTGGATGGACCCACAAGCGTTGCCTCACTCCCCTTCGAAGTCCGCTACCAATTAGAAGTTTGCATATCTCGAGAGATGCTGAATGAATATAATATCTCGCAGGAATTCATCACAGCCTTAGCAGACATGGCTGCGACCGAACCTTCCAAGGCTCGTAATATATTAGAGTACGTTGCCGAGCAAGATAAGCGCATATACGACCCAATGAGCATATTTGAAGACCGGGAAGCTCTTGCGTTCTCCACCAAGACAGAGATCCCCCATTACTGCGCATACTCACGCAAGGCAACGATCACTCCCAGCACCATCTATTTTAGCTCGCCAACTGTCGAAACCACTAATAGGGTGCTGAGACGCTATGCTAGTGAGAATCAGGACGGCCGCTTTTTACGTGTACAATTTACTGATGAGTTGTTTGAGGTTTGTCCGCTCTATTGACCTCGCTAGTTCCTATTAACATAATATCTAACGTCTAATATAGGGCAAAATCAATTTTTGTGCTAAACAACGCAATGATGAGGTCTTCACTCGGGTTTTTAGGACCCTTCAGAATGGCATTCAGATTGGCGACCGCCACTATGAATTTCTAGCATTCGGCAACTCGCAATTTCGTGAGCATGGCGCTTACTTCTTCTGTCCCACCGAACACCTATCTTGTAATGATATCCGCAACTGGATGGGCAACTTCTCTCACATCAACGTGGTTGCCAAATATGCTGCTAGATTAGGACAATGCTTTTCCACGACAAGAGCTATCAATGGCTTGTCGGCCCCTAAGCTCATTCCCATTCCAGATATTGAACGAGGGGAGTACTGCTTTACGGATGGTGTGGGCAAGATTTCGCCGTTTCTTGCCCAAATGATCTGTGCCGAACTGGGACTACGTTCGACCACAATTCCATCCGCATTTCAGTTTAGACTTGGGGGCTGCAAGGGCGTTCTAGTTGTGTGGCCCGAAGCAAGGGATAGTGAGGTCCATATGCGACGAAGTCAGCAGAAGTTCACGGCTGTCTACAACGGCCTTGAGATCATTAGATGCTCCAGGTTTTCCTGCGCCTCTCTAAACAGACAAACAATCACGATCCTTTCATGCCTAGGAGTCCCTGACAGGGTATTCCTAGACATGATGTCGGAGCAGCTTGCCAATTACCAGAATGCTATGAGTGATAACGACTTGGCTGTAAGCCTTCTCCTACGATACATAGACGACAACCAAATGACTATCAACATCGCAACTATGATTCGTAACGGATTCATGGCTCAAAGGGATCCTTTTGTGATATCTCTTCTTCACCTCTGGAGATCCTGGTCTATCAAGCTTCTCAAGGAAAAGGCTAAAATCATCGTTGAAAAGGGTGCATTTGTACTCGGCTGTGTGGATGAAACAGGAATTCTAAAAGGCTACAACAGGCCAACCGTGGCACAGGGTACGCCCTTCCTAGAAACAGAACTACCCGAAATATTCATCCAAGTGCCAAGCAAGGATGACCCGAGTGTCTATAATGTGATTGAGGGCATTTGTCTCGTCGGCCGAAATCCTTCGCTCCACCCTGGCGACCTTAGGGTAGTCAAAGCAGTCAACGTGCCGGCGCTCCATCACCTGCGCGACGTCGTTGTTTTCCCATCGACTGGAGAGCGCGACATACCGAGCATGTGCTCTGGTGGAGATCTCGATGGCGATGATTATTTCGTCATCTGGGATAAGGAGCTTCAACCCCCAGAGTGGAATTGCGAACCAATGAACTACGCCGCTCAGGCACCGAGAACGCAAAGCCGGCCCGTCGAGGTTCAAGACTTGATGAAGTTTTTCGTTCGGTTTATTAAGAACGACGCTCTTCCAACTATTGCCCTCGCTCATTTGGCACAGTCTGATTACCTTGATCGTGGTGTCAAAGACCCCAGATGTAAGTACCTTTTAACGTCGTAGCCTTAGCTAGCTAACAGGAACCCAGGTCTTGAGTTAGCTGCCCTGCATTCCAAGGCTGTTGACTATAGCAAGAGTGGTCACGCCGCAGAGATGCAAAAGCGTCTAAGGCCGCGACAATGGCCACATTTCATGGACAAGGGGTATAGGCGAAAAGACACTATCTATGAATCGCAAAAGATCCTTGGTCAACTGTTTAATAAAGTTGAGAGCGTCGACTTTGTTCCACAATGGAACATGCCCTTCGACCGACGGATTTTATCAGCCTATAAACTTGAAGACTCTATTCTGAAGTCTGCCCGACAAATCAAGTCTAAATATGATGTGGCCCTACGCCGAATCATGGCACAGCAGGAGATCAAGACAGAGTTTGAAGTATGGTCAACATTTGTTCTTTCCAGGCCACGTGTCGGCTCCGATTACAAAATGCAGGAACAGATTGGCATAATTTCAGAAGCTCTAAAGGATCAATTTCGAGCAGTTTGTATCGACAAAGCTGGCGGAAAAGACTTTGACGTCCTAGGTCCGTTCGTAGCCGGCATGTACAAGGTGACGAAGGAGGAAGTGGACATAGCTCTCGCCGAGTGTCGAGCGACTAAGATGGTTGGCACCCGGAGAGTACCAAAGAGGAAGATGGAGTCGAAATACATGCCCCTGATTAGCTTCCCTTGGTTGTTCGAGAAGCAACTAGGACGCATTGCCACTGGAATAGCTGGTGACGACATTGATGATATTGGCCTCCAGACTCTAACATTGAAGACCGACCATCCTCACGCACATAGAGGGCAAGCTGCAGGTGGCGCGGCCAATTTCGACGACTATATCCGCCGGGAGGATGGAGTTATTGTCCATCGGGGCGAAGAACTCGATCTCTTTCGTGACATGGAGGAGTCGGAGGACGCCGGAGGTTCAGCGGATAGCGACAGTGAGGAAGGCTTGTTTCCCGAATCCGCGCCGACCACAATGGATAAGAATGGAGTTATTTCTTGGGATTCCGAAATCATTCAATCGCCAGTTCGATCCATGCAAAGCGAGTCGTCTAATGAAGGACTTGCTGTGGATGCCACGGACGACCTTGCCGGTACTCCGTTAGAGTCACCAATAGACGCCAATTATAGATTTTCAGAGGACGAGGACCTTCTAGACTTCAGCGAAGACGTTGATATTGTGGAGGAGGTCGTGGATCTAGAGATCGAGGAATCGGCTATGGAGAAATTAGCTCGACTAATGGCCTCCTAAATTATGTGTTCTTTTTCGGCTTTCTTTTACAAGCTATACAGTATTCAAGATTGCTTTGTGCTAGCGTGGGAGCGAGACAGTATCACATCATAGCAAGGAGTTATGGTAGCATTGAAGGAAGGGAGCGTTATCAAACCATTCTAGTCTGTCCCGAAGGGAATGTGGATTCGGGCGTTGCATTTGCATTTGCATATGAACTCTCAGAATGCATGGTATTGCATTGCTTGCATTGGTACTGCAGTTAGATACCCACAATACAAGCATTCAGATAGAGATCCCTCGCAATTGACCAGTTACGAGATTCAGCCATTCCAATATGTGATTTTGATTTACACAGTTCCTTAGCGGATAGTAGAAGTGGAACATTAACATGCTAACCTCGTCAACGCCTTAGCATAAGGAGAGATATGGTTTTGTAAAGAGTGATGGTAGCAGGTATTTTGTCCCCAACGACGTAACTTTCGGTTTAGCTTTTCAATTGTAAGTGCATATTAAGGCTCTCACGATGGTTTGAGCATTATGTCATAAACGGTAATTCACTGCATACAAAGCGACGAATACTCACAGATAGTGAATAAGGAAAACGACTCAGCATCAGTACCTGTCGCCGGAATCACCTGCTTAAATTTATTTCAACCTCACCGCCCGTCCAACTTCCTCCCCCACACCGCAATCATCCACAAAAGCAGACCCCAAAACTCTAAGCACTACCCTTGCAGGCTCAGCCATCATGTCGACCGAGACCGAGCCTCGTAAGTATCTCTCAACTTGCTATGCGGTATTGGATATGCCTATACTAAGACCTGATCAGAACCCTCCAAGCCTGGTGTCGAAGATGAGAATTCCGATGTCGAGGAAGATGAACAGCCCCAGGAATCAGAACAGGGAAGTGGTGACGGATCTGATACCAGTGAGCGTACCAATGGTACTGATGCCAATGATGGTGACAATGAAAGCGAGGTAAGTCCACTATCTCCAACCATATTAGTATAGCCCAGGCATTAAAACCTTTAGACCGCCGATGAGGAAGCCCCCCTCCCCGCAACCTACGCCGAGATCCAGGCAGAACTTGCTGCGCGGACCGCTCGCCAGAGGGCTGTCATGGCAGATATTCAGCAGCTTCTTGAGTTTATCGAGGCTATGAAGCTGGAGGAGCAATTCGAACGGAACATGGACGAGTTTATGATAGAATGTTACCGTTTCATCAGCCAGCTTGAGGATTAGAGAGATACAAAACCTTGCGTCTAGCGTTTTATGTCCAAGCAGAGACCGGGAGCTTGGTGATAGTTCAGTCTTTAGACTAGGTATAAACAGCATTTGATCATTGACAAGGGAATACAAAACTTAAAATCCTCCGAATTTTGACTTCTCTCTCCTCACGCATAGATCTGACCGAATAACCCACTTCTCGCCCTCCGTAACCTCTCTGCCTTCGTGCTCATGGGGTGTCAGTTAAGAACAGCTACACAGGTAACCCAGCGGATGATACTTACCAACATGCAATCATTTCCGTGCTTGTGTAATAGCACCATTCCAGTCTCTAGGCCGACGACGATTTCCTTATTGAGCACATTTGCCTTGCCTGGAAGGTCATCTGGATAAAATACCGTCTCGCCACCTTGGCAACCTGTCGCCGGGGAGGTGAGGTAAAGTAGAAGAGTCCATGTTGTTTTCGCCGGTGTTGGACTGGGCTTCGTGTTGAGGGTCAAAACATTGGATTCGTCATCTATGTAACAAGAGTGAGCAGACTTGCAGACGTGCCAAAACCACAGGACAACTCACAATGACAATCAAAATATTGGCCTTTCGTATACCTGTAAATCCGAATCGAAGGATTTAATCCCACGGGCTCTCCTCCCCTAGAATTATCTTAGTGCTTCTCCTATTGGCGATTGCATTGCAATAAGGATTGCGCACCATAACTCCCTCCTCTCTTCCTTACTCATAGTCTCCCCATCTCCACTCTCCTCATCCTCACCATCATTCCCACAGACCAACTCCCTCAGACCAGTCTCAACCCACAACCTATTTGCAAAGGCCTCGTCATTGATCTGGAACCGATCATTTACCCGCAAGGCCTCGCCTTTCTTCGGTTTCCCAGGCGTCGTAGTCAGTGGCAAGCTGCTTAAGAACGACACATAGCTACTGCACAAGGTTTTGGTCCAGAAATTCCGCGCCACTACAATCTGTGAGTCTACCACTGTTTCGAGAACAATATCGGAGGCTGGAAGGAGTGGTTTGAACGGTGGCCAGTTGGGAGGTGCGGTCTGGGCCCGGTCTGAGCCTTTGGCCTTGGGATTGGAAAGTTGTTTCTTCCCCGCCATTGTTCATGAACTCAATTGAAGCTGGGAAATGAGAGAGTGACAATAATAGGCGTTGATACTTATGGATGTTTACATGTTGCCGTCCACTGAGGAGGGGGTGTATCAGGCACCGATTTGATGCCCTGGAAGTGGAGAACAAGTCCAGTAGCCAGGATATAGCTCAAATTACCCCAGGATTTGCTTGTAGCAAGACACATTTTCTAAATAGATAACTAGAGAACCTTTCTTTTTGTAACCAATTTTTTTTAGTAAATTATAATAGAGCAATAATAGAAGTGAGCTATAAGGCGTGAGTGACATTGCACGGGTGTAAACCGGACTTTTCCGAGATTCGGCGTTTAGGTCGGGCTGTTCCATCCTCCGCGTCCTGCGTGCGCTAGACTTTATCTCGACATCTCGCGCCCAAATATAATTTCATGAAGACTTCGGCCTTCCATCACCATCCACATTCTACTGTTAAACGGCCTCCCTGCTCTCCTTTGTCAGGTTGATTGAGAGCAGATTATACCGCCAGGCCTCATTGTACAAAATCCCCCGCCATCCTCCTTTCCTAGCATCTTCACCCCCAAGTGCGATGTCCTTCGCGGAGCCTTCCGCCATGGCCGGTCAACCTTTTACACCCACCTCCACCTCCACATCCACATCCAACGGACCGTTCGCCTCTAGATCGGAATATTGGCGCGATGCGGTATTCGGTAAACGCTCTCGACGACAGTTAGGCCTCTTCGCCGCCGGCCTGGGATTCTTCGCCCTCTCTACAGTCATAACCCGGCGCTCCCTCATCCGGCGCCACAAAGCCAGTATCCCACGCTTCTACCAGCCTAGCAACCGGGCCAATTACGATTTCAATGGTGGCATGGAGGCATTCGAAGCGTTAAACATAGCGACGATAAATGTGTTCAGTGTCGGCATGATGACGACCGGCGGGTTGCTATGGGCGTTTGATATCGCGAGTTTAAGCGATATGCAGGCCATGGTTAGGAGTAAGATGTTCGCCGAGGGAAGCGCCGAGGATAAAGCCGCGGAGAAGGATATTGAGCAGTGGTTTGTGAATGCGTTCGACAGGAAGGAGTTCAAGCATTTGCTCGAGGGCAGGGACCCGGCCGAGGTGGCGAAGGAGTTGGCAAAGGACGCCGCTGAAAAGAAGGACGCCTCGGAAAAGAAGACTGGTGAGGGAGAGGAGAAATCATAGCCGTTTGGAGTCGCTATGTATAAGTCTCCCCAGACAAGCCGTAACTGAGGCCCGCCTTGCCTTATGGGACAAGGGAGTGGACATTGCTGAATGGATGGATGTATTCCAGCAATGCTGTCTCTTGTGCCCGCAAAGACATCGGTCTGTTGAAAGTGTCCGATCATCACATTAAAAATACCCCGCTCTACGTCCTGTCGATATTTGGTCAGGTCAGTTTTTTTCAGGTGCGAGTTAGAGGCATTAGGTGTTGCCCGCGGTGTTGCGGGAGCCCTATGCTGATGGACCACGGGCTGTCGTGTTGGTACACTACCAATGAAGTCCTCCTCAGAGGCTGTACGATATTCGTGTAGGAAATTACCAAGTCAAGTTTTAAAGTCCACAATGATTAGGGAATTGAATATAGATCTACGGCACTGCTTGAATGAGATGGCATGATTAACGTCTATCCCTACGCAGCGAAAACCCACCGTGCCGAGAAAAATAATGGGTAATTTGACTTTAAGCATCTTAAAATCTGTGCACGCGTTAATATCTCCTATATTTTTTTTATAAGTCTTGCTCCGTGGCTGCTCCTAAACACTCTGAACCCCTCCTACTAGAAAATCACTACACTACCATTTAGGGTATTAGCGCGCTGTGGAAATTAGACTCGCCGTTTTCCCAATTCGAGATCCCTCTCCCCGCTGCCGTTCCCCAACTCTGGTCTATAGACATCAGGTACGAGTATCATCATGCAACCACAAAACCTAGTCCGGTGCCGTCCAATTCGATCTCTCATACTGGCCTTTGCCGCATGGAAAGTTCTTCTCCTTCTTATCGCGCTTTGCAGCCCAGGCCCGGGATATGACACGTCCACAACTCTTGCTCTGAGAGGAGATCCCCAATTACCGGGTCCTCTCACTTATGTAATCGGCAAACTCACGAGATGGGATGCCATATACTTTGTGAAAGTGGCGACTCGCGGATATCGTTATGAGCAGGAATGGGCTTGGGGGTGGGGCTTTACTCGTCTGATAACTTTGGGCACTGCTGGTGAGTACAAAGTATACTGCCTATGAGACAGACATCATTAACATGTTCAGTGATTGGAAAGCTTGGAGTTCCTCATTATGACGGACTTGAAGCCATTGTGGCAATAATTATTGCCCATTCTGCTCATCTATTGTCGGTACTTGTGCTATACCATCTCACTCTGGCGATTTTCGCCGGAGCTGCAGGAACGGCTCTTACTGCCGCTGCTTTGCATATTATCTCTCCTGCGGGTCTCTTCCTGTCAGCTCCCTATGCTGAGAGCTCATGCGCGCTCCTGACTTTCTCAGGATGCCTACTTTTCACAAAAGGTTTTGGCCCAAATTCTCTTGGCCGGGATCTATTGGTTCTTGCATCAGGGGTGCTATTCGGCGTTGCCACGGCCTTTCGAAGTAATGGATTGCTCAGCGGAATTCTTTTGCTGGAAGAGGCATTCCGGACACTGTATTTTCTGAGACACGGCTTCCATCTAAGCACCCTTCGCCGTCTGTTTGCAACAGGACTGGGTGGGGTAGCTGTGGCAGTTGGGTTTCTGCTTCCACAGTATATTGCATACTCCGAGTACTGCAGACAGTCAAGCAGCAGTGCACCGAGACCGTGGTGTGATAGAACACTACCGAGCATCTATGCCTTTGTTCAGGTTCATTATTGGTAAGTTCAAGTAGTCTCATAGTCAAGTCATATTAACACCACGGTTAGGAACAATGGGCTATTCAATTACTGGACGTTGTCAAATGCACCGCTATTCATCCTTGGAGCGCCAATGTTCATCATCATGACTGTATCTGGGCTCTGGGCCATTCGAGACAGCCCTTTCAGTCAACCAAAGAATGTCGCCAAAACTGTCGATCTAACAGAGCCTCAGAGATATCAAGTCCTCCGCAACCTAGCGGCCACTCAACTATTATTGGCTGGATATACATTGACAACTGCTCACGCCCAAATCATCACCCGAATATCCTCAGCTTCTCCAGTCTGGGTGTGGTTCCTTGCAGTGGCCTACGCAAAGGGCGAGTCAACTGCCAGGCACTTTGTGAGCTTCATGGTCATCTATGCGGTGGTGCAAGGTGGTCTCTTCGCTTCATTCCTGCCTCCAGCTTAATCACGAAAATTGAGCACGGCACATGATTGAAATGACTATTGCATGCTGTACGGCAGTGTATATGACTATGATCTACACTCCCAACCAAGAAGCTGGCGACATAAGCCCCGAAAGCTTGCGTCCTCTTGTCGCCTAGCACCACCAGGCGAAATTTGGACGGGAATATAGGTGGAAATTACGGAGGAGGAGGAGGAGGAGGCCAATAGCCAGGGAAGATCTGAACCAATATCCTGAGAAGGTGGCCACAGAAAACGACGACGGATAGCTAGTCTAAAGAATCGACCTCTGCAAAACAGGATTGGAGTTGTGTACTAGTTACAGCGTGATCAACAGCGCTTCAGTAAGTAGTAGCTCTATATAGAAGTATATATATATCTATTTATAGAAACTTCTAGAAGAATACTACAGTTTTACATAATATTAATATATAACATAACTAGCGTAGCTATAAACATAATAATATATAAGCTCTATTTTCGCTTATTAAGATACTTACCTGTTTTATATATCTCCTACTTTATTTGGATAAACTCGGTATATAAGTTTCCTTCTACTCTATATCTTTAAAAATTGGAGTTATATTTATTCTTAATAGAAACTTCGTGCCGTGGCCTCAAAACTCGGAGATAGGCCGATAGTTTTAATATAGTAAGAGCGATAGCTATAATAGCTTTTAATGCTATTGATAGGAAGATTAACAGTATAATTACAACTATAGTATTTTCTGACTATACACCGAATCTTTATAGTGAAATAGCTGAAAAACACTAGTATAACAACTACAACTTTATATACTCGCGAGGTGGAAATTTGAGACCCGTTAGGTATCATTATCACTCAAACCAGGAATCATTGACACGAAATGATCTTTCAACTGGAAGTGCAACTTTTGTGCTTCTCCTTTCCAACTAGTGCCCTATCTATTCCATTAGAGAATCTTCGCTTCATCCAATGCTGGTATTTTGGTTCTCGTCCCATATCAATATGCACAGCTCCGGAACTAGAAGTAGTACTTAGCACCTATGTATATGTATATGCCGCCCATCTTGCCTCATCTTAACGTCTAAATCCAAACAATCAGAAAATTCCCTCCTGCGCCAAACTCATGCAAGTAGCCGTATATCATCATACATCAATGACTCTTAAACAGCGATATCGTTTCAACATTGTCTAGCAAGAAGGATAACTTGCCCCTCTGTCGTAGTCAGGAGCGGAAGCCCGAACCTCTGCCCTGGCTTCAAACTCTGATGCCCCACCTTCCTCAAGACTGCCTCTCCTTCCCCAGTTCCTCGGCTGTCGCTTCAAAAAGGCCCCTACTGCCCCTAGAAAGCCCTCGTGTCTCAAAAAATAGGCATTCTTCTCACCGTTGCTCCAAAATTTGATTGCGTAACTGAGCGTATTCATCGTCTGTGTGTGGCCGCGAATGAAACTACCACCAAAGTAGATCGTGGATAGAGAGTGCTTCTCCGATTGCAGATATGCAATCTGTCCGATATTGTTCGATATTGCATACAGGAGGGAGCGAGAGATATCTGCGGCGTCGAAGGGCGGTTCGTCCTTAGGTTTAGAAGGTTCTTCCGAGCTATTGATATGGGGAGATGGCGATTCCGCATCGCCATTTGGAAGGCCACCACTAGCTTCAGCCTGGTGTTCGGCCTCTTGTTTTATACGAAATACCTTGCCGAAGGAACTTGCGATTGTGGTGCTTTTTAGCCCGATTTTGCCGTAATCAGTCCCATAGATGTCGCCAACAAGCATATCAACTTTAGCATTGTCGCCTCGTTCGGCCATGCCCAGCATTTGATCAAACGTTTTGGCGCCAGTCAAGAGGGATAGGAGACCCCAAAGTGTGCCGCCACCCAGAGAAGTACCTCCTACTCGCTGATATTCTCGCGGGCCGGAAACTTTGATCATGCTCACCCCAGAGCCGATATTGACCAAAAGATAGGGGTAAATATTGGAATGGGGATCCTCGAAATGCATTGGATCTGTTTCACTATAGGTGAAAACTTCCCGGGGGATCTCGGTAATAAAAAAATCAAGCCCTGTTTCCTGGTATTAGAACTTATCCAATCATGCAAATTAGAGGATTTATTATACATACCAATAATTAGACACTCCATCTCGTCTTCACGCAAAACATCGACGCCTAAAACGTCACGGATCTTGTCATAGTACTTATAGGCACCACCTCCCGTGGCCATAACGCATAACGCCCCCGGATTTGACCCATTGAGCTCCTGCTGCTTGACCTTCAGCTGCTCCATGAATGATATACAATCATCAATTCGGTCAGTTTCGAAGTTTATGAAGTTCAGACGTCCTCCGGGTTCGCGGGAGTGTGGTTCGCGGGAGAAATAGACCAACTTTGCTAACGAGCCGCCAATCTGAAATTATATTAGTCCATGTAACCCAATCTGCCAAGACAGAGGATAGAGGCACACATACATCGACAGCAATGTGACTGACAACGGCAGTATGATTCGGTAGCCGAATGTCTTTGGTGTCATAGCATCCGCCATTTGGGGGCCTTTCATTTGGGGACTCGGAGTCCTCATCGACTATAAAGGCACCCTTGACATTGATCTTGACGGATCCAGGATGTATGATGGTGCTGTCTATCTCGGCAGTATTGGTTCGCATACGGAGGTGCCTCGAGGAGGAAGTTGGCGGCAGTGGGGGGTAGGAGGAGTCGGCGGTGTCTCTCTGCGAGACATTTGTGTGCGACATTTCGGTAGCCATCGCAATCTAGGAGTCGATGTTCTGTTTCCGGCTGCCAAACCCAAAGTATATTGGGCTTATTACGCAGAAGTGGTCATGGTGACGAGGCGGAGTTGATGTTGGAGGGGTTTGGGCGGTTACTGGTTCTTGCAGTGGCGATTGCAGTCGAGGGGCCAAAAATGATGGTGATGAAGATAGATAGTAAGGGTGTTTTCGTCCGTCAAGACGTGACACCTGGACTTCTTCAGAAATCTATAAACGAGATGGTGGTTGATTCACAGGGACGAAGGCATCCCCGAAGGCCGAACAGCCTTTGAACCGAAAAGTTGCTGATCCAAGTTGCGGTTGCGGTTTTGCGGTGCGCGGTCTTCCCCAGCCGAGGCTTATCGTCACGTGCACTGTTATCGCGGAGGACTTGCCTCGGAGACATGATTACTAATGAGACACGCGAGTACGAAGTAACCGGTGAAACATCTCCAACCATAATAAACCTCTCGAACGAAGTATCTGCACGTATATGCAGATGGAACAGATGCATATATACACACATAGCCAACACTATTCTTAATTTTGAGCATAGAGTCTGGTCACTATGCCCTGCACTGTATATCTACACTGCACATAGCACCTTGGCCATACGAGTAGCTTCTCCCCGTTACTTGTCTCCGTCTCTCCCGCTCGCCGAGATCTTATCTTACATCTTACAAGCCATAATGCAGTAAGACGGAGCAGCTGAGCGCCCGATATTCTCACGGCTGTCTCAACATTTGGATGCCAAAGCGTCATCCTGTTTTATTTTGGGGAAGGGTTACTACGTAGTTACGGTACTAACGGTTGTCAGTGCAAGCCGTCAAGGTCCCCTCCTCGTCTTTTCATAGGTCGGATCGGAATCTAGAAGTAGTCCTCGCGGCGAGAAAAGCCATTATCAATTGCTTCTTTCTCCCGCAACGACGCAGTTTCCAGCTGGCGGCCATCCAAATGCCAGGCAGCTCTGCATTCAGTCTACAACCAGTGCCGGCGAAGGTATGAAGTATCATTATCAATCAAGTGCAAGGACAGCACACTGGTCTCAGCCGCACTATTCCGCTCCAGTCGCATAACGGGCTAGTTAGTTATCGTCCTAGCTGTTGTCCTAGCTATCACGGTTCGTATTGCCTCGCTCGCCCCTAAGATGGTTACCCGGTAAGTGGATTCTCGCCTCACGGCATTAGATATCCAGATGTCCGGATCTGTCTCTCTTTGTTTATGGTTGTCATATTCACATATTCATACTCGATTTCCTTGACCTGAGTTGGGTTACACAAGGCCTCAACCCTCGTGTTGTTGTGTGGGACTCGCCATGCTTCTGAAGGAACATCTACCAATTGGGTGGCCGACCCGGAGAGCCCAGCGCTATCTAATGGCTGCTACCATCTTCATGTAAGGCGTGTCTTAATCTAGGTGATTCCTACCTCCCTACTTACAAATTATAGCCTCCTTTTCATTATCATCATGCTTAAAAGTCATCATCAAACCTTAACTGGCGAGTCGGGATTACAGTTCGACTCTGTAGACGGCCCTTATCGGTACAACTCTCGGCCTGAGGAGGGCGCTCCCTTTCTCCCTCCTGACGACATTTATAAACATCGCAACAAAGGTTAAGAGGCGTGGCACCAAAGAGAATGATAGAGGACCACCTGATCAAAGCTTGTTCGAGATTTTCAAGCAGGATGAATCTGTTGATCCTAATTGTAAATTTGCAGAGGATTGAGGCGTCATCCCACAGGTGACCGGTTCGAAGCGAAGATTGAGTCCTGCACCAGTCACCTACCGACCGGTGATAGGGATTAAAGCTACTGTACTTAGCCATCTTTCGCATTTGGCTTTATCTCTTTCGATGCTTTACGTCTGTACATGGCGAGTGCAACAAAGAAATCATGTTCCTCCATCTCAGGGATTGAGAGATTCAACGTTGACGCTGCCTGGGAGGTGTTCAAGCCTTGCGAAAGTTTGGGAGACGGATGGAACCATTTTGAAACCTTGTCAACTTGCTGGGATTTGTATGCTACATGTGCATAGAACCATATCTTGCAATAAAAAAGAAACCAAGTCTAGCTGTTCTTCGAAGTATATGGATTTTCTTTCTCAGTATCAGTTACGTCATCCTTGAGTTGCGTCATCATTTTGTGCTAATTATGGAATCAATAACACTCCACGCAAACAAGGAGCAATATTGACAATTCCGCAGAGGGAAAGTCCCAGTATCTTTTAATGTTCTCTCCGATGTTTCGAGGTGTGACGCAACATATCTATACCTAAGTAGGTATTAGTCGCATTCCATCTCATCTAGTTTATCCTCCAACCAAACCTTATACCTGAAGCTCCAGATGCCCGCAAAGGCAACCTATTTGACTCGAAAGTCAAGAAATACGTAATCGAGCTATTATCATACAAGTAACCTTCTCTCCCCGTAGTTCTCTGATTCTCCAAACACAATTGAAGTTGAATAGATCTGCCCTAATATTGGACTTCATCATGTGTCGTTGGTTCTCATATATTTCTGCCTCTGAGCCATGTCTCCTCGAAGACGTTCTTATCAGTAAGTTATTGTGTCTCAATTACTACTTCTCAGTTAACTGATCCTATCTATAGCGCCTGCCCACTCTATAAGCAAGCAAGTCCACGCCCACTATCTTCCATTGCTCATCTCCCATGATCCTAAAGTCCACGCTGAGCCCACCTCTCAATCCGAAATTAGCCACCGCAACCGTGTTTTTTGCGAAGATGGTATTGGCATGGCATGGTACACGCCAACACTCTCACAGTTCTGCACTTCCTCCCCCCGCGAGCACCCAAAACCTAGTCTCCATCCAGCACGTTACAAGACAACACAACAGCCCGCCCACGATGCGAACTTTCATTCAATTTGCGCGAACACTGCCTCGAATGTTGTCTTCGCACATATCCGCGACGCCACAGGGACGGCTATAACACACGTTAATAACCATCCCTTCATATTCGGAATTCATTGCATCATGCACAATGGCTATATCTCCAGCTTTGAGAAGGTCAAGAAAAAGCTCTGCGACACCCTCAACGACGAAGCATACGCACATATCCAAGGGAGTACAGACTCAGAACACTTTGCAGCGCTACTTATGACGTACCTATGTCCCCTCTCACAACAAGAAGCGGCTCATCCACATTCCTCCGAAGCGTGTGCCTCGCAAAACCCAGGTGTCCCAACCGGATGGGAGACATTCCACGGCGTTGCCGAAATGCAGGTCGCGCTCCAGAAAACCATCAATACAATCATCAATCTCCAGCGTACGATTCTTGGGGACCAAGCGGAGCCAAATGATTTCAATATAGCCCTTACAGATGGACGAAACATGGTCGCATGCCGGTTCCGCAACCATCCTACCGAACAGCCACCATCTCTATACTGTTCTACACATGCGGGCGTAACGCTCAATAGGAAGTTCCCGGACCATCCAGATGGGCCAAAGGGCGACCTAGGTAAAGGTAATAAAACAGAGGGACATAATCCGAATGCTTTCCGCAAATCAGAGGACCATGGGCAACATGTTATTGTTGCTAGTGAACCGACGACTTATAAGGGATCGGATTGGACATTGATCGAGAAGAACCATCTCGTTTTAGTTGAAGGGACGGGGGATGTTGTGATCAAGAAAATGATGTAGCCATTCTTAATGTCGGTAGAAGTAGCAGTACTACGTACTGGTCTTTGTAAAAGTTACATCAAAATATTTCTTAGTTATTTTCAAGACTTGATAAGTGTATGAGAGATATGTAATGTTGAGAAATCATTTATAATTATTGAAACCTTTGAAACTGATATCCCTCACTAAAACTGAGCAATCTCCTTCCATGTCTTCAAACCCACTTTCATCATTAATCCACGATGACCTTGGAAAAATAGGAGAATTTTAAGGGAAAGAAAATATTATTATACAAAAACCTCAGATTAGCTAAATACCGTACCCTGATTCCCAACCCAACTCCTTAAGATTATAACGACTACTTGGCCTATATTCCACTTCCTTCATCTTCCTCATTAGATTTGTGGTTGAAAATATCCTAGTTGCTCGCGACTGTCTCTACGGACAAAATACTATAACCTCACCAACAGCAATAGCCACCATCAACAACCTAAACATCTCATAAGTAAAAAGACTAACTGGCAAGACTTTACACCTGGAAGCGCGTTGGGGAACTTACAATATCACTACCATTTAGATAGCTGGACGCGTCACTCGCCATCCAGACAACCGTCCCTTGAAGTTCGCTTGGGTGACCCAGTCGTCCCATTGGAATATCCTTGACCCAATTGTCTTCAATTTCCTGACCTTCATGTTCTAGTAATCCGATGATCAAATCAGTCTTCATATAACCGGGGCAGAGACTGTTGACTCTGATGCCCTTGTCGGCCCACTGTATGAATTTAAGCAATCCAACGAGTTGCAAGAATACGGATTGTGGTTACTCACTTCAGTTGCAAGAGAACGGCCAAGTAATGAGACGGCTCCTTTGGACTGTACGCTGTCAGCCTCAGCTATATATGACCGTGGACCAGTGGTGATTGAGCGAGTAATACGAAAATAACGACGGTGGTTTTAACTAATAGCGGCTAACCTACCGCATTGTATGCTGCCTGCTTTTGTGGACGGACACAGATCGAAGCGCTCATACTCGACACCAATATCAGATTCCCTTTCAATTTCTGATTTATCCAATACTTGCCCGCTTCTCGAGCAAAAAGAAAACTGCCATTGAGGTTGACGTCAATCATGTTCTTCCACCGATCATACGGATAGTTCTCGGCCTCGTAGTTCGCCACGATCCCGGCAGCAGTGACCACGACATCAACCTTCCCAAAATCTTTAACAATAGATTTCCACGTTTCTTGAACTTCTGACTCTGAAGTAACGTCGCAGCTATAGGCACGTAGTTCCGGGTCGTAAGAATTAGAGACTGTGGGCTGGCTGGAGATATGCTCTTTAATATGGGCGATCGAGTCTTTACCACTTTGTAAAGATAGATCAACGCATGCTCCCCTTGCACCGCTGAGAGCAAACGCTGTCAAGAACTCTTTTCCTATGCCTCGAGCTGCGCCCGTTACGACACATGTCTTGCCCTCGAGAGAGAATGATGGGAGGGTCATAAGGGAACGATGGCTCTGAAACGATACAATTGGCTTTGCAAAGGACTGGCCAAGTACAAGGCGTCGCGCAGCTGTTCTAAGAGTCGCCATTGCCGAAGGGGTCGCTATAGAATAACTGCAGAGAATGAAGTAGAAAAGAACCTGACTGGGGAGTATTTGTTAATTAGCTAGATGTAATGAGACTTTATGTAGAATAAAAGTATATCTGAGTGCTGGATCCTCGATGGCTTGTCAGTGGTCATCTGAGTCCTCGGCCAACCTTCCTTGGTAGAGGTGGGGTAAGTAGTCGTGTACATCGTGAAGGTGGCGAATTCAAAGACCGGAAGTTGTCCGCCGAGAGGCTTATCGCGGGGACAAGAGGTCTGGAATTGGCGATAATGACCAGAATGCTACTTCAAGCCAAACCCCCCCCCGCATTAGGCACAAGGGGGGATTTAAGGCTTTGTATGTCCACCAAGTGCCCGAATCCAAAAATTTCACAGTATTGCCTTGCATGATGCAGCTGCACCCAGCATGGCGGGCCAAAATCTCCATGCTGCCTGTACAACCCCGGACAAAGCTATTAAAACCCACTTTTGGAATTTTAATCCAGTCGACTTAGTTGAGTCTGCCCAATAGAATTCCCCGTTGCTCAATCCGCTCTATAAACGTGTTCTAGATCTTCGTTATCCTCCACTTTTCCCATGCTACCTCTTGCTATTAATGACACTTAAAAAGCCAAATCGATCGGTCTGCATTTATGTCGACGATATCGGGATGTTGGTATGTTTGCTGTCTATAGAAAGAACGGCAGTAGATCCATTGGGCACACATCCTATCCTGCCGCTCCGTGTAGTCCTGGGCTACAGGAACCCCTTTCGAGAAACCATAATAATTTTGCACATCTCTTGCGTATTCGACCAGCGAGGCTCTCGCTCAACGAGGACTTAAAGCTGCCATAATTCATTCATAGAGTTTTGCGAGAGATCCAGGATAATATGCCCCGTAGTTCCATAACCCACGAATTGCCCTAACTTCTCTACTGCCACCAGTGAGCAGTGTAATATCACCGTGCCGCATCAAATATGGGAAGCTAATTGAGACTGAAGATCTACAATGAATTCATCACGGTTTATTCTCTCCAGCTGTGTTTAGGTGGACGACCGGTCCATGTCCCTTCTCTCCCGGCCTTCCTGGGCGAAGAATTGGTCCATGAGGTCCTTCAGCTGGCTCCTTCTTGTCGCCGCTATCAATACGCACTCCAGCAGCACCGTCTCGATTAGCTCTCCAAATGCCGCCTTCTTCACCGCCGAACTCTTCCTTTTTCCATACTTCGACCTTGCTTTTGCACTCTTCGAGAGCTTCCTCGCCAGCCCTCCAAGCGGCCTGGCGATGAGGCGACGACACTGCAATCAGAATGCTCTCTTCACCAATGGGGACAACACCGAGCCGGTGTATCATTGCAATTGCCGTAAGAGAATGTTTTTCTAGGAGAGATTTGCAGATTGCGGTCATGGTCTGGAGAGCACGTGGCTCGTAGGATGTGTACTGAAGTTCTTTAACTGGCTTTCCCCCAAAATTATCTCTTGTGGTGCCTTAAAACCCGTTAGAATTACTTTCATAATTAGACAGATAAATTACCCGCGAATAGAACTATAGCCCCAGCTTTCGGGCTTCGGACTCGGTCCATTATTGATTTGGCATCCAGAGGGTCGTCAGTTAACGCCACATAGCAGTGCTGGTCGACAATTTCTCTGGCCATTCTCACTACTAAACCCGGGGTAGTATCATGTAGTATCAAATCACGATGTGATTGCCGGATAAGGGATTCTAAGTGAGATGCGAATCGTGGCACAAGCTTCGAGATATGGCGTAGTTTTTAGGCGTACAGCACGTTAGGGGGAGGATTTAGGCGTGATGACTGGTTTTGTGCCCTGAATTTAAGGCGACAGTGGCCAGGACCCGGCCTTTGTTTCTCGTCCATTGTCATTGTTCCTCACTATGCCCACCTTGAACTCAGAACCTTCCCCCAATAACACCTTCACCAATCGATCCGATATGTATGACGATCTGCCATACGAAGACGCCCACTATGGCTTGCCATCAGATGGCTACCAGACCTCCAGGAAGGGTAAACGACAGTTTGAATGTGGAGCCTGCCATGTGAAACTGTGCTGATATTCCATATCTTAAAGATCACGCAACGACGCCTCCACGAGCGCCGGCGAGCGATAGGATACATTCGACACGATCAGATAAATACCATACAGATGAGCGGACTGCGCGCCATCGAGAGCGCTCACGATCTAGGTCGCCCCGGAGAGATGGACGTGGACGATACACCGATCGTGACCGAGAGGGATATCGCTCCCCGCGGGGCCATAGTCGCAGTCGCAGCCGCTCGCCATATTTTGGAGGACCACCGAATCGAAATGTGATACTGGAAGGCCTTCCAATAGATATGACACAGGAAGACGTTGGCCGCCCCATTTCTATCCTTGCGGATCTTCACACCACCATCCAATCCCATTTCATCATAAGTGTTCATCGAGCAGAAAGTGGAATTCTGGCTAAGCATAGGACTGGCCGCTCTTGGCCGCTCTTTGGGTTATAGATTTTACAAGAGCTCCAACACAGTCTCCGGCTTGAAGGGTTGGAAGAAATTAGGTTAATAAAAGATAAGCGGACAGGTACACGCACTGCTATTCACGTCTTGAGTACCCCTCTGATGGTATATTTGTAGGGCAATCACGCCAATTCGCATTTGCCCAGTTCACTAGCATTCCACAAGCAAGGTACTTTCTTGAAAAGCATTACCCAACAGTATCGCTATATGGTAGATATGATCCGAGCAACTCGGCTGCTGCGCAGCCTGCCAAGGTCCGGATAGCATACAGTCGAGATCGGGACGACCGAGACAAGCCCGGAAAGGGTGAAGATGATTGGAAATGCGAAGTGGTAAGTTTTGGCAACTTTGGCTGAAATTATGTTCTGACCTTCTTTAGTGCCACCTATCCAATTACCCCCACCGAGCTCTATGCTTCCGGTGTAATGCTCCAAGAACTCGTATAATACCCTCTCTAATATTTCCCGTCTGTTTCAGCAACTGTTCCTGACTCGAGTAGGTGCTTCCGCTCATGGGGTTGTAATTGCTCAGACCGCCATGTCCTCGTTCTCTGGCCTTGCGACAACCGGTGATAGCGACGCATCCCCCGATGGCACTGCCTCCCAATTTCTTCTCTTACGCGGTTTAGAGCCAGGCGTTAACGAAGAACTCCTGGCCAAAGGAGTAAGCAAGCTTTATAAAACCCAGGCCAGCACACCTGCAGATGGCCACGCAGCGAAGAAGACGAAGATAGCCTCCACTTCGAATGATGCCAGTCTTGGAGCGAAAGAGGGATCACTACGGCGTGTGCTATTGATTCGTGATAGGCACTCGAACGACAGTTGGAGATTTGGCTTTGCCGAATTCAACACCGTGGAAGATGCACAGGCTGCTATGGCCAAGTACAACGCCTTCGACAAGTTTACCATCTCATCTAAGCCTGTTCTCGCATCGTATATCCATGCTGGAGTCTTTGTGCCTGTGCTCAAACCCCTTGGGAATGACCTATCCAAGTTTACTTTTAGTCCGCTGACAAACCCTGCCGTCAAGTTGATGTATTGGGATGAAGCTGCCTATGCCAATGAACTTGTCACTAGAGCGCCTGATCAACCTTCCGCTGCCAAAATCAAGGAGAGCGAGAATTCAAAGCGCGCAGCTGCCGCGGCTAATGAAGGGCTCGTCGGTACGGCTAAGGATGGAGAGTCGCGAGTAAAGAAACGGAAACTCGAGAAAGACACGAAAGTAGTTGCGCCGCATCTTCAATTTTGGTCTAACAGACATGCCGAGCTTCACCAGATCCCGCCAAAGGATCCCGTGGCTGTGCCTTCAGATTCGCCGCAAACGAAAGCTAATGAGGAGCGCGAACAAGCTTCAAAGACACCTCCAAGTCAGAGCTTTGCTGACTTGGAGCGTAAATGCTGCCTCCTTTGTTCTCGCCAATTCAAAACTGAAGCCGAAGTTAATAAACACGAGCGCATGAGTCAACTGCACCGCGACAACATGAAGAATGAGGAGTTGGTGGCCAAAGCCTTGACCAAACTTAACAAGTCGAAGGGGGCAGGTACAGACAATTCCGCATATCGTGACAGAGCAAAGGAGAGGCGCCAGGCCTTCAACCAACCAAAGCAGCCAGCTGCACAGCACAATCGACCGAAAGCTCCAGGTGCAGATAGCCCTCCTGCTAAAGAGGCTGATACAGCCCCAGCGCCATCAAAAGGCGCAGCCCTACTTGGTAAGATGGGCTGGACAGCTGGGGAGGGGTTGGGAGCTCAGGGAACGGGCAGAACGGAGGCGATAGCTACAGAGCTATACCAGCAGGGTGTAGGACTCGGTGCTCAAGGCGGAAAAATAGGTGATGCCATAGAAGAAGCGCAACGGCAGACAAACGGACGGTATTCTGATTTCCTAACCAAGACGAAGGATAAGGCGAAGGAGCGTTTTGAGAGTCTGGGTTAGGGCCCGGGTGTCCTGATGAGACCCGATTAGGATCAACCGCATCCGCAAAAGGACGGCGGAGAGTGGAAGGAATCGAGAACACTTAGAAAAGTGGTCGGCCCGCACATATTGCTGCCCTTTGTCTGCAAGCTGGCAGCATTCAATTAGCCCCAATAGCCCCAATTTACGGACAGAGTAGGCATATCAATCCACGCGCCTCGCGATGAGGTTAGCCAATATAAACTTATTCAAAATCGTTACTGCTGATGATGACCCATTAAGTACAAGAAGGGGAGTGAATCGAAGGCTGCTTTCCTGTTACTCGCACATAATTTTGCCACTGCGGTTGTATACGCGCGGCGGTCTTGTATCATTAAGAAACGTGCAAGGTGCAGAATCTCTGTTAGTGCTGCGACACGAGTTTGTCAAATTTCTTGAGCCACGGCTGTTTGTGAGGTATATACAATAAGTAAAATGTAAGTACAAGAAATATTACTTAATATACTCAAAATCCACTGCCCTTCTGACTCCTTCTCTTTCTCCCTTTTCAGCTGCCACACCGAACACTCCTTATATCGAGGAGAAAACAGACAAACTCGACCTCGCCGCCAGGTTACCATCAACCATCAAATTATCGGCACACGAGCTTCCCAACCCCCCGTTTCCGACCCACCCAGGCTCCCAATAGAACAGCCCGACTCCCAGAGAATTGCTGACTCCAGCTAGGACCGAAGCGACTTCCTTCATCCAGGTTGTCTGTCCTGCCACACTCTTGGGGATATTCGCTGCATCACTTGGAAAAGTATAGGCTGGATTGGGGCAAGAAACGGGCCAGTCCGTTTCTGCGATTATGATCTGTTTCCCATATCCAGATGCTAGGTTATTCAGGCTCGATTTAAGGGAAGCGAGGGTGGCAGAGGCGCTGTAGAATGGATAGTATGAGAGCCCGATGATGTCGAAGTCGCTCGCAAGGAGCGTTCCTTGGCCCAGAATCAATTTGAAGAACCAGGATTGCGTGCCCCAGTTCCATCCATTATCCGTATGGATCATAATTTTGGGTTTGGGGTTGAGCGTGGAGTCTTTAACTCCCGCTGAGGCGGAGTGTAACAGCCGAGCGAGGTTTCCAGGATTGGAGACCTTACCTAGGGGCCATAGCATACCGTTTGTAATTTCGTTGCCGATGGAGATTAGGGAGAGCGGCGTACCGGCAGTTTGGAAGCTGTTGCAGACTTCTAAGGTGTGGTTATAGACTTTCCAGGCGAGGTTATCTATGTCTGTTGGCCAGCCTGCAGGGAGTGTCTGGTGGAAGGGTTAACTTCTAGTTTCTGAGCACGTATAAGGGGAAACTTACCTGGTGAGCCGGATCGGCCCATGTGTCGCTGAAATGTAAGTCAAGGTAAACATTCAGACCGGCGGCTTTTGCGCGCTGGGCAAGTTTGATGTTATATGCCAAGTTGTAGTTGCCATCCTTTGGGTTCACCCATAGCCGCTGTCGTACTGTGTTTACGCCACTGGATTTGAGAATTGTTTCAAACGGTGCAACGGAGCCAGATGCGGTCTTGAAGGTCTTCCCTAAATTTTCCAAAACTATTGTACTTGACCAATCGACCCCCTTATGCGTCAATCCGCCGGCGGCCAGTGGCGCGAATATGAAAGGAATGAGTGCTTGCAGCAACATAATGAATAGTTGCGAATTACTGCATAGGAATGAAGATAGAGAAATTCAGAGCGGGAATGGCAAAGGAAACCAGAGGAGATAAGGGCCCAGGTAGACTCTATTACTTCGGAGGTAGATCCAGATCTCAGGGACGAGGGGCGATCCCTATGTACTTACAAGGGCAGTTGAACCGACGCTTAAATATTCGACAAACCGCACAAAAATCCAGGTGAAAAGCAAAGATTGGCAGCACCACGTACCGGCAATGGTAATGGTTCTGGGTTATAACCCCGCCGAAGCATATATCCGGGGTCGCGGGGTGGGTTCCAGGCGGCTCATATGCCTCCGCCAATTCATACAATTGGCGCGCAAAGAGGACACGCAGTCGCGTGTTGGCTGCCATGGTTTTGATCGGACGCTGATGCCGGGGAAGAGGGCTTGGTTATAGCGCGGAAGTTCATAGGCTCAATTTTAACGGCCGGTTGCTGTTGTACCATGTCATCGGAAAGATACATATGGCCGTTTCATGAAGCTGTGCGCACAGCACGGAGCGAGGTGCAGTACATGGTACATGGAATGGCGGTTGATACCCAGGTATGATAGGATGCGGTTGCAAACAACGAGCAATCACCAGTGGCTGGGAGCTGGAACCCAGGTACGTGCCACGCTCAGCTGAGTATCTGAGCAATACTCTTATAATAACATATACATGGCATTCCAGCCTAACCTGAGTTTTGTAAGAATATCCCGTTTGAAAGAGATCTATTTTTCTGCAAGTTTTAAATCAACGTTGTCCGTACTTATTATTGACCATCTCCTATCGTACCTGGTAGGCAAGCGAGACAATGCACAGAACCCGGTTAAGACTATGAGCAACGAATAAGCCAAAGTGGTAGTTATAAGTAGATAAAGTCAGTATATACTTAGTAGTAAGCTAAGTAATAGCCCACGACAATTATTCTAATTACATCGTCCGAGTATGAGTCCCACGGTGCTTTGAATATGGCGGTGCTGACGCCAAGTCTGACTTAGCAAGAAACCCATATTCCAGCAATTCCTTCTCCTGAAAAGAACCATCATGCCATGTCCCTCAAGTCATTTCCACAGGCCACTTAATTCTCCATTTCCCGAGGTTCTCAGCCTCCAAATAGGTATGCATGGCGCACGTGCCCTCCATTGCTACCTAAGGTAGGTGCTGATGGACAACTCTAGGCATAGGGCTGTGTTGACTGCCCTGCCTTGCTCGCCGTGAGATGGAGCTCGTCAAACCCTCTAGACGCCCAATCTTATGGCCGTAAGACGTTTTGCCCTGCAATGCTAGTGCTCCTGGACAACGGTTATGCTATCTAGAAGTTGCGAGCTGCGTACCGTAGTACTGCTACAGTAGCAGTATAGGAATGAGGAAGACAGGCGTAAGCGTCGCCTCTGATGAAGCTTGCGACTGCGCAGTTGGGGTTTTGTACCATATATCTCCTTGCCATCTCCTAGAACTATTTTGTCTGATTGTTGGGTTGTTGAATTTCTTTCTACTTCATCGCACGTTTTATTTTTTACTCTGCCTACGCTGTTATGGCCCATGAGCATGCGCCATGGCGCAAATTAGTGCTCATTCCCTGCTGGACATTTCAGCTATTTTTCCTGCTTGTTGAGATCATTCTTCTGGCAGCTGTCCTCAGCTCTCTCGACGTCCTGCCGAAAGATGTCGGTGCTAGTACGCTGGGAAAGGCTACACATATGTATGCATTTTATCAAACACTTGCGCTGCCCTTTTATGCTAACTTTCTTCAAGCGGAGTAGCGCTATGGATTGCGATATGCTCTATAATGCTACTTTTCTCGATTATTGAGATCGTTCTCTTGGACTTGAAGCACTTGAAACCCCTTATCTTTGTTATTATGAATACGTTCAAAACTACTCTCTGGACGGCGTGGTTCTTGATTGATATGGTATCTTTTGCCAAGTCCAAACCAGAGATAGTGGCAATTGTCGGAGCATCTATCGAAGGAGTATTATTGTATGTCATGCGTTTTGCAGGCCTCTAGATGGTCTGGTGGCTAACTATCCTCTAGAGCGAGCTTCTGGGTCCCATTTATATACGGATGCGTTGTCTACCACCGCTGCCGTAATGAGCAGAAATCCTACAGACAAGTTCATATGTCAGAGCACCAACGCAACTCTTCGCACACTCCGAAAAGCACACTAGCGGATGTGGAACTTCAAGAACTATACGATGACATACCAGCTGCCCCAGCCGACACAGGAACCCCTCCGACAGCGAGCTATAATTATCAAAGAGCCAACGGGTTCGAGACGTACAGATAAGGCGGTACCGATACCCTGGAAAGGACGCTGATATTGCACGCTATTCGTGGTCCACCAAGCTGAAGCGAGGCTATTCCGATGGTATACGTACAACATCATGATGGGGAGGCATTTGAGATGGAGACTGGTAGTATGGGCATGAAATGATACACGGGGACATAGATTGTGAGGAATAGGAGCATGATTTGTATGCATTTTACTGTTGGAGCATATGGGAGCTGGAGTTTAGACCAAAGACTAGAGTGGGAAAGGCCTCTGGGTTACAAAATGATATCCGTGTAGATCTGGGATTAATGGGGCTGGGAAATTGAACAAGATATGTTCTTCTTCCAACTTTACATATGAAATTTATGAGCACTTTCCTGTTTAACTTATCATCTCCCCTTTCCTCAGTGACCAGCGCAGGATTCCGTTGACTGAGAATGAGAGTGAGATTAGCAAAGGATGCAACTCACGAGTTACCAACCCACTGTGCTGAATAGTACAACTCCTGTCTACTTCCTCTTCTTTTGGCTCATCGCTGGGCGGCCGGGAGAACTTCGCTACTATTCGAGCAAGCATATATATATTAAAATAAGAAAAGTGCAAGTAACGACAACCTAGCTCTTTAAGACGCTCCCCACAAGCGTCACACGACAACTCATATCGAAGAGAATATAACTAGGTCTAGCGGCACCTTCGAAACGGCAGAGATTAGTTGGCTGTGGGTAACGAACTCTTTTGCCTCCTGCGACTTTGTTTTTATTTTAGGGTGATATTTTCCGTTCGTTTTGTTTATGCTTTTGCTTTCCTTTTATTTTCACTCTTGATTTGACTCCACTTTTCACTCTGGTACTAAAGCAAATGGCTTCGCTTCGGATCTGGGTCATCGCTCTTATGAAGGGGTTGCCTGGAAAGTTCAGTGAATTTAGAAGGGCCATGAGGCTGACGATGTGGATAACGGAACACCTGACATTGAACATGGTGTGATTTTCAACTCTGATAGGAGAGCGTTTAAACCATACTCAAAAATTGCAACGAGAAGTAAGAGTTTTTTAACTGGTGCCACTTCGAAAAGCATAATGGAATTGGTCGATTCCCGCAAAAGATACTACTATTCTAATAATACTTCAAACGGAACCTTGGCTGCGATCCTCTTCCACTAGCATTAGTTCACCGACGTGTCGAACCTCTCGAGCTTCTTCCTCACCCGGTGCTCTGCTTCATTGAGCCTTTCTTCATCCAAGGTCCTAGGTTCCTCAGGGGCTCTCCTATACTTTGAGCGGACGAGGTGTAACCCCCTGTGTGATGGCTGGTTTTTTTATCCCACTCCTCTACTTGGCCCAATAACTTGCACGGGCTTTGGAATATATTACCGGTCGCGACAAAGTGGTTAAAGACACTTTCTGCTATTTATCGGATAACAGAAGCTCTCGTGGGCGAAATTCGGGGTCGTCTGTTTACCTTTTACCGAGTTCGGAAAAGCTCAGGGGCAATTTCGGTCACGTGTTGTTGGCCTGGCGATCCCAGATTTAACCCCTGACGCCGAAAACAAATGTCAACAATCTCAAGAATCAACAATCAGAACCTTCATTATCTATATTTCTAGGCTGAATCACCGCATGGACATCTAATAATTATCGCAATGGCCTGATCAAACATCAGCCATTCTAATTTCGCCCAGATGTCTTGCTCGAGCCCACAGACGGGTGATGCGCGTTTGATGTTGTTCCATAATATTTGGGGAGGCTGAAAATCCTTCCCAGCCATCTTCCTCCCCGCCATCTTTGCAACACAACAGCCACTCAACAGACTGTTTATCAGTCTGGGAGCGCCCTAAGAATGCACTACAGAATACTTTGCATATGCAAAAGCTGCAGCTGCTCCACACAGAATGGATCGTCAGAAAGTTACCGTTCGAAGCGTGCATCGTGAGTATGCTTGATGCGTTGTCCTAAATAATTTTTACTAACCAAGCGGAAATAGATGACCGCCCTACACTACAAAGAATCACCACTGCTGAGCTCCCCACCGTACCTGCACCTGCTCATGTTCGAATCGATGATTGCCCTTCTCTCACTTCCAGTATATCTGACGCCCCGACCGTAATACGTTGGATCACACCCACCTCGCGCAGAGTCTCGCCGCAAGCAAGCTTCGAAACCATCAAGCCGGAAGTCGAACCATCAATTGCTACCAATGAAGCTACATATCCATCAAACAATCCACTGGCTGTGCGATTTGACGAGGACCAGATCAGAAATACTGAACTTGTAGCGTCGAAGCGGGAGGAAAGAATGGAAAATGTTGATCAGGAGTTGAGCCCTCCGACGCCTATGGATGACACACCATATATACGATTCGCGATTGACCAATTGACTCGGGACGAAGAGGTTAAGAGCTCGCAACGGCCAAGCACCTCAACAAGCTCCGAATCTTATCCCGTCGACCGAATCGTACCTGATTATGGCCTTGGGTATATGACGAGTCAAAAGCAAAGGGAAGAGCTTGCGTTGACAAGAAAACATCGTTCTACACCCCCGGGCACCCCCGAAGGACGGTTGTTCAACTTCAACGCCACTCGACCTCTATCGAAGCATTCCAAACTTTCACCCCTCCCTCCCCAAGAGACTGTCTCAGTCAGCCCGGACATCTTCATTCCAGTTGATCCTCCTCTTCATACCCCACGATATCCTAACCTCACGTTTGTACCTACGATTTTACGACCCACCTCAATGATTACGCTAGCGATATTATGCCTCTTGATGATTACTGCGCTGATGTTTTCCGCGATTTATTCGACCTACCACCACGGCCTCTTTGGATGGGCCGGTGGTATACATGGTGGTCGATATGTCCTTTTTGGATTCTTACCACAAATTGTTTCGGCATGTATATTTGTATATGTGCAAGGAGTAATGTCTGCTACGACCAGAATTTTGCCTTATACTCTCATGGCAATAGATGATGCATATATGAGAACTAATGCTTTGTTTTTGGGAATATACCCCGGGAGCATGCTCTGGCCAAGATGGAATGGGCCGCTGAGCATTAACATTTCGAATTCGTTGTTTTGGCTGACGATTTTTACGATACCACTTCAGAGTTGCTTGTTTTCAGTTGTACTGGTGGATGGTATCTGGAGATGGACAATTGTCCAAGGTGTTGCTTGGACACTTGTTGCAGTGTATATTTTGGTTTTGGTGGCTATAGTCATCTCGGGACTATTTTTCTTTCGGCGTACGACCGGGTTGATGTGGGATCCCCGAACGTTGGCGGACACCACCGCGCTGCTACCACGTAGCAACTGCTTGGGAGACTATGCCGGAACCGATGTGTTGAGGGACCAGGAAGACCTTCGGGAAAGGTTGGCTGTGAGAAGCGATCGGCTAGGATACTGGATGACGCAGCACCGTGGCCGAGGACTCTTCTACTGCATAGGAGAGGAGGGAACATCTACCAGGCGATACACTCTCCAGTCTGGAAGAATCCATGAGAAGAATGGACGTGATGAAATCGAGCAGAACTCCGATGTCGAAAAGTCCGCCGATTTATACAACACCGAGACACGATTTCAATACCTGCCGTGGATGCTTCGGGACACCTTTGTCGTGCTCTGGGCGGTTGCGGCTTTCATCACCTTGATTGCGTTGATAGTCGTATCGTCCCTACCCTCGACAGGTATCTGGAATGGATTTCCGCCTTTGGTACCCGTGGTGCCGAATGCATCTGGATTTTCCCCAGCGAATTTCCTACACAGCTTTGTACCATCGATTCTCGGCATGCTTCTGTACATATTCCTTCAGCCTCTTGATATGGCGATCCGGAAACTGCAACCTTGGGTCGAGCTTGGAAATACGGAAGGATCTACAGCGGATAGATCACTTCTGCTTGATTATACCGCAGCACTTCCGATTCAGTGTTCAATCAGCGCACTGCGCCATGGCCACTATCGTGTTGCTAGCGTGTCCCTGATATCGTTTTTGTCCCTCCTCCTACCTGTCTTGGGCGGTGGGCTCTTCTTTCCACTGACGACCGAGAACGAAGTTCGGATGCTCCCCAATCTGCCCGCCTTCTACATCTGCCTTGCAGTTTTGATCTTTTATGTTCTGGCACTGTTCATATTACTTCCAAAGAGAGCGCTTATGAGTCTCCCACATGGCGTGGACTGCCTTGCAGAGATAATCAGCTTTGTGCATGGCAGCCGAATGTTAGAAGATGCGGCTTTTCGCGCACCAAGATCGAAGGCTGATTTAGCATCAAGACTTATGGCTACCCAAGATGGTGGCCGCCATACCAGATATGGTTTTGGTTTGTATAAAGGACGACACGGAAAGCTGTGTATGGGGATTGACAAATTGGGTCGACCGGGCGCAGCAGGTGTTTTGCTGCTCAACGACCAGTGAGATTTATGAGTTTTGATTTAATGATTGATGCATTTTAGCGATTTGATGATTCACGGTGTTACGGAATAGGGATACGAGCTATGGAAATGCTTGATGGGTCAACGGTTAACGGTCAAAGGGCAACAACGGTCTAGAATGTATCATAATATGTATAATGGCAACCTTTACCTCGTCCCGTCTCCATTTGATGGAGATCCGGTATTTTCTTTCGTTCCCTCCCACAACAGCATTTCATTTGCTGCGGGACAAGTTCTATTCTCTTGATATTTCTTTTTGTACTTGCCAAACACTCTGGCCCTTACCTCCTTTCCCTCGAGGATCGGTTCAATCTATGGTATAGGCCTATTTTTGGAGCAAGGAGATCAATTTCGTCCGATTACTCACCACGGTATCTTAAGCCTTTAGCGTGGATATGGGGGTCCATATCTTCTGGTCGACATTTTTGAGCTTTTTGCCTGCTATTCAAACCGACAGGTGTCATACTGCAACAAGTCTATGTTACGACCTTGTTGTACTATCTCCAGATGTACTGCACCTTAATCGTGGTCTTTTATATCCAGTGGAAAGAAGAATTCCTGGTCCTGATACTGATACTAATGTTGGTGTTGGTGTCGACTTCGATATGTTTATATCCAACCCCCACGGTTTTATAACATGGCCAACCCAGCTATCTAAAGATAATGTTAAATATTACCTGGTGAGAGTTAATGTGATCAGTGACCAAGCTCAAGACATCAAAATATGACGAAGATAACCCTTGTTATTCTATCGCGCTGAAATGTACTATGCTAATACGCTAGTTTCCGGGAGCTTCCCTAGCAGTATGAAGTTGCTGGCCCCTATCAGCAACCGAAAGAAGACGAAATGTGGACAGGAGAATGGTATCCGATAACTCAGGATCCGAAAGCAACGATTTGACTCAATTGTCTAAGCTTTCTTTCCTCCGACGGGCCGTAACATCACGAAGCCAGGCACGGGTAGCAGCTTCTTCCTCAGCGCGGTGAACTCTTCGCTGGGCTCGGGTATCTCAGCGTCCAGCAGCAGATTGTCGATGACTTCGAACCCATGAGCCTTATAGAAGCCTTCTCCATCTTCAGTTGACTCGACGAATATCTCGAGACCCATTTCATCCGCCTTCTTCAGACCCCACTTCATCATTATGCTTGCAACCCCACGGTGCCGATGTCCGGGACGTACGACGCAGTAGCTGATCACTATGGGATTGAACATAAGGCGTCAGTTAATCGCGTGGGAAATTGCGACCAGCATAGAATGTCTTGGATCGGCACATGGCAATGGGACTCACGGAAATGGGGTCTGCCCATGATCTTCGGTCGATCTTTCAAGAAGACGGCGATAACATTGTCCGACAACTCTTTCAAAGTACCTTTATGTTTCGATCAGCTTCGCGTCTAAGATCGAGCTCACTTCCTGCTCACCTTCGGGCCACCAATCTGCCACGAGAACTGGAGGACCCGCTTCATATGGATTCGTCTCGTAGACATTCCATTCCATAGCACCAATGGCCTCACCAGTCTCCTCGTCAGTAACGTAGAGCCAGTGGCTGCCGGGATCATGGCGATGCCATAGTGCTTGCCGGGAAGCAAGCTCTTCTGGCGAAGGGCCTTTCAAGATCTCCCAGAAGCCATTAAAGGGGTCAGCGTAACCTGCATTTTCGACGTCGACGATCTTCGCGAACTCATCGTCGCTTCTCAATTCATGGAGTTTGAGCGCCATCTCATTGGTGTGTGTGTTTTGGGTTATCGCGAATGTTTTGGGAGGGGTGATAGGTAGGTACCTGGTAGGGTCCGAAGTACTTTCAATGTGGTGTGGTGGTGAGTGCTACTAGAGTAAACAAACAGGATGTGGAGTTGGTAGGTACTGTAGGTACCTCCCAATGCAGTATCACCGCCGTCCCTTACCTCCACAGTGACATTACTTAACCCCCCGCGCCAACCATTCACCCGTGATAGATCATAAATGGAGGCGTATATACTACTACTCGATAACTCGATAAGGCGCTCTTAGCATGTACAGTGAAGTGCAATAAGTTTGAACACCCCCCCTTGCTAGCGTTCCGATACTTACTTACTTTCAGGGCGGCAGTATTCAAAATACGCACCTCAGCTACCCTAAAGTAACCACATCAACAGGGGGGGGGGTTCAAACTTTTGCACCTCACTGTACCTGTCTCTTATACACATCTAGATGTGTATAAGAGACAGGTACATATACGAAGTAAGGGTTTGCAACACCACCATCGCCCACTATCTCGCACTATCTCCAGGCCTAGGCGAGCTACTGTCGGGACTCCGATGCTCGAGCTTTATTTACCAGGATACGAGTAAGCATCCTTGGAAATATGCCGGCTTCAAGGTCCGTCGCATTCGATCCATGTTTTTGGTCAGTTATATATATTCCGTAATGCATAATCTGCAATATGCATGGCACTGTGCTTGGTACGGTGCAATGATGGTATTGGTTGGCGGTTGTTCCTCAGTACTACGAACCAGATCCCATCACACCCTGCCCACGAACTCGTCCGTGTCCACGCAGGAGAATCTAGATTTCTTAATGATCCCAGCAGCTCGTCGTCGGAAAGTTCCACTATGCATGCATGTCTTAACTGACTCAGTACATGTAACTTATCTATCGTCGTCAGCTCATTCATAGGCAATGCTCAAGATCATGCTGCTGCAATGTCAGCTGAAGCGTCTCCCTTATCCAGAGTCGGATAGTGTGCCGTGAACCTGTGACCTGACGTCTTGTATATTCTGCTGTGAAGCGATGGCAGGTAGCTTTTGGTAGCCTGTATTTCGCAAGATGATGCTACTACTTTCTGTTTGACGTCCGTTAGAGATTTCCTTTTCTCGCGATAATAGCGTTTCGTTATGGAAGATATCAAATCCGAATCCCTGCAGGAAGAGGGCGTATCCCTCTTGGGTGATGAGGGTTCGCCGACTTCACTCAACCAGGAATTGGGCAACCGCCATGATAGCCGTGGGAGCAAAAGAAACTCCCTCCTAATAGTGCTCTTGGCTATAAGCGTTGTCGCCAATATACTTCTTCTTTTACCAAGGCGGCAATCACTTGGGCTTATCCATCGCTCTAAATATGGTGAGCTATCATGAACCTGCCAATGCCGTCTCTAGCTATGCTTATTGATTCATAGCCGGACTTGTGAACGATTTTGAGCTTCCATACGCCTGGGACAGTGACCGGAGCAATCCAAATGACACGGAAAGAAACAAGTTGTGGTATGAGGATGAAGAGGCAGACCAAGGCATCATGGCGGTTGACAATGATGAAGCCATATCCTTTGGGCTGCCTAACTCTCAACCATGGTCCTGGGATGCGAAAGTCAAGAGCATTTATATCACGAATGGCCACCACAATCTCCACTGCTTAGTTCGTCATCCATCGTCATCTGCATTGCGTTGTTCCAAGGCAATATCAGCTGACTTTGACTCAGAGAAATATCTACATATCCATCGACGAGCACGAGAGAGGTGTCCCTCAAAGTCTAGGACGCCACCACATTCTACACTGCCTCGGTGCGCTCTACGATGACATCAAATGCAACGCCGACGACACGCCGCGATATACTGACAAGCACGGTCGGAAGCCCGGCGAGGGGCAAATTCGGAAATGCCGCGACTGGAGCAAACTGAAAGCATTCGTGAATGAGCGGGAAGGATGTTTTAAATACATCAAGCACGATAAGGAGGATATCAGGATCATTGAACGGATGAAGTATTGTTCCAATAACAGTCCATATCTGCCCAAGATTCGAAAATATTTTGGGTTTTCCAGTGACTGGACCCCTTGGCCATATGTTGAGCAGGACACGTATCTGACGAAGGAGCACCCGTCTTGAAAAAAGTCATTGTTCTAGGGATGGGGAGGGGCTTTGCAAATGGCATTATGATAATCTTTCTTTAGCTTCACAATGTGATAGTATGTTAGTTATTGAATTATAAATAGCTTGCCATCATAAATCTTTCTCACAATCTGTGAATTTGTAACTATAAACTATCGATTCCCTAGCTAGCAATAAGTTCGATGGGCAAGAGTAATCGTGGAGTCTCACAAAACTCAATCGAGCCTACCCCGCGAAAAGTCTGAGACCTGCCGAACGCGGGGTTTTGAATAAAGACAATACGATTATCATTTATTGATGGTGTTTTAAAACATCCAGAGTTGTCAACTTTTCACTTCTATCGATTATTTGCAGATAATGTGCTATCAGATGTATCATACACTTGAAAATACGATTCAATTTCAATAAGTACATTGTCATTGATTGTGATGGCTAACTGGGCTTTCAATGAGTGTGTATTTTCTAACCAATGGCCATAATGTCGGCAGAGACAAAAGGCTGTCCAAAAATGCAAATTCCGTCCAAGCTCACGCCGATCCCTCTGAACTGGTGCATGTCTGTCTCACATCGATTAGAGTTTAATTACACAAGGCTTAAAGGGATGATAATGCGGCCTCACCATTTCCCCGGGACAAGCTATGACAATTGGAAGCAGCCTTGACTTGTCAGAGACTCAGAGCAAGCCGGCCGGATCCTCCACATCGCTGAGGTCGATCGCGTCGGTGTTCTGTTGAGCGGCATTTGGAAGTGGGCTTGCGAGGACGACGCTGAGGAACGCCACGGCAAGCAGGAAGGCTGAGCGCATGTTGACTAGAAAATTAAGTGGAGGTCCAGTGGCTGAAATGGGGACGAGTACTCACTTTCTGTGTGTTGGTGGCTTGGGTTGAATGGTTTGCTTGGTTCTTCGTTTGTGATCCGTTGGTAACTTGGGACAGTTAGAGCGCGGGAGCGTGTTTGCTTTTTATGAGGCCGTTGACAACAACCCCCACCGTGACATGAGATACGAACTGGAAAGATGAATGCCGAGGCCAGGTCATTCACCGTTTCTGCCTGTCGTCATCCCCCATGCACGCGGGCATCATACGAATGCAGAGGAGTGTGTCTGGCTTACCGGTATGATAAGCTCTCCACCCAAAGATCCCGTGAGACGCGAATGCACTCCGCTTGGAAGATATGAAGTAAATAGGCGGCCTAGCAAGGAAGTATTGGCAATGTGTCAATGTATATCTGCACTGGAACGAGGGAACAATATCACCCGTTAAATAGAGATAGTTGAACAAATAGCCTTCAGGCTGGTTTGAATCGCTTGCCTCATCAATATGAATCATATGATTCAATGACACTCTACTAAATTACGGCGTACAGGTTTAGAATCTCGGAACGATTATCAATCTCAGTGCAATCACCCTCGTCCCTGTGTTCTCCGTATTCCTTGTGTTCTAGGTTATAGAAAAAGGAATTATGAGAACCGTTCCAACGGCCACTGTACGACCAGCACTCAGCCACCATGGTTCCTCGGCGGCCAAACTTCCCACAACTCAATGAGGACAAAGAATCTATAAGTCTTAAACCAATGGTTGGACTTATGAGCTACCCTGCATAATCTTTTCTGATACCCTTATAGTTTTTGTTTTTGTACGCCCAAAGAGTCGTCATCCTCGCAGAGTTGTAGCACAATGTGGCCGTTTCAGGGGCCTAAATTGCCGATCAAGGCCCCGTCAGCACAACCATCGGAGACGCCCCCTTCATCTTGAGATTTTGATATCCGCAAACTAAAATAAATGTCCGATAAACATCAAATCCAAGCAAAACTGCATAAGGCCTCCCTACTTAGTTTTCTATCAAGTGATAATTCAACCCTTGGGGGACAGCGGGATAGTTTAGCCTAAACCCTACGATGCACAAGCGGGTCGTAACCAGCTATCATATCTTCGTTTTACACCCAACCGAATGCTTGTTGTACCCTGGCCTATACTCTTTTATGCATTATTTATGGGTGTCCGACTCCATCCAGCTAGTCCTCGAAACTTCCCCCTGATGATTTGCCATCGATGCAAGAATATCTCAGACACAACCTAAAAACGGAGTATGCCCATGTTCCAGACCAGTCTCCGTTGCAACATTCCCAGGACATAGGTCGGGGCCAAGATACTGGACACTGATTCAGCATCCTCATACGATCGTATCTAGGCGCCAGGGACCACATGGCACAACTTTAGCAAATGGAGCCAAGAGCCTTCTGAATACTGGATCAACCCGGGACTTTCAAATACTTGACAGATGCTCGTTGACTTGGATTTTGTGCAACTCCTATTCAGATGATCGTCAGAACGTTTCTCCGACGATGTCTGCAACTAATTTCACAGCTCCTCCGCAGCCGCTTGACAGTCCGGAAAATCATGGCCCTCTCATCAATGTCATGACGTGGTTTCTGGTGGTAGCTAGCACTCTCACTGTCCTAACGCGCATTGCAACAAAATGGCTTGTCTCGAAGAGAGTTCAACTTGATGATGGGTTGGTTTTTGTTTCGCTGGTGAGCTCGATATAGTTCAACTTAACTATTCTCAAAGACTTATATTTGTAGTTATTTAGCATTGGCCAGACTGTGGCCGTCGGTGTCGGGGTTCTCAACGGGATTGGGAGGCACATCGAGACACTCTCCACCAAAGAGACTTTGGTCTTTCAAAAAGTAAGCATCGAAGACTTTTTTCTTGAGGCAACGGGAACTAACTCCACCAGGCTTTCTATGCGGCGAACTTATTATGGCTAGCTAGCCAGTGCTTCTCCAAGCTGTCGGTGGTCATGTTCATCCGCGCTATATCTCCGGGGACGTTCAACGAGAGGGCAACGCTTGCGGGAATTGGAATTACTGCTCTCTGGGGCTTCACATCGATAATCACGGTCGCATTTCAGTGTCATTTACCCAACTCCTGGGAGACGATACAGAACACTTGCTTTGATCGAAAGGCATTCTGGAACTATACGAACTCGATAAATATTGCGATCGACCTTCTTCTCGTATTGATGCCTCTGGCAATGGTATGGAAGTTGCAGCTTGCGAAGAAGCGGAAAGTGATGATAGTGAGTTGTTTTGGTACTCGAGTAGCGTGAGTCTCCCAGACAGCTACATATCCCACAACGTACGAACAGTCATTAACACCCCTTTAGCACAATCGCAGCAGTCGTATGCCAGATGGTGGCAACAAATAAATCCATCAACTCTCCGGATGCCTCGTTTGATATTTGGCTTATTCAAATTGCCATGGCAATAGCACAATGCCTGGGAATAGTCACTGCTTGTGTCCCCTACTTGAAGCCGTTCATGGACGCTCTCGAATCTGGAATGATCAGGAGCGATGACCTCTTCCGCCGCGGCGATATGGGAGGATCCCGCACAAATGGTTATGGTTACAGCCGCGACAGAAAATCGCCACTTCATTCATCAAATTCCAAGTCTGTACTGAAAAGCAGTACCAGTAGCCACATTACTCCTACAACACATGAGCTGGGACCTATGAAACAACCGGAAACTATCAACTCTATTACAGTTGGGAATCAGAGAGGCCACCAGCGAGATTGGGAGGCAGGGAGCGACTCGAGTAGGACCAAGATAATCACGCAAACCAGATCGTGGTTGGTGAGTTCAGAGAATGAGGGACATGGGACTTCTGAGACACCAACACTGTAGGCTTGCAGCCTTCGCAATATCCTTGTATTTTGGGAGATGTAACATTAGGCATACTACATACTTCGTACTACATACAATGATACAAGCACCGTAAAAAAGACGTTTTGATTCTGTGGAGCAGCAGGGATGACGGGCAACCGTAGCCGTATGGTGTACTGAGGTACCGAGGCATTTATCGGCCAAGGCATGCCGAAGTCTTTCGTAAGTCTGATACTGAAAAAGCAAAAAAAGTAGAGCGCTTAAGGCTGTCAGAAATGATGTTTTTTGTTGATCGAAACGAGTCAACTGGAATGCTTCAGGGACTCTCGACTAGGATCAAGCTGGGCGTAATGCATGCCCAGCTCTTGTGGCTGGGATTCTGGAAGGGCTTTACCCAAATACATGGGAAGAGATAGGTCACAACAGAAATTAACAGAATACGTAACAAGTTGCAGATATTCTCGCAGGCTTTATGAAAACACCGGACAATATCACATGAAGTTCAGTTGTCCGTTGTCAGTTGCTCTAGTAACTAGCTGCCCTACTAGGCCACAACTCCGTGGATAGCGCCGTAGCACAACTACTAGAGCCTGCGGAGGGATTTGGAAGCACACCATTTGTAGGGCCGAATATGCGATTAATATGGCAAATAGATTGCACATACACGAAGTACAACGTCTTTTATGCGTAACGTACCTTCGTACCACCGTCTCGCCATTCAAGTTGTTGTGTAACGGGAAGAACCCAGTCTGAATCCAAGCCATTGCAAGCCTGTGCAAGCCTGTGCAAGCCTGTGCAAGCCTGTGCAAGCCTTGGATGCATCCCGGTTGGCGATCTCAGCCAGTCTACTAGCAGTGAGCAGTAATCGACGAGGGATTCCAGCCACAGACTGGAGGGTTAAAGCCAAGTCCGGCACTGACAAGCGACTCAACTCATTCCCCCTTACATGGCCACTTTGCCCGCCGGCAAAAGCCTCTCCGGACTTCCGCCAGTCGCTAGGACTCGAGTATTCCAGCCTTCCACAACCCTCCTGCGCCGACGCGCAACTTAGCTTGTTTGATATAAGCGGAGATTTAACTTTTGCCTTCCATGTCCAATATATGCAATGCAGTTGGGAAAATACAACTCTATTTCGAGGCCTGTACTGCAGGCCCAGCGAGCAATTGATCCAACCGACGCCAGGACTTGCTTGGCGTGAACATGCTGGCTTCTGAGCCTAGACATACCTGTAGAATCAACAGGTTCTTGCAAACAATATGTGCCATTGGTGGCCCCTTGTTTTAGATGAACTCCACGTTGTGCTGTAGACAAACCTCGTGGTTTTCCGATCACCTCGTGGCTATTTCTCAAGCTCCAACTTAATCCCTCCTTTCCGAAAAATCGGACTCCCACCTTGAAAGCTTACTTGTTGTCCAGCTTGTGTGACAGTTTTTAGAGCCCTATTTTCTCAAAAGTCAATTGAACATCCAAGATGGAGCCTAGTCCATTCGAGATGAAAGATCTCAAGAGAGATCCTTCAGCGTTGGAGATAGGATCTGATATTTCCGACCAGCATCGGTCGGTCATTGATCGTGACAATGAGACTTTGGCACGTTTGGGGAAGAAACAAGTGCTCAAGGTACGTGCAATTTAATTTCCAAAATATTATACCCCACGATCTGCGTGGTTCAGTCCAAACCGGACATGATCGACCATTGGGCTAACGTCAACACAGCGGAACTTTGGCCTGGTTTCAATGCTGGCCTTCGGATGTACGGTTATGATCACCTGGGAGGGAATACTTCTGTATGCACTTTCACCTCTAATAAACACCATTGCTGGCTAACAGAAATGAAAGGTTATTTGTAATTGGATTCACCAATGGAGGCTACGCAGGCTCCATATATGGCTTCATATTCGTCTGGATAGGGACCCTGGCTGTTTTTTCGACAATGGGAGAACTGGCATCTATGTAAATATACCATTCCTTAGCATAAAGGGACACGTTGGCTTACATTCACACTTAGGGCACCGACCTCTGGAGGTCAATACCATTGGGTATCCATGTTAGCACCTCCTTCAACGCAAAAATTCGCAAGTTACATCATTGGTGGGTGTTCCTCTTCCACAGATTCACCGTTCCAAACTAATGTTTTATATAGGCTGGGTAACAGTCGTGGGATGGCAAGCAGCAGTGGCTTCAGGAGGTTTCCTCTCAGCAAGTCTGATCCAAGGTCTGGTGGGATTGAATGACGCCTCATATGTCCCCAAGCCATGGCAGGGAGTATTGCTATTCTACGCAGCTCTCTTCTTTGCCGTATTTATCAACACTGTCGTCAGCCGCGCCCTGCCAAAAGTTGAAAGTCTCATATTGGTTCTCCACGTCTTGGGATTTTTCGCCATCCTTATTCCGTTGGTGTATATGGCGCCTCATGGAAGTGCTAAGGATGTATTTACCGTCATGATGAACGGAGGGGGTTTCCCAACCCAAGGGCTTTCCTTCATGGTTGGTTTGGTTGGTCCTATATTCTGTTTGTTGGGTAAGTTACTTCGCTCTTCCTCAATGATTCAAACAATGGGCCTTGAAAACTAACACATACACAGGGGCTGATAGCGCCGTCCATGTACGAAAACCATGCCCCTCCCTCTCAGTATCTCACATATGCTAACACCTCATTAGATGTCCGAAGAAATCCAAAACGCGGCAGCCGTTGTCCCCAATGCAATGGTTATGTCCATCGCTCTGAACGGAGTTTTGGGTCTCAGCATGCTAATTGCGGCACTTTTCTGTCTGGGTGACGTGGAAACCGTCCTTGCAGCCCCGTATGCTTTTATGGCGATTTTCAAACAAGCAGTTGGATCAGACGCAGGTGCCACCGCGATGTCTGCATTGGTGACAGTCTTGATGATCTGCGCACTCATTTCATTCGTGGCCACAGGGTCTAGAATGACCTGGTCATTCGCAAGAGATCGTGGTCTGCCAGGCTGGTATTATATTAGCAAGGTCCGTTCCAAACTCTCAAATAATGTGAGAATAAATCTGACACTCCGTCACGTATAGGTCGATAGTAAAACCTCCATCCCTGTCGTCGCCATAGCTCTCACAACCACCATCTCTTGTCTCCTCGCACTCATCATCCTCGGCTCCAGCGTGGCATTCAACGACGTCGTATCCCTCACTATCAATGGCCTCTACACCTCCTACCTCGTCGGAAACAGCCTGCTCCTCTACCGCCGCGTCACAGGCGGAATCAAACCATATGAGAGCGTTTCTGAAGGACTCACCAATGTCCCCGGTGTTGGAAAACTGACTTGGGGCCCGTGGCGCATCCGCGAACCGTTTGGAACAATCATCAATGCTCTTGGATGTTGCTTCATGATAATCATCCTGTTTTTCAGCTTCTGGCCTACGGTTATGGATCCCTCCATCCAATTGATGAACATGAGTTCGCTAATGATGGGTGCTACGATCATCTTCGCTATCATCTATTATTTTGTTTGGGCGAGAAAAACCTACACTGGTCCAGTCATTGAAATTAGTTAGTTGGGTTTCGAACGTCTAGGGTAAATGTGTAGGCAGTTGTTGAGATTCGGCAATGTTGAATATGAGGGTCTTTATCAGAATTTTCAGATGTATACACTGTAGCAAATATAACCCACTTTTACCTGTATATAATAAGGACTTTTCTCCACCTCTATTTTTGGAATCAATCAACTCGTTCCATCGTTTTCAAGGCCTCTAAAATCCTTGACAGCATTTGAGAGTTTTTCCCGGTAACTAAATATGTCTTTGGGCAGGCCAAGCCTCTTTACGTCCGTGTTACTTCTCCCTGTTTAATGTGCCTTGATATTTATTGGCGAATTAAAAACAAACACCATGCGTAGATGTGGAATCGGCGGTTGGTGGTAACTTTCGAAAGTAACATGCCTTAATCAAGGGGCGTGCCACTTAACGCAGAATTTTAATGTATAGAACGACGAATGCCCGATCTCGATGCTAAGGCCATCCACTTTTATAGCTAAGTTGATAAAATAAGATGCTATCATGCTAGGTATACAGCGAAGTTTACGAATTCTAACCTTGACTTTCTTAAGGTACTAAATTACTAGATTGTTGGAAGTGTGTACTAAGGAGCTACGCCCGAGTATTAAAGGGAATCGATAGCTACTTGTTAGTATTCTTAAACGTAACATATGCTTGTACAGAGAGCTTTATGGAGGTAATATATATATCTTTAAAGCTATTGATAATGATCTAGAAATAGGTGTGACGAACTGTGTGAACTTACGTTCATCGGCAGTCGAAGTACCTTGGATGTTGTTCCCGATGTGTACGAGTATGCCTCAGACATAGATCGTGGGTTAATTTACCAGCTACAAACTGTCAACATATCTATTCCTAAATGGTGTTGCTCACGACCTAGTGGCATGGGTCACTGGCAACCCGGGTGCAAATTTGCGTTCATGAAGCACTTACTGCTGCTTAAACTTGTCCTAGAGTTCTCTACTTCCGGAGGTGTGGACTCTTTAGTTTGATGACCTCGGGACCTTGGAATTCGGTCTATGATTGTTCTCAGCGTCGGTTAAGACTAAACCATATTTGGGATACTCCAAAACGTGCTTAGAGAGTTTCTGTGCCTTGACGCTTACCTGTATGAGGTTTTCCTTTCCCAGACACAATATCCTGTGCCTCGTCTGTCCTTAGGAGACTTACAGTTTCTCATTTGGATATATAACCTTGGAAGCTGCTTACGAGTACATGAAAATACCTAGGTACTGTGAAGTTATAACTACCTAGAGAGAGAATAAGAATACACGCGCGCCCGGAGGCCCCTTTATACCCCTATTGCCCCAGCCTACGAGATGTAGTCACGTGACGCAGACGCGTGACACCTGCCTGCAGTTCCACCCCGCCACCGTATGGGCAGGAATCGGACTACCAGAATCCACTCCTAATTTGGAACACACTTCCTAGCATTCAGAAAACGCTCCTCCAGATTTAGCGACCCCTTGACTCTCGACGAACTTCGTCAAGGTGCATCTCCCCAGGGCATCACCACCGCAGAATTCCAACGGCTGGACAGCATCATTCACAAGCACTCTCACCATCTCCTCTGCACTGCCCTCACAAGTCATCTTCTCAAAATACATCCTCGCAGAGAACGGCGTTAGTTTCGCCACCGAAAACCCCGACGTGACACTCGTCTGCCGATCCGTAGATTTCAATCCCCCAAGAGAAACACTGCCATTGAAAAGCCCCATCGCAGTCATGATAGAAATCATCTGTTTATCGTGCGAGAAATCCGCATACAGTGCCAACCCCAGCGGGAACGTGGCATTCTGCGAATCCAAAGTTGTATTCGTGGACGTCTGATCCTGTACGGCAGTATTCGTCATTCTGGCAAGCAATTCATTCACAAATCCCGCTCCTTGAGAACTCCCAAATTTGTTTCCCGGTCCGTCCCCGAAGAATTTATCTACGCTTTGCAGAAAGCTGTAAGAGACAAATTCATCGTCCGTAAACAGCTTGCAAACCGGTGAGATTTCCCCAGTAGGGGTAGCGACGGTTTCGAACGGACAGAGATCCATCATCGCCACGGTATCATTGACATCGAAATTCGCTCCAGGTATATTCGCGTTCAAGCGGTCGCGAATCGGTGGTGCAAAGATGTCAATCCAGATCTGATCTTCTGTATCCCCAAGCTCATTGAACGGCGCTGTATTCTCAAAGGCGGGGCAACTTTCAACATGTAGCGTATTGTTAACCCCTTCCTCTTCCGAGATTACCAGAATCGAGCCCCCATCAATCAAAGCGCTTGCAGCAACGACGGAGTTCCATCCCATGGTGAAATTCAGCGCAGATTCCTCAACACGCGGACTTCCCGCTGCTCTCACAAACGGCGCGAGCCCCTTTCCCGCCGCTTCATACCGCTTCGCAAACTTTATCCCAGAGTTGAAAAGTTCCTGCTGTCCAAACCCCGTCAAGTTATCTTGTCCAAGCGAATAATTAAACGTATTCAGGAAGGCAAAATCCCCTGTCAACGACCCCGTTGCGTTTGTCAACGCGAGGCTTACTTTTGCTAGGGCTGTTTTTATCGTTGTGGTTTTTCCTTTTGTAGGGAAACGGGCGCCGTGACGAGAGAGGATGTGTGCTTGCGTTATTGTGCATCCTGGGGGAGTGGCGTCGGAGTTGTTCTGGGCTAGTGAGAAGAAGGGGGAGGACTGCCCGAAGTTTTGTGTTACTTGGGGCTGGTTTAGATACCCAGTTATTGGGTCGTCGAAGACGGCTGATACGTTTCCTTGAGCTGAGACTCCTCCATATCTGGTACATTTAGTACTCACTTTGTTAAAAACTCTTTTGGGGTAGGGGAGTGGGACTTACAGCAAAGGCAGCCAGTGCAACAACAATACACTTGTGAGCTTCATAGCGGTTTAGATAGGTGGCTGAAATAGCTGAATCCGAACCTTTAGACGAAGATGAAGTACCTGCCCTCGTGGGTTTTCTTTAAATATAGATGAATCTGAACCTCTTAACAAAGACGAGGTGCTTATATTCGTCGGATTCATCCAATATATAAAGTATACATAGCCTCGCCCAAAACCCGCAAGGACCAAGATTACCTAAAGCTTCGCCAAAGCTTAAGATTGATGCACACAAGGATATGCGAGCTAATGTTCATCGCTAAACCTAGCTGTTTCCAGATTTGAAATAAGATACGCTCGGCCTCTCTACCGGCTATGGAGGTAAAACAAGTGGAACTGAGATGGTCGCCAACTTCTCTTGCACGTGAAGTCTCCTAAGTGACGTGTGACATCAGCATATCGCAACGACTCGTGATTCAGTTTTGGGCCTATAGAGCCAAAATTAAGGGATTTAAAACCAGGGCTGTGCTACTAGGTACCTAGTAGCTCGTCCCTTCTCGATCCTAGAGTTGATCTGAAAATCACCTCAAACAACCCTAATTCATTTCAGACGTATTTCCAGGCACTGACCCATCTAGTTGGTTACCAATCGGTCCCGCAGCCGGTGGCTGTGTTGTTTTACTTACCTGTTTTGGGTGTTTCACGCTATACCTAGGTGCCTTTCGATGCCTTCGTCAATAATACGGGTTGATTGTTTCTTATATATTTGGATTTGGAACATTTCACATCTAATCAACCACTTCACGTTTCACGTCTCAAGCACCAGCGTATCGGACATGCCTCAAGTCAGTTAGGAATCGATTAGGTGGCGCGATTCGGGAGGAGTAGGAAATTGCACGGGATGAGGGAAAGGACGATGCCAAGCATGCTGGTGTTTGCGCCAGGGCGAATGTTTTGAATATTGTTATATTGGAATTGTAAGCAATTCCGCGTACCTATAATATATATCCTACGCATGCCTATAACATATCTTAAGGCACACTTGTAGCAATGAGGTGTCAATAAAGAATCTATTATAGATTGAAGTACCACATCAAATCTCCGTTTGTGAATAGCTGAGTAGAGTGTTATTATTCCTGTAAGCTATTCCACTTCGCTGCTATTTTAAGCTTATCATATCATTTTAATACTGCGCTCATATAAAACCGCTGCTTTTAACGACGTTTTCTGTTTTGGGATTAGAGTTATCTATTGATACCCTAAAGCATCCAACTCGCCAACTGAAATCGTGACAGTCATATCCAAGCCGTTGCCTCTTGTTTTCCACAACAACAAAGGAAAGCAATTCGGGAAGGCGATGCCAGGTCTAAAAATGTAGCAAAAGTGGCCTTTTGCTCGACAACGGTCAGTAATTTGAACCACTTTATAAAGGGGGACGGTTTGTCAACGAATTGTGCATCCGAATTGCGCGGATTATCTCCTTCTCGATGGTCTGGAAAATTCTAACATCAAGATGACTGAGCACTTTGAACTTGTGCCAGTTGCGTAACATCTAGCTCAGGCAATCCGCTTGTCGCCCGCGGTAGTTCAAGTGGTGTTGGTGTAGACATCTGTGTAAAATCGCCAATCTTTCATCTGAGTATAGAGCTCCAAACCACCGTTCAATTGCTGAGACTTCGAGAAAATCTTCATCTTCTAGTGCTGCTAGCGCTCGTTCATACAATTCAAAGTTCTTAAAGCCAAGTAATTTGTCTGGGCTTTCTCGATGGGTAATACGACTAGGTACCAGGTTTCTGGTCGAGGTTAAACACTTGGGTTTATCCTTTCACTTCGGGCCTGAGGCTAATTGTAGTAGATATCCTTCATTTAAAACGGGAAAGACTGGATAAGTTATGGCAACTGTCTGCATATCTTCATGACTGATTGAATTTCTTTCCTTGTCCGGGGACTTCAACCGGCGCCCTAGGACTTGGTATTTGTTTTCCTGTGTGTCCATCGATTGTACCAATTTCGGGGCTTTTGGCATATCCCTGTTGGTATTAACGATTGAATTCGATAGGCTAGGTTGTTGCACATCATTCTCTAGGAGAACACTATATCTTGACACAAAGTCTTTCGCTTCCGGGATCGATTTACGGAACAACGAGCTTTCAGCTCTTGATTCCCGGGGCGTTCATGTGGAGATTGGTCTGACGGCAAAGAGATATTAGGGATTGCTGCTAATAACTAAACCGAGTCCCGTTTGGCCAGAGGACGTCGAAATATGCCGGTGGTATCGCATTCTGAACCTGACCGTCCCACAGCCTCATCTTGCTGTTCAACCAGGCTTGGTCCATCCATAGCCAATTCTGCATCATTCTCGGCTTCTTCTAAACATGAGGTTGAAACCCTATTTGCTATAATGTATGATCGGAGTGTTTGTTTCTTTATGTCTGTTTGCCTTCGCGGCTCTTCTAATATCAAAGAACTAGAACGTGCGTCAGTGATGGAGCTGGAATATTGGCTGACAATTAATGTTTTACTTACCGTAGTGACTACAGTTCTGATCAGGGTGCAGCATGAGGTCCCATGGGATAAGTTTTGAGATTTCAACCCACCCATAGGCTGGAGCGTACTTTAATGACCCAACCCCTTGGGGCCCCATGAGGGTGGGTTATGGGGTATTGGGTTCCTGTTTGGTTATCATATAATATATATAATTATACTATAGGGCCCTATAAATAGGGGAGATTGATTTTACTACCTAATCCTATACCCTATAGGGCAGAAAACTCGACGGCCCACCTATAGGGAAGCCCCAACCCACCTAAGGCATAGGAAATAAGCCCCATGCTGCGCCCTAGTTCTAATAAAGTGAGGTATGAAGCATAGTTAGGAGATTTGATTGCAACGCCGCGAGTCCTCGTCTTAAAACCTCCACAGGCTTTTGTTTAAACGCCCACTTTGCAAGGCCTGTCTTGGGTAGGGAAATGGATGCCGGTATTTCATTTCCTTCGCTCGGATTCATTGAGTGGTTTAGCAACGTTTTGTAACGCCTAAATAGATCTCGACAACGGCGAATGACAATCTCCTTTTCCTTGAATTATTAAGTTTCTAATATAAATTATATCGAAAATATTTATAACAACGTTTAGAAAATCGAGTTTTAAAATATTATTTAAATATTATCTTATAGAGTTATTATAGCTCTTTACTTATATAACTATTAACTAAGGTAAGTTTACTAAGTCGTAGTAAAATTATAATCGAGATGGCTAGCTAGCTATTATACTTATTTATATATAAAGTTTATACAGTCTATAACTAGCCCTTATTTAATCCTTGTTAAGGGTTATTCTAGCTCCTGTAACCAGTTATCCCAACTACATTTTGTTACGCTTTGATAGTATACTTGCGGTGATTGTGGGGCCGTGATTTCTTAGCGACGAAATAGTAGGGGTGGATAATTAAAAGTTAATTAAATAATAATTGTATCGAGTTTCGAAGGCTGAATGGATATTTGTATGTCCATTGTCGCTACCCTCAAACACGAGGGCAACACCTATTAGAAGGACAGAACTACACTGTGTTTTAAAATTGGGAGCAGTATCTACGGCATTGCCCTAGTAAGTGTACTTCATCCTACCTCTCAAAGACTTTCAGTAGATATAATTCTCTTCCTTGTCTGCCTTCAACTCAGTCCAAATATCCTCAATAGCCGTCACTATGCTCTCTGGAAGAGGACCTTTGGCTATGCTTTTAAGATTGCTGTCCACAAGTCTTAGTTCACAACCACAAACCAGCCCTAGCCTTTCAGTACTCACTTCACAATCTGTGCTTCCTTGCTCGCTCCCAAGATAATCCCGTCCCCCTTCTGCAGCGCTGAATGATACATTGCCCATCGCAGCGCTGCTTCAATGGGAGAGATGCCAATCTCTTTGGTACTTTCAGCTAGCTTTTTCTGTGCATTGTGTAGAGGCTCGTTGGAGTAGATCTTGTTCATGTATTGGCTTACCCTACCATCGCCGCCGAAACGAGTTCCCTCTATTGCACCTGACGTAACTGAGCCTGACAAAAATCCGGAGGCGAGAGACCTACACCGCTTAGCATGCAAGATGGGATTTAGGAACAATGGGGTGAGTTACCGGAAAGCGTTGAATACTATGCCGTGTTCTCGGAGGATGGGAAGAAGGTGCTTTTCCATGCCACGATTTATCATGGAATAGTCGCCTTGGTAGACAGTGGGTTTAATGAAGCCGTTCTTGTCACAGACGGCAAGGAAGTCTCGGAGTGTTTGAGGGAAGAAGTTGGAGACTCCGAGCTAGAAAGTGAAACGTGAGCATTGGGAGGATAATGATGGAATGGGGGGACTTCACAGCTGTAAATTTGCCCTGCTTATGCATAGCATTAAGACCCGCAGCCTGTTCTTCCAAAGGGGTTTGGGGATCGGGACGATGAATGTGGAGCACATGGATCTGGACAGCTTAGTATCTGTTGATCTGGAGATAGGTAGATTGGTATGGGCAGACAACTACTCCCGCAGGCGCTTGCCCTCAATCATGATTTTGCACGTACCTTCTCGATTCCCAGTCTCTTTAAACTCGTAGACACACTTTTCTCAATGTTCTCACGTGCCAATTCCCCGCTTCCATCTCCAGTACCAGCAAGGATCTTGGTATCGATCGTAAACCCTTGCTGCGCGGCTTTCACCAAACCGATCAACTCCTCAGAGCGTCCTGGGTTTGTTGGCGGATAGCGGCCAGCTGTGTCAAGATACTTGATGTCGTGAGACTTGAGCAATTCGAGGATAGACTGGACATTTTCTGGCTCGCGAAAGGCATCGCCGAATGATGCAGCACCAAAGATGAGCCGTGGAACGGAATCGGGAAACATATTTAATGATTGATGGTTGAAATTGAAGGTGAAGGTGACGGTGACGTCTTGAGATCACCGAGTTACGGCGAAGCTTAATGAAAGGGTCAGGGATCTAGGTAATAAAGTATGTAAGAACTAAGAACTTATCAAGCTACTAATTTTGGCGTATACAAACGTGCAGAAGATGCATCTGGAGAATCCTGCATGCATGCCAACTGCTCACTCCTCTAGTCATTACACCGTCAACATTGCACCTCTGAACATGGCCCGCTAGAATGATACCCCCATACTAGCTAGGTACTATTGGAACCCGTAATAATTGGAATGCACAGGCGTCTTTCGCCACTGCTCGTTCTGGGTTTCATATTTTGACTCGCGTTGGATACCATACAAAGAAAAGGCTTCTAATTAGTAACGGAACAAAAGCAAATGTCTTCGTACCTGTTTAGATTCGTTCTTGCAAGTCTTGCTCCATCCCAGCTAAGCTCTTCATTTCCACCATTTCGATGCAAAACATGCTATATTTTCGGATTGTTTTCTATCCAGTCACAATTATCTGCCATTTTCAAATACAAAACCTTTGTTCTAACAGGTTTAGACCAAATTTACAGTCTGTGGTTGGCTATCCTGAAACCATTCTGATGCGATCTTCCCTCGAAATACTGCACAACCTAGGCGCATGTGTGTAGAGCCCCTCATCCGCACAGGCTCCAGCATCAAAGCGAACGCTGAGCGATACCCGCAATGCTTCTTCTTGAAAATAATCTGTAAACATATCATAGAAGCTCTTGAGCCAAGAAAAATATTAGGATAACAGTTACTGTTCTTTTGTGCATTATCAAACAGTGTGGCGTCCCCAATTTGCCATTTCCCCATTTTCGTTTCTGCTGGCGATGCAATCTTTAGCGGACTAGAAATTTTATAAAGACATGTTTAATCTGTCCAGTTACATCGGATCCAATTGGTGTAACATCGGTATTGATTATCTCGGCAACGGGGATACAAATTGACGTTTTCTGGAAGTAGTTGAACCACAAAATTAGTACCCTCGGATCTACTATCCACAGACAGCCAAGACCAACTCAGGGCATGATACTCAGTGTATCTCTTGCCCTGATCTTTCTCCGCAACCTGGACGATATACCACAACAGCTGCCTCAATAAATCATTCTTCCACAGGCCGGCTAGATATTCATCATCGAGAAACCTCGCCCACTCCTTCGCCAACGCAGAAAGCGCTCTCTAGATATCGGCCGACTTAGTAAGATTCAGCTGTGAATAGTAGCTAACCAATTGGTTCTAGTTCGCGTAACGAGTACTCTTCTCGTCCGGCGTTTTGTTGAACTCCTCGTCGAGACGAGGACGAGAAGCTAGTGAAGGTGCTTCAAAAGAGTCTTCAGACGTTCTTCACGATTAGGCTGCGCATGCCAGAAGTCCAGTCCTTCTGTGAACTTCTCGCTGGCTTGATGCTCCAAGCATTCCCAATGAAGTTGCTCTGATTCCAGGGCCTCCTAGGGCCCGTAGCCCCTACCGGGAATTCCACCGCCCCCCGAACAGGCCCCAACCAGCGACCAAGACCGCTGAATTCGGCGGCCAGCGCCCCTAAACATTGCGTCTAGCTGTAACCTACTTTCAGGTGCGCCACCTTGTATAACGAAACGGCTATAAAGTTGTCATGTTAGCTATCTCTATCTCAAATAAGCTATGAAGTATTTCGGTTCATTAAATGCTGGTTATCAACAACTTGGGCTGATCCAGTATTGCTGCCTGCTGACTGGCTATTTCTGCCTCCTCCATATTTCGAAGTCTTGAAACCCAAGAGAGTCGTTTCTTGTACCACTCATCATCTGCCTTGTTCCGTTTCCGGTTTTTTGAATGCTGGTATTCCACCCAATCAATATATCCATCAAGCCCTATCGTATCCACTTCTTTAGTCTCAGGGACATCGTGGAGAGGCCCGGTAGAGCCATGATCAACCAATTGATCTCTCCAGTGATCAACCTGGTAGCGCTCTTTGGAACTGTTGGCCTAAAGGTTGTCGTTAGTTGGACTTCCTCTTCGCACTTGAAAAGAATCAGGGGCAATTTACTCTGAAGCTGCGAAATGTAAATTTACTACCCAACTTGGCACTGGTGAGCAGGAGAGAAACCGCAGTTAGCAGCTGATCTTCGGTGTCATCCCCGAGAGTCTTCTCAACGTCTCGCATCTCCTGCTCTAGAATTTCAATCAACTCCTTTTCCTCGTCCTGTATTTCTTCGACTTCCTCGTCCTCAATGCGACGGCCTGAGTAGTTGCGATCTAAATGAGAACCCCGACAACAGGTATGGGTCAAGTCTAAGTCTTGGAACTTAAGCAGTCGTAGCATATCCATCAGGCAGTTCTTTGCTGTTTCCGGACCACGGGTTTCTTTCAATATATCAATATACTCGAAAGCCCAGATATCGTATCTGCAATTTAAAATCGACTTTTGGGTCTCTTTCAACATGGTATGAGATGGCGTACAGCCTGATTGCCCCCGCGAGCAATAGCATTGACAGTGATCACCAATATAAGGATCTGCCCCTCTATTCAGAAGAACTCTTATGCAATTAAGAGCCCGTGAACAACTTTCATTATACCGGAATGCCCTAAGCTGCTGGGCGATCACATGCAACGACGTGTGTCCATTGTGATTTTCGTGGCTAACAGCACACCCTCCATCGAGCAATAATTCTAGAAGTTCAGGATCAGGGAGGCCATCATTGTCGTAAGATAACGAGATTAGAGCGTCAGCTCCAGCGATATCTAGATGATTGAATTTGCTGAATCCATGTGAGATGAGGCTTTTCATATCCGCCGCGTGTCTAACTCTATGGGCAAGACTGTAGGATGAGGGACCGTAACTATCGTAATGTATAACATTCGGATCTGCACCCCATTCCAGAAGCCGCTGGATGGGATTTAGATCCTTGTTACAGCTCTGACGACCTTCGATCCAGAGAAGCAGTCCAAATGACAGCCATCTGCAAAGGATATCTTTTGAGATCTTCGGAGAATTGCGCAGGTAGCTTAGAATTTCCAGAACTGTATCCCAGTGAGATCGACGTACTGCGTGATGCAAAAAGTTTCGCCCACAATAAGTGTCTTCTAGATCTGGATTTGCTCCGGCCTCCAACAAGCGTATCGCCACCTTGGAGTCACCTATTGCGGTTGCATACATGAGTGGTGTGATCCCATGGCGATCTCTAGCATTGACGTCGGCTCCTGATTCTAATAGAATCCCAAGGTGTTGTGGACGAGATACGGCCAAGTGCAAAGTAGATAAGCCCAGGAGATTGTCTTGATCATCGACGTTAAATTTCTTGAGTAGTTTCTCCACTTTATTACCCGATTCAATGAGAATCGCTTCCAAAAGAGGACTCACTCCCGCGAACCCCATAAAATTATTAGCTCACTCACTCGAAAGAATAGCGTCTAACTTACCAGGAGAGACCTCCAAGTTCTTCGAGATCCAATTAATAAAGAACGGGTCACTATTTGTACCTGTTACGGAAAGGCTGGGCGGACAAGGTTTTGGCAAGTGTGAAAATAATGGGGCCTCGATCTCAGAGGCATCAAATCCAAAATGTAGGAGATCGCCAAGTAAATCCAATCGGTCCTCTTCGTCAACCCACTTCGCAGACTGGTAAAGTAACCTAGACGCATGTTAAACAGTTTCTCATTTGTCGGTCGTTTTCAATCTCCCTTATGCTCATTTACCTTGGTGTATTGATTTGAGTGCCCATTCGAGCCAGCATGTGAAATAACGAGAGCTGGATATCCGCGTTGCCGTCATACCAAGGCATGTACAATAATTTCTAAACACAGTTTAGCATATCTCAGGAAGACAATTGACCACCGTACATACCTCTAGCCAAGTCTGGCCGTCGGGATCAATATCTCGAGGAGAAGCTTTTCCAGTTTCGAACAGCTCCAAAAGATCTTGCCTTGCTCTATCCCAGTCCCTTCTTTGTCCGCTTTCAAGCTCCCAGAGCAACTTGAAGCCAGGAGACGTGCGTCTCACAACTCTCTGAAAACTTAGTGAAGGTATTATACTTGATTCATGAGAATTGAACATCAAATCCAAACTAACGCAAACCGCCGTCTGAATCCCGACTGGAGCTAAACTGACCCAAACTGACGCACTCTTTGCATTTCTGCAATATGACTAGTTGCATACCTTCGAAAACCAAAATGATGACGAGAGTTTCAGAGACCAAAATTGTGTCTGGAGAGACATGGTATCATGACAAGCACAACAGCACTTTTTCTGGCGGCATAATCTTTCCTGGTGTCGCTGAGAATAATCAACCACCTTTCTTTTTGAATGTTTTGTTTTAGTAAGTGTGAGATCCAGATCTTCAATGGAAGCCCTTGATACAAGGGAGGGCGAGAGCGTCCCCTGTTTCCACAAGCATAACATATCTTGTTGCATACGCAAATTCTCTTGGTGCATCAACCTGAGATTCTTTAGCACAGCTCTCTGACTTCCAACTACGGGACAGATCATACGTATTATAACACGTAACAGCAAGATGGAGCATATTCCTTGCCGAATCCATCTTCTCTTTCATTTCTTTCATTTCTTCTTTCTTCAAAACAGCTTTCAATAAGTGCTTAGACCGTAAATTACTCCTTCTATTCAGAGGCGCTATGATTCGAGCCGTCAGAGCTTCTAAAGCAGATGCTGCTGCTTCACAGCGGTCAAGGCTAGCCTGAAGCATGCTTGATCCTGAGACCAGGGAAATGTTTCCATCAGCATTACCTATCTGGGAGACGACTTGTCTAAAGACTTCCATCTCATCCAGTGTAGCCTTCAGCTCTTCGGGTACATCGTGTACGGATTTGCAAAATTTCCGCAGCTGCTGGATGCAACCCAAAAGCTGCACAACACTTATGCAACTGGCCACGACACCAAGTACTTCAGCCATTTGATTGTATAGTTGAGAAATTAACGTTGATCAACCGACTCGGGACGTTGGAGCCTTTTGTGGACGTTGGGTGCAAATAAGCCGTAAAACAACGAGGCTGTGCAGGGAGGCTCAGGCGGTCGGAGCTGGCCGCCTAGGCACGAAGGATCAACCAATCAGAAATTATCTAGCACGGTCTCTAAATGATAAAAGAACACTTTATTAGAAAATGACTTCGGACTAGATCCTCCGCTAAAGGAATTGGCTACGAAGATTGAAGGGTTGACCATCCGCCTTGGCACCGCAGCCCACGTGATTACTATCCGCACGTGACGCTGCCAGTGACATGCGGGTACTCCCGCCCGTCACTGGCCAAGCAAGAGCCGCTCTCCGTGCCGCTCATTGCCCAGCCTTTGGCAGAAAGGGAAGCACATACCCCCCACCGGACGACGCCCTTCACGACAAAGGTCCCCATTTACTAAAGTTGCTTTGTTGCTCTAATACAAGTACTTTGTTAGCTGTTAGAGAAACCCTGAAATCTTCGAACGACTAATATGGATCCACTCAGTGTCACCACAGGCATTATTGCTATTGTACAGCTCACCAGCGTTATTATCGGATGTCTGAACGAATCTGAAAGGCACGTCTAATGATCGCGTGCGATGTGCAATTGAAATATCAAACGTCTCTAATCTACTCGTAACGCTAATGTACCGCCTTGATGAGGTGTCATCTAATGATGACTGGTATGGGGAGGTGCAAGCTCTTGCTGCTGCCAACGGGCCTATTGATCAGTATAGGTCTTCACTTGAGCAGTTGAAGTCAAAATTCACATCGACGCTTCTAGTGGACTAAAGATTGGCAGTGCGCTCAGTTGGAAATTCAGCAAAGAAGAGGTTGCCAACATACTAATGAGAATTGAACGGCTTAAATCACTCACCCAAATCGCACTTGAGATGGATCATTTGTAAGCATATTTACACCAGCTAGAAACATAGTGACTAATTAGAGAAGCAAATTGTCTCAAGCACTGAAGATCGACACTACTGTTATCACAAGTACAGTCAGGTCACTACAAGAGAGTCGGGCCAGCGAGCAATTTCGCGTTATTACGGACTGGCTATCGTCGACTGATTTCCCGGCTCAACAATCCGACTTTATCGGCAGAAGACAGGAAGAGACAGGCCAATGGTTCGTCGTATCACCTGAGTTCACCAACTGGCTTCACGGAAAGAAGCGGGATCTATTCTGCCCCGGCATTCCTGGAGCTGGAAAGACAATGATTGCAGCAATCGCCGTTGATCATATATGGAAAACCTTTCAAGGCGACAGTGTCGGTGTTGCCTACATATACTGCAATTACAAAAGACGGGAAACGCAGACTACTATAGATCTATTAGCTGCGATTCTCAAGCAGCTAGTGCAGGAGCGTCCATTATATGGAGAATCACTTACAGCTCTACATACGTTGCATGTTAACCGGCGGACTCGTCCATCACTTGATGAGATTTGCACTACACTTAACTCTGTTCTTAAAAATTACTCTAAAGCGTATATCATTATCGATGCTTTGGATGAATGCACAGACAGCGATGGTACTCGCAGCAAACTGCTTACTGTACTCCGCAGCAGCCTACAGACCAAAACTGACACAAGGTTAATGGTGACATCCCGTTTCGTCTCTAGGATTGAGCAATCATTTCAAGGATCCCCAATGTTGGAGATCCGAGCCAGTGAGGCAGATGTGAAACGATTCGTTACCGGCCAGCTGCATCGGTTGCCAATGTGCGTCCAGCGCGATCCTGAATTACAGGCAGAAATACAAGACGGGATCGTTATGGCAGTAACCGGCATGTGAGTGTTTGTTCTATCCCAAATACTGTAGCTTACCATAGTGAGGTTTCTTCTGGCTCGCCTCCTTGTAGATTCTCTACGAGGTAAAACGACAAAAAAGGCAATTAGATCAGCTCTCAAAAAGCTCCCCAGACAGCACTAAATGAAGCCTACGATGACGCGATCGAGAGAATCGAAAGCCAATTGCCAGAGGAATCCGAACTAGCAAAGAACGTGCTTTCTTGGATCACCTACGCTATGAGACAACTTACTACTAAGGAGCTTTCTCATGCCCTTGCTGTCGAGGCAGGCGAGTTAGAACTCGACCAAGACAATATTCCTGATATTGAAGACATAGTCTCCGTTTGTGCGGGCCTAGTTGCGGTTGATGAGGAAAGCGACGTCATTCGATTAGTTCACTACACTACGCAAGAATACTTTGAGCGTGTGCGAGAAGCTTGGAATTCTAAAGCTCAGGAAGAAATCGTGTCGACATGTCTAACTTACCTATCCTTTCAAACCTTCAACACCGGCTGCTGCCACAAAGATGCAGACTTCGAGAATAGGATTAGGCAGAACCCGTTCTTAGACTACTCTGCTCGATACTGGGGAAGCCATGCCCTTACCGTCCAGCAGACAACTGAAAAGCTAGCTCTACCATTTCTCCGCAACATGAATCAAGTTTCATGCTCAATACAGGTTATACATAATGCAGATGGCTCTAGTGAATCCTTTATAAGAAAAAATGTCACAGGTCTACACGCTACAGTACTCTTTGGATTGACATACTTGTTACAAGAGCTGATGCATAGCGACGGAAATAAAAATTGCATACATGCAGATGCACGAGATTCGAATGGTCGGACACCGCTGTGGTGGGCAGCGAATACAGGGAATGAGGCAGTTGTAAAGCTGCTTGTTAATAGGGATGACGTTGTAGCTGACTCGAAAGACGAATTGGGTCAGACGCCGCTATCAATAGCAGCAAGTAATGGGCACGATGCAGTTGTGATACTACTTATTAAGCGGGACGATGTCGTTGTGGACTCAGTAGACTACAACAGAAGGTCACCACGATTATGGGCAGCACATAATGGGCATGAGGCAGTTGTAAAGCTACTTGTTGAGCGCGACGAAGTTATAGCTGACTTAAAGGACAAATATAGTCGGACACCGTTATCGTGTGCAGCAAAAAATGGGCATGAGGCAGTTGTAAAGCTGCTTGTTAATAGGGATGACGTTATAGCTGACTCGAAAGGCTTGTTGAGTCGGACGCCACTAGCAGAAGCAGCAAAAAATGGGCACGAGGCAGTTGTAAAGCTGCTTCTTAATAGGGATGACGTTATAGCCGACTCAAAGGACAAATATAGTCAGACACCGTTATCGTCGGCATCAGAAAATGGGAATGAGGCAGTTGTAAAGCTGCTTCTTGAGCGGGATGACGTTGTAGCTGGCTCAAAGGACTACAGCGGTCGGACGCCACTATCATGGGCAGCAGAGGAAGGGTACGAGGCAATAGCCAAGCTCCTTATTGAGAGGGATAACGTTGTTGCCGACTCGAAGGATAACGATGGTCGAACTCCGTTATCGTGGGCAACATCGCGAGAGGAGTGGCGTAGATTGCGAGGGCGGGAGGCACTCGTAAAGCTACTCCTTCAGAGGGATGACGTTAACGCCAACTCGAAGGATAACAACGGCTGTACGCCGCTATTATGGGCAGCAGATGATGGGTACGAGGCAATGGTAAGGCTCCTTATTGAGAGGGATGACGTTGACCCCAACTCGGAGGATAACGAAGGCTACACGCCACTGTGGTGGGCAACGGAGAACGGGCACGAGGCAGTCGTGAAGCTGCTCATCGACCGAATAGCGAAGGATAAGGAGGCATAAAACAGAGTATCAAATCAAGGCTACTGAAACGATCCCAAACAACAGGGTATCAGATCAGGACAACTATGCCCCTCCCAACTAGCCAGCTCCAGCTCCAGCTCCAGCGACCAACCCCAAAACCATCAATACAAAAATTCCCACATCGAGACTACTGACTGACTGTGACACTCAACGAAACAGCCCCAGCCCAACCAACTGCCGCGAACAAGAAAAGAACATAAAAACCGAAAAAGATTCAATAAAAATTCCTAAATTCCCTAAACGTTTCTTCTCACACTCACTCCCCTCCTCATGCTGCGCTGTGGCTGACAGCCTACGAAGTAACAAGAACACAAATAACAATAGAAAGCCGCCTTGGACTCGGTCAGAAAACGGCAATAAAATAATAGACAGATGGACAAGAGGAGACAAAATGTGGAAAAAAGATGCCAAGCCCCAGCCCCCCGAATATAAATTATTCTCTGCTGATTGGCAAAAAACAACCAAGTTTATTGATTTCGTCACCGAACTCTCATCCCAGCCCCCCTGCTTGGCGATGACCCAATCCCACGCTCCCGACCTGTTGGAAGCGAATTGACTGCAGGATGGCCGAAACATCGTGGCACGAATCGCCAGGGCCGTTCCGCCCCGCCAACTTCCGTTCCGCCCAACCTGTTCCCGCCCCCACAGGTTGGCGAGTTGCTGGTGTCGTGGAGGACTGAGTGAGTGATGACGACGATGATGATGATGCTATGTTGGTTTAGAGATCGAGCACCGAAAGTAGAAAAATAAGGACGTAGAAAGAGATCCGCTTGAGAGACGGCGTAAACAGCGGTGGTGGTTCGTTAAGTGCTGATCTTGGCCATACCACACACCCACAAAGGCCTTCCAGCTCCCTTCTCTTGCATCAGATATCCCGGTCTGCAGTGCTGGACGCGCATCAATGCATGGACGTAGAGTGGACAAACTCGACGCCTCTTCTGCCCGCCTGGTCCAGTTCCAGTTCATGGAGTCCTGCTCCGAACACCTGGCGCATCAGTCGTCCTCGAGTCTCCTTGGGCTCAAGCGCAGGCTCAGGTACTTGCAACTCAACCTAAACCCAAATCAAGCGAGGTCGAATCCTTGATTGACAGTACTTCCTTTCCTCGAGACTCCCAACCTAGTTTCATTCCCAAAGAAACTTCGTACAACCGCAATTGAATGCTCGCGCAATGAATGTCGAGCATGATCCTACTACTCCCGCCATCCGACCATTGCCTACCTACTTTCGTTGCGCTTCAATTGCATGCGCCGAGTCTTAAGAAGCGCATCGTTCGTGCGCGAGGCGCTGGCAGCTGCTGCCCTACGCTGAGTCGCTGTCGTTGTTGGTCGCTGAGCGGTCGTTGCCAGCAGCGAGTGAATGCGCAAACGAAGTGACTCAACCGCCCGCGCAAACCCGGATGCGCAACGTCCTGTTCATATCAATCGACTCGGGAAGCAGCAAACGAAGATAGTGCGAGCCGGAAAGTCGCAAAGAAGATCTCGTTGGGTTGATGTTTTGCTTTTATTCGTCGCTCCTCTTTTGATTTCGCGTTGTGCGCGCGGTCTCTGTCGCATGTTGTCTCGCTCGGCTGGCCACTCGATTTTCGTCCCCAGCCTTCTCAATATTCCAACTTTGCGCCGCCGAGAGCTATCGGTGCCTTTTCTCTCGCACCACGCTCGTTTTGCGTTCAACTGCCCTTTCACTCAAATTACATTCCAACCTCGCCGGGATTTTTGAGTGTGGGACAACCATTTCTGCACCATTTTCCGTGCCTCGATCCCCGATAGAGCGAGTCCACAACGCCCTCTCACTGTCACACCAAACTAATTCACAACCTGGATTAAACAATCATACAATCATACAGCCTCTACGACCTTCTCAATCTCCATTCTACCCTTCGACAGGGGATTGTGAATCGCCTTCACCTTGTCGAACCCACCCCAATCACCGTTGCTCGCAGCCGCGTTGACGACTCCAGCCCAATCACTATCTAACGACCCTTACGATCTTGACGACCCTGTAACGCCCATATCCACGCAGCGCCAGCAGCAGCAGCAAAGTTTTTTACGAAGAACACACATTGAAGCTACCTCGGCTGGCATCTCACCACCTCCAAAAGTCCGATTTGCAGACCAGCCAAAAGACGATACTCAGAAGCCCATTCATGGTTTTGAAGACGACCTTGGTACTTCAACTCTTGTAGAATCCAGTTCTCACCAACACTCGCCCGAAGCCGCGAGACGACCCCACCGTGCATTACGAATATCAAAACGCACCGCAAGTGCTGTCCTTTACGCCCTAGAAGAAGCCTTACGGCGTCCCTATCCTTTTACCCCAGATCTCGTCGAGGAGAACGCCTCGATGTCAGATCTGTTCGGTGGAGGTCCTTCAGCATCTGCTGGTAATGGACGTGGTAACAATGGCAGCTCTAGAACTCAAGGTGCCCCGGGAGCTACTGGCTCGCCGGGGATCAAAGGTCCAACTGATATAATGCGCGAGCGACGGGCTCGGGAAGCAAGAAAGAAAGCAGAATTAGAGGCCAAAGAAGAATTGGAGAGAGCCAGAGCGGAGGAGGAAGCTAGAGCCATAGAAGAGAATAATCGCAGGGCCGCTGAAAGGAGGGCCGCTACTGCTGCTGGCGCTGCGGCACAACAGAGAGCCGCTGGAGAAAGTGGTCACCGTGGATCTGGTGGTACCACTGGGCAGAGAATCTCGGATAATTCTCAAAGATCAGACCGTAGGTCTGGTGGCGAGACTGGCCGTCCCCAAGAAACATTACAGGGCGTCGGGAGAGGGGGCCGTGCTGTTGGCGGTGGTGAAGCTCCTCCTTCTGCCAGACCCCGTCCAGCTCAGTCACAACAGCAATCGAGACCTGCCCAGCCCGAATCATCACGGCCTAGGCCTCCTCAGCCCCAGCCTATAGCAACCGGTGCCGGGCCTACGGGTACCCCACGAGCTGAAAGCATTGCACCAGGAGCAGCTAGGTCATCATTTCCCCACGCATTCGAACGCTGGGAGACATTATCCGCCCACTGGGAAGGACTTACGTCGTTCTGGATTCGCAGACTAGAGGAAAACAGCAATGAAACTAGCCGTGATCCTCTATCTCAGCAACTTTCTCGACAAGTGACTGATCTATCAGCGGCAGGCGCTAATCTATTCCACGCCGTGGTTGAGCTACAGCGCTTGCGAGCTTCTTCAGAACGCAAGTTTCAGCGATGGTTCTTCGAGACTAGGGCAGAACAAGAACGTGCCCAGGAGATCCAGGCAATGACCGAAGCTAGTCTTGAGCAGGAACGACGAGAGCGCGCTGCAGCCATTGCCGATGCAGTTTCCAAGGAAAGAGAGCGGTCGAGTGCCGACAAACAGTTAGCAGAGATGAAGCGCGAGCTCCAGATTTCCAAGGAGGAGGCGAGACGTGCATGGGAGGAACTCGGAAGGCGAGAGCAAGAAGAGCGCGAAAGGACAGCTTCGTTGCGAGACGGCCAACCCACAGTCGTAGGAGGTGTTCAGGTTGTCCCAATGATGCCAAGTGTTCCGAGCAGACATGGCAGCACTCGTGAAGCGCCGCCAACCAGAGAAGAACAATATCCCGCGGGATCTTCTGGAAGCACACATGAACCCGAAGGCCCCATCGACAGTGATATCGCATATCAACAGTACTCCCGAGCCCAGCGAGCTGAGCCTACCGACCCGTTCGTTGAGCAGAGTGTCCCACGATCCAGTCGATCTACCCCAGTAGCAAGTCCCCCCGCAACTTCGGCGGCTTATGGCTATGAGTATTCTCAAGCTCCAGCCGTTCAACCAGCCTCAACATCCGCTTTCTACCAACAACAACAGGGCACATCACTTCATCCCGTCGAACTCGACCCAGCACTCGGGCCTTCACCAGGTTCTGAAGGCGCGTTCAGCGACGAAGAGTACGCAATCAACGAAGAAGGCCAATTCATACGAGATGCCAGGGGCAACAAAGTACGGTATGAGGCCTCAGTTTCTGATGGGGGTACGGATGAATATGAGGAGCATCCAGGCCGGGTGCAACAACAATATGCCCCAACGACAAGTGCGGGCCAAGGGCGCGGGGCAACGACTGCTACAGCTGGAAGAGTGGCAGCCCCCTCTGGCCATCCATCAACAGAGCCAGGTATCGACTATACTGGCGCTGGATATGGTACGGGACTTGAATGGGGGGCGGTCCCTCGTCACCACCATCCGACGAGATTGAGCGACGTGTTGGAGGAAGACGAGCGTAGTCGAACAAGCGCAAGTCAGATCAGCCGGGGGGCTCAATAATGTTCAAAACTAGCTTTTCATAATTTGTTCATAGAGTTATATGTGAGCGAGAGGAGTGAAGGCGTGCAAGGACGAATAATTGGCGTTGGAGGTGTTTAAGTTGTGTACTAAATTGAGCGAAAACTTGCAAATAGCCAGCATAGCGCATGGGAGGAGGTCTATATTTGTAGGATTAGTTTTATAGCCTGGCATAGCAGCATGGAGAAATTAATTCCAGAGACTTACAGCTCAAGAAGGTTGACAAATTGACAGAGGCTGGAGTGGGGAATGAACGCATATGTGAAAGAATGTGATGCCGCTTTTGACAACGTGGAGGATATAAGGGCGGCGGCGGGTAATCTGTACACTAAGCCCGGTATGGACAGCCCAGCTTCTCTAGAAAACATCTGGATATCAAGACACCGATATCAGCTCATGTGTTGATTTAGACGTGCATGTCAACAACTATGTCGAAATTTACCACCCCAAGTCGCAGACTACTCTCGACATTCTCCCAATCTCTAAAATATGACAAGTCGCTCGCGACTCCTTGTCAATGCCGCCGATTAACAACCACTGGCACCTCAATCCGGCCTCGAGCTCAGCAATCTCACCTAAATCCAGCTTCCGCCCACAACAAAAGACCATTCAGCGTCTCATTCCCCCGGTCATATAAAACCGTCGAGGAGCAAAAGTCACGATATAAATCCGGCGTATGGCCCCCCGCACCGTTACCCAACTATTAGCGCTAACATTATTAAAGCCCTTTTCATGGCAAGCCGGTATCCTTTTCCTCTCGGCGGGCGTCGGCCTCGTCTTCTACTTCCGCTTTGAAAAAGCACGCATGGAGCGGAAGCGCGTAGCAGAAGCTAGCAAAGGCGTTGGGCGACCGAAAGTCGGAGGACCATTTGAGTTGGTCGACCAGCATGGAAAGCCATTCACAGATGCAGATATGAAGGGGAAATACTCTCTTGTGAGCAAAGCCCTACCCCTTTGAACATTAGAAGCTTCAGAGATACTAATTGGGGTAATAGGTGTACTTTGGCTTCAGCCACTGCCCAGATATCTGTCCCGAAGAACTCGACAAGATGGGCCAAATGATCGACATCGTCAACGCATCCTCCCTTCGCAAACCCTCCACCCCCCCTCTCCTCCCTATCTTCATAACCTGCGACCCCGCCCGCGACACCCCCGCAGTCCTTGACGCCTACCTCTCGGAATTCCACGACGGCCTCATCGGCCTTACCGGCACATGGGAGCAAACCAAGGACGTCTGCAAGAAATACCGAGTGTACTTTAGCACCCCGCCGGGAGTGAAGCCAGGGGAAGATTACTTGGTGGATCATAGTATATATTTTTATTTGATGGATCCCGAGGGCGATTTTGTGGAGGCGATTGGCAGACAGCATAGCCCCCAGCAAGCTGCCAGTATTATTTTGGACCATATGGGAGATTGGAAGAAGAGATAAAGGTATATAAGAGGGTGAGGATAAGGGATTGTGTATGCCCTATATGTTGTACGATATATTCTTGTACTGGATAGAAGGTATTCGCTCCTCCAAGGTGTTTAACAATGCAATTGCTACCTAAAAAGCCTAAGATGCTTCCAGATACGTTTTGAAAGATCTGAGCAACGTTGAGTGTTGGAACTAGGACAAATTCCAGTGTACATCCTTAGCACAGCCAGGATACTCCAATACCCCGATAAAACAAGTCTAATAGGTTACTAAAATTTTGGCTTTCTAACGGCTCCAAGATGGGATGACGTTCTGTAACTGAAGCTTGGACGCTTTGGGGTAAGACTAAATATGAATGCTAACAATTACTGGCTCACGAGTAATTAGGGTGTTGTTGCTTTGCTGGTAAGGCTGAGTATCAATACCTGAGGTTCCCGGCACCTTACCTACCTACCTATATATACCAAAATAAGCACAATTCCCTTAACAACTGGAGACAGGCGACTAGGCCTGTTGGTGCAGTGGGGATATTAATGCCTTTCCGAGGTTGAACCACTGATCAACAGACCACCTAGGATGACTCTGGACGCTCCGCCAGAGATAACAGAAACGTTTCTCGGTATCCCATTTGGAACTGATAATTGGGTATTTCTTTTGCTATTTTTTTCGGAGTTATTATCTTTGATAATAACGCCCTTTTCCTGTTTTGGCTTTCAAATTTTATTTTTTTGCCGTCTCGGCTGCCTCGCTTGTATCAATTGCTGCTTTAATGATGTAATGCCAGCTTTCCTGCTCGAGCAACTCATAACAGTTTTATATCTCCGTTATCAGGGCCAAAGACCATGTTCAAACGTCCTCAAGATGCAAAACGCTTAACTTGAGCCCAGGGTTACATAAACCGCAACACAATACACAACTTCGCCGTATACTTCGAATAGGACGAGACCAATACCGGGAGATTCACGCAGACTTCACCTAAAGCACAGACTCATATAGGGATTGCTCATGAAGGATATTAGCAACGCCAAATTCTATTATAATTCCCCGTTCCTTACGGAGGCTGGTATGGGATCGAAAAGCGCGTCTCCAATCCTCTTCACCCACCACCATGGAGCATAAACATCATCCTCGTCGCTCATCCCAGCATCATGATATTCCCAGCCACCCACCCCACCGAATCCCGGATACATCGCCCGCAAGTTCCTGATGGTTTTCTGTAAAGCATCAATACGGACAAACCCATTCCGTTGTCCATCCTCCGCACAATCAAGAACAACCATAACGACTCTCGAGGGATCCCACCCGGCATCCACAATCGACTGATAGAAAGGGGGCCCTCTGGCGAAGCCTCCGTAGAACAGCCCGTTGTACCAATCAATCAGCTTCTCGTCAGACCCGGGAACCGTGGCGAAGGCCTCTAGGTCGAAATATGAGAATTTTGACAGGTTTTGCCCAAGTTCATCGCTCAAGGCTGATGCCAGTGGTGTCATGGTAATGAGGAATCCCGGTTTCATATCCCGGCGCAGGGCATTCATTAGTCGGAATGGGACACTGACATCCACATGTTCTTCGATATCCACATCGAGCCCGTCTATGTCGTACTTTTGGAGGAGATCGCGGAGAGGATGGTAGTATGAATAGAACTAGTAATTGGCAATGTAAGCATAATCTCGCCCGCTGAGGAATTCATTTGGCCACGAAGAGCGAACTAATCTGTTGTATAGAGCGTCAGCTAACTCACCTCTTCATCGGTCCCATTCAACCTCTTATAGGTTCCCCCAGCAGCACCTCCCAACAACGCCATAACTTTTACATTATTCTGTTGCAATATCTTCACCTCTTTCCAGATTGTATCCCAGTTGGGCGAGTCAAACGGATCGTCATTCAACCTGATTTGCCCAGGATCTTCATGCAAGTGCATTGAGGCCAATATGACGTGAGTGACTCTAGTCTGGTGTTGAAGCATTGGAAGTAGCGACAGCGGTTTACCATCTGGTTGCTTGAATGTTTGAACATACATAACAAGTCGTGCATCTGGCTGTGCCTGGGGGGGGGAATAACTAGCCACGGCTTCGCTGAACAGGGCCAGCAGCGAGAGGCCGGCGAGTGAGAACTTCATCTCGGAAAGCAATCCCAATCCTCAAGCCATCTGGCTATCACGACGACCGCCAAAATTCCAAGAACAAAGATCAATCAAGCACGATTGATCTTCAAAATGATGCAAAGGTTTGCAACCCGGAGACACTTCTCCATGGTTGTTAGGAGGGGCCAAAATAGCGTGCATCGTAAACCCGATCGGACACGTTGCCCGCGGATCGAAAAAGGCTATATTCTTATTCCCCTTCTGGTACGGAGCAAAGAATTAAGCATCAAACAGCCTCGTCTAGAGTTTGTAGCGGGGATGAAGCTCCCCGGGTCAATTTATTTTGCGTTTTGCCGTCTCGGCTCGCAGTTGCAGATCCTTGTCTGTCTGGTGACATCGCGACCCAACTTCCGATTTTCAAGCAGAGAAACGGATTTATGTTTTCCTATGTCATATCCCATAGGAGTTGAAATATGTTTTGAAAAAAAGGGGAGGTTGAAATGAAATTTGTTCAAGCCGTCAGAAAGAGTGGCACTTTGTCACTGATTCCAGTTCCTGCGCTCATGCATCGTCAGAGATATGCGTTTGCATTTGAGTAATCTAAGGAATCTAGTTATTCCGAGATTGCCCCCTTCTTCCTGTTATTCACAAACACCCAAAAAAATCGGGTTAAGTTTCTCAGTCCACATGGTCGAGAATAAATCAACACCCACCTGATGCTGGTTTGTTGCCAAGTGGCTTCCAAGCTCCAACTGAAACTGCCAAATTGGTGCTGCTCCATTATAGAAATATTTCATATCCGTTTTAACGCATTTCAGACCAATTTGTTTCATCTCTAGTCTCCTTCGAACGAAGTCTACAGACGTCAATTACACTCGTCGTCGAGCTTCCTAGTAGAGCTTCCTGGCACGAAAGGGCCACTAGAGTGAGTCTGCATGCTACATGCCCACACGAGCATTTAGTGAGGCAAGAATCAAGAAATATCTAGTTGGAAAGAGTTAGCTGGATTTACAACATGCTTGGGAAATACGAGTAGCTAGAGGGCCTCTGGCTGGCTGCATGTGTAAACGAAACTTACTAAGCGTTGGCAGCCAGAGTGCAAACGGCCAAGTTCATATCCTAGACGGAAGGGAAGTGGCACTGCCTTTACCAACAAGTTCCCATTATCCTTGGGATAGAATTCCAACCTTCGGATCTCACGTATAGATACTGAAGCTATTTCCATCCTGTTGGCAGGAGTTCGTGAAACCTTGGTACCAACAACGCAACAGGCTCCAAGGTTTTCTGAATGGCTACGCATTCCGTAAAGTCTAAGTGCTGACAGTCTTCTGTTTGTTCTCCATCTTAATGCATTGGTATGCATGTTTCCAGATTTTCTATAATATGAAAATAGCAGCATGGTGCCGGTAGGTTGGTTTCAGTTGGATATTGGAATTTGGACTTGGAACTTACTTGAGTACCCCGCCAGCCTCTCGAAACATTTGGCAATTGAGCAAAAGAGTGCCAACCGCACCAGCCTAGATGCACCTTCACAGCCTTGAAGTGCCAACCTTTTAAATAACGAGTGTGCAACGGTTGGTCATGATAGAGGAGAGTTCACATGAGACCCTACACGTGACCACACCGCCATCGGGGAGACTTCCGAGGTTCCTCCAGGGATCCGCCAGCATGAACGCCCAAGAAATTACGCGTGTTTTGAACTTGGACCAGAACTCGCAGAATTGCGGCTGTGAAACATCGCCATGGCTGAGAATCGCCCACTTCTCGGCCTTTGGCTCTTTGAGTCTCGACCGCGGCTGAAAAAAAGCATGCTATTGCCCGTCGGCGACCAATCATTATTGCACAACCCGGGGAACGAAGCCTTGGTGTTCGTGCTATCGCCTGCACAGCCTGCCCTGTTGGCTGACGCCGAAGGTATTCGTATTTACGTGTTGCGGGTTTTCAGTAGTCTGAAGCTGGATGCTCGCCTCGTGTCTTGCCAACGAAGTTGTTGCTGCTTCACTGTACTCATCCCTCGTTTTTTTCATTCATATACTCCGTACGATGGTTTGCATAGCGTTGTTTCTATGATTTCCAGCATCAATTTGCTTCTCCCTTCTCGTCCATTGACAGTACCACAGTTGCGAGCTGAGAGCCTCGCCCCGAGCCTTGATTCACCTGGAGCTGCAAGGAGCTTCCCAACTCTCTGCCTACATTCCAGCGAGACAACGCAGACATGAAGCTCCCTTTGGTGTCAGCGGTGCTCTCGATCGCGATCGCCGGGATGGGCCATTATGCACTCGCTGCCGTGGTCATGCCCATTGCGCGCGGCCCCGAATACAATCCAGACATACGACCCAGGTACCTGTCGACCCGTGCGACCATTTCCAGCACGCTCTTCAACAACATTACTCGCGGCTCATACTACGTCGAGGTCGAGATTGGAACGCCGCCCCAGTCACAGACTCTCTTCGTTGATACGGGGAGCAGTGATGTATGGCTGCTGGACTCAGACGCCGACTTGTGTTCGAGCCGAAGACTTCAAGCCGCCAATCGTGGGGGTTGCGGTACCACTTGTAATGCTTCCCATCTAATACAATTGATATTAATATATCTGCTAATCTCTTGTATAGTTACCTCTTCGATGTCCTCAACGTTCGCAACCGTTCGTGAAGACCAATTCGATATTTCATACTTAGATGGGACGGGAGCGAGTGGGGATTATGTATCTGATACATTGACCATTGCTGGAGTGTCCGTCAAGGGTCTTCAGATGGGGCTTGCCCGCCAGGCGACTATCGGCTCGGGACTAATGGGCATCGGCTATAGTTTGAATGAGGCATCGAACTCTCGTAGACAAGGAGTACCTTTCGTGTACCCCAGCGTCATTGATACTATGCTTAATCAGAGTTTGATCACCAGGAGGGCCTATAGCTTGTATCTGAACAGCCTCCAGTCTTCGACAGGCTCTATCATATTCGGCGGTCTAGACACCCACAAATTCTCTGGAGATCTCCTGGAACTTCCTGTCCTCCCATCAACATACCCAAACGGGACTGAAGCCTACTTTGAACTTGTCGTCGTCATGACCTCTCTCTCCATAACTGGCCAGCAAGGCAACATAGCTAATCTCACCAAGGCCGGCTACAAAGAACCAGTCCTCCTCGACTCAGGAACGACATTCAGCTACCTCTCGAGCCGCCTAGTTAAGTCCATCTACAATAGCATCGACGCAATAGACGACTCCAACAACAGCGGCCTTATCCTCGTAGACTGTACAATCCTACAAAACTCACCATCCTTAACGTTCAACTTCGGCTTCGGCACTGCCGCGAGCGGAGTAACCATCAAAGTCCCCCTCAACGAACTAGTCTTCCCCCTCAACAGCCTCCTCAACCTCACCAAATCCGATCTACCTCGGAATACCCCCTGGCCATCCACCTGCGCCTTTGGAATCTACACCACCGGCGAGTCAGAGCCTTCCATCCTAGGTGATTCCTTCATGCGTTCTGCGTACGTTGTATACGACCTAGATAGCAATGTTATCGCACTCGCTCAAACCAATTTCAACTCCACGAGTAGCAGTATTGTGGAGTTCAAGGCGGATGCTACGGGAATCCCGAACGTTAGCGGGGTTGCCAATAGTAATGCGGATGTCACGCAGAGTGCCGGGGCGCTTTTGCCGGGCATCGGGGTGAGGACAAGCTCCAGCACGGCAGCGACGGCGACTGGTACCGGTGCGGGTGCAGAAGCTGTGCGTACGTCGGATACCAAAAAGAGTGCTGCTGCTGGGTCAGTTCCTGCTTTTGATGTCAGCACGTTGATTATCTTGGGTGTATCGAGTACTTTCGCGGTGATGGGGAGTGCATGGTTTCTTTCGTTATAATACACTGCGGGCGAGTGAAGGATGTGGGAAATCTACCTTTTGAGAGGAAATTTGGTTGGAGTTTGGTAAATAATAGATACCCAGCGAAGCATAGATTAGATGCTTTACAATTGGCATGGCATATAGAGATGAAAGAATAGCGGTCGGCGTTGGCATATCATATACCTAATAGGTACCTACATATTGTATAGACATTAAACATTGATGACTTTTATTGGTCACGACCTATTCCGAAATAGAACGTCTCTGCTTTTCATATAGCAGCTGTGACCGAAGACACGCTCACAATTCCAATTAGTCGGCTTTCCATAATTGAAATCAAGGAAGAGGTGGCAAATAGATATGTGCGTGCACTATGTTGTGCTCTATACGAGTAAAGAGGAGACTAAAAGTGAATATTCGAAGTGCGCTACTCTTCCGAACCCCCACTATAGATAACCTCAAGTATGAATGCCACAAGTACGCACATGATATAGTTATATATCAAAATTCGTATCATAAGAATAAGCGCGTTTGCTGTTCTCCTCCTAGATACCCTGGCTCCCACCTCGAGCGCCGCCATTTTTTCAAAACAATAATAATAATAACAGCGTACAAATATTTCATTACACCTCCCATTCCCACTCCCCAGTCTAAAGGGGAAAATATCCATAACACCGTGCGCCGCGATCCGTTGCCGCTCGTATTCTCGTTCTCGTTCCGGTTTTGCGTTCAGTTCGTCAGATTCCGAATTAACGTTATTCCCAAGCATACCCAAAAGTCCCACCCGGTCATAAGTCGTAAAGTTCCAGTCATCTAGTTCTAGTCATTCAGTTCCCATCATCCAGTTCCAGCCATCTAGTTTCCCAAGTCAAATAAGGTCATTAAAATATGCGCCGCCAAATAATCTCCCGATAGCCGTGTTTGAAAAGCAAACCCCCACCCAGTCCAGGTCATTGAACATGATTCATAGCGAGGTCCTTTGCCTCTTAATTCCCAAAACTCCCCTCAGCGCTTCACTGGCCCTCCTAGCTTTGCCTCTAAGACAGCGACCTCCCTTGTGGCTATCAGCAGCTGGACTTCCCTGCCCCATATACTTCTCATTGGTTGTAACCTTTTCCTTTTCCTTGGATCGTAACAAATGAGTTGCTGAATTTGAACTCCAACTTCGGATATGTAGCGTATTTTCTAGAGCGCGCATGACTCTGGACTTTTCCTCATCGTCGTCTTCTTCAAAGACCGATTTCTCCATACCCATGAGTCCCATGGGCGGAGGGGCGTATTGAGGAGTGGTGGGTGCAGAGCGCATGTATAAAGCAGCATCAGAGAACGGCGAGGGGGATTGAGATTGGGTGCGGACCTCGGTGCAGGTGCTCAAGTTAGAGGGTCGACGCACACGGGGATTCGTAGGCGTGGTGTTCGCACGAGAGCGAAGTGGGCGACAAGCGGCTCTGGAATCGGATCGAGTCGGCCAAGACTTGTGAAGTGGAAGACAGGACTCTTCGGTAGGGCATTCCTGCGCTCTTGGTGCTGGAGGGAAGGGCGAGTAAAGTGCTTTAGGGGTTTTGGCATTTGCTTCCGCGGAGCATTGGCGCCGTTGATTGCGTCGAGGAGTTCGGACAGCATCTGATCGATGCAGTTCACCCGAAGGCGGCGAGGAGATATTGAGCCCAGAGAGATTGAGGGAGGCAAAGTTCCGGTTGATAGGAGTTAACTGAAAGTTCTGTGCATGCCTTGGTGATGCAATGACTGGGTCAAACTTGTAGGACCGGGTTGGAGTAAGCGGTGGCTGTCTATTTGACGACCAGAAGGAATTCCAAAGCTTGGTCTCTGCCTCATAATTGAAGCTCTCTTCCATAGATACATCCGAGTCGGAAGCTCCGAAGGTATCCTCCATCATCGCGGGAGGAGAACTATCTGACTGGGTGGACGGGCACTCTTGAGCTTCGTCCAATACTGATCGGTATGTAGAGTTTTGTTTCTCATCTATCGAATCATATATGTCCGGGAACTTTCCGACGGGCAAGGGCTGTAAGTGCATCTTTGACGAGGTTGAAGCAAAATGAGAAGATAATGGGGACTTTAGGGGCAGGCCCCCGTGCGGAACCAGTGTCATCATATCGTCTTCATTATCGATAGAAGCGTCGTCGGGGAAGAACTCAACCCGCAGTGGCGAGCGTCTCTTTGGGGACAGAGGAATGGGGGCAGGCATTCTTGACGTAGTATAGCCGAGACAGTACACAACAAGAATCTGAAGCGACGTTCATGAAGAACACAAACAACAACTATCAAGATCTGGAATGAGAAAGTGTTGCGTATAAGGCTATAGCTCAGCTACGTCCTTAGTTGGTTTCTGGCTCCAAGCTGACGGCCCACTTATACAACACATAAAGTTGAGGAGCTATCATATGAGATATATATGTATGCATAGGCAGAGGTGAGACGAGAAGATGCTAGAGAATACACGAATCGGGAGGCATTGAGACCACAAAGTCGAGGCAGTTGGGAGCAAGGCACTCCCTTACACATGGGCAACCACAGTAAAAAACAAAAATCCAGCTTCTTATTGGAGGTTGTGGTTGCCCAGTGAGGGATCGAGGGAGGGTTTTGATTTCAAGCCACAAACATCAATCTGCTGGAGGGGCTTCGGGTCGATCGACGCCCAGAGTCGTACGGCATATCAACAAGGTCAACACGCAGAATGCCAGAGGACTTCCTATGGAGGTGCATGAACCTCTGCTCAAAATACGACGATCGATATGACGTGTCTATCTCCTTGGATATCGCCGTAGTACTTGGAACGATCCACCCTGCACCATATCTACCTAGCCAACGTAGGGGGAAGCGCCAAAAAGGACTGGGGCTCGGTCCCGAGCTAAGGGAGAGACTGGAGCAGCAGAAGCCGAAACGCAGCGTTGCATAGGGATACTGGCCCGATATCGAGGACAGGCCGATCTAGAGAATGCCGACATGGCGATTTGCCCCAAGGCAACTGATACCCATAGGAAACCCGCAGGAATGACAACATTGCGGAGGGTTGGGGTTGGTTGTTGTGTTGCTCTACATCCATATCCTCCTTGCAGCCACGATACAAGTAGGACTCAATTCGACATCACGCCAACCATTTCCTTGCGGATGGTTGAATAGTTGAATACGCTGGGGTAGCCGAGGGCTTGTGAGAGAGAGGGAGAGGGAGAAGGGATATCAGAGGAGGAGCGATGAAATGTGGTAGGTACGAGTCGGTGCAGTATATTAATATCACGTGAGGTATCACGTGTGGGGCAGCGTTCGTTGTTTTATCGCAATGAGGAGTTGATTTTCATCTCTTCTGTCGCCCCCTCAGTTTACTGGGGTCAAAACCGACCAATATCGATCATTTCCTCTCGATCTTCGGATCGGATATCGTACCGTTATGCGGGGTGAACCGGCTCGTCGGCTGCGGCAGGAAATGGAAGGTATTCTTGTACTGCTGAGCTCTAGATTCAAGCTCGATCTGAAGATTCCTCGATCTGTGGCTTAGCCTGCAATTCTCCCCGCTATTCCGCTGTGCAATCCGCGGCATCATGTCTCTCTTTCAGCTGGTCGACTTTTTCGAGTTTTCCTACCGCACCTTGTGGTCAAAACATGACTTCTAGAATACTTGCGTTATCCCGCTTCAACTCTAGATCCCTATCTAGTGAGTGGGACGTGACCTTGGTAATGAAACATGTTTTGTCTCTCCCTCAGCCGTCTCAAATAGTGAGATTTCAAAAAAAGAAAAAAGGGGCGTATGCGCTAAAGATGTACTTGCAGCGGAACATCCGGGACTGACAATATATGGGGATGAGTATCTGCGGGTTTGCCTGCTTACAGACGTGCTGTTCCCTTTTCAATGAATCTTTCGCTGAACTGGCTCTCCCACAGGCCTAAGTCGGCGTCCGTTTCAACCCCATCGACCGGATTCTCATGGCCGATTTCCCCTTGAGTCTTGACCCTGTTCATCGGCTTGGAGCCCCAGGAACATGGATACCGGATCGATGCACGCGGGAAGTGGAAATATATGGAGTACTACTCGAGCTCGTTCTGGAATTGCGTCCCTACAGAGGTGTTCATCCGATTGTACAAGATACTCTTGAGGGTGTATTCGTACTTCTTACGTACCAGAGTAGTACAACGTACGCCAGTGCACGAACCACTGAGATCTGCGCTAGCACTACAAAGTACGGAGTACGTATACACCGTTCTACCACTAGGAGCACCAGAAGTATGGTAAATAATTAACCCGTCTTATAGCAACTCCGAAAAACCTTGCGTACCTTCTAGGCTACCGTTACCAAGGGAGTATATATTGGGCGTACTCGTAGAAGCCAGCTAAAGAAGCTACTAAAATCATTTGGCGATCGAGCATTTCTGTAATATATCTTTGCAGTGTTTACTCTAACCACCTGGGACAAGTCTCATACCGTCTCACTATCGGGTCCGCGATATGGGTTCACCGTCCAAATCCCATAGCAAGGGCAAAGATGCGAAGGGAGGGCCTGCCGATCTTCCAGATACTCAGAGCTGTTTCGTCGATACTCACGGTGTGATAACCTCGACGATGAATGACCTGCCAGGCTATCGCATCGTGAAGGTCCTCGGTACCGTCTACGGCATCACGGTCCGTTCCCGAAACTGGGGCGCAGACATCGGCGCCTTCCTGAGATCATCGGTCGGAGGCGAGCTCAGATACCTATCGAACTTGATGTATACTTCGAGGAATTCGGCGGTGGAGAGAATGGTGGGGGAGTGCATGCAGCGGGGTGGGAATGCGGTTATCGCGATGCGGTTTGATCAGGGCGAGGTAAGGACATCGGATTCTTTCCTGGGCGTGAAGGGATCCCGGCTTATTGTTTAAAGGTCAATACTTTTACCCAGGTTTGCGCTTATGGGACGGCTGTCATCGTAGAAGAACTGAAAACTTAATGTGATCCCATCACGGCTTTGAGGGATTTATGATGGGTTTTTAGTTGTGGGCGAAGTTCTTTAGCGGCACGAATACCTCGGCTTGATTTGCAAGAACATCTCTTTGGTAAATGGCTTAAATTAATATTTAGGTATAGTGTGTTTATCAAACTATGAGTATATACTTAATGTCTTCGACTTTCAAGAAGTTCACATTGTATCCATTTCCACGGGCCGATTTGACGTCAGAAGGTTAGCTACCCCTGACAAAGAAGTTAACTTTTGAAAATAACATCCCATTCTCTTAGAAACATTGGACTGAAATTGTTATAACCTGCAGCCAGTAATGCTGATCAACGTGATACAAATTTTTAATGTAAATAAGAGCATTTTGTCATTGGTTATTGCTGTACGCAGGTAGTACTCTATGCCCGCATGCCAGGCTAGTTCCCCTTCCAACGGGGGACCGGCTAGAGAGAGACAGCCATCGGCTCGGTGCCGATTCGAGTGAGACAATGGCTTGCATATATGGGGACTCCACCTCGAAGCCTGATATTTTATACTGAAGAGTGGAGACAGTTCAGTTCATCTTTTAGCCCCAATTGTTCGTCATTCGCCTACACGATTAGTGAACATTTTCCTTCGTTTGTTTACTGGATGGTTTGGCTTGAACATGTACAAGTTACATTTGTGTAACTACAGGATCATATACATTCTTTTGCCAGCTTTCCCCTCCATCCTTCCTCATTTCCCCGCATACCATTGATCTCAACCTGCAAATCTCACGTCGCCGATTCCCCACTTTACAATCCGAACCACGCAAGGTCGACCGACTCGTGAACTGGGACGGTGTGTCCAACACCTTGGCCAGAGTAGCCAATGAGTTTTGTTCCGTCACCGTAGACCTTCTTGGTGTATCCGCTTTGTGGGTTGTTGGCAACGTCATTCGTAAATGGGACGTCGAGAACGTTGGACCATTGCTTCAACGCCTCGGCGAAGTTGGGATACGACAAGGTGTTATCGGCAGTTCCATGCCAGCTAAGAATATACAGGTCAGTATTATTATTCACAGCGGTAAGTGCATTTAGATGGCTTACATCAACATCCTTGTGCGGGTACCGTTGTATCCTGGATAATAGCTGCGGGTAAGATCACCCCATTGTTGAGCAGTCTTGACGGATCGTCCACCAGAGCACTCGTTGTTCCAGCCTGGAGTTGCCTGTCCAGCGGTGGCACCTGGGACGTAGAAGCATCCGTCGGGAACACCAGAGTAGGAAGAACCAGCCTTGAAAATATCTGGGTACGCTCCCGCCAAAACATTGGTCATCATAGCTCCAGAGCTGGATCCAGTTGCAAAGACTTTGTCTGCGTCACCTCCATAGTTCTGCACAGCATAGTCCACCATGTTGGCGATAGTCTTGGAGTCACCGCCGCCATTGTGGGTGAGAGATGCCGTTGAGGCAACATCCCAGCAGCCACCACTTGAGGGAGAGTTGGGATAGATGACGATGAAACCCTTCTGGTCTGCAAGATTTGCGTATTGGGTGCTTGAAAAGTAGGCTTGGGCGGTACCGGTGCAATAATGAATTGCCACGATAATTGGAGCTGGTGTTGCCTTCTTGCTGGGCACGTAGATATACATGCCGGCCTTCGTAGGTCCCGCATTGAAGCCATTAACCTTCTGGAGTTGACCTTGGGCAGCTGGTGCCGCGTTGGCAACCAGCGCGAGGGCTGCCGCTAATAAGCCCGAGACAAGATACATGATGAACTTCTGACTGTTGTGCAGGTTACGGAAATGAATTTGAGAGTACTCTGGGGAACATCACTTCGGGGGCGGGTTATTATATAAACTTTTCGGCCGCCGCTCCTCCGGGAGAATCACCCCTCGATACACACTCATGTATCTTTGCCATCTGACCGATAATCCAGGAGGAAGATAACCAAACCTTACAGATGGAAGAAACTGACAGCCAATATCTGCCGCGACGGAAGAGTGTGAAGGGAGTATTCAAAGCATACTTACAGAGGTACCTATCCCAGGGCGACAAAACCAATATCCAGCTCGTCTCAGCCAACCATATGAGCAGGACAAATTGATCGGAGCATCTCTGACTACCTCATTTGAGAATTTGCTGGGATTCAGAAGGGGTATATATTGCTTGTCTTTTGTCCGAAGGCTTAATGGCAGTGGTACCGACTCGCGATTGGGTGCATCGGCAACTCGCATCATTCTAGCTGAAAAGTCCATTGCGAACATCCGCGTACGCCCATTTGGAAGATTCACTTAGCGAACTTATAAAGTTCTCCAATTTCAGCCTGTTTTATGATTGTCAACTTCCACGAACAGGGTCAAGCCGTTCATGCATCAATTCTTGGCATCACGAGGCTCAGTCTCTCTCCCCCGCAATTTTGACTATAGCCTGGCAAGGTTTAGATTCAACCTCTTGCCAAAGTCCCCTGTCACGATTTTCGTGGAAACCCTCATTAGCTTATTATTCCTGAAGATTTGTAAATGGAGATTACCCCACACTCCCATTTCCGTCTTACGGAGTAGACCCCAGTTGTGGGGCGAGCTCAAAATGGAAATACCCTCATCCTCTGAGAAATAATTGCCCACTGCCACAGCTCGTTTTTATTGTTCACGCGTTCCACGTTCGGTAGCCAGTCTAAACAGTAGTGCGCAGTAGGTCCTTACTAGGGACTGTATGCCAGTATATTCCAAATTATTCAGGCCTGTTAAATGATTGTCACCCGTCATGACGCCCGCAATCTGTAGATCTTCTCTACCTTAGCACAATTGCTGTTGGGGATACCGACTAGATGAAGGCGGAGCTGGTGTACCTTATATTGATCGCCATGAAGGCGGCCACCACTAGAGAAAATCCTGGGCGTGTCGATCACAGCTATATCTAGTATCAGAACCCCCTCTGTAAAAGCCTAGATTGCATCCACTGGCTCCAATAACCATCTATGGCGGTATAGATCATGAATAGGATCATTCATCTGCTCCTGCCATGCTATTTGGTTCTAAAGTTTGAGCGGTGCCGGCGGGGTGCGTGAGGAGACATGGAGACATGCTTATACCTGTTAAAAAGGCGTCTGTTGCTGTGACTTTACTTGAACTGCCGAATGATATATTGCTCATCGTGGCTAAGGGGTATGGGACCTGCTATGTCGACGTACGGTCCTCGTGACCGCGAGGATACTTTCGTTGGCCACGTGGTTGAGGTCCTTGTACGTGATGGATAATCAAGTCGAGGCCAAAAGTTGCCAAAGATAGGTCAAAAATGTCTCCAGGGACGATAATGACGGAGGAGCGGATTAACCATACTTTCGGAATATTTTGTGCACGTACTAAGGGTGCGGGTACCACAATATCCAAGCGAATGACCTCCCATAATTATGCCCCATGGGGTAAGATTTTGGAGGCTGTGTAGATGGGAAGCTCCATGGAGATGCCAAATACCTAACAAGCGAGAGCCATTTCCACCCTATAATACGCATTAGTAACAAGATTCATAGAGGCGTGGTCTCCTGGGGCGCGGGACAAATTTTTATACCGTTCAGGTTTGCTTTGAGCACCAAGTACACCTCGGGTTTCCTTCTGTGACAAGTTCTTGGTGCCACTGTACCATATATTCTTTGGTGTTACCATTCCTTGACGTCGGTCGTGGTTTTCCTCTAGAAAGGACAACTACATTCACTGTCAGAGCTACCGCCTCTCAAGCGTCTAAAATGCTCCAGAACCCATAGCTACCCGTGGTTTCTTGATCTGCTCTGGATTAACTGTGTTGAAGGGACACGGCTGTTGTGGGTATGGTACTATACTCCTCACGGAACTAGTGCCTGGTACTTACTATCTTGAGCCTCTAAGCCATCAATCCCGTTTCTCATATTCCTAATACCTTTGTGAATATAAAGAGCCTAGAAATTTGGATGGCCAATGGATTTCAAGGTCTGTTTTCCCCTATTTCTCAAGATAACCACAATCAAGGACTTTTTGGCTTGACCAGTGCATATTAAAGGGTCCGTACTTTGGTCACCAGGGTATGTTATCGGAGCTTCACTGCATTACCTGTATTCCATGTCATTTTGGAACCCTAAGACGAACATCCAATTTAATCGCCGCGTGATCAAAAGCTGAAGTGATGAGCAGGGGTGGGCTCCATTCATCAATACGGAAACCGGGGCTTCCTGTATCATGTCTATTCTCCCATAAGGTGACCAACTCTAGACATGGCAGGAATTTACGTTTGTGCTCTGCAAGCTCAAAAATCCAGCGATGATCCGACTCGGGTATATTTCCAGAAATCACACGGTTCCGCTGGAGTTCGTCCATCCTTTGGCGGTCAATCGTTGAATAGAAGATGCCTATTTCGAAACAAAACTCGAGCTCAAATATCTAATTAGCTTTTTAGGGGACAGGATGTGGCACTTGACTCTTACATGAAGTACTTGAAGTGACCGTGGCAGCAATTTGTATAGTCCATCACGGGGAATTTCGAGGGGCAACGGACTAACCAAGTACATGGCTGACGCATAAAGTGACTTGAGAGAGATGAATTTACTAAGATCCAGTCGAGATCCATCATGGTTCGGCCACCGCTGGGCTCTGGTACTGAGGTGTAGCACGGTCAAAGTCTCCTCGACAGGCGTAAAAACTGGTCTGATTCGAGCAGGCGAAAAAGGATGCACCATCCGAACTACATATGCCCCCGGGGGTGGTCTAATGGATCTGACGGGAGCTTTTACCCCTGGTCTTTCGAAGGGTGCATTGCAGAGGAGTGTCTTTAAAATGCTAGTTCGCCGCAGAATCACCTCTAGCAATGGGTATCCTATCTGTGAGCCACCTAGATCGAGATGTTCAAGTTCGCTCTTGCAATCTGCACTGGATGCTATATCAGAGACCTCGGTGCAAAACCTGTCGCCAAAATCCAGCCAGCGGAGTTGTGGAAACGTCAGCAGCTGAAGCAGCTCGTCAGAAGAACGATTATTGCGTACTAGACTAATCTTGACAAGACTGTTCCGGAATAATAGGTCTCGTGATAGAAGGGATTGACGGAGCCACCAGTCACTGCGCATCCGATCGCAGAAAATGCGTAGATATGGAATTTGCTTGAAGAATGCGAATAGCTGCCTTCCATCGATGGACTGCGGGAGAAAGCCTCGCAGCTTCAGCTCCCTCACCCTGTAGCCGTACTCTGGATCCTCGTTCAAAGACCGCCGAAGGAGGTCAAAGCCGTTTGAGGGGATACGGACAGAGATACATCTGGTGATTAAGGGCCGCGCTAACCCATCAAGGGCACGACAGGTCAGCGCGAGGTTGAGGAGATTCATAGCGCCCCCTTCGACTGAGCTGAGAAAGGAAATAATGAGATTGAGAGCGTCTTCACAAAGGTCGAGGAGCAACATCAGGCCTTGCTGTTGTTGGTATTGTTGATTTGGGCGTCAGAAGCGTTGAAGATAGAGGGACTTGGGGACCGTTAGGGGTAGAGGATATGAGCACGCAAGTTATAAGAGCATATGAGATACCCAGACATCGGTGGTCTACGAAGCAGGAAGTGGGAAGTAGGAAGGTCTTGATATAGACGAATCACGTGATGATGTGTTGTCACCCATACACGTGACTAATCTCCCTGCCATGAAAAGCCGGCTTAGTAAGCTCAAGTGGATTGTGGTCTCCAAACCAACTCCAAGCCGAGTTCAACTCCGACTCCAACTATTATTATATCCTTCCTCTCCCTCCGTCTCTTGCTGCGCCCTTCCTGGATTTTGATCTCGACGAGCCGATTGATGACTGAGAACCGATGGATGATTCCTCTAGGAATATGCCGCTCCCCTCGCCCCCGTAATACCGGAGTGCATGCGAGGCTGTCGCGATGCAGCGCCGACCTCCTGAGCCAATCTGCGCCTCTCAGCAATGAACATGCTGAGTGCTCTGGATATATCCTCGCATCGGGCGTGTAGGCACCTTCTTCTTATGTTTTCGCGGGGGCGAGCTAGAGAAGACGAAGGATGCGCTTCCTGAAACCATCCTTCCATCCTCCCTTGCTGTGCCTCCATTGTATCTGTTCATTTAGGGCACACCCCCGACAGCGAGTGCTCATTCGCTAATGGTAGATTGCGCTCCGTGTGAAGCAAGACATTATTATTAGATACAGATAGATCGTAGAGTAGTTCCCACATTCACCAACCATCCTGATATGATACGTTGCATAGGTATAAGCTTATTAGGTACAGTGCTCGCTGTCTCTTTTTCATTAATTCGTTTAAGACCTTTCTTACCCAACATGCTGTGCACTGGCCTAAGAAGAAATAATTGACAAGTTTGGGGGCTACCAGACGAGTACAAAGTTCCTAGGTAGGTATATCCCTCGATACGAACACTTCTACGGCCCTTATTCATCCCTCCGCGGCGTTAATCACGGCATGAATGCAATACTTCTTGTACCACTTCTAGTGGCAAGATGTATCGCAGTATCCGATTATAGTCAATATGTGAACGTCTTGTAAGTCGCTGGGGTTGTCTGTTAATTAGCTATACCTAATATAGACAGCACAGGAACAGAGAATGGCGGCAATGACTTCCCCGGCGTGGCAAGACCATTTGGAATGGTGAAACTGGGCCCGGATCTTCTCAAAACTGGCGCAGACTCATATTCTGGATACCTCAAAGATGGAAACTTTTCGGGGTTTAGTATGATGCATGAACAAGGGACTGGAGGCGCACCCAAGTATGGCACAGTATCTCAACTGCCTTTGGTGGGCACTATCAGCAATCCTTCATCAAGTATCACGGTTGGGAGAGCGCGCCCCGACTCGGGATCTTTGGGTTACTACAATGCTCTGACAAGCGATAACGTTGTTGTGGAACTTGCTGCTACCTCTCGAGCAGGAATGTATCAATATACCTTTCCAGCCTCTAGCACGATCAACAACGTCTTAATTGATGTGAGCCATGTCCTTCCATCATTCCGTGGCCAAGGTCTGGGCCAAGGCTACGCCGGGGGAGACTTCAATATCATGCCGGATGGCCACTACGAAGCATCTGGAATTTATAACAATGGATGGAATCGAAGCCCAAATTGGACAATATATTCTTGTACTTCATGTCATAGCAAAAGTCTAAAAGGTGCAAAGCTGACTCTTTTACAGGTGGCTACTTTAACGCAACGCCCTCAGCAGCATATGCTTACAGTAGTGCAGCATCCTCCCAGAAGTCAAAATCTGCTAGTTCAAAGTCTTCTTCGGTTGCTATTGGCGGCTTATACACCTTTCCAGGCGCAGTTGTCTCTTCGCGAGTTGGTATTTCATGGATTTCAAAAGAGAAAGCTTGCCAAAATGTTAACAGCGAGATTCCCTCGAAAACTACATTTTCAAGTGCTGTCCAAAACACCAAGGATGCTTGGAATTCCCAAGTCCTCTCCAAGATCACGACCACCGCCACCAATACTGCCAGTTTGAAATTACTTTACACCTCGCTCTACTTCATGAACCTTTTACCAACAAACCAGACGGGCGAAAATCCTGGATGGAAGTCATCAGAGCCATATTACTCCGATATATTCACTCTCTGGGATCTTTTTCGTTGCTCGACAGCATTGTTACACGTCGTCCAACCCGTTGTCTACGAAGAGCATATCCGGTCGATGATTGATATCTGGAGACATGATGGCTACCTCCCAGATGCGAGGTCCTCTAATTATAACGGAAGGACACAAGGAGGGTCAAATGCAGATAATGTCCTTGCTGATGCATATGTTAAGGGAGTTCGCGGCGAAATTAACTGGGACGATGGTTATGCGGCGATGGTTAAGGATGCTGAAGTCGCCCCGTCGAACTCTAACCCAGATTCCATGGCGCCGGACTCGTCTACTAAAGAAGGTCGTGGTGCACTTCCAGACTGGCTGGCACATGGGTTTATTACTCCCAAATTCAGCCGAGCTGCCTCAAGAGCAGTGGAATACGCCTACAATGACTTTTCGCTCTATCAGGTTGCGAACGGCCTCAAGAAGAATGATGCTGCTACCAAATACCTTAATCGCTCGAGAAACTGGCGAAATCATTGGAATCCAGAGCTTTCATCTCTCGGATACAAAGGATTCATTGTTCCAAGGAACTTGACTTCTTTCATTGCAACAGATCCTCTGACAGATAGTGGGTATTGGGGAGATCCATACTACGAAGCCAGTTCATGGGATTACTCTTTTGGCGACCTTCATGACATGGCAACGATAGTCAAACGGATGGGCGGCAAGGAAACATTCTTTAAACGTCTCGATACGACTTTTGCAGTTGGCGGTAATCCAAAAAAACCCAATGGTGTTATTTTCGACTCGACTAATGAACCGTAAGCCGNCCCCCCCATTCTAGGATTTACATGGAGCGCGAACCTAACAAGCTAGAACATTCAACGTCCCGTACCTTTACAACTACATCAATCGACCCGATCGTTCAGTCTTCCAGTCTCGCGGGGTAGCAAAAAGCAAATACAATACCAGTCCCACCGGCCTTCCAGGAAATAGTGATGCCGGCGCCATGCAGACTTGGCTCCTATGGAACATGATCGGATTGTACCCCGTCACTGGCCAGACGACTTTCCTCATTCATTCGCCCTGGTTCGCTTCCATGGCCATAGACCTCGGCAATGGGAAGAACCTGAAGATTACAAGTACTGGTGGAGATGGGAATGGAGACACCAACTACTATGTCCAAAGTTTAAAAGTGAATGGGAAGAACTGGACCAAGTGTTGGTTGACGTGGGATGATGTTTTCGCTCGTGGGGGGACCATGGAATTCGTTTTGGGGTCGGAGGCAAAACAGTGGGCCACTGGAGATTTGCCACCAAGCCCGGCAAGTGAGCCTGGCGCATGAATTACCTATCTTTGGTAGTTGACATGTAAGCTATCCAAACTTTTAGGAATCAAAAGTTATCAGATCCCTAAGCAGGGAACCCTTTATAATATGGTATCTCTAAAGTCAAGAGAAAGCGCGTCACGTCCTACGCAAAGTATTATCACTAAATGGGGGATTTGTTATATTCTATTCCTGGGGGATCCTACCTGTGATTATATTCCTGGGGGGTCCTACCTGCAAGTAAAACAAATTATTTGTGCTCTCTTCCTTCTGGAATTTTCTGTTATTCCGTGATTAGCAAATCAAAATTACCTCCCTTCAGTCTGAGTTAGCAATAATAAGGCGGCCTTAGCTTGAGAGGCCTCAAAATCTAACCCACAAGCCCAACAAGCCCTTTACTTGACAGGCGACTCATCGCATTTCTGGTCGTCCTCCTGCTTTGCTACCCCACTCTAACGCCCGCATCTCACCTTATGGCAGTCGGTATGGATTGGGCAGAGAATTCAACCTACCCACTATACGGATAAATCGGAGATGTGCGTTATGGGCCATTGGAGTGCGTGGGCCTTCGAACTCTACCACGGCATCCCATGCTATCTCTGCCCGCCGTGCTGCTGCTGTTAGGGTGTCGTAGACTCGGATGGCTAGCGTTCGGTCATCAAGGGCGCAGCCTCTCTCACCCCGGAGGTATTCTAGCAGTGCCTTGGCTCGCTCAATTTCTCGCGGATAACGGCGCATTTCCCTCAATCTCTGTCGTTTACATGGACGGCACTCTCGCTGCCCTCTTCTCGGCCCCCAGACTTGTGGACAACGTTCCCCGTCAGGGCCCTCACACAGGCTGCTTGGTCGATATAGGTTCTTGCCGCGTCCGCAGCAGTGGTAGATGATTGTAATGCCGTAGCACATGTTGATTTTTGACTTGAAAGTCTGTTGCTTGAGGGTCTAAACTCTACAGTGTGAGTGAGTAAACCTCGAGAGTTCTAAGTGGGAACGTAGCTTGGGAGCTGGAGAAATTTATAGATGCTTTAGAACATAAGACAATTACTAACAAGGGACTTGTTTATCCCGATCACAAGCTTCCACTAAACAATACATCGTTCTAGCTACAATAGAGAGTTTACTGTCAGAAAGTATGTATGGCAGAAATGAAAGAAATGTAACAAAGAGTCAAAGAGCTTGCTTGTTTTAGTATGCCAATAGTTGAAGATCGCCTTTGAACAGCCAATGAAGATCATTCCCGGCTCAAACGAACAATATCCCTTAGGATCCAGCTTCACGTGTCCTATCAACCAACAAAGGCGACTTGTTTAAGTTCACATAGCATATTCCATGGATGGGCAATCACTATCCTTATATAGTTAGATCTACGCTCCTACTCTACGAGACTTGAATTAAGCTTGATTTAGGGAGAAAGCAAACCAAAATCTAGAATTAGACTATAGAAAGCCAAATCCATCACAGCCCTTCGTAAGCTGTGCCAAAAATTGTACCAGTTTGTCTAATTACAAACAATTGAATCATAATTGATGATACTTATATGTAGAAATTGACAAATGCCTAATAATGAATATTAGTAGCCTAAAGTGCCCATTTAACAAGATCACCCTGTTTTATCAACACCGTTAGTCGCCTATCTTTAGGTATCTAGAGGGGTAGACGACTTATATCAGAATTGCTCATGTTAGCCTGGGCATATTTTGAGTGAATATGTCTCTATAATCAATGGTTCTTTAAAAGTAGGTTCAGTCATAACCTTTATATTCACTACATTATATCACTAGTGCTGTCTAAGCAAGCCACCAAGAATGACAAGAACAAGGCCTCCTCTCATCCGCTCTGCTATTTATGCTCTCCTCCCATCCTCCCATCCTCATATCGACTGTATTCTAACACGAACGCCAACACACTTGAGCCACTTGAAGAGTGAGTATTTCATCTCCATTTCTTTAGTATTATAGCCCCTGGTTCCTAATTTGCCCCTTTGAAACGTTTAACTCATGTTTCTCGGGGTCGCCATTGGGAAGATTAACCGCCAACATCCTTCAAGTTACAACTAGCAAATCGTGCTGAGTTCATACCTAAGTTGCTAGCTAACGCATACATAGTCAGCAGTCAGACTCATCACATTCGCAGCATCAAATCTCTCGCAAGCACGACACTAGCGCCCAACAGCTAGTATCACTCATGATGCCATCCTCCGAGGGCGCAAGAAACACCAGCATAGGAAGCACCAACACAGAAAGCACCAACACAGGAAACACCAGCACAGAAAGCACCAGCACAGAAAGCACCAGCACAAGAAACACAAGCATAGGAAACACGAGCATAGCTGAGCAAAGCCCAGATATCCACCACCTCACAGCCAGCGCGATCAAGCCTGAAGCGGAAGCAAAGACTCAGAAGTGCCCTCCAATCAGCGTTAAGGTCAAGAATCAAATCACGAATACCAAGGTCGTGTTCTTGATCAATAAGAAGACAGGACTCTCGAAACTGATGAACGCATATGCCCAAAGTCAGGGAGTCGATCCTGGAACCCTCCGCTTCTTCCTCGACGATGTCCGTATCAAGGAAGTGGATACCCCCCGAACACTGGGAATGGAAGACAATGACCAGATCGATGTGTATTTGGAGTCGCGGGGTGGATCCCTTATGCTTCCAAAGTGAGCTGGAGGATGGCTTTTCAGGTTATGGTACTACTGGACAGACTGGGCACGTTTGGAGGAAGGGTATTCTGATTTGACTTGCGGATTACGGCCGGTCAGGCAAGTATCATCCACCTACACACTGGTGCTGTATGTATTCTAGCGTCGTCTAAAGTAATTTACAGCATGCGTGAGAAAAGAGAACGGAAGTACAACTTTAACGGTCAGTTCCAGGGATACTCATCTCATAGATCCACACCAGCAATGCCAGTTGATCCAAATACAACAAGGATGCCGGTGTCCGCTCGATATGAGCTGCAACAAGGATGAATTGAACTCACGTTTCACGAGCACGAGCCTCAAGAACATGAGACTCAAGAGCATGAGACTCAAGAGCATACTGGACCAGCAGTTCCATGCGAAGAGCCTGAGAGGGCGATATGCGGCTCGTGACATACCATAATCTTAATTCAACCCAACATAAATTTCTTAAACCTACTTCGTGCATCCCATTCCGTAATGGCTTGTTAGCCATCAACTGTAGCTTGTTCATACTTCGAACATGATATGTTTGTCAGTGTAATATATGTTTGTCATTAGATTATCGACAGAGTCAAAAGCAATTCAAAAATATATATACATGGCTGTTTACGATATCGAAGTGATTTAATATTCTACATAAGCATCCTGTCATGCCGCCGTCAAGCCGAGATACGGCACCAGAAGTTCAGGTCAAGAGCGGGAAAGAGAAGCTCCTGATTTCACCAGAAATCCCATGCATAAGGAGAAAGAAAGTCCACTGTGTGTCCAAAGCCTTAGTATTTATAGTAGCGTAGGTGTGGAATTCACCCCAACTAGGTAGGAATTTGCACGTGCGTGTGTCATGTGATCATACCCCCCTTTTCGCTCTGGCGTCCGCGTTATTTTGCAATCATATTTGCACCGTACTCTAGGATATTGATTTCTGCTATAACTAGAAAATTCAAGATATATTTGATATGTGAATGATGACAAGAAAGTACATACCTATGGAGTTCTGCGTTAACTAGTGATGATAAAGGCCACTGGGCAAGGGTTTATGAATAGCACTATGTCAGTCAGTGTGGTCACTTGTGGGTTTTGGATTGACGGCATAGTAACGGATAACAAGTACTTGAAGAGCGTGCAAACAGTTACTGCAAGATCCTAAGATGCGTAAGAGACTAGGCGAAAATGTTGGAAACTTTCACCATGTGAAAAAAGACAAGAAAAACCTGCCGTTTCCATAAAGAAAGAGCTTATCCGAACCTGTCTTGCAGCATCAGTAAACAATATAAAGAGTTGCAACTTTGCAGGTTTGCTTGATAGGTGTTGTGTCGCCTAAAGTGGAGGATAAATTATTGGTGACTATGTTAAACGTCTAAAATCAGTATTTTCTAATCATCCCCCTCTATGCCATTCTATACAACTCTAAAACAGAGCATGGAACACTCTTAGTGGCATATTTTTCCAAGTTTTCTTGGGGATATCATTGGGGTCAAAGTCCAATGAGCGTCTCCCCGAAGTGATATCCATATCCTTCGCGCGGATATAAAGCGTCCAATCTCCACTATATATCTTCCATCCGAGATAGAGGACGATGACGATTGGCAGTGCCAGGTAGTACGAGAAGAATGCCTCGGGATTTGGGCTTTTGCCAATGGGCTACGGGGTGTAAGTTCGTGTTGGATATAGAGAGATATGGAGTAAGGGACAACTTACGTAAAGAGCAATATAAAATGTGGCAATCAGGCAGAGAATGTTGAGTATAAATGCATAGTAACTCCCACCAACGCCGAACATAGCTTGGTAAGGCAACTCAGACTTGGAATGGCCTTGCACTTTCCAAGCGCGTCGAAATCGGATATGGGCAAGGCAGATGGCGCCCCAGATGAAGAGGAAGGATAGGCCAGTCAATGACAACAGCCAATTGAACGCTAGGTCCTGTCGGTCTGACTCGCCGATGAAAGCTAGGAGACCGAAACCGAGCTGGAGGACAATACCCCAGATGGGTCGACCCTTGGAATCTACATGTGCCAGAAAACCTGGTGCCATCCCTCGTTCCGCAAGGGCTTGCATAGTTCGGGTCGATCCAAATGTGCACGAGTTGGCTACGCTTATGACGGAGATTGTGATGATGACGTTAAAGATGGAAGGAAGGGCCTTGACGCCTGCCAGTCGGATAGCAATGACGAATGGAGAGTATTTCGAATTGGCGCCGGATGAGTTCAACAGGTTTGGGTTGTCGTAAGGAACGATCAGCCCTAGGATAAAAAGCGAGAGTATGTAGAAGATGGCGAGACGCCAGAAGACTTGCTTCGTAGCCGTTGGAATTGACTTTAGGGGGTTTTGAGCCTCAGCAGCTGCCAACCCTACAAGTTCTGCGCCGCCAAAACCAAATGCTGCGAGAGTTAGAGATGGAGATTAAAATAGAGGGGTCTATAACCTACGTGCGACGACAAACACGGAGCAGAAACCTTGAAAGCCATTGGCAAAAGCACCTGGGTCATCTGCAGTGTTTGAGTCAGCATATCCTAGAACCCTCGGAAGGAGAAAAGTTCAAAGAGAGATCTGATGGGCTGTTGCCCTCTATGCAGCGGGGAGGCATTCGCCCATCTAGGATCGGAAATTTACTGAGAGAGAATTTGCATACGCCAGTATTTTGCACCAATATAGCCCTGGTTGCCAGCGCCGCCACAGTCAACTATGATTCCGAAGATGATAAAGCCTATGGTTCCTAGAACTTTAAGTATACTGAGGACAAACTCGACTATCAGGTATTAGCAGTTAGTCGCCAATTTATGGGCTGCAATTCGGCTTACCTTCCCCATAACCGCGTACACCAAATATTTGGATTAAGCAAAGGAGCACTAAGAACACTCCAACCCATACGCCGATATTGATATCGTCCCTCCAAAACTGAATAGTGATACCGGCAGCAACAAGTTCGAAAGGCAGAACGGCTAGATCCGAGAATTAGCACGGTACGCTCCGGCGAAGGCTTGAACACCAAAGGACAGGTAGAGATGGTGCGTGAACTTACTTAGCCAGCCAATTGCATAGTCCCAGCCAACAGCAAACCCACTATCGACATATTAGACCCGACTATTTATCAGCGGCTTCGTGGAAGATGCGTACTCACTAGGCTGGGTCAACAAAACGAGCAATATAGGTGAAGAAGGCCCCATTAACGGGAAACAGAACAGCAAGTTCTCCTAGGGCTTGAACAGTGCACAAAAGCATGGAGCCGATAATGATATATCCAAGTACCTAGAGCCAACCGTCAGTCAAGATCAATTGGGGCTTCAGTACCAGGAGGGCAGTCACAAACCACGCTCCCTGGCCCACCGGTATGTAAAGCACTCCCTGAGCCAACGAAGAGGCCAGCTCCAATGGAGCCACCTATAAAAAGAATCAAGGTGAGTAAGATAGCGCGCAAAAAGAGATATAAGTATTTTATTCCATACCAATCGCAATCATCTGCATATGGCGATTCTTCAGATCGCGGGCCAAGGGAGCTGATTTGACAACAATGCCATTATCTGCTGTCTTCCCCTCTGCATGTTCTGTGGTGTAATCGACCGTCTTTTGACCGGTCTCTATATCGGTGGTCTCCATCTGAGGAGATTCCGACATCTTGTGAATTCTCGTGGGGAGCCGTATACGTATACTGAGGAGGGAGCACAGAATTGCCAAAGAAAGTCAGGCTGCTTCGAAGGAGTTTCTGTCAGACTGGTGACGGCAGCAGGGGGATCGATTTATGAGATACAGAAGATAAGAACCTTGCTTTGGGTTTGCAAGGGGGCTGGCAAGAAGCGTTTTGGTATTCAAGGATCTAAATGCATATGTAGCTACAGTGCTTGTAGGTAGGGTCGCGTGCTCGTGTACTTCGTACAGAGCTCTGGACAAAACACCTTGATGTGTAGCCCTACCCACGCTGTTTTCGGGGACGAGAAGAGCTTAACGTCGACGATGATGCTTTAGCTTTATCCAGGGCCTCAGGGATCCCGCCAACCACCACGCATGATGACCGCCTCCTTGTCGACGCAGTGCCACATGAGGGCATTCGGACGATCTAGATCAAAGGCGCACCATATCTCTGCGAGGAAGAAGACAGCCGACGACCAATGCGTCGGCCGCCTGGATAAGAAGGGCAGGTCGTTAGACCGACCCGACTCACGATACCCCGTGGGGAATGGGATAAGCCCATGGAGGGGAAGTGTGGAGATGGAAGTTGAGCTTGAGCTTGAGCTTGAAAAAGCTATTATTAAAAGTTTGTGCCGCATAAAGCGTTGTCGTCCTGCCAACGCCAATAATTTGGCAAGTTGCCAACCCTTACCGGCCATTAGAAGCTTTCTCTTCCGACATTTAAGCTTTAGGCTTTCATTTCTGTACTTACCTTTGGAATTTCAAGTGCTACGCCGCCGCACGGCTTATTTTCACATCGATACGTAAGGTCGTACGAAGTCTGGCCACATTTCTCAGCTACCAGGCCGCCACAAATACTAGCAATCACCCCTTAGACCGAATGCTTCGAACGTACAGCATCGCGATGCACAAAGCAATACTCGGGTCCTTCGTACGGCGTACACCGGGACAAACCACGATCCCATGGCGTGAGGGGAATTCGGGGATCAACACGTATCGCCACACGGCGTGTTTCCCCCTCTGTTCTTATCCTGCGTGTTCCGGAGGTCACCGAACCCCAGGAACCCCCAGGAATTACTCGGAATGAGGATCTTTTCTTTGGTGGAACGATCTCTAGCCGCTCCCAAATGGAAATGCCACTATGGCCACCGGCTTAACGCTGTGAGGCTGGACTGTACTGGTTGCTGCCTGTCACGATTATTTCGAACTGTGGCGGTCGTTAGTTTGAGCTTTATGGACAGAATTTATCCCTTCAACCCATCCTAGTTTTCTCGATTTCCTGTTCTCTACTCTTGAATCTATAAATCTTGCGCGTTGTTTATCTAAGCTATTAATTAGCAAGCGCTCCAACCGTACCAAAATGCGTACGATAGTCGCACGTTGTTCTACGTACGATTGAATAGTTTCCTAGGCGTTCCTATACAAGGTTGTTATTTTCTTACAGCAAGTCCCAATATCTCCCCCCCCCCCTCTATTTCAAATTTTGAGCCGTGCAATCGCCCTTGAATCTTTCAACGACATTACTGAATGAATTTCGAAGATGGGCACCAGAGGCATAAGAATACATCCAGGGCCGTTGTGTATTAAGCGATACTTTGCAGGATCAGGATAGCATTCTGCTTAGTGAGCGTCACTCCCACAAAGCCTTCCTTTCCCACTTCCCCACCCTTCGTCGTCGCCACAAAGCGGGAGTATCCACCACTACTCTTATAGGGCGCCTCAAACATGAGGTTCCTGTACCGGCTTTTGAAACGCCACGTTTTCCCACCAGTGTTATCCCTCAATATCGACAGCAGCACTGGGCGGCTTATCATCGAGATTCTAGCTACACTATCTCCATAGAGAAGCTCGAGAGCGGCAGGTGTCCCCCGCTCACTCGCAACCCCAACAGTCATAGCAAAGATCTCCCCACCGTTCTCGGCCAGGAATGCGTTCCTCTAGGTTTTATCGTCAATCATGGAAGAAGTCCACGCCCAAAGTACCATCACTGGTGCCTGGTGTATGGTCCAGTGACAAACTGCAACCAGTACCACTCCTTGGCGATAAAACCCCAGATAAAGGAGACGAATTACGGCCGTAACCTCCTACACCCGATAGCTTAAACGGGACATTATCTAGCATCAAAGCGACAGTCACGCGGCCGGAAGTAGTAGCTTCATTCTAGTGGGTGAAGGGTCCAAGATAAACTAATTACTACGACGCGAAGTATATCTCTCCTCCCGGATATTGAGCGAGTGTATGCGATTTGAGCGAGAATGTCCTGGATTTAAGAGGGACCGAAACAGAGATTCCCACAATCTTTAAGTCACTAGATATTTTGAAAGATGCGCTTGTTCCATACATACCTTACGCATTTTATGCGGTATGTCTGGGTGAATGATTGATTGCCGAAAATGGTCGTGCTGAATTGAGTACCGTTGGCTCAGACTGCATCAGACTTCGATGGCCCTTGGCTAGAGAGAGGGACCTCGAGTGAAAATTATGGTTAAGGCTCGATTTAGCATCAGTGGCGACGGCGTCGAAGTTCAAATATTCCCATGCAGTTGTATTAAGTCTGGACAAATTTGCGTTTTCAAATGAATCGAGAGGGTTTGGATGGATGTTCACAGAGCCGGAAAGAGTTTCGAAGGTTGTGATATGATTTTGAACTGCAAGGTGAGGACTGTGAGCTAGCCTATGCATAGTTAAAGGAGCCCGGGCACCTTGGATCTTTCACGGCGATGCCTACAAGAGCAGGACTCTCCCCATAAAACTAAACATGGCTATCTAATATGTATTGGACTAGGAAGGGGATACTCGTTGGCAGCTCTCAGTTCTTATGCTTCTGACATCCATGTACTATTCTGCCACCCAACAGACCCGACTTGTATGAGGCACAACCAACCATGAAATTAATACCTCTAACAATACAAGAAGGGCACGAGTAAGGGATATGGCGGGATGAAAATATATTGCCATACCGGGTCATTTTGATTTTATAATCATGCAGTAAGAGCACCCGGGGTGAGGGACTTAGTTTCTCTAGTTTCTACCGGCTCATAAGCCCAACTGATGTAGTATTTAGGACAAAGTTGTGTCACGTGATTTGCCTCGATCTACGCATTCAGGAGTATATAGGAGCATTTCGTAGGTAGCGGTAAGTCCTTTCCCTCCTGCGAATTTTGAGTAATTTTATACAGTGACACACTGACAAATTTATATTGTACGAATAAAGACGCTTTCGATCACTGAATTTTGAATTTTCGAAAATTAATAGTTATTCTCCTGCTTACGAGCTGACATGAGTGACAAGGTTCCTTTGAGGTATTGGATACAACGTATCTTCGCCCTGCTGACTTCGTTCATATCTCCACACTCCAACACGCTGGGAAGACATGGACTCGAGCTCCACGCCTCCGCCAACGGAAATAGCTGGAAGCACACTATGCTCACGATGTCAAGATATTCCCTTCGAATCTCTCTTCACCGGCGTACAACTTGGCAGTCTAGACCAAAGTGAGCAGCTGGGGCCGGCAACCCAGCTGTATTTACTGAATCAAACCATCGAATTCGGTCCATTAGCGGAATTATGGCGACAGGATCACTGCGCATTCTGCAAACTTCTGAGGCACACGTTCGAAGCCCATTACGGCAAAAGCTACATCGAGACGAAGCTTGGAGACGGAGCTATCATGCAAATCATGCGGACGCCGTTAGATCTCAATTATGATTGTTATACGGCTGTAGACCGGGAGCGCGTTGCTTTCTGTCTTGAATTTGGCGTCACGGGCACTGTTCTTAGGAGAGCGGGGAAGGAGACTGGTGATGAGTTTGCTCAAGAGTGGGTGCTACCAAAAGTGCAGTTGGTACTCCCTGACCGCGATTCAAACCAACGCCCGCTCTTTGGCCGCGCCGTCGACCATGAATCTATTGATTGGGGCCATCTCAAACGATGGCTCAAGGCTTGTGACTGTAGACACGGTCAGGGGAGCTCTGAGGAAGGTAGTAATGCAAGATTATCGATGCCACATGGGAATATACAATTGTTCGCCATCGATGTGGACCGTAGCTGCGTCGTACAGCTTCCCCAGAATTCAGAATACATCGCCCTGAGTTACATGTGGGGCAAGGACCAGCGAGTCAAGCTCAAGAAAGCGAACGCAGAAATGCTAGCTACACCAGGATTCTTCAACAGCCCAGATGGTCGGCCGTCAAAAACGATTGCAGATGCCATGGAAGTAACCAGTCTGCTGGGCTGCAGGTACCTCTGGGTTGATGCTCTATGCATCATACAAGACGACGAGATAAACCTTCAGGCTAATATCAATAACATGGATCAAGTTTACGCAGACGCATGGATCACCATCGTCGCTGCTGCTGGTGTAGATGCTGATGCTGGACTTCCCGGGGTGGGTGTTGGCAATCCACGTACTGAGCGGCAGATGGTGGCTAATATTCGCGGTCTTGTCATGGCGAATATGTTGCAAGGTGATGTCGATACGATCAACTTCTCAAGGTGGAATACGAGAGCATGGACATATCAAGAGCGATTGCTCTCTCGAAGGTTGCTGACCTTCACGCGGTGTCAAGTCTACTACACCTGCGACCAAGATTGTAATTTCAGAGAAGATCTTCATGTGGCAGACGGCTCGGCATCATTAACGATGGTGGATCCGAGATACCAGCTTGAGTTGGAGAATATGGATTTGTTCGAGGTCTACGCAACGGCAGTTGCGGAGTACACAAAACGCTCTCTAACCGATCCATCAGACAAGTTGAAGGCGATGAATGGACTCTTCAATCTTCTGGCGGACCCGTTCCAAGGGCCGTTTTTCTTCGGCCTTCCGGCTACTGTGATGGATGTCGGATTGCTATGGTTGCCAGCCGGTGCCTGCAGCCGTGACAGTAAGAAGTTTCCTAGCTGGTCTTGGGCTGGCTGGAATGGGCCGGTGAGGTATGCATCGAAAGATAGCATGGGTAATCTGTGCGAGTGCACCGTTAGTCAAGCTACCTTAGAGTCCTCGGACAACGTGCGTTTATGCACCAATATGAAGTCTCCAGAGCGAAGCTCTGCTTCCGTAGTAGACATTGACGGAAAGTGGAAGCGTTGTTTTGACGAGGAAATGGCAACAATATATTACAAGAGTTCTGATCCAGAACGACGGCAATATCAATATCCACGGCCACTCATTGCTATTGGGGTGAATGATCGCCGACTGCTAGCTCAAGAAGCAACAGGCGTCCTGAAGATTCATGCCATGACCGCCAGCTTTCTGATAACAGAGAAACATAGCAATGGATATGTGGTATTCTTAGCCTGCAGTAAAGGGCGGCATGAACAGTGCCATCTAGCAGTGTTCGATGAAGACGGCCGAGCAGTGGGTGCAATTTTTGTCGACAGCCGCATTGTGCCTCAGCTAAAAAGTAAAAAACATAAGTTCCTGGCGCTGTCTCGTTCCACGCTCGGTCGGACTGATATCGACCCGTCATGGGACGAAGAAGAGCAGTATTTTCGTTCCTGGAGTGATGTTGCGAGTGGTGTTCCACATGCTGGACCAAAGGACGTCGAAGGTGACTTGATAAGTGCTAGTGGAAAGGTTGTCAACGGCAAAGAGTGTTTTGACACTAAGAGTTTCTCTCCTGATCTCTTCTGGCCCCTCTTCAATGTTTTGCTACTGTCCGAGCCCGAAAATGGTACTGTGGAAAGACTTGGGATTGGTCAGATACATGTCGATGCCTTCTCTTCGGTGGCTGAACAAGAATGTATCTTTCTGTGTTGAAGTTTGAACTTGGACCTATAGATCTGCTTTAGTCCGAATCGAGAAACATCATAATACTCTGATCAGTTTGCTCTTCGAGAACTACTTATGCTGAAATAACAAGTAACTAACCTTGAGTTGACACTAAGCCGCTCATACAAAAAGACTTCGTCTCGTACTACCTACCATGCCAACTGTTATTGCTATCAAGACCCTAAAGGGTGTCAAAATAAAGTCAATTGTCAGAGTAATATCAACTGTCAAGGTAAAATCAGCTGTTAAATTAATACTAGACATATGCCATCACCTTGTAAACATTTCTAAGAAAAAAGTGAATTAGCAAGACTAAGTACTTCCCAGAAGTGAGGGCAATCACGCTGAATAGTGAGAGTATTGGCCGCCGGGACGCCGCCACACATGTTTGCCGGAACAGTAAATTGTCGCTGCTGATGAACTATCCGCTTGTAGCAAACAGAAATATCGACCTACTAGTATAGCTTCAGTCCAATTTAGAGAATAAACCGAAATGCAGCTAGCCGATGTACATGTTCAGATGTACCTAGCCATTGCTCTAGATCTAGATTTGATAATGAATTGAAACGAGCCTTGCCGATGTTCATGATTAGAGATGCCTAAGCATTGCTCTGGGACCCGATGAAAAGCAACCAGCCGACCTTCATGATATTCATATCTAGGACGTGATGTTTGTGCCGAAGGAGTTTGGAAATATGATATATTCTTCAGCACAGCGTGTAACTTTTCCGGGCATTCGAAATTGATGAACAACTAAGGTATACACGGTAGTATCCGATGTAAAATAAGCCCCTTTATGACGAGTAAAAGGATGGAGGAACTGATGGTTGTCTCTTGGGAGCCATGGACAGGTGAGAAATTCTGACGAGGCTCGCGAATTAACGATTAAAAAGTCTCATCGCAATCGCACCTCGTCTGCAGATTTGTATAATAACAGTCATAAGAGAATGCCGGAACCATTATGGCTGATTTGATTAACGCAGGCTACTCCGCGCCCACAAGTCTTGAGTCTAAGAAACACTAAACAGATTGCGCAAAACCCTTGAACCCTCGACCATTTCAAGCTGTAAGAACACCTGGCAAAATCGCGGTTACACCCTGAAATAGGAGTAAAAAGACGTCATTTCTTGAGCCGCCAACTTCGACCATAAAACATTTCGTAGAGGGGCAGGAAGATTTTTCATGTTGGGCCAACAGCACCCTTGCCAATCGTCCACTCGCTCTCAGGGGTTGGTGATATCGGTATAATTTCCCCGAGATTACATATTGCAGTTGTGCGACTTGTTTATTGATTTGCCCTTAATCAAGACCAATAAACAAACGAGTATATATCGCGAAGATGAGCTCTCCTGCGCTGATTGATGTCGTTGATCTGGCCATTCTTTGCGTAGTATTGATTCGAATGCATATGTTCACCTGTCACGGACGGCAACACACACGGCGATCAAGCCACTGCAGCCACACACCAGATCCTTATGCATAAATAAATTGGACCGTGACAGTGGCGCAATTGTTTTGTGGGGGATTGATCGGGGATTGATCGTTGCAGGGCGCGAATAATTGATTATTGATTACCCCTTTATCCCAGACTGTGTCCGAGGCACTCAGCAATAATAGAGGAAAAGCAAAAGGGGAGTTAGATGAGGAATTCCCATAGCAGGACAGATTTCCGCGTCTCGATTAGATTTATATAGAGTATCCGTAGAGTAATAAGTGTGGAGCATACTACGTAGCACTTCGTACGCAGGAAGGCAATGTGACCGATCTGACAATCCTCCGTCCGTCTGCTCACCCTCATCATCCCAGAGCTCCACGTGCACAGCAGCTCCGAGCGCTACAAATCCTTACTCCTCGAGTATCCTGATTCCTGACTATCCTGACTATTGTAGTTTAGTCTTGCTAGTAACTCGACGCTTGGCATCTAGACGCACTCTATCCGGAATCCCACTCCGCTCCCTCCAACTCTCCATCCCCATTAAGGATCTTGGTCGAGATCCGCGCTCCGTGTCCCGCCACTCTCCTCCTCCTCCTCCTCCTCATCCCCTTCTACCTCTCCTTACGCCAGATTGAACGGATTATTTCATTGTTGCTCTACAAGACGGCCAGACGAGGCCACATATATCCCCTTTCTTACATTCCATACCCTCCTTACGGCACACATCGATTCGCTATACACCGTCCCCGACTCGCGATACCGTCATTCCTTTAACCAACGCACATTCGTCGCTGCGCCGCCGCGGTCGTGCCTCTCCCAGTGCAAACCCGATAAGACTACATCCTCGCCATCATGCTGTGTGGAATTGGAGGAGGCAAGACTACCCAGAGGAAGCTGGTGTTATTGTAGGTGCTTGATTACGTCGTCTGCAGGCCATGCGCGGTGCCTAGCTGCACAACATGCGCCACGGCCAGAATCACCATCAGAAAGCGAAAGCGCCAGGATGATAGATCGCTGACAAAATGTCGAATTGCAGAGGAGATGGCGCGTGTGGAAAGACTAGTTTGCTGAATGTCTTCACAAGAGGGTATGTCCAACCCATCCCTCTCCCCCCCCCGGACAGGTGCATCATCAAGTGCTGTTCTAACGGATTGGCGCATGCAGATACTTCCCAACCGTTTACGAGCCCACCGTCTTCGAAAATTACGTCCATGGTAAGCCACCGCCTGCCACTTTGCTGGCTTACATTCGGGGGAAGCCTGGCGACAGGAGACAATGCAGCCAGATTAGCAAGCTGACGGAGCTCTAGACATTTATGTGGATGGCGTTCATATTGAACTTTCACTTTGGGATACCGCCGGCCAAGAAGAATTCGACCGCTTACGCTCCCTCTCCTACGACGATACCCATGCGATAATGCTCTGCTTCGCTGTCGATTCCAAAGATTCCCTTGAAAACGTCGAGTCAAAGTGGGTTGGAGAGATCGCGGAAAACTGCCAAGGCGTCAAGCTCGTGCTTGTTGCGTTGAAGTGCGATCTACGTGAACAAGGCGAAGACGATGACGAGGCCGCAGAAGGAACCGATGGGGCGCAGCGAGAGAAGAAGCCCATGATCACCTACAACCAGGGCTTGGAGGTCGCCCGGAGAATCGGTGCCCTGAGATATCTGGAGTGCTCAGCCATGAGGAACCGCGGCGTGAACGAGGCTTTCACGGAAGCTTCGAGAGTTGCACTGAGTGTGAAGCCCAACGGCGACAAGGGCAGCACGAAATGTTGCATCATGTAAGAGGAGACATTTTACTGTGTAGAATTGGGTTAATACCTTGGTTGGGTTAGGCGTTTGCGGGTTGAGATAGCGTTCCCTTTTTCCAGCGGCGAGGTTCACTTACACTAGTACATATTTCCACGGTTGGAGTTTTGTTTATGATGTCCTACGACGGGTCGCTCGCTACGGGTTGAAAAGGACCACTGGGTGCCCAGAGGATGGTTGCAACGAGACTGAAGTTCAAATCCGACAACAACCTCATCAATCAAGGCCGCCTCTCGCCGGTGCCTCCTGACAGTCTCTTTTAGCACGACAAGCTCGAAACCATACCCCCTTTCGATTACCTCGGCGTCCGCATTTAAGGGCATTTAGTCCTCCCCAGGATGAGTTCTCCGTCCAGATTTCTACTGCGTCTTACGAGCCTCCTGGGATTTCCATTCTTGCACATACATTCAATTCACTCTTATTGGGGCGATACGGACGCGAGACCAGAAGAGCCTGGAGTTTCGCAGTCAGGCGATTTGTGGAGCGGGCGTTCTATCTGGCAACTTCTGAGATGGGCCCGGGAGATATGGGGCAACATATTTAGTGGATAGTGAGAGAGACAAATAAATTAATTAAGGTGCCTGGGAGTTTGTTGTTCATTTGTTGTGTGTTTCACTGAAATGCCGAGCGCGTCATCATTTTCCGGCTGTATCTCGTGATATAACGGAGCGCGCCGAGTTAGCATGGTGGTACATAGGTAGGTACATGGCCATGCGCGAGGAGAAACTGGATGTTGGATATGGCATAAATGGCCTTTCATTTCGCGCTCAAAGGATAATGCGGGGCATAGTATTGATCCACCAGGTTTTGCGGGGCCGTTTTCTTTCCGTAGTATGCTTGTACCTCAAGGATCTAGGGTGGAAAAGGGGGGATGGAGCAGAGTTGAGCTACGGAGTCACATGCAAGAGGTAGGCATTATAATGGCGTTTATTTTAATGCATCGAGTCTGTAATAGTTTTGAATATAGGATATGTTGGAAAAGAAAGACTGTTATATTGAAATCTATGATCAAATTGAGACTATGTGAAGAGGAAAATTGTTTCAAAAGCACCGCAAAACGCCTGTAGACATCGAAGTGCCCATGTATGACCAGGCCGCGAGGCCACTACCATCTTGACTACTCCAAAGAACAAGCAACTTATGAAAGGTTCTGCTGGCAAGTATACGCCGAGCCCATGACCAGGCCGTGAGGCCACTACCATCTTAACAACTCCGAAGAGCAAGTAAATTACGAAAGGTTCTGCTGGCAAGCCAGCAATGATCCCCTCACGAGCGCCCGAATAGCCTGTGCCATTGCCTTCCCATTAATTCCCGGGTCCAGTTCCTCCGTAGCTGTCTTAGGAGTTCCAATAACCTGATGAAGTGGTTTCTCACCATTCTTAGACGGCTTGGAGATCTTGAGGTGGTGTAGGATATCGTCGCCGCCGGCAGCTAGGGCAGCTAAAGCATCATATGCCACGAGCTTATTGAAGTACTTGACCACCTCATCCCCAACAGGGAGAGGCTCGTCTTTTGTGCGGGGCGTATCGAAATAGCTGCTTTTGTTCTTCAAATACCACTGTTGATCCATGCTTGGTCTGAAGCGCTTTGAGGGATCCGGGTTGCAAGAGGTTGCGTAGAAAGCAAGGTCCATTTCCACCTGTGCTTTGCGTAGGTAGATGCCCACGGGATGGCCCGTGGCTTCCAAGTCTTTGCAGAGCTGGTCGGGGATTTCTGTGGCAAAAGTAGCAATTTTTGTGTAGGCCACGGAAGGAATCTTGTTCTTCGATAGGAACTCGTGGAACCTATCAGCTGCGGGCTGGTTCATGCTATTATTCGCTGCATCTGTGGCTGCGATGACCTTGTCGCCTTCGATTTTATAGCCGCCTTGAAGAACAACCTTGTCAACAACATCACGGATGTCGTTTGGATAGGCCTGGGTGAATTCGTCGATGTCTTGCAATGCCGATATAAGCAGGAGTGTTACCTGATCTCCATTCTGTTTTGCAGCGCTGAATAATTTGTGAAGCAGTTCTAATCCGTTTGGCAGAGACGTGGTATCCGGGGCCATGAAACTACAGTCAAATTCATAAGAATGAACCTCATGCCTCTTGAGCGATGCCTCGGTGCCAATTGCAATAGGGACATCGTTGAGGCCCATGGAATCAAGCGCCCCTCGGCCAAGCAGACCACGCTGCTTCTGGGGATAGAGGTTTGCGACGAAGCCGTCGATATGGATCAAGCCAAGACGATGTAGCTCCTTTAAAAGGACTACCGCCACTACGTCATCAACATCTTTGGCAATATCCGTGATGGCTATGACCTTTGGCGGTGCTTCGAGGTGTCTCTCGCGGTGGCCCACGACTTGGAGGAGCAACTCATAAACGTGGTTCTCCTCTGGCCTCAGCCCTTTAGGGATGCGGGCATATCTGAAGGCGTCCATTTTTTTTTAATCGTAGAAGAGAAAATAGATTGAGATTGTTTTTTCGAGAGAACTGTGGTAAAGGTTGGTTGAGGACTGGAAATGAGTTCTGATTGATGCCTTTCTCACTTGAATGTCGTGCAATGGTATGAGAGATTTGCACCCTGAAGGCTATCAACGAAATGTTTGGGGGTTTTATAATTGAAGTCATGATACAAAGAACTCTGTAGTGAATTGTTCAAGATACGCTACTAGGCGTCGGGAATGAGGTTTGTTGTAGGGACACTCGTTGTCGTGAGTCCGTTCTTTGTGATGTTTACTACAGCCGACGCTGATGATGATGCGGTTTGCTTTGAGTTGGACTAGCTGAACTCTGTGGCTTGTCACGTGTGCTCGTATGCCCAGCTTTTAAAGACATTCAAGCTCACTTTGGGCTTTGTTTATTAGAGGATCTTTCAGATTTTCGAATCACATATTACGTATCATACAACAAGTAGTGGTTAAGTTAGAAGGTACATTCTCTATGGTCTACATGTCATTAATCGTCGTCTCGCTGAAACCCCTGTCTTCCTCGACCAATCCGATCTGCTAGAGCCAAATTTCCGGCCTTCTGGTGAATCCCTTTCATAAAGTCGCCTTTATCAGTGTACTTTGAGGATTTCGCTCGCGCCCTATCCTCTGCCTCACGATCGGCTTTCTCCTGTTCCGCCAATGCAGCTAGGCGCTTCTCGCGATCTGTATCTAATTTTGACGCATCTTGTTGCATAGCTGCTAACTTCCTCTGGCGTTCTGCTTCTTGGTCACCGGAAGCTACCTCTCTAGGAGCTGCGGCTTGGGGCTGTGGGCGACCCCTTTGTTCATATCCACGACCGTTATATCGAGTATCCCTTTGTTCATAGCCACGACCGTTCCTTCGAGCATCTTCATGACGGCCATTTCCAGCGTTGAAACCGTCGTTTTGGTTTCGGTCATCTCGAACAGTAGGATATGACTTGCGCCGGTCGGGAGATCGTCGTCGCCGATCTGGTGAAGGCGACCTAGACTCGACTGAAGAGGAATTCCTACGTCTCCTCTTATAGTGGTCTCCATCTGTTCCGGTTCTTCCACGCTCCTCTGGCGATTCTGATCTTGGTCTTCGCGTTCTGTTGAAGCCATCCCGTCTACGGATAGGACTCCGAGACCTGTCGAAGCTATTCCTCCTCCGCGCAGGGCTCCGCGATCTAGAATTTGAAGGCGACCTGCGTCTCCGGTGCTCTGATCTGCCGCTCCGATGATCCCGATCATCATCATCTGGCCTTCGTCTCTTATGCCTCCGCTCATCATCTGGGTCATCCCGATGCCGATGGTGGTGTCTCCGGTGCTTCTTCTCCTTTTCCTCAGATTTCTCACTCTTCTGTCCCCCAGCAATCGCAAGTAGTTGTCGCCTCTTGACCGGATCGTTCATCATAGACTCGTATGCAGCCTGCTCCTGTTTCTTGATAGCCAGCAACGGGTCTTCACGAACCTTGGCCGTTGTGTCCCGGAGAGTATTCGCGTGCTGCAGAGCCATAAAACTGTCTTCTGAGGCTTGCTTCTCCAACTTCTTGTGCTCGGTTCCTTTGATCAACCCATCAATGCGTCTCTTTCCTAACAGATAGCCTTCCATTTCCTCCGTAGTCCCAGCCTGGCCACTCGATGGCCCTTGGTACATCCATTCCACGCGATCAATCCGCTTCCGACTCCCTGCTGCTTCGAGTTTCGCCTGGATCTCCTCCTTTGCCCGCTCCTCCTTGAGCTCCTTGACGCGCTGGTCTGTCCGTTTTCTTTCGTCCAGTGCCTTCTTCTCTTCTTCCCACACCCGCCTCTGATTGCTCATGAGCACGGGATGCCATGACTTCTTCAAGTTGAGATCGCCACCCATGATGATGTTTCCGGGCTGGAGCCCACGGAGAAATTCGAAGTATAGGTATTGCGAGTCCTAATAGTAACTTATCGCCAGAAACCCGTGGACTGTAGTGAATCGTTCTGCAATAAGCTGTGTCGATGCCCTTATGCACCGTAGGAGGTTGGAGTGGCGATGCGACAACTTGCTTGGAGCCTTGGAGGTTGCGAAAATCCGAGGCGGGGCCGGGCATTACATAAGCGAGAGCCCAATCGATAACCTTGTTGACTTTGGACTCGGGAGCTCGAGGCAAACGTAGCTTAACATCCAGAACCACTCAACATCACGAATTCGACATTGAAATTGTCATTGTTCTAACAAAGCAGACCGAAATCCTGGGATATTATCCGCCAACCTAGCAGGTTGTATTATCTTCATAGATCGCACCGCAGCCATGTCGGACGATGAGGACTTTATGCAAGATTCGGACCAGGACGGGTACGTGAAGCCTCAAAATGTCCTTACCATCCTAACCAATATAATAGATATGACTTCGAGTACGAGGAAGATGACGATGACGAGAGCGGAGATGTGGATATTGAGAACAAATACTACAATGCTAAACAACTGAAGGCATCAGAGCCAGAAGCAGCCATCGCCGAGTTTCTTGCGGTGCCAGCGCTAGAAACAGAGAAAGGAGACTGGGGATTTAAAAGCTTGAAACAGGCGATAAAGCTGGGGTTTAAGCTTGGTCAATATGACAAGGTAAGCCCAGCTCTATCAACTCTCCGGGCTCGAAGCTGACCTTCAGGTCGTGGAATACTATACCGAGCTTTTGACCTACGTCAAAAGCGCCGTCACACGCAACTATTCCGAAAAGTCGATCAACAACATCCTAGACTATATCGAAAAGGGATCTGAAACCGAGAAGGCGAGACAGTGCATGGAGGAATTCTATTCGCACACACTGCAATCCTTCCAAAGTACGAACAACGAGCGGCTCTGGCTAAAAACGAACATCAAGCTGGCGAAACTGTTCCTCGACCGGAAAGATTATGCCGGTGTTACGAAGAAGATTCGGGAGCTGCACAAGGCATGTGAGCGGGAGGATGGTACAGACGATCCCAGCAAGGGGACCTATTCACTCGAGATTTACGCCCTGGAGATCCAAATGTACGCCGAAACGAAGAACAACAAGCAGCTAAAGAGGCTTTACGGACGAGCTCTAAAAGTGCGGTCAGCAGTGCCTCATCCAAAAATCATGGGCATCATCCGGGAATGCGGAGGAAAGATGCATATGAGCGAAGAGAATTGGAAGGATGCACAGAGCGACTTCTTCGAATCGTTCCGGAATTACGACGAAGCTGGCTCGCTACAGCGGATCCAGGTTCTCAAATATCTAGTTCTTACTACGATGCTGATGAAATCGGATATCAACCCCTTCGAGTCTCAGGAGACAAAGCCCTACAAGAACGACCCTCGAATCGCAGCGATGACTGATCTCGTCGACGCATATCAAAGAGATGATATCCATAAGTACGAGTCGGTCCTAAACGCCAATAAGGATTTGCTGTCGGATTCTTTTATTGCTGAGAATATCGATGAAGTGACACGGAACATGCGAACGAAGGCAGTGCAGAAATTGATCGCGCCGTACTCGCGCTTCAACCTTGCATTCGTCGGCAAAGCACTTAAGATCCCCGTGTCGGAGGTACAGGACATCCTGGGCTTCTTGATAGTGGACCAGAAAGTCAAGGGCAAGATTAACCAACAAGATGGAACGGTCGAGATCGAGGATAACAGCGATGCCGAGCGCATTCAAGCCATGCAACAATGGACATCCGCAATCGAATCTCTGTACACGACCGTCTTCGCGACCGGAGAAGGATTCAGGACGGCCGATAGTTCACCAATGAACGAGGATAGCAACGTCCATCACAATAATATGATGTTGGGTAGTGGTGGTAGTGGGGGTAGAGGCGGGTCATCGTGGGGCAGCATTCAGAACAAGAAGAAAAGTGGGAAGAAGGGTGGGCTGCACACCAATCCGAGCTTTTTTGGCTAAGATTAATTTCTTGCCATGCAACTGGGCGGTTGTCGTTGTGGGGGGAGCAAAATGGCTGGATGGTAACGATGAGGTTGGATGGGGGATCTGGTCACACGCAACGATGTATGATGAATGATTTGATGGGGGAGGCGTTTTGAGCGATATCGCATAGGTGCATATCATGCGCCAGAGAAGGGGCCTGGATGGCGATCACCATTGGCGCTGTGGACTGGCGCGCAGCATGTACTGTACCGTAGAGTACACGAAATCCTCGTGAGCCTCGCAGCAGATGTATGTATGCTATAGCATGCAATCTCTGAACCCTTAGCATGGCGTTGATTATCGGAAGGTATACAGCACATTTGATATGATTCCGCAATATATCGAGAGCCGATTCGCGAACGCAGAGGCTTGGTAGAAGGGCCTACCGTGCATTCAACAGATCGGCAGTGGATATATGAAGCGTATTACGTGCGTCCGAGTCTCCGAGTCTCCTAGGTTATTAATTCTTGCATACATATGGGACATGCCGAGAGACAGCTGTGAATGAAAGTTGAAGCCACGGCATCTCATAAAAACAGAAAGCCTTCATAAGATATCCCATCCCGCCTATCTTTTTCTCTTTCTCCAAATGGTGAAGCACGGTGCTGTCTACGTTTGCAACGCGCTAAACAACTGTATTGATTCTTGATAGGTTGAAGACTTTGCAGCCTCGCCTCCGTCCGTGAAAGCTGACAACGGGGACATAAAACTCTCGCTGGGTCTCTATGTATCTCGAAGCATGTCGGCCGCCGGCCAATGCGGGACCAGAGGTGAGCGGGAAGCTGCAAGCCCATGGACCCGTCTCCCTGCTTCCCTGTACCTACAGACGCTCCCCCATGCTTTGTACGGGGGGGCTTTTAACGTACATGTACATGTACATACTTCGTCACTTCGTACTTACTTCCGTGGTCCTTGAGGCTTGCGGCCAACACAGAGACAGGCTTCCCGGTCCGGGCGGAATGGCCCAGGTTTCCCACCAACCGGCGAAGGCAAGTATGCGCATGTGGGGGGCGCCGGCAAGGGAATGGTATTCTGAGAAGTTTGAGGACAGAGCAGAAGTTCGAAGAGCCGGGCCAGTACTCAGTACTATTGACATGACAAGTGAGGCATGTATTGCGAGTGCTGTGTCTCGGCCCCCCCGCAACTGGGCGAGCATCTTGAAGCCGTGGACACCGCGGCCAATAATGCGGAGAGGATGGCACACCGATGGGACAGATGGGACAGATGGGACAGCTCCCAATCAACCAGCTGCAGCCATCCGCTGCCTCCGCACTCCACCCCCATCGACGCAAGATACGGTACTGGAGGTTGCTGGCGGTGGTGGATGGGACTCTGCGAGCCTGTGGCCCCGCGCGGCCCGGATTGGTGCGAGCCCGAGTCCTAGATGTTGGGGTGATGAACACAGCATCTGTTCCAAGACACTGACTGAAAGGGCCGCCCAAAACATTCATCCTCCCGCTCCCGTTGGAGCCCTGGGGGCCCCAAACTAAGCCCTAGGTCCGTCGCAACGTCGTATGGAGCAGCCGGCCAGGGTCGTACTTTCGGTATGTCAACTCATCAGCTTGCCAATAATGTGACACATCGTTACAGAGCCCGGCTTGTAGCACCTGGGGAATCGCCAGCGGAATCTTGGGGAAAACAAACGCCAGAAGCGCGCGGCACAGCGAGCGAGTTGGTCGGCCGCGAATGGTATTGATTGGCATGGGATCGGGCTTCGTCCACTAGGTTGGCGATGGCGGATGGGGCAGCACCATGGGTCCATCGTCCATCGCCCGTGGGATGGGGATGGGGATAGGTGATAAGTAGGGATCAGGGAGGGGCCGTAGGGACCACAGGGTCGCAGGCCGGACGGGCGATTCGGTGCTTTGGTCACTTTGGAGTCCTTGTCCGGGCTGCCAGAGTGTTGTGGATTGTTGTTTGGTGACAGCCAGGCGGCGGGATCTTCGAGGACCGTGAGCCTTAGCTGTGGGCTTTGGAGCTCTGGAGCTGGCTCGGGCTGAGAGATGTGCTCGGCAGTGTCCTCTCTGGGTGTCAGACGGTTACTGTAAGTGGATGTGAGTCGTCCCTCTGATATGATTGTCAATCATAATAACACCAACCTCCCCACCAAATAATAATTGCGTATGTATATGTATACTTCGTACATAGTGCTGCGTACGAACAGAAAGACAGACAGACAGACATACATACCTACCTACCTTACTTCCCTAGTAACAAAACTCCCATTCGGCTCTGTTCGCCAGGGCTAGAGCTTCGGTCCTATCGAGGGCCTGTCCCATACATATTCTGGTGCAGCGGGGAGCTGATCCGTTCGCCATCCCTTCCCTTCTCTTCCTTGAAAGTGCTTCCTTCGTACCGTCCTTCGTACATTGCCTCGAGCCTCTGCGAGCACTGCACTGTACCCCGTACACCAGCGGCAGCGGCAGCAGCAGCCTCTGCCTTCCACAGGGCCACAGCCAGCCCGCCAGCCGGACGGAAGAGCACAGGAGCGCGAGAGAGAGATAGCGGCTCTCTCATCACGCCCGCCAGGAAGCTAGTGACGGCAGCATCCAGGAACACACCCGCCTTGGAGACGGTGGAGTCGAGATCGAGTAGAGATACTCACTCACCTCACTCGTATGTACAGAGAGAAAACGCCTCGTAGTAGTGGATGGAACAACGCACCAACGCATTGCATTACGGGCATTGCATTGCCACACGGAAGGAAATCTACTCGTAACGGCCCGCAGTGACAAAGTTGACCACACGGACGGGCAGCCAGGAGGGAGGTATTGATTGTATCGCTGCAGCGCCAAAGGGCCAGAGAAGCCACCGCGGAGGGTCGCGTAAGGGACGGTGGATTGATTGCGTGGATTGTGGCCCATCGCTTCCTGCTTCCTGCTTCCTGCTGGCTTTGCCTGCTTTCTGGCTGAATATTCCCCGCGCCATTCGCCCACGGCCGTGCTGACAATCAAAACAAGGTGAATCAAGCAGCTCCAGGCTCAGCCCGGATCCATCCAGTAGCCAGAGCTCCCAAGCTCCTACTACCGCAGGGTGCCGGCACGGAGCCGGGAGCAGGGACCGAGGGGGGAGACCGAGCCCGGCAGAAAGCTTGAACAGCTCGTGGATCGTCCGTCTGGTCTCTTATTATTGTTGTTATTATTATTATCTGCTCTTGTCGTGTCTTGCCTGGCGGAAACAACTGTTTGGGGGAGATCTGATCTGATCGGATCTGATCTGATAACTCGAATCCTCTCGGACCGGGGCGGGCGTGAAAAGCTGCGATTTCCTGTCAAATTGCAGAATTGCCCTGTCCTGAACTTCCTGAGCTGCCCTGAAACTGCCCGGCCCTGCTCTGCCCTGCGCGTCTGGCTTCTCTGGCGTTGCACGGAATCGCCCACGGTGGGAAGTACAGTACCTCGATCTCGATCTCGGACGGGTATTTGTACTTGGTTCGGTGCTTGGTTCAGGAATTTCGCCCGGCGAAGTCGCTCGCTCTCCCACGCCGCGAACGCTGGAAGCAACAGCAGCAGCAGTACTTTTTGTTCGTACATACGGTACCAAGTACGGGCGTACTGTTGGCAGCGACCTCAACCTCAATCCCTCCGCCAGTACTGTAGCTCCCCAGCTACCAGTCGCTCTCCAGTAATGTTCCAGCCACAGCCAACTCCCTTCTATCCCTTCTCTTCATATGGACCTCCACCAGTGTCTTCCGTTCCCCAGCTCGCGCAATTCCACCCCGCCGGTCCGGGGGACAGCGTCGCTCCAACCATGTTTGCAGACCCCATTTTCACGCCCACGCCAGTCGCTTCCGACGCCGGGCTCAGCTTCCACTTCCACAACACCAACAACAACACCAACCCTAATAATCTGCCTCCGCGGTACAAGATGTCGGGCCAAGGGGTGAGCGATCTGGAGGCCCAGGAGGAGCTGGCGCGGAATTTCCAGCCCGATTTGCAGGTAGGTGGGAGCGCGCCGCCGGGCGAGCCATCTACTCACTCACTGACGCGTGTAAAGGGTCCGTTGGTGGGCGAGAAGAAGAGCAGTCTGGCCATAGCAGAGGAATACGCAAAGGCAGACCCCATATACGTCGCCAAAACTACAGTGACCGCCCCCTTCCCCCCCCCTCCTTCCCATTGCAGAGCCGGGCGATGCTAACTCATTGTCTGCCAGGCGCTCCCACAGAAGTACTCGCATTACCGGCCAATACTGGGGGATGGGAATTGCGGATGGCGGGGTAAGCCTCCCCCACGGGGTATTCGACACGATGCACATCCCTTGCGTCGCGCTCGCAGTCCACCGTGGCGATATGATTTTCTGAGGTTCAATTGCTGATCTGATGTAGCCGCCGGCTTTTCGTATTTCGAGACCTTGCTGCGGTTGGGAAACCAGGCTCAGTTGGAGGAGGAGGTGGCCCGAATGATATCGCTAAACAACTTCCTCACAACAGTCGGAGGCTTCGAGGATTGGCTTTTCGAGGATATGGTGGAAGAGACGACGAGTCTGTTAAAGGATCTGGCAGAATTGATGCCAACTTCCCCTCAAGCCGCGGCCGATCTATTGAGGCAGCGCTTCAACGACCCCAATGTATCGAATGCGATCGTATACCACCTTAGGCTCCTTGCCAGTTCGTGGCTGAAGGGAAGCGTGGCAACATATCAAGGCTTCATACCAGATAACCTGGGAGTGGACGGATATAGAAAGAATTGGTTGGAGCCAGTGGATCAGGAAATCGACCATCTGGGCATGACCCTTCTCATCGACGTGCTACTCAAGCCAATAGGTTTTTCGGTCGAGATTGTGTATCTGGACCGGAGCGAGGGGACCCAAGTGAATAGCCACATTATACAAGCCCAGGACTCGAATGGTGCACCAACGAACCCAGGAGGGCCAGTGATTCATCTTCTTTACAGACCGAGCCATTACGATATTCTCTACAAGGACCGGCCGCCAATACCTCTCCAGGCCGTGGCCGAGATGACCCGAAATCCAAATATTCAGGTTCATCGTGCAACAAATTTTACCCAGCATCCCTCCTCCATCCAGAGCACCCCGATGGGGCAGTTTTCACAATTAGACCTCAACACCCTTCTAAGCATCCCTGGCTTTGGGTTACCGTCACAGCCCTCACACCAGGGGTACGCTTCCCAATATCAGTCTCCAATCGAGCAAGGCTACGCGGCTTCTCCCATCTCGTCGATATCCCCCATCTCTCCTGGCGCTTCGTCAGCAACGACCCCGTCAAGCACTGTTCTACAGCCAGCCTTTTCCGCACCACCACCGCCGCCAGCATCATCCTCGTTAACATCACCAAAGCTCGCCACTCCTATTGCTACCTTTCCACAAAGTACCACCCTACCAGTCCATTCCCATCTACCTCCACCTCAGCGGCCAACATTGACAACCCATCAATTGCTGGCTGGCGACGTTCCTTCTCCAAGTTCGGCAGGTAGCTACTTCCGCCCCAGCAAATATGAATGGGAAGCAGCAGCTGATCGAGCTCAAGAGGGGCCGGTTCAGTTCCTAACCAGCACCTTTAAAAACAGCCATTATAACACGGCACATTACAATAATCCGAATTTTCAGCCCGAGGAATGGAACCCAGATGGCGAGGAGCAAATTACGTCAAGGAAGAGGTCAAGCTGACCCGGGGTTGCCTAGTCCGACAAATTAACTCGTAAACGAGACGATGCAGGAGGATGGTTGTGGAGGAGATCAGGAGGGATCACAACGCTACACGAATTATAAATTTATCTGGAGGCCTCAAATAGTTTGACGAGAAGAGGTTTGGTGGCTCAACAGAACACTTTACAGAGGGTCCATACACAGCTCAGAACAGAGCAGAGCAGAGCAGACGCGATACGACATGACTGTTACGAAACGAAAAATTAGCGGGGATAGGCAAGGGAATTGCGACCAAAAAATTAATTTGAAAAGGCGTTGGCTTTGTTTTGATCAGCTACATACCACTTGCTTACCGTGCCGCTTGCTTTGATTCGTCCGTTTGCTGTATGGCGAGGTCGGCTTCATTAGCTCTTACAACATTATTACTTCGGTGGAAACACCAACTTCAAAGGGTTACGTTATTTTCCATTTCCCTCTTAAACCTGTTGCCTCCCTTTTATTCATACTTGTCGTTGGCTGTTTTTTCAGCTGCTCAGACCGATCGTACCATAATTTTGCGTAGCAGCGGTTCTTGAAACGAGCATCGAAATGCTTTCTCGGGCGGCGGCGGCGAAACATTGCATGTCTATTTCCATGTCGAAGCATTTTAGTTGGCTGTCTCTTGCTTTACCACGATGCATACATGCATTTATTGTTTTCTTGCCCAGAAATTTTGCTTTGCTTTTTTATTGATGGGAAGCTGCGGTAACCGACGGGATGTTGCAGGATCAGAAACTCGGGTGAGCCGGAGGTGGAGCCGTGGGAGTGTTCAAGTGGATGTGAGATATCGCTGGGGTTGTGGTTGGTAGCTATTTATTGCGCTCTTGTAGGCATGGGTGGGTTAAGGCTTGTTTGGTGTTGTATCATTTATAGGTGCTACGGACCTTTTGTACAGAATGAATAAGTGGCTGGGTAAAACGGTACCAGATCCACCTTCATCGTCTCGTTCCTCTGAGGATCCTCATCTAAAGTCTCCTATGTTCGAAGCCGAGTGAATAGGACATTATCCTTGTCCTAACCATCTCCATCACTCTTGTTCTATCTTACCATCATAGAACCGATTAATCAGGCCTTTTGACTTCCCGCCAGGGTCCTACGTCACACCATTCTTTCCACCGGCTTCCTGGCCTGTCCCTTAGCATATGCTTTCCAAAACCCTCCATCCTTCAAATTATCCAAATCCAATTCCAAATCTTGAATTCTTACACTTTTATATATCTGGGGTGAATGAGCCGCACCCCACAAGCGGCTAGCAAAAATCTCAACCCAGTGATTTGCCAACATTCTTATCCAAGAACCACCCAGTAACTTTAGCCAATCCTCAGTATGCGTCCAGTGGTCCATCGAGCGCTTGGGTCTACTCGACATGGCCATACGCCGCTGTGCTTTTATCGCATGGACACTTCTCATGCTCGTCGTCCCCAGCCCTTCCAGTCCACACGCTGTAATCCTGTCAAACCACCCCAGGTCCGTATGCACATTCAGCGCCGTGCCAAAGCTCGTGATATTCCGTCGAAGATGCAGCCCTACGGCAGCAATTTTCCTAAGCTCTGCGGGATCAATAACCGTGTCATTGCTGAAATCCTTATGCCCTACCCAAACCCCCGGATTCTTCGTCCTGAAGCCAGTAATACTCCAGGGCTTGAGAAGGTCGATCGTGGTTGATTCCAGTATCTTGACGTATGCCCGCACGTCGAGGCCGTCGGGATGGATTGCTGTGCCCACATCGCGCTCATTCGGTTTTAAAGATCGGGTTTTAGAAGGTCGGTATTGAGGATCCCGAATGTAGGGACTTTTTAGATCGAAGATGGGGTATATAAGCAGGGATCCGGGGCCGTGGAATGTCGTCTGCCCGCCCCGGAGGGTTGGTGCGATTTCTGGTATTTCAAAGGCTGTTTGATATCGGTCTTTGCGCACAAGACGGCCCTCTAGCAGGGAGGATATGAGGTCCGGGGGTATTAACTCGTATGGATCGCGTCGGCCGAAGGTGTAGACGGGTTTGGGTGTGAATGTTAAGACGGTGGGGTAGGGCTCTCGTCGAGAGGAAGTTGACGATGGGGATGCGGAGGAGGATGCGGCCTTGTAAGCTTGATACCGGTTTACTAGGGCCGATTGCAGGATTTGTGCCTGCTTGAATGGTATAATGCCACCTATATGGACATGTAGGAGAGTTGGAGCGCTCATTGAGGCGATGATGTCGAGAGGACGTTCGCGAGAGATAGTCGGATGGCGAGAAGCTGTAGCTTGTGGTTCGTGGAGCCACCACCCCTGCCATCCCCCTTCCTGTGGATGATGCTTGTCTATATCAACAACAGAAACGATTATTAGTACCAACGGAGTGTAAGATTCCAAATTTCAGAGGGATATGCTCTCTATAATAGCTTTAAAGTTAACTAAATATTTACGTGCCGTATGGCTAATATTCACGTAACGGAATAATTAGAAAATAAAACCCACGTTTTCCTGACTTATTGCAGAGCTGCTGAGCTACCTACAATAGAATGAAATTTAGTTTGGTATTATCATTTGTATTATTGTTTCTATACAAGTATAAACATTATCTTCTCTAAAGCGAGTGTTGGGCCCAACCTAAGCGCCGGCCGTATGATTATGATACAATTCTCCCTGCCAACACCTGTTGCCAATACCTATCATCGTCTCTGTGATCTCTTTTACGATACGTGCAACCTGATTTCAGAACCCCCCGGGGTATTCATATCATTATGTCTCCAGCTATGATTCGAGATATCACATCCACCGCACCTTTCGTTCACCCCCTAACACACCCCCTTCTTTATCTAAAATCAATAGCCGGTCGAGTTGCCTAGGCATACTCGTCCTTGACACGTCTCTGGCTCTCATTGTCGATAAAGGAACCTCGAGTGGAGCGTTTGCCAACTCCACGACGGAAGAAACCACCACGGTGAGGTCCGTCGGTTTGTGGGCTTCTCGGGTCATTTCGAGGAGACTTTTGTCCAACGCCGGTGAAGAGGAGGATGGCCGCGATGAACATGCAAGCCCAAGCAGCCCAGGTGAAGCCAAATGCATAACTACCAAGCTTTGCCATGAGGCCGTTGTGGTGGAATTCGTTGCGCATTTGGACAAACTGGGCACTATGAGTACGTTAGTTAATGCCACCTCAAGGTTGGAGATGTGTTATGGGTGACTTACGTCATCATTGAAGCTGCAAGTGTGAACCAGAAGAGGGCATTCAGAACGAGCACGCCGGATATTCCGGATGCGAGACGGCTGCATGGAGCGACGATTGCGGTAAAGAAGGCAAGAACAATTGTCAACAGGGCTAGTAGGTAGAATACCCAGCCGAAGCGCCACAGGTAGTAGTAATGGAAGCTTGTGGTATGCTTTCCATGTGAACTGTATCCAGCTAGTTAGAACTCATTTCCAAGCATGAACAAATATGATAGAATTGGGAGCATACCCGACGAGGCCATGGGGAGCCTCAGCGCTACCGCCTAGCCAGGCGTATCCAACAGGGAGAGCCGGTACGGGCGAACCGCAGTTGTTATTACCTTCACCGCATACATAGAAATACGTCCATTGCGATATGGAGCGAGCGCCGGGAATCTTTGAGGTATCTGCTTTCAAGAAATAGGTCTTATCGAAGGGTGTCCTGTGGGAAACACCACTGAGAATGACAAAAAACATGAAGAGGATTGACACGGCAATCAGAATTAGGGACACAATGCCCATAGAACCACCTATGACAATAGAGTGTCAGGTTCTCTTCATATTCACTAACAGGAAGCTCTGGAGATACTAATACTTACGTGCTGCTGCCCCCATGGCGATATTTCAGTGGATTATCCCTCTATAAATGTAGAAGAGAAGCTGTTTCGAGGAGCGACCTTTGACTTAGATGTTGTTAGTGATAAACATTCCGAGTCTAGTCAATCTGCGAATGTACCTGGTGGGTGATATCGTCAAGTGCTTAGCTGCGTTGTTGTGTTTTGTGTCGATGAATGGAAGCAGGGAGGAATGGAGGAGGCCGGGCGGCGGAAGCTGATATATTCACCACACTACGTATGACATTAAGAGGCAGTAGTGGATAAGCCAAGGGAGGTTATGACGATACGCTGCTGGATTAATCGCCGCGATTGGGATAGGACGCCATAAAGGCTGTTGTGTTTGTGTCTCGGGAGGAGCCATAGGCTATATACGTCATAGCTATCGATAGCTTTCTTCCCCCGCCAAATAAATGATACGACATCTACGAACCTACGTAGCAAGCCAAGGTAAGAGTTGGCATCACGACCGCATTCAGCCACAAAATCCAAAGACAAACCCCACATGCTGCTCTCTCGGCTTTGATCATAATTTGCGTGTGGCTTTTCGTGTCCACAGAGGTACTTCTACCAGTGCTGAACAGCAAGTACCCATGATGCCGGCACATAGCATCCCCATCAAACAGCTGATGTGATAGGCCTCCCGAGTCAACCGATATGAGGACGATCATTCCATAAACCAAAAAAAATCTCTACCTAGCAATGTCGACAGCGCAGTAGTTAGAGTTTAGAAATTGTCCGGTGCTTCCGGGATCGAAGCTGATCATGGATCACATGAAAGGAATCACATGATTTGTTGCTCGGCTCTGGCTCGCGAGCAGCTATAGATCTGATAGTCATTGGTAAGATGCTTGAGTTCTGGATAATAATAATTGAGTTGAAACCGTGAGACCAGTATAAGTGCTTTCGTGGTATTGTCAGATTGCGAAGTTTGAAAGTGGTCATTGTCTGGCTGTGGCTGTGGTTGTGGTTGTGGCTAGGTCCCCGGTCGCGAATCCGGGGGGGGCTAGGGATTAGGATAAGGATGAGGATGAGGATGACGTTAATGTTATGAGTCTAGAATTTAGATACGTCCAAAGATATGTACAGCATTCAAATTTAAAGGTTAAATTCTGAGTTACCTTTTATAATGATCAGTATCTCGGTGTTGTACGGATATATCCCCCGTAAACTTCACAGGGCGCCTCGGGTTATAGCAAATGTTATACCACAGTGGAATTATCAAGCTAAGCAAATAGCAGTCACACATGACCATGGACTGAGGAGAAATGGGCGTCCCGTCCGCTCTGCCATACACAAGCCTGGGTATCCTTTAGATGAATAGTCTCAATCATGCCAATAAGCTTACAGTAAAATGCAGGTCACTTATGCACAACCTCCAACACCCTAAACCAGCATCCTCCACCGTCGCCATGCACAAACGCAATACTCAACCCCGCACTATCTAGCAAGTCTCTCCACTGCTTCTCACTCCGCTCCATCCCGCTAAAAGTCAGCATATTAATATCCGACCACGCCGTCTGGATATCAACCGGTCCGCGAGGCATCACGATTTCAGAGATCAGAAGGCGCGAGACGCCGGGTGTCATCGCGGCGGCGAGATGTTGCAGAATTACGAGACAATCGGAGTCCGGCCAATCGTGCAGGCAGCGGTGAATGTAATAGAAGAGAGCGCCTGGGATTGTCAGATTCGCGAGTCTATTGATTGATTATAAGGGTGAGGAGAGCGTACCTTTGACCGGTTGCGGCTTGAAGAAATTATGCGCCATCCCCATCACACCAGTGGGCAACGGACCTGCGATCCCCTCAATAACCTCCCTCTGATCCTGCATCACCATTTTCCCCCTTGACTCTCGACAAGCCTCCCGAATGGCAAGCGTAGCCTGGCCTATGCCGCTGCCGACATCTACCAGCAGAACAGTCTCATCCGTAGTCTCCATCTCGCCCAATTTGTTTTTGAAAGGGAACAAGTCATAGGGAAGGGATGTTTGGGAAGAACGAGCTTGCATCGCCTCATTGAAGTTCTTGAAGCGGACTGGGTCCTGAAGGAGGAACTCGAACATGGATAGGCCGTGAGTATCGTGGGCGTAGGTGTAAGGATTGTTACTTCGGGAGATGGGGTTGAGATATCCATTTTTCTTAAAGAATTCGGACATTTTCGTGCTTGCAACGCAAATCTCGTCGTACCTGGAGTAAGTTAGAATTGGCTAACCAGTCTACTTCGGATGCAACACCAAGTTCTCGTACATCATTTTAAAGTTGGCCCGCAGGGGAGGCTCCAAGTAGACCAGAGAGTTCGGCGTGTGAGTGTACACTTCCGGGCGTGGTTCCTCGAAGAATGTAGGTATGACTACGCGCATCAGACGAACTTTACATCATTAGCTCTAGCCGCATGGATTCAATTCATCTGTCACAAACCGAGAAGAGCTTCGTCAACGCCTAGCTTCTTAGCCAGTTCCTCTGCCGACATCTCACTACCATCAACCGGCAAGCTATCAAAAACACCCATCTCAAGCAATGTTCTGAGAGAGCTTGAACGGAGGCACTACTCCCACCCTCCAAGATCAGCTCCGTCTCTCAGCATTGCTTTGCAGCAAGTAGCAAGCAGGAAGACAAAGTCTCACCTCTTCATAATGCAACATAACCATATTCAACGGTCCATAGATAGCGCTTTGCATCTGCTTCACGCTCTCGGCCATCGTGACTTGGCACTGCGAGATTTCGCCGACAGCCGCGAGGTCGTCTGATGAGGAGTTCTTCTCGAACATAGTGGAGTAGGCATCTACTGCGTTGGTGAGGGTTTGGAGTTGGGATTTGATAGCATTGTGCTGCGCTATCATCTGCTTTCTGTCCATTTTTGCTATTGGGTGAGGTAATGAATGGCTGATAGATTTGGAATCGTCAGTTAACTCATGAAATCTGCCGGTGATGAGGACTTCAAAGCAATAACAACGTACCAGGTAATGAGTAGGAGGGTTTCACAGGCACGTGTTCTGACAACTTTCTCACTGTCTTTCAAATAGTCACAGTGATCAAATAGGTAAAGAGTCAGCTAGCCACCAAATTTGCGATCAAGGTTCAGTAGGCTACGGTGAGTACTTTGCTGAACTAACCAATATAGATTTCTCGGCATGTCTACTCAATTTGACATAATTATCCTCCTAAACCTTGATATTCCAAATACCCTCAGGAGCTGAAGCCCCGATAGGCAGCAGAATCACTTGTATTCGAACACGAGGGTCCCTGCTTTGTTGTTCTGCAGTGCATCTCAGCACCTTTTTTCTTTCTTTTTTCCGTACTCTTAGCTTCCGAAGGCTGCAGCTCAACACTACAAGAAAAGTAGGGATCGGCGATTATATAAAACGGGATATTTTCGGTATATAAGTAATATCTCCTATATAATATATAGTAATAATAAGACTATTTTACATGATCTTATAATTATAATTATATCCTGTAGAAAACTATTACACAACTCTCATACAGGCACTACGAAAACGCCTCTTCCGACTGTAAGGTACTTTTGACTCCTCCCGTTTTACCTAAATACGCTGTCCTACGCCTGCCGCTGCGGTGTTGATATTATCGCTGATTACCTCATTACTAACTAATAATCCTAACACCATCGATTCAAGCAGAACTACCTAGCACAATTTTGAATAATTCTGCCACGAAGGTTATACTACCTTCTAGCCACACAGCAATTGGGATATTGTCGCTAGACAAAGATCTGGCTTTCAGAGATAATGTAAGGGGATTGCCAGTCATAAGTATTTCACCCTTATGTCCATTTCCAGCTCCACATCCTCGCCATTTCTTGGAACCTTTAATCCCGAGAGCACGTAGCGTCTACAATTTGCATACTCATAACATAAGCCTCCTACTCTACTTGACACTCAATACACGCTTCTGGTTCGCTTCCTCTCCAAATCTTCCTAATTCCCAAGCCACTTCTTGCAAGTAGTAGCTTCCACTGACTTTCAGACCTCTCCATCCCTCCCATTGGAAACATAGAAATATCCATAATCGCCTCTTGCATTGTCCCGTTTGAGTCTGGCAACACCACATCAACCAACAGCAATTTGCTTCTTGGCTGTGTTTTTAATAGTGGTACAATTTGTTCCAGAATGGTGGTGCAATCATCATCACTCCAATTATGGAAAATGTGGCGATAATGATAAACACAGGCATCTTTGACAGGCTGAGGAGTGAAGATGTCGTAAGTCATGAAATCTACTCCTGTTGGCGGTGTGGGTACAGCTTCAAACGTGGAAGGTAAATCTTGTACAATAAACCGTCCTTTGATCTGGGGGTTTCTTTGGCGGATCTCGCCCACTAGGGAAACCATAGGTCAGTGTTTGTATCTTGTCTACACATATCTGAGTGGAAAGGCTAGGGTCGTGCTTGTTTCTAAGAATCGGTATAGACGTGCACGTGAAAACTGTAGGGATGAAGAGGGTTCTCCTTACTGATATGACCTTGGCCCCCAGCAATATCCACAATCGCTACATCTTCGTCTTTCAGATCCAACTTTCCAAGCTCAACACCCCATGGATAAGCATCCAAAGGGTTATGTGACGTCATCCCAGCAACCATATTGAGGGCCCGATCGGGGTGAGAGCCTAACCAGGTCCAGAGTTCTTCCCCATGAGCCCATTTGAAAGGTGTCCCTGTCTCCTTGGTGGGTGCTTTATACCGTTTCTCTGCCAAAGTTTTTGGCATTGCCATGATGGAAGGAATGAGATCGAAGAACATAAAGTTGTTGAATGCGCGGTGGTCGGAGTGTAAATATGGTTTCCCGAGGGAAGTGAGAGCGAAACTCGGACCTCTTGGGCCTATGGATTCGACGAATAGATTGCTGGCTGTGAGTTGACGGAATATACGGACTACAGGAGGGTCAGCAGAACTTTATGAATGGCGCGCCAAAGAGGGAATATTCACTGATGATTATCTCATCTGCTTCAGTGAGCTCTACAATTTCTGCTATAGAGACTTCCTTTCCTCCTTCGAACTTCTCCCATAGTTTAAGTTGTGACACAATCTCGACTGCGGCACTGACATTGACCTGCAACAATAGGTTGGCATGTACAATTTGAGTGGCTCCTTTCCTGTTTCAAGAATGTTGTCGACTTACTTGGAAGGTTCGAGGCCAGACCTCTCCATTTGGTTCCTCCAAGGAGTTCAGAAGTTTTCTAGCTTCATGCTGAAGTCTTCGTCGAGCAACGTGCAAGTCACCTGGAGCTGCGGCTGCTGTTTCAAAGCTAGCTGCTGCTTTATTTACACATTTCACTAAATCAGCGATTTCTGATGGAGATGTGTATGCAACTGACATATTGACAATGAAGCTTCAGTAGCGTCGAGGAGAATGTAGATTCTGAAGCGGATAGAAATGAATGACGGGTATGGGGGTGCTGGTTCTGACCTCCAGGGAGCGGGCTTCCCAAGTACCTCGCTTATTACATGGCTTATTACATGCTACTATGGAACTTCATTTACAAAAAGGGGGCTGTTTTGTGGCTCACAAATTGATTAAATCAACTTTATGTCTGCACGTTTTTGTCATGCGACATCAAGCCCCAAAAAAACAACTCTGTGTAACCAGCATCTAATGGAGTGATCGCTTCTCCGGGCTAGGTGCGCACAATCTTCCCATCGCAGAAGCAATATGAAGCCTACTCGGAGGTATCAGAAGCGCTTGAAAGAGGGTCCATATGTTTCCTTACCCAATGCTGTGATCTGAATATGTGCAGCCAGTCAGCACCCATAAAACAGCAACGGCGTCCTACTAACTTACAAAATCGCACCGCGGCACCTCCGCTCTGCCGCTTTGCAACCGGATGATCCCAATTCCGAGAGCTTGCCTACATCTCACAAAGTCACTTGAATTCGTGCAACTTGTTCTAGACATAAGATTCATATGCCTAAAAAGGGTATAGTCGCAGCGCTGTTCAAATACCTTCTTTCTAAGACATTCCTCAACAACTTATTAGAAACGGGGAATTGATATCCCAAAAGCAACAACAAAATTAAAGTGGCAAGCTGTTTAGAGATCCCTCTTTCTGCAAGTTAAAGGGGTATGTGTTCCGACCCAAACACGAATAATCGCGGAACACATATGCATTCCCGATCCGCTGTCTTAGTATAACACGATAACACTGCATTACATATTACAGCAGAAATTTAGCTCAGGATATGCATTTTGCTGTCACGTAAATATGCAGTCTTGTTTCACCTGCGCGTGAGGTGCAGTCGGCACATTAATCACAGCTTTTCAGCTCGCAAAAAAACATTTGGCTGAGGAGCCTGAGGTTAAGATCGGCTCTCTACAGATCGCTCTAGTGCCACGCTAATTTTACGCCAATCTTTCCCTTTTGGATATTGTTCTTTCCCCTCTAAGAAGTGTTCCATGCTAAAATCGTAACTGTTTTCGCGGCTGAATTGGTCCACCTACGTATTGGGATGTGCTTCAGGGAACCCCTGGTGAGGGCTGGGTCGGGCCGCGGATGACACCCGTGATGAAGGCTTCAGCCTAACCTCATGTGCTCGGCTGGGGATGCTAATGCGATTAACGGATGGGGACAAGTTTTTGTGTTTCCGTTGCATTTGTTACCTTGACATCCAAGTCCCCAACTCACGTGAGGAGGGTGGTCGCTGCCAGATTTTGAGGAACCAGCCAGAGTTCGTATCAATGACATACTGATTCTCGCGATGATGATGAATCATTCTGGCAAGAACTCGAACTGCTTCAATCTTTGATTGCCCTCACTACGTATCAAGTACCTCGTCTCAGCGTTCAATTGTCAATTGGCAATATGGCTCTCCAGCTCTGGGAGATTTGCCTTGCAGCATTTGGCTGTGGCTGGCTGGGTCTATTTGTTTACAGAGCAACTTTCGCACCCCTATCAAAACTTCCTGGGCCATGGTACACCCTGTTCTCTGATGTGTTTCTCATGTACAAAGAATTCACAGCTCAGCGTCGAGTGTATATTCACGAGCTGCACAAAAGGTTTGGGCCTGTTGTTCGATTGGGACCCAATGAAGTATCCTTTACATCCCTGGAAGCCGTGAAAGAGATATACCAGAGTGGTGGGAGCGGATATGACAAGACCGAGTTTTACAACTTATTCATACAGTATGGAACGAGGTGAGTAGTCACAACTGAATTGAGTCCAGGATCAAGCTGACTGAAAGAAAAAGGACAACGTTCTCAACACTTCGGAAACGGGAAGTGAGCTGCCTCCCAGCCTATGATACAATTCCTTTGTTGACGAAAGCATAGCACGACCAAATGAAGCGCTACATCGCGGGATCATATGCTAATACAAGCATTATGCATCCCGAAGTTTTGGATGGTATTCAAGAACGAGTGAAGGCATTTTTGAGGCAGTGCGAAGAAGCAAGAAAGCCGGCTATAGATTTCTACGTAAACATCGCCATTGCACTTTTCATGATGGCAAAGCTGACAGGTCTAGGTTTATCTGCATTGTTTTGCCATGGATTGTGCCTCGTTTCATCTGCTCCATCCCCATGGAACCAAATCTATTGAGGGTAAAGATCTCAATTTGATGCAAGAGTATTCATATGGCGATACTTTAAGAAGTTTGTACCTTCATCTTTCACGAGAAACAGTGCTAACAGCATGGCAGCGAAATTATTTCGATATCGTTGGCCAGCTCTGGCACGCTGGCTGGAGAAGACCTTCCAACAGAAATTCGAATCACATATCGGCCAGTACGTACTCAGAGCATGCGAACAGACCGATTCAGGAGACCACAGTTTGGCATACAAACTTAAGAATAGTAATGCGAAATTTGGGCAAATTCAAGTCGCTGCGGAATGCATGAACCATCTAGCAGCGGGTATTGATACAACTGGTGACGCTTTGTGCTTCTTGATATATCAATTGTCTCTACCCAAGAATTACCAAGTCCAAGATCAACTGATTGCTGAACTTTCATCTAACAAAGATAAAGCTCTTAATGACTTGCCATACTTGGAAGCAGTCATCAAAGAAGGTCTGAGATGTTTCCCTCCCATTCCAATGTCACAGCCTCGGTGTGTCCCCTCTACTGGCCGCATCATCGACGGATATTCTATTCCCGCGAGGACTATCGTCAGCTGTCAGGCCTGGAGTGTCCATCAGTTGAACCCCGACGTTTTTGATCAGGGTGATAAATTTCTCCCAGAAAGGTGGCTTGATTCAAAGTCCGTTCTTAGGATGAACAGCCTACTTTTCTCATTTGGAGCTGGTGGGAGATCTTGCACGGGCAGGCAGTAAGTCTAAGACTTCCACTAAGTTCGCACTTACTAACAAACACTAGTCTTGCAATGGTTGAAATGAAATGCCTGCTCCGCGAGCTATACTCTCTATATAGGACCAAAATCGCCCCAGAAATGAAAGGAAGCATGGAATTGTATGACCAAGCCATTTCTACTCGGCCTTTAGATCAGACATGCTTGTTGATACTTGAACCTGTACAAAAGTTAGGCCCTAAGTAGTGTACTATGAGTTCGGCTGGTTTGGCATGTTGTTGGTTTAAAAACGCGAATGCGCGTGAAATAGACTGCGTTTGTTCTATAGAATTAATCAATTAGTGAAAATGGACGACGTCGATATTGACGATGCGCATAACAGTCACTTTACTACTCGTGAGTAACGCTTACAGATATACACCTTACCGAGGTACAATATGTGGACATATAAGTGAAATGCCTGAATATCTCGTGAGCCCAGTCAATACCAAAATATCAACATCAAATTCTTGATCGAGATGTACACGAGCTAGGTGTATGAAAACAAAGCCACCCAGATGCTCAGACAAAGCCGTAGCCGTACCGATCTGCAACAATTCATTCCCCGGTTTCGCCGAGGTACAGATTTTCTGTCGACGAGAGTAGAGAAGTGTAACTCAGATCTGCAAGGTCTTGCAGTTCGTGTAACTCTAGAGTGATAGGTCGACAAGTGAGACCGGAGATTCTACTTCATTACCGACCTGTGGAGCTGGGTTCGGTTGACACGTACACAAACATCGTCGCTATGTACCGACTACACAGACTTTGGGCCGCCCGAGTTCTCGGTAGTAGGGGTCGGCCATTGTATACCATAGGTCATTTTTACCTATAACGTTTAATAATGGGGAATTCCAATTATATAAAGTTAAAGCTGGTCTAAGCCTAATTGGGATGTCACATAACGATACTAGCCCTATTAGGTATCGCCAAGTACTAGGTAATAATGAAAATCTTCCGGGTATTAAGTAGCTAACTGGTCTCTTAAAAACCCCCGACTTTTATCCTGTTTTTGCCTGGATTATTAAATTTCTTTATACATTGCATATGTCATGCTTTATTTTATGCAAATATATAAAGCGATCTTCTATAATAATAGCGGTAATCTGTCGATATTATATAATTATACCTTACGAAAAATCCGATCCTTTCTCCGTAGATCGCCTTATAAATCATGAAGATCAGTACAATTCTCACAGGCGTGGCGTTTAAATGCTACGCTCTTTTCCGCTCTCAACTCTACTTCTGTCTCGGGCAGATTTCTGTGAGGTCCACTGTCTCATATTTCCCACCTGAACTTTCCTATACTGCATGTGGGCAATGTAAGACAACAGTGCCGATAAGAGAAAATTGTAGTTTTCAGTCATGGCATCGAGCATCAGATGACTGATTCACAGGAACTGCGGTGAGCTTGTGTCTTGTAACTAAACGAAATAGAAGGGTATAAAACCCTCGATTTGTTGCACTGCGTTCTTCATCTGCTCAACCTTGTCAAATTCTCTCAAACCATCTCTCATCAATCTTGAAGATGCGTTTCCTCCAGGCATCCCTTACCGTGATATCCGTCTTCACCGCGGGATTGGTCGGAGTGACATCTGCAGTAACCCACGATGAACATTTCGTCCCAGATGCTGTTCTCCGCGTTACCGAAGAGGAGAGAAAACAGTCTTGCGTGCCATCGAAAGAGATTTTGGTAGTTAATGGGACTAGTCCAGGGCCTAGCCTCAGATTCACGGAAGGCGAGACGGTTTGGATTAGAGTTTACAATGATATTCCTCATCAGAACCTTACCATGGTATGTTTCGGCGCAGTTCCCTAGTGCTTATCCCCTTCCTCTCTTTCTCTCCATTCCCTGTTTCTACTTCTGATTTCCTGCCTTTGGATTGGAGAGTCCAGAAGCGACATGGAGACTCTAGTAGCCACTTTGACTAACTATCAACTAGCATTGGCACGGCCTTACAATGGCCACGGCTCCTTTCTCCGATGGCACTCCTCAGGCCGCCCAATGGCCCATTCCTCCTAATCATTTCTTTGATTATGAGCTTCACGTGCCAATTGGTATGGCGGGAACATATTTTTACCATTCGCATGTCGGTTTCCAGGCTACCTCTGCCACGGGGCCGTTGATTGTAGGAAAACCCAGCCCCTCCTGCTATTTCCCACTTGCAAAATTATCTGCTCGCTCGAACCACTGTCTTCCTGCGCACCTTCTTGTACTGATATATCCCAGATTGAGGAAAAAGATCATCCCCCCTACGACTACGATGGTGAACGTATCATCTTCCTACAAGATGTCTTCCCGGATACCGATGAATTCATCGAGGAAGCATTACTGGCCGTCCCCATGGAGTACGAGAGGGCCCAAGAAATTGTGCTTATCAATGGGAAAGGAGGTGGTAGAACGGATCCAGGAGCGCCATGCAATGACTCGTTGTCTGTCATCAACGTTGAGCCTGGGAAAACCTACAGAATGAGACTTATTGGTGGAACTGGCTTATCAATTGACATTCTGGGCATCGAGGGCCATGATAATCTCGAAGTGATCGAAGCTGATGCGTATGTCTCCTTCCATATATTCCCTCTCTTTTAGCGATGGGATTAACAATGAATAGAGCCTACACTGAGAGGCACCCCACCTCAATCATGCAAGTCAGCCCAGGCCAACGATTTAGTTTCCTTCTGCACACCCATGCACATCCAGACAAGCAACGATACTACATACAACTGGAGAGTCGCGAATTCGGGGGAGTTACTCGCTCGTTCGCAGTCATTGACTACGGCCGCCCAGCAAACGATCCCACTCCTGAGGTCTATCCACCAGCTTCTCCTCCCATCACCTTACCACCAACAGACCCTTATTGGCTCGAGTACTCACTTCGCCCCTACAACAATTCGGAACACCCAACCGCATCACTTGCAGCACTTGATTTCCCAACCGCAGCAGAAGTGACTCGAAGAGTCAACATCACGTCTCATCTATCCATTCCTCAAGGCGGCCTGGTTTACAAGATAAATGGCTACACCTGGAATGAAGGTCTTGTGTCGGAGCCTTATCTTGTCAGTCTCTATAAAGATGGCGGTTCCAACTGGCCATCCATGGAACGCGCTCTCCAGAATGATGGTTTGGACCCGATCACTTATGCTTTCCCAGCACTCATGGGAGAGGTAATTGAGATCGTGGTTCAGGGCACCGGTTCTGAGGGCAATGGAACGGAGACGCATCCATGGCACGCTCATGGGGCCCATTATTGGGATTTGGGTTCTGGAGCGGGTGAATACGATGCCGAGGCGAACGAAGCAAGATGGCGGAGTTCCATAGGACATCCCGTTAAGAGAGAGTATGTTTCCTTTTCGCACTCTTTATTTTCTTCCAAACCTCCCTAGTTTTCGCAAGGACTTTTGGGGGCACTAGGCGAGAGCCCTGCGAAGAATATGAACACTAATCTTGGAATAGTACGACAAATCTTTATAAGTACAGCGGAAAGGCACAAAATGGTACACTCTCGGCATGGAGGGCATGGAGACTCAGGATCGATCATCCAGGTGTTTGGATGATTCACTGCCATCTTTTGCCTCATATGGTGTGGGGCATGCAGACTGTGAGTTCTCATCTCTTTGTGAATAATTGCTCGTCTTCAGGGAGAGATTACTAAAACATTCATTACAGGCTTGGGTTATGGGAAACCAGTCTGAAGTGCTCGGATTGATCGATAGGCCGGGTGTGGAAGGGTATCTTACCTATGGAGGGAGCGTAGCTGGGAATGAGACCAATTCCCCTGAGGTGGTTGAGTTCTTCCCCCTTAGTGACTGGCAGGATGGTGCAGTTGGTGACGGAACCAAGTGAGATTTCGGATAGAAGAAGGCAGTCAAAATGTGTTGTCGAGAAAAAGGGGAGTGGGAGGGAGGTTATAAGTGGAGAGAAATTAATTCAGGTGAGGTGATGTTAGGATTTATTAATGATGCTACTTGCTTTTGTTTCTTCTGGCATTGACAAAACCCTTCTTCGCTTAACTTTCCCGAGGTAAAGGGGGTGGCAATCCGTTAGCTGACCAAATCTCGGAAACAATAAGTCTGTATATATTTACTTCCTTTGCCGCCAAGTATTTTAAAATTCATATATATATTGATTCTTGGTGAAATTAGTTGCTACGCCTTTAACTTTGGTTGTTGCAAGAACTTTCCTTCACTGGAAGATATGGAGTACTTCGAGGGGGCTGGGTTTCAACTTCATGCCTGAACATAGTTTTTGCTCAATCCAATACCGTTACTTTTGCTGCTTTATTATTGCTCCGCTGAGGCTCCACACCAGACTATAGAATGTATCTTGGGGGTCAATTATTCAGTGAAAACATCAATATCTCAATATATACCATAACTCTAACGTCGCAAGGCCCAATCCGAGTCGACTTTTTACTTGACAGCGAACACCCTATAGGCCGTTTCAACTTAGCCCTGTGATATCTGGGACAACTATTAATAATTTCTCAAATTTTATTATGAGATGCGGCCACATCTACTGTATTAATTATGTAGCTGATAAATGCAAGGCCATGGGAAAAAAGTATCTAATCCTCAGAACAATCAAAACCGTACGCAAAGCCCAACAGACATTACAATTGCATCAGCATTAGTAAAGAGAGAAAGACAACGAGATGGACGCTGACAAAAGCCCCTACAGTATTATCCACAACCCCTACCGACTATGGGATAAGTCGTCAGACAGGTCCTATCATAAATACCCGACGATGCAACATTCGTGCCCGTCACATTATTATAAGCCAGTCTAACCAACGATGGCTCGAAAGGTGAATATTGAGGCCATCCACCCCTGTATTTCGTCAATCCAGTGAAAGGAGCTTTTGCAAAGGCCGCCCACGCGCCCTGGATATATTTCCTAATCGAAATCTCCGCCTCGGTATCTGGAGGAATTCCTGGTCCGGTAGGAAGTGTGTTCCAAATGAAGGGAATCTCGGAACAATGCCAGGCGCCGCTATCAGGGTTGGTGAAAAGGCGAATGTTGGGGAAGTTTCCGAACCACCGGTAACGCCATATAGGAAGGCCATGGGAGGCGCTGACATTTGCCCGTGCGCCTGCTGGACACGCAAACTCCGAATCAGTGAGATCCACCCAGTATTTATGGTCTTGAGCGACGCCATTGAGAGCATATAAGGGAATGTATGCGCCGGCTTCGAAATCGTTATTTCCAGTCAAAAGTGGGAGCTGGGCAAATTTGCCTGCTTTTGAAAGAGCAGGATAATCAGCAAAGCCAGTGATACCGTCAACGCTGGGCCCGAATTTGTTCAATCCAATCGCAGCAAACAGCTCTTTGACATCCTTCTTTTGTAGACACGAAAATATTTCTGAACTGCTAGTAGTGACATTCGTGCCACAACCAAGGGTATCAGAGACCTTGTACCACGCTTCGGCATTGTTCGAGGGCAAGGCTTTGCCAAAACCAGCCGCACCAGACTCCATAATCAAGCCGGAAACGATGGGGTCGGATGCATAGGAATAGGCATAGTGGTCCACCGAGGCAGAACCAGCAGATTGGCCGAATAGCGTCAATCTTGCGCAATCGCCGCCAAAAGCGGGAATATTGTCTCTCACCCATTCTACAGCCATCCGCTGGTCGAGGAATCCGGGGTTATGATTTTTAGATTCTGGATCGCCATGGAATCCTAGAATATCGACCCGGTAGCTAAAATGAGAGTATTAAAACATGATCTTGCACATTTTCTTCAGAGTTACTTACTTGAGAGTGACGACAATAACATCTTGTTCAGCTGCAAGATGCTGCCCATCGTAAAAGCCAATCTGAGTACTCCCGCCGGTGAAACTACCCCCGTAGACGTAGATCATCACGGCTTTGCCATCTTCACCACCAGTAGGAACCCAGACGTTTAGAGTAAGGCAGTCTTCACTAAATGTATCCGTAACTTGAAATAAGTCTGAGAGAGTTGCAATTCCTTGGGCAGTCAGATTGGCAAGAGACATATCGTAATTGTTAAGATCATTTCCACGAGCGGCGAATGGTGTGTTGGCTGGACAAGCGAATCCCTAAGGTGGAAACCTGAATAAACTTTCAAACATGCTAAGATATGGGAAAAAACTTACTACACTGCTTCCATTAATGAGTTTATCGCCATGGTATTTCTCCGGTGGCATAAATCTTAGATTTCCAACTGGTGGTTGTGCATAAGGAATGCCGAGATATGCAGAGACATGGGACTTGACAGTGCTTGCGTGGCCGCTAACTGGTCCGCTGGATGTTTTGATTGTTTGACCAACACTGAACCCGTAGCAACTTGATATACCAAGGAGGGAAATAAAACAGGAAGCTTTCATGTTGCTAGTATGTACGTATAACGATCGGTGTTATGAGAGGAGACTAATATGATGAGAGGCGAGTTGGTCAGAAGAAGTGTACATCATGACTTTATACTTTGAACATAAGACATCACTTTATCAAGATCGTAGTATCTATGCGCCACATTCAGACAAGGGTATTTGTTTATTAGGTCACAAATTTGCTACATACATAGGCAAGTAAGACCCCACCTATCGGACACTCCTTGGTTTCAGACACCTAGCTTAACTTAGGGATCGGAGTTTTCGTTATATATTATCATATAATAACGACAGATTACTGTTATTATTATATAGCAGCCACTTTGTATACTTATATAAATGTAAGTATAACTCTTACATATTATATATAAAAGTACCGGAAAATTTGTGCAAAACTATTATTTTTAGTATAGAAATTCTTAATATTACCTAATAATTGGCTAGTCCTAATAGAGTTAATGTATAGTTATGTGATGTACTAATTGGGCCTAGCGTCCTGTTATATATTTGGAATTGACTGTTATTATAGTTATATAACGAGAATGTCCCATTACATATAATCGCCGATCCCTAACTTAACTCACCGCCAGTTATGCACTTCATTCTCAGCTGTCAACATACGCCCTCCACAAAAACAATATCTGTGCCATGAAGCAGAAGTGGGTACATCACATCATCATCATTAGGGTGGGACGACAGAAGGTTAGTCTTCCTCGGCCTGGATGACCCTGATCTTCACTAGAGAAGTGGGGGAAATGATGATTGCTGAACTTTTCGAGCTTGAAGCTGATTGTTGATCCAAGGTCGCACAAGTCCCTTTGACAAAATATGCATTCATTGGTGATCGACCTCATTAATTGGATGCTAATGTGATGGGTTTTGACATGAGCTTACAAATTTTGAAGGCAGGTGGAAGCGATTTAGCCTTTTTCATTTCTGGTCCTTCTAAATTTTATATGCCCTCCAAACAAAATGGGGATGGCCCAAAAACTACTCTATGGCACACTCATAGCCCCCCATTAAATATTCATAGTTGAAAACACCCCTTGACCTCATCTGCGGCCGTGAGATAGCCCTCACAGCAGTCGGCATACGCTTTGCCATCTGGTTTTAGTTCTTCCCAACAAAGTTCCAACCCTTCTAGCTCTCGCTCAGCTATCTTCTGCAAAATGTCCTGATCTTGGGCAGACAACAGGGGAAACTGTGACCTTGATAGTACGAAATGCATCTTCGCAAACGCAGTTGCCATTCCAATAAGCATAGCCTTGTACTCCATCGGCCGCATCGAAAAGTGTAACATATGGACCGCAAATTCCGAAGGAAAAATCTCGAGAACCGCCTTGAGTGATGGTAGCGCAGTCAGGGAGAGGCCATGTTGCACTATCATATTCATACCAATTCCCCCAAGGCCGAGACTATTGGTACGTTGGACTTCACTCATTCCTGCAGGACATTCCCTCTCAATGTCGAAGCCTCCCTGTGCACGCAGAATCTTGATGATTGTGCAGACAAACATGTTTTTGGTCCTAAATGGAACCGACACGAACGTTTGAAGAAGGCAAGGGTGGGAAAGCCAGAGCGGTAGTAACCTCTCGATAACTGGGCGGCTTCCAATATCCAAAGTTGGGAGTGTTTGAAATGTGAACAGGGCTGTGGCTGGTTGGAAAGATTTAGGTACCCCCGAACCCCTACCACTATATGATGGGTGAAATACAGGGTACCCAGAAAGAATGTCCTCGTTATCGTCATCGTGGTTGTCGTCGTTGGAATTATGCATTGGGGTATCGGGAGTCTGTAGGATTGGGGATTTGTTGGAAAGGTTATCAATCCATCCCCTCAAGACATCGTATTCATCCTGGGTGAAAGAGCCGAACATTCTTCCGTTCCATTGCAATTCTTGGATAAATCGACTTTTGCTACTATCTCCCTTGCAAATCCAGTATTTGCTAGAGCTCATCGCATCGAGAAGTCCCTTCTGCCACTCTTTGGACTCTAGTGCGACTGGGTCAAGCCAGTCGGCGACGCTCCGGGACCCGATTTTGACCCTACTACTGCAGTGAAATCCATGGGCGACCTGTGCCTTAGCCCTGAAGATATTAATCACCTTCACTTCAGTTGGATCCAGATGGATATTGGATCGATTGTTCAATATTTTCCTGGATGGGCAGATAACTGTTCCTGGCAAGCAGGATGAGAGGAGATATCCTGCCTGAAGTTTCCCCCATGCCTTTTGTGCAGCCTCTTTCCCTTCACTTTTGAGTATGTGGCTCATGTATTCGCAAACCACCTCTATCGCAATTGCACTGTGGCCGGAATGGGTGTTGTCTATCGATATGTGGAGGAGGAAGTAATACGGGTCTATCCCAACTTCTTTCAATTCCATTCCAGCCTTTAGCGTGTCCATTGAAGCAGCTTCGAAATGAAGGTTGAATCCGAGAATCTCTGGTAGAAACTCATGCGGGAAAAGGGAAATGAGTAGTTGAGCGATTGCGGATTTCCATACAGAAAGCTCGTTGAGCTGATGCCGTGGGTGACCAAAGTCGAGAGATTCCGCAGTAGGCAAGTCCGGAGCGGTGCTTTCGAGTAGCTTGTGGTACAAGTGAACATGATTTTTTCTCAAATCTCCATCTCCCAACTCCTCAGACAAGATCTGCCATGCATCTTTCATCGTCTTCCAGAGGGCAAATGGTGTGGTCACCTTGCCAATGTGACCCAGCCAAGCACCATCAACATACTTGACGGGAGAAAGTTGTTTCAACCACCAAATTGCTTCTTCCCTGTCCCCAATCAACTCTCGTGGGGACCCCTCTTTCCTTCGAAGGTTATACTGCTCCCATTCCTTGCAAATACCATGATTTTGCCTTTGTTGAAACTCCTCTAGACCATCTCGAGAGAATGACTGGACTGACAAAATAGTGTCATGTAGAGGTAGTGTCTGACCCACTCTACTTGTCTCCTCTAGTAGGGAGATCAAGAGTCTCTTAGCCTGGGGAAGGACTTCGGGGAACTTCTCAAGATTATGCAACTGATAGTATAATTGCTTGAGCGTTTTGAGTTCCTCCAGCTTCTCATCGTCGCTGACTTTATTGTGGACTTCCCACTTTCGATGGGTTCTCTCGACTTTTATCTCAATTGACTTGCTAGGGAAAACGTTGCTGCCAAAGTTCCAGCCCCAATTCGTTCGGAACCAAGTTTTCGATCGAGATTGACCTAAGAATATGACTACCACTACAGAAACGATAGTAGCAAATGTCGGAAACCATTGTACTAAGAGAGAGTCCATGATGAGTAGGGAGTGATTGAGTGCCCAGGGGAAAATGAATGAAACTGGGCAGCTCTCCAGGCAGTATAATTCTCCAAACTCAAGAGGTATCACTGAATACTGCGGATTAATCTTTGAGGTACAGGGGTCTCAACGATCAGTGGAGCTTCCGATATCTGCGTATGCTCCCTTCAGCCTTCCACAGTATTATTTTGTCTCAAACTCGATACGGTGCCTGGCCTGCTTCGGTGGACAAACGACATGTCAGTGGTTTTAGTGGACGCCACCACATTTTGTATGAGATAACAGTGAGATCTTTGCTACATTCGTTAAGTCGTTAGCGCTGAGACAGGTGTAGTATAGTCCACCCGAGATGGCCATGCACTGTACGAGAAATCACTGCACCTAATAGAGGGGAAGTATAATTGTGGCATAGTGTAATGCAGCAATGAGCATGCAGTAATATATTCTGAATTATTAAGAGATCACGCTTTTGCCATGAGAGACATATGATGTACTCGTATATAGTCCTTCTTCTTAACTTTGAATGCAGGCCAACCCAGCTACACACCATGCCTGCCACCTCTAGCTTTTGAATAGGCTCCAAAACCAGAGCTAATTAGCAGAGCCCCATTTCTCGAGCAACTCGTTCTCGGGTCTCAAGAAGTAGCTGAGGAAGTACCGATTTTGGGCACCATCGAACGGTTGAGTTACCCTGTGCTTCGGCGAATGCAGCTTCCCCCCCGACAGCCTCTGCAGGGTATTGGCGACATTGACCAGCGCACATCCTTCGGCGGGTGGCGGAAGGAAACCCCATATGCCGGCGTCCGGAAGAAAAGCATGTAGACTCCAATCGTGGTAGAACAGAAGGGTGAGTGTCCCGCTGTCCGTGTGCAAGCTCTCGCCAACCTCCGACAACCGAGCCAGGGATGGGTGCAAGACAAATTTCAAGCCGGTGTCACTGGGTTGATCGACACGGTGGTGTAACATAAAGTCTTCGGAGAGACTGTTCAGCAACGTCAAGCAAGCCTCGTCACAGCCAGCCATGAAGTCGCTGATCTTGGCCCCACCATCCCGGAAGAGCCGCGGCATTTTCGAGATAGAAGCGCCGTTCAAAGCCACTTCGTCCCGCGACAGCTAATTCGCATTGCGTCAGCAGAGTCAACATGGCTGTGATCTACCCGACTATCAATCGGGTGTTTCTTACCTCAAATGACTCGCCGCCACGGCCCATCTTCCATCCCAGGTCCTGCGAGGCTTTGATGTCAAGCCTGGTGTCCTTTGCTTTAGCCTCGTTGGGCTGGTCGAAGTACTTCTCGACTGCTGTATAGACGTTAGGGAGATGTGCAAGCACACTGTTGCCCTGGGCATCTCCGCGAAAGTCAAGGTAAAAAAAGCCCGTGTTGGAGGATGCACTGTCTAGGAGAGCAAGTTCAGCGGGATCTCTTTGGTGGAGTTTCGCGAGCGAGATGGTTGAGAGCTGGGCAATAGAAATGCCGCGGAGTGCCGTCTTATTGGCTGTGTCTGAAAGAGGGTTTGCCATGCTTATCCGCGAGTGCGTATTCCAAACTCTAGGGTTTGGCTGCTGTTGTGTCTGAATGTTTGGGAAAGACGGCTTTTTTGTCTTGGTAAAATCACGGTGAGTCCACAAAGATAATAAAGTGTCCGTCTTAAGAAGATCGTTTGTTTGCTTGCATTATATCTCGGTGGGAAATTGGGATATGATTGAAATGCAACAAAAATGTTAATGCACCGATGCCTCAGCACGGCGCCACCAAAAAAAAGAAACTTCTAAATCAAATCACTACAGTACCACCACTGAGTGGGTGACACGATTGAGAACGGAAATTTTTGGCAAAACCCCACCAAAAAATCGATAAAACCCGTACTCAATGGTAACACCGACTGGTGGTATTATATTGCTAAGTTACGGAATTATAATGATTTTAACCAATTTATAATATTTTTTATAATACCTAGGTATACGTAATTGCAATAAGATCAATAAGTTGCTAAATAATAATAATGAAATGTATTAAAAGTTATAATTAACATTTGAAGACCAAAAAGAATTGTTTAAAAAATAAAGTAAATATTTTTTTATATAATAAGAATAGTACTAAGTAATTAATTGGAATTTTGATCTGCGTTGGCTTCTCAACACCGCAGACCGATTGAGTTCAGAAGCCGATGCACTAGAGATCAAAAGTACCTATGTCGAGATACAAGCGCTGTACGTAAACATCTTAAACCTAAAACTAATGTCATCCTCCTAACCGAAATTCTGCAAGCTCCGCTGATCTTACGCTGAGACAGAGGGTGAGCAATACATCAGCTCTTGTCTTACTACTCGTGAAGGTTAGTAGGACCGTTAATCTCGTAGATCGCTCTACTGGTAGGTGATCCACGTAGTGCGGCTGTGGCTTACCACATCAAGTACTTCGTATTCTATCTCATCTGTATTTTACAACGTCATTCAATATTCAATACAGTTCCATTTCATCTCGTACTGCTCATCTAGTCACCACATATTCCACGATTAAACTCGAGAGGCGCTGTGTTCTTGCACACAGATTTCAAGCGCTCCTGGCATACTTTTTCTAAGGACCAGCTTCCCATGTCGTCTTCAAGTCCCCTATTTCGAGCCTCAAGCGCGGTGGCAATAGGCGAAGAATCTGCGGATGAAACAACCTGCTTGTTACCAAAGCAAGCAGATAAATCAACGAGTTGCAATGGGCATGCAACCAAACCGGCAAAAATCAGTAAAATATTCGGACTATGGCAAATTGGAGCACTTTGTGGTAAGCAGTGGTTCTTGGCCACCGTCTCGGTACATATTGATCTGATGAACTCTGCAGGCATCCTATTAGCATACGCGGATACTTCTCTAGTGTGGGCAACTCATGAGACGATAGCATCGCGCTTCGATAGCCGGCAGAAGTCGTCATGGATGATGACGAGTTTTACAATAGGATATTGCGTAACACTACCGCTGGTGAGCTGCTTCCAATTGTTGTTCAAGCGTTTGATATGCTTAGTTCTTGGGGACAACCTCCTAGCAATTTTACTAACGGATTTCAATAGTACGGACGATTGAGTGATAATTTTGGTAGCCTTCGCTCTCTACTGGTGGCATACTGCACATTTTGCATTGGTAGCGCGCTCTGGTAAGTGATGGCCTAGAATTCTCCAGATATGCCTGTTTCCCTTACGAATCTGTGGGAGATGCTATCGAAAGTCTGGGAATTGACTCATGTGAGAATAGCGGAATAGGTCTGGCTTATTGGCAAGTGATTTTGGGCAGGATTATCGCCGGCTGCGGTGCATCGGGGATCGTCTCTCTAGCTTCCATTATAATCACAGGTGAGTTGGCAACACTCTTCTTCTCTTTATATTAGTATGTTGTTAAGCAGTTCAGCTGGCAGCTAATCAACTTTCTTGAACAGAGCATGCCGACCCACCAGACGTCGTGGTTCTACGAAGTTACGTCAATATAGCCTCAACAATTGGACTTTCAGGGGGTGGCCCGCTTGGGGGGTTTCTCGCCGAAGTAATTGGTTGGAGATGGTAAACTCCCAGTTGTTGTCCTCTCCATGAGTCAACATTAATATTTCTGCAGGCTGTTTCTAGGACAAGTCCCAATTGCAGCCGCCTGTTGTTTGCTTATTGCGCAAAGTCTCACAGTAACTTTGCCAAAACTAGAGCGGGAAGAGGAACAGCAGCGAGACGACTCTCGAAACGAGCCTGCACCAGCTCTCTTAGCTTTCGATTTTCCGGGAGCGATCACTCTTGCCATAGCAATATCCTCGCTTTTGGCGGCCATCGATTTACAAAACCCGCTTGCCTGGGGGCACCCTCTTGTTCTCAGTTTACTCATTGTTGGCATACTCTCTACACTAGCCTTTCTTGCCTTTGAGACCTTTCCGGGGAACAGGGAGCTCTTGATGCCGTTGAGGCTTTTGAAAACAGAGATTGGTGCATTCTGTGCTGGACAGGTACTTTTGAATTCCTTTACTCATATATCCTCACTTACTTAATATGTTTCTTGAGTCGCAGCTATGGAGGTTGCTTAGTTCATCACCAGACTTCTGACAGTTCCAGAATATGTATACTGACTTTAAGTTGTGCACTAGTTGCTTATAGTTGCGAGTGGTTATGGAGTATGTGAAACCATCTCCTTCGCTGTTTACTTCACTAACAAATCATTTTGCAGTTTGTTTCTCAAATAGCACCATACTTCGCAAATACTCAAGGAGCTTCGGATGCAGAAGGTGGAGGGCGGACAGTTCCTTTCAGTATTGGGAACGCAGTAGGTGCTCTCCTCGCAGGGCAAATAATCAAAAGGCAAGCCTGCTTCCCACTCCCTTTTGAGATCTACTCAATGTCTAATATCTATCCTTAGATTCGGAACTTATAAAAGGCTTTCTATGGTCTCGATTTTCTTTTGCATCGCTAATTCAGTGGTGATTCTACTCCGATGGCCTTATCCTATCGGTATGTCAAAGTCCAAGCTCTATGTCACCTCTGTTCGTTCCTTTTCTTAGCTGGAACAAGAATTACCGGTCGGAAATTCCCATTCTGGGCAGAGGCAGGACTTCGAAAACAACTCCAAATAGAAGCTAATGATTACATGAAACTCGTTGCAGGCGTCTGGGAAGAAATCCTCACTACCTTCCCATTCGGTCTCTTTGGTGGCATAGTCCTCTCCGCACAGTTTATTGGCCTCTACAATTGTTCCCCGAATCAATATATGGCCACAGCTATTAGCATGTACTATATGAGCCAACAAATCGGTATCGCTCTAGGCATAAGCATTAGCTCGGGGCTTCTGAAGCATCAGTTCAAGGTCACCTTACAGAATGCAATGGTCAACGTTCCGGGGTATACAGAGGTTAGTCCCATACGTCACCTTGCCAGAAAAGAAAAGAAACGGAAGAAGTCTAATTTGTACAATCAACAGATTATCAAGAGAATCTTGGATGATTCTTCGGTCGTTGCGCTATTCCCCGAAGAGATCCAGTCACTCATACGTCAGAGTTATCTCAACAGTTTCTGGGTGGTACCAGGTATGTTATTTGATATCGCGCCCCATTCCGGTGATGCTAGGTGACTGATATTTTGTTAGTGTTAGCGGTTTCAACACAAGTACTTACTATTCTGCCTATGATTTTTACGACGGAGAAGTATTCAAATCGACTGGTAAAGGCTTGCCAGTGACCGCTGTGTGTTTTTATATCCTGGGAAAGGGGTTTGAGGAATGGATGTGACTATCAGGCGCGCGTATTAGAATGTATTATAGCGTATATCTCCTATTCATTTTCAGTAGAGAATTACGTTGAAATAGTCGCGGATGTATTGGTAGTGAGCTGAAAAGTTGCACGTAATTGCTATTTGACAGCGTGAAAGAAGTTATCTAAACAAGTTCTTGTTTGCTATTAGCATCAACATGGGCCCTTCGTCCATATGTGCTGGCTGAGATCAATACTCTGGATCACGACCAAGGGCTTGGTTCCTTTTTGTGGAGTTCCCAACCTCGGTGGTGGTCCAGTGGCGGTCCGGTACGGACCGTGGTACACCATGGCCGCCATGCCTGCTAGCACCGGCGATCAGACCGTAAGCCTGTCCGTAAAAGCTAGTAGTATAGGGGCTAACGATATGCTTAATATACTACATTGACAGGCCTACACCTTTTGTAATTATATTATTATTTTACTACTATACCGCTACTATAGTCTATGAGAGGTACTTACTCAAATATGTATTTTACTCACAAATTACTAGTAGGCTGTTATATCTGCGAAGTACCATTACCTATATTTGACTATCTACGACTGCGGTTTTATATCTTTCCTTTGCTAACCGCAATTTCACTAGTTTTATCATGCCATGCCGCAGATACCAAAATCACTCATTGCTCTTAGCAAGGAGCTGCTCTTCTCTCTGTTGGCGGCCTTCACTCTTTGGGTCATAGAACGCTGCTTCGGGTAAGTAGTTACTCCCTGGATGGCTCCGCTCAGACTTACGTTTCTCCCCGAAGACAGTAGTCCTGATACCTCTCCTTGTACCCGTATGGTAGTTTCCTGGTATGATCCGATGAAGACATGTTCTCTGTAAAATTGTCAGTATTAACCAAATAGCTATCGACTATCCAGTAGTCTTACGTTATCCCATAAAGCAATACTCCCCGCTTCCCACTTCCATCTGACATAGTGGTCATCCGAACTGTGAATAAGCAGGTTCAGGAATTGTAGGAGAGCATCTGACTCGGCCTTCTTCAGCTCGGCAAAACCAGTGCAGTAAGCCAGATTGACGTTGAGAGATTTCAGGCCAGTGACAGGGTGTGTGCGAATCGCAGGATGATGTGTGTCAATCGGCGGGCGACGAGGTTTGTCGCCGAAGTAGTCCTGGGGAAAAGAAGGTTAGTTATTTCTCCTTGAATACCATTCCTCTATCGTGAGTATCGTAAGTGCAAGGTGGTTTTCAAGATATTTTGGTACTGAAGGGCGTGTCGTATGTCAAGTTGGGACAGTTGAAGACTAGGAGCTAAAACGAAGGCGGAAAGCTTGTGCTCACAATGGTGGTATCGTATTGCAAACGCGAGGTATGCACAGCATGCAACCCTTCTAACAGCTTTTGCATATGGGGGCTAAGCTCATCATAAAGTCCATACCCAGATACCCAGGCTGTGTCTCCACCAACCTCGGGGTGCTCCTCCATGCGAAGAAGGGAATAGCTAGGGGCTATCTTTCGTCAGAGAAGAGGTCGATAGTAGGTAAAGGGAGCATACGGTTGATCTCAAAGCTCGTATCAGAATGAAATTCTGACATTGGCCACGGAGTATATTTCAAAAGGGTTCGCCAATCTGCATTATTTCCTCCGACAATAAAATGTTTCGTGTCCTGCGAAGTGTCAGAAAGGGATAAGCTCTTTCTCTGTCTTGTGAAAAGATGTGGCCAGGTACCTTTTGCGTGGGATGAATGTCCAAAACGCCAAAATGCTCGAAGATCTCAACTTGCCTCTCAGTTGTCAAATCTTGGTCTCGGAAGAAGACAACACCGCGTTCATTGACAAGTGCAGCAAGTTCATCCAATTGCTTCGTATCCAATTGACTTAATTGAACATTCTTTAGCTCGGTGCCTATATCTAGTCAGCATATGACATATCATGAGCTGTTCTGTATTTCTGGGGTAAATACCAATGCTTTCAGTCACGTCAGCGGGTTTGGCGACAGCAAACAATGCCTTCTTCTCTGGATCAGCGTAGGATCCCCGATCTCTCGGAGGTGTAAATTCCTCGTGAAGGGAGTCCTGGGGAACATGGGCCTTGATCTTAGGGTTGTAGTTGGAGTGGATCACAGTTGGTTGTCCCGAGTCGGGGGAAATGTGCTTGTAAGCCTCCAAGGACTCAATTGGGGCAGGACGGACTTTTGCCATTTTACTATCAAGTCGTGATCAATCTTCAAACTCAACGTAGAAGCAACGGAGCTGTAAGTAAAGTTACTGCTAGATGAGTTGCTGCAGATTAAGATGTACTGGTTGCTGTTTGCGTTACGGAGACCGCCAGAGGTGTTAGCACCATCTGACATAATGTTCTTTCGAAAAAAGAAAAACAGTCCTACACCGCCAGCAAGTAGTTGAGGTGTATTCTCTGGAGAGACGAAGGGATCAGCAACGCGGCTTCAGTTTTCTGATCAGGGTTTTCGCAATTTTTTGCAGGCATTCTCGATCACTCTCAATCAGCTCATGCAGGTTCCCGTACACTCTAAAATCACTCTATCAATCAAGCATGGAAGTAAATAAAAACAATGTTAAGTGGAGAAATCTCGTTGTTTAAACGACCAATCTGGCCGACTTATCGCCGTTTCAATCAATAAATTGATTGATGGAGTAAACGATAATTTGGGTGCCTACAGTACATGAGTCCCCTTAATCGAATAGTACGCAAAAATGCAAAAGCACCCTGCATGCAACATGTCTGTCTCTCAACATGTCTCTTAAGTCGGACCTATTGCATACAAGTAGGGGCATTATGTACACTGCTCAAAACTGTATCACTCAGGTTGTACAGTACGTGGACAGCTCTAGTGGACTTTGCGATGCCTATCTTAGCGCCAACGCCTTAACAACTATAGCAAAGATCTTCGCGATTTCCGATACGAAATGTGGTGGCGTGCACTGAAAGCGCTGACTCTCGTTAAATCTACCCGAGCTGTCTACGATTGGGAAAGGCGGTCACAGAAATGTATGTAGGTCAGTGCTGTACGGCCATGCGCTTGAAAGACATCCGAGTAGGCCTGCAATTCCGATTAGGGGTCTTAATTGCCGATGGAAGTGATGTTGCACGAAGGGTTCCTGCATGTGCAGTGCAGTAGCACAATAGGGGCTCCCCTTGTACACAAATGCTATTAAAATATTTAGCTCTCAAACTGACAATATATTTGCTTACTACTCGATTAGGCCACCAAACGACTATTTGATGGAACAGACCTTGGCATCACTTATCGTTAAAACAAAAAGTAATATCAAGATATCTTCCCGTCGTCGTATTCCTCTTTTAGTAAGTGAAAAGTGAAACAGTAGATCTCTCCTCCCGCGACCAAATCAGAGCTTGCTTTTGAGACTCTAAGTACGCCTTACCGCCTATTACCAAGTATCCTCTACAAAACGTGTAATTCAAGCTCGTGTGAATAAAATAGCTGATAGCTCTGTTAGGTTAAAAAAGGCCTAAAAGTCCTTATTAGTGGCTGTGATCATTTTCTTCCTCGCAGAATTTTGCTTCCGTTTATCTCATTTCTACTTGGTATATCTGAGAAATATTGGACAACAGCCTGAGAGTGCCTCTTGTTTTCGCCTCCTGTCAGAATCTCATCGTATTACAATGCAGCTTTTCTTCCCTCCAGTCTCACCTTTTCTGGAGCTGATCCAACATGAACGGCAAAATCCCAATAAGATTATACTTCGAGATCACTCCTCGGGCAAAACCGCCACCGCTGGACAGTTGTTGCAAAGTGTGTCTTTACTCCGCGATAAATTGCAAGGAGCAGTGCTGCAAAATGGAATGCGTAATGGGGAAAACGCCGGCCAGGACAAATTTATCTTCCTAATTGCTCCTCCGGGATTGGAATACGTGGTCTCGATGCTCACTATCTTCTCCCTTGGTGCAGCCATGTCAGCTCAGTGTAAGCAGTTACTTCCGCGGCTCGGCTTCATTATGCTTATCTCGAATATAGCTATCGTTATCAAGCCAGAGGACATGCTACGCTTCTTCAAGCTCGCAAAACCTCTGGCCCTACTCTATGCCCCCGCGCTCACTGAGAAAGTTGAAGCTATCAAGGTCCTGTGTGCTGAGAACGACAGCGGGGTCAACCCAAAACTTCCTTTCGTGGAAATACAAACATCTTTCCTCGATAACTCGACATCTCACACATACGAAACAAGTCTAAGTACCAAGAACTTATCTGTGCAGAATGGCACACTGTTCTTCACTTCAGGCACATCGGGAAAGCAGAAAGGCGTTGTTCATTCCTACCAAGCTCTTCTTGCATCCGCACGGGAGCGAATAGGAACGTGGAAGATGACCGAAAAAGACGTGTTTCTCAACCAAAAGCCAGGTAATTGGATGGGAGGAATTTTCGGCATTATTCCGAGTTTGATGTCTGGAGCTTGCTTGTAAGCCTTCACCAGTGTTCATCTTCGACTAACCGTTTCTTTTAAACCTGGTCGAAGATGGCACCTTTGCGACGCCGAATTTCTGCAAGTGATGTGCTAATTGTAAGTCATTGATGTTAGGGAAACTTGTGCTGGTGTCTTCGACCCCAAATGGTTCTGGGAACGCATTAGACAGGGGGGCGTCGGCATATTTGACGTTGCGCCCACTGGTTATGACAGACTCGCACAGTACTTTGACGACCACATTGCTGTGCTCCCTCCTGCCGAGAAGGAGAGATATATTCAAGAAATGATAGCGGTGAAAGTTGCAGGTGTTTCGGGATCACTTCTTTCGCCACATACCCAGGAGAGATGGACGGAACTCCGTCGTGGAAAGCCATTGCTAAACTTGTACGGATCGACAGAGGTCACTCTTATATGCAGCATGGAATGGGAAAATCCCGACTATCCTGATATGGTAATGATTCAAGGTCCTTATACTATGCGTTGGGATATTGATTACTTGTTAGTGCTCAATCGGACCACCGGTGAAGGGAGTTGAGGTGAAGCTTGTGGACGGGGAAATGAGACTCAAGGCTCCTTCGATGTTCTCACGGTATAAATCATGAGCTATGTCTCCATAAGCAGAGAGCTAACGAAAGAACCAGATACATTTCGGACGATCCAACCCTGACGGAGAAGGCCTTTGATTCAGAGGGCTTCTTCAAGAGTGGCGATTGTGCCAAAAAGGTTGGAGACAGTTATGTACTCTACGGTCGAGCAAACATAGATGGTTTTTAGAACCCTCTCTCAACACCTCAAAATGTTCCTAACGTTTCTTATAGTACTGCATTTCTGGGGTTTCACCATACATACAGGCGAAGTCGAAAGTGCTCTTCTCTCTCTCCCCTACATCGCTAACGCCGTCGTCCTTCCTCTCGTGGATAAAAAATACAAGGAGCGCGCTGCAGCAATTCTACAAATCAAGCCATCATGCCAATTGACGCAACCGAGCCTGGATACCCTCCGAAATGACCTGACAGAGAAGACAGGTCTGATGCTGTTCAAGCAGCCGACAGTGATCTATTGGCTTCAAGGTGGAGAAGAAATCTCTTTGACAGTTAATGGGAAGATTTCAAAGATAGATGCACGCAAGAAGTTCTTCGGTGATGAGTGGCGGGGCAAGGAGGGAGKGGAGGTTTTGGACTTGTCGAGTATGGAATATTGGCGAATGGGTGGGCAGTGTTAAGTGAAAGTGAATTAGTTGAGGAGGCTAACAAAGGATGGGAATTAAAGACATTTCATGATGCCTCGAAAAAAGCAAAAGATTTCGTGATCAGACTATGTAGCAGAACTCAGGAACCATATCCACTTTTCGGCCTCCCAAGATAAGATGCACTGAAAAGTCCAGATTACAAGTTCTTCGCCAGAACCCCGTTTCTCTCCCAGTAACTGTTGAGATCACACTCGAGGCCGTAAAGAGCCTACATGAAAGCTGTGTAGACAGTATTCGAAATAGTTGCTGATCCAATGGCCTGTGTCTGAAGCTTCCGTCAAGCGAGCATCCATCAAGATCAGCATAAAACCCCATTTTCTTTGCGAGAGTTTCGTACTCCTGGACCCTGTTGTGATCTATAGGCTATTATTCGACTTGATGCAGTGTTACACCAGCAGATCAACAGCGGTAAACCTTGCAGAAACAGCTACTGCAAGCTGCAGTACGTCCCGTACTAACTTTCCTAGTCTTTGATGTGTTGTCGTGATGTCACCCACTCGGTGCTTCAGTTCAGAATTGCTTTTACAGCTTGTCACTGTGCAGCAGTTAGTGCCCAGCTGTGAGACATCTGTTCTAACTCAGCTGTAATCCGTTCTGGCCCAATCACGGATAATGCTCATTCGCACAAGCGGATGTCTTACATATCCATGGCTTGCAAGCTTGCAAGTTTTACAGGTTCTCAAGTACCACAGACTTGATATTTGAAGCCCGCAGGTCAAACCTTTTAGTCACAGATTCCTAAGTTCTACAAATTTACGCGACATAGGAGCTTGCAGGTGTGGCTAAGAGTGCAGATCCGTAGATTTCACACACAGCTATCACAAGGTATTGTGAACATTGTAAGTATCGCCTGTTTTACAGTCTGGTAGGTCTCGCAGATTCAGATGTAGCGTCATAGATGCCATCTCGTTCTCTAATACGTGCAGATCTATACTAATAATAAGACCATTATATAAGACCTTATATTTATAATAATTATAAGATAATAATATAATTATATCTTATAGAAAACTATTATACAGCTCTCCAGAAAGTTTTACGAACCCCCCCCCCCCCTTCCGACAGTAAGGTATTTACAAAGTACCTTTCTACATTGAAAAAGTAAATGTGATTACTCCATCTCGAGTGTGACAATAGAAATCCCCTTTCAATGTTCGATCACCAGACACACCATATTATAGTAAAGCCATTTACGAGGTGATACTTAGTTTTGGGAATGACCTCATTTGAATAACGGTATAGTTCTCATATATCTCGCAGAAATCAATATTCAACATACAGACCTTTTTGCAAATTACCCCGCACCCTCTCCTTACCCAACATGGCGCCTTCAAAACCAACCCTCCCATCCGTCGAACCAACCTACGATCCCAGGTTCGTTCCTTCACTCATCTCATTATCTGAGCTAACACATCCCCAGCCGTCCCCTAGCCACCGTCCAATGCCTCTACAACCACCTCATCCCCAACGTTCCCGGAAAATCCATCGTGGCCTACCTAATCACGCTTCCTCCCAACGGATCTACACCACCACACAGTCATGCCGGTGCCTTCGTCAGCGCCCACATCCTATCTGGCTATATGCTAAACGCAATGAACGACGACCCGATGGAGCTTTTGGGACCGGGAGATGATTTCTTTGAACATCCGGGATGCCATCATAGAATTAGCGACAATGCGTGCGCAACGGAACCGGCGACTTTCTTTGCGTCGCTAGTGCTTGATACGAAGACGGTGGACGAGTTGGGGGTGGAGGGGCTGACGGTTATTGATGACAAGTATATGGAGATGATTGCGAATGCACAGAAGAAATCTTGAGGGAAGATGAGTGAGAAAGTATGCGATGGCTGCATGGCGAGGTTGGGGTAGGTCCTGGTCTATAGCGTTCCCTACTGAGATTAGCAAAATCGGAAATATATTTTAGTCGTCTTCTAAAGCGCCTTCTCCGGCTCTAATGTTTTCTCCCTGCCTACTTTCGTTAACGCAATATACTGAAACGGCGTTTCGACGTGCGGGGTTGCTTCCGTGTTCTTTGTTGAATATACAGAGTATATCCTTCTCCGCCCATTACCTGTCGAACATCAATGTAGCTGCTAAATATTAAAGTGGCTGAGCACTTACTGTTAGGAAGGCTGGTAAAAATTATATTTAGAGGGGTACTGCCTCTGGGTTTATGCCTTAATCAATGCACAATTTCAGCATTACTTGCCACCAGCTCCAAAATCGTTGTTCAAAAGGTTTCATAGAGCTTTAAATACAATTAGGTTCAACTCATCCGCAATGAGTATTTCTCGTCGACTATCATGTTTCGTAGTACTCTCTGCTCTTGCGACGGCTTTCTCAACATTACTTCCAACTCCACCGAGTTGGAATACCCCAATCACCCACCAGCCCGGAGTGAAGGGTCTCCGGGTTCATTGTATGTGAGAATAAGTTTCTTGAACTCGGTACAAATGTGGATGGTCAATCTGTCTACAGAAGAGTAACCTTCAAGATACCAACTTAATTAAGACTGTGTTCAGCATTAACGTAGAGGAGATTTCCAAGCTGGCACAGGAAATTGGGGACCCGCCCCGAACGTCTGATGGGAAGAAGGGATACCCAGAAAAAGCGACGCAGGAGGCATTCAATAGGGCATTTGAACGGGCGGCCGAGCAACGACCACAACAGAGAGCACTAGAGGAGATCCCTTCTTAGGCAACATTTTCAACAGACAGATATGATAAGAAGGCAAAGCGCATGCCGATTCCAGGAAAGATGATCATTATCCCTCACCGTCGAGGAAGGAAACAAAGCATGTGAAAATCCGAATCTGGAGGGGGATAGCCCCAGACGAAGAGTTGGAGAGTTCCCCACCACCAGAGTCTGAGAAGAACAACCCAACTCTAGAACCAGATAAAGACAACGAGAGACCAGAAGACCCAACCAGTCCGACCCAGTTCGTGTTGTTGAGAGCGCCGACAAGGCACAGATACCAAGTCTTCAGAGGAATCAGATATGGAAAACACTAGGCTAATCCCTGACGACGAGAACCAACGAAATACCATGCAAATATACCACGAATGCGAAGAGAAAAAACAATGGATGATAATTGGCACTACCGAAATTGACCAAATGAAGATATGCTAGACCACGACGAGGATCTCGTGGAGCAACTCAAATAAATAGGCGTCTGCAATATTGACTTTTATGGCATAGCCGATTATGAGTAGTGGAAACGGAAACTCGTCAGCACTCCCATGGATTCAAGGCTTGAAGGCGTATTCGAAGACCGACAGAAATCCAGTCCGATGTGTCCCGGGAACCCTGTCTCAAAGGAAGGGTGTGAGGAAGCGAAGAAAGAAGTGATCAAGAGATGTAGTTTCGGACAATCTTGTAAGACCCATGAATAGCATTCTTACACCAGAACAGCCGATATCTGGGTGGCCACAGGTGGATCTTAGCAGGAGAACCTTTACGACCATCAGAGGCGTTACAAGAGGTCTATTCGTCCACGTGGAGGTATGGGCTCTTGGGAACCAGGAAAGAATATAGTCTCTTATAGGCCACTACGACGTCCTCGGGGAGCAGATCTTGGTAATGGGAAGGGGACTAGAACTCCTCCCACGAGGCGCCTGCGGCCGGAGTTTTGAGAGCGCAGCATAGATGATGATATGTAGTGGGAAGGAAGACTTGGCCTGACATTTTGATCTTCCCGACTTCGGGGAACTTCCTAATCAAGCTTTGCTTTCACCTCAACCGCCGTCTTCCATGCCCGTGCTGAAAATTAATCATTATTGCTATCTCAGACTTAAGGTTTTTCATGTACGCTCTGATGCCGTTTGAAACCCTTTTGCCGTTTGCCGTTTGACATTGCGTTTTAGAGGTAGCTAGACGTCCTAAGGTTGGCTTTGCCCGAAGTAGGTAGTTAGAACAGCTATGGAAACGAGGTGTTGTCGCCTTTTAACAGTAGAAACACCATATCAAATTGCTGCCCAAGGTAAAGAGCGAGCCAACATCCCCGTATTCGCAGTCCTCATCAAGACAAACCGATATACTCCGTAAATAGTACATAACAGGGGGTATTGGATGAGCATAGCGATAGATATCCCCGGTTTATGCTCCAGCGATACCCCAGCCCTTAGACTGAAGGCACACCATTGGGCAAGCCTTCACTTTGCACATTATTTCCTCCCTCTGTTTCTACTCCCGTTCCTACCAAACTCCAATCCCTCACCGAGCCTTTCCAATCCGAGACCCTCCCATCTGTAATCTTGACCACAACAACCCTCACATCCTCATCTTCAATAAAGCTTTCCCTCCCGCCATCACCATGTTCCGTCGCTATCTCCCTCTCATTCCACAAGCTACTCCTCCGCCCATCTTCAACATCGACAAAGGTGTTATTATCTAGATGGGATTCCTTGTAATATCTCTCTTCCTCGGTGCCTCGCTCCACTAGCCTCGCCACTCCATTGATAGTCGCACTGATACTGCTTAAAGCGCTCGTATTCAAGTTCAGCAGCAGCGTAGCGAGGGATGACCGCGATGCTTCAGGAGGCGGCGAACCGGTTCTCTCGGCGGTGGAACCGCGGCGGGCGGTAGTTGGCGGTCGGTGTGATACCCAGTCGTGAACGAGTAGCGAGACGTGTGGATTAGAAACCAGATTCTGCGTCTTTTTCGAACATGGATTGGTTGTCATTATGATCGTTGGGGAGGAGCTATGGGGCGAGGATGGGAGGTATGTGTAATTCATCAGGGAGACATGAGGGTAGAGGTTCGTGCATGTTGCGAGGTGGAGCTGGGGACACACTTGAGTTTAGCTGATGCTCGATATATAAGGGCAGAATAGATACACTAGGGGGGAATCATACAAAACGGGCGTTCTGTAAGCATTGAACGACTTCTGAGGGCAATGTATCGGTGATTTGAAGGTGCGTAGCTCCAGCAGATGGCTCGTATTGGAGCGGGGCTTCAGTAGCCATGTTTCTAGATTTCCGGGGAAGCAGGCACGTAGATATCGATATCGGCGGTAATCCTTATTAATTCATGGATGATCAGTTCATCCAGATTGTATTTTATAAGCGTGGGGTTGATGGGCAGATTGTCGCTTCGTAATGGAAGGGGGGGTGATGCGGAGCGGAACAACGCTCCACCGTGACGTAGTGCTCTATATATTGTTTTGACCGCCCCTCGCTACTGTAACCTCGCTCGCCATCATAACATGCCTTAAACTACCTAGGTACTTGACCCAAAAAAATATATCAACACAAGGCAAAAAAAAAAAAATTATTATGCTTATTTATTGTATATTCCGGAAGCAAAAGAGTTCGGCCCGGGCGATTGCCTACATCTCTTGTCGATTTTGTTGTTGCTCCCCCCTTTTTTTCCCTGTCGTCCCTGGCGATAACGAAAGTACAATTTGACCAGAACACACCTGACCAAGTGCCACGCCCTTGTACTTCGTTGATACCAAAACCGCTTATTTTGATTTATATAGGACATATAGAAGGCGGGGAGGAATATAATCATGTGACTGGCTTTCGTTCCATTTGACACACCGACGCCAAAGCTGAGCTTCCAAATGCCGACAATTATTTAACTCTGAGTTGTGCGTGGAAGTCTCACCTCAAATGGTAGGCTTCTGAGTTTGAATTGTCTCACTTGGTACGCCTCATTCTACGCATTATTATTTCTTCTGTGTAGATAATGTTGCGTGTACTTGATTGTTATGGGGTCATGATCATCCAGCTCTATCAAGCGGTTATAATTAGCATGATGTTGGGATCATAGATTCCTCAAGGTTCAATATGTGTTTGATTTTGAACTTAATCTATGAACGTTTCTCAAACCTATCAAAGTAGATACCTCAACGAACACTTCATTTATCATACGGACAAAAGACCATCACATCAATCTCACAACATATTTCGTCCCTCTTGCCAGCGCAAATTTGTTATGTCTCCTTCACAGCATCATCTGAACCAAGAACGCAAATCCTCCAATATAACCAACCTGCTCCAAAGTATACAACTTATCTGCAGCCGATTTCGAAGTCTCAGCCGATGTTGCAGATGTTGGTGAAGTCTCGCTAGTTCCGGTTCTCGTGGTGCTCGCTTTGGGCGTGGCAGGTGATTTGCTGTTCGATGGAGAAGCTGTCGGCGTCGAAGAAGAATCTACGCCGCCCGTAGCTGAGGAGAGCTGCAAAATCAAACAAAAGTTACCAGTTGTTCTCTTGTATATGCAGGCGATATCGCTGTCTTAATCATCGAACCAGAGGACTCACCAATTCTGCCGAAAGCGTGGCAACGACTGGAGTGCCTCCAGCGACACAATTATTGCTATTGGTACCAATTTGTCCCGGAAGACAACAGAAATACCCTTGCCCCTTGGGTACAGTGGTTTTATTCCACAGCGACCAACCATCATCCGCACATTGTGGACTCGCAACGAAGATAGCCTGGCAGGTAGTCCCTTTTAAGGTTAGCGATATCCCCTCAGAGCAGGATATGTCAACCTATTTATACCTTTGGGGCAGCAATGGTTCTGCGGCGAAACATGGACACAGTCCATAGAAGCTGGGCAACAATAACTCCCAGAACAGAGCTGATTATCTACTGGGCAGGATGTTGCTTGTAGAGACCAACCCCCCGATGTTACTCCGCGAGGATCGAAGAATTGCGGCACGGGTTGTGCCAGTTGGAGGGCGAAGACGCCACAAGCAAGCAACGGGAGAAGGAAGCTTGAGGAAATCATGACGGTTTGATGGAGTAAGTTTCTGGAGATGGTTATCAAGTAAGATTCAACAAGGAGAAGTATGCTACGATAAAAGTACAAGAATGGATCCGGAGATACTCTCCTCCATATTGATATAGGAAACGGATACCACTACTTTCGATTCCAGCTTTCTATTGATCCATCTCCGATACCTCGCGTTAGAATTCCGTATGCTGTCGCCTCCCGGATTTGTCTCGCAGTTCTGCCACTCGGACCTACTCATTGGCCACTATTTCTCGAACTGCGGAAATAGTATTTCAGCTACATCCAACAACTCCCTTCAATCCCACTCAGGATCATCACAGCTTCTAAAAGAGTCACAAAACCAAATCCAATAATAAATTATAGCCACCACAAAAGCGCTATTAAACACCAAAAATCTCCATCCGCGCTGAGTCTCGACTTTCACCCTTTGACTCCGCCTTGTCCACGATATGGAACCTATGCGGTGGAGGTTCAGCTTGGGTCTTGGCATGGGAATATGCCGAAAATATGCGTCGCCTTGACCAGCATGGCGTTTTGGCGTCCAATCGTTGTATCTCTAAACTATCATAGTGAATACGATGTCAAACGGCGAGAAATGGTGGATTGGGTTTTGGGCGTTTGAGGCTGGCTTGCTGGCAGTTGGCCTGGTAGACAGACAAGGCGCAGTGCAATATCTATCTTTATCTCTTATTGTACTGCGATCGTGAAACTCTTCTTGGGAATTTGTCGTTATCCTGCTTTTATTATCATTACAAGATAGAAACTCCCCGACACCCTGCTTCTGATCACCTTTACTTAATTTAGCTGAGGCATTGGTCTTATTACTTTTCAGGGAGCTCCACTTGTTGTTCCTTTGGTCAGCGTATTGGTTCGGATGAGTGGATTACAAGGATACTGTGGATATCCCAACTTATCTCCTAAAAATATAAAAAATAAAAAAAGTCAAAAGCGAAGAGAAAAGAGAAATAACTCTGAAAATTTCCAAAAAGATACGATTTGTTGAATTTAACGAGTTCTCCGAATCCGGGAATCGAACCCGGCGCTCTCCGGGAGCTCAATAATGAAAGCGGAGTATGTTTGCCGATACACTAATTCGGATTTCCTAAACAGCTAGAAAGCAGCTGATTTTGGCAGAAAATTGCTTATCTTATCTTAAACGACCCAGAGGAAGGAGAACTCGTTTTCGCAGCCTTAAATTCTAGTTCTATAACAGGTTTCTAGTGCATTTTGTTAAGTTAACTGGCGTCTTGAATTTTTATAAATACTATAGGTTTTATTACCAAACGAACTTAAGATCTATAAAGACTTTCCCATTAGAGACCATAAATGTCTGTGGAATCTATTGAGTTTGAACCGGCTGTGCCGGGTAATCCTCGGATTTTGAGCTGTAACACGGAGAAAGGCCTAGACCCCCGAATCGCCCGGGCTAGATCTCTAAATACCAAACCATCCACCACTTCCACTTCCTCCCTTTCTCCCTCATAAGTTATTGCTTCATTGTGAGGAACAAGAGAGACGATGCGCATTGGAAGTCTTGTTATGGCAGTGTCTTGGATATTCAGAGCGATTCCTTATGGTATGTTGACTCCTTTTGTCGCTATGGACGTTGATACCCCGAAGTTCTAGCGTGCGAGGGCTCTCCTAAAGCTGGGACATTACATTGTCCGGCTTGGTGCTTGCAGTGTACCCCATTTATCGTGTTTATTAGGTCCACTTTCCCTGTATGAACTTTATCGGCAGATTCACGTCAGATCCCCTCTCCTCTGGTAGCATTTTGCTACTATGACGATCAAGATCAGTTAAATTGTCTTTCTTATATTGTTTAAGCATCGCTAACGTATATTTTAGTGTGGTCCACGCATCTAACGAGTTACCAACAGCAACACCACGACTACTAGCGAATCATAAAGACCCTAGTAGTGCCTAGCAGTCCCTAGCAGGCGGAGGGACTACTAGTTAAAGTATGGAGTATGGACCTCGACACGCGAATACTCTCCAACTCCTACCATTTGTCTTGAGTGTGTTCGGGTACGCACTCTGCTAGCATCCCATTCCGTGCCACACCGTACTGCATAGGTTTGGGACTGACACCTTTCTAGGGTTACCAAAGAAAGTGGAAACGGATAAGAAAGAGAATCAGCGCCATCTTTTGCCAGTGGTAATATATGGTAGGACTAGATCGGGCAGTACCCTGGTTATAGAAACGTAAGTCACTTCCAACCTCTTCCAATGGAGGTCTTGTACTTCGTGACCTTCTTAAGGTTGGGCGGCTATGGAATTCATAGCTCGTTACGAAGTAGAATCTTCCATCTTACTCGAGACGTTGTTGTTTTAGGAGCTTCAAGAGACCCTGTCTATTCCTCTGCTATCTGGGACATTCCAAGGTATTGTGTTCCAACTAATTGGTACATGGGTGTTGCAACTTGCTACTCCGTATAGCACAAGAGGTTGCTTGGCGACTCAGTAGCAGAATAGGCTCCCTGATTCCCCGGTTCCCGACCCGACTCCAGGAGTAACACTGGTACAGCGGCTCGTTGCCATGCTTCAAGTGGCCATCTATCCCCAACACCTGCAGCAAAGGCTGCAACAACAGCTCGGCGCTATGATCTCACAGTACAGTAGGAGTAGCATGCTAACAACCCCCTCGCTATTCCCGCCACAACTCTGGTTGACCAAGGGGCCCTTGAGAGACGACAGTGCCGTCGTAGGAAAGTACTCCGTAAGTTCATCCTTAGTTGCCGAAGCTTGATTATTCTACCTACGAAGTACGTACTGAGTATACCTCGGCTATTCTCACCTTGCTCAGTGGTAATACGGACCCATGCTTGGTTGGTCCTAGTTTGTTTGATATTGTCTTCCTGGTCCTTCTCCGGCTTGCAATGTTTGGAAGAAGGCTGAAATATGTTTCCTTAAGCCCGTCTCAGTGGCAATTTTCATCCTAACATGTGGAAGTGCAAGCAGTGAGTCTCACTCTCATGAAGTTCTATGTGTTTTGGCAAATATTTCAGCTCAGTGGTGGAAGCTATTGGTACAGGCGTCTAGCTCGAAGCCACCAACGACTGTTGCCAAATTACCTTCTAAGCTTCTGGCCAAGATGAGGTTCGGAGAATAGGTGGGAACAAGGGATCTATCCCGTTTATCCCCTAGGATTTCGTCGCTAGGCAAGGCGCTTCGCTTCGAACATATTGTACGAAATACGGAGCATTCGCGATAGGCGTCGACGAGCTCCGGCAGATCCGCAAGCAAAGCTTAGGGATGATGGCGCCCTACAACTACATGGTTTCTTCCTCACTCCGCGAATCCACGCCATTACATCAGACTTGGTCCCCGATGTGCGACTTTCCGGGGTCATAACGAATGAAAAATGGTCCGCTGGTCTTGGAAGCACTTGGCAGTCTGGGCATGTTTAGACACGCGACAGCTTCCCATTTTCGGTACGCACGCTGACATCGAAACAGAACACGCCCCACCAACGCAAAAGGTTCAGCCCAAACGTTAGATCCGTCCTTTTGGTTTTTGTAAAGCCTAACTCTGTCTTTTAGATTATCTGTGATAATCTGAGCGTGCTAGGATTGCGCGGTAGTTCCTGCCCTAGACGCTTCATGTATCATTGTGCCGTCCTGTCCGATGTGTTTGTAGTGCTGGCACCTCATTTTACGTGTGATGGGCGGACGACACGTTTTCTATGTTGTCGGACCTGGTTCTTATATCTAGACCCGTTTGTATGCTCTTTATTATACTTCGTACTACCTAGGTATTGTAGATCACACTAGTTCGTATTGGCGACGAAGACACTTCGGAGTTCGACCTAGATGCCACAACTCGGGAATAACATTAAACTTTGCGCCCCGATGCGGCGTTCCAGAATCAAGCATCTCGTTCAAACGGGTCTGTACTGCGTTGGCGTTTCGGTTTCCTCTTGGCGGGTATTGAGTTGTGCGAACAATCCCAGGATCTCAGGATTGCCAATTTCTTGGAGCTGCAGTTCGGCTGCGTCGAGTACCTTGGCGGGTGCTAAGACAAGGAGTTGGAGATAGAAGCCCAGCACTATTAGCTTGGCAATTGCTTGGAAATGTCCACTCACTGTTTGAAAGAACCTCCTCTCGGTTGCAGTTGAAGTCTGAGAGATGGATTTGGGTGCTTTACGGTTAGCAATTGCTTGGAACTGCAGACTTGCTGTTTCCAGTGTCTCCTTCTCAGGGGGAATATAATTGCGGGGATGGAGTCAGTGGCTTAGCATGGACGACTCCCTGGGACTCGTCGTTTACTTAAGAGTTGGGAGTCACTCCGGGTTTGTAGATCTTTTTATCTTGGTTATCATTCTTCCTGATTGATTCAGTCCTCAACCTTTTTTTTATCTTTATCCATTCTTTTCGTTACCGGGCAGGCCCGAGTCTTATCTTCGGCATTTCCATCCACTCTTTTCGAAATCTTCTTTATTCGAATTCAAATTCACGATGCAGCTGCTCAAAGCGTTACTTCTGGGAGTTCAGCTCACCGCTGTCGTTGCCTTACCATACGATAGCATCCTCCCTAGGGATAAGGGTGAAAAGTGCGACAAGGCCGCAAAGGGCGCTGTCGCTGCTGTCGCTGCTGCCGCTCCAGCCGAAGCCGCAGCCACTGTTGCTGCTGCTGCCCCAGCCAAAGCCGCAACCGGTGAGGCTGAAGCGAAAGCTGGAGAGTTGGACGTTGCCGGCACGTTTGATAAGGCAGTTGCCCTTGGTGGAGGGGATGTCAAAACCGATGTCTTGTTCACCAAAAGTGTTAGTACTTCATGTCCCGTGGTACTAATAACAACAGCTGATGTCGGTGATATAGGCTGTTGGATCCCTCGAGATCGAATTTGCGAACAAGGAAGGACGGACATTGACAGTCGCGGAGAATAAAAAACCAGCTGCTCCACCCGCTGGATTCGTAGCACTTGAGCCCTCCTCATTCAAGGTCAACCTAGCAGAAGGAACCGCTGGACTTACTCTCCAAAAGGTTGACTATGTCATTGATGGTGCTAGTAAGTCTTGACACACTGCGCAAGATATGATCCTTTTTTGACATATTACCTAGGTGCCGCTGTTCAAGGGATGGATGTTTCTAAGGGACAAATTGGAAAGCTCTGCACTGCCCTGAACAAATTCGTTATCGACCCTGCCCTTGGAGAACTCGAATTCGAAGCCGAGGAGAATGAGTTGTCATTGACTGTCACGGACATGAATGGCGAATGGGGAATCTTCATTCCTACCTCAGCAGTCAAAGCAGCCGCAGGAGCTGGCAATGCTACAGCAGCAGCCCCAGCCGCAGCAGCCCCTGCGAAGGAGGGTGCAGCGAAGGCCACAGCAGCAGCAGCCACTGCGAAAGAGGGCGCGGCGAAGGCCACAGCAGCAGCAGCCACTGCGAAKGARGGCGCGGCGAAGGCCACAGCAGCAGCAGCCACTGCGAAGGAGGGCGCGGCGAAGGCCACAGCAGCAGCAGCAGCCCCTGCGAAGGAGGGCGAGGCTGTGAAGGACGAGTTGGACGTTACTGGAGCATTTGACAAAGCCATTGATATCGGTGGCGGCAATAAGAAGACCGACGTTCTATTCCCCGCTAGCGTAAGTCAATGCATCGAAGATACACATGAGCGTGTGCTAATACTCTCGTCTAGAATGCTGGTTCCCTCGAGGTTGAGATGAACGTTACTACCGCCAACCAAGTCGCTGTCACAGCCCAGGCCGCGAAGGTTGCACCACCTGCCGGTCTCATGTATGTCGATGGCTCTACCTTCAAGATCGCCACCGCCGGTGCAACGAACCCCGCCACGGACGTTACCAAGGTTGACTATATCTTTACTGAAGCTGTCAAAGCCGCCGCAGATGTTAGCAAGGGTACCATTGGGAAGCTTGACCCCGCTACCAACACTTTTGCCGTTACTGGTCTAGGAGAATTTGAATTCGAGGAGGATGAGAATGAATGGTCGCTTACTGTTCCTGACGTGAATGGTGAGTGGGCAATCTTTATTCCAACCAGTGCTGTGAAGGCTCAGGGTGCAGCTGCTGCAGCTCCTGCTGCTGCTGCTGCCGCTGCTCCTGCGAAGGCTGGTGCTGCAAAGGCCACGAAGGCTGCAAAGGCTGCGGCTTAAGATAGATCCTAGAATTGGTGGATGGTACAGTTCAGAGGATGGACAAGACTGTATTATTAGGATGAAATTTTTTGAAGCTTTTTGAAATCAGGTACCTAGGCAGCCAGGAGCTCCTACTGTTTTTCCTTTTCGCGGAGGCAGTGCCCACGAGAATAACCTTCGCTTCGTACGGAAGACCCAACTGCAGTTATACAATTTGCGTCTTCCAAAATTTGCCACTCCGATAAGTCTCTCTCAAATTATGTTGTCGCTTCAATATTTCACTCGTAAAGAAAAGAGCTGTGTTTATGGTGGCAGCCCCTATTTGAGAACACTGAAATGTTACATTACACTTTGGTTTGCTAACTTAGTAGGACAACCTAAGGACGTTGCCAAATCCAACTTTAGAGATTGCAATATAGACATAGACATGCCGTAGATTTTGACGTACTATGATTTAAAGTCTCATGTTGCAGGCGTATGAGACTGAGTAAAATACGGGGGAGTGACACGTAGAGCGCAAAAGTAGTTGCTATGCGAGTACGAGTACGAATAACTAGTCGAGGTTTGATGCTCTCGCTAATAATAGAGCTCGCCATTGCATAAAGTCTCCCAATTATGCACTGAGCGTAAGTTGAATGCCCTGTGACTATATGAGGATGTAGATCGATTGTATTTTTAATCTGTTTTGAAGCAACACAGTGGCCTAAAACCGAGGTTCCTCGAGATTCCGCTACTTGCCCGAACACGCCAAGACCTCCGCTCCGCTCCGCTCGCTTACGTGACACCAGCCCACGAGCGGATTTGGCTACGTCGCGACTTCAGGGACCCGTCCACCGCAACTCTAGAGACCACTTGAACCACTTCACATTCTTGTCCTGCGATTCATGAAGCTGCGGAGCGGACCTCAGTCGCCATGAGTTACAGCAAGAAAGATGAAGATGCTGACACAGCGATCATGCGGGTGGACAGGACGTCCGTATTCCAGGAAGGTTCGCAGTGGATCCCCCCCCTTTGAGCCCAACCCGAGCTGATATCAATAGCTCGACTATTCAATTCGTCGCCAATACAGCCGCGAAGATGTCGGATCCTTCTCACGAAGATTGCCCTCCTCCTTTATACCGGGGAGAGGTTTCCCTCCAACGAAGCGACGACCCTTTTCTTCGGAATCTCGAAGCTCTTCCAGAACAAAGATGCTAGTTTACGCCAGATGGTCCACTTGATCATCAAAGAGCTGGCTCACTGTGCGGAGGATATTATTATGGTTACAAGCACAATTATGAAAGATACCGGTGGTGGCACAGATGCGATATACAGACCCAATGCCATTCGCGCGTTGTGCCGTATTATCGATGTAGGTTACTCGGGGACGGGGGTGGACTTGGTTGACTTTTATAGGGCTCGACCGTGCAAAGTATTGAGCGTGTCATGAAGACGGCTATAGTAGACAAGAACCCATCCGTTTCCTCAGCCGCATTGGTCTCATCATACCACCTTCTACCGATTGCGCGCGACGTTGTTCGAAGATGGCAGAGCGAGACCCAGGAGGCAGCAACGTCTACCAAATCATCTAGCGGGTTCTCCCTCGGATTCTCTACGTCGGCAAGCCAAATTCCGGTAAATAACTCCACCATGACACAGTACCATGCAATTGGCCTTCTGTACCAAATGAGGATGCACGACAGGATGGCGTTGGTCAAGATGGTCCAGCAATTTGGGACAGCTGGAGCTGTGAAGAATCCAGCGGCGACCGTCATGCTTGTTCGTCTAGCGGCGCAGCTCGCAGAAGAGGACCCGCAACTCCGCAAGCCAATGCTGCAGCTCTTGGACGGCTGGCTCCGACATAAGAGCGAGATGGTCAACTTCGAGGCTGCAAAGGCGATTTGCGACCTGCGAGATGTCACCGACGCTGAGGTCACCCAGGCCATTCACGTCCTCCAACTATTCCTAACTTCCCCACGGGCTGTGACGAAATTCGCCGCTATCCGAATCCTCCATAACTTCGCATCCTTTAAACCTCAAGCTGTTCATTCTTGCAATCCAGATATCGAACTCCTTATCTCTAATTCCAACCGCTCCATCGCAACATTTGCCATCACTACTCTCCTGAAGACTGGCAATGAAGCTAGTGTGGATCGTTTGATGAAGCAAATTTCAGGCTTCATGGCAGATATCACCGATGAATTCAAGATAACAATCGTTGAAGCTATACGGACTCTTTGCCTCAAATTCCCCAGCAAACAAGCTGGTATGCTGGCATTTTTGAGCGGCATATTACGGGACGAGGGTGGCTATGAGTTCAAACGTGCCGTTGTAGAAAGCATGTTCGATCTGATCAAGTTTGTTCCCGAATCCAAGGAGGATGCTCTTGCCCACTTATGCGAGTTCATCGAAGACTGCGAATTCACAAAGCTGGCGGTCCGTATTCTTCACCTTCTTGGCTTAGAGGGCCCAAAAACCTCGCAACCCACGAAATATATCCGATACATCTATAACCGTGTCGTACTCGAAAATGCGATCATCCGAGCTGCGGCCGTGACCGCTCTGGCGAAATTTGGAGTTGGCCAAAAGGACCCCGAAGTCAAGCGCAGCGTCCAGGTGCTTCTCACCCGATGTCTAGATGATGTTGATGATGAAGTCCGTGATCGTGCGGCGCTAAATTTGAGACTTATGGACGAGACAGACGAGATGGCTGATAGATTCATCAAAAATGGTAAGCGGCACTTCGTATTTATATCGGTGATGTTCTAACCCGCCGTCAGAAAACACATTTGCACTTCCATATTTCGAGCACCAGCTCGTCATGTATGTCACAGCAGATGACAAATCTACCTTTGAGACGCCTTTCGATATCTCGGCAATTCCAGTTGTTACCAAGGAGCAGGCCGATGCGGAAGACCGAACCAAAAAGCTTACCACGGTCACGCCCACCATCAAAGCTCCAAAGGCTGGACCATCCAAGGTCGCTCCATCAAGCACGGAAGCGGCTGCATCGGCTACTGCTGCTGCCCAGAAATACCAACAAGAGCTTCTCCGGATACCAGAAATGAAATCCTATGGCAGCGTATTGAAGTCTTCGCCTGTGGTAGAATTGACGGAATCCGAAACGGAATATGTTGTCAGTGTTGTCAAGCATATCTTCAAGGAGCATATTGTTCTCCAATATGAAGTTAAGAACACGCTCCCAGACACAGTGCTCGAGGACGTATCTGTTGTTGCCACTCCCACAGAGGAAGATGAGCTTGAGGAAGATTTTATTATTCCGGCAGCCAAACTCGTCACCGACGAGCCAGGCACCGTATATGTTTCTTTCAAGAAGATCAACGGGGAAACGTCTTTCCCCGGCAGTAGCTTTACGAACGTTTTGAAATTTAGCACCAAGGAAATCGACCCGACTACTGGCGAGCCCGAGGAGACTGGATACGACGACGAATACCAGGTTGAAGATCTTGAGCTCACTGGAAGCGATTATGTTATCCCAGCCTTCGCGGGCAACTTTAATCATATATGGGAGCAAGTTGGTGCGGCGGGCGATGAGGCGGAGGAGACATTGCAACTCAGCGGTGTCAAGAGTATTGCCGGTAAGTACAGCCATGGGAAGTAACTTGAATTGCAGATGCTAATAGTTTCTAGATGCCACCGAACAACTCACCAAAACCCTCTCTTTACAACCCTTGGAAGGTACTGACGTGCCTATCAACACGACCACTCACACGCTCAAGCTCTTCGGAAAGACTGTCACTGGTGGAAAGGTTGCTGCCAACATTCGGATGGCATATTCAAGCAAGTCTGGGGTTACAAGTAAGATCGTGGTTCGCAGTGACGAGGACGGTGTTGCGGCTCTGGTAATTGAGTCTGTTGCTTAAGAATAGCGGGAAACCTGGAGTTGAGTTGAGCATTTGACGATGCAATGCATTTTGATTGATGTTCTAGATAATGGTTGTCCAAAAGCCACAGATTGGCTGTTTCGGTCTCGCTAGGAGTCCGGAAGGTAACAAAATCTAGAAGATAAAAGATAACTTATTCTATGATAACAGTCACAATATTCTTTTGGAAATACTTCTACTTCACTTGCACGAGTAATGCTCATAGTCTAAAACCAGGCGGTTTGTTTCCAACCACATAGAGACCCCGTTTTTTGGTAGGCGACACGAGTCCTTGTAATAGTACAGTACCTTGAATTTAGCAGAAATGACGTGGGTGTGGGCATCGCGTCTCGGCGGCGCGTCTCTAATTTCACGAGTCGAATTTGTAGGCAAGATAAGTACCTTCCAGGGTAAAGACAAAGGTCGCCCTCCCTTTCAACCTCCAACCTCCAACCTCCACACTCACGCCCGTGGTTAGCAATCGATCGGCTTGAACCAGTCGCATCTATCTTTCCACCTTCTCTTCTCTTGGTCTGCCACGATCAACGAACCGCAATCATGGTCTACGTGCGACAAGAAAAGCTTCCCAACCTGAAGCAGTACAAATACTCAGGAGTCGACCATTCCCTGCTGTCGCGATACGTGTTGAAGCCGTTCTACACGAATTTCGTGATAAAATGTTTTCCCATGTGGATGGCGCCGAATCTCATCACCCTTACCGGCTTCAGTTTTGTGGTGGTAAATGTGTTGACGCTGTTGTGGTACACGCCGACGCTGGATCAGGACTGTCCTCGCTGGGTGTATGCCAGCTGGGCGCTGGGGCTCTTCTTGTATCAGACTTTTGATGCTGTGGATGGGACACAAGCGTATGTTTTTTGCAGAATCGAAACTACTCGAGGGGAAATCTGCTAATTTGATCGCAGACGGAGAACACGCCAGAGCGGGCCATTAGGAGAATTATTCGACCATGGCGTGGACGCGTTAAACACATCCCTCGAAGCCCTCATTTTCGCAGCGTCGCAGAACTTTGGACTAGGTTGGAAGACGGTCATGACACTCTTTGCAAGTATGTTTTCTCTCCGCGAACATGCACTGGCCCCGCTGACCGCGTCTAGCACTTTTGACATTCTATGTGCAAACTTGGGACGAATACCACACGAAGACCCTCACTCTAGGCATAGTGTCTGGCCCAGTAGAAGGCATTGTCATGATTATTGGGATATTTATATTCACGGCGATCAAGGGCGGCGGAAGCTTTTGGCAACAATCGATGTTCCGTACAGTCGGCATTCCGCAATATGCGTTTATCCCCGAGTATGTCTATGAGATGCCGTTCACGGAGTGGTACATCGTTCAAGGTGGAGTAGTGATGGGTTTTAATACTATCCAATCGTGAGCTATCCCAATTCTTTCCATAGCAATAGGCACTGGACTAACTCCTAAATGTAGATGCCTCACCGTCATCAAAGCTCGCCGAGCCCGAGGCGATAAATCTCGCGGTGCCCTTCTAGGTCTCGTTCCGTTTGCGGTGACCTGGACGTTGATCCCCGCGTACCTCTACCTCAACCCGAATATCCTCAACAATCATCTCGTTCCCTTCGTCTTCCTCGCTGGGCTTATAAATGCCTACTCTGTCGGTCAAATTATCACAGCCCATCTCGTCAAGCTCGATTTCCCATACTACAACGTCTTGGTCCTGCCTCTCACATACGCTGTGTTCGATTCCTTAGGTCCGTTCCTAACGGAGCATATCGGAATTGGCTGGCCAAGTGCTCTAGGTGATGGTGAATATGAGGTTGCGTATATGTTCTGCATGCTGGGCATGGCCATTGGCGTCTATGGAAGCTTTGTGGTAAGTAGGCCTAAAACTAACATAATATCAGACAGCTGACCAAGTAATAGGTTGATGTTATCGTCACGATTTGCGATTACCTCGATATCTGGTGCTTGACGATCAAGCATCCTTACAACGAGCAGGAGGAAGCAAAGAAGTCCCTGTGAAATAAGTTTTGATACCCTGTTACGGCAGTTTAGAATCGGGTTTCTTTGGCTTTTGTATATGTTTGATGCCTAATGACGGGGTAATAGAATCGCATGAGGCTGGGTATGGACCGGGAATCATACATTGCAGCGATTTATATATCGCATGCCTATTAATCGAGGAACTTGGGAGGAACGGATTGGAAATAGCAGCATTTATTACACATTACAGCATTATCCGACTAGCGAGGCATTCGATTTGATGTCTATAACGCATCCAGGTTCTCCATCATTGATCTCTCCCTCTCATATGCTGTTATCTTGAACAAGGTGCTAATCCGAATGGAGGCTCGCCTCCCTTCGCCCCTATCTACGCCCCTTTAAGGTAAAACCAGCAACCAATTCCCGACAACAAAAACATAAATTACACCCACATCAGATATATCAGGCATCAGAGATTCCACCTGGTCGGATTCGATTCCTGACAATAGCGTAATACGCTTTATGCAATGCCGCATGTACAGTAAGGCTGCATGCTGACCACCCACTTGCCAAACTCCGCCAATAACAGCCCTACCTCAGCTCCTTTTCAGCGCTGTCCAATGCTTGAATACGCCATAAACTACCGCGACTGCGGGCATCGCCGCCGCATGTAAACCACGAAGCCTGCAGCTACATAACTAGGTGGCGAAGGCTGAAAAATGGGCGCTTCATAGACTCGGCCAGACCCATTCAGCCTCGATTTTGAATATCCGGCTGGGTGCATTCCGTCACCAGGTCAGAGATGAATCCGTCCACGATATGTTGGCTGGGTAGCCGCAGCTAGATATGCCTTTGGGCTGATGCCTCTCTCTTCTCCAATTCCTGGTTTTTCTGTTTCTCGAAATCGCATTCCATTCTTCTATTGAAGCACTTATTGTGGACGAAGCGAGTGTGCAGCGTGCAAAACCACAGGGAACCTACCCATATTCAACACTAGCCGTCACCATGGGATTGTTCGGGAAGAAGCACAATAGCACAGTTACCACGAGTTCCTTTGCATCTAAGGAGCCTTTACGCAATTCGACGAAGGACCTAACGCCTACCATTGCCGAGTATGAAAAGAAGGACCTGGTGAGTCCCCCACTACACTACACCATTCTCGAGGCGAAGATCACCAGAATTTAAAATAATCGAAGGGTCTTCCCATTGGTGCTATAAATAAGAGAATATTAACATGCCTTTTTCCAGCGATACAAACGAGTCATTCGAGTCCTACGATTCATTTCCAGATTCGTTTCACTTGTCCTCAATGGGATCATGATGGGCACAATGTCGTACTCCATCGTCAAATACTACTTAACAAAGAATCGCGTAGTAGCAGGAAATCTCCATCCATGGGGCTCGACTTCAGCCAAGGTATGGCCGAGCTTTATGCTTCTCGCAATAGCCACAGTCACCTTCTTCCTAAATCTCATCACCCTTTGCGCATACTGCTGCGGAGGAGTCAAAGCCGCGAACAAAGCTAGCAACTTCACCTCGTACGCGGGATATCTCTTTACAGCAGCCCATTTCGTCTCATGGGCCATTGCCGCTGGACTCTATCGGTTTGCGAGAACGGGCAATGATCTCTGGGGGTATAGCTGCAGCAACGCGGCAGATTCGATTCAAGAACAGGTAGCGAGCTTCTTAGATTTTGGGAAACTGTGTACCATGCAGGTGAGTTACCAAGGCAGTTGTTCCCTTCTCGAAAAAGCTTCAGTGTTAACTCGGGAACAGAATGGAACGTGGTTTATTTCGATCATCGAGGCTATCGTATATCTCCTGACCTTCGTTGTCACGATCTATGTGGTGAGGAGGGCATCACAGAAGAAGAAGCTGGGGAAGATTAAGGAGAGTCTCTCGATGCAGACTTGGCATGCCCAGAATACTTATACGGAGCCTACGTATAATGGAATAGGGGGAAATGGGTACATGCGTGTTGCAGTATGAGCGACCGAGTTGTGTGATTTCATAATTAGATCTTCGAAACTTCGGGAGCATATAAAGTATGGGCGTTTATAGGAGTTTTATATTATAATTCAGATACACATACATGTTGAAATCTGCCTCGATGATCACTTCTTCACCATACCAAATAACACGTTTTAGTAATTAAGCGGAATAGTCAGTGGAACCGATCTATTCGTGGGCTATTAACCACTGCCTGCTTTCCTAACTTAACTTATTGCGTACAACCACCCTGCCTAGTTTATCTAGGGTAGGAAGAACCAACTATTTACCCTCTATCTAAGTTATGGAAAAGGGACGTAACTTAGAAGGACTCTGGATATTAAGAAAAAGTCGATTTTAAGAGGGAATCCGTATCTATATGGGAACGTCACGCGGGACCGGGTAATATATCCTTACAACTAAGGTATCCTTAGAGAGAGTAATCCGTATTAAAGGGGTTACTATAGTAGCATGGGGTCGTGAAGAGCGAACCAAGTTCGTTGAATATAATTGAACTTGCTTGATGGACGAGGCTCGCCTTGCTCTCCATCTCTGGTACCCTGCGGGCTTCCCCTACGAGAGTGTGCCCTATATGGGCTTCCAAGCTGTTCAGCTATCCCGATATCGCCTTTATCTTCTCTACGTACAAGAGGAGGTGGAACAACAGACCAACAAAAAACTAACACTGGGCGACGTCCCCCAACTCGGGGCTATTTAAAATAGCTTTACATATAGATATATAAATTAGACCAGATACTATACTTTCGGTCTCCCAAGCGTATTCTATAGAACATGCCAAGGGTTCTAAAGGAAGTATCGGGCATCCCCTGGAATCACTTCCAATACTTGAGACATTCAAGTGACTTGGATTACTTATTGTATTTGAGGTATTTAAGAGGCTTGAATCACTCACTGCGCTCGAAACATTCAAAAGACCTAAGTAACTAACTATACTCGGGGCATTCAAGAGTTTCTGATTACCTGAACGCTGTCTTCCCAAATGGTTGACATGTTAGAATCGAGATATGCCCATGCTTATGGCTAACAAGCATGCACGGAAGCAGCGGAATTTTTACAACCTCGCCGGTGAAAAAGAGCAAGTCTACCGTCATTGGGATTACCTAGCAGCGATACGTGCCCTTGATCAAGGAAATATCCCCAGTGGAGTTCTCAAGATCTTCCAGAAGAGACATGGCTACTTACACGTCAAGTTCAGAAGATCTATCAGAGCTATTGGCAATGGATCATTCACACCAGAGGTCAAGACCCAAGGGAAGAAGCAGAAGTTATCGGACAGTGTCCCTGATCCTGATCTGCCACGAAATGACCAGCCTCAGAACATCGATTAGCCTCCAAACAGCAGTCAGCCTCAGCAGAGCAATCAACCTCGGGCTACTGAGAATCCAATTCAACGGGATGATATCCTAGCAGGCTTTGATTCATCGTTGTTCAATCTCAACTCGCCTTCTTCTGTACAGACAAATTTTCGTTCCTCCAGCTTGCCTCTATTTGATCGTGATGTCGGTTTCCTCAGGCTTCCACTCCTTATGGAGTTCCCACCAGAAAGGTAGCCCTTTAACCATCGGTAGAGGGCAAGGGCTCGCCTCTTCATCAAGTTCATACATCTCATACATTTCATCTGGAAGTGAACACGTGCCACTCGGCTCTCCCGTGTATTGGAGGATCCCGATTCTCTCATAAATCCTCTCAGCTTCGTCGATACGTATAAGTACTAGTGACTTGTATTCGTTTTTGTACTTGCATACTCGCAGGCAGTAGACTGTTGCCTCCGGGCTGACAACCCCTTTATGACATGTTTCGAAATCATAATCCGCATGGAAGTTAACTTCTCTATTGAGAGAGATCTTAACCTCACTCAACTTGGTGGGAACGAGGATGCCTCGCAGTTCGAGTTTGTACGCTGGATTCTTGGGGGCTGCTTCTCTCAACCTTAGTGGCTCATCAGGTCTACGAACAAGAAAAACTTCCGCCGTGCTGTCTTTGAGAACCCTGTCAAGATCCCATTCAATTCGGCCATTAACCGATACCCAAGACCAGGTAGGAAAGAGCCACTTCTCGGAGCTCCAAGGAGTCGTAGCCACTGGATAGTTTTCCTGCTCAGTCCTTGTGGGCTGCTTTGTCCCGGCTGTGTCTACCCTCCACAGCAGATCCATTGCCAGGGAGTCTTCCCATAAACCTGCCATATACTTGCCATTCCTTAATCGGCTCATGTACTCGGTAAGACCGTTGATAGCGGCTAGTTTGTCGGTCTGGAAGGTTAGCGTGGTGCTTGAATAAAGTCAGATCAATTGGTGCCACGTTTGAATAGGGCCAAAGGCCTTGCTGTGGTTTGTTGCATGCTCTAGAAGAGGAAGCTTAAGGAATTCCGGGTAGTGCTTAATTTTAGATTGAAGGCTTGAGCATTGACATTCAGCGAGTTCTCTGCATTGCCAAAAGAGTTCGTATTGACCAAAAAAGAGCGTTTTAGGTGAGAGTAGACTCTCCTGAAACACCCAGCCGCGATCCAGCAATGGGTAACTGGAGCTGTAGTGTCTGATTTCCTTGCGGGCGAAGAGGCAATATTTGGAGCCCTCGGGGTCAATTCCTTCAAGTTTAACCGTTTTCGGGCGAGAGAGTAGCCCATCACGACACCCTGAAGCAGAAGCAGCCGCCAGACTCAGATACGAGTTCGCGTAGACTGAACACATCTTAGCAGACTCTTGTGCCCAGTCTTCTCGACAAAGCTCCTCATCCTCCTTAGAATCCTTGTCTTTGTCGCTCTAGATAATGCAAAGAGAATCGATCCAAAGATGGGAGATCTTCATTTTCCTTGTCAACAAAACAGCATCCTGGAACGTTTGCGGCATTAAATCCATCGAGATACCAGCTCTGTAGTCGACAAGAGTGTGTGAGGTCAACTTCGTAGTCATATGAGCTGGGTCGCCCCAGCTATGACTTAAAGTGGCATATTGGCCACTCTTGCCTTGCGTCTCTAGTAACTTCACTTTCGCTTTGTGATGCCCCAGGTCGAGAACTCTGGTGGGCAAGGTAGCTCCCAAACCGGGTCCGCAGCCAGGGTGTTCTGACAGACACCGCTCCATCTGCTGATATGCCCATGAGTAGCTCTCGTCAGATGCCGTGCTTCCAGGTAAGTGAGGCTTCATCCGAAGAAATTCCCAGGGACAGGACTCCGCTGCGTGGGTTAGCCTCGCCATTTAGGGTCATATAGGAAATGGATAAGTTGCCGTCTCACCTGCTACCCTATACAGATCAATCCCAGTGACTTGACTCTCACTTCTGATGTTCCAAATGTTAAATTGAGGGAAAAGATACCCACCTCCGTGTTTGCGAACAGTGAACTGGCATATGTGTTCCGAAGCAGACTGTACGTCCAAAAGACTATCAATACAGTCTTTCAATATCCTGCAAGTGCAGCATCCTTCCTCAGATGAGATGAACAAATCCGAGACACTGTGGTTGTTCATTGGTCGCTCCTCCAGCTCCTCCGAACAGAAGTTGAAGCATATATTGCAGTCGGACGTGGGCCGCATGGCTAGCATCTTGTTTCTCCTACGGGAAGTGCATTATCGAGGTGCAAATGGCAGATTAATATCGAAAACCATAACTTTAATCAAGGAGGCCGTTTGAAAAGGTGAAGAGTTATGGACACGGGAGGTTAGCTCTGGCAGAAACTGGCTCCCGCCCTCCCACCATTCTTCTAATTCCCACGGCAAGCTGCTATTCACTACCTGGGCCTCGCGTAGGCCGCTTCCTCAGGCTCCCCTACTTCTAGACGGTCCATATGAAGCATCATTGGGATGCGCATCATACTGCGTGGTGAATGATGTTTTGTCCACACACAAATGATATCCGGGGCCATACATACCCAATTCCGTGTGTCAAGCCTCGCTCGCGCTTGAACTTCCTCTATCAGCAGTAATTGCTGTAGGATAGTGTTTCTAGAGTGACTAGCGGTTTATATTGCCTCGTTGTGCGCGTCGCATCAACCAGACGTTAAATGGTTCCGGAGGTAGTACGAGCTATTTTGTACTCGAGGATAGGGGCTCGATACTTACACGGCTCGTTCCGTCGCTTAGCAGAGGGGTGTACTACGTCGGGGTTTAGGAGCTTCGGCGTCCTTTGCCACGTTCCTCGCGTCGTCTTCTTCAACAACTGGTTGTATAGCATTCACAGTTATTACTTACATCTGAACATCCTGCTTGGTCTGTGATAGATCTATCTTGCTCTTGCAAGCCCGCAAATTGGCCCTCAGACTCCGCACGTCTTCAGAAATCAATTTTGTGATACCCACCGATTTCCGCCACTTGTGCAACATGTTCTTGATCAAGCCGTCGTATTGTTTATATATATTTTTTGCGAAGCCTGTCATTGCCTTAGGGTTTTCTTGAAGCCATTCCTAGAGTTTTTGAGTTGTTTGATTTGATCGATATTCAGTTCACCTTGGATAATGTTTTTCGCAGTTTTGGGTTGATATTCTAAAATTTTGCACGTCTCGGGCGAGTGCTCGGAGTTCGGGCCTAGCGGTATTAAAAGCTCCACGAAGATTGTACTCGAGTAGAAGTGAGACGGCGTGGGAGTCATCGGCCAATGTTACCAGACAAGTAATCTTGTACTATTGTATTGCATCCCGTTACCACTTTTGACGTAATGAGGTCTACTCTTTCGATTAGCATGGGTTTTTTTAGTACAATAATAACTATCTGTGGCTGTATAAAGCTATAGTAGTAGTGTTAATGGTTTTATTTATATCCAGGTAACGCTCGGAAATCAGGCAGTGCCTATTACATAAACCCCGCCTAAATCCGTAGTAGGAGTTTAGTACGGGGTACGGCGGCGATAGTCGGTAATCGCGGACAATCGTCGCATTCGTTTATTTCCCTATATATATAGGGAAAGCCACTCTTCAGGTTAGAAATAATCAATCGCTTCAGTCCCTCCAGTCCAAGTCCCATAACCTCAGCCTATTTTCACAGACTTTACCAAGGCTTCGGTTGTCAAAGAAGCATCTACCATGGAGTTCAACCCCACCAAAGCAATTGTTCACAATGAAGACTGTGACCTGCATTACTGGTACCAAGGCAAGGGACCTCTCATCACATTCATCCCCGGCGGAAACGGCCATGGACGGCAATTCAACCCCATTATGGCCGCCCTGTCTGACAAGTTTACCTGCGTCACATTTGATCGACGACAGATGTCAGCAAGCCAGGTCAAGGTCAACAAGAAGCTCAGCCCGCCACAACAAGCACGAGACGTCCGCGCCATCATCAAGGTCCTAGGCTTTGAGAAGTCGATCATCTTCGGCAGTAGCAGTGGAGGCATCTTCGCGTTCCAGTTCGCCCACGACTTCCCTGAAATGGTCGACCACCTGATTTCCCATGAAGCACCCACTGCATGCCTCCTGCCAGAGGCCTCCGAGGTGTTTGACTGGGGCCTCCACCTTATGGAGGTCTACGAAACCCATGGGCTAGATCAAGCGTCCAGAGAGTTTTCCACGAAGTTGATAGGGTACGACGATGAGGGGATTCCTAAGACGGTGCCACCTGGACCGGAGAACCCTCGAAACTTTTGGGACAACGAGATACCGATTCTGCTGGGGTATGTACCCAACCTGTGGCGGTTGAAAGAGAACAAAACTAGTATTGGTGTGATGAGGGCCATTCGGTGTAAAGATGCGTACTATGCTAGGGCGACGGAGGAGCAGGCAAAGATCCTATGTTGTCCAAAACTTGTGGTACCAGGACACCACCAAGGGTTTGAGGTTGAGACTAAGGAATTTCTTCCTTACTTCTTTGACATGCTAGACACTTTGGAAAAGAAGAGAACTAGTGGCTAGACATTGCAGTAAATTTTTTATTCTAGCGAGTATAAATAATGTCTTGCTTTGGTAATTATATAACTAACACTAGAAGATAATAAATATCTTTAAGTTGGCTGTGAGTAATGCTAGTGTAACTTCCACAAATATGCAAAACCAAAGCTCGGAACAGCAGCAATAAATCAATCGCTTCTAGAAACGATGTCGATGTGGGATATTGGGGGGAAACATCTTGCAAATGGGGAGCGATTTTGAAGAGAGGGAAGTGATGAAGCTTAGCCTCACCAGCGCAGATTCATGCAAGGCATAAGCTGACAGACGGTGACAAGGTATAGCAAGATTGTTAGGGAAACTCCCTGAAAAGGAACAAGTAAGAACAGACCTCCTCGGGATGAGCCTGTTGAGGCGCTCTTATACGGGATTAACGGGAACCAACTCCGAACCTTGCATGGAATACTTATACTTGTAGAGTAGTTGCGGTGTGCACTGTGCCACTGCGATGTCAGATGACTATCCACCAGGTCCGCCACACTTATAACTAAACGAATAACTTGTAGCTATTCTAGCTAGTTTGCTAAACTTGTAACGATAATATTATTACTCTTAACTATTTTTATTACTATCTTTTAGTATTATTTTACATTTTCCTTCTTCGAATTGCTTAAAATAGACAACTTTGTACAAATCGTCTTAATCGGAAAAATAATTAATTAAAAGGGTAGCTAAGTACTAATTGGACTAGTAGCAGACTTAGAACTATATGATTAAGTATATAACAGTAAACTCAAGTCTAACTAGGAGAAGCCTGTTAAAGAGAAGAGATTCACATTTTACAGGTCAGGGCCGTGCTGAGTAAGCAGCCGGAGGTCGCGAAGTATATGATCTAATATACGAAGTAGCTCGACTCGCTTGCTCAGAATTTGGTGACAACAACAATCAATCCAACTTTAATAAATATTGGCGGCCTGCCTTCCATATCCTCGAAATGACGGTTGCAGGACCAAATAAAGTAGCTGCCCTGACGGTTGATGAGAACACGCCGCTCCTTGTAACATCCGAGGCAGATTTGAAAACGAGACCAAATGAGGAGCCTGCCCCCACTCCTAGGAATGGCCACACAAATGGCGATGATGAAGATGCAGACAGGCCGTTACCCGCATTCCAGATATTAGTACTTTGCTTTGCACGACTAATTGAGCCGTTTGCGTTCTTTGGGATTTTCCCATTTATCAACAAGATGATTTGGGAGACAGGAGGATTAGATGAAGCCGATGTGGGGTTTTATAGCGGCCAAATTGTTTGTATTTTCTCTCTTAATTGTTCTTCTCCTTCTTACCACACGTGAGGCTAGGCGGGTGTTGATATGATGAGACTATACCGGGACTCAGCTAACAGGGAATCGAAAATTTAATAGGAGTCTTCGTTTTCATTAACTCAAATGTTCCTCATGATTTCGTGGGGTCGAGCGGCTGATAGGATAGGGCGGAAGCCTGTTCTTGTCTTCTCGTTGGCCGGCATCTCGATAGCCACCGCTATTTTTGGACTCAGCAAGAGCATTCCGCAGATGGTTATCTTTCGATGTTGTTCTGGAATTTTTGCTGGGACCGTGTTGTACGTACAGCTTTTATTCCCCTTACTGCAAATTTATATGCAAGGGCCGTATCACATGCTGACTGGAGATACCATAGGACTATAAGGGCCATGATTACGGAGAACAGCACGCCCAGGACGCAGGCCAGGGCATTTAGTTTCTTTGCTTTTAGCGGAAATCTCGGCATGTTCCTTGGTCCTTTGCTTGGTATGTTCCGATTTATGAAATATCTAGACTCCGAGCTGACTTTAGTTAGGTGGCGTGCTTTCCAGTCCTGCCGAGCAATATCCCGACGTCTTTGGACGATTTGCATTTTTGAAGGAATTTCCATATGCTCTTCCTACTTTTGTGAACGGAATGATTGCGGCAGTGGCCACAATTATCTGTGGACTTTTTCTTCAAGAGGTTTGAGCACCCCACCTCGGCGAAACAACATATTTCATGCTAACCAAGGAATCTAGACTCTAAAAAAGAAAGATAAATCGGATGGAGAGAGAGAGGTGCCTATGAGTGCATGGGAGATTGTCAAATCTCCAGGCGTGCCCATTGTTCTATATCTCTACGGACATACCATGCTGCTCGGCTCAGCGCTCACAGCTGGTAAATCTCCCCCATCACCCTCCCAAACTTCTACATCCCCATACTAAATTCAGATAATAGTATCCCCAGTCTTTTGGTTCACCCATCCAGAATTAGGTGGTTATGGGTTCTCACCAATGCAAATCTCGCTTTTCATGGGCAGTATAGGAATTTCCCAATCCATCTGGCTGCTCTTGGTATTCCCACCGCTGCAACACGCCATTGGCACTGGAGGCGTCCTCCGCCTATGTTTCTACGTATGGCCCATATTCTTCTTGTCATCCCCACTGTGCAACATGTTCCTCAGAAAAGGCTGGTATACGGCGTTCTGGATCGTAGCACCAGTTTTTCAGATTGGAGGGAGTGGCGTTGCAATGGCGTTCAGTAAGTGTTCTTTGCCATATTTCCTTAAAAACACCCCTTTTCTATTTACCGCAGCCACTCTTCCTTATACTAATAATTTTGCCTAGCTGGTGTTCAACTCGCACTGAACGATATCACACCCAACTACCAAACGCTCGGAACATTAAACGCTATTGCTCTGACCCTTACTAGTGGGATCCGAACTATAGGTCCTGCAGCATTCACGAGCCTATTTGCTGTGGGTGCTAGGACGCAGATCTTTGATGGATATCTAGTTTGGGTTGTGTTAGTGGCGATTGCATCATTGGGAACTTTTTTGATAAGGTATTTGCCCGAGAAGGCCGAGGGGAGGCAGAAGAAGATTGAAGGGGTGATAGTGGTTGGTGGTGTGATTGACGAAGAATGAAAAGATGAAATAGAATAGTAGACATTATAAATAGATTAAATCCTATTAAGAAGTGGCACAAATCTTGAGTAATACCATTTCTAGTGTTCAAATAAGTTCTGGGGGGAAATTAGACTATTGATTGTGAGGCTTCTTCTATTATATGTCCTACATCGTGCATGCTGTAGAAGTTCAAGCCCTTTGTTACTCTAAAACCATTACCGCCGATAGATACGAGTTTTAACAAGCTTCCGATTACTGCTTTATCTTTTATGGTTGCAGTGTAGTGTGTAGTGGGAGGGGTTTACGAGATGCGGATTACACAAGTTTATTCCTAGCTTATACTGAAGATGAGACACAGCACATACTATGCCAAGAAGGACCTATTTGAAATCTTATTCGAAAGCGAGACTTCACTCTATCCATTCAAGACGGCGAATTTCATGATATATCGACTATAAAGCCTCGATTCTTATGTCTAGCATGATAATAACCTTGCCATAGCTGCAAACGCACTCTTAGTTTTTTTTCATAACAAGATTCCAATAAACTAAGGGCTCAACCTCTTCGGTGTTCTAGGATAATCGGCAACCAGCTGAACACTAGGCAAGTTCAAATACCAAGCCACAACCCTGTCAAGTCCAATACCACCACCACCGTGAGGAGGGCAGCCCACACTTTTCAGAACTTCGCAATACTCCTTAAGACCAGGTTGGTTTGGATCCAAGCCCTTAGACCGGATTGTCTTCTCCAATTCATGGGATAAATGCAAACGCTGCCCTCCAGACAGGATTTCCTGTCCCCGCATGAAGAAATCATATGCGTTTGTGACCTCAGGGTTTTCCGGGTCAGGCATGGCGTAGAATGGCCTAGCATCGGTAGGGAATTTGTCTAGGACGTAGAAATCGGTGTTGTATTTCTTGCGGATAAGCGCGCCGAGGGCTTTCTCTTGTGCTGTGCTCATATCCTCGTCGTCGCGGACATTGGCATATTCGGATGGTCCTTCTGCGCGGAGGAGGGCCTGGCCTTCAGCGAATGTGAGACGGATTTCCTTGCCGCCCTCAGGGAGCAGGAATTCTTCGGATGGATAAACGGTGCGGACGAGGTCAATTTCTTCCCGGCAGTTTGTCGCGAGACCTTTGAAAATGTGGAGGAGCACGCCTTCAAGCATGTGCATTACCTCGTGGTAGTGTTCCTCGATTTCCATTTCCAGATCAAGACCAATGAACTGTTATCAAGTCAGCGATGCTTTCTAGAGTTACAATTGACTGAACTTACCTCCGTCATGTGTCGTGGCGTATTACTATTTTCAGCTCTGAATACCGGCCCCACGCAATAAACCCGCTTTCGACCACCAGCAATCTCAAATTGCTTATAAAATTGAGGAGACTGGGCCAGGAAACACTCCTTCTCAAAGTATGGTAGTCTGAAAACATTTGCACCGCCCTCCGAGGCAGCAGCAATCAAGCTCGGAGGATGGAACTTCTTGAAGCGGCGCTCTTTCAGGTATTCGCAGAATAGATCTTCGACGGCAATCCGAATGTCGGCGATGGCCTGGCTGACTGGAGCACGTTTGTGCATGGCGGGGTTGTTAAGATGTGTTGCCAGACTTGCTGCCGGTGTAGTTTCTGTGATACTCACACCTATTCCCTAATTAGCCCTCATCCTCAATATGTTTGATGCACAAATGCCTACCTTCGAGCTTCGCCTCAAGACCCTCACCAACCTCCTCATCATCCAACTTCCCCACAGCTCTACTCGCAGCCGCAAGACCAAGCCCCAACATCTCCGGCGCTGGAGCCACCAGATACACCTTTGTAAGATGCAACTCATACCCACTAACCTTACAGCTCTTCACAGGCTCCAACGGCTTCTGCACCGTCGCCTCAACAGCCACAAAACTCTCCAAATTCAGGCCCCCAATCCATTTCACCATCTGCCTACTAACAGGCTTCCCCTCCGGACTCGCCGCAACAACACCCTGCACCGTCCAGCTCCCCTCCTCCCTCAACTCCACAAACGCCATCTTCGCGCCCTGCATCCGCGAATTCTGAATCCACGCCCGCAGCTTAATACTCTTGCCGATATACTCCTCGCCCAGGTCTCTCAAATGCATTGTCTCCGCCTCGATCTTCTTGTCCTTTGTAATCTCCCCATAGTTGTCCTTTGCATGGTCCTCCGCCGCGACGGCAGCTGTTGCTGCGGCCGCAGCTTCGCGCTCAGCTGCTTTGCGGGCCTTCTCTGCTTCTTTCTTGGCTTTGGCTTCTGCTTTTTTGGCGCCTTTCTTGGACGGTGCGGCTGCTTCGTCGCAAGGTCCTGCTTCAGCGGAGGGCGCTGGGATGGCGGGGTTGGTGGGGGTTTCGTTCGGTTGTTCGGACGCCATGGTCACTGTCGATTGATGTTTCCTGTTGATTCTTTGGAATTGGGGCCAGAGAATAAAGGGCGGTGGCTCTGTTGCGATGTAGATTAAGAGAGCTGAGGTGCGTTGGACTTGTCATATGTTGTAGAGGATCGAGTCAGTCGGCCAAAGAAAGCCAAGACACAATGTGATTTTTCGCTTTAACGAGGGCAGCCTCGTCATATTCTCCCCGCAAGGCTGAGCTCCTCGAGGCTATAGTAAGGTAGGTACTGTATATATAACCAACCTTTATATCACTCTATGGATCAAACAAGTAATTCAACGGATTCTTGGATATCTTTAGTCTAGCAAGAGCAGTCGCTAGTATTAATTAATTATTACTACAAGACTTGACCAGGCCTCACTCCATTAAACCAGCTGCACCCGCAGCTACATCACTCACTCAGTCCAGACGCCAAATACAACCCAGCCCGTCCATGCCATGAAAGAGTCGCCACCATCGGAATGCCAGCAATGTAATACCCAGACCTAATCGCAAATCCTCTGTGGAAACTCCTTTATTAGTAACCATTAATACCCTCAAAGTACTGGATGCTAGGTATGCTAGATCGTTTCGAACACCGCAATGTTCGTGACTCAAAACTCCTGTACCACTCCGGACTTCTGTTCTGCGCATGTGAATAGATTAATGTGGTTATCGCCTCTGGCTGCAGAAGCAAGCATCATACGGTGAGGGTGGAATGCTGTAGCTGAGATGGGTGCCTGTCGGGCTTGGTAGAGAAAGCTAGAATAGGGCTCCACGCGTGAGAGCTCCTTGCCCTCAAAGTTGAAGACTTTGACCGTATGGTTACCCGTTCCGCTATAAAAAAAGGTGTTAGCACACGTCTAACCTAGGGGGGGGGGAGTAAAGACTTACACAGCAAATACAGGAAGATGCTCATGAGTGCTTGCTGTTCGTAGGGTATCATTGGTCGTTCGTATAACCTTCAAAGGTTTGTCCATTCGGAGATCCCACAGTTTTACCTTGCCATTACGGCTTGCTGATAGGAGCTCTCTTTGTCCACCTCGCTGCATGTGAACACTCTTGACCCACACTCTATCCGATTCATCTTTCCACTTCTTGACCATCGCCTCTTGAGGCCGATTGCGAGCATCAAAAACTCGAATGGCACCATCGCCAAATCCAGCAACGAAAACATTGCCTGTCATCTGGTCAGAAGTGAGAGAAGTGACACATGATCCAGATCGTGCGTTGATGTCCACAATACAAAGCTCTGGCGCTGCAGCCCACACCCTGATCACTTTTACGTCACCAGCCACGAGTAGCTTTCCAGACACTTGTTGCCAGTCGAATACCATCCCTGAGTTGACATTACTGGGGACAAGGTGGGTTAGAGCTCTCCATGCTGATGCGACTTCGACGTCTTGTTCAGAATCATAGTTTCTATATATCCTGATGACGCCATCCGAGGAGCCAGTAAGCAAGAACGCCTGATCGTCTTCATTGATGAATTGAAGATCGCTGATTTTTGATCCTTCCGGATTGCCATTTGAAAATCGGCATAACCGGTCTTGCTTCTTCCAGTCCCAGATACAGATTGTATCACGGTCGTCGGATACTGCAAGATGATCCTCGAATTGATGAAAGCTCATATTAGCTGGCTGACTCTGATTGTTAAAGAACCCAGCTGAGGTGGTCCATTTACCACTACCGGCAATCTCCTTCTGAGGCTGCGTCTCCCGTAGTATAGCTTCGTTGCGGGATCGGCGCCATAGTCTTTCATTGTAGTCGGTGCTACCAGGCTCCTCGGCTTCGTTGGGCTTCATCTGAGGCTCGCGGAAGTACTCAATCGACCACTCCAAGAAAGTACTATGCAGGGGAAGAGTGGGAGCAGCGGACATATCTCGTGATTGGAATCCGCCTGACATTGGCTCTCTGGCAGCTTGGTAAGAGGTGCCCAGAGACCATGCGTTATCGGTTGGCTCTGGTGGCGCGTTGAAATCCGCCGGCAGTCTGGATCGCATTGGGAGAGAATTTCTCTGCATACCAGGTGATTTCGGTGTATTTCGACCAAACGAGTCCCCAGGTGAAGTATCAGCGCTTGAACCACCGCCAAATGGCAACGTGAACAAATAGCTAGCAGTCCGCTTGAGAAGCCCTTGCTGTGTATTCGGAGTTGTTACCGCTGACTCTTGGCGCACAGGTGTACTAGGTCGGTAGTCCGATGAATGATTATTTGAGACGGCTGACTTGGCCCCTCGACGGTTGATATTGTCAATTATGGCCTGGGCAGGCACACTGAGAGGAGATTGCAAGATGCTGCTGTGGATATAATCAACAACGACAGTAGCATTACGCTGAACCTCTGGGTGAGGATCAACAGCCATTATGAGGACGTGCTTCCAAACCGCAGCAAATATAGAGTTGTGAGATACTCCGTGGGCCGAAGGTTTAATCGTCCCATCTCGATCACGGTTCTCTGGTCGAGCATAGTGCAGGCCCATCTTGTGGTCATTTCCGTCATCCTGGGGTGGGGATTGGCGGTAATCCCGGTCTTCTTGAAGCTGCTCGAAAGCGGCCACCATAAACTTGTTCTCATATCGTTGGATGAATTTCGAGAAATACACCAAGAGCTCTTTGCGAACCATGGCATTTCCGTCATTGGCCATTTCCATCACGGTCCAGGATATGGATTCTTCGATACGGGCAACCTCATCGGTGAGATCGGGAATGCCCAGAAAGGTGGTCATGGCGTATAGCATAGCAGCTCGAACCTCGCAGCAGACATCCCTGATCAAGGTACACAGTTTCGCCGGCGCATTTTCCCTAATGCCTCTCCATTTGGCTTCCGGCAACTCGCTCCAGAGTTGACTGATGCATAGGCATGCCCACTGTCTCAAGAGTGGGTTATCTGCGTTTTGAAGGTGCATTAAGCAGTGGGACATAATCTCGGACTGGTTGCAGACCATTTGACCTTGCTTATACCCGTTGCAGAGCATAGCAAGGATGAAGGCACACATTGCCTTGTGCTCGAGACTATCAACGACTGGCAGACCTTCAGTTGGTTTCAAGATGTTGGCAAAGTATGTGTAGCCCGAGTCTTTTAAGAGATCCGTTTGGCAAGTGAGATCAACAGCCAAAACACGAGTCCAAATAAACACCATGACGGGCTTTAGCTCCGTGGCAGCTGATTGCAGCAACTTCAACACATAGGGGAAAATGCCAATGCTTAACGCAAGATTGACAGCCCACGGGCCAAGATCGAGGAACTTGCCTAAGAGGATGAGTGCCCGTACCCGATGTTGCTGACTGAGGAGCACTTGTAGTACCACGGGGAGCTGGTCCGGAGCCTTGTGCTCAACGGCGCCTTGGGTGAGATAAACCTCGAAAGCTGTGAGTTGTTCTGTGAAGAAAGTCGAGTTCTGGTATTCATAGTCAGGCCGAATACCCTGTTCTTTCTCCTCCAACATAGGCAGCTGGGCTAAGGCCATTTCTACTGCGAGATCCCAACTTTCCCAAAGTGGGTGCTGGTGGGTGTCGGGAAGCTCTGGATACGACTGGGGATGGCAATTATAAGCGCCCATAACTCTCTGTGAGAGGAGGAAATTCCGAAAGAGCGCAGCCACCATGAGGTCCTGTCGGAAGAACTTTCGGAAGAGCGGTCTAGGAAGGGTCGTCCATGCAATGGTGTCTGTGATAGCTGTAAATATCCAGTTGAGTTCTCCTAGTGGTGTTCGTCTCTCCTGCAATCTTCCTGGGAGCTTCTTTGCTCGCTCTGGCGTGGTCTTCGATGGTAGAGGACTTTGTAAGCAGAAAAACCACAACGCCATTTCTATCGGGGTGGTAAGACATGATGTGAACACATCTGCTGGAAGGCGGGGGTTGGTTGGGAGACTCTCTCTGATGCCGCATGCTGCCAGATGGATGTAAGGCTTGAAGGTCACAGCGGGATAATTGGGGTCCTTTGCTACAGCCTCTGCCTCTTCCTGCTCATGCTTCTCAACAAAGCGGTGGAAATTGCTAAGGATGTTACCGGCATCGGAACAGTCCCAGACGAAGAATGTTGGTGCGGCAAGCCATGTCTGGAGATCGTAGAGGGAGATAGGGATGTATTGCGTGTAGTTTTTGTTGAAGACCCATATTTCGCCGGATGCTGTCGGCTTAGGTACACCGTGCCCGTTGTAATGGAACAGAACCCGCTCATCTTTTGCGTTTCGTCGGAGGGAGACGCAGAACTTCTTTGTTTCATCCACAGAAGGATCCAGATATTGCTTGTATCTTGTTCTAATCGCCAGGGTTTCATATTGCGCCTGCAGCGATTTGCCAATGGTGTCCAAGGCCTTCTGGACTGGAGGTTGAGTAGGGTCTTGCCAGGCTTCTAGTTTGGCACCCGGGATAGTCTTCAACTGATCGGGAGGCTCGACTCCAATATTCAGACAAATGGCTAATGCCGCAGAGACAGTTTTCAGACGATCTTTCATTCGCCAGTCTTGCAGTTCGTACCCCAGTGCCTTCGGGTTGCCGGTCGTTTCATGGCGCTTATCGGTAAAGTACATGTACCAGTTCTGTTCAGCATTGTCAGTGATAATTTCAAGAAGAACCGGCCATGATGATAAAGTTTTGCAGCGCTCATTGCGACGATGAATATTTGTATGGCGCTCGATAATAGCCATAACAATGGTGGGGCACTGGTCAGCATTGCGGCGCCATGGACCGCGATCATTGGTTACCCCCGTGGTATGAGTATTAGCAGCATGTGCCATGATGTAGACAAGACTTGGGCCTGGAAACCAAAGGCAGCGTATCCAAAGTGTCCGCCCTTTCAGTGCTGTTTAGGTCGCAGTCGCACGAACCAGCGATCACAGCACTTAACGCTTGTGTCCCGGCTTCGGGATGGCAAGTGCCAATATAGTTTATGGAACCAAAGGAAAGCGCAACCTACATTTGCCAACTGCGAGACATATTCTTCCGACGCATAGTGGTCCTCAAAACCATGCCGTGCTCCCCAGCCTTGCCACTCCTCCTCGCCTTGTGGGTTCACATCTTCTGCACGAGGTCCATAGTCGCTTTTTGATCTGTGAAGTAAAGGTTTGGGTCTGCGCTTTATTCTCTCCAAGTCTGAATCATCCTGGGAAGAAGATTCCGCCGTGTCGCCGGGGGCTGTAGTTGGTCGCGGCTGGAGAAGAGGCCATTGGGACCGGACAGAGCCGCCATTATGTGGTGGAGCTTTGCCGGCCGAGGATGACTGCCTGCGATGATCCATCTCTGAAGGCAAAGTTTGGTATTCGGAAATCTGGACCGGATCATTGCTCACGGCAGGCCGTGGATTCACGGGGCCTGACGTGCCGTTTTGGAGAGGAGGAGCTTGTCGCTGCAGCTGTGAAGGGACGGCAGACGTGTAGCTCTGAGGCTGTGATTGGGACTGGTGAGGGGAAGCCATGTTGGAAGAGTGAGAGGATTGTCGAGGATTGTATTGTTGGCGGTGCGCCCCAGGCTGTTGAACTGCGACAGCCGTCATAGTTGATGGCGGAGAAGCTATCCCCTCAGCTCGTTGAGATGGTCATCAAATCGGCGGATGTACGGTGCCACGAGGAACTCGAGATGGGAGGAAGAAGGGAGGCGGTGGAAGTCGGAGATGTCGGTGAGGGATTAACAGAGAGGGACGAGAGATATAAACTGTAGCCCATCAGTTAGCTATCTGGCTACGTGGCCGTGAACCTGCAAAGTTGGCGTTTCTCTTGCCTCGAACGAGAGTCTAAAGACGTCGTCTTGACTTGGAGCCTCACTTCTGGGCCTTGGTACGCTCACTATCAAATGCCGAGCTCGAGTAGCGCATCGAGGAGCACACCGACGATGGATATAACGCGCTCTGGGACGAGAGCGCAGAACAAACAAACAACAAAACACAGGCAGAGCTGAACTGAGCTGAAAGCTGAGTTAACAGTCAAGTATTACTGCCTTTCACCTTTGGGCATTCGGGTCGAATTCCAGCTGGCGGATGCGATGTCACGGTCACGAAGGCGGAAGCGCATCATCGGCTCACCGCGGGTCTTGTTTGCGGCGGCGCTGCGATTGGCGCGCAAGCGAGAACCAGCGAATGCAGTGAGAAGCTGAAGGAGTCTCGAGGATGCATGGCAATATCAGGTTTAATATCGAGATATAATATATAATGATCCAGCAATAATGGTCTAGAATGATAGTCAGGGGTGGATATGGACGTCTTTGTGCGAAGTACAGATACATATTAAGATGTGTTTTACTATGAGGATCTTGTGTACTCGGTACAATAAGTCGCATCCGATGTGTACCAAGTACTTTACCGTACAGTACATATTTGTATTACCACTCAGTTTGTTCATCTAGAAAACAATGCAACTTGAATAGAGCTCTTAGAAGGCCAATAGATAACCCTCTTTTGCTAATTAAAATTAAAAGAATCCGTACCGCAAATCAGACGCTCTCCCATATCTGCAGTATCAGCATCAGCATCAGCATCACATTGACTCCCTACCCGCCGGCCCCGACCAATAGAACGCTCCACAATGAAAGGTCCTCATCACACACTACGGTAAACGCATGAGTGAAACAAAGTCTCTGTTTGAATCGCTGGGTTAGTTGGGATAGTCAGAGAGGACCCAATCATTGTATGTATTGAAAAGTAGTTGTACGGGGTACTAGATGGGATCCTCAAGGGACCATGAAGAGCGACCAAGTGCAAGGCCTCTTCGACCGTAATAAATACAGTATATGATCTAACTCTCGACCTGGCCGAGTTCTGGTCGCATGTCGTGCCCCATTGGCCAATCCAATCATTCGACTAAGATCGCAAGCTGCATCGGCGTTTCTCGACGTTCTCGTTGATGTGATACGATCGATCGCTTTCAGACCGGTCAATCTTGGGTAAAAGGTCAGGTAAGCGGTACCTATAGGTAAGGTACCTTAGGTCCAAGGTAGTCGTTAGGAATAGTCCACTGGTGCTAAGGCCAAATGTCAAAGGTTATCTCCTCCCTATAGCCACTATCCGGTAATTAAAGCTAGGAAGGTTTCCTCCTTTTCAGTAGTATAAGGTTTAAATTTAAACATTAATATGATCCATCCCAGAGTCTGGGTTGCTCGGTGCGGATGGCTTTGCCGTTGCTTATCGATAAGGGGAATAAAAAGCCCTCGCATCGCACCAACTTCTCCAAGCAATTTATTTCTCAGGAGGTCTCCAACATCTCCAACAAATATCCAACTCCCAATTCCAAAACTCTGGAGAATCGCCATGCTATCAGAAGAACCGCAATCCTTACGGATACGTTGGATCAAGGGTTGAAGCTGAGCTGAGCTGCCGTAAGACTAAGTACCGCAGTAGGGATTTCGGGTTGGCTGACGCTGACCTACAAGTCACTCGGAACAGGAACAAGCACAAGCACAATAATTAACACTGTAGTAACATCGCCTGCTGCGTGGATAGGGGAATGGTTCAGGACCTGCTGCCAACCCGGCTTATCAGAGTGCAGTGCATGCCACGGTGCATGCCAACTGATGCACCGTGAATCAGGAGGTTCCGGTCACTGGGACAGCTTTTGTAGGGAGCCAGTTATTAGCCAGTGCGACGCTATGTGTGAACAACAAATAAATCCTCGAGGAAGTAGAAGTAGAAGTAAACGGAGAATGCATTTAATAGCATATATCATCCGGTATATGTGGTAGCACAGAGCATGAAAAGCGTCATTGGAAACACAACAATGCAATGCATACCTTATTATATAGTATTCTACATGAACAGAACAGAACTGTCAACATTTTAAGTTCTTTAGCTGAAACACGGCCTCCTAAGCCGCTTGTAGCAAAGCGCGAGAGATGTCTATTTGCGGCCTGCAAGATCGACGTAAACGATATTACGGAACCAAGACGCAGGCGGCTCAGGGGTTGCAGTGGCAGTTGGCAGTTGGGGGTTGAAGTTCTGTATTTGCAGGAGAATCCAGTACTGTACAGTACTTGTTGTATTATTAGTATCCTTTGGAGAAAATAAATCTCCTAGCCCTGCACGGCACTCTCTCTCTCTCTCTCTGTCTTTCTATCTCTCTGTCAGTCTGGTCTGGCCTGGCTGTCACCCGTATATGTCCATTCAATATTAACGGACCACCACCAACGACCGGTAATCGCTAATCGCTAGTCTTGACATTTATATTTATCGCCCAAAGGATCACTGGCGCAGCATCCTGGAATACTTCGTACTCGACCTCCAGTAATCCCCCAATTCACACTGCTCTTGGAGCTCCAAGGAGACCATCTGTGCCACGGTCCTCTCCTCCATCCTCCTCCTCTCTCCCTCTCTCCTCGCCCGCCTTGTCCTTCTTCCTGCGTGTGCTGGGTCCCTTACGCCTTGCAGGTGGCTGTCGATGATCTGTGTCTGCACCCGGATCGACTCCTAATCCCCAGCCATTTCAAACACGACCCCGGATCCGCTCAGACAACCTCCTTTTTCACGAACCACCGCGCATCGAACTTTGTCAATCAAAACCCAAAGATTTCGACGTCCAAAGAGAACCTGCAGACGCGGTCGCGCATTGGCATAAGACATTGAGCGGGTGGCCCGCCGCGGATGGCACGATGGCATTCCTCTTCAAGAGCAAGAAGAATGCAGAGAAAGCCCAGGCAGCGAGGGATGGTTCCAACGGTGTCGCAGGATCAGAGTCCTCTCTGTCCAACTCACGAATGAACGAGAAAGGCGCCCGCCAGCAGACATCAACGCCGTCCAGCAGTGTCAACAACTCCATCACTTCACTTCAGGGCGGTGGCACTGCGACACCAAGCCCCGAGCAGGTAAACGGCCGTCGAGGGCAAAATCCAGAGCAGTCTGATCTTTCCGTGAGTGTCTTCCGCTGAATACGATGCTGCATTGATCTAATGCATGCGCGACCTACCTGACGGGCAGATGCTAATATTCTCTCCCCCCAGCTTCGGAATGGCAATCCACCCAACGCGCAATCAATGGCTTCGAATCCTAATGCCTCCCTATATCCCTGGTCTCAGCGCCGGCTCACCTACACCACCTCACACCCAAGTCCGTTCCCTAGATATGGCGCCGCTGTTAATTCGGTGTCCTCGAAAGAGGGCGATATTTATTTAATGGGAGGCCTCATAAACAGCTCGACCGTCCAGGGTGATTTATGGATGGTGGAAGCGGGAGGGAACATGGCATGCTACCCGCTGGCGACTACAGCTGAGGGGCCGGGTCCTCGCGTCGGCCATGCTAGTTTGCTCGTTGGGAATGCCTTTATTGTTTATGGTGGTGACACGAAGATGGAAGATTCCGATGTCCTCGATGAGACGCTATATCTACTGAATACCTGTAGGTCGAGCCATCCCACGCACGCCTGGAATTATGCTAACTAGATAAGCTACGCGACAATGGTCAAGAGCCGTGCCTGCAGGACCACGGCCATCTGGGAGATATGGGCATTCGCTGAATATCGTCGGCTCGAAGATATACGTATTCGGAGGTCAGGTTGAAGGATACTTTATGAACGACCTTGTGGCATTTGACTTGAATCAATTGCAGAATCCTACCAATCGATGGGAGATACTCATTCGAAATACCGACGACGGAGGTCCACCTTCTGGCCAAACCCCCCCTGCCAGAACTAACCACTCTGTCGTGGCCTACAACGAGAAGCTCTATTTGTAAGTGGCTTGATTGTTAAAGTAGTTCTACGTGCTAACTTCCGCAGGTTTGGAGGCACTAATGGTTTCCAATGGTTTAATGATGTTTGGTGTTATGATCCAATGACTAATTCATGGGCCTCTCTCGACTGTATCGGATACATACCCGCCCCTCGAGAAGGCCATGCAGCAGCAATAGTAGACGATGTAATGTATATCTTTGGTGGGCGAACAGAAGAGGGCGCGGATTTGGGAGATTTGGCTGCATTCAGAATTTCCTCCAGGCGTTGGTATACTTTCCAAAATATGGGCCCTTCCCCCTCGCCGCGATCTGGGCATAGCATGACCGCATATGGGAAACAAATCGTGGTTCTAGCAGGAGAACCAAGCACAGCAACAAGGGAGGCCACTGATCTGGGTATCGTTTATATGCTCGACACGAGTAAAATTCGATATCCAAACGACCAACAAATACAGCAAACCGCCGGACGCCAGAGAGGGCCAAGTGGTGGGGACAAGGCTGGTATGGGTGCCAATCGTGGTTTGGCATCTCGTGATGGATCTGCTCCTGAACAGAAGAGATTGAATGGCCCAGGGCGAGAAAGCGTCATGGGACCAGGACCTTATGGACGCGGCAATGGGCAACCGGGTGTTAATGGAAATGATATGGATGGTGTAGCTCCTGGGTCAGCGCAGCCACAGGGTCCCCAGGCCCAAGGACCTCCAGGAGGATCGAGGTTACCACGAGCATCAGTTGCACAGGCACCATCCGGTCCACCCCCTCAGCAACAGGCGCCAGCCCCACGCTCCAACGGTCCCAGCCAAGGGGGCAATGGACGAGGCAAACCACAGGCAAGGCCAGAAAGGGGGTTTGGTCCTGCCCTCGACACCTCTGTACGGAACCTGTCATCTGAGAATATCTCCCCTCCGGCGCAGACAAGAAATATGTCTCCCTCGCCAAGGGACAGTCCCCAGACGCGAGAGAGTCCTGTGACGAATGGACGACGCACTCCAACAGGGAATCCCCAACAACAAAAGTCTGTACCGGCCGGGAACGCGCCCCCTGTCAGCCTAGTTACGGGTGATGCGAGATCCACATCCAGATCGAGACACACTCGTCAGCCCAGTTCCGTTGATAGTACAAATGAGTCCGCGTCGTCTTTGAAAATCTTCAGCAACCGGCAAACATCACCACCTCCAGGAAATAGACAGACTAGCAATCCTCTCGGCCGTAAGGGATCTGCTAGGAATTCTCAGACCGTGGCTCTTCTCCAGGAATTGGATGCTGCAAAAAGCCGGAATGCCTGGTATGCGTCAGAGTTAGAACTAGCTCGAAAGGCTGGGTACACACCAAATCCATCAAGTAGCCCGATTCTCGACCAACGAGCAGCAGAATCCTTTGATGACGATGACAAGCCATTGATCGAGGCGTTACTTGCTATGAAACAGGAACTGACCAACGTTCAGGGCTCTGTAGATAAACAAGCTATTCTGGCCGCCAAACAGATTGCCGAGGTCGAGAAGCAACGTGATGCTGCAGTCCGCGAAGCTGTCTATGCCAAAGCTAAGCTAGCTGCGCATTCTGGCAGTCAAAACAGCACGCCTCAGCCAGATAGCGAGGCCCGCGATTTGGGAATCCTATCAAGTGATCGTTCAACGGAAATCAGCAAAAAGCTTGCCACAGCATTAGCCGAACAGCGGGATCTCAAGAACAGGATTGAGATTCTGGCAACCGAACTCGACTCAGAGAAACGAGGCAGGCAATTGGCCGAGGATTCTCAGACTTCGGTCCAGAGCCGTATATCTGAGTTGGAAATTTACAAGCAGCAACACTCCTCAGAGGTCGAACGTCTGAAGGCAGAAGTGCATGAGCTGGAGACGATGGCACGCGAAGAAGCCATCGTTTGTGCTGAAGCTGTAGCCACTGCAAAACTACTTCGGGTGGATAAAGAAGAGCTAGAGAAGACGCATAAAGAGGTCATGGGATCGTCGAAGGAACAGAACGACACCTTTGAGTCACTTCGACAAGCCATTTCGTCCTCCGCAGAGATGAGGGATATGCTGGAACGCAAACTTGAAGAGGAGCGCACTCAACGAGAAATAGTTGAGAGTAAGCTAACCAACCTGAGGTCTGAACACGAGCAGCGAACCGCGGAATTAGAGACGGCCAATAAAAGACTTCGTGATGCTGAGGAAATTGCCGAACATCATATTACGGAAGCTCGCACCCATCGTGGAGCTGTTCTTGCCGGTCTAGACAAGGTTTCAGCCCGTGACGTCGGCTCTAGGGACTCCCCGAACAATGAGCGTACGGTGGCACTTCAAGCCCAAATCCAGGCTGCTAATACCTTAGTTCGAAAGTACCAGACAGCGGCTAATACTGCCTCCGAGAAGCTACGCAGTGCTGAGGAGCGAATTGCCGGCTTGGAAGCCTACCAAGAGCAAACCAGCAGGGAAGGCATGTCTATTCGCAAACAGTTACAATCAACGATGCGGGAGATCCAAACCTTGCAGGCAGCGAACTCAGACATGAAGTACCAGCTAGCAAATCAGCAATTGGAGACCAACGCTGTCCACGTTCAGCATAACACTCTCAAAGATATCCTCGGCGAGCGTGGCATCAGCCCTGCCGGAGCCGCTCGAACTCGCGGGCTTTCCAGTCCTCTGTCTGGATCCAATACCCCTGATGCCGCCCATCTACGTGAGCTGGAGCAGCAGCTTGCAGCCAGCGTCCAGGCCCACCAAGAGACCAAGCAGACTTATGAGAGCCGGGAGCAGGAATCTGAGGCTGCGTACCGCGAAAAGCTGGGTCAGTTAGATCATGATTACCAGTCGGCTGTTCATTACGTCAAGGGTACTGAGAAGATGCTTAAGCGCATGAAGGATGAATTGGCCAAATATAAAGCAGACAATACGAAGATGAAGGAGCAGCTGGTAGATGTAGAAGAAAAGGCTTCATCCAAGTCAGAAGGAGTGGCTGAGTGGGACGAGGAGCGGTCGTCGTTGAACAAGAAAATTGAATCGCTGCAAGTCGAGATGAAGTCTACGGCCTCGCAACTCGAACTCCAGATGGCGGAGGTGAGAAAAGAACTGGCTGATGCGCAGAAAGAGCGAGATTATCTCCAGCAGAGCAACGAAGAAATACAACAGCAATTATCAGCATCGACTCAGCAGACAAGATCCGATCTCTCCCAACTGCAGCAAGAGAATTCTCAACTCGAGCGCAGAGCTCAGGATGCCGAGCAAAAGGTGGCACTGCTGCTTGACCAGGTTGAATCATCCGTCGACAACTACCGTCGGCAATCCCGTCAGGCAGACCCAAGTGGTGGAGGAAGCATATCTCACCACCGCACGCTCTCGGCAACCGAAAGCGTCTCCGAAACCTCGTTATACGGCGTAGATAATCGGAACTCCATGGCGCTGGACAGCCTTGCGAGCGAGCTAGAAACCCTCCGCACGCACTGGGAAACCACGAGCAAGAATTACCGACTCAGCACTGCATTTGATTTCGAAGATCGATCCCCGTTACCGAAGGTCGACGAGGCGGGGAAACATGATAATTCCGAGTCTCTTAGTGCTGGTTTGGCTGATTGGCGGAAGCGACTTGATGACGAGGAGGAAGCATCTCGGAGTCGTAAGGGCAGTGATAGTAATATTAGTCCCGGGCCGACGACTGGGAAGAGGGAGATGAGTCAGAGTGGGAGGGAGGTTACAGGGAATGTCAGGAATGCTAGCGAGGTCAATCTGATCTAATCTTGATCCTACTCAGACGCGGGTGGCTTGGAAGTTTAACGAACGGTTTGTGGGGAGTAAAGCCATGATTTGAAAAGATACCTCGAAAATACTGGTATTAATTGCACTTTTAACCGCTAATCCCATCCTCCTCCATTTCACGGCCGGGCCAGGGAAACGAGAAACGGACAAACGGACGGATTTCACTGGTTTTAGCTGGTGCTTAACCATTCCTTGATGCATCATCCTCCTTTCTAGTTTACATTTGGGGTTCTCAGGAAATGGTGTTTTTATCGGGAAACAATTCAGAACATATTTACACTTCGCCCTTCTTTCCAAACCCAACCATCCTACATTTACATTTGTTCTTTTACATTCAAACCGCATTCGTTCTCAATATCTACTTAGGGGGGGGGCACACGAGACGGAGGGTGTTTATCCTATTTTTTCTTTTTACTTTTTTTTTTACGTTCTTTTTTTTTTACCTTTTTATGGTTCAAGTTGCTTGAAATGGGAGCAAAATTCATGTCCGATGGTTTCCAGGAAAACAGCGCTTTTATGAAATGGGGAGTGTTGTATATATATACCATGAATTTGCCCGGTCGCTTTTAACTTTCGCTTCTTGTTGCTTTTTGGGGTTTTTTTGCGAGGTGGAGGGAGGGAGGGATATATATGTGTTTGTGTGTGTGTGTGTGGAGACAGAGAGAGGGAAGAATGGGAGAATAAGAGAATGGGAGATGGGAGATGGGAGGGAGATGATGGATAGATAGGTTACCTAGGTAGTTATGGCATAATGTACAATACCAAACGAACAAATGGTGATTATGAGGGGATTAGTGGTGATTGATGATGCGTAGGAGATGAGAAAGGGAGGGTTGTATATGAGAGAGGAAGGGTGGGGGTTGAGGTTGAGGTTGAGGATGGAATGGAGGGGATATTTCACCTATGCCCCAATTATAGATATTTATGCTTATTTCTAATTCCGAATTTGAAGTGAGTGGGTGAGTGCATTGCTCTGTGTGTGGTTGAACAAGGGACCCAAGAGGTCACACCAATTTTCTAGGTGAGTTTTAGGTTAAGGCGTAGGTCACCTAGTAATCCAGCGAAATAACGAAAATATATAATCTAAACGCTTGAATGAGTCTATATAGCTTAGTTATAAAAAGCGTAGCGACCACGAATAATAGCTTATTTCATTTATTCTAAGCTTTTGATTTATTATATGGTCGCCTAGATATAGGCTTTCTAATTATTAGACTGGAGAACTGATATCCCGTTCCTTATCAGATGGAGAGATAGACCTGCTCTATCACCCCATCACTGTCCTCATTCTCATCACCATCCCCCTCCCAATCCACCATACCACCAAAAGCGGTGGGCCCAGTCTTGGAGCGTTTTGGTCTTCTGGGAAGCATGCTGTTTGCAATCTAGTCAATAAAAAGACCCCTTCCCTTAACTAACACCCCAAATCCCCAACGGACCGCCCACCCCAGGGTTCTTCTCCCTCTCACTCTGAAGTCTCCTAACCCTCTTAACCAGCGTTCCCACACCCAGCGGTCCAATGATAGTACACAAGACAATAGCCCAAGTAACCACCAAATAGACTTCCGAGCTGCCAGTACTTGGCATGGAAGAGGACTTAAAGAGACCGGTTGTTTCGGCTAGAGAAGCGATTAGGAAGCCAATTTCGCCACGCGCGGTCATGGCTGTGCCGAGCATTGCTGCTGGGTAGAGGGAGAGGGGCTTGTTGATTATGGGAGGCGAGGATGGGGCAGTGACCGAAGTTGGAGAAGGCTGGGAATTGCTGGAGGCGGGACTTTCTCCTGCGGGAGGCTGTGGTGTCGACTCTCCAGCATTGGCCCTCACACCTTTCCCTCCCTGGGTTTGTAGTTCGTGAGTATCCGTAGTCCTAGCGGTCTCTTTCGCCTCGTTCTTGGGCTTTCCACACACCCAGCTAAAGCATGAAGCTGGTGCGGTTATGATAGAGTGCACGCTCCTTGGGGCATAGACTTTTGGCAAAAGGAGGTTCAGGCGGAGGAGCCATAAGCCCGTAATTATTTTCGCGAAGAGCATGAGGATTGTGTAGACAATGCCTCGCCAGACAATTTCACCGCGAAACATGTCCGTGATTGGAATGGCGAAGCCAATTGATGCCTTTCATTATGTCAGCCTGTTTAGAGAATAGACGATACGAGGGACTTGCGAAGAAGAATGGCTTTAGAATGCGTTGAACGGCTGTTGCGTAGTATTTATGGTATACCGCAGTGCCACTCGTTGCGGTGGATTTAGAGTGCTCATTGCGAACTGCCTCGCCCTCCGTCGCCTCGCCTTCTGGACTAGAGCCTACTTGCTCAATTGGTGAACTTGAAGGTTCAAGTGAACAGCTTTTTATATCTGCGTCCGGATGCGGAACCTCGCTGTCCCACCAGCTGATCGAAGCCCCAGCTAGATAAGCAGCAAAGAGATTAGAAGTACCAGCGTAAGTAGCACCAGTAACAAGTCCAATCAGCAGTAACGTATGAATGATAAATGCAGTGTACGTCATTCCACACAACTTGTCCACAGCACCATTTGGGTTTGATTTCCTGGCCGCATTAAGAAGCACGGTCAGAGGTTGCGCAACTAATCGACAAACCAGAGGGACGGCAATTGCTAGACCAACTGACACAGCAAGCGGTCGAACAACCGTAATAGCATTGAATGAGTCCGCAGTCTCTCCAAGATTAGAGATCACCTGAACCATGACCAGTCCAACGACATCATCCATCATTGCAGCACTGCTTAGCACTGTGCCCAGCCGAGTGGCCGATAACCCACTGGTACTAAGAATGGTGAAAGTGGTTCCTAAACTAGTTGAGCAGAGCGCTGCTCCAGCTGCAAAAGCTTGCAATGCTGTTGCGTTGACGAGCGGTTGCAGCACGAAGGAAAGAGCCATTGGGAAGCTGATTCCAGTTATCGCTACTGCAACAGAAAGGAAGAGATTCGCCTTCAGGGAACGAAAACTGGTGTCCAGCCCCCCTTTAGAAAATGTTAGCCGCGGCAAGATTCCAAGATTGCGGGTTTCTTTACCTTCGTAGACTAAAAGGATCAAGCCTAGATATCCAAGCTGGACGATTACATCCTCAGTATCCTGACCGAGCCATTTCGCTCCTGGCGTCCCCCATGCTACACCAATAAAAACCTGCCCGAGAAGACCGCAAAAGATCAATTTGTCGAAGATGGTGTTGACGATATTGAGGATGAGTATTAGTGACGATTGGATGAGGATAGTCGCGATACCCGGCTCGTGATACGGCAGGAAAGAAATAATGGTAGTCGCCATTGTCTCCTCGTTAAGTTGCTTGCTATTTCGCGAGCAGGAGTAAATAGAAAGGAGAACGAGAGGAGGCCATCATTTGTATTTGGACTTTACATCTGTGGTAGTGAAGCTCCGCGATGTCGTCGCAAAATGCGTACATAAAGCCCCGCTAAAAAGTGGTGATGGGAGCTTTTACAACCCGGGGCGCGGGCTACCAAATTGTATTTTGACAACCTCCTGTTAATATTTTCTCCGTCGCTCCTCTATATTTAATTCTAACTCGTCTTCTATTAAATTAAACATCTTTTCTAGTACCGTGACCTAGGGTTTAAATTCGTTTAACTAGATTTTATTTTAATTAATCTTAAGAGCATTATTAACTTTATCTATAATTTAGGAATAAAGTAGAGTTCGAATTTAAGCAGGCACAAGGCTATTAGCCAGCGGTCAACGTGCATGAAAACCTACATAAGGCTATTGGCTTCCTAGGAAGGAAACTTATGTCAAGTGTGGCCATAAGGAACGGCGTAAAACAAACATTATAGAGCAACAACGAGATATCAGAATGAATCTGGCCATTGCCTAGTCGCCGGTTCCAGCCAGCAATAAAACCCGTCCATGCCTGAAGAATGTAATGCATAGGCACTCTTTTACAGGTATTGTCTCGTGCCTATTTCGCCACGATATAACCAGCACGGGTTCTGAAAGCCCGAGTGTAGAGAGGGAGGATGCGAGAACTCACCGATCCCAAGCGGATAACATGCGGTCGTAGTTCAAGGCAGTACCGTCCTCAAGTTCCTTTAGAATAATATCACATCAATGTCAGACTCGGCCAAGGCATGCAACCATTTGCTTCTGCATCATCCCAGAGCTCGTCCGCATTCCACTTTTTTTCTCTCCCCATCTGATATCAAAATAAGTAAAATAACAGAAGCCTAAGATAAGCAAAAGGTGAAGAAGCTGAGAGATACTGGAAAAGCGAAAATGAAATTGAGACGGTGTGGTTTTTGGATTGGAATATATAAGTTTGGGAGAGCAGAAGGAAGATAATAAAGCATCAGATGAACGGAGGGGGAGAAAGGAATGATGTGCTAGAAGCACAAGCTTAGACAGCCCAAGCACACGGCCTCTAACTAGACCCTAGGCGTGATGCGTAGCATTCTGTAAAATTGAGCTTCTTGGACAGTATCGGCAAAAGCTGACCAAAATTGTGAGCGACTCTAGATGCGAGCGATAGGGGGTGTCGCCGGCGATGAGTAAGCCGCGGATCACGCCTCCACCCGAAAGCAAGATTTAATATATATGTATGTACGGTAGATGCAGTGATACTCGTATTTGGGTAGCCTCGCGCACGAAGTAGATCAAATAAAAATAGGGTATATTTGGTACGGATGAAATAACATGATTTTCTCGGCCGAGGTTGCGACGGCCGGTTTTAGGCCTGGATTGCTTGGGATTGGGAATAGAGTTGGGTGGTACGTAGTGGGCTTGGGAGGTAATGATGGCGTCGCGAGGGGCGGTCAAGATGCAAGCGTGAGTTGGGTTTCTAGAGCGGCCTGGAAGACTGGGAGAATGCGACCATTTTCTTGGTTTTACCACTCGAGTCGCTGTATGTTAGTGTGGTGTTCGCTGTGGGGCCAGTCCGTATGGCTTGGAGATGGACGGGCGAGAGCTGCAATGGAGTGTATGGCATGTACAGTACGTAGTATGAGAGCAGGTGAGGGAGTGTTGGCAGATGGGTATTGGGTATTGGGTATTAGAGAGGGGATGTTGGGCATTGGGTATTGGTGGTCGAAGTGAGGTGGTTTTTGTTTTGACACGCGGAATCAGGATCTTCGTATGGAGGACAGGTCGACAGAGGCGGCCAGCGCCGGGTTGGAGCTATTCGTGGTAGACCAGGTCGCCGGCGGCAAAGGGGCCTCATAGCCAGGGATGAGGAGATGTTTATTGGAAGCAGAGCCAGTAGAGTTTGCGAGGGTGGCGTTTCGTGAGCAAAGTCCTGCGCATGCTCGCCCCGTATGATCAGAATAGTACTTAGTAGATGTACCTGCAAAGTCCTAAGTCCGTTGGAGGATTGCTAATTTGGGATTTCTGCGAAGTAGAGTACTCGTATTCAGCACGGGTGCAAGTAACAAGACCCAAGGTTGCCTGTCTGTGGCGACGAGTTCGCACAGAGTAACTGTACTCGAGTACTGTACTTCGTAGCTTCATGCGTCGAGGAATGATCGGATTTGTATTTAATGGCGCAAGGAGGATGCGGCACTTGGTACTTCGTAATAGGACTGTAGTGATGCAGTAATGCCGCATTGGTAGCGATATGGGACTGTCATGCGTTGCTTGCGGTCGAGTTAAGGGGGGAAAGGGGGAAGGTCCACGAACCACGGAGATTATTGTACTGCGTTGGAAGGGGACACGTGCTGTATCGGCCGAGCTGAGGATGGAGAGCGTGATATGGAATCGAGGGCACGTTGGTAGTTAATGATATGATAGTTGGGCTTCTTGGGCATCTCTCCTTAGGCATCTTGGGCATCAGCTTGGGCGACGAGGCTGAAGGCGACCTTTGTACCTTGTGGCGTGCATTGTACCATACATGTAACTGTCGAAGTAGAGCCGCGGGGAAGTCCGTGAACAATGAAGTAGCGGCGCACTGCAAACTGTTGCATTCGGTACCCCGATAGGTACTTCGCGGGTACCTCGTGGGTACTTCGTCCTCGAGCACAATGCTCCAGTTGATATCATACAGTAGCATTGTGCCATGGGTTTCCGCCTCTTTGAGCTGTTCCAGTTCCAGCTGCAGATCCAGGCAGCTGGCTCGACCGCCTCTTCTCAGGGCTCGGAGGCCTGGGGGAGGCCAGTAATTCAGGTTAGAAGACGGGCAGCAGTGAGCAGCAGTGAGCAGCAGTGAGCATTGATGCGAGAGCAGTGAGCACGGCCAAGGGCAGCTGTTTACCAGTGGTACTGTAATAATAGTAGTATAGTATAGTTGGGGCTGAGACTCGTCGCTCGAGGCAGCTCCGGCGTCAGCTTCGTGCACTGCCTAAGTGCTGCGCTGTGTAGCCACCGCGTGGTTTGAAGGGGCTGCGGGATATTATTAGAGGACTGTACATGTACTGTACCTCGAGTATTGGCTAGAACCAAACCTGTGATTTGGAATCTGCAATCTGGAATCTGGAAAAGACATACTGCATCCCAGGAGTAAAACTGAATAAGAATAGGGAATCCTAAATAGAGATGAGCACCTGCTGTAAGGCACGTCTTCAATCTTCACGCGGTCAAAGAGCCCGTGGCAATCATAGCCAGTTCGTGCTGTGCTGTGCTTTGTACGTCCGTAATCTGTGTTCCCCCGTGCTTAGTAGATCTGTCGTGCGGGAGAGTGATTTTTGCAGTAATAATAGTATATATCGTGTATTAGATATTATATCATACCCAATGCCCTTTGATGCCCGTTCCCAGCTAAGGATCTATCGTTCTTTTTTGCCTCTTGGCCATCTTTCATGCCCTCCCGCAAAAGGCAACGCGCCCTTCGCCCTGCGCGCTAGGCCCAAGCGAGAAACCGTCTTCCTCCTCCACGCCCAACTCGCACTTCCACCCTTTAAACCCGCATCTCTGCTCCTCCGCCAGCTTCAGATACAACCTCATCCTCCAGCACCATTGATCGACGTTCCCTCGCCACACGGCGACGATACTTCGCGGGACACACGTCGTCCTGAACCTGCCCCTTCGACTCTTCACCCTCGATCCTCGATCGTCCTCGTCCCAGGAGCCGCCCGAACACGTCTCCGCTCGGCCCCCATTGCCCATCCTCGTCTCATCTCGCTCTATCAGATAGGTACGTACCCAAGTGTATTCTTTGCTGCCAAAACACGAACACCAACACTTGGATCTCTCCTCGGCTTCTCCTCCCTCTCGCCATCCGGTGCAAAGAAGACGCAGGCTCTGCTTGCCATTCACTTTCACCAGCGCCGAGCCGCTTACTGCCACCCATCGCCTGGAATCACACACCGCTTCGTCTTGCCCAAAGCCTGAAATAGCTCATAGCCACAACGCTACATCCACATCCACATCTACAGCTACAACTACAAGTACATCTCAACAACACCACCTTAGCTAACCAGGCTTCTTTGCTCTAGTTACCCTGCGTCCTCATCTCCCACCGCCGCAATACTTCTCCACGGTCTACCTAGTCGATCGATACACCCCCCCACCCAACCCATCACCGTACCCTCGACTCTCGTATCGGACACTGCCCGATACCCAGAGTCCATAGTTGAACCTGAAGATGACTACTATGGTGAATCCACCCGCTTCCAAGTCGAAATCCAATCCTCTGGTTTATACCCCCTTTCTTCACCTTCTACGACCACCTTCTTGTTACCCCTCTCCCCCCTGATATGCTGGTGTCCGGGTTCGTGGGGCGTGAAGTTGTCACCTTGGGTCTCCACCACAGCCTCGTGCAGGCATATACATCTTCCTTCCCATCCTCCCCCCTCTTTTCTTTGCCCCACCGGTCCCAGACTCATATTGACTACAGCATACTGACTTCAGCTCATAGGATCTTCGCGTTGGTAATAAATACCGCATCGGTCGTAAGATTGGTAGTGGCAGTTTCGGTGACATCTACCTCGGCACAAACATCATCTCAGGAGAGGAGATTGCCATAAAGCTGGAGAGCGTCAAGGCCAAGCACCCCCAACTCGAATATGAGGCCCGCGTCTACAAGTCCCTCGCTGGAGGCGTCGGTATCCCTTTTGTCCGCTGGTTCGGTACCGAATGTGACTACAATGCCATGGTTCTAGATCTCCTAGGACCCAGCTTGGAGGATCTTTTCAATTTCTGCAACCGAAAGTTCTCCCTGAAGACCGTCCTTCTCCTTGCCGACCAGCTCATCTCCCGCATCGAGTACATCCATGCCAAGTCCTTCATCCATCGTGATATCAAACCGGACAACTTCCTCATGGGTATTGGCAAGCGTGGTAACCAGGTCAACGTGATCGATTTCGGTCTAGCCAAGAAGTACCGTGACCCCAAGACCCACTTCCATATCCCATACAGGGAGAACAAGAACTTGACAGGTACCGCTCGGTATGCCTCCATCAATACCCATTTGGGTGTCGGTATGTTATATTCAGTCCCAATCACAACCCCCATCATACAACTAACCCCATGACAGAGCAATCCCGTCGTGATGACATGGAATCCCTCGGATATGTTATGCTCTACTTCTGCCGTGGATCACTCCCCTGGCAAGGTCTCAAGGCTGCTACCAAGAAGCAGAAGTATGACCGAATCATGGAGAAGAAGATGACTACACCGACCGAGGTCCTTTGCCGTGGCTTCCCTAACGAATTTGCCATCTACCTCAACTACACCAGGTCCCTTCGCTTCGACGACAAGCCGGACTACTCTTACCTCCGAAAGATCTTCCGTGACCTCTTCGTCCGTGAGGGTTTCCAATATGACTATGTCTTTGACTGGACCGTGTACAAGTACCAGAAGAATGCCCAGGCCATTGCCCAAGCTGCCGGTCAACAACCCACCCAGGATGATGATGAGAAGCCACGTACTCGTACTAACGCTGCCACAGCCGGTGGACCGACCCCCCAGCACGCGTCCAGTGCCTCCAAGCCAGGTGCGATCTCCGGATCCCGCCGCAAGGTGATCGAACGTGGAGCCAGTGGTGCCGGTGTTGATACGCCCGAAACCAACCGAGCCGTTGGCGGTAGTGATAGGATGTGAGTGTCTTGATAGCTCCGGATTCCTTCTTGTAAGGGGATTTTTTTCCTCTTCGCGTTTAGTGTGCTTCGATGACGCTGGCCGCGAAGAAGAACAGTATGCTGACTGGATGGCTGACGCTATAGTCTCCGAAAATAGGCTGCGCTCTGCTTCGAAAGGTGCAGCAACCCCAGGATATTCTTATCGGCCGAAGCGGGAGGAACAAAGTGGACAGCAATGGTATTGATTAAAGTGCACTGGCGACTCTCCTTGACCGATGTCGACCTTTCGATATTCGACTCCCGGCAGTTTCGTCTTACTTGACGTCAACCTCCCCGCTGAACATACCTGAACGTCTCGTGGACGATCTATTCGGTATCGGCTCGAATATAAACCAAAAACTCATCTCATTATGGATTGCTTTCTTTCCTTACGACCCTTCGATTTATGAATCTTGACATGGCTCGAGCAGCTTTGGCCTTTTGCATGACTACTCACCCGAGTGAGCATTGTCATCAGGGCCGAAGTAATCGAACGGCACGCCGATGTCACTACATCCAGTTGGAGCAGGAATGCAACTAGCATAGCAAAACCAAGGAGCGCACGATTATCATCAACGACACTCAACATTTGCTATTACATTTCAGTCTCAAAGCAATCAGGAACAACGGTCATCTAAGCTCGCTTTCATTGCAGACGCCCGCGTCATCCTTGGCATTCAGAGCAGACCCTGTCCTTTGAGATACATGTTTTTGTCACGCCTGATTTCCTTTTTTCCTTTCTCTTTTTGCATTTGGTCTTTTCAACTGGCGTGGGGAGAGGACGTCTGGGGAGGTTAATGTCGGGGGATGACCTAAGGGGACAGATGAAATCACGATTGCATTAAAGAACACCAGCCACCGCGGGTCAGCACCCGCTGTGCAGTCCTGGACATGGCACGGCATGTTAATATCCACCTTCTGATGGATTCAAACTGGAGGAGCAGCTTCTGGGGAGGTCTTTCATTTGCATGTTTTTCGCCTGGCTCATTTCCTTTGCGTTGCGTCATGGATGGAGTGGTGGAGGGGGCAGCAGGCCACAGGGGAGGTAGGGGAGTTCAGACGCGCGTGTGTTATCCGTGGCATAGCTTTGTCAAAACAGTGAGCAAATTGCCTGCTTGCTGGGTTTATAAAGCTCTCCACACAGTAATGGTATCATAATGATTATGGCAACCCAACTCAAATCGCTCTCAATATAATTGTGCTTTGCCGTGATCATACATTCCCTGCGTCGTAGTAGTAGAAGATCGAATCTTAGGTTTGTATAATTTGTGCTTCCTATTTCCCAATCTTAAAACCTATAACTTCGTTCCCATGTCGATTCTAGGTAGGAAAAGTAGCTGTAGAACATACAGACCATGTAATTTTGCTCTTACTTCAAGTTAAGATCATTCCCGCATCTCTTATAACTCATATGGTATTTTAATTAAAATAAACAATTATTTTTGAAAAGAGATCTAGAAAAGAAGGTAAATTCATGATTTATTAATATATTATTTTTAATTATTTAAGGGGGGGGTTAGGTACCTATTATTTAGCGCTATGTATATGCTAATTTGTATAGTTGTAGCAAGAGAGCTGATATTAATAGTAGTAATAGTATTAGTTACATTTAATAGGAGATGTAGTAATACTAGTAGCTGTTCGACAGCCTACTAGTGGACAACATAAAGAGGCGATAACTACTACATTCAGCTGATTACCTGCCTAGCCTAGGCCCTGTTGATTGTAATAGGAAGGGTAAATAAGGAAATAGAAAGGCATATATAATACAGTAAGGGGATCGAAGACGATCAGATATACCGCGGGCAGCAGGCGTGTAGCTACGAGATGGGATCCGTGGCAGATGATTACTACAAGAACTGTGGGCTGACTTTGTATAGATAACTAAGTGATAAACTCTCCTAAAGACAAAGAAACCAAAAATGGAGGTTGTTCCTAGACTCTTGAGATCATTTTAAGTCTGTGAGTTGTGTAGTGGCCCTGGGAAAGTGACAAATGGTGGCCTTCTTTCTGTAGATAGACTTTGATATATTAAAAATTGAGAGTGTTACTTATTATGACAACTCTAATTAATATAACAGCTATCATTAATATGACAGATCTAATTGATGTAACAAATCCAAGTAGTTTAACGACTCCAATTAACTTAATACTCTATTAACCCTAACGCAACCTGTTTATTATACTTTGTACTATCGTGCACCTCAAATCACTTCCTTCTACACAACACCTCGTGATATTAATCACCACTCCGGACCGGCGTCTGAAAGACGATATTAACCGAGAATCAAGTTCCTTGTAGAGAAAGAGTTCGTAGAATGAGAGAAAAGGCTGCTTAATTAGCTACAATGAGGATGTGGTTATGCTATTATCATGATGTCGTGTAAAAGTAAATGACTTTCGGGGACAAAAGGCCACTAATGTCTTAGTCCACGACAACATTCGGTTTCCAAGAATCTGGATTACGGAACTGTTTCTAGATGTCCAAAATATGCGAAGGGAAATGGAAATACCTAAAGCTGTTTTAGCATTTTCCTAATTGTTCAAATTCATATAATGTACTATAGTCAAAAACGCCCTTCCATATAGGTGAAAATAAAGGGATCAAATGGCTCTCAAAACTCCAAAGTACCACCCACCTACCCACACCAAGCCTCCCGGATCCGCAGATTTTCCACTCATAACCAGGAAGACGCCATTTATCTCATGCCAAACCCCCTTCCTCACAACAGCTCATCATTCCCACTCGCAACGCTACTCTCTATCGCCGCGATAATCGCCCTCTCCTCAAACACGGGGCCCTGCCCATCACACTTAGCAACGGTCTTCAGCCTCTCACTTACAGCTCCCACGTCCACCAATCCCCGCACATACAAGTCATGCTTGATAATGTAATCCCAGGCTGCACCCGCAGCCAGGAGTCGTTCGCCTGTATCGCTCGTCACAATTCTATGACTAGGCACCTTGTTCTCATGAGCGTACAAAACCTCCGTGTAGAAATCCGTCGGGGAATAGCGCATAGGACCTGCGTTCGGGAGGGGCTCCGAACCACCACGAGGCTGCGCGGATGTGGCCTTGAGGATCTCGTTCTCGGTTGCGGTCTTTTGGAGCTGGAGCTTTAGCCGCTCGTTCTCTTCGACGACGGTCGCGGATTGCTTTTCCAGCGTCGCGAGCTTGGCCTCGAGGTCTTTGACGTGGCGTTCTTTGCGCTCGCGGAAGGCGCGTTGGCTAGAATAGGTTGGCTTGTTAGAGATGTAGTTTTTATATGAAGGGAGGATGGGCGTGGGTGGGCTTACGCGGCGCGGTTTTGGGCTTTACGACGGGATTGGGCGGGGGTTCTGTTGTCGTCGTCGTCGCTGTTGCTTCCTCGTTGCGTGGCATCATTGCCGTGGTCTATATTGTGGTCGAATCCACTGCCTGCTCCGGTGCCTATGGGGGGCTTCTGGTCGAGGGAGAGTGGCGTTTGTGGTTCTGCCAATGGAAGGGCATTGGCGTTGTAATGTTGCTGGTAGGCATCGAAGGTTTGGAAGTCGAAGTTCGAGGCATCCTGTGATCTGGGCGTCAGTATCTTTTGATCGTGCCATGGGATTGGATTTGCAACAGGGGAAGAGGCACCAACCGGTGGAGAGTTGTTGAAGTCATCCGAGTTGGCTGATCCACTGTGAGCTGGAGTTAATGGGAGACCAAGGAACGGATAGCCTTGTGGCGGGCCTGCGTTGAAGTATGGATACTCCATTGTCGTTCGTTATGGGGCAAGGCAAATCTGATAGATCGCTCTGGAAGGGTGACTGATGCTTATTTGATGCTTATTCAGGGCTTGGAGAGTGGGTTCTTGAGAGGAGACAGGTCAAATGGGGCAGGACAGTGATCGAATGGCGTTGAATGTATGTCTAGTGTCGGGGTTGATACGAGATAGTAACGTAGTAGAAGGAGGCAGGTCGTAGGGAGGTCGTAGGGTCGTTGGTAGAAAGGTACGTAGTAGTAATAAGACAAATAGTAGTACGAATCATAGAGTTACAGGTTACAAACGCTGGGGCTGGAGGGGGACGACGGATGTGAGGCCTAGCCCAGGCGCTTGTTGGTTGTCGATAAGCCTAACACTTTAAGTACATGTGTGTAAGCCCTACTATTGCTATTGTACCAGGGACAAGCTGCCTGGACATACGAGAACGAATATACTTATTGGATTATGAATTATAGTTTCATAAGTACGAAGGGCTCGCCCGGTGAAGTCAAAGGCGAGTTAAAGGCTGTTAGTTACTGGTAACTGGGAATTGGGATTTGACCACCGGACTCTTGTCTATACACATAATACTACGTGAGGTACATATCAACAACATCACTGACACCAACCGCTTAAGAGATCATCAACAAACAAACAACCGGGTTCTGGACCTGATCACCATCCTCACTCATCCTCCTCTTCGCCCCTATTCCCCATTCCGCGGGCTTTCCCATCGCTGTTGCGGACAGTTGCAACCGCATCAACTGCACCTGATGCTGCAAACGCTGGTCTTACCATCGATCCCTCCGGGCCCGACCCCGACCCATCCCCGACTGGAGGATTATGATTACTTCGTGCTTCGTATAGGACTCCAGGCGTGGCCGCTGAGTTTGAGGGGTCAATAATAACTTGGCTTTGGCCTGACTCCCCTGTGTCTGAGGGTGCTTATCGAGCAGTCGGTGGTATTCGTACATACCGCAAATGTACTCGTCCTGTAAGTAAGTGGCAAATCCCGTTTCCTCCCCCAGTCTCCTGGCGCTCCAGGCTACGCCATGCCACGGCCATTTCATGCTGTGCCGAGCTCTTGTCAAGTGGACGTGCTCACATTTGCTGCAGCAGCCCGCTGCAGATATTATGATTATTATTGACATGTCGAGCGGTGGCAGCGGCCTCCTACTCTAACTCGTCGAGCACCATGCCCTTTGCCCAGTGACCAGTGGCAGGCAGGCAGACCAGCCGCCTGCTCACGAGTTGTTGGTGCAATTGGAACGCGAGTGTCCGTGAAACGCCGTCATCGGTTCATCCTTCAACTCTCTCTAGGTGGAGGTGGAGCTTGAGCTTCCACTTCGCCGATCTCCTCGGGAAGTCCCGTCCAGAATACAGCACCGCTGATCCTCTGTCCCTTTCTCCTCTCATCCTTGTGGTTCATACACACAATACAGAGCCTAAGCGTCAATTCAGCAAGCTCTCTGGCCTTTCTCACGCTCGATATCCATCTCCATACCTGCGTCGAGCCTCCTACGCCGATGTATGTACGTCGACTATTCAGCCTATTATCGCACGCACCACATTCTGAGCACACCCTCCTCGACGATCCTTGAACCCGGAGTATTATTTTGCATTTCCCCAGCTAGGAGCTTAAAAATACAATACCATAGCGTACCCCAAGTAGGGTCGCTCGCTACTGTTGATACGGCAGCGCGAGGCGCACCGCTATCACTGAAGTGGGTGGTGTTGCGAAAAATGATTTCCCCTTTTTGTTTGTACTTGATACTTTTCACAAATGCGAGAGTGCTTCCAACCGAGACGCCTATACTGTAAGAGAAGGCTTTTCACATACAGCCAGTATATCCATATCACTACGCTTCTAGATTTCCCAAGGCCAACTCTAGATTTTTGGAAGAAAAAGATTTATATTGGTGTTCTCGAAAATAAACAACCAATATATTAAATCTCGATCTTCCCGCTCGCCTTACCAACCCCTAGTTTTACACTTGGCAATATATTTCACCTGCCCGCGGCTTATTGGATAGTTAGGATGAAACCAAGTGGTAGCAGAACATCAACTGTGTCACCTACTCATTGAAGGTATTAGTCCCCATGTATACTATGTTCTTGTACCTGTACTCCCCCCGCGCCACACAAGGAATCTTGTGCTTCTGGAATTTGATGTGCTCGCTGGTAGTTAGAGGGTCTCCCGAGGAGTTGGTACGACGGCTGCTGTGCTGCATGATTGATCACATATATGTGACGCATGACGTTGGGGGGGCGAGTTCTTCAGAGACGAAATGAAACACCCCCTATTAATTCATGCACCGGCAATCCCTGGCATATAGCCATCAAGACCTCTATATGCCGGGTATCCAACTATAAGGCCCAAAACGCCGTCGAGTGACAGCGGCATTGGTAGGTATAACATTCGTCTAGCCGTCTTGTCTCGGCCATTTAATAAACCTATAGGAGCTTAGTTATCACTGTGGAACACACCCACCATTTGAGCTTAATATCATCCCTCCGTATGGATATCCACATCACTTCCTTAGCCTTGGGAAATTTCCGTATTGTTCGTTGTTTGAAGATCACGTTGGAGAGGTCCTAAATAAGCACCGAAATGGGAATATTCCGTCATATTTATCTTGTAGTCGGCTTCTACAACTCTGTTGAATTGGGGTAGTTTGGAATCGCTAGCGCACACCCTTCTTAGGAATTCATTCTTTAGCCATTTTAAAACTGTCCGGATATGCTTTACCAATATTGGGCCTCCACTAAATTAAACCGACGAGTAACAGTCCTTGAGGAGCTCTAGTCGTGTTGCGGAACTCCTTTACGAGACTTGGGTGGGTAGGTATGTCATAGCGACTTCCTGCTGGCTACGTATGTAGCGTCAGAGCTCAACGACCGTTTAGTCATTTAATTCTTCTTATCTTTAGTCGCGTCTCCCTCGGGGTCCTCCTTGCTTCGTTGCTGGTAGATATGGCAGGACGATTGTCGCCCTCTGCCCTGGGCATAGACTTATATCACATCTCTCAGCGCATCCCGACTTTCACATTACGGCTCTCTGTAAAGGATAATTTACGAGGCTGGCTTAGAGGTTGTAATATTTCTGGCGAGTAAATCACTTTCCAAGCCTAGATTTTTCACAAGACAGCCTTATTCTAACCCATGTTCCTTCTTTTGGTGTACATGGAAAACAGTGACTTAAATCTTAGATTCTTCATAGCTTCATTGTCTCAAGCTCCAGCGGTATAATTAAAGTCCCATTTCGCATCTCCCCAGCCAAAAACGCCAGATACCCAATTCAGTTTATAGCTACCAATCAATCCCCTCCTGAAAGGTCTGCAATCGTCCCCAACCTCTTCCCCACCGCCACCGCAGCACCACTCCTCTTCGTGCCCAATGATGGCGCTCCGGCACTCCTCCCAACAGTACTCCCCCCCTCTCTCGCAGTCCGATTGACATTAAATGGACTGTCCTCCCCAGCCTTATACGCATCTAGCGTAAACAGCGTAGTCACATACAACACCAGGAATGATAACACAGCATCCACGTAACCCTGCCAATTAAACGGTCGCGCCAATGATGTCCCGCGCGGGGCCGTTCCACCTAGTGTTCGGCCTTGCGATGAGAAGGTCGGCTTAGCTGGCCCGGCGAGCTTCACGGCGTTTTCGATGGCGGTTGTCAGCCCTCGGGGATCGGCGCCCTTGATGGTGTTTATTACGGAGCCGGAGCGGAAGATTAAGAATGTCGGCATACTGTTACGATTGCGTCTGTTAGCTTTGTAATGGGGGGGAGGGAGGGGGAGGGGAGGGCGAGGTGGGACTAACGCTCGAACGCCATACTGCTGTGCAATGGCTTGTTGGCTGTCCACATTTACTTTGGTGAATGTTATGCGGCCTGGCTTGGAGTATTTGGTTGCGAGGGATTCGAAGGTTGGAGAGATGGTTTTGCAGGGGCCACACCAGTCGGCGTAGACTGAGGAGGAAGGGTTATGTTAGCTGTGTAGTGGTGGGTTGCGGGTGGTGATGCGCAGGAGCTTACAGTCTGTTATGACGATATTGGAGGTGCTCAGGATCTTGCTAAATTCGGCGGACGAGCCGATGCTTACGGTGGACGCCATTTTGTTTGGTTATGTGGTGTTTAGACGTGTTTGTCTTCGAGGAGGTTGAGGTTGGTAAGGATGAAGGATGATGGATGATCTGGTCCTTACCTAGGTAGATCCAAGGATTACTTATCGCCGCTGCGAAATTCTGCCAGCGCCTGGGGTTTGACCGCCTAAGAATTTCTCAGACAAACAAAATCAAGATTACATCAAATAGAGACAAAATGGGCAGAGGTGAAACAAATGCGAAAGTAAGTCATTTTGTTCATATTAAAGACCGCCCAATGCTAAATATGTAATTTCAGAAGCGCAAGCGCCTATCTGAGGCCAAAGCTACCCCGATTGCCAGCATCCCAGAACCCCCCGCCGCAGTGGCTGTTGATACTTCAAAACCAACTGCTATATTTCAGCCAACAGAAGGGAGAGATTGGACAGTGAGCGTTGCTCTTCCAGGAAGCATAATTGCAAAGTTCGCATTCCCAAGTCCAGACCCAAGGTTTTGTCCATTAATTATAATCTAAACAGTGCACAATCCCACGAACTTCGAACAACTCTAGCAGGCCAGGTCGCCCGCGCCCTATCCGTCTTCTGCGTCGATGAAGTCGTAATCTTTTCAGATGGCCACGGCACATCCAATCCGGCGAAGCGACATCATAACCGCACACATTCCAATTCCCACAGACCTGATCCCACGCAAGACGATTACACAGGCACATCCGACCCCGATCACTTCCTCATCCACCTCCTCAGCTACCTCGAGACCCCTCCCCATCTGCGGAAACTCCTATTCCCTCTACACCCTAACCTCCGAACCGCTGGCACATTACCCAGTCTAGACCTTCCGCATCACTTGAAGCCTGATGAATGGTGTCCGTACCGCGAAGGTGTCACGCTGCCGGGCGCAGATGAGAATGGGACATATGTTGAGGCTGGATTACGCATACCCGTTACAGTAAAAGAGCAAATACCGCCAAATACAAGGGTGACGCTGAAGTTTGTTGATGGAGCTGAGGAGGCGTCGAAGAACGCGAGTATCGAGGAGATTAAGGCGGAGCCTGTGAACCCCGATGAGCCTAGAGAGGAGAGTGGTTACTATTGGGGATTCAATATCAGGAAAGCGGGGTGTTTGAGTGACGTGTTCACCGAGTGTGCGTATGAGGGTGGTTATGATGTGACACTTGGAACGTCTGAGCGAGGCATTGATGTGGAGGATTTGCGGTCAGGGAGCGAGGAACAGAAGATTAATGGATTTAAGCATCTTATGATTGTGTTTGGAGGGGTGGCCGGGCTGGAGGTTGCGGTGAAGAACGATGAGGAGTTACAGAAGTTGGGCGTTGTAGACGCGAAGGATGTTTTTGACCGATGGGTTAATGTATGTCCTGGGCAAGGAAGTAGGACGATTAGGACGGAGGAAGCTGTGTGGATTGGATTGATGGGCTTGAGGAGGCTGGTCGTCAACAACAAATAACCTGAAGGACAAGTTCTTTCCTTGTACCCGCTGGCGTTTCTAGCTAGGTAGTTATCAACGAGTGATTTCTATATGGAACAAGACTTTGAAGCCGCCAGTAGCTGATCATTATGTGTTACGAGATCGTCTCAAAAAGTTTATCGCCCGACTGTACTTGTAGATCTGGTTGAATTGGATGGGACCTCGGGAGTAGGTCTCGGATTAAAAGTAAATGCATAATTGTTTAGACTTCAAGCTGTCTTGTGCCTGAGACTTATTTGCGGATGTTGAGGCAACTCTTAAGATGTTATGGTGGACTGATAAAGAACAGTCTCGTAGTTTTACATATCGGAAAGACTTTATTAACAGGGATAAAATTGACTTGCACGACTGAATAAGTAGGTAGTTAAAGGGGATCGGTATGCAAACGACTAGCACCAGCACCAGGGAGGAGTCTAGTATCCTAAACATACATTATAAGTTAATTAAATTTGATGGGATAAAGGAAAGGTTGAGTTTTAAACTCGTTCCGATAAAGCTGAATTTCCACAGGCCCAAGCCTTGGAAGGCGCCGACGTGCTGGGTCCACACCTTGAACCCTGCTTTTGGATCCTGGGACGCGATCATTGTAAACACTCTGACGCGCTCTACGTCCTCCCATGAACACTTGCTCTTCGTATATATTTATATATTGTTTAAAACGAGATGGAAGAAGAACCGGAGCCCACACTGCCACTACCAAAGCTGTCCTGGGATCCGCGCACCGAATCCTTCTCCAATCGGTCAAGAAAACGCGTCAGAAGTAGTCCTCCACCTTCTAGCGACCCCGCCATATTCTCCAGCGATGACGATCCCTCTGCGGACAATTACACGCAAGAACGACGTAAGAGAAAGTATCGCGGGCCATGGTATCACCAAAGGCCGGCTTCAGATGCTGGAACTCTAGACGAGCCTGAACAACAACGGAGGAAGGAGAAGCGAACGTTTGAAAGACAATATGACAGCGGGGTTTTCATGGGGAGTGATGGCATGTCTGATATTGACGAGCTGATGGAGAATGCTGAATCGTTCAACGCTTCCCCATTACCACTGAGACAATCTGGGCTAGTTCAGTTGCAAAAACCACTCCCGTCAGCTCAAGAAGTGGCTCAAAAACCGGCTCGGGAGAGGATAGAACGATGTCTAGAAGAAGGAGACGAAAGCGTCGAGTTATCGCACGTCCTCCTAATATCCTTCCTTACCTTACCTTTCTAACAGATTTATAGATCTCTGGGCCTTAAAACTTTGTCTAATGCCACTGTCCGACCCCTTGCTACATTTACTCGTGTTCCACCAACCGCAACAGGAGTGTTTTCTCAGTTGGAACCGAGTTTGAAACTGTTCTTAGGTGCGAATGCGCTTACATCCCTCCCCGGTGAACTTTTCAAACTCGAATATCTATCGGTCCTGAGTTTACGTTACAATTCTTTCCGCGAGCTTCCACCCGGTATCGGCCAATTACACAATCTCAAGGAGCTAAATATCTCACAAAACTCGCTTCGCTACCTGCCTTTTGAAATCTTGGAGCTCTTCTCGACCAAGAGCCGCTTAGAGAACCTCCAACTGCATCCAAACCCATTTTACGAGCCGGTATTCCCTCCTAATCAAGATGATGAGCGACGTCCTACGATTAGCCTTGGAAGCCCATCACGGACTCGTCCTCGCCGTGGCGCCATACTCTGCTTGTCACCGGATCCTAGGCGACAGTATTCTCACCCTCGCTGGAAGGTTACATATAAAGCTCGCACCGAGATCCGATATTTGGCCGCTAATGGGGATCTCGTGAAGGGGTTAATATTTCCAGACTCGGACCTTGAAGACTCAGATCGAGCACAGAAGTCTCTCCCAGTCGTGGATGTAAATGATACATACAGCCCCCCTCCTCCCCCAGGGAACTACCTATCACGAGCTCCATCTCTCCTAGAAGTTGCTTTAAACGCTTGTTCCCAAGCACCACAACTTCCAAATCTCCCCTCACTCCTCCACGAAGAATGTCCCTCCTACCTCTCCTCTCTCCTAGCCACTGCGTTAGCAAAGAAAGAATCGGGGGGCAGCAAATGCACAATCTGTCAGCGGAATTTCATCATTCCAAGAGTAGAATGGATTGAATGGTGGGAAATTGCAAAGATCTTGGATCATAAAACCATTGCTGGAATGGCGAGCGCTGCGAGTACGTCATCGAGTCCGTTAAGGGGGGCTGGGAATAAGAGGGATATTTTGGAGAGCATGGTTCCACTGATGAGGAAGGGGTGTAGTTGGCGGTGTGTGCCAATGAGCAATGCGGTGGTTGAGGGATGTGATGCGATGGATTTGGATGGGTAAGCGGGTTTGTAAATGCTTGAATGGTGTGCATATGTTGAAAGGAGCGGCATCGGATGGTATGGATTATGGTGGCATAGCGTGGTGTTTGGTGTACTTACTTACCATTATGGACTTTCTTGGACTGTTGTCTTTGATACTGTTGCATTATGCTTCGCATGATACCGCCCCTCAGTCAGGTCCTATATTGTTTTAAGCACCTGCAAGTGCAGACTCCATATTCTCTTCTACCGCCTATAATATTATGATATCCTCTCCCAGTCACCGCATGTTTCTCATTCTTCAAACCTCTTTTTACTGCCCCTCTAATATCGTCGGCGTATTATTTCATTTTGAATCTAGGAGTCTCGCTTGTTCATCCCTTTCTATTCCATGCTAATACCACCTGAAAATTTATCGGAGCCTCCTTTTCGCTATTGCGCTTGCGCTTTTCTCAGTCTTAAAGACTTACTGCATAACTTCTACTACTAAGTAGTACAGATAAGTCCCTGTTGTGCATCGTGATAAAAGCTCCCCGAGTTGGAGAATCGGATTATTCCTTGCCAGGCTACACTCCGCGGATAAGGCAGCAACCGGGGTGTCACGTGGTGAATCCTACTTCAAGTACGTTCGGGGACAACGTAACTCCATCCCACCTACTCCAGAGTAAACAATCTGTGTCTCCAAGTTAGAGCATGGATTCGAACAAGTCCGCGGCGATGTCGATGTCGTTGGCTGCAAAGCAGCAGCAGCGGAAAGCTGCCAGAAACCTGCGTGCTCCTCTTTCTTGTGGTCCCTGCCGCGCTCGGAAGTAAGCATTCCCCCTTTGTTCCTTATCCGCCAACTTTAACCCATAATCTACTAACTCAAGTTTCTTAAAGGCTGAAATGTAACCGCGAAGAGCCCTGTCAGAATTGTACAGTGAGGAAAGAGACACATTCATGTGTCTACGGTGGCTCCAGGTGTAACATCAGCAAAAATGGCGCTGGAGCTGCTTCAGTCATTCGACCCCTGCACGTCGAGAGTATGCAGAAAAGAATTGACCGGTTAGAGGCTCTTGTAACTAGCCTAGCCTCCAAAGGACAAGACCTTGGGGAGCCTAGAGTTACGCCTCCTAGGGACACAATGCCCAATGGATCCAAAACGGACACCAAATCAGCAGACCCCCAATGGGGTAATGATCATTCTTTTGATGAGATCCGCCATGGGGTGGGAGTAATGAAAGTCAGCGAGAGTCATTCGGAGTATAGAGGAACCACCCACTGGGGCGATGTCTTTCAGGAGGTAAGTATCATGCTTCTTATATAACTGGTCTTTGGTTTGTAGAGATGCGGGACTGACCGTGGCGCAGCTGAACGAACTCAAAAATGTATGGGGTCAAGTCCAAGAGGAACAGGATTCCATAAACCTGCATACAGCTTTCTCCGGCCCTGCCGGTGGACCTCCTTTGCTGTACGGCCCAGTTAAACCGGTTTCATTCGAGGAATTGCTTGCATCGGTACCTGCAAGGCCTGCTCTGGATAAGCTTATCGAGAAATTCTTCGACGAGAAGGATTCTCCTGTGCCGACTTTCCACATGCTACACAAACCTACGTTCATGCAACAGGTAAGCTCGATTGAAATTTATATAGTAGCAGAACGTAATTCAACGATCTATGGTGAGATGCTGGAGTTTATACGGGATTTCTTTCAACTACACACTTGCCTGATGTATTGAAGGAGATATGCACATCTTTGCGTGCAATCTCATATACCCCCTCAATCAACACTCGGCATAGTCAACAACGACTTCCGCTCAAATCAGACGGGTCATATGGCATCAGTTCGCTGCTGACAATTAGATAGTATGAAGAACATTGGAAAACCCCCAAAGCTACCAAGCCCATGTGGCTAGGACTCCTCTTCTCCGTGCTTAGTTTAGTTATGTTGTCATATCACCTGCTTGAAGAAGAGCCACCGGAATATGAGGGTGATTCGGATTCCTTATCTGAACTATATCGTTTGAGGACAACCCAATGCGTGATGTTGGCCGATGTCACTAAATGCGTACCCTATACGCTTGAGACACTGGTATTTAATGCAATAGTAGAACAAGCTCGGAAGAGCGATGGTGGGAATGGTGTATGGACGATGTTTGGGCTGATTACTCGCATTGCCTTGCAGATGGGTTATCATAGGTTAGCAGCTTGCGACGACCCTCCAAGAACTTTGCTTACTTCTATCAACAGAGATCCGTCGCAGTATCCAGAAATTTCCCCTCTCCAGGGCGAGATGAGACGTCGCGTCTGGTTCTTTGTCGTCCGGCTCGATGGTTTATTGTCTTTTCAGGTCGGCCTACCAAGCAATATCAGAAAAGAATTCTATGATACGGAACAGCCCCGAAATATACACGACTGGGAGTTATATGAGGGTATGACCGAACTGCCTCCGTCAAGGCCAAATTCGGAAGTGACACCTATCTCGTACCTCCTGGCAAAGAATAGAATTCTACGCTCCTTGGGGGAGATAGCTCACCTTCTCAGCGCCCTGGGGCCGTACTCTTACGATGCGGTTCTCAAACTAGACGATGACCTCGCACAATCTCAGACAGAAGTCCCCCCCTACCTTCAGATGCGGCCGCTCGAGGAATCAATGGACGACGCTCCTTCGCTCATTAATAGAAGGATACAGCTTGAGATTCTTTTTCATCAAGGAATGTGTGTTCTGCATCGGAAATTCATGGCACAGGGCAGGCTCGACGGAAGGTTTGAGCCTTCTCGCAATCGGTGTATTCGATCTGCCTTATCGCTACTATCATTGCAGCATTTTCTTTTCCAACAAGCACAGGCAACAACGAAAGATATGGTTCGGTCTACACGCCATTGGTATAGATTCTCGTACACGAGTCAAGATTTTATCCTTGCGGCGATGATTCTTTGCTTAGAACTACGACACAGAAGGGTGGCAGAAGCGGCCAATGTCCGCCTAACGCCCGAATCCGACGATGAACAACAAGGATCCATGGTGCTCTCTCTCCAGAAGGCTTCTCGGGCCTGGAACGTGGCTCAGGGGAGCTTGCGTGAAGCCCGAAAAGTTTACCGTGTTCTCTCCCACATGCTCGAAATGCTTGGAATTTTTGAGGATGATAATTCTAAGGTGTTGGAAGCCGCAGTTATAACTCCGCCCGATCCAGCGCAGTTACTTCCTCCTCAGGATTCTCCATTGTTCGTGGACGGACAAATCCCTGTCCCTGAAGCTGATTTTAACATTGACTGGGTAAGATTACACCACGATTAGGATCATCGTTTGCTTTGCTAACTTGGTTGTTCAGGCTATGTGGGATTCTTTCATTGAAGGAACTAGCTTCGATGATGTTTACGGGGCTATGCTCACCCCACCAACAACAAATTCCATGAATACGGGGAGTTTCCAGTTTGAACTTGACCAGTTGAATAGCGACCTGCCATTGCAAGGAGCTACATTTCCTCCAATCGAATAGAAAGCTTGGGATAAAATGTATTAGGCTTGGCCTCACCCCCTGTTTCCTCCTTAAACGTATATCAGGGGCTCGCAGCTCGAAGGGGATAGAGAAAAGTTCCGTCGGTTGAAAATGTCGGCATTTTAGTCGCCGCGCTCCGATCTATAACCCGCAGTTCCTCGTGTCTCTAGGTACCTTATTAGGTACCTAGTCAAGTAACCCAGTCCCTTTACCTTCTATATCTCTCGTGCGGTGCTTTTTTCCTTCTGCTCTTGGTATACTGTTCAAGCTGGCCATATGTGCTCATAAGCACTCTCAAATTCAATCGTTTGCCTTGTCAGGTATTCTCATCGCTTCCGACCTAGTATCATCTGGCTCTACCACACGCCGCCATGGGTTTGGCATCAGATAGTCTCTATTTTGCTCTTCATCCGAATCAGTTAAGGACTATATTTCAATGGTGGGTCTCAACCCGTATTCAGAATTCCTGCACATTTTGCAAGGTTGGCGAAGCTTGCTGACTAGAGTTCATTATTTGTTGTAGGAAACTGCGGCATAGTCCTATACACAAAAGAAACAAAAAGCACGAGTCTGCAACAACCAAGGTCTGCTTCGAGTTCCTAGATAAGACCGGTCGCAGCTTTAGCTCAGTCGTCAAGGAGCTACACCCTGAGCTACTATTGCCCGTGTGTGTGTTCTACCTAATACTGCGTGGTCTTGATACCATTGAGGATGATACCTCGATCCCCCTCGAGACAAAAGAGCCGCTCCTTCGAGACTTCAAAGATTACCTGGAGCAGGATGGCTGGAATTTTACCGGTAATCGCCCGGAAGAAAAGGACCGCCAACTATTGGTGCAGTTCGACAACGTCGTTACCGAGTTCAGGAATATGAAGCCAGTCTACCAAGCAATCATCATGGACATTACCGACAAAATGGGAAATGGGATGGCCGATTTCGCGCGAAAGGCGGCTTTCGGGGATACCAGCGTTAATACCGTCGAAGAGTACGACCTCTATTGCTGGCATGTAGCTGGTATAGTCGGCGAGGGTGTGACCCGCCTCTTTATCGAGGCTGGACTGGGCGAGGCAAACTTGATCAACCATCGTCACCTGTATAAATCGATGGGTCTCTTGTTGCAGAAGAACAACATTATTCGCGACATTCGCGAAGATTATGATGACGGTCGCCGTTTCTGGCCCAAAGAGATTTGGTCCAAGCACGTCGATAACTTTGACGACTTATTCAAACCCGAGAATCTCGAGCTTGCCCTTAACTGCAGCTCTGAAATGGTCCTGAATGCTCTAGGGCATGCGATCGATTGCTTGTCGTATCTTGTTGGCTTACGCGAGCAGAGCGTGTTCAACTTTTGTGCTATTCCCCAATCCATGGCCTTAGCCACGCTGGAGTTGTGTTTCCGCAATCCGGCCGTCTTCGAACGAAATATCAAAATTACCAAGGGAGATGCGTTCCAACTCATGGTCGAGTCTAGCCAAGATCTTGAGGGCGTGTGTGAGGTCTTTTGTCGTTATGTCCACCGAATCCAACAAAAGAATAGCCTCCAGGACCCTAATTTCTTAAAGATTGACATGGCATGCGAACAAGTCAGTACTCTCAAAGTTGTGGTTTGTTAGCAGATAGCTGACTCTGTTTAGATTGAGAAATTTGCTGAAGCTCTGGCACCACAAAGCGTCGAACTTGCCAATAGCAAGACTAGGAGGAAGGATTTGGTCGCCGTTAAGGGGCGAGGCCAGCGTCAAGCCGGCTTCAATGACGAGATTTGGTCTACTACTGGAGGAGTGTTTGGTATTTTAGTAGTCATCTCAATATTAGTACTAGGGGCCTCCTGGCTCATGGAAGCCCGCTTTAATCATGCCTGACCTCGTTGGTGCGACTAATAATATTAATAAGCTGCGACCTATACTAATAAGGTCGTCGCCAAATTGAAGCTATTCCCCCTTCTATACTTTATTACTTCCTTTTCTTGGTATCCTCGATCTAAAGCTCTAGTTAATTGAGCCACTTAATGCCTTATCGTCATCGCTGGTCAAATCTCTAGGTGCTCCTACCTCTAACCTTATACAACATCAGCCAGCCTACTACGTCTCTGCACGTCGCCTAACAGCTTATTTTATTAGCTCCCACGGTTGATTACAGCGGCAATTTCTTGCTGCACCGACTCGGTTGCGGCACACTCCTGCCTAGTTGCGCTAGTGTGATTCGATTTAGTAAAAACTAGGATTCGATATAGTCGGAGCCATCCCGTCACTCTACAGTCGGATATTTTATATAAATTGGGCTCTGTTAAGGGATGGGGGTATGGTGCTTTGTTTCAATAAGATTGCGATTATTCTACAATGAAAATGCTGTCTTATACTAGTCAAGTACGAATAAAGCAAGGACCAACCAAGGGGTAAAGTTGGTACGACTTCTTTGTAGCTAGTATAATCTATGTCCGGGACAAATCTTAAGTTAAGGCGTAGTAAATTCAAGTCTCCGATCTTCTGGCGGTAAAACCAAGTCCACCCTTTGTTCCTGTTCCACAGCCCTCCCCTTTCAAGGATTCATCGTTAACAAATTCTTAGCCACTAGAATTTCCAATCAGCAGGTGCTCGAAAACAGCTTTGTGACAATAGAATCCTTAGTCAGATCCATGTATAAAACATGGGGGACTCGCCTGGTCCGCCTCACTCTCATTATCATCTGGTCTCTACAATCTAAAGTATAGTGTGTTATATCTCGACTTCATCCAATGACTTCTTTATTTACGATCTCAGAGATAAATGATGAGTCCATAGACATAGATGCTGAGTGCCCAGAGATAGATGAAGACCCTATTGAGTATTCATCTGATAGCGAGACGTGTATGCAACAAATAAGAGAACGACTCGGCCTGGGTTACATGTTCTTCTACGGCACTCCCAGCTTGCTCGAAATCCTGCAAAATGTGATTGGTTTAAAATCCCCTGGTCACCTTTTCAGAGGAAAAGTGACGGGATTTAAAATGAAGATGTGGGGGATCTACCCCGCTCTAGTAAGGTGTCCAGAAGGGGTCGTAGAGGGGGTGATCTATCAACTTAACAGTGATGAAGAATTCCAAAAACTGGAGGCATACGAGACAGATGCCTATACATGGTCTTACTGTAATGCTTCTCTTATCGATGGAACGATAATGGAAAACTGTCGTCTTTGCTGCTGGGCAGGGGATCCTAATAGCAGTGAACTTAAGGAAGGAATCTTCGCTATTGAGCGTTACCTGGAATATCCCGACAAGTTTTGATCTCAAATTATCGGGGATGTGCCAGCATACAGTCTAGCAATTTTCTCGAACTGTCAGTCCTCTCTTATTGTCTAACATGCTTCTTTTCTTGAAATTTCGATACTTAGTTCATTGCTGATAGCCCATCATTTCTAGACTTGGGACTGGCCACTGTTTGAAGCTGGAGCAAGCCTTGCTGTAGTAGCTTTACTTCTTTAAGTAGAAATATATTAATTAATCTAAGCAAAGGATCATACTTGTGATTCAAAGTCTAGATATAATTCGTGCAACACATTAGATTTAAAAATTATTTAGTAGTCGTAAACTCTTTCATATCAAGTTGTTTATTAGAGATAAATATAGTTAGAACTAAAGCATAAAAAATGTGCCTAAAGTTCTTCAGATGGTTTATACCTGTATATGCCTTGACTTACACTCGACTCAGTCTCTAAGCCGCCAGACTTAGCCCAGTCCCTAATCGCAGGATTCTTTTATCCGCACAACAAAGGTAGGAGTAATAAACGCCGACAATAAACTTAAAGGAAGGAAATATGTCAAAGGCCGCGCTATGATGTCCCTGTTATAAATATTAAGACTAAACATAAATCAAGTAATAACCAAAGTGAACCAAGCCCAGTTTTAAACAGCGTTGTTTTGAACACTCTGTTTGTTTAACTGTATTTAAGATATTTATTTTCTTCCCCTATAAATACTTCCTATCTCTATACATTTCCGCAACTGCCATTACTAGCACCAGAGTCACCACCACAGTGACTATGCTATAACTAGTATCTTCGGCAGCAACAGTAGCAACAGCAGCAAAAGCAGCAACACCTGTAACACCCGTAAGCCCAGGATGCCCTGGAAACCCTGGAAGCCTAGGACGGCCTGGACGGCCAGGAACACCTGCAATACCTGCAATACCTGCAATACCTGCAATACCTGCAATACCTGCAATACCTGCAATACCTGCAATACCTGCAATACCTGCAGCACATGCCAGCCCAGAATGCCCTGGAAGCCCTGGAAACCCAGGACGACGTGGAACACCAGGAACACATAGGACAACTGGAACAGTATTAGCAGTAGTGCAAGAATCACCGGCCGGCGCGCTAATCTATAGCCAAAGTGGGGACTCCCACTATCCACATACCCGCATTTCAACTACGCCGCTAGATATCATAGAGTCCTATAATATGATATTCAATATCTTTATTGCCCTGATTAGCATGTTCTGTCTCCGGTGGGCTCTTCTGTTTATTCTCTACAAGATCGACCAGAACGATAATGAAGAGATAAAAAGAGAATCAAATTTGACGACCGCCAACCTTGAAGAATTAATAATCAAGTCAAACCCCCACCCATCTCCCCCCAGGAGAAGATCAGAGCAGAGTCAGCTCGCCTAAACTAAAGGATAGCGGGGTATTTCTTTAAGGGGTGGACAAGAATATATGTACTAGACGAGCAATTTTCATGGAGTTAAACTTTCAATCCCAATTTCGCATTTCCTTGAATAAAAAACTTACAGAGCTGTGAAATAACATATATATAAACCAAGACCGCACGCAGTATAGAATTTCTATCTCTAGCGATAGGAGTAGCAATTTCATAAATTCATTTCGGCGTTTATGTATTTCGTGATCCGATTACACAAACATATGAATTTCTATATATTTACAACATAGAGAGACGAAGGCGAATAAGAGCGAAAAGACTATAGAGGTTGACCGAGGTGGGAGGCGGAGCGTGAATGACGAACCATCGACGAATTGTTAATGGAATGGAACCTTCGTACGTACGAATGGAATGGTCGAAACGAAAAGATGAAAATGATTACTTCTAAGTTTCATGCGGAAAGATAGATTTTTCAAGTTCCAGCTTCTCTTTTACTCCTAAGACAAGATTAGTACTTCACTCAGCGATACCAGCGTAACAGACTCACTTCCAGTAATTTAATACGTTTCCCATCTCGTAGGTAATCCTAGAATCATTATCACCCCCACCTTCTGCTTGCCATCTCACGTTTTCATCCTCACCAGGGCCAGGGTCGCCACCATATTCAAGGAAGATCATAGCGGCCTCGATGTTTTGCTCCCGAATGGCGCGAGTTAAACCAGACGTGGGATCTGCACCGGCGTCGAGAAGAGGCCTAATAGCCTCTGTAAATTTATTGATGTCGAGGCGACCAACAGCCGCCAGAAGAGGGCAATATGAACTGTCACCCAGGGGGTCTGCGCCTTTCTTTAGAAGATGTGTGACGGCTGCGATATTCTTGAAGACAACTGCACAGTGTAGCGGTGACCCACACTCAGGGCCGTCGTGGAAATAGTAAGGGTTCCCCCCGTATTTTTCGTTAGCGTTGACGTCGAAACCATACTTCTCAATGAGATGGGAGATCATGGCTACCGTCTTATCAGTATCAGGGCATCGAGGGGCGTGATGCAGTGCAACGCTCCGGGAGGGGTCGGCACCACGGGAAACTAAGTGGTCGAAAAGGTCGATATCGCCGGTGGCTGCAGCGTTATTGAGCACTCCCGGCGTGCGATTGTATTCACTTTTAGCAAGGTTAAATCCGCCCGTGAGGCGATCCATAGGCTGGTTGATGTCAACTTCTTGGTCAAGGAGCCAGTCGAGGATCTCTCTGCAATCAACCATGTGTCTATGGTTGTGTAAGTCACCGGGTCGAATGCTATCGAACTTATAAAGCGGGTCTTGCTACTCACTCTAGAATTCTGTGTCCCTCAGCTTTGACATCAAGCCCATTTTCCGCCAGAAGCTTGAACATGTCGAGCGAGCGACACTGGCTGAGACAAGAGATGAATATGCAGCTCGCATCGGCCCCTTGCTCGAGTAGACATCGTGCAACATCTGTTGAATCTGTAAGAACGCTCCCAAGTAACTCTTCCGTAGCGTTGGTGGAGTCCAGCGGCGTTGTTTGGAACAGCTCTCTGATACGATCTAAATCCCCTGCATTGCGGGCTATGCGTAGCTCTTTTGCTGCTTCTTCGCGCGCTTTATATCTTTGCTCGGATTCGATTACTTGACGTATCTGATCTTCGGACAACATTTTGCTTGTCGAAGATCGTTGAGTATAAATTCAGAGACAGATCAAAGCTTGGATGAATATGAGATGAGACGGTTGAGAGTTTATAGGATCTATGCTGATGTCCTTCATAGGGTGAACTGCTCTGCCAAGTGATAGGAGTTGCAACGGGCGATAAACTTAAGAAACGTAGTGAAGTTAGCAAATAAAGGGAGCGAGAAGTAGCTGGAGAAGCATCGTGGCTGTGAATGAGCAGTCATACTTCGATAACCAACAATGTCCAACATAGGACGTGGCTGTGAACCAACTCGTGCCTGATGCGACTTGCATCGAGGCTTGCTTGTCTATTTGAAACAATAGATTCTGTCAAAGTTTGGGGGCGCAGAATTACAATAGGCTAGAATAAGAGAGATTTGGAACGGTCTTAAAAGTGGCTACAGAAATGATGTAGAACCACTGGCAGCACAACCTCGACGTGTTTACACCGTCGTCAAATAGTACGAGTACGAATACGAACATATTTCATACTCATATGGGGGAATAATAATCCGCCCTCTCAAGTTACGCAGTTTGCCACTTCGAAGCTATGCCGGACCTCTACTCCTTGTAAATGTACATGAATTGATATCATCGATACATTCTCTACCATTCCAGCAAGTTGTAAGGGGTGACAGATTATAAATAGCCCCATTGTTTGGTAGGGTCAACTGCCAGTTACTAGGATTCCATGACGTACTCTAGATTCCCATACCCAGATGAGCATAGGATTATCTACAAATGCATTTTGAATATCCTCGCTTTCTCTCGTAACTCATAGATCAACTCTCTCACTTATCTTATTAAGAAATTTCTTTTATCTGGCCATACACAAAAGAATTAATACACACTAGAACGAACCATGGGCACGAAGATTACCCCGCTAGGTATTAACACTACCGTTGCCAACCAGGCACAAAAGGCCATGGGAGACCGGCCTACCACCACAACCAACGACCCGAGGTATAGGCCAAACGAGACACAACTCACTCTGCAATGGTACGGCAACGCAGGTGAGATTACGAAACCAGAATACCTTGTCCATAACTAAGTCAGGTATCTCTAGATGTCCGTGTTGTTGAAGCGCCAGTTCCTGCGATCACAGAGCCTACAGACGTTATTTGTAAGGTCACCGGGACAACTATCTGTGGTTCAGATCTTCATCTGTATCACAAAGAAATTATGCAATTGCAGCGTGGAGATATCCTCGGCCACGAATGGATCGGTATCGTTGACGAAGTTGGGTCGGACATCAAGAATGTCAAGAAGGGAGACCGAGTTGTTGCATCTTTCCAAATTGCGTAAGTGACTGGCATCCGAGACATAATCGACGGCTTAGATCTAATCGTTTCTAGCTGTGGTACATGCAAGTACTGCAAAAAAGGGCTATCGTCGATGTGCGATACGACGAATTCTTCCTCCGTCCAGGAGAAGTTGTATGGCAAACCGTTCGCAGGCCTCTTCGGATACACCCATTTCGCAGGTGGCTTTGCCGGAGGACAGGCTGAATATGTTCGGTGCCCGTATGGCGATGTAAATCTCCTGAAGGTTCCGGATAGTGTTCCTGATGAAAAAGCGCTGTACCTCTCCGATATCGTTCCCACTTCATACCATTCAGTTGTCTGCGCCGAGGTCAGCGAAGGGAAGAGCGTAGCAATATGGGGAGCCGGTCCTATTGGATTGTTAGCTGCAAAGTGGTCTAAGTTGGCTGGAGCTCGCCGAGTTATTGTTATTGACAATGTCGAGGACCGTCTTGTATTAGCGAAGGACAAGATTGGCTGCGAGGTCATCAACTTCGATGGATATTCGGATGTTGTTGAAGCCATCTACAAGCTGGAACCAGACGGAGTTGACTGTGGTATTGACGCGGCAGCATTCCGATATACAAAGGGATTTCTCCATACCGTTCAACGCGCGATCGGTATGGAGACTGACAGTTCCGAGATCGTCAACGAAGCCTTGAGGGCCGTTCGGAAATTTGGAACTATCTCTCTTGTTGCTGACTATGCGGCAACGACCAACCAATTCCTGATCGGCGCACTTATGGAAAAGGGCATCACGCTCCGAGGGGCCGGCCAAGCTCCAGTTCATAAGTACTGGAAGGACCTCATGAAGAAGGTTGAAGCCGAGGAGTTTGATCCAACGATCATTCTCTCACATCGTTTTAAGTTTGATGAGTTTAGAGAACTCTATGAGGCTTTTGACAAAAAGGAATTGGGCATTATGAAGACGTTTGTCGAGACGAGGTTTTCTCGCCCACGCGCAGCGGGGACTCCAGCTCTTAGCTGTTTTAAAACGGGTGATGTGAAGCCTTCTACGGCTGTGGAGACTGCTCCTGCTGTGTAATAAAGGGATTCGTTATAAACTGTGTATTCTAAATTGTATGAATAGGTTATGAGAAGATAACGCATTTATGAGCGATGAGACGGTGTTTGATGTTCCAGGTTCCAACCGTCATCACTAAATGCGAGGAATCCTTGTGGGATTTCTGCTATTCTGTTCAATAAACTGGCTGCCTAGAAAGACTGGGAGATTTGTGTGACCTCATGGTGGAATTTAACATAGGCACTTTCGATAGCTTCAATTGAAAAATGGGTGGGAAACGGAATTGGGATGCCACTTGCACGAGATATCAAAATCTCACATACCCACTAACTCCAAACTCCTGTGCTATGCGTGAAGAATGCTCTTAATCCCAATCATCATCATTGTCTTCGACATTTGCCTTTTGCGGAGTCCCCCTGATCCCGCCCTTCTCTCGCTTCTCCTCCACCAGATCCTCCGTATCCCTTCGTCTCTTCATGACCCTCATATCATTGTCTCTAATAGCACCCACCTCGATCAATAACTTGTCGATCTCTGGCATGCCTATTCTAACCCCTCCCAGCGTCATCAGCGTGACCACTTGCTTGACAATATCACCCTTGTTGTAGACCAATATCGTCGGGCAATTCTTATCGGGATATCCCTCAATCGCCATATCGCCTCTGATCTGGCAGAATTTCACCTCGCCATATTCGGCGGCTGCCTGCCTCCATAGCTCCGTCAACACTCTACTCTCGACATTCGTGCCCAGCCCACTGATCAGATTTACCAGCACCGGCCCGGCGTTACTAGCTTCGGTGACCTCGCGCGAGTAATCTGGTTTCGACAGCGGATACACAGTGCCATGGAGAGCTCTCTTGGTCAGAGAAGCAAGCTCCTGGACTCTTTGCTGGCGGTATTTCTCTAGGAAGTTCTCGTCTTCCAAATCCTCCAGTTCATCTAGCTCGTCGAGATCCTTGCCTTCGAGTCTATTTTCATGTGCCAGACGGCGGCCTTCGAGGATTGCCTCTTCGATCAGCGGGGTTGGGGAGGGCGGCTTCTCTGGGATGACGCCGTGTTTGCGGAGGATATCATTCCTGGACTGGTATAAATATTGGGTTGGACGGGGTTTCTTGGTAGAATAGAAGGAATTACCATTCTGTATCTGCGTTTGGATCATCTATCGGGACCGAGATACGCTGATCCATCGGTGCAGCCATGTTGAGCAGTTTGTAGTTGTAGTTGTAGTTATTATAGTTTTGATTGTACCTGTACTTCGACCTGGCGTATCAACAACTACTCTATCCAACCCACCAAAAGGCTGCTGCTGCACCTGCAGCTCCCCGCTGCCTGCAAACCGAGCAAACACGCGGCCCTGATCCGCCGCGTTCCGTTGCAGGTTTGACGACACTTGGCACGTGACCCACACTCCGCGCGAGAAATTCGATATTCGCTAAGCGAAACCTACACTATTTGCCCAAATTCGTCCCCTCTCGACTCCCACCTTCAAGCATCGACAACGACTGACTATCGCCATCTACGTCCTCAACATTCCTGCAATCGACGAAAGACCCGTCAGTCACTTCAAATCGATACAAGTCTCGATCTTCAACCGTCAAGATGGTAAGGAACCCCGATCCCCCCCAGATACAGAGTGTAGCGGTCCCGGCAGCGCGGTGAAGGAAATTTGGCACACGACCTGGACAACAATGCAGCCAGCGCGACGGGAAAAGCTCCTGATGGAACCTCAACGCAAAGGAGATTTCGCTGGGGTGATCGAGATGGAATAAAGGGATCTGGGCTGGTGATGGAATGTTGCAGCACAAACGCTAACGTGGTGCTGTCTGGATAGGTTCTCGCCGTCGATCTCCTCAACCCATCCCCAGCCGCGGAGGCTCGCAGACATAAGCTCAAGGTACGCATCAAATCAATCCGGAAGCTTGGGAATAGATGGTAGAGGGCTCTGAAACTGACCATCACCCCACCAGAACCTTGTCCCAGCCCCCCGGTCCTTCTTCATGGACGTCAAGTGCCCCGGCTGCTTCACCATCACAACCGTCTTCTCGCACGCACAAACAGTTGTCATCTGCGCCGGCTGCTCGACCGTTCTCTGCCAGCCAACCGGAGGAAAGGCTCGTCTGACTGAGGGCTGCTCGTTCCGAAGAAAGTAGACGGATCAATCTTGTCTGCTTTCGTTGCCTGTTTCGGTTCACGCATTCTCGTCTTTGGCACATGAGGGGTCCCTTTAGAATCATGGCTCTCTCAGGTCTTCTGTGCGCATATATTTGGCGGATAGAAGATGGACATCGACCAAAATCCTTGAGCAAGTAAAGCAGCACAAAATATAAGGGCGTTTGGGAACTTCCGGATATCTTGCATCAAATTCTCTCCTGCTCCTTTCCTTTTCCTTCCGTGTGTATCCTTGAACCAGGTGTGGTGGATGTGTTGTCCTTGTATGCGAATACAAACCTTGCGTGGGAAGGGCTGAGATGGCGATTACCCACAGGAGTGTTTTAGATCTCTGCCTTTTGCCTTGTCCTTGGCATGGGCGGATTAATCTTTAATGCGAGGATGTGGTGGACTTATTCGAGGACTGTTACATACCTGATGCCGTACAACCATTGGGCTTTGTGCATTACGAAAATAAGATCTTCCACAAAATGCTGCCATGCATGATGTGAGCTATTGTGATCCTGACCAGCCCTTGCCATTGGACAGCCGCCAGGCGTTATCGAGGCGTGTAAGATGCAGTGTTTCACTCCCCACTGCTGCTGCACTGCGCCTACTAATAATACTGTATGATTTCGTAGTGTGATCTCGTAATGTATTTATTATTTCGTAGCTTCAAGGTGTCGTGGAGAATGGACTCCCCAATATCTTGATGCCCCCAACCAATCCTTCTTCGCACGCCAAATAGGACAAATTCTATTTGCCAATTCCAAGCCGCCACCCCACTCCAAGCTATTGGTACCTACGAAGTATAGAACAATATATAGAGTAGGAGATCTAAAGGCTTCAACAACACAATAGGTACCTATAGTTTACAAGCGCAATTTACTTTGAATATTTATATCCCGTTCAAATATAATAAGAGAGTAAATCGGCAACCGTCAAATACTTATCGCAAACGCTGTAAAACTGACCGAACGCGAAACCCCCGCGGCCGTGACGCGCGACCTCGGAGACCCAAGCAAGCTCTAAGCCCCAACCCCCAATTTCAATTTCAATTTCAATTATCCCACATTAGACTCTCCAATACACAATTCACCCTCCCGCATACAATCGCCCTGCATAAATACCTATCCAGTCTAATACCGAGCGGCAGTAATACTACGTATCATCCACTCAATTGCCCCTCGCTCAGCTCATTCAATACTCCTGGTTCCTTCACCCAGCGTATTCCCCACGGCGCTTCCCACCAACCTCAAGACATCACACTACTACATACAACTCCCTCAAACTCCACACATCTTTCACAGATAGACCAAACAAAATGGCACATACGCACCAAGCCAAAAGACCTTACAATGGTTCCCAGCCCTCAATAGCATCATACTTCCCCGCCAAAACCACATCCTCTTCACCGACCACCAGACACGAGCGCCGCTCCCCATCGCCCGCCCTCCCACAAACCGTTCAAGCCAATCTCCTGAGCGTCGGAATGCGCGTCCGCAAAAGCGTCCCGGAGGGCTATAAAACCGGTACCCAGTACTCAGGGTTTGGGCTATTCTCCACATCCACCGCACCACCTTCGCAACCCCAACCCCAACCCCAACGCGCAAGCCCAGCGCCGAAGAAGGAGGCAGGAGGACGCCCGAGAGCCCGGGAATTAACCCCCTTCTGTGGGATATTAAAAGTCGGTGGGCTGTCTATGCAGCAGTGGGGAATCTATGACAGCAGTGGTGTAGGTGGTGGCGATAGCTACGACGAGGAAGATGATGAGGAGGAGGAGGAGGATGATGATATGCCGGGTTTGAGCAGTCAGGGGAGTACGATCTCCGCTTCCAGCGTGGACTCTATTCGATTCGGAGTGCCTGGCGCGGGGAATGCGAATAAGCGGAGGTTTTTTGATGATGAGGATGGTGGGAATACGGAGCAGTCGATAGCTTGGGCGGGGAATGCGGGATTGGTGGGGGAGAGAGTAATGGCTGTTCCGCGGAGGAAGCGGACGGGTTCTCTGGGGTTAAGGAGAGCTGTTGGACAAGAGAATGGTAATGGGGAGGTGGATTTTGAAGACGCCGAGTTTTTAGATTATGGACTTGCTGTTGGTGGGGTGGAGGTCGAGATGGGCGGTGTTTGATTTGGAGGGGATTGGGAGGGTTGTGTATATATGTAGGGTGGAAGCAATGTGGATTGGGGTTTTATGGGATGGGAAGGACGGAGTTATTTGGGTGCTGCCGAATTACTGTTTTGCGGTTGCAGTACCGCCCTTGGATGGTGCAGGGTCTTCAATTCAGTGAGACTCAGATGGCTTTGGAGAAGGGAGATCCTGTAGAATCTATCCTGGTACACCTCAACCGGTGTGAATAGCACATGTATATTTCGATTTACCTATTGAAAACGCTTGATTTGCCGCTGCCTCTTGATCCATACAACTACCTTGCCCTGTATCTCTCGAATATCATCACGTTAGCAATTGGAAATCTAATAGGCTCAAAGAAGCTCAAGCATTAAACATAGAAATGAAGATAGCTCCAAGGTGTTTGCCATTGAAGCCCTAAAATAGCTAAAGTATATACAACGAACGTAATATCTCAGTTTCCAACTGGCCTGCCCAATCACCTACTCGATACCTTGGCAAGACAAACAGATACCGACTGGGACCATTGTTAGTCTGGGTTTGCGGTTACGGGCTTTGCTCGTTCTAGGAGCTAGCTGATGTTGCGGTAGGAGCAGCGGCCGAGGAAGCAGGCTTAGAAGCCTGCAGTTACCGTGACTACAACGGTGACTGTGCTCGCACAGGGGGTTTTGACTGGGGCAGCAGTTGGGGCAGCAGTTGGCTGAGGAGCAACGACAGACTCATCTACTGATGGTGCAATTTCAGTATCTGGAGAGGGGATAACTGCAGTGGTAGCAGGTGCCTCAACTAGGATGATTGGCTCAGGAGTAGCAACGACAGCCTCCTCTGCTGATGGTGTAGTTTCAGTGGCGGGAGAGGAGGCCGCTGTAGTGGTAACGGGCGTTTCGGCTAGGACCGCTGGCTCAGGAGTAAGAGTTGAAGCTGCGGGAGCAGTGGTAGCAGCTGATGGAGCAGCAACAACCGGGGACGATGTATCGTCATTATTCGCAGATGATCCGGCAAAGTTCGAACTTGCAGTCACACTCTCATCCGAGTTGACTGGTACGTTCTTCACAATAACCACTTCACCATCAGCACTAGTAACCTTAACGTCCACCGCGGCAGTTCCAAATCCGCTGGAATTCTCAAAGAAGTTGTATGTCTGTCTGCTGGTGCTTTGCCATGTGCTCCCGCCATCTGTGCTCACTTCCAGCTTGGCGACGGCTCTGTTGGCATTGACGACTTGCATGCTGAACCAATACGGTGACACGCCATCTTTGTTGTGGAGTTGGAGTGGGGAAGTGATAGGACAGTCAACATATGTCCAAGTGGTATCAATGATGCCCTTGGATGGGTCAGCGAGGGCGGAGAAAGCCTCAGGGAACAGATCGAGATGGTTTGTGCCGCAGCCGGGGCATTGATCGACAATCTGGAGATAGTATTAGAATGTTAATTGTTGAAGAGGAAGAAGGGATATGTGCCATGGCTGTAATAGAGTTTCCAGCCGGACCCGTTACAGAGACACATGCACCGCAGTTTGCCGAGTTGGCCCAGTTGGAATCGGAGAGGGCAGCGCCAAAAACGTTGGATGGGAGGGTATAGGTTGAAAAGGAGCAGGTTCCGCCAGCAACATTTCCACCGTAGAATGTAGCCTCTCCAGAGAGGGCTCGCTTCCCCATGACAGCGGCATCTGCCAGTGCCAGGAGGGCTGATACCGCGACTGTGGATGAGAAATGCATGTTTGTGATAAATATATTTGTGGAAAGAATCAATGTAAAGACTGGAGCGAGAGAGGTGTTTTCAAAACAGTTTAATATGGCGCAAAGAATGAAGATAAGGACTGGACGAAGACTGAGGCTTCTTGGAGGATGAGAAAAATACACAACGAGCGTGGGTGAGGGCAGAACAGGAAGAAAAACGAGGCGCTGGCCTCGAGATATAAGCTCGAATTGTAATGAAAGATCTGAAACTCAAATGCCTAAGCGCAGATGAGTAGACGCACACCTGCGTACCCGCTCATATAATATTGGTAGACTGATAGAGTCTTCTTGGCCCGAGTTGGTGAGAAGTCTAGAATCTCCGATATGGAACCATGGCTTGCTCCTGGCAATTTCCGGCAAACAAACGCTGCCCAAGACTTCAAGGGTCGAAGTGGGGAGGCTGGCCCTAACTGCAATTGGGATACGAGCGTTGCTTATCGATAGTTGCAAATTGCAATGAATTCTAATATTTGAGACAGCGAACGGAGCCATGGAGCGATAAGCGATGCTGCGATAGCGATGTTGAGAGAATATGTATCTGTTGTTCGTGGTGTTCCATCATCGGAGGTTTCATAAACTCGTTAGCCGATTTTTGTACGAGCAGGCACAGGCAACGAATTAAATATCTTCAGCACACGACGAGCACTGCAGGCGAGATCCAGAACCCACTGTAAGAAGGACGTGTGCTACAGCCTGTGGGCAAGCTTGCCACATTCCATCACCCATAATCAAAGGCAGTTCTTCAAGAAAAAAGTAATTGTGAAGGAAGTTGGTGAGCAACTACCACACGAATATTTCGGCCCGTTTCATGTTTCCGACGCCCTGATTGAAAAATTGTTTCTTTCCGCTGCACGGATCGCTGTGATTTTCGAGTCTGTTTACCCGAATGCTCTGCACGGCGGGAAAGGAGGATGCTGAGAGATATCCTGAAGCTGAGAATCAAGATGGCGCTGATGGGAGAGTTGTAAGTCTTCGGTATCGCCTTGCCACACTATACCGCATGGCGCCATGCACGGGACCTGGCGACTCCATCGACCAAGATAGAGAAGATAGAGAAGCAAGGGACTATTTGCTCTAAGGGCAAGTTGATATCCCGCGGAAGGTCAGGGATCATAGATCGAGTGCCCGTCCGGCGATGCTATCAAATCGCCATGGCCAGGTTTCCGAGCTGCTGAGTGCCGTCGAGGCATGACGACCGAAATCCAGATTTACCAAAGATTAGGTCCTCATCCGCGCCTGGTGATGATGATCGAGTGGAAACTTGACGACTGCTGCCTTACTATGGAATACATGCCTAATGGTCATCGTAATGACTATCTCCGCGCCCACAACGACGAGATATCCACGACCCAGCGTCTTCAGTGGATTCAAGAGGCGGCCGAGGGACTACAACTTTTGCATTCGGCCAATGTTATGCGCTCTGATGTGGAACCAAAAAATCTCCTGTTAGACGCTGCCCTCGGCCTTAGAATTGCGGACTTTAGTGGTTCTTCATTTGAAGGATCAAAGGCATTAGCACGGGTAGGGACAAGATTTTCACTACCTACTATTACCTTCAATTCCCCAGCGACGATTCAGGATGACCTATACGGGTTGGGTTCCACGATATATACCATAATGACTGCCGGATACCCATTTCAGGAACTTCCTAGCGATAAAGTTATAGAACGATGTAAGGCTCATGAATTCCCCGACGTAACAGGAGCAGCCTGTGGTCCAATAATTGAACGCTGTTGGCGCTGCGAAGTTGCATCTGCCCAAGAAATATATGACTTTGTTGAAGCAGAAACAAAACACACTGTGAGTCCTGCCAATTATACGCATTGGCAATGCCAAGGCGTGTCTACTAACGTCACAGAGTAGAGCTATTATCATAGTATTGTAAGTCAATCTCGACTCTTTGAGTGGCTGGAGTACGGTAATCGAGAACTTCTGAGATCCATCGTTTTGCTTCATCCATCAAGGAAATTAAAATCTAGTCTAAAAGTCATCTATAATGAACTAATAATCAGTGCTATTTTATTTGACATACCCCATAATTTCCGTCTATCCTCTACTGTTTAGTACGGATGTTCTAGGTTAAGAGATGTATGATATTGGGGAGCCGACAGAGCAGCTTAACAACGCAAAAGCGGGTCTTAATCAGCAAGCGTCTGAGTTAGAAAACTAGGAGCAGTTTATTTTGCATTGTTTGACAGTGGTAAAGGATATCCTGAGACGACTTAGCCCAGGGGAGAGAGCTACTCTTGTTATGGAGATGGAAACTGGAAACTACCCCGAACGAGGAGACTTATGGCGATAAGTCGGATCCTTCTATTGGAAGTCATGGACGGGGCAGCAAGGGCGGATAACGCTTTACTGGCATCGAGTAGTATCCGGAAACGAAGTTTGTTAGGGCCACTGTTACAGGTGACAAATGTGAGCGAAACAAGCTAAAACATTAAGGATAGCTAAAGCTAAACTAGTGCTTCAATATTTACAAGCTAAATGATTACAAGTTGATAAGGTTGAACAAATACTCAAATATTTACATTCAGGTTAGATATTTTTTGTTGTAGCCAACAATAGATTTAGCAACGGCAACTATACCATGCATCGCCTCCTAGGCTATCTAAGTCCCCCTCAGAGCCCCTGTGGATACCCATCCAAGACCCTTAGATTATACAACCTTCCAAGTTCCGACTCCTAATCATTTCTCATGGAGCCAATGCAGAACATTTCCTTCAACATAACGCCTTAAATTTTTAATGAAACTCACCATCCAAATTGTTCCAAATGTAAATCGATGCTCGGACCCGAGACGGTGATGGCCTTCGTGGCGCTCCGTCTCACATCCTTCATCATGCCAAGCGGCCCACAAGCTGCGATAACAATTCTCTCCTCCTTGCTCGATCCTGCAACAATACTGTTGATTATGGCAGGTACATCTGGTCGGCCTGTTGTTATATCAAGAGACGTTGTAGAGTCCCATGGGGTGGCTTTCACCTTAGCTGATCCTACTTCTTTCTCGGCATCGGTGTCGGGAATATCTTGGGTGTTGCTCGACGGGGTGATGGCCGAGATTGGGAAATCGGGCGTCTTTTCATCCTCGACCCGTGAGGTTGGGGTTTGAGAGCCTGTTGAAGCGGGTGGTGCAGGGAGGGTTGAATAGATAGAAACATTAACGCGAGGTGAAGCCCGAAGTTCGTTCAATTCTTTGCTGAACCAAGTAAGTGTATCTACACGAGACGTTAGCGTTGGTGGAGAGAAATAAGAGGTGACCAGAACGCACCTTGCTCCCGAACTGACCACACAAAGTCGATCGTGGTCTTGCTCGATTCTTCAAGCCTCTTAATCGTATCCAATGCAACACCGAAGGTAAAGGACGCACCACTTCCACCAGCAATAAGAACTATTTTATCAGCGACTTTGGCAAAGCTTGGCAGTGCACCGTAGGGCCCATCGATCGAGGCTCGAAGTGAGATGCCTGGGTGCTTCACCGCATATTCGTGAAGCTCATGAGTAAAACCATCATAAGCAGAAATCACCAGTTCCAGAGATGTAGGGCTTGTGCTGACAATGGTGAAAGGATGCGATTCGAAGAGGCGGATCTTTGGGACCCACAAGAAGCAATGAGTTCCAGGCACCGCACGGGATGGCGACCGGCGTAACACAATTCTTGTCCCTCCTCGAGGCAAAGGAGTGATGGTTGCTCGATTATCTCTGCTGTTCCACAGGATCCTGGTCGCCCGAAGGATGCGATCACAAATCCACATCCCTGCTGCAACGATGGGGATAATGACAGTTTTCTTCGCAAAGTCCGGTCGATGGAGTGCAACGTTGATTAGTATGAGCATGTACATTGTGACATGAGTGACGTAGAAAACTTCGTATCTCAGCCTCTTCATAACCAAGGCCACAAAGAGGATCGTCAACATTGATACTGCAGCAATAATCCCGGAGATTTGTTCCGGTGCGATTAGCTCCTCAAGCTCATGGAACCCGTCGAATGTGACGCATTGGAATATGACGTGAAGGAGCGCACATATAATCGTGGTGTAGCCGGCGATCTGGTGAAGGGGGTTGAGAGTCTCATAAGAATACGACGTCAAAAATGCCAGCGGCGTGTTCTTTAGACCTAGAAAAGTGAGGAAGGCAATATTTGCCAGAGAAACCCTAGATTAACTTAGCCGATGCACTATATTACAAATATACTTATCACACTCACCAGCCAAGTCGTTTTGATGCCCCGAATACAGTAGACTTATCGATGTTGGTGGCTACTAGCACTATATTGATACCGATATAAACCACAACTACAACCGCATGGCCTACTGATTTAAAGCCAGGCGCTGGATGGTTGAGAATCTGTCGAGCCAATCTGTGACGAAGGTTAGTAAGTGATTTAGCGGATTAGTGTATAGGACTCGCCTGGCCAAAGCGACATTCCCCCTCATGATCCCAGATTCTTTCACTGATTTGGATGCATAGCGGCTGTAGAGAAAGCGGCTCCAATTGAAGATCGAGAACAACAAGATAAAGCCACACATAGCGGCAGCGAAATACTTGGTAGACTGCTCATTATTATGCTGTGCGAAGGCTCTTGCAGCCATAGACTTCTTGAGCGCGGCGGCAGCAGCAGCCGCAGCCGTAGCATTCTTAGGTGCAGAGGCAGGGGCGACAGTGTTGGGCGCCATTTTGAATGTGTTCAAATACTGAAAAGTCTCTAGGGCAATACGAAAGGAGAATTCGAGATGGGAGAAGGATATATAGGTCTAGACCGGCTATGCCTGGCCAAGCCATTATACTTGTTTCTTTTGAACATGACTTGGTTATCCACTTCGCTGGCGGCAATATGGATAATTCTATGATCTGCAATTCAACAGAGGTTACTCATGATACGTGAAGGCAGGCTTAGAATCGGCTATGCCAAATATCCTGTTTGGTGGCACTGTATCCCATGTCACGGGAGTTGCCCAAGGGCTGGCATGAAATCCGCAACTCTCCATTGAGCAGGTGCACTCGCTACTATGGATAAAGGGGCTCGTCTGTATTGATATCACGGAAGATGACAAGAGACTTACAAAAACGAATCGACCGAAAAGTTTGGAACCGGCGTACCAGCTGATAGGTTGGCACTAACGTAGCCCCAAAAAACGATCCAGTAGAAATAGGTTCGGAAACTGGCTAATATAAACCAACCCGGACCTGACTTACCGGGGTCCTGGGGAAGGCGACCACGGTGACAGTTGTCCCCCTTGGGAACGCGAGTGGGGCCACGAGACGGAGTACCAAACTTTCATCTTCCGATGAATCGCAGAAAAAAACAATGCAAATGAGACTTCTCTGATGCATCGCCATGTCCTTCACGTCATTCTATATATCGACCGCCAGGATTGTCACTGAGGAAACGTAGCGCGGACGCTCGTGTCGCTATCGCTCAGTTGTCGTCGCGGAAAATACCGACAAAATGATCCTGTACGGTTTTAAATTGCGATAAACGCATGTGATGCGAGTCAATTAAGACAACATGGTGGAATCTGGGGAAGCTGTGAGGTCTGGTAGGCGAATTCCAAATACCGAAGAGGTAATATATACTTGGGGCGCCGCTCCGCTCCGCCCACTGGGGCAGCTGAGAGGCGACGGCAGACGCGTGACGCAAACAATAGATATGAAGTAGTATGCGATATTATTAGTCGTCCCGCCAAGACGACACCACCGTCGTATGGTATTCGTGGGGGACGTGGGCCAGCGGAGCCTACAGCCGTAAAGACGGTCGGGCAAGTAGGCGTTGCTCGCGTTCGTCTCGTCGAGTCGTAGCAAGATTCGGGTTCGGGGGTAGGGGGTAAGGATGCTCAGAGCGGCTGTTGTGGGTGTGAAGCGGTGGATGATTGGGAAGATTGGGAAGATTGGGGATGATCGGGATGAAGGGGGATGAGGATGAAGGAGCTGAAGGACGCTCCAGCAGATATCTGGATCGGGCTAGCTCCGGCAGAAGTGTGGGGTGCCGTTGCCGTTGCCAAGAACAAGATCTTGATCGCGAAACATATCGATCTGATAAGATAATGTCGAATACTCTCATTGGATTACCAAACGACCAGCAGGGCCGGGGGGCTGGTGGCTCGGTAACGTCAACAAACACTTGGTGAAGTGGCGATGTCCGTCTCGGCAATCCTTAATACAGTTGTTCCACAGTTCCACAGTTCCACATCGACAGAAAGCTTACGTAGAATGCCGGTGCATCGCTACGTACGATGTAGAGTAACTTGCCAGGAGGAACGGAGGATGGTTCGTGCCCTCTTTTGGCGGCATTATTACGGAACCCCGTTGAAACGGTCTTCGTTAATGGCACGCCACCGTCGTCCAACCTGCGCGCGCCGGCTATTTTGTTTATCCAGGGGCGCCTCTCCACATTCCAAATCAATAAGCTTTCCGGGGGCTCCCACTATAACAGGCGAAGTGAAAGTGGAGAGATTTTCGATTGTTCAACCAGTTTGATGGGTGTATATTCTCCGAGTCTGCGTACTGGTTCTAGCGACTGTGTAAGTTGCGTTACCTCATTAGGTGGCCCCTTCGCGTGGTAATCTGTAAGCTGTGTCCCCCGAGTTGCTAATATTATAGCTTCATGCTCGACATCTGTATGTGTCTCGTCAGATCTTGGGAGATCTGACAATGCAGGTCTCCTGTTGTAGCCGCTCGCCCGACTCCCTGCGCCGATCAGTATCCACGTTCATGACATTCATAAGGCCATATATTCAACCCATGTCTGCCTTGATCGCCGATATCTTCTTGTTCATCCGGATTTGATATTAAATTATCACGTCGGTCTTAGAGGCCATCCTGGTCTGGTGGCGCTGGCTACATGCCGAAGGAGCAGGCCCTCAAGGGGGCCCAACCACAGCTTTATCTTGTGGGGCTCAAATAAGAAAGCAGTACTCCCAGTACAGTTTTTAATTCTGAACTAGTAGCAAATTTTAAGTCTTATCTTGAAACTTGATGCGAAAGAAATAATTTAGCAATACTAGAATGCTCTAGAGTCTAGCCTCTAGCTAGTAAGCCATACTTCTATGAACATTTACGATAGCACAAACAATCATAACATCACAACAGAAATCCCCGCCCCCGAAAATCCTTTGCCCTGTCACTCCCCCTTTAGCCTTTACACGAAAGGCAGGTTACCAACTTTCCACTGCACAACACAAGGAACCGCCGTGGGGACAGAAAATTACCAGGAAATTACGCACAAAAGCCAATTGCAAATTAGCAATAGCAACCCTTATAAACCAAGGCACTAGTCGAAGTTAAAGGTACATATGACGACCATACTTGACATCAGTACTATGCCCGAGAAGAAAACTACGTACATAGCTCTTGGTATGGCGAGCTTGAACATTTGTCATTCGATCAAGGGGTTGGGACTCGGAAACTCCTGATTTGGCTGGTTACGAAACACAGGAGGATCATTTGTCATGGGAAAATATTTGTCACTTTTAGAAGTTGAAGTATTTGACATATGTACTTCGTAGTCTGATGTAGAAGTAGGTCCCAGTTCTTTCGGCAAATACCCATTTGTCATGGTAAAGTAGTTGCCACGTTTAAAAGTAAATAATCGTAATGGGTTGTTTTATACAAATTAAGGTAGTAATGATTTGTATCTGGAATAATAGAAGCATCTAGGGGGTCAGGGCTATCCGGTGGCTTTAGCATTAACTGTGATCTCTGGTTGGCCAAGGGGCAGCAGCACAAGTGGCTTCGGCATCATTAATGAAAGGGGCCTCGGGAGAATCGGGGATGCAACTTACGGGCTTATCGCCCTAATAGGAAACTGATCTCGGCGTTTGAATCGCCATAACACATGTTAGAATGATATAGAGCGGTCTAGACTCTCGATTCCAAGCTTGTTGGCAACTTATTTTGAAAAATCTTCAATTAATGCCAAATACAGTGGCGTGATAGGGATTTGACCCCCATATTCCAGTTCGATTCCAGTATCAGATTCATGAATGCAACACGCAGACACTCCAGCAAAGCTCGAGAACTGCTTCGCCGATCGTCCTGGTCTCCTTCCTGGCCCGGCAATTAAATAGCCGCGGATTCTACATTGTGAAAGTAGATTAGAAACATTACCCAGAGTTCCTTTGGGCAGAAAAGCAATATTACGGGCATTACCCATTTCCCCGCTGTGCTACATGCTCCCTCTGTGAACGAGGGCACTGAACCGGGTCGAAAGTCGAGCATCTGACTTTGCTGGTCTTTATCGTTTTTCCATCTTCCTTCATGCTATACCGAATGTCCGAGACCTAGGATAAATTCAGCTCCGCTAGCAACGGTGGCGACGATGAACGCAGTGGCAAGAGCAGAGCCATAAACTTGGAGAACCTCTCTTACTAGACTAGAAGGTACGGCATAACGAAAATTTCTAACTTTTTGGGCCATGCTAACTTCTAAGCCACTACCTAGACATCAGAAGAAGATAATTAATGAGCCGCCCGTAGGAATATCGTCGGTCGAAAGCACATTTTGGACGGCAAGATAGGGCATTTGCGTTGCAATCCCGTTCCCAAGAGCGAGGACGGCCTTATATCCGAATCTATCGTGCCTCTATCGTGCCGCGATACTCGTAATCTTCCAAGTATATAGAATACCGCAGCTAATGGTAAAGATTGAGGCTCCTATCCACACGAATGGTATATAAAATCCAAAGACTGCTGTGAAAGTGCTACTCATGGACAAAAATGGCGATAGGCGGATGCCGTAAGCCAACGTCCGAATCCCCAAATTCCATTGCGCGACGCTCGTGCCATTGAGGGCTGGAAAGTGGCATTAGCTTGGAGCTGCCGTACGTATGATTGATCCAACCTCGAAGATCGTAAGGACAACGACGTAGGTCGACTTGGCATTGATAAATATATAGGCTCTCTCGAATACTAGTTAAATGATAATGAATTAATGAGGTATAAGCTACCGTAAAAGCCAACATCATCCAAGCTGCCGAAATCGCCGTTGTTGAAAATAGATGTCAACATTTATTCATAGATTTGTCCCTGACTTGACATATTTGAGAACTATAATTTATCATGAGAAATGCACAACCAGATAATGCTTCCGTCCAACGCAACTATAAATACTCTCGCCATCGAGGCCAGCACAAGTAGAATCAAATGAAACCACTGAAATGTTGACTTTCATTATCTTGGGTTGCGTCTGGTTCTAGTATTGCTGGGTTTCTTTCGCTCTCTGCGATGTTGTCCTTGAAGGGGCTTTTCTCAACCGCTTGGTTTGGCAAGTCTGACATGTTGCAAACTTGCACTGCTTGACCACACTTGCAGTCCTTCCAACAATTTCTAAGTTCAAGGATATAGCAAAGAATTACATGGTTTAACAGCCAGAATCTTGACAGTGTTAGGCAATCGTGCAGCCGGCCACCAAAGCAATGGAAAGTAGAGGACAAATATGATGTGGTGGGGTGCATCCTCATATCCTCATATCCTGAGTATCCGCTGTGTGTGCATTACATACAGAGCAGTATGATTGCCTAGCCCTCCTACGCCAACTGTTGAAGTTGAGGTAACGAATAAAGCATAATTCGTCATAACGAGCTTTCAGGCGCGGACTTAAAAGCTCCGATACTAAGAATGCCTTTCTTTGTCCCTCCCAATTCATCATGGACTACACCACTAGACAAATTTCATTCTTCAGACAACGGGTCCCCTGAATTCCTCCTATGCAATATCCCAATAAAGCTGATTGTACTACATACAAATTTTTCTGATACTTACCTCCCTGCCCCGTCAGCCGGCGTCATTTCCATCTGTTGTATATGGATTGACGGTCTTATCGGACATGGGCCTACTATAATCCAAAGCTTCAGCGATATCAATTGTAGCTCTAAGGTCCCCCAACGACTATAGAGTGCTATCAACGGATCTTGGAATGCAGCGAACTTTTAAACCGTTTTGCTATACGACACGAACTAAGTTATTAAAATAAATGGCCAAAATACAAAGCGCAAAAATAAAAAACATACAACAGCAGGTATTCGCTGGTGGTCACCCACCCAACTACTAATCTGCCGATCTGAGGCTTGTGTATGGCAGAGCGGACGGGATGCCCATTTCTCCTCAGTCTATGGTCGTATGTGACAGCTATTTGCTAATATTAGTATATAGAGACTAGAAGTAAACCTGTGTGTTTTACTGAGGACGGGATGATCAGGACCATCCGGTGCAGGTGCACTATATTGGATGGATCATCGGATGGGTAGCTTAGTGAGTGGCCGCGAATCCTGTTCAGTAGGGGCAACAGATCTACCACAGGTCAGTGTTTCTCCCTGCGATGGGTGGTCTTGGGTTAAGGTGGGGATTGCGTCACTCTAGCTTCTTGGACTTGTGGCAACATGGTTAAGTAATCTAATCGTCGAACAGGACCACCTGAGCAGGGTGCGCTATAATATTAAACTAGCTTCAGTTAGAGTTTATCTGTGTATAAATAAATATCTCTGTCTTAAGTAGGGGTTAAGTGGTTATTCTTAATATACAAAATGTGAAACTTCCAAGATATTTCATGTACCTCATATTAATAATTGCAAAATCCCGACTCAGTATAAACACATAGTTCGAGAACCTTTTATAATAGTAAATGCATGATACGGAAGATCTAGCATCACGTCACTCCGTATAGCTGCACCAAAGCGGCTGGAGCGGTTAATCAATAAGTCAATCAATGACTCAAACTTCTAATTCCAAAGACCAAGACCCTGCCTACTCAAATGATCACCGTTCGCGCCACCTATGTATTCTTCTCCAACACGCAATGTTCTAAATTGGAATCCTACTGCTTCGGAGCTCTCGATCTGCAAATCACTCCACCTAAAATTTAGCGTTAGTAAACCGTCTTCAAATGTTTGGAGACCTTGGGGTACGAACAGACTACACAGAAGTGCTAATGACAAAACGCTCTGATACTGAAAGCCTTTTTGGTTCCAAGGCAAACTTTCGTTTTTGTGATTTGTGATTCAGCTCCTGTGCAGTCGTCATTCGCATAAGCAAAAACTGCTTAAAGTTAGTGAGCTTCTAATAAATTATAATATTATACATACTACGACAAGTATCAGTAATCTTATCAAGAACCAGCCATCTGCCAGGCAAGTAATTGCATCCTTCATCCGAAATTGTCCAAGTCCATTGGCCATCAGTGCAAAAATGTTCGTCCCGTGATGTTGTCAGTCTGAGAGCAATATCCTCGGATGCTATAGGCATAGCAATTGCAAGGATTGATAAGAGTGTTGATAAGCGCATCGTAAGTTGAGGTTGAGCTTTGCTTCTTCTGTTGAAAGGAGTTGATCGGATATCGTGCTGGTGCGAGAACAATACCTTTTGTTCTCGTGTAATATTCTTATACTTTTTGAATGAAGTAGTCTAACAAATCGGGAGTCCTACCATGTTCATTTTCTGCCCATGCTGCTGTGTATTGTTGGCAATGTAACGAAAATGTAATGTTACGCTCAGCCAGCCACAGTGAAAGAAAATAAGCACTAGTTACACCGTACTGTGAGCTGCGTACATACTTTAAAACAAACACCTGTGGTTGGCCCAAATGTATCAGCATGATGTACTCCGTACAATATCGTACAATTGTATCGGCCAACGCCGGGAGAGTTGTTTATTATTGTATCCCCGCACCTGTACCGGAAGAGGTACTGTGCTCAAATAAGCTTATTCTAAGTGTGCCCTAAAGACGTGATCCTGGGAACTAGCGCATATAGTTGCGCTATCTCCACAGTCTCTCACTCATCTTAGTTATGTAAAACCTGTAACTTATATCCATCGGGCTTGGCTCCATTTCCCGGCTTGATACAGTAGTGCTTGATTTATTATGGCTCTACTCATAGTGTTACTTACTATGGTATACTTCAGTACTTCGGCTACTTGGCTTTTTGGTTTATCGGATATGCACGGCTGGCCAGTTATCAATGGCGAGCCCTGTCATCCTCTCAAGTGCTCAATCCATGATGAGCTCTTGGCGGAACCTTGGCGCTTATGATAAGTACTGTACAAACCAGCCCTTTCAACATTTTCGTATTATGGTATTATATCAGACCTGGTTATGCTGCAGGGCGGCTAATTAACTCTCGCGGCGTCGCCGATATAACCGTACGATATATACAGCTAGCTGAGATACATAGTGGCCAACTGCAGGTGTATGGGTTCGTTTTAAAGTACACAGCTTACAGCAGGGCCTTTTGTTTTATTTAACACTGGCTGGCTGTACAGGTTGTTTTTGTTCAAGCGTTGAGGGATCGTTACATCGCCAAGAAAAAAAAAGCCAATGAAAGAGACCAAGAACATACTGTTCCTGGTATAGCAGACTCGCTATACGATAAGTATAAGAATACTATACTAGAACGCAAGATACTGTTCTCATCAACGCGACAACCCATCAACTTATTTCAGCAGCAAAACCACTCACCCCTCACAATCGTCCTCCTCTGCAGCAGAATACTATATAACTCATCCAAGATTCACAATGCTCAAATCAATACTCCTCTCTACCCTCGCACTCATTACGCCTCTGGTACTTGCGGAGAAGGTACTTGCGGAGAAGGTACTTGCGGAGAACATACTTGCGGAGAACGTACCTACGGAGAACGTACTTTGGGATACAATACCCACTGCGGCTAGGTTCCAAATCTCAAGAGAGCCATGGTGTGAACGGTATATGGAGAGGCATTACATTTCAGATGCTGGATGCTTCACATTACCTGGCAAATGGCTGCATGTTACTTTCGTTGCAGACACATGTCGTAGTATGTATAGTATTAGACCGCAATGGAATAAATCGTCTCTAACTTTCTGCAGTTTTTATCTATAAGAACGAGGACTGCACAGGGGGTGAGCTACAGGTGTATGCGCCAGAAGATGATACTATATTTTGTTACCAATCCGGGGGGTATTACTCTATCAAAGCATTTTGTCATTAGGTCCTTGGTTAGATTGATTTGGTTAGATTGATAGCGCTACATTCAGCCAAAGGCTCATTAAATTGTCACAGAATGCCAATAATACATGATAGAAAATCACTTCTCCCACCTGTTTTCTTGTTTCATATCCAAAGTGTCCCCTGCTGCAGATGAAGAGCGAGTTCGACAGGAAGCCGAAAAACAGGATAACGCCAGCAGCATTTAAAGAATACATGCGTTCCTGTCATACATTTCTGTCAAAACCGCTGCGTATCCAGAGTGTTAGTTTATTTTACCCAACCTGGGTACGCACGCAAGGCTCCATTGCCAAGACCCAGAACAAACCTTGCACAGCCCTGTTGCAACCTTGGACGGACTTTCCGATTCTGCAGCATGAGCTCTTTGGCGTCCGGCTGCTGCCCTGTCCGCTCAGCAATCAGTTCGTGAACGCGCGAATCGACCGCCTTGGGCACCACCGTATTCCACATCTGGAGTCTAGACCTCATGAAGGCCCTGCCGACTGATGCGGTGGACGTTCCGTGGCGGGAAGGAGACCGTAACTGAAAGCTGCCATCCGCAATATGGGGTCAGCGTTTCGAATGAAATTTGTGACAATGCCATTTCCTGCCAGAATTCAGTTGACGAAGAGCACAAGCCGTGTACTTGGTTTGTCTTGATAATATACTATCTCTTGCCTCCAATTCAAGAGTCATATCGTGATGAAGGGGTTGGCCAGGACGAGTGGCGTGTTGTCGGCATTCCATCTCGATGCGCATGGCATTTCAGCTTTCCTGTGGCTGCAGACCCAACGATTTTGTTGTCATGCACGTCGTCACATTAGTTTTGGGTGCAGGCCAAAACACAGAATCTGCGCAACAGGACTCGCGTAGAAGCACGAGGCTCACTATCCAGTTCCTTGAGCTTAGCGGTGAGAGACTTTTCACTGGGTCGATAGGGCTAGACTTCCGTCCGCATGCCTTACAAGGAGAATGCCCATTTCTCCTCAGTCTAGGGTCGTATGAGACAGTTATTTGCTTACATTGGTATATATACTCGTACTCTTGAGGATACCTATGCAGAATTGTATTGTATTCTTGGACGCTCCCTCGAGTAGTCCTATAGCACTGACTCCGGCTACTTGAAACAACTCAGTGCAAATTTTCGTATCATCCAGGGTGTTATGGTTCATCTTGCCCAGCAGGTGCTTCTTTCAGCAGTATTGACTTTGTTCTACTTCGTTCTGTAGCCGTTTGAAAAGTGCGAGTTGCTGTCTAACTTGAGTGGATTCATTGTGCGCGTGTGTTCCTAGGAGACAAGTTTTCTTCTCCTATCCCCACACCCTAGCTCCGTCTGATAGTTTTATTAAACAATTGCGCTTTATTGGCGTCCGGAGTCCGCAGTGGTAATTATATGTCAGAATAGGACTGCGAGGCCAGTGCCAGTGCCAGTGCCAGGCAAGTGTCTGTGCCTCAGGCCACAGGGGCACTTTCAACAGATTCTATGCTGAGAACTTTTGCCAAGTTCGGTTCGGGCCGGCGCAAGTACCTAGGTACTCCAAGACCTCGCCAGCAACAACTGTCGAACCTTTCAACTCCACCGCCCGCACTGTCAAACATCTCTTTGAATGCCTGTCAAGTGTGATTGCATTCGCAGCTGTCGATCTGTCGCTCCTTGCACTCTCCCAAAGCAATTCCAGTCTCTGTTTTACCAGAGACGAGGAATAAAGTCTAAATGGGTCGATGAGGCTGTGAGGCTGAATGCGATCACGTGACATACACTCTTTTCACTCACAACCACGATGGTTCCCGTCAAATCCCTCTTCTATCACTGAATTGTGAGATACTACCGCCGTCGATTCGGTCTTGTCTGTCCTTGATCACCTCAAACCGCCATTGCACCTGGATAAATCTGTACCCTTGTGATGGATTCGAAATCACGAGCGCGAGCCACCAATCAGCAAAATGTCTCAGTGTAATCTCTGCAACAATTTGAAGAAGAAGAGCGAGGACGATGTTCGGCTGGCCGTTGACTTCGTTCCAAGTGACCTTGACAGGTCAGCAGAAGCAAAATGCCCGGCTTGCAATGTGATTTTGGCTGGGATTCTACATTCCGAGGACGGATGGACATTTGCTGAGGATGTCACTCATATATATGTGTTCGGACTGGCCAAGAACGAAGACAGTCTATCTTTGGAATTGTATTTTAGAGACGATCGGCCGAAAGTTGTCCTTGAGTTTTATCGCCGCGAAAGGGATGGATTGTTGAGTGAGTGTTTCCATGTACTCGCCCAAGTTTTTTCGGGCGATTGATTCCGCTACGCTGTTCCGATGAGATGACTAAATATATGCGCAGGCTCTGGAAAGGCCAACTGGGAGGCGATCAAGCCCAAGTCTCCCCTTTCTGGCCATCCTCTGTCACCAACAGGCATGGAATGGTTGAACACTAGACTTGATGTCTGCAAGAACAAACATCTTTCATGTCAATATCACGCAAACACCAATCTCCCAAAGCGAACGCTGTCCTTCTGTGTCTCTAGGAACGAGGAAGCAGACGTGAGACTGGTCGAGAATGACTCACAGTTAGGGCGGTATATTGCATTAAGTCACTGCTGGGGGTCATCCCAACTCTGCGTCCTAGACGGCAAAACAATCTCGCAATTTAAGAAATCAATACCCTGGAGTTGGCTTCCAAAAACCTTCCAGGACGCAATTCTTTTCAGCGCAAAGCTTGGTGTCAACCACATCTGGATTGATGCCCTCTGTATAGTGCAAGATGACGCTGACGACTGGGAGAGGGAGTCAGCCAGGATGGCCGACATATATCAAAACTCGTTCTTGACTCTCGCTGCCACCGCTTCGAGCAATGGAATGGGTGGCTGTTTTTCTGACGCGAAGACTGTTGCTCCATCCGAGCACGAACTTACTGGATCACAATCTCTCATCGGTTTAGATCGCATCGTTGTTCGGACCAAGCTTCAACATTGGGCATGGCCACCATCTAAAGCTTCCATGAAGCTCCATCCCTTGCTATCAAGAGGATGGGTATTTCAGGAACGGATACTTTCGCCCCGAGTCCTGCACTTCTGCAAGGACGAGCTACTTTGGGAGTGCAGAGAGGAAAGTATTTGCGAATGCGGAAGTCTTCCTGCGCTCCCAGAAACGAAGAACCAATCGTATGTACCTCGAAATGAAACCGCCCCTCGACGGACTTTCGGGCGGAAAACTTGGAGACGTGCTTTTGGCAAGATCAAAATCACGATGTTTCGTCGCAACAAAACTTCGCCAAAACGACAAGGGCTATCGCGAATAGCCGCTCTTCTTCCTCGAAAGCACTCCTTGCCCGACTTTATCGTATATCAAGAAGAAGCGTCCAATGTCACTAATCCAGAGAAGCTAGATGCCGCTGAAAACTGGCACAGAGTCATTGAACAATACTCATCCTTGAGTCTCACGAAGCAGACTGATCGCTTGCCCGCACTGTCAGGTCTCGCCATCCGCTCGTCTCCTGTCCTTGGGGAATATCTTGCCGGTCTTTGGAAACATAGTCTTGTATCCGACTTGCTGTGGCGTATCAACAAGTTAGAACATGATATAGCTAGACCTACTGAGTATATTGCTCCTTCGTGGTCTTGGGCCTCAGTCACTGGGCCTGTCAGCTTTTGGCCCGAGCCCGACACTCGACTCATCGAGGAGACTTCGGGCGAATCGTCTTGGTACCAGGCACGATCCGCGCTTATAAAAAGAGCAAACGACTCCAGATTCACCGCTACAGTCGAAGCGAGCCGCTTGAATCCCTATGGCAAGGTTTCTTCGGGAACTCTCTATGTGCACGGATATATTCAGCCCGCGAGACTCCAATATGTGTCTACCCGAGTAGGGGGCGCATGGGGCTACACCACATCTTTAATAGAGTCGGTACCACTCAAGTACGAATTAGAAATCATCTTCTCCGACGAGGCTCACACACGAACCCCTTCAATCGAGCTACCATTCTTCGCCGACTACGTCCTGCAAGCGGAAGGTCCCCTTCGTATTCCTAACAACGATCAACTGCATTTGCTGTTAATACACCCTTACATGTGCTTGGTTCTAAAGTCTCTGGACGAAGAACTAAAGACCTTTCGTAGGATTGGGATCATACGGCAGCCAGTGGCATTAGTGTCTGAGTATGGCTTCGACTGGGTGAGAAGCTCTGTTGAAAGTAATATTCAGATTTTGTAGGCTCAACTTATTCTCTGGTTCGGTCTGAATTTTTGAGTCGGTAGACCCCAGCACCTCCGCTCGGAAGCATTCAAGTACTAGTGTGATACATACATAGAGAGACAAGGGCAAGGGTTCGATCGTATATTAGCCTCCCAGCCAGACACTTCGTCCAAAGTTTGCCGAACACCACGAGCATTTACTCGTCTTCACCAAACAACTCCATTCATGGGCTCAAGGTTCTAGATATCTGATTCCACTTGGAATAGCACGCCATATAAATATCTGTTTAGAATGTTGTTATGACTTTGCATTCGTTACATCATTGTCCTCACTGCTAAGCCTCGGTCGACTGAGAACCATATAAGCACCTCCAACAAATATGGTAAAAGACGTAAGGCGGCAAGTCAGTTGCAGCATGCTGTGTTGATGGATGAGGGAAATGAACTTCCTGTCAGTTGTTCATCTGGTACCGAAAATCGATCTTCGACACCAAGTTCGTTGTGATAGCAGACGGTTTTACGAAAAGTGCGGCATACGAGGCACATTTTTGGCATGACAATACCATTCACTTGCGAGCCGTCATTAATCACGATTTTGCCTCGCATGATTTACTGTATTCATTGACAGTTCTCGTTTGCGGAAAATTTGCATGTACTTCTAAATACACACGTTCGCAACATTCAACGTCGTTCCTTCCCCAAGCATTCCACGCAACATTGGTCTCACTTGTGGTCGCACCTGCTTGCGCTTAATGCTGTTAAGATACTTCGCTCTTTCTCCTCCGCAAGACCTGTCTTTCAAGAAGCCACACAGTATTGTTATGGAGGAGGAGGATCTAGATGAGTCGACTTCAGGCCGACGCACGAAACGGAAAAAGATGGCTAAGCCTGTATCAGATGCCACAACCGCGCCCTTGCATGAACAAAAGTTGTTCGAGAAAGTTAGACACAGTTTGGTCAAGCATTTCCCAACATTGGCGGATTGCCTGCAGCGCCCAGTCACAACTTCGATCTGGTCTTCAGTGACTACGACAACAACGACAGTTACGACGAGCACGAAAGAAGAGACATTGGAGATAATCTCCAGCTCTGCGCCAAGTACTCTAGGAACATTCAACTGGCTTAGACTTCATCCTTCTTGATCTCCTGGCTCTTCTGATGATTCCAGATTAGGTCGAGAATCTGCGAACTTAGCCAGGACTTTAACATCACACCAACCCGCGCGCAGCAGCAATGTCTACACACTTGCAGATATCACTGCAGTAGAAGCCTTGAGCGCTCTCGTCTCGCAGTTCGGTCGAGTTTCGCATATGGGACTTCTGGACGGGTCATATAGCTTTTTCATTACACAAGACCAAAACGCAGCGCTCTACTTCAAAACCAAGAAGCGGATCTGTATCGTCGGCGGCGACCGACTTTAATACCTCAATTTTATAAGATATTTACACGATACTAGATTTATATCTAGGTAATTACCGTTGTGCCTTATGATACTGGCGAAAAGAGTTTTGCACCAAAGTCGCCCAAGAATGCGCCATACTATACTAGTTAAAGAAGCACTTTAGTACGAAGTAAGGTCAGTCTGTATGTATTACCTTCATCTATCGGGATTACTCCGGTAAGTTGTGAGGCTGAATTACTAGTCACGTGCTATTTAACAAGAGGGATCCAAAATCGGCTCTGGCAGAAACCCTACGAGGCAGCAGAAACGGGCTCCCGGGCAAAGTTCATATACTTATTAGGCTCAGCTTAGGCTCAACTCCGGCATGCTCACCCTCGGCTCAGGTGAAGGTAGCAGTTGCTCACGTCCGCAGACTAAAACGGAACCAGCGAAAGTGAAAATTGGTCCTGAGTCTAGGGGCATTCGGTCGTCAGAAGTTCAGAGCGTCATCTCGCAATTATCTTGAGGGTGGATATGATGTGAGGGATTGTTTCTTGTTGTTCAACGAAATGATATTTTGCTCTTTTGAACCTATGTTGTCTTTTTTGCCGTGGCCCCCCAGGTTTTTGGTGTTGCCGCCAAGGTGCATCAGGTCTTGTGGTTGAACAAAGCTGGCCGATTGTATCCGGCATGCGTTGTGGCTTATGCTGTGCCCTCAACCCCATCTCAAGACTACCCTCCACGGAGCAAGAGGCTCATGAGATCTAACTTCCGAGAGGGTGTTGCCATTCTAGAGAGGAACACCAAAAATAGACATAGAGATGGATCTTGCCTGACCCTGGTGCCTTTGGTAGCTGGAGGTGAATGGCAGTTGCCTAACTACCTACTCATGAAGGTGTACTTTGTATGGATATTGTTTTCTCCGGAAGCCAACCTTAACAATTGTGGCCTCAAGCGATGGCTCGCTTACATTAATACACACAACATACCGCATTGGGCAGAAAGTAAACTTTCCCCTTTTGGAAAGAACACTCTCGGATCGCGGTCCGCGTAACACGCGTTGTTGAAGTCAAGAGTCGACGTTGAAGTCTCAACATCTTAACGTCTACACGGTCTAACATCAACACGGACTTACGGAACAGCTGTGAAGACAAGAAGACAAGAACACAAGATCATAAGAATCCTTGTAAGTTGTCCTATCGTTGGAGGCACCCGTTAACCTCATCTCACCTTATATTACATAGCCTATAGGGGACACTCAGTTTCGGTCACAGTGCCACACTCATCATGGCGCCACCAGTACCACCCAAAAGAAACCCTTACGTGGATGGTTACCCAAGGACCCCGCCTCTAGTCTATCTCCCATTCAGGCTGGAACATACGCTGATGACTTGCATCCAAAAGCTTTTAGAAGAGACCTGTTTCCATTTCGCCGAGAAATGGATACCCGATCTACTGAGAAAACAAGGCTGGGATACACCGGAGGCAGGCGAACTCAACCACTGGTGGGGAGCTTTGAAGCACAGCCAAGTACCCCGGCATGCCGTCAACTTCCAGTCTAGCGATGAAGTGGAATATCTCATAGTTCGACTGCATCAGGTTAGACATGCGGCTGTTCATCGACTGCGTTCTGATGAAATTATCAAGCGTATGCTCAAAGACGCTGTTGATTTTGTGTCGGGATTTGGCGACGAGCTACGCAGAGATAAGCTTCGGGATATCGAAGTAGCAGTGCTCACTCAGGACCATAACTTGATCGATAGAGCTATTGCTAAGCCGTTGCAGGATTTCCAACCGCTCGGCTTCGGAAATCGTCCAGTTGCTAACGATCCACAACAGGGTATTGTCCCTCGAGCAGAATACCGGCAACCCCCAGATGATCAACCTAGATTCCAATCGACTGCTGCACCAACTGTTCCTATTTTCAGACATGCTGCTCCGCAAAAGCCATATGCCAACTGGGATTCTATATATAGTCGACAGGCAGTTGACCGACAAGCATTGAATCAACAAACATTGAATCAACAAGCATTGAATCAACAAGCATTGAGTCAACAAGCATTGA